CTCGGTATTCTGAAGATCCATCTTTTATTGTAATCTCCTTCTTATTGTTCTTTCTTGCTACACATACCCTTTCATCCTAGTCTCTCCTTATTGTCTTTTACTCTACCCTGCAGGTACTACACGTATAGCTCCTAGTAGTTAGTCTAGTGCTCCGCACCGATGAGCCAATCCGTAGATATAAATACTGCCTGTATGCTACTGTAGTTCCTCAGTTTAATTATCAACTTAGATCTCCTTTCCAACTTAGTCCTCCTCTAAGTCTTCAGGCTCATCGCCTTGAAGTACTCTCTACTATAACCTTAGGACTTATATGTTCTTTGGTTTGCTCCTCATCACCGGCGCTACTGCCGCTCCGACTTGGCTGCTACTGGCTCCTCTCTTCTACACTCTCGATCTCCGGGGACTAACGGCGTAACGGCAGTGTTGTTAATAACTTCACCACTGTCCCACTTGACCTTCTGCTCTTAGACACCTTGTGGCCTCTGGCACGGTTACATGGTGTACATAATCTTAATAAGTTCGACATAAGGTATAGCTTCGACATTACCTAGATCGAGGTCCCAGAGCTTGTGGAGTAGTTGGGGAGCTCAAGGAGGTTTGGGGGAGGTTGGCCTGCCAAAACAGTAGACGTTGGGGAGCTTTAGTATTGGTGGAGGGAGCTCGAAGACTCACTCAGATTGCTTAGATGTGGAGTAAAAGTGTTTATTGGATCATTTAGACAATCGTAGGAGATGAGAGACAAGAGTAGAGAAACTGAGATAAAGAAACAGAGAGTAAAGAGAAATCTGTATAGTTAGCAGGTACAAAGGGACAGGGACTGGACCTATGCAAAAGGGTGTGTATTCAAAATATACCAAGCTACCTGATGTTTAGGATATAAGGGTACTTATATAGACAAGATGAAAGGGTCAGGGGAACATTGTGTGAAGTGGACACTTAATGGGGATGTTCTAGAATACATGAGGATGGACTGATGGGGGCATGGACAAGCTCCCGGGTCTGTTAAACAGTAGGCTGGAGGGCGGCGAACTCCTTCTCCTGGTGGCATCCATTATCAACCAATCTAACTTTTGATTAAAGTGACGGTGGTACATATTGGCCTTCACCTGGCCCTCTCGCAAATACCAATTGTCGGCAAGCAGTTGAGCTACCTGGCTCTCAAGGACAGCCAGGCGCTCACCAGTTGGATTAGCACCTTCTTCTTGTTTCAATGTGGAGGGCCGGCCGGAGTACAAACATTGTACTTTTGCATTGTGGCAGGGTTTACATATAATCGAACTCCTCTTGCCAGCCTGCATCTGGCAAGGGATCTTCTTGCTCCTGCACTGTGTGCAGGGAGCACATTGATCTTCTTTGTCATTGTTGTTGTCATCACCATCACCATCATCCGGGTCCCCGCCGACCGGCTAAAGAATTGTTGTGAGTCAGTGATAGTGGGGTATATAGCCAAGGATAAATTACCGCGGCCCATGCCTTTCCTTTCCCTTTGCTCTTCACCATTCTCCTGATTTCCATGACGGGCCTCCTTGGGGAAGCAGACATCTCGGTGGGAGAAGTCCCCCTCTGACTTCTGGTGGTCGTTGCATCGGCCAACAGCCTCCTCTGCTCCACAACCTCTTCCTCCTGTTGCCGAGCCCGGATGGCCTGCTCTCGCACCTCATGTGCTGCCTTCTGCCTTCCTGTCCTTCACCCTCTGGACCTTTTCAAGGGCCTTCGTCGTCATCATCAACACCGGTGTTACTGGAGGGGGGCGGGGGTACGGGCAGATTGGAGGGGCCAGTGTGGGGATTAAAGCAGGAAGAAGTAGTAGTGGTGGTGGTTTGGCTAGTGGACATGTTGGACTTGAAAGTTTTGGAAAAGTTAGGCCCACAGCAGTAAAACCCTAGCCCTTTTATAGGGACAAAACGGCACATGTGTCACAAAGCGGCAAAGGCGGAGTGACTAACGGAGCAGGGGAGCGGAGTGACTAACGGAGCAGGGGAGCGGAGTGACTAAGCAGAGCAGCAAGGCAGAGCGACTGAGCGAGGCAGCAAGGCAGAGCGACTGAGCGAGGCAGCAAGGCAGAGCGACTGAGCGAGGCAGCAAGGCAGAGCGACTGAGCGAGGCAGCAAGGCAGAGCGACTGAGCGAGGCAGCAAGGCAGAGCGACTGAGCGAGGCAGCAAGGCAGAGCGACTGAGCGAGGCAGCAAGGCAGAGCGACTGAGCGAGGCAGCAAGGCAGAGCGACTGAGCGAGGCAGCAAGGCAGAGCGACTGAGCGAGGCAGCAAGGCAGAGCGACTGAGCGAGGCAGCAAGGCAGAGCGACTAAGCAGAACGGAGACAGGCTGGTCCCAGATAATGACAGAGATATATTGAGTATCGTAGTCATAGGTAATAGTAAGTAAACACATACCTGGTCCCAGATAATGACAGAGAGGTCAAGATAAGGAACCAGGCTGTGGAGTTGGCTATATATACATAATCCGATCTGCGAGAAACAACAATGTAATACTGTACAGTTCAGGGGCAAGGAAGGTGGCAGAAGCTGATAGAAAGAGAAGATGGGTCAGGTGGATCAGTAATCGATGGGGGTTTGACAGTGATGGGATGATGTATTGTACAAGTAAAGGCGTCAAGACGGTGAGAAAGGGAAAATGATAGGGGCTGTGTACTTTATGACAACATGGACCAGCTAAAATTTTCCTTTGAATTGTGTTTGGTTTACGGTGACAGAAAATTTTTTCCTTGAGTAATAATTATTAATGGGAGAGTGTTGAGATTCATTCAATATATTGATTGACTTTTACCATTTGAGTAGGAGGAAAGTTGACTAATTGTAATGTAATGTATTCATCAGACTCATCCCTATTTCCTATTTCCAAATTATCTATCTATTTATTTTGTTTTATTAAGGAAAGAGAGATGGAATGGAATGAATCAAAGAAAAATCTATGGAAGAAAAAAAGAATCATCAACCCACTTCATGAAAACTCAAAACTCAAAACTCACCTCAAAAGAAACCACTTTCAAACCCAAAACCCCAAAAACCCCCCAAAAAAACTCATCATCATCATCATGATATCATATCATCCTCGTCCTACTCAACATATCATATCATATTGGGGGTACCGCGGATCGAACGCGGGACCTTCAGAAGAACGTGGTGCGAACTTTGTTGACTTCAGTCTGCTGCTCTCCCAGCTGAGCTATACCCCCATACCTTTGACTTATACCCCCGTATCTCTGAGCTACACCCCCGTATTTTTTTAGCTATACCCCCATCCATACCTTTGAATTATACCCCCATCCATATCTCTGAGCTACACCCCCATTACCACATTGTCATTAGGACATGCTTTATTTACACCCGTGTCGTGTTATGGAGACGAGAGGAGACGAGAGGAGATGAGTGATGATGAGGATAGGAATTCAGTTGATTGTTTGTTTGTTTTGTGGTTTTTTTTTTTTTTGGTTTTTGAGGAGATGGAGATGGAGTCGGAGAGGGCGTGGGTGTGGGACTGGGAGAGGTGAGGTGAGGAGAGGGAGTGGGTGTGGGCGTGGGCGTGGGAGAGGAAAGGAGGGGGAGAGGAGTTGTAAGGAGTTGTAAGGAGTCATAAGAAGGAAAGGAAAGGAAAAGATAACGGCGCGGTGCCAATGAGGAACAACCCCGGGGGTTGATGCATCATGCTACACACTTAAGGCGTTGTGAGGTATCACGAGGAGTCGTAAGGAGTCGTAAGGTATCACAAGGAGTCGTAAGGAATCATACGGAGTCGTAAGGAATCATACAGAGTCGTAAGGAGCTAAGCACAAGGAGCCGCAAGGAGAACAACAGTATCATTACTATCATTACAGATCATTACTAGACTCCAACATCCTCCGATATCTCTCCTTACAAACTCTTACAAACCCTACATAGCAACGACGGGGACCTTTGTTCTCTGTTTACGGCCGAGATACTAGTATCATATGCATATGCATAATGTACGCTAGGAAACCCCCCCATCCAGAGTTTTTTTGAACCCAACGAAGCTTAATATGATATACATATGTACCAGATACAGTTACACAGTTAGTATACAGTTAGGTGCCACGAGGCAGTCACCCAGTCGCACAGTCGTCGCACAGTCGCGGCACCCCCATTTTGATTCTTGAAGTGAAAACACGACTCGGAAAAGAAAGAAAAAAAAATAGTACTGGTAACTGAATATTGAATGAAAGTTTCGAATTCGTTGTTGTTGTTGTGAACTTAATTTGTTCTACCTTGTTACTCTATTAGTATTCGTCCGCGATACAATCACTGTCTGTCAGTCGCGATAATCATTGTCTGTCAGTCGCGATAATCACTGTCTGTCAACGTTTTTTTTTTCATCAAGAAACTTTTACCGTTTGACTACATACATAACATCGCTGCGGCTTGTTTCAACAGTCACGGCACGGGTAGTGCACGGTTGTGTTTTGTGTTTTTTTTCGTTTCGTGCTTCGTGCTTTTCGCTTCGTGCTTTGATTTGATTTGCGCTTTGCTTTGTTCGCTTTGCGCTTTGTGGCGTTTCATTGGCTGTCGTTTTCTTCTCGTTTCCTCGAGCTTTATTCTGTGGAATACGCTTTGTTTTGTTTTGTGGTTTTGCGCTCTGGAACTCACTGTGGTTACGGAATTTCGTTCTGTGGTAAAGCTCGGTGGGATAACACACACGACGAAACAGGTGCGCACCATACCATACCATACCTCACACTAATACCCAACACCACGGGCTGACATTAATCCTCTCATCTACAATCCCAGGAATTCAACCAAGGTTCAAGTTCCATTGCCAAGTTCCAAGTTCCAAGTTCTAAATTCCAAGTTCTGAATTCCAAATTCGAAATTCTGAATTCCAACCACACCCACATCCACTCGTCTTCCACATCCACAACCGCATCTAGTACATCCCGCATCGAGTACATCTGGTACATAACTGAATCATCCATACCTCGTCACATAAGGAACCGACTCGCACCTCGTTACCGGTCCCCAATCAAACCATGAAAGCTTTTTTCTCGAGATTACATCTCGGGAGCAACACCACCACCACCAACACCAGTAACCCCACCAACTCCAACTCCAATAACCCCGCCTCCACCAACGGTAACAACACCCTCAGTAATAACTTCAGTAATAACTTCAGTGGTACCCTCGGTAATACCTTCGGTACAAACAGCGCCAACGCCAGCCGCGAAAAAGAAATCGGGAAATTGCCTGCGTCGTTGAGGACGTGGCCACCTCAACCAGCACCTGCACCTGTACCTTCACCTTCACCTTCGACCACACCTGCATCATTACCAGCACACCCACTACCAGGACTACAACCAACATCGGCACCATCAGTACCTGCGGTTCGGACAGAATCCCGAGAAAGCGGACGCCGGACGTCGCAGTACGCGGTGTATAAGCCGTTGCCGGAGGTTTTGGGGGTGGGAGGTGGGATGAGTGGTGTGGAACTAGGAGGAGAAGATGGAGATGGGGAAGAAAGAGAAAGAGACAGAGAAAGGGAAAGAGACAGAGACAGAGACAGAGAAAGAGACAGAGAAAGAGAGAAGGAAGGAGAAAGAACCCCCACAGGGAGTAACACACCTGTTCCACCTGAAGCGTCCAATCCAACATCGAATACAGCGTCGAACACCAAAAAAGTAGTAGCGTTCGTCTCCTCGCAGGACCTCGAGCCTCTTCCCGAGAACAGCGGGATAAGTCGATTTCGGTCTCCAGTTCAGACTAACAGTAACAACAACGGTAACAACAACAACTCGAGTCAACAAAGTCTTCGTTCCGGGACTCCTTTTTCTCAAATGACTTCTCATACCACGCACACTGCCCATTCCTACAACACCGCTAGCACCTCGCACACCTCGCACACCGCAACCACTTCTCACACCTCCCACACAGCTAGCACCGCCTCCACCTCGCGCATCCTCTCCGCCACGTCCTGGAGCCAAGTCACCGAAGACGACCTCGTCTCCAACCTCGGCTCGCGCGAACGCACCCGACAAGAGGTGCTGTTCGAGATTATCCAAAGCGAGGAGAGATACGTCGGGGAGTTGGGAAAGATGCGGGAGATGTTCATTGAGCCGTTGTTGCATCCGTATAGCGGGAGGGGGGTGATGAGTCCGGAGCCGCAATCGATGGATGGGGATGTCAGAGAACTAGGGGCGAGAGAAGGGGAAGATTCCCTACCCCCGATAGCAGCACGGTTCATGTCTCCCACTCCCACTCCCACTTTAAGCCCTACCCCTCCTCCTAATGGCGGTCACGACGATTCCTCCTCCTCCTCCGAAGATGAGCCCGTAGCCGACTCCTCCGCATGGCGAACCCACCCCCGGTCCCCCTACCGCGGCGTCGTCGTCACACCCCCCGTAATCCCCTTCCCCTCCGGTGCACGGTCACATCAGTCCCTGCCCCCGGCTAGTAAACTCCTCAACGGAGTGTCCACACAGTCGTTGGGGCGACAGTCGTTCGTGGGGGAGAGGGGGAGAGCGCAGTCTCAGTCCAAGGTCACTCCTTCCACTCCTTCCACCAAAGGAAGCGGAAGCGGGGGAGGGGCACGGGGGATGTTTAAACAACTACGGAGTTCCGGTGCGAATACGAAAGAACCCCCGGCTCAACTCGGTGTAGACGAAACCTCTGCGCTCCCCCTGGTACCCCCGCACCTCCTCCCCCCCGACCTCCGGATCTGTCTCGAAGTCATCGACTCTGGGGTGTTCGAGGGCCACAAACGACTCGCGGAGGCGTTGAGGAAGAGATACGACGACCAGTATCCGTTGGTTAGGAGTTTAGCGGATGTTTTTGTTGCGAATGTTAGTTTTCTTTCTTTCTCTCAATGGGGGAGATACTGATACTGATTTTATTTGGGTAGTCGGATATATTCTCAGGCTACGCGACTTATGTGTTACACCTCGAACGCGCATTAGACCAAGTCGACAACGCTCTCAATTCCCCTTTTCCCTCTTCCAAACCCAAACCCAAACCCAAACCCCGCACCTCTTCCTCCCTCTCCCCCTCCCAAAACTCCTCCACATCCCAACCCCCCATCCCCCCCCTCCTCCGCACGCTCGACCTCCTCGCCTCCAACCTCGGCCACACCTCCCTCTCCATCTCCCTCTCCAAACCCTTCCAGCGCCTCCTCAAATACCCCCTCCTCTTCCAAAACCTCCTCTACCACACCGACCCCTCCACGGTCGAGTACGAGAGCACCCTCCAGATGGTGGCGGAGATCGAGGTGATGGTAAGGGGGATCGAGGATGAGAAGGTGGAGTGGGAGGATAGGGAGAAGACGAGGGATGTGTTGGGCAGGATTGAGTGGGGGGAGGGAAATGGGAGTGGGAGTGCGTCGGGAAGTGGAAAGGAGTGGGTGGGGAGACCGAAACCTGGGAGGGTTTTGGTTGAAGAATCCGTGTATCTCCCACCTTCTCCTATTCCCCCTACGTCTTCCACTTCCTCCTCCCCCTCCCCGTTATCACCCATCCAAATAAAAAAATCCAAATCCTCCTTCCGGCGTCTTTCCGATGCATTGTCTTCTTCCAACCCTTCCTCCTCTTCCCCTTCCACCCCTAATCAAGGAACCCAATCGAATAAACCCGTCAAGGCATTCAGCAAAAAAGATTTATGGGTGGTTCATTTCAACGACGTGGTGCTGCTGTGTCAGCGTACCGGGTTGACGACTGTGCCGATTTGGAGTAGTGGCAATCATGGGAATGGGAGTGAGATGAATAAGGGGAAGGATCCACCCGGTGGGGGATTAGGACCGGGGAGGAGACAGTTGAGAGTAACACCGAGGAACCTATACAAATTCATCAAAGTCGAAACGTGGGTTATTGGAGACGTGGTGCAACCACGAGAAGGCGTAGTAGCGATGGCGGATATTGAGAGAGCGAGGTTACAACAGCAGCTACCCCCACAACAACAACAATCCTACCCCTCAAAACAACGTAGTAATCATAATCATAATCATAATTCCCTCCACCCATCAACCCAACCCCGAATCATACCCATGCCTCCCGACGACGAGAACCTCCCCCGTCTCCCCCACCCCCGCCACAATCACCCCAACCACCCCAACCACCTCAACTCCAACTCCGACCCAGACGACTCAGACCCCGACTCCTCCGACTCGGACCGCAAAAGCAAAATGAGCTTCTCCTACTGGGGCGCCGACAAAGTCACTATCCAGCGTCCCCCTCGCACCAACACCACCAACAACACCAACACCCCTGGTTCCGGTATGACTAAGGTTGTGATCCGTGGTGGTAGAGGAACCGGAGTAGGGGGGAGTGGAGGGAGTACAGGCAGAATGCGAGTAGTAGGTCTCGGAAATCGGTCCCTGACTTCTTCTTCTACGGGGTCTGGATCTGGATCGGGGACACCGTCCTACCGTAGTGGTGTAGGGGTACCAGGAGGGGGAGGGGGTGGGGCACCTCAAGGTCGGATCGTTGTTCCGTCTCGAAGAGGCGGCGGGGGATCTGGGGGAGGTCATGGACATGGACACCATGGGGTTGGGTTGCATGGAGGACATGGACATCTAGGAGGACATGGGGGATATGGAGTCGGTGGACACGGACACGTGATCTCACCGAGCGCGTATTCGCGGGAAAGCAGTGCGAATGCGAAGTTTGGGTCGAGGTTGGTTTCGGAGCGGGATAGGGGGGAGAGGGAGAGGGAGAAAGACCGTGATCGTGACCGAGACCGAGACCGAGACCGAGACAGGGATAGGGATAGGGATAGAGGAGATAAAGATAAAGAGAGGGAAAAAGAGAGGGAAAAGGATAAGGGAGACAAGGACAAAGAGAAGGAAAAAGACAAAGACAAAGAAAGACCATCCAGCCGCCGTACAGGAACCCGGTCCAGAACTGCTACTGTTACTTCTACCACCACCGGCGGTGGGGGTGGAGGTGGGGATACAGCTAAGGCAACGGTTACTCGGTCACCTGCGGGTGCGTCAACCCCTGTAACTGCTTCTGCTTCTTTGACTGCTTCTTCTACCACCCCCACCCCTTCTTCCAATCCCAATCCTTCGAATTCGAATCCCAACACCCTCCCACCCCCACCCCGAATCACACCAAGCACCTCCCAAACCAGCGCGCGGTCGAGGAGGAGCTCTACCACCACCACCACCGCTACCACTACCACTACTACTACTACTACTCCTGTCCCTGTTCCTGTTCCTACCACTACTCCTTCCACTACTCCTACCACTACCACTCCTTCCACTGCTGTTGGGAAATCCAAACCAACCACAACAGGTGGGGAAAGAGGTGAAAGGGGAACAGGAACAAGTGGTCCGATATCCCGAGGCCCTTCCAACACCGGTCCATCCGCCGGAGGCAATACACGAGGATCGTCGTCGACAACGTCTACTGCGTCTACGACGGGAACGACGGGAACGACCCCCGTCTCCCCTGCTGCGTCCGAAGATTCCGGTGTGGGGATGGGGCTGGGGCTGTATAGGCAGATGATGGCGAAGGAGAGGGAGAGGGAGGGGGGGAGGGTGTAAGGTGAACCAGGAGGGGTGGAAGGTAAACGAAGGAGGGGAGGTGTAAGTGGAGAAGGAGGGGATTTTCTTGTTCTAATTCACGCGTTCACGCAGTTGCATATGACTCACGTTTCACATCTCACATCTCATGTCTCACGTTCGTTCGTTAGATACCATTTCATTCATTTATTCACTCGTTAGTTAGTTTCTTGCTCATTAGTCTCGTTAGTCTCGTTTTCGTTTTTGTTTTGCTCATCCATACACTCATACACTCATATACACACACACTCTCTCTCTCTCTCTTTCCTTCCTTTCTTCCTTCTCCCGCCTTCCTCCTTCTCCTTCTGTGTTAGATCCATCCATCCATCTATATACCACGCACCCACTCATCTCCGATCACCCAATTCTCAATTCCCCGATCCCACAAATGCCCTCTTTCATATCTCTTCCAACTCACTTTCCAAATTCCGATCGCAATTACTAGTACTCTATTTCTTTTTCGATTTCATGATGCTCTTTTCTTTTTCTTCCCTCTTTTCTCAATTCTCAATTCTTTTTGCAATATTCCAATTCTCTCAATTCTCGATCCTCGATCCTCGATTCTCTCGATACTCAGTACTCAGTGCTCAGTGTTCAGTGTTCAGTGTTCAGTTTTCAGTGTTCGGTTTTCTCAGTTTTCGATTCTTTAAGGTTCCTCGATTAAAGATTCCCAGTTCTCAATCCTCAATTCTCGATTAAAGATTCCCCATTTTTTTTGCAAGCCTCAATCCTCGATTTCCTCGTTTATTCTCGATAATGATAATACTAATAATATCTCTTGCCCGCGTTCCACTTCCTGGTCGTTCCCGTTCCACTTCCCATTCTTAAACTAGCTCAGACTAACGAACTAGAGTGGATCGAGAGTCGAGTCATAGAGTCATTGCCACGGTTGAGTCGATTACAGTTCCTCAATCATCAATCCTCGGTAATGAATAATACTAATAACACTGCGCCTGGACCAATAAATTATACCGGCCGAGAAATTGGCTGAGAAAGTATCATGGAAAAGATTTCCTTTCTCAATTAATTTCTTGTTTATGAAAAGTTTTACATATCATACATAAGATAGAAATTTTATGCGAATTATTTTCTCTCCCAGTTACTGTATGTAATTATCCTGCGAAAGATATTTAGTGAGACTAATTTCCCTTTTCGACGACAAAAGAAACTATTTCTCAGTTATAACTAGGGAACCCCTGCGGGGCTCAATGTACGTAGTAGTACATATTTGTTCCTTCTTCACATGGGAGATAATTGATAACTGCCACTTCTTTAGCCTCTTAGGGAGTACGCCTGAATCAATTAACTTCCGAATCGCATCAGTAAAGACAGCCTTCTGGTACTGTTCATCGTCTCTTGCAATTCGTATTACAAGCACTGCGAGGTTAGGTAATACCAAGCAGCGCAAAATATCTTTGTTCCACAGGTCCTATTGGCGAATTCAGCTCATTCGTTACCAAAGGAATGGGTGACATACTGGAGTAGTAATCGAGCACCTAAAGTCGATGGACAATTCATCTATACTTGGGCAATTTTGAAGATAACAATCAATAATGTTACCAATGTAACCTCCTTCCTCTTGTAGTTCTAATTTTCGTAACATACTTAATTTCAGCATGTTATCTGCAAAGCAATGCACTGAATGCCTGCTGCTTGGTCCTCCCACAACAGTGAGTGTAATGAGGTTATTTTTCCAGTGTTTGATGAATGCATGTACATTCACCAACAATCCTTTGAAATGATGAAGTCGTTCGAGGGATCGTTCGAGGTTCAGGTCAGGAATGGGATCTAAGTCGAATGTGTTATATTGGAGATGCAACGATTCCAGGTTTGGATGGCGATGTAAAAACCGCGAGACATGTGTAGAGGGAGCAGACGGACTAGACGTCGAGCCCGCCATCATACGCAACGTCGCTATTCAGGTTACGACTGATACTTTCCTTTGTTTCCTTCGATCACTTTCACTTCTTATTGTTCTCTAAATTACTTACATGCTACTTATTTACAATTTGAGGTTTCACATACACGTCGCAGCCTCACGCACGATGATACATATCAATAGTTCCTATATATTTGCTACAGATGTACGGGACAGGCCCCCAGTTTACAACTTACCGAGCAATACTACTCTTTTGGACATACGACGGACACTCGCACTACATCTGGAGCCCACCCGAGTTGAACACAATTCCGCCGACACGTTCAAAGCCATCCGGCATACCAGTTCCAGTCCGAACACTGCCTGCACGAGACGGTGTTCCATCGACATCCCACCGACAGTTTCTAAACACAGGGAGACGTCAGTTCCAGTTCCCGGTGGAGGTGACACATCACAAAGAAGCAGACGTCAGACAGCCCGTTGCAGACACACCGAACGAAGCGCTTACAAGCAAGTTCACCTCTCTGGTGACCACACCCTCCTCTATATCATCTCTGTCGTCTTTATCACCATCACCACCACCTATCGTACCTACCCACATTCCATCCATGTCGACTCCACCTCCTCGCGCAGCCACGAAAGGTCCGGCATACATGCCAGCCCCAGGTTCGACGCGAGCCCCAGACAAATTCAAGGGAAACAGCTCGCAGTTACGAGACTTTCTTGAGGAGTTTGAAGGACATGCTGCCACCCAGGAGCTGACCGACGATGAGAAAGTCCGGAGTATCTTGAAGTATGTCGATGGGATGACAAGGAGTTACTGGAAGACCCTGGACAGCTATGAGGAACAAGATTGGGAGAAGATGAAGACGGAACTATTTGATGCTTACCCGGGTGCCAGGAAGGGTCACCGATACACGGTGAAAGGACTACTGAAGCTTGCTGAGAGTAATGCGCTGAACCGGATTGAAGAAGAGGCAGACCTCATTGAGTACTACCGCCAGTTCCGTATCATGTCGAGGTTATTGAAGATTGACAAGAAGGTGACGACCGATGAGATCAATCGTTACTTTTGGTACGGCATTCACAAACTCGATCGAAAGGAAATTCTGGGTCGTATTGAACTCAAGGACTCTGCATTTGACAGGACTACAGTACCTGACATGGAACGGGTCTTGAAGATGGGAAGAGAGGTCTTCAACGGCGATGTGTTGGGCATGGAAATGGATGACCCCATTGCTGACATGTTTACAAAGCCAAAGAAGAAGAAAGCGAAGGTGATCATTGCCGAGTCTAGCAGTGAGAGCGAGGAGTCCAGCGATTCTAGTTCAGAGGATGAATCAGACGAGGAGAAAGCGAAGAAGAAGACAGTGAAACAGGACGTACGCACGAAAGTGGTGGAGAAGCCGCGAACAGACAGCATCGAGGACCTTGCGAAGCAGCTCCGAGCATTGCATGTCCATGATGTCAATTACGCTGGTGTCTATGCTAAGCTCGTCGCCATTTCACCTGTTGTAGCCAGTGCCATCGCAGCACTCCCCCCGATTCCCCAGGCAGCCCAGACAGCAGCTATTCCTGCCATTCAGATGACACCTTACCCAAACCCACCTACAAACCCGGCAACGTATCCAAACTCAATCCCGACCAATGGAAATAGCTATCGACGAGGAAGTCAGCCACAGAGACAAGCCTCTGGACCACTTCCGACGGACATCCTCTGCTTCTTTTGCAAGGAGAACCACCTCATCCGTGACTGCAGCCACCTTCCTGAATACCTAAGAACGAATCGTGTAGCTCAAATCGGTCGTTGGTTCTGCTGGCCTGATAACCATCCACAAGCACGTCGTCGAATCCAGGCTGATCCTGCTATAGGTATCAAAGGGACAATCGATCGTGAAGTTTTGACCACGCCGGGTTTTTAGAGTGCCAAGCCGTTACGGGAGCGGTAACGGTGGAGGCAGAATGTGAGGATGAGGTGGAAGTGGGTTCATCGAGGGTCCGAAGGCAGGCAGTGGAGATTATTGATGTGGATGCATTGGAGGATAGTGAGGACAGCGAGGATGACGATGACAGTGAGAATGTAGATGGGGAAGACACGTGGATGGAGTCGTTAGAGTTGGAAAGGCTTGAGGAAAATGCGGGGATGGCAGTGACACGTTCGGCGGGTAAACAAAAGCAACGCGAGGAGGATATCAATGAACAATCTAAAGTGAGGGGGACTCATCAGCCTTCGGATGCGCAGGTCAATCTGCCAGGACGACTCACCGTGTCTGGAAACCAGCCAGCTTTCACATACGAATCCAAAGCAGAGGATCCACTTGCTGTGAACAAGATGTTTAAGTGAATCCTTGATGTTGTTGTTCCCGACGTGACGGTGCGAGACCTTGTCTCACTCAGTGGAGACCTACGCAAGGAATGGATGGACTATGCAAAAGTCCAACGCATTCCAAAAACCAAGGAGACGCCGGATGCCCAAACCAATATTGCAACAAGGGAGCCCCTCAAGATTGAATTTGCGACGCCATTACGAGAGATTGAAGTCGAATTGTTTGGGGGGAAGAAGGAGCTGGCATTGTTGGATGAGGGTTCCGAGATTGTGTTGGTAAGGAAGGACGTATGGGAAGAACTAGGTTTTAAAGTCAATCAGGAGCAAGAGATGATGATGCGGACTGCGGATGGAAGCACTGCACCACTGGAGGGATGCGCTGAGTACCTCGAAATTATGGTGGATGGGTTACGGACATGGGCGCATGCATTTATAGTCCCCTCAGGTCCTTTTCGAGTTCTGCTGGGTCGACCATGGCAAAAGCTGGTCCAGTTAGCGAAGGTTGAGACCGACGAGGCAGTCACAGTCACTATTCATGACCCACTAGGCCATGATGCTCCACGAGTCATTCGCACCAAGCCACGGGTTGGTCCTGATACATCGTTCACAACGGGTTTGGACACGGGGGAACGTGTTTGGAAGAAGCCAAGGTATGGGAATTCAACCGGTCCGGAACCGGCAGGCAGTTCTTCCTCTCTTGCCACACTCTTCTTCGACTTCACTTACTCACTTCACCCAACCCGCCATGTCCTCGCCTACAAGCGTGTCGCGCAAAGGGTTCAACCCATCCCGACCGTTATGCCTGACTACGCCAAAGTGATCCGAAGGTTCCCTGAAAATCCCCTTCTTTCCCTCCCGGATCTCTCTCCCAATCCGACACAATTTACACCTGGTGTTCGCCTAACGGAGGATCGATTGGAAGGACTGGGTGTGTTGACAAACAGCTTTCTCTGGCCTGAGGAACGTCTACTGATGGCAGACGTATTGAAGAAGAACGAGCTGGGGATAGCTTGGGACGAAACAGAGAAAGGACGATTTCGCGAGGACTACTTCCCTCCCCTGAAAATTCCAACAATTGCACATACACCATGGGCTGAGAAGACACTACCAATACCTCCAGGAATACGTGATAAGGTCATCCAACTTGTCCGGGAGAAGGTCGCGTCAGGACTGTATGAACCTTCGAATAGTTCGTATCGTTCGCAGTGGTTTGTGGTAGCGAAGTCAGATGGTGGCTTGCGCATTGTCCACAACCTCAAGAAACTTAACGCAATCACGGTGCGCGACTCAGGACAACCTCCCATCCTCCATCTCTTCCTCGAGCAATGTGGCGGTCATGGCATCTATTCGGGAATAGACGTTATTGCAGGTTTCGACCACGGGACACTTCACGAGGACTCAAGAGACCCCACAACCTTTGATACCCCCATTGGAACGTTCCGTCTAGCTCGCATCCCCCAAGGGTGGACTGGATCCATCCCAGTCTTCCATGGACACATTGCATTTCTGCTGCAGGATGAGACCGAGATCTCTCCGAATTTCGTGGACGACTTACCGGTTCTGGGACCAAGAACTCGATATGAGAAGCCAGCGGGAGGATACGAGGTGCTGGAGGAAAACCCGGGTATTCGTCGTTTCGTTTGGGAGCATGCCACCGACCTCAACCGCATCCTTCATCGACTCAAACACGCAGGCATTACCGTTTCTGCAAAGAAACTCAAGGTTGCAGTCCCGGAGCTCAAAATCGTAGGAACGGTCTGTACCTACGAAGGTCGACTCCCCGACAACAGCAAGATTGTGAAAATCCAGTCATGGCCAGCTTGCGAGTCCGTTACCGAAGTCAGAGGGTTCCTCGGGACTGCGGGAGTGCTTCGGGTTTGGATCCGGGACTTTGCAAGGATCACTCGCTCGCTTGTGAATCTGACGAAGAAGGATGCAACATTCGTTTGGCTACCAGAACACCAACAGGCTATGAGCACCATCAAGGAGGTCGTTTCGAAATGTGATGCCTTGGTCACTATCGACTACCTTTCTCCTCTTCCCGTCATCTTGGCTGTCGACTCCTCATACATTGCCTGTGGTATCATTCTCTCACAAGACAACAAGGATGGTAGACGACGACCCTCTCGTTTCTGGTCTATAGCCTGGAACGAACGTGAAGCTCGCTACTCACAGGCAAAAATCGAACTCTATGGTCTTTTTCGAGCCTTTCACGCGATGAAGGTATACCTCATCGGGGTCCAAAAACTCATTGTCGAAATGGATGCCTCGTATGTCAAAGGCATGATCAACAATCCTGACATGCATCCGAACGCAGCCGTCAACCGTTGGATAGCCGCCATACAACTTTTCGACTTCGACCTCAAACACATACCTGGGAAGGAATTCGTGGGTCCAGATGGGATTTCAATGCGACGAAGGACAGTCGATGAAGGAGATGAACTAGAGGGAGCTGCTGAGGAATGGGTAGATGAAATTCTGAGTGCTGGTGTATGGATAGCAGGAGCTTGGGACAAGGAGGACAAGTTTGGTGGTATAGTCGAGTATCAAGGCACTGGAACGTCTTTGGCGTTCTGCCTGGCTGCACAAGGGGTAGCATCTGACGATGTAACGATCCCTTATAGTCAAGTAGCCCAACGACGTGACAACGAGCTTCGTACGATACAGGACTACCTCACAACCTTCACAACGCCATCCTCACTTTCCACACTACAACTCAAGCAATTCATTCAACGAGCCTCGCGATATCTTGTCAAAGCAAATCGTCTGTGGCAGCGAGAACACTCCGGTCGACATCAGCTCGTCATTCTTCCCCTTCCTGATCGACTTTCACTCCTGCAACAAGCTCATGACGATTTAGGGCACAAAGGGTTTTATTCAACACGACGTACACTAGCGGATCGTTTCTGGTGGCCTAGCCTCGATGATGATCTTCATTGGTTCCTGAAGACATGCCATGAATGTCAAGTTCGCTCAACCGAAAAAGTTGTCATCCCACCCTCCATCTCTATCCCAGCCACCCTCTTTCGTAAAGCTCACATCGACGTCATGTATATGCCCATGGTCCAAGGCTTCAAGTTTATCGTTCAAGGTCGCTGTTCGCTCTCTCGCTGGCCGGAATGGAGAATGCTGAAGAAGGAGAATGGGAAGACATTAGGACAGTTCATCTTTGAGGAGATTCTGTGTCGATGGGTAGGACTCGAGGAAATTACGACCGACAACGGCCCTTCGATTGTAGCAGCCTTGGATTGGCTTCGGGAACGGTACCACATCACTCACATCCGCATCGCTGCCTACAACTCTCAAGCAAACGGAGCTGTTGAGGTCTCGCATCGTTACATTCGCGATGGAATTGTCAAGGCCTGTGGTAGTGACATCCGACAGTGGACAAGGGTTACGCCATATGTTTTCTGGGCCGACCGTATCACAGTCCGACGGGATATTGGTTACTCCCCTTACTATGCATCACACGGCGTTGAGCCACTTCTGCCTTTCGACATCACCCAAGTGTTAAGATCATGTACACCGTGGAACCGTGCCAAGGCCACAAGGTGTCTAAATGCGGAAGACGAGTGGGACAGTAGTGAAGTTATTAACAACACCGCCGTTACGCCGTTAGTCCCCGGAGAGCGAGAGTAGAGAGGGAGGAGCTAAGTAGCAGCCAGGTCGGAGCGGCGGTATCGCCGATGACGAGGAGCGAACCAGAGGACGTCTAAGTCCTAGGGTTATAGTAGAGAGTACTCCAAGGCGTTGAGCCTGAAGACTTAGAGAAGAGTTGAGTTGAGAAGGGAGATCTAAGTTGATAATTAAACTGAGGAACTACAGTAGCGTACAAGCAGTATTTATATCTACGGAGCGGCGCAGCGGGGCGGAGCGCCAGACTAACTACTAGGAGTTATACGTGTAGTCCTGCAGGGTAAAGTAAAAGACAATAAAGAGGGACTAGAGTGAAAGGGTATGTGTAGCGAGAAAGAACAATAAGGAAGAGATTACAATAAAGGTGGATCTTCGGAATACCGAGCGGCGGAATGGAGGCCCGAGGCATGGGCTTGACACCAAGCCACATTCCTTTTACCCGAAATCACCTCGAAGCTCTCAGATGCAGACCTTATTGGACTCAGAGCCCAGCAACTCGAACGGCGAGAAGTGGATTTAGCTCAAATCCATGACAAGGTGGTACAGAGTCGTTTTAAATCAGTCGAAGCCTTCCGCCGTTACCACAAGAATGTTATCAGGGACTACAAATTCAAGGCAGGCGACCTCGTCTTAATTCTCAATAAACGTATCGAAACTGGCATCTCCAAGAAGGCACTCCCTCGTTATTTCGGCCCCATGGTCATCGTCAAACATACTTGTGGAGGAAACTATCGCTTAGCAGAACTTACGGGCGCCATCTCTCGTCTTCGATATGCAGCATTTCGCATTATTCCCTACCATTCGAGGTCAACGAAACGAATTAAGATTACGGAGTTTTTGGACAAAGAGGCATTGGATAGTATGGACAGCGAGGCAGTCGATGATTAGGTTTTCGTTCGACGCCGGTTCGAGCGAGGGCGCTCGAAATTCAAGTGAGGGGGAGATGTAGAGGGAGCAGACGGACTAGACGTTGAGCCCGCCATCATACGCAACGTCGCTATTCAGGTTACGACTGATACTTTCCTTTGTTTCCTTCGATCACTTTCACTTCTTATTGTTCTCTAAATTACTTACATGCTACTTACTTACAATTTGAGGTTTCACATACACGTCGCAGCCTCACGCACGATGATACGTATCAATAGTTCCTATATATTTGCTACAGATGTACGGGACAGGCCCCCAGTTTACAACTTACCGAGCAATACTACTCTTTTGGACATACAACGGACACTCACACTACACATGGATGTGATAACTTAATTCTTCAAGTGAAAAACTGTGCAGCACCGGGAACGTGAACAGATTGTCATTGAACAATTTTGCGAGGGTGTTTGCACGTGGTGTTCTGTCAGCGTGCCATTGTCTAACATCTTTATAGGGTGTGTTGAGGGACAAGGTGAAAGAATGCAGATTTGACAGACTGGGTAGAATTTGACAGAACATCTTGGAAATTGTATATTCTTTTGCTAAAAGAAGTCGTCAGACATGGTTGACAGGAAGTCAAAATACATATGCTAACAAGCTTGCCTCATTTTTGTATGAAAGAGAAAGGAAGGAATTAAATGGGCACTCCAACCAACTGTTAAGATCATGTACACCGTGTAACCGTGCCAGAGGCCACAAGGTGTCTAAGAGCGGGAGGTCGAGTGGGACAGTAGTGAAGTTATTAACAACACCGCTGTTACGCCGTTAGTCCCCGGAGATCAAGAGTATAGAAGGGAAGAGCTAAGTAGCAGCCAAGTCGGAGCAGCAGTGACGCCGGTGACGAGGAGCGAACCAAAGCACGTCTAAGTCCTAAGGTAGAGTAGAATGTACTTCAAGGCGTTGAGCCTGAAGACTTAGAGAAGAGCTAAGTTGGAAGGGAGATCTAAGTTGATAATTACAGTGTATTCAAAAAACCTTGTCAGTAGTGTAAAAATGAAATAAAATAAAATAAAATCGAAAAGGTACCCGAGCTTTAGCCGAGCGCCTGCTGTTAAGCTGTGAGGCTGTGAGATTCTTTTTCAACTCTCAACTGCTTCGTTCGTCGTCCTAAGTACAAGTGTCGGCAGCTGGCGTTCTGCCGCTGTCATGTATCCAAGGGTATCTAGAGGTAGTCCGCCCCCTCCGTATATCAATCCGCCTTTGTATGATCGAGGACCTTCTGCTAACGAGGTAGAACTGACTGATGCTGATGCCTCTGGAGAGTCCGACAATGAACTCAACTGGGAGGAAGAGTTCCGTCGACGTCGTGCTCCTTCGGTTGACTCATTACCTCCACCAGAAACACTTCTTTCCAGTAAGTTCTTTTCCTAGCATCTTTGACACGTATAACTGTATATCCAAAATCAGATGACTACGTCCGAACTTCGAATCATCTTCCCATGGTAAACCAAGCAGAAGCCCCCATTCCAAACCATTTGCATGAGGCTTCAGAACAACATCGACTGGGTGGAGAGATTCCGGCTGGATATTTCGGATTTTCAGATTATAATGACTGTGGAGATTCCGAAGTACATAATCTCATTGGTGAGTGTCTCAGTTCCACAAGGATACTCATTGTTATAATGTACATGTACTACCAGGAAGTCCGCAGTCAAGGTCCTCCGATCATCCTCGTTCCTATGCAAGAATCACTAATGTCAATGAGTGCTCATACGAGGCAGGTCACTGGCGTGATGAAGTTATTGCTTGGCAGACTCAAGGTTATCATTCCGAAAACTACGATGGTAAATTGGTATATTAGCGTATCTCCTCTTCTATCTCAATTCTCTTCGTTGCAGGTAATAGACAGTCCCGTGCTTTTGATCCATTATCTGGCCGTAAGTTCCACATACCCGTAACTTCAATTGCATCTATTTCTTTGCTAACCATTGCTCACCCTTGCTTCTAGGCCGCATGAACGTTGAAGTCACTGATCCTAGTAAGTTAGACATATGTTTTCCAAGCTATTGTTGATAATCATGGACCCATTTTCGCTTGCAGTGGACTCACACGCTCTGAATGTCAAAAGTAAGCCAAGCCAGTTTTTCTGTTCTTGACTCAGCTCTATTTATCATATTTTCTTCATAGGAATTGTGAATCATCGCGCTGAGAACTTGCACACCAGTACCATTAGCAGTAAGTTCATGCCCTTAATTTCACTCCATCTACTCAATGATTTCAGGGAATGGGATTGTTGATATTGATGGAGACGAGAGTGTTCTTCAACCACCGAAACCTAAACGAGGTCGCGGCCGGCCAAAGAAACCAATATCTATTCAGGAAGATGCAACAACTGTATGTGTTACCACTCCAACGTCTCCTGCTTCCGCACCCCCATGGCACTTCGAGTTGCTTCTGCATCTAACCAAACCTGATTCCGGGAAGCCAAGGAAGGGTGCCATAAAGACTCAGAAGGAACTGGAAAAGCGTGGACCTGTCAATGTGTCATCCACCGTTGACTTTGACAAATTTCTTTGAACCTGTGCAAGCATTGTGCCCACCTCATTCGCTGGTCTGTTTACTAATACATTTGAATGGCACTTTCTCAAACCCTCTACTGGGCCATGGCTCCCCATTACAACGGAAGCTGGTTTTCAGTCTATGCTGGGACAAGCGAAGCAGCAGACAGTGAAGAATTTGGTTCTGTACATAATTGTTCGTATGCGGAAGCCTGTTCAAGGACTGGTTGTTGACGAAATCGAAGATTCAGATGAAGATTCAGATGATCATATCGGTCCCATTCAGAAAAAGGTTTGTCGAACTTTGTGCAAGAGATTTTGTAATGCTTACCAGTCCGTAGGGTAAAATCGACGATGAACTTGATGTAATTGTTCAAAAGCTTCTCAATCATTACCCTCCTGGTCGTTGCAACCAACATCAAGATCTTTCGTGCTTTTACCACCGTCCTCTCAATCTTCATTTTGAACTCACTCGTGGCCGCTGTCTGGTATGGGCTTGTGATATAGTAAGCACATTGTCACAATTTACTTGAGCAAGGTCACTCATTGTGAGCCTAACCAGCGTGACAACAAGCCGGGGGTGGACTACAACCAGATTCCCTTGGCATCTCCGCTCTTTCATGCCAAACATGCCTTGAAAGCTCAACCGACAAAATCATCTGAGGTTCCTGCTGCGTCAACAGCTCTGATGGCTCCTTTGACTCCTATGCATCCTGGAGGCTTCCCGGTCATGCACAACGGTGGATATAGTCCATATGGTCAGTACCCGATGATGTCCCCAATGCAGCCTATGCAGCCAATGTACCCTTTTGGTGCTGGTGGCTATCCGTTAATGCACCCGAGTTGGCCGACTCCCATTCCAGCTGCTAGTGGATCAGGCAGATCGATTCGCTTCTCTCCTCCTCATTCCTCCCCACCACCTGGGGAAGGTTGCACTCTTCACCAGTTTTGCACAGAATACAGATTGAACGAAGAGATTGAAGCAGGGCTCGGCCGTTTGGGCTATGAACCTGGTGCATCATTATTGGGATTGTCCTCAGATGAATGGCGAGAAGCAGGGATCAAGCCTGTTCAACGTGATCTAATCCTCAAGGCACACAAAAAATACCAAAGTGGTCGAAAGGAATAAGTCTTCCATCCTCTTGCACTCATTTGCCTGTTATTACACAGTTTTAATCTATGATATCTCTGTTCCATATTTCTTGTACCTACCTATCTTCGAGTAATCATTTTATCTTTAGCATACTTGTGCCTGCACTGTGCTTTATACCATTGTCATTTATTTACAGCTATTTACATATTATATCCAGAATGCTGGAACCATCCTTTTGATTTTGTACCAGTTATTGCACCTGTAGCTTCATATAGTGCTACCTCGGGATCACCAGCATTGCGCATGAATGACCAGTTGCGCCGAATCCATGCTTTCACTAAAAAGATTTTATCCGAATATATGAACATCTCTAGTTGACAAGAACGTACTCACAACAACTGAAACTCTCCTCAATTGGGTTGAAGTCTGGTGAATAAGGTGGCAAAAAAATGAGCTTACACCCAAAAGCCTCGATTATGTCTTTGATTGCCCGTGTCTTGTGAATAGCACAGTTATCAAGGATGAGTACACTGTTATCCAAAGGAAATGGATTCATCTTGGGTAGCTGGAGATCAAATAGAGAATAAGTTTGTGCATCCCAAGGATAGCTGACAGACATACTTACTACATCATCAATAATGAAGCTAAGGAACTCCTCTCCATCCACTGATCCTGGCACTACCCGATAACGAGCTTGCCTCGTTTTTGTGTGAAAGAGAAAGGAAGGAATCTAATGGGCACTCCAACCAACCAATCTAATACACAATATGCGAGTTCACTGCTATCAAATTTATTTAATAGCAAGGGGTAGCGTTGACAAAGGTTCCGCAAAGCTTTGAGGGCTAAGTACGAAGCTTCGATCAATCAATTTGAATCGTTCTAAGGATTCGATATATTCCTTTGATCAAGGTAGATTCAGCACGCTTGGTGCTTTGGTTTGTATTGATTTGGGTATATCAAGAATTGGGGGTTTGAATCAAAGTAAATTAAAACCGAAACACACAGACCCCTACAGAGGGCTAGAACTATGTGCTGGCACAACCACACAGCGTGATTTGCCCTTAAGACCAATGACTGATCCTAAGTTCGAAGAATACCCAACAACTGGATATACTTCTCGCAGTCACAAGGAGCAGAACACGACGTTCCTATACTCACAAGTGCCGGGCCCGAATGGCTGCTAGCGAAGAGGTTTCAGTCTGGCGGGAGTGTGTCTTTCCTTTTTACGGATTAGCACTGCAACGTCGTCCCAAAATCACTTGTATTCCAGATACATCGGATCGCTATTTATACATACAGAATATAGAGTCGCATAGTACAATTAATTTAATACAATAAACGTTCGGAACCGCAAGGAAACTTCTACACTCAGTCAGATACCATTTAATTTGAATCTACATGTCCTTATTTGGTCCATATTGGTTCCAAGATTCTAGTATACCTCCAAACATAGGTAGGTACTTCAATATTCATTTAATTTAATTGTTTTTGGAGGATGACTCGAATGGTGTTCAACTGTCATTGCTGTTCAACACTTACTTCGATCGTTTGTCACCTCGTCCGGAGGCAAATCAGCTCTCCTCGATTCTAATCCTATCAATCTGATTCATCTGGATTAAACTAACTGCTTCTCTCTTTCAATAGACACCCATTGTGACTATACTCAATCAAGGGAGTTACACATAGTATTCATTTAATTGCATTCTTCAATATTTTCTACATCAGGACTCTTTGACATTCATTTGATATGTCTTCGGAGCCTCGCAGTACTTCGATCGTTCTTCTAGTCATTTTCCTCAACCATGCAACTTGATTGGTCTATTAGACTAAATCGCAGTCCTTTAGATTAATGCATGATCTTGTTCTAGAAGGAGTATTTGATAATTCCTGAGTTCTAGAAAGTCATTTCGAGTCAATCCTCGGTTCATGGTCACTTGAGTAAGTTCTTCCAAACTCCTGCCAGTGTAAGGTCCAATAAGAATACCCTTGGTATGTCATACGTGAATGGTCATCCTTCGGATGTAGTCCGAGTCTGGTATAATCCTGCTTGACAAACAGGTAGACTGCTATCCGTAGGTAGTATCGGGGATGGGTAAACTAACCAACTTGTGGTAGTATGGGTATATGGTCCCTTCAACTTATTAGACTGATTCAGTGTCGACTTTGACTGTCAATCTGGGTCTCAATTACAGTCCTCTTGATACAAATCTATACGTGAAAATGTCACAATTCACAGCATAGACGTCTAGCCAAAATTTAGGCGTGTCACCGACAAGTCTCATATCCATTGATACTCATTGCTGCCACAATACTGTACTGATCACCACGTACAAACTGTGCTGGAATGGTAGCGCGAGACCCCGAGGGTGCACGTCCATAATGCCGGTAGATTGTACGGTCATCCTTGCTTGTTTTGTCAACCACAATGATCTGACTAGCAACATAGTGAGCATTGATCTCTGCTTTCCATTCTGCACGTCGTTTATCGTCTCGTTCAGCAGCAGCTCTCCTCAACCTCTTATAGGTGATACCTGTATCCTGGATAATCTTGTGGAGGGCAGTTTTTGTTATGCCAACATTGTGTGCTACTGCAAGCCAGTCTTGTATCTCATCCAGGTATAGTTCAGGAGCTTCTTCAGCCAAAGCAACTAGGTCATGGACCATAGCACTGTTAAATGTCGAAGGGCGGCCTTGAGTATAGTTGTTCGGAGCAACAACAGATCCATGTGTATCAATGTTTTCCATCCAGCGATAGATACTTCATTCTGTAACTCCCAATAGCTCTGCTACCTCCTCAATCCCATTGTCATGGTCAAGAAGCCAAGTGGCTCGCTCCTTCAGGTCACGGCTGATATGTCGGAAGACCATCGTCGAAAGGTGCAAGGATAGGAATCTTGACAGCGGGCGCTCGGCTAAAGCTCGGGTACCTTTTCGATTTTATTTTATTTTATTTCATTTTTTACGCTACTGACAAGGTTTTTTGAATACGCTGTAAACTGAGGAACTACAGTAGCGTACAGGCAGTATTTATATCTACGGAGTGGCGCATTGGTGTGGAGTGCTAGACTAACTACTAGGAGCTATACGTGTAGTACCTGCAGGGTAAAGTAAAAGACAATAAGGAGGGACTAGAACGAAAGGGTATGTGTAGCGAGAAAGAACAATAAGGAGAGATTACAATAAAGGTGGATCTTCGGAATACCGAGCAGCGGAATGGAGCCCCGAGGCATGGACTTGACACCAACCAATCTAATACATGATATGTGAGTTCACTGTTATCAAATTTATTTAATAGCAAGGGGTAGTGTTGTTGAAGGTTCCGCAAAGCTTTTGAGAGCTAAGGAAAAGCTTCAATCAATCAATTTGAATTGTTCTAAGGATTCGGTATATTCCTTTGATTAAGGTAGATTCAGGGGGGGTTAGTTCACTAAATTCCCCAATTCCCACAATTCCCACAAATTCCTCAAATTCCTCAAAACACTCTTTCATATCATGTCCTCTTCCAACTCACTTTCCGATCACAATTACTAGTACTCCATTTCAATTTTGATTTTGATTTCATGATGCTCTTTTTCTTTTTCTTTTCTCAGTCTTCTCAGTTCTAATTCTCTCAATACTCAGTACTCAGTGTTCAGTTTTTGATTAAAGATCCTCCATTACAATTCCTCCATTACAGTTCCTTCATTACAGTTCCTCAATTCTCAATCTTCGATCGATTCTTGATCCTCGATAATGATAATACTAATTATATCTCAAATATCTCCTTGATCCTTGATCCTCCGAGTCCCTTCTTTTTTATTGGGGTATTTTATGTGCCCAGGCAGGAATCAAAACTTGAAAGAAAGACGAAAGACGACAGACAAAAGACCTAGTTGACTTGTTAGTAGTACATGTTCATAGGAGAGTTAGTGCATAGTGAGTTAGGGGATATTGGGTGGGTGAGTGGAGTGTGGGGTCTCAATATCTCAATGCCGAGTGCTGATTCCTGAATGTTGAATGCTCAATGTTGATGATCCAAAGTGATCTACATATATATATAGAATTGAGAAGAATCGAGGGACTAACATACTCTAACATACCAACTTGGAAGAAATTACGGAAATATTCAACCATCCTCACTCAGTCCGATTACTACCGCTACCACTACCACTACCTACTACCTTGATTCCTATTTTCTTATGTTCTAGTAGAGCTCAAAAAAAACGATTAACTTGAATTGACTGGACAATGTTTGATCTTCTTTTCTTGATGTTAGTGGTGGTTCTATAACCGATGACTATCGAATATTGACATCTTGGGAAACTAGGTGTTGGTCTCGGCCAGTGTGAGCTTCTTCAATGAGTGCCTATGAGTGCGTAGCACGCGTAGCTGTGAGATTTGATTTCAAATCCTAAGTTAATGGTACTTCGGCCATGCAGACTTACGCGTCTCGGAATGAAATCGGATGTAAAAAAAATACTTTATAAACTATGCTGATGTACATACTACACACATTATTGCTGATCCTTATAACAACCAACAATCATTGATATCAACACCAACATCATACATAGTGATCACCATGAAATCCCAACGCATCGCTGTCGCCGGTGGCCAGGGTAAAATCGGGAAACACATCGTCGAAGGACTCCTCGAAGCCAAACAGCGATACTCCCTCGAACTCATCATCGTCCTCTCTCGTTCCGGGGCACCCGATATCACCTATGCAGGCAACAGTGCCCCCGTCATCGCTGTGGACTACACCGACCAAGCGTCTTTACAGAGTGTGTTGGACAAGTACAAAATCGACACCGTCATCTCCACTATCAGCGGCCACACCCCCGATGCATTTATCACATCCCAAGAAAACCTCCTCCAAGCCGCACTGAAAGTCCCCTCCTTCCATCGCTTCGCCCCCAGCGAATTCGCTATCCCCTCCGAACAAGTCGCCGACAAAATAAAACTCTACCAAATGAAACTCCCCATCCTCCAATCGCTCCGCAGAGCCAAACAACAACAACAACAACAGCGTCCTGGTGGTTCGTTCGAGTTCAGTATAATCAACTGCGGGATGTTCATGAACTATCTCGGGTACGGGAACACTAAACCCGACGGGCACAAAGCGCATGGGTACCTCGCGCGGTTTCCGATAATCTTTGATTTGTCGAGACGATATGCGGATATCCCGGGGGATGGGGAGAAAGAGATCATTTACACGCACGCGGATGATGTGGGGAGGTTCGTTGCTGCGGCGACGCAGTTGGATGTGTGGGAAGAGTATTTCGATATGGCGGGGGAGGTGGTGACGATTAATGAGGTTCTCCGGATGTGCGAGGACGTGTGTGGTGAGTAGCCACGACTATCTGCCAAACTATCTGCCAAAGTCATTCACTGAATCGTCTCTAGGCACCAAATTCGACGTCAAATACAATTCCCGAGAAGACATACTCGCGCGGATGAGTTCCGCCCCAGAGAAATTCATGGAGAACTTCTTCATGGAAGGGTATTTAGCGACTATCGATGGGGATTCTGATGCTATAAGGCCTAATAACCTGAACAAGTTGGTGGACGTGAAACCTATGGGGGTGCGTGAGTATCTGGAGAAGTGGTGGGGGAATTGATATAATACTATGAGTAGGGTGGGATTTGAAGGGGACGTACTGTACATATTTGTTTGTTTGTTTCGTTTGTTTCGTTTCGTTTGTAGGGTATGATAAGGGCAAGGCAAGGTCATTCGCTGGCCCCGTCCCCATCCAAAGCTAGAGCTCTAAGATACAGAATATCTCAACTGATGCGACGCTCGATTTGCGACACATGACAGACCACATATCACAAGGAAGTCAGTGCGGAATAAGTCGACGCCGCTGCCTCCTCCTCCAACTCAGTAGCCAACTGAAAATTGCCGCTCTCTCTCGAGCGCAGGTAATGCAGGCGCCAATATTTCCACTAACACTCACAGCTACAACCGTCTCGTCTGGAAGCGGAGGAAGTGATGGCAGTGGTGCCTGAGGCGCTAATGCTGGCCAATGGTTCCGGTGTCGGTACAAGTGCAAGTGCCAGCACGGCGGGAGGGATAATGAATACCCAAGGGCATTGGAACACACCATCGATTTGATTATAGCGAACAGGTTGATAACAATGTTTTAGTGTGCTGTGGTTCTGACTTTGTCTTGTCTCTCTCTGTGCACGTATGAGATTCGAATTCCAAATTACATCCAATTTTGCGAACGTTGACGCTAGGGAGTCTTCCGAGCCAGTCGAGGCCAGTCGTCGTTCATAATATTTAAGGCATTTATTTGGTTGTATTTGGCACTGTCTGTCTGATTAGCTAGTAAAGACAATTAAGCGCCCTACACTTGATTGCTCATTTTTGTTCATTGTCTCTCACTGCACGATTTGTGGGCGGAATTGATCTGTCAACTAGCTCTCTTACTAAGTTTACCAGCGGTGGCCAACAATCCCCATGAATTCGGCGAAATAGAGCAACATATTTTTCCTCGTCTTGACTATGCTCGGCATGAATTTGACGCGTCCCGGAATGAAATCGGATGCAAAAATAGTGCTTACAATTGATGATTTCTCATTCTCAATATACCGCAGCGTTAAACACTTAAAAGGGCTTAAGAGCTAATCCTAAACATAGTACACCCGTACAACACAAACAACCAACGACCATGAAATCTCAACGCATCGCTGTCGCAGGTGGGCAAGGTAAAATCGGAAAACACATCGTTGAAGGACTTCTCGAAATCAAACAGCTGTACTCTCTCGAAATCATCGTCCTCTCTCGTTCCGAGTCACCCGACGTCACTTATGCAGGCAGTAGTGCGCCTGTCGTCGTTGTTGATTACAATGACCAGGCTTCTTTACAGAAAGCGTTGAATCAGTACAAGATCGATACCATCATTTCTACGACAAGCGGCTTTTCTCCTGACCCGTTCATCTCGTCGCAGATAAACCTCCTTCAGGCTGCATTGACAGTGCCCACATTCCGTCGATTCGCCCCGAGCGAATTCACCGCCGCTCCATCAGAGCAAGTGGCAGATAAAGTAAAGCTGTTCCAAATGAAACTCCCCATCATCCACTCCCTCCGCAAAGCCAAACAAGAGCGTCCTGATTCTTTCGAGTTCAGCATTATTAGCTGCGGCATGTTCATGAACTATCTCGGGTACGGGAATACCAAACCGGAAGGACACAAAGCGTTTGGGCATCTTGGGGCTTTCCCGTATATCTATGATCTGTCGAAGCACACCGCAGATATACCTGGCGATGGAGAGAAGCAGATAAGGTACACGAGCGCGGATGATGTGGGCAAGTTCGTAGCGGCGGCGACGCAGCTTGATGTTTGGGAGGAGCACTTTGAAATGGCTGGGCAAGTGGCAACTATGAATGAGATTCTCCGAATGTGTGAGGATGTGCGCGGTAAGTATCCACGACTATCTGTCAGTTATGATATTACTCATTAACTTATTCATCTCTAGGCACCAAATTCGACGTCAAATACAACTCTAGGGAAGACGTAGTGGCGAGGATGAGTTCCGCTCCTGAGAAAGCGATAGAAAACTTTTTCATGGAAAATTATTTAGCCATTATCGACGGGGATGCGGATCTTAAAAGGCCTCTGAACTTGAACGAGTTGGTAGACGTGAAGCCTATGGGGGTCCAAGAGTATCTCTTGAAATGGTGGGGAAATTGATAGGCACATATTTCGTTTGTACTTGGTGTTGTTCATAGCCCGTGGGAACAATGGCATCTGCAGTACCACTACCTGAGTACTCCGAGAGAATAAGATAAGATGTGACGATGAGAAACAGGCAGTAAGAATCGAAAAAAAACGCAACTAGCCTCGCAAGTGTGTAGAGAACCAAGCGGTCCAAGCCTGGGCATACCGGATAGATTCCGGAACGGTGTTCCGAGAGGGCAGGCAAAGTGCTAATCTACATCTCTTTCTCGTTCCTCTGCGTTTTTCATTCTGACTATTTATCAAAATGAACTTTGCCTACGCGAATCATGCCCCCTCGTCGTTCGCTGGACCTTCCTCATCCAAACTTCAAGGACCTTTCGATGACGGGAAAAAGGAAAAGAGACGAAAGGATCTTTCTGGCAAGGTTGTGAAAGAGATAAGTGAGCGGAGAGAAGAGTGAGCACCTTTGTATGTTGTTTTTATAGTTTTTTATAACAATCCCTATAGCGGCAGACACTACACGGAAAACATCAACGTCTTAGTCTCCACTACTGCCTCTCTCTCAACCAACCCTTCGCTCGTACCCTCATATAACCTTCGTCTCCTTCCATTCACCATATCCCGCTCCGCTCTGTTATACCAAGATGAGCTCTCCGAATCCTACTCTCTCTCACGTGCACAAACAGCATTCCTCGAAGAACAGCGCAAAGTCGAAGATGAATGGAAAAAAGGTCGAGATCGCGTCCGAGAACGACTTTTAGAAGGAATCGAAGAAAGGAGAAAAAGAGCTAGAGAAGATAAGGAGGGTGAAGGAATATCAGCTGATGCGACGCTCGATTCGCAGAATAGACCACATATTACAAGAAAGTTGCGGAATAAGATGGGCACGCCGCCTCCGATGACGCCACTTGGCAGTCAATTAGGAAGCGCGGCTGTCTCTAGCGCAGGTAACCCAGGAGCTATAAGCAGTTTCCCGATTACTTCTGGACCATTTCTTAATCCTCACTCGTTATCCGTGGACGAAATACCTTCTCCCTTCCCACTGGCCCTCACAGCTACAGCAATCTCGTCTGGAAGCGGAGGGAATGGTGGCAGCGGTGCTTTGGGTGCTAATCCTGGTGGAGGAAGTGCTAGTGGTCCTGGTGTCGGTGGGAGTGCTAGCACGGCAGGAGGTAGAAGAAGACCTAAGGGCAGTGGAACGCATCAGAGTCAAGCGATTGGAGGGTTAGGGAAAAGTTTGGCAATGTTGAATGCTTTGAAGGATACGGAGATCGAAGCGGATTTGGGAGAGATTAGGAGAGGGAATAAGAGGAGGAGAGCAGCGGTTGCTGCAGGTGCCAAGTAGTAGTGAGTGTGTTCTTTCTGTTAATATATATCTACTTTGGGAACTCATCCAGCTTAGCAGCGACTTTCCACTTACTTCTTGTTACGATTATCATTCTCTACACTTATTAGTGACAACGGTCCTAAACTTTTTACTCTCGCTGAACTTCGACTTTCGTGGTTCTCGTTGCAACGACAACCGCTAACAAACTCCTTCTGTCTCAAAACCTAGGCTTTAAATTCTACCCATCCTATCCTATGCAGGACACACATTGTTATGTGGACGTGCCTCGAGAGACAATATTTGAAAGACTCGTGCGCAACAAACGTAACACTTGCTGCGCTTACCTGGCTTGTGCCCTCGAATACTCACAGCGCGTTATCCGGGCGGAATTTCATGCAAATACTGAATCACCCATTTCCTTCATGTCAAGCGCATCTCAACTCTTCACTCGTCATTACGCTTCCGTTTGAATACTTCGATCTACAACTTTAGACCCTGGTACGACTTTCGAGCTTTGACCTCCTTCGTCCTTCTCTTCCGAAACCCAATTCGGTATATTCCAATCTTGCCATTGAGCATCTTCGATACCTTCAGGAAACTTGGACTCTGTCAAATGAACACGGAGTGAGGACCGGAGACGAAATGAAACGAAACAGAAAACGCAGTCAAGTGATCTCGACACATACCTATAGGAATACACCTAATCTTGAAGAAGGTAACCCAGCGGAGCCATGTTGGATCGTAAGGAAAGTGCATGATCGCGTGAAGATGCTCTCCGCTGGTCACAGTAACGACCTTGGTAGAATCTTTATGTTGGCGAGATTGTTCGTACGATGGAATGCGGGTGCTTCCTTCGCTGTACGATGGAAGTCTCGAAGGAAGGCTACTGTAGATCTAAAAGTTGAGGGGAAAATTCGAATTCACTATCTTATCTGTACACATAACATTCAAATACTCACAATGATAGCCTTTAGGTCCTTGAACATTTCTCGTTGAGTTAGTGTGATATAACACTGAGCCAAGTTAAGCAAATATAAAGAAATCAGTGATATGTATGCCAATCGTTACCTTGTTGTACGGGAATAGTCCAGTCCGCCCCTTATTTTTGGAAACAGTGTTCTTTAGCATGAAAAGAAGAAAGCCCTGGGTAATTAAGTACACACTCTATCATTAAAATCTGGAAGCTCGTCTTCGAAATCACCTCTTTGCAAAATAGAGATGACTGGATTTAGAACATGTGGTTCTTGTGGTTCCCTTTGGGTAGCGAAGAGATTTTCAGCAGGGAGGTGCAGAGTATGACTGCTGTTAAGTTTTGATAATCCAATCTGTGTTTGAATTTGACGGTTAAGACGAAGACTTGATATTATGTATGTCCTATGTGAGCAGAAAAGTACACACATATCTCGAATAGCCAAAACCAATCAATACCTCCTTTTTAGGGTCATATACATCATCTTTCTTCGTGTTTCGAAACAGGTTGGCAATAGGAATTGCGTTGCAAAAGCTGACGAGCGTCGAAACCAACAGCATAAACAGGACGACATTCCGAAAATTCCTATTACTGTCGAATCGTTGATTGACGCAACGACCAGTAATTATTGCCATGATCAGCGCTGATAACTGTACGCGTATACAATAAAATGAGCGTCTGGAGGTGGGTCGGAAGAAATTTGAGCCAAAGACCGGCTTCAGCGAGCAGACAAGTTGTTGAAGGGAGCTGGAAAGTCGACTGCGGAGAAGGGTTCGGCGGGCTTTTTATATGCAGACGCATTCCGACGGAGAGCATAGGAGTTTTTAACGGATGCTTGTCATTAGCATTCATTTCAGCCTGCAGACTCCTGCAGGGCGATCCTGGGCGATCCTGGCTTGCGAAACTGCTAAAAGTTGAAACCTATAAAGTTATGGGCTGCCTTGTGGCCAAGTGAGCCAAAATTATTTCTGAAAGCTTGCAAAGCGCCTGAGCTATCAGGATTCGACCTGCGATAAGTGAAAAGACGGAGGAAGAGATTCGTCCCAATCTTATCTTATCTCCCATGATCGGTTGAGTGAACACCTCACGGTTCGCTACCGACGTCCATCCCTCATCCATCATCAGACCTAATTACCATGCTTCAGCCTCTGGAATCATTAATCCACATACGATCCTTCGATCTCCTACTGATCACTATGCTTCTCTTTGCCTTTCTCTCTGCGCCTTCTGTCGGTGTTCTCGTAAATGCCCAGAGCCAGTCGAACCTCAAGACCTTACGGCGAAATCAAGTATCGTTTACCCACCAGCATGAAATAATCCCACAGCCTAGTCATCTATTATCTAAAGAAGCACTTCACTACGCATCACGAGCCTCTATCGATAATCATTTCTTACCGACAACAACTCTTCAGTCAGACCCGGGCCTTGGCCTCAACTTAAAGACTCGACCGACAGCAGTCTACAGGCCCCGTTCCCTAGATGCGTTCCATGAAGCTAGACTTGCTAATAAAGCCCAACACACAGGAAGAGATAGAACTGGAATCAAGTCTGAAATTGGAGCCCGGGTTCGGAAGGATAACGCTGGTGGCTCAGACGGTTTAGATGAAGTTGACGTCAGCTGGGATATCATCCATCTTGACGGACCAGACGTTCGAGACATACATACATTAGCTCAGCTAGCTAGAATGAGCGGGAATGCATATGTCCTTGGGTCGAGTGGAAAGAACTGGTATGAGTTGGACGGGGCATGGAATATCGTATGCAATCCCTATCTCCTTCTCCTGATACATTGTACTAACATAACATATCATTCATATTTCATTGCCTACGAATAATCACTCAGAGCTTTCCTTTTGGCTATGAAGATGCCCAAGACGGTTTCCGGGGCCACGTATTCCTTTCTTCTGACAACTCTACCATCGTGCTCGCTATCAAAGGTACGACATTGCAGGGTCCGACGTCGAAGAAGGATAAGTTCAATGATAATCTGTGAGTATGTAGCGGCTATATATTGCGCCGATGCTCCCGCACACACCTTGAATTCCCGAGCATCGAGGCTTACTTGCTTTAATTACTTCGTCCCGCTGTCCGATGTGGCGGTGTTTGTTTTCTCAACATAGGCTCTTCTCGTGCTGCTGCGCTCGCGTAGATTTCTCCTGGATCTTCCATCAAGTGTGTGACTGCTATTCCGGGAGTTGGAAATGCGATAATACATGTCTGTCTAATGCCTTGGTGGAGGATAGTATGTTTTATACTATCGGAGTGGTAAGTCGACTATTCGTTTACAAGATACATCATACTAATTCTGTCATCTCAATTTCTATCCACTGTTCTGCTGCTACTTGTCTTTTTCCTTTCCTGAAAATTCCAAACTTCAGAACCTTGTTAACGACCTCCGCACCCTTTACCCCAGCGCCAATCTCTGGCTCGTAGGCCACTCACTTGGCGGTGCCCTTGCCTCGCTTCTCGGTTCGACGTTTGGTCTTCCGGCTGTAGCGTTCGAGAGTCCCGGTGAACGCCTCGCGGCGGAGAGATTGGGACTGCCTATGCCGCCTGCACCGATTGGACCAACTGAATCGCAAATGTCCTCCTCAGGGGAAAGCTCAATAATTCCCAGTCTGTCACCAGTAGTTCACGTTTATCATACTGCCGATCCTATACCCCAGGTAACAAGGTTTATTCTCATCTCCCCTAGTTCCCAGTTTTCTCTTTCTTCGTTTGTTTGAATACTAATAACTTGACACGCAGGGAACATGCACCGGCCCCTTCTCTCCCTGCTCCCAAGCAGGATACGCACTCGAAACGCACTGCCACCTCGGCAAAAGCATCGTGTTTGATACAGTGACGGAGTTTGGATGGAGAGTTGATATAAGGAGACATCCGATACGGGAGGTTGTCGGTGTTATGGAGACTTGGAACCAGGAGGAGGCGTCTGAGGAGGAAGACGAGGAGGAGTATTGGCGTAAGTCGAACGGTATAGAGGAAAGAAAGAGTAGGAGTAATAGTGGTAAAAGAAGAAGCAGGCAGGTCCCTGAAGCAAAGGAAGAAATTGATTGTGTGGATTGTTACAAGTGGGAGTTTGGTTCGGAGTTCAAGTATAAGGACTTCGAGGCTTCTGGGTGCGGATCATAGTAGATGGTGAGATGAGGTTTGCCTGTTGGTTTCGATGTAAAGTATGTATGCTGATGTATGTATGTATCATGATCTGGTAGAAGAATGTATATTAATGTAAGTCATGTTCGCCAAGCCAAGTGTGAGAATGAACCGTTGTGATTCAAAACAGTGAGCTCGGGCTCTAATGCTCCCCTCGATGAACCAGTATCTCCCAGGCCCTGGACAATCGTATACAAAGTGAACTACGCAAAGCACTTTATGCAACAGGTAATACTTACTTCAGTCAGAGCCTGATCCAACCTGCTACAACAAACATGCCCGAAAATTTTCAAGTTGCTGCTATTAAAGCTCCCAGCGTTCCTTGGTTTATGTACGTAGATCTAAATTTCTCTTCAATTTTCTTCTCCTTTATCATCTTCAAAGCCATTCGCCACCCAGTCCAGGATCATTGGTGTTAACTTCTGCCTCGCCCCTAACGGTCTATCCCCCACATAAAAGTCAAAAAATGGATCATTATGTACTCCTCCTTTGAGCTCAAAAAATTCTGCCTTTCCATGCCACGGCTGAATTTTCTCCTTGAAAAAAATGCGATCGGCATCTCTCAAGCATTCAAATTCGCCAGTGGACACAAGTACTCTTTCAACAACATCCGACAACCCTTTGTACCAATCAGAAGGTGCACGAATGGGATCCACAAATGGCACATCAAAGGAAGGATTTTGTAGCCCGGAGAGAACGTCAGCGCCCCAACGAACAAGAGAGTTCGTGCTGAGTACGTCGGTGTGATCATTTTCAACGAATGAAGGAAGGATTTCGTTGCTCTCTTGAGAACCTGCGCCTGTCATCGAAATCCAGGGCGACATCATATAGGCCCCTCGTAAACGGGTTCCGGGAGGAATAATTGGCGGAGAGAATAGCGGGTGAAGCATGGAAGAGAGTATCTGGGATACAAGGTTTCCGCCAGCTGAATCACCAACAAGTTGAAGGTTCGATGGCTTGACATTTTCAACGAAGGTCAAATGCTTGATTGCTTGATTTGCTTGCCAGAGGGGTGTCGGGAAGTGTGCCACAGGGATGACAGCTGAACAGAGAAAATAGCGGATGATGATTAATCTCTACTTAGGCGAATATGCGGTCATGCTTACAGTACGACATTATCGCGATGCCAACTTCCAATCCTCGTCTTTCAAGCTCTAGTTGAATAAACCTCCAAAAAGGAAGCATAAAATTCTGCAAGGGAGCTATATACGCTCCACCTGAACGTACATGTCAACAGATCAGACTAGACCAGGACTGAATGGGAAATCATTCATCATCCTCGATCCAACGCACCATGACAAAAGAGGATGACTTTTTCAGTTTTTTTCGGCCCAATCCACAACAGTTTTCCTTCGCCTTGTAGTTCGTCAATCGTGATAGGAAGTTTCTCTTTTCTGGCCCATTTAGAATAGATCCCTACTGAAGTACCCAAAAAGTACTGGAGCTCTACGTCGGGGAGGGTATCCGTTACAAATCGGAATAAAGTGTCACCAACGACGCGCTTGAAGCTTTTTGTCTTAGACCGAGCAACAAGAGGCGAGACAAGAATTTCGAACGGTAAAACAAAAACTATGAACATTCCGAGGCCAATTGTGAGAGGGCCACCATTTTACCTGGCGATGAATGACTTACGCAGGCGCATGAGCTTGATCTTCATCCAAAGATACCTCGGCCAGCCCATCGCTGCATATTTGGAGTTGTCTAGTTTGGGGGGTGCGCTGTATGAGAGAAGAGCCATTTAAAGATTAATTATTCGATTCGCGAGGCCAGTTCTGAGGATTTATACCTCGGGAATTGAATTTACACCCTCATGTAGTCAGGATATATTACTAGCTCTGGGAGAAGATCGGTGAAAACTGGGACTGTCGTTATCCGTAAGGATATAGTGCGGGAACACGATTTGAAATTGACGACCCACCTACCCACTGCACACACTACGTATGTGCCATAGATACATATAGAGCAATAGTATCGTACGGTTGTACACGGCTGATCAGCTTGACGGAAAGGAGCGGAAAGGTAGGTTAATAGGAAATCTTGAATGACCACATTCAACTTCAGGCAAATGGAGATTGAGTACTTACTGTATCATTTCGATCACGGCCTGCGAACTACTCACACTTTTTACTGTTCACAGGAGCCTGTAAACTGCTGACGGGCTCTTGGAACAGCCCGATCGCTTCCTTCCAAATTTCAGCGCCGTATTTCGTTTCTAAACCACCTTTTTTGCCTATAGCATGAAGTCACAGAGTATGTTTGAATGTGACATTCACATGACATTGTGTGACCATTAAGTGACTGCTCCCGAAATATTACCGCTGTTCGGTTTACGTTTAGCTCAATTCCAAGTCTGTTCTCATTTTCTTTCCTCACCATATGCTACTTATGTATGGAGGATGAAGGAGGTTCAATCGCACTCCGAAGATTGCAGTGTTGTCTGCTGCAGAGCTATGCCTGCCAATCATGATGCCAGTGCTTAGACCAGCTCATGAGGAAGCAAACATCCATAGATGTGGTCAATACTATCAGGCAATCACTTACAATTCACGTTTTCACCTTCTTGGATTATTATAAGATGGGAGAGTGACGAAGGAAAGAGAAAGCTAGTTGAAATGATATCAAAGGATCCCGTGTATGACAAAAGTAAAAGGTGAGCTCCCCGTTGGATTTGGTCATTATTTAACTCTGATTTAACTAGTTGACAACAAAGGTACGAACAGAGAAGTACACTCGGGCCTAAGTTTGACTAATTGAATTTGAATTCATGAAATAGAACAACATGCTCGGTTGGAGCAAGCAGGACGAGATCGCTACACTGTTATTGGACGATCCGATGCACATCGCTGGTATATCCTTTTTCTGGATATCATGGACGTTGACATAAGTAGTTTTCACCCGGTTCAGTATTCGAACCCTTCATCAACTTCGCAAGAACTCTATGGTAAATATGCTGGTGTTATCTTCCCGCGGAATTCTTGGTTGCTACCTGCAAATTGTTGGCTCATAGAAGATATGTTACAGCACGTATGTCCCAAGGAGATCTACGCTTACGAGCAGCAAGTGGTGGATTAGAACGGGATGACTGTAACCAATCTCGATTCGTCAAGAGGTACATAAGGAATTGGGCCCGCATTTGTTCTTTGTTCAGTTTCGTTCGCTAGGTCATCGGCTGACATTCTACTAATTTGCTAGCAAAACTCACAATTGTTGATTACAATTGCAGATAGCGAAACTCGAATGCGCTTTCTTGAGCACGCTAGTCCCGACTTCAGGCTTCGAAATCCGCTCAGGGGTCGCCTTCATCTCACCCCTCGGTTTTATCTTATATGTCCTCGTCATTATCTGGACGAGCCGACAAACGATCCTACACCCCATGCACACGCTTTTCCAGTGACAACATAGTGCACCCCATTGTGCACGCCAATGGTCCGTTGACATAGGTATACCGAAATGACTGACAAGCATCAGCAAATTAACGGTTCCAAGTCTAAAACCCTCATTTGAGCTCCGAGTGTAAATGGGGTTCGAGTCTGCGACTACATTCTTGGACATGACAGTGCAAATATACCATAGTCTTCAAGCAGACAAGCTTGCGTGATAAAATTTATACGCTTCGACGCTTCAACTTTAGGACCTACAGTATGTATGTCACGTCGGAAAAAAAATGCAGTCATAACATAACAGTCACAGCTTACATACATGGTTATCGCGGGAGAACAGACAGGCTGAGGCAAGGACGAGGCCACCTGGAAAGTTTTAGTGCAGTGGAGTCTAGACCCCACTCCCTCCGCAATCGTACGCCATACTTCACTGCGTCAACTGCGCGTCATAGTCTTATCATTTCATCGGATCTATTTCTGTGTATACTATATATACAGCAGACCTCTATCCTGTCCCATCTTATACTTACATTCACACAAATGTCGAACTTATTCAACAAGATGAAATCTAAAGCTACATCCGGCGGTGGAAAGGACGAAGAGGAACAAAGATTCTCTATTCAACCTCATCCTGCTGTGAGCCTTCCCGCCTTTTACATCGATTGGGATAACTAAAACCCAATCGTTACAGACAACAAACAACCCCGCTGACCTTCAGAATCCAACCCCTGGAACAGGCATGGGTCTAAACAATAACGAGCAGATGGCTCCTTTCCATGCTCGCGACCCGCACGTTCCGACAGATCCGCAGGTGATGGAATCGTTGGGAAAGCAGGAAGTTAAGGTGGGTCTGAATGAACGTCCATTGTTCGAAGTTCCATACTCAAATTAACTTCTGTCCTGACAGAGTCGCGATGAATTACGAGCCCGACAGGCCGAGTTGAACAGAAAGGATTGAACTAGGCCGTCAGAGGCCGTCTGGGTGTGCTCATCATGACCCAGTTCCCTTTTGATCCACAGACTGTCTTTATCATACATGGCCTGGGTTACCAATCGGTCGCTGTTCTCCCGTCTACATGTACATTCACAAAATACTTTGTACCATAATGTAGTTTAATCAAATTGTTGTATTTCCACCTCGCTCTTACAAGTATCGAGTTGAAATGAATCAGACCTGTTTATCGATACTTTTACGATGTAAGGAGGCCTATTCGAAAGCCATTACACGTTACAGTTCACGTTAATGGGTACATAAGGACAGGATAAAGGAATGTCAACGAGACCCGAGAAAATGTCCAACAATCGTATTGTCCATCCGAGTATTTCAAACTTCACAACCAATGACACTCTCTTTCCTCAGAAATAATACTGTGGTGCATAGAATCCAAGATCTGAGTCATCACTCCTCGGGTTCGTAGCAACGACATTCGGGAGGGAGTCTCCATCTGCCAGGTTATCCCTCGAATACGTGAAACTGTATCGTTCAGCACCATCCGGGTCCGAGGATTGCGGCACACCCAAAAAGCTAATGGACGGAAGAGGATCCCGACCGGTTTCTCCAAACGCAGTCGGCTGTATTTCGATCCTGAAGAATTGGCGGAGCTGGCTTTCGTCGTCGAGGACGCTGCAGTCTGAGCCGTAGAATTCCGTGGTGACATAGTCTATACATATATGGTGCGGAAGAAACAGAGTATCGATGAAACAATTAATCAATGATAATCTGGGGTCTACATCAATTCCTTACCGCCAAGCTGAGATCCAGTAACGCAAAGACCAGTGTTGACATCTTGAAGTTGGCCATAAAGGAAGGAGATGCCGGTATCACTATAAGATTGATCCCAACCCATGAAACTGGAATTGCAGGTGTTAAAAATGAACTAATGTGTCGGTTAATTGGGATATCTGGCGCTGAATGTACAGGTGCGACGAACCTCGGAGTTTGTAGGGCTGAATATCTTCAGAAGGTAAGCCTCCACACCATTAACAACATAATCCGGTGCATGAAGGGATGCACCAGTGCGGGTGATGCTAGGATTATCGAGCATATCGAGCTGCAAGGTCCCGTTGACTGCTGGTGTACATTGGAGGTTGCTGGCAGCGGGGGCAGCAAGAGCAGCAGAGGCAAACGCGAGAAGTGACCAAGACAGCATAACGGAGGGGGTTGAGTAGCTGGATATTTTTCCTTGAGGAAGATGCAGGGGGTGACACCCGTCAAAATCCGAAAGATATCAATGTCCGTTGGTGTCTGTTTGTTCACCATCTAAGCGCTGGAGTTGCCGCACCTGCCGATTGATGCCGTGCGTACCTTGAGCCTTCAAAGTTCAAAGTTTCAATGCGTTCAATGCAACCCTCAGAATCGTTGTATTTTAAAATTTATCTACGTTTAGTTATATGCTCTGTAGTGTCAGCATTAGAAAGCCCTCGCTTCCTTGATAATTCATCTATCTGTAGTTGGAGATCATCAGATATTGGTATGCCATCTGCATCCCGAAAATCCATTGTTGCATCTTCAGGAATCCGCCACGGTAGTACGATAAAGAAGCATCTCGGCCGTCTAGCGCATGGAAACCGAGAGCATTGACAATGGTATAAGAACGAGATAAGCACTCGATGAACCTCTGTAAATCGATAATAATTTCTAATTCAGCGGTAGGTGCGGCAACTCCAGCGCTTAGATGGTGAACAAACAGACACCAACGGACATTGATATCTTTCGGATTTTGACGGGTGTCACCCCCTGGGAAGATGGTTCCTTTTATACGATTACGTTTAGGGTTTTGAATATCCGTTGAAACGAAGTCTTAAATTGTAAGGCCTGATGGCTGAGACATTACCATATGAGCATATGTAGGTTCGGTATAAAGTGCCCGTTGAGGGAGAAGAAACATGATGATATGTGTTGGGGAAGGATCTAGGTGAAGTCGGGATGCGTTCAATGAATGTAATTGTTGAAGAGAGAGAAAGCTAAAGTTAGCGTCTGGAAGAAGAGTTAGAGGAGAAGGGGAAATAAGTAAGGCAACTCACCAGAACTGAGAGTACAACAGGTTACAGAGCATTTTGTCGACCATTGTCAACGCGATCGTGATGCGTCGGGAGCACTGCATTGAACGCTATAGAACACAGAACTCCACGTAACGCCTGATAGATAGCACAATTAATATCGATATCATGGTATTCAAGGTAGATCTATACGACGTACCTTGGCCTACCTTGGCATCATGAGACTGAGGTCACTTAAGCGGCGGCACACACACACCTCGTTACTCGTTCGCATAATATCCCCCAACGCTCAACGCATCCATAGTGAGTATTCTACGCTCAGTGCAGACCAGATACATAGCAGCCCCAGTCACTTGCGAATCAAGCAAAGACAAAAGCCTGATATATAGTATGACGATTTGTTCAATTCCATGCTCGAATAGGTTGGATATTCCATCAGCGCAGACGAGCGGAACATTGATTCCAGCAGTGTGTCTTGTTCGAGCTTGGATGATTCCACGAGAGGGCAGAACAAATAAAGCTGTTCATAGCTTCGAAATGAAGCTCAAGTTGAAGGTGCCCCTGGGCGGTAGGTTTACTAATGAAGGAATATTAAGCAGGCGAACTCAATTTCTAGGCTAGGCTTCTGGAATTGCCCTTTGCGGATGAGAATTTTGGTATTCCGAGCTGGTAATTTCGATACTGGGATAGGTGTCTTTGCGTGTAGAATTCGCTTCGTTTCAAGGAAGAAAGAGGAAGAAAGTGAGAGCTGAGATCGCGTCTGGCTGAAAGTTGATACATTGAATCGGGAAAGAGAGCTCTAGGTAAAAAATGCACAATGGGTTCAATCGTCGACCGTGAAAAGTATGAAATCGTACCGCGATACAACCACGTTGATCCTCGTTGATACACCGGTATTCCGGTCCGAATGCAACCTCTTCAATGTCCACTCCCGTTGTAACTGTATACTACGGTTCCCTCATCAATCCCACTACACTTACGACCTACGAAGCAACAGCGAGCTGTTTACTTGCTGTTAATGCTCAAGGAAACATCGATTGGATTGTTCACGATGTCAAAGACTCTTCCATCCAGGAAACATTGCTTCAGAAAGGTTTGTTGAATACAGATGTTGAAATCGTCGCGCTACAAGAAGGTCAATTTATTATGCCCGGATTCGTGGACACGCACACAGTATGTGATATTTACTTTAGTGGTTCGTTGAACAAAACTGACCCGCGCATCAGCATGCTCCTCAAGTACCCAATCTTGGAACGTGAGTCAACTCCTTGATTGTTTACAACCAAGTAATCGAAGATTGTCACCTCACAGAGGATATCAATCCGAGCTTCTGGACTGGTTAGAGAAGTTCACTTTTCCACTGGAATCTAAGTTCCAAGATGTTGGGTTTGCGAAAGAAGTCTATCCTTCCATCGTCAAAAAATTCATTGCTACAGGAGTGGGTGGCATTCGATATGCCTCTCTCTGTACGACGCGATTGACGACCTATCAAAGACCACAACGTGTTGCTACTACGGCACACTTCATCTTGAATCTAACAAAGTGCTGGCTGACATCGTTCATTCATTAGGTGAGTGATATTCTGTCTTCCGGACAACTTGGCTGATCCAACTCAACTTCCTCCAGGACAACGGGCTTTAATCGGCGTACGCTTTTGAAAAACTCTGAGCATTTCCCATTCTTAAATCACTCTGTACATCTTATCAGAAATGCAATATGGACCGCCACTGCCCCCCGTACTATATCGAATCATCACCTAGCAGTTCTATTTCCAACACTCAGGCCTTTATTTCATACGTTCGCTCTCTTCCCCCGGGTCCTTCAAATGAGCCCCTCATCTATCCGGTCCTCACCCCTCGCTTCGCCATATCCTGCTCCAACGAACTGTTATCCTCTCTCAAATCCATTGTTCATTCCGATACCCAGCTTCATATCCAAACACACATTGCAGAAAACCTCAAAGAGGTCGAGTTCACGAAAGAATTATATCCGGATGTCGAACACTACGCCGGAGTGTATGATTCGTACGGATTGTTGAGGACTAATACGATTTTGGCACATGCGGTGTGGTTGGAGGAGAAGGAAATTGACCTAGTGAAGGAAAGGAAGGCGGGGATTAGTCACTGTCCGACGAGTAATTTCAACCTGAGGAGTGGTGTGGCTCCGATTGGGAAATACCTAGATCGAGGTTTGAAGGTGAACTTCATTCCTTGATCTTTGCTCATACCATGTTTTGACTCTTTACACGCAGGTTGGGCTAGGGACAGACGCTTCTGGAGGCTTCTCACCTTCGATGCTTGTCGCCATGCGGAATGCCAGCATAGCATCCACTGTTGTCGCTTTGCAGAACAATCCCACCAACACTCCCGCCGATGAAGGCAAATTCATCAATCGCCAGCTTCCTCTCGCGACGCTGCTTTACCTCGCGACGAAGGGCGGAGCGGAAGTCTGTGTGCTGGATAAGCAGATCGGGTCCTTGGAACCGGGAAAAAGTTTCGATGCGTTGATAGTGGATGTGCGCACTAGTGATTCTGCAACAGCAACCAAGAATCCCAACCCAGCATTATGGAATATCCCAGCTGCATCTCCTATCTCGAGTTTGTCACCCCAAGCCGTCTTGGAAGGGATGCTCGAGAGATTCATCTTTTGCGGCGACGATAGGAATATATCTGCGGTGTATGTCCAAGGAAAGTTAATCGGAGGAACTAAGGCTTATACCTGATGGTAAGATATATCTCAGTCATTTACTCGGGATCTTCAAATTGCTTCGCATAATGGGATACCACGGTATAGAATACTATAGTATGCTAGGAGGTATTAGTAGATTTACACTTTCTTGTAACCTTGTGCCGATTATAGCAGTTCGACGTCCCCTCGCACCAGAAGCTGTTCGATGAATGAGAAGGGCATTAAAGATATATGACCACGCTTCATCTCCAGAGTTAGATCCCTGATAAGAATTAGTACAGAGGTGAAGAGTAAACTTCTATAGGTAAACTCACTCATGGAAACGTATAGGAGGACAGTCTCGCAAAGCATGGACAAATACAGCCCGGCTATCGTCGGGTTTAGTGACTATGAAAGATAAGAGGACCAGGAGGAGAGGAATAAGGAAAAGGAAGAAAACAATCAGGCGGTGAGAATTAAAGAGGCGAAAATGACAAACTCATGGGAGGCATAAATATAGGTGTATCGTCTAGATGTGATTGGGTTTCTGGCAAACTCTGAAGAACAGAAGTATGGAAATGACGATCCGTAAGGTGGGCATGTCTGCTGGCATGAGCACGTTCTGCTGTTGTTATTCGGGTTTGAATGGTAGTATCAGTCATGATAAACCGTGCAAATTTCTCGATCTAACACAGCTAAATCAGTTAGTTGAATGTGTTTTTTTCTACGATAAGGTGATCGAACGAAGCTCACTTTGAACAATCGAGTACGAACATACGATCGAACGATGAACTTGACCCTCTCTACCTCCATCTGCACGAGCATAATGCGGATATGTTCTTCTTCCGAGGCAGACGGTTCCCCGCGCAGGAGTTGGACCGCATCAGACTTGAGAAAATATCGTGTTGGCGTAGTTAGTGTGGAATTAGGGTAAGGCCGGAGGAATATATACACACCTGTCTCCGTATATGATCCAACAAGGACGCAAGTAAGTCTTCCTGCGCAGGCAAAATATCTGGTGCATGTCTTTCGTTTATCCAATGTCTCGTAAGCTGTGAAATCGGACTCTCATCGTCCTGCCGCGTATCTAGGATCGGAGCAGTTGAAGCCGGGCGAGCACGAGCGGAAGCAGAAGCACTCGCAGACGCCATCGTAATATCTTGGTCTTCATCATCCGAATCCAACGCTAAGGAGCCGATCCTTGATTTCCTGCTTTTTCCAGATCGAACTAAAGCAGCGGTATTCGCTTCGAACACACCTGCTGCATACTGAGCTTCCCAGTCCATAGCTGAGGTAGATGAGCTCGACATAATTGATGTTTGAAAATTACGAAACAAAGGATAAGCAGGTAACGCGTGTGAGGCTGCCCTAAACACGAAACACTGAACAAATAAATCCAAACACTCTATGATCAAAGAATTGTCGATATCTAGCTCATTCCCAAGGTGACTTGAGATAGCTTGAGGTAGTCCTCCGACAAGGACAGTACCATTATTAGTACTCAATTTGAACGCGTTTACTGATGGTTTCGTTGGACCTTCTTCGTATTCTGTGAGTTTTTTGTTGTGGAGTTAAGCCTTGTATTTTACCAGACTCTACTTCCAGATCTGATACGATGCTATTTTGAGGCAGCGCTGCCACTCCGTATTGCTTGAAGGCTTGGGCGGCATCTGACAACGACTATTAATCAATACCCGCCGCTTGACGCCGTGTCCAAGGAGGTTCAAGGGTTCAATGAGCCTGATACTTACTTAATCCCTGCCCGGTTCCTCTCTTAGTGTGTTCGGGATTATATTTCAAGGCTCTGGCCGAGAGTTCCGCGTAAACTATGCCTACTTTTTTCCCCTAACTCCATTCAAGTTCTGTGCTGTTCTGTGCTAACATAGGCTAGCATGTGTGCGGGTAATGTGCTGTAATGTGGCAGCCAGCGGCATAAATTTAGCCCGCTGATCATCCTGCTCTCCGGGGCTCGATGTCATCAGGCTATAAGTGGTTAGCTTGTTGCCCGCCTACAATCGCCGTCAGAAGGTCAGAGACAGAGAGGCAATTCAGCTACACTATGCTGCAGTATACTGACACTGTCAACAGTATCATTTCTGGATATGTAAGTTGACTAATTCAAGAGGCATATCATCGCGAGTTTTTTACTATACAGTGTCGAACGTTGCTCGCATGCTGCACTAAATACGATTTTTGTGATCATACGGAATGTTCACGTTTGACCTGCGTCTTACCCAGGTCCAATTTCCTCCTGGCTCCGAACCAGAATGCAAGTGACAAATATGTACTTCAAAGAGGCTTCAGGCGGGACAGACTATGCAGAATAAGTAATTACATAAGGCCGCGGCCGCGCATGCAGTGCAAGTGTTGAAAGGGGCTGCAAGTCAATGAAGTCGTGTCAAGTGTCGAGCTTGTGTTTTCAAGGCTCACTTCATGACTCAAGGTCGGGGGATCTATTAATAAGGCCGAGGGAGTTGTAAGATTAGACCGCACAATACTGGTGTACTATGACAGACTATGACCAGAGTGTACATGCCATGATACTTACAGCTTCAGATTTTGGCTGCAGTGTTTTTTTACCCTGCAGTTAATTTCCGGAATGAGGGTAGTACAGTCCCTACTGTTATCACATAATCAAACCTCAGTATGCAAAGCGAGGAAGATTTAGATATACTAGTAAGACGAATGCATATATGGGAGGTCAGCTTCTCTGGAGGATCGGATAACATACCCAGTAATAATCGTTCCTTGAAGGTTGCAGAAAAAAATTTGCGAAACACTTTCTACGCGCTGGCACAGGCTCGCACACCGCAATGACACTGAGACATACCCTATACTTTACTCCGTTTATACATGAAGCTTGCCAAGTATGTACTGACTTCGAGTTGTATAGCCTATGGAGATGAGCACATGTGTATCACAGGTAAAGCCCCAACGAGCAGTGCATCAGAGTGCAATCCGCCGCATAGACATCGGTACCTATAGGCTTATGCATAGGTCAAACATCCTTGAGTGCGTTATTTTTGGAGTACATATTACCAGGTATTACCCAGGTATGCCTCGGGCAGGTGCTGACAATTTTTTTTACATCCGGATAACAAAGGATGAAACGAATTCACATACTTGGATGAAACACGAGGGAGAATGGTGAGGAGGATGAGGGAGAGGTGGAGGGAATCAGGGTGACGAGATGAGCATAGACTGTGGAAAATATTTGCGAGGAACAGAAATTGATTATCGTGGGTAGTGGACTGTAGATACTTATCTGTGCGCTTACTTACTCGTGTCAACACGTAGGTTCCTGTAGGTTCGTTCCCTCATTGCTTTTACCATAAAAGTATATGTCGAACGTTGGTTCATAGTAGGAGATGGTGTAACCGGGGCAAAGTCGGGTATGTGTTCTTGCTCGGGGCCTCCGACTTGAACAAGGATGCCGCGATTGGTAGAAGATAGATTGACAAATTCGAAGTCGGCGAGAAAGTGAATATCTCAGATTTGACCCGAGCTGGATAATTGTGCCGAGGGCCGGTTTTTATTCTTCCCCACATTGAGAAATTGAAGATGATATCATCAGGAACGACGATTGGGCAACACGAAAAGCTTCTACAGCGCGTTTGGCTCTCGATCTTGAACACACATTCAACAAAATACGAGGAATTGTGATAAGAGAGAGACTGAGGTGACATTTTTCTCGTGAAAATTGGCCAAGGCCCAAGGGGACTTTTCAGAGAATAAAAACCATCAGGTGGAGCTGATCAATGTTTTTGCGCCAATCAAAATAGCTTGTGCTCACGTCAAGGGTCGCGGCGAGTTGTTTAGTACTGGCATGGCCCGACGCCGAGACGAAGTTAGGAAGAGCATTATCGAATTAACAATATAGGAAGCTTGTGGAAGTGTTCCTACCAAGGAGGCCGATTTTCAAACCAGTTCTTCTTCGATGTGTGATTAAAATCCGGGAAAAAGCACATTGAGAATTACCAATGTGCTGATGTCAATTAGCAAGTGAGCCGTCGGCATCGGCATTGCGATCCGGTCCGATTGCGGAGAAGAGTTCTTCAGTAAGGGCTTTGATTTCCCGAATTTCTTGTCATTGACCCCATTATGCTATCCTCACACCCGCCTCGCCCAGTCGCTGTAGTAAACGACAGTGAGCCGAAACCTACAACTATGCCGCCGTCGCCAGCCTCTTCGTCGAACTCACTGCTTTATCCTGGTGAGCAGTGGCCTTCAGCAGCCCATACTCGCTCGAGCAGTTCCAAATCTGTTCCTCACTTGGTAAAATTTCCCATCTTGATAACTGGTTAACAATAATTTACGAAATCTCCAGAATTTGCCAGTATCTCCGCAGGATGAGCTGCTCTTACCACCGATGTCGCCAACACTACAAGACTCGACACCGGCCCCAACGTCTCGTTTCCGATTTCGCTCGCGGAAAAGTTCACAATTTGGCACTGCACCGGTCACGCCAGCAGAAGAAATATCACAATCGTCAAAACAACACCATACCGGTCCTCTCCATGACTTGAAGCGCTTTCTGCATCACCATATACCTCATTCTCCTCATCACAGCTCCCACAGCACCAACCGTGCTTCCGCTGCTGCCACTCCTCACCAACCGCCATCTCCAGATCCGTTCAAAGAGAAAGGCAAATTGTCGACTATGATGCGCCGTGACAAGCCCAACGGAAAGGACCGTATTCCTTCTCCCTCTGAATCTCATTCTCCGACTTCAGCCTCGGCCTCGGACTCCGAGTTCAATAAGCCTCGTTCTCCTGCCCATCCCGCTGGTTATAATGCAAGTCACCATCCTCAAATATCATCGCATGCAATACACTCTCTACAGGATGCTACTCATGCTCATATCCATAAGAAATACGGGAAATGGGGCAGGGTCCTTGGCTCCGGCGCAGGGGGCACTGTTCGTCTCATAAAGGCCTCACATAAAAACGGCGGTACCATCTTCGCTGTAAAGGAGTTTCGTCCCAAGCGGAATGGTGAAAGTGAGAAGGAATATCAGAAGAAAGTCACTGCAGAGTTTTGTGTCGGAAGCACACTCAAACATGCGAATATCATCGAGACTGTGGATATTATTAGTGAGAACGGGCACTATTACGAGGTAAGTCCAAGCTACAACCGTTTTCAGTCTCAAGTTGAACATGTCACAGATAATGGAATATGCTCCATATGATTTGTTCTCCGTCGTCATGTCGGGCAAGATGTGTCGGCCAGAGATTTATTGTGTCTTTCGTCAAATTTGCGAGGGTGTTGAATACTTGCACTCTCTAGGTCTTGCACATCGAGATCTTAAACTCGATAACTGTGTCATGACCACTGACAATGTTGTAAAGCTCATTGATTTCGGTACTGCTACTGTTTTTCACTATCCGGGGAAGACGACGCATACCAAGGCCAAGGGAGTCGTTGGTTCAGATCCTTATCTTGCTCCTGAAGTTCTTGCAGACGAAGAATACGATCCCAGAAAAACTGACGTATGGAGTGTCGCGGTCATCTTTCTCTGCATGGTGTTGCGGAGATTTCCTTGGAAATCCCCCGATGTGAAGAACGATGCGAGTTTCCGCGCATTTGTCAATGCCCACCCCGACCTCAGTGTGCCTAAAACCACCAAACCAAAAGCGTTGACGTCCACTTCGCAAGTGGAACTAGGGCTCGGGCAGACCATCAAGAAACCGCCAATACCTATTCGTCATTCAACTATGCCTTCAGAAATGAAAATCGCTGCTGCAAGCCCCAGGAAAGATCTATTGAATTCAATAGAAGTGGACCAAAATTTGGCATCACCCACCGCTTCATCTTATCGTGTCCCTTCCCCTTCGTCCAGCTCCTTTTCATCAGATTACGATGACGACGACGAATCAGAGCGTTCTGATTCTCAACTTTCTCATACGCCCTCTGTAGTGTCCAAGCAACGCAACTCTGAACGACAGTTTGCCCTTGCTACTTCACCTCGCATTTCACGCAGTACAGCAACCCTTCCTGCGTTTGTTCTCGGAGCAATACAGAATGATCTGTACAATGAACTGTCTATCGCTGGTGAAGTCGATATGGATCCATCCGTTCGCAGGTTCGGTCGGCCAGGAAATTCGACGGAAAGTTTGCCAGTCAGTGCTAGTCGGACATTTGGTATAACTAATGGTATATTCAACGGGGGAATCAACACCGCACCTGCTACTCCAGGCAGCACCGTCCCTCCTCCTGCTAGTCCCATCGGTCTTCTTTCTGCCCCATATATGAGTGAGGATGAACTACCTACGCCAAAAGTTGCGAATGGTATCATCCCGCTTCCTCCAGCTTCTGCTCTTAGCTCAAGAACAGTGCGAGCCAGGAGTGCAACACTCAATAGCATTGGAGGTCCTGAGCTGCTTGCAAGCATGATGGAGGATCATTCTGTCTCCAATGGCATACCCACAACCTCGCCCATGGCCTCTGCACCTATCAATTCTCCCACCTCCGATATGATTCCGAATATCACGATCTCTGAAAGGGAGCCTGAAACTCCCAAAGAACTTCCTGCGCCTGAGCAGACAACCAGAAGGCGTCAACGCAGCGATAGCGTGACCACTTTCCATGGTGGGGGCGCAGAGTCAATATTTCGCCTTCTACCGCGAGAGACGCGGCCTGCGTTAAGGAGGATGCTTCATGTAGAACCTGGTGCACGATGTACCTTGACCGATCTGCTTAAAGGTCGGGGGAAACACGGCAATCTTCTTTGCGGGTGTCAAGCAGGCTTTCCGCATCTGAACATTGACGGCAGTATTTCGACTTTGACTGGTACCACAATTGGAGGTGGCAAAGAACCTGGTCTCAATGGCAGTGTCAATGGAGACAGCGGCACCAATTCAAGCACATCCACGCTCAGCACGGTACACCAACCTTATTGCGTCGATCATGATTGCGAGCCAGAAGAAGAGGATAACGGTGATCCATGGTTGACGAGTATCATTCCATGTTCGACATTGGGCGTCAAGCCGGATCATGTTCACATTAAGGTGGCGATAGATGAGAAAGCAGGGAAAAGAAAACTTTTTTAATGGGGCAGTCACCGGTGACCCCAAACCGACATCTGGGTATCAGCCTGACCCCCCGTCTTTCTTATCCACCATAACATCCCACACCTATCTCACGACTGTTTCTTCATTTTCGTTCCAGAACCCTTTTTCATTCTATCCCTTTGTTCTTTGTTTAATATACGTCGTTTTTGCGGTGTTTAGGCCTACATACCTCCTATCGATCATCTCATTATCCACTGCTTCCTTTCTTCATTGCGGCACCATCTCACGGTCGTTGTTTGGCTTGCATTACACCGCAGTTCTGCTTCTTTCTGTTTCTTAATTCATCCTTTTGTCCAGTATTTTCTACATAATATCTATCATCATCCATCGCAGCAGCATATCTCGTTCCTTGCTATTATCTATGATGTCTAGACGTGTATGATATTCGCGCGCCCAGTGCATAATTCGTCGCTTATGCGTATATTTACTGAACTCGGCAGCACCTTTTTTCCCTTATTTTTTCCCTACGAATGATTATTCAGATTCTTCCTTCTCTGTCAAGTCCAGTCCTCTCATTTACCCTAGTCTGAACGATCACCCATTCTTTATGTGCATCTCACTCATTTCTTTCCCATTCCTCTTACTCGTTCTCTGCCACAGATACATTCTAGTCACGGCAATCGTGCATGTACACTTCATTCTACTTGATGGATCAATGCAGTTTCCTGATGCTCTCATATCTGGTCAAATCTGGCTTAATAAGGTTGTAACTTGTAATTTAGATAGACTCAGATCCACTCATACTAGTTTCGCAAGCAAGAATTTTCGAGAGGTAAGGGAAGTAAGGTTTGAAGGGGAGTAAAATTCGTGACTTCGTTGCGACTTTGCCCCATAACATGAGATCACTGATGGTAAGTTTCGCTTTGACCGCTATGAAGTACATCCCACCAAATCGAGTTCTCAATCTCATGGTACGGGTGTTCCGTGCCCGACTGACTCCATCTTTAATCTATTGGAATTTTTGCACTGTACTACCTTATACTACATTTCGAAGTGAAAAACCTGAAATAAGACGTCTTTTTGCGCCTAAATGCGCAGTGAGTATTCAACACGGATATGACAGCCGAGCTTAGAGCTTGACATATGGGTCTAACCGCCCTAAGGCCCTTAATGTGCCCAAGTGGTTGACCGTTCCTGAAAACGCAAAACGTTTCTTCTTCTCCAGTTCACTTAGCACATGGGTCCAAAGAACAACGAGGGCGCAGTACAAACAACATATTTAATTGAATTACCTACAATTCGTCTCGAACCTGCTCCTGTAAGGCAGCCTGTTTTTCGGACGACGAAGAATCTGATGACCTGTCCTGTCTTTTCTTATCTGAATCACCAGGCGTAGTCTGCTTGTTTCTTTCCTCTCCTTTGATATTGTATCCAGCAGCTCGTAAAACGTTCGTGATTTTATCCGCCACATCTTCACCGTCATCCCCATCGTCTGAGAGGTCATCCAGGAACTCGATCACCATCTCCCCGTCATCTGTGACTTGTTGGACAACCACCTGCCCATTAGAATTTTCTCCAAAAAAAGCCTCCAAGGTTTTGAGTAGAATGCTTTCAGTTGATACGCCACCGGAGCTTTTCTCGAATTTTTCGGCAGATTTGGGAGGTAACGCCTTTTTAATACGTGGAATTTTTTGTGGATAATCAGTCTCGGGAACGTCATGAAATTCCTCGGATTGTGTGTGGACAATCTCCCGGCAACGTATTTGAGCCTGTTCTACAAAATCGTGTTGGGATCTGAAACCAGGTTCACCACACAGACGAGGGGTGTTGATGACAAGAACGTAGGCGCAAGTTCTTGTTTCCTTGACTAATAATATCGTATCCGACATCGTCATTGAACAGTGGAACTGCGGGTCAGGGCATTAGACATATTACTATATAGAGAGGGACTGAGATTGATTACCTGAACTTCAACTTCACGACCTTTACCTGTCTTATCACAGATGGTGCCATCGCCCCAGCGTTGGACAAGATACCGTGAACCCGCACCGCGCGCAAGCTCTAAGTTCGCTTCTATTGCATTTTGCTCCGCTACTGTAAGATCAGCTCCTGGCTCCGGAGCGGGTGGTGCTTTGCCAAGTGTATACGATTCCCACTACACGACGACGAATATGTTGTGGATAGATTGTTATGATAGTTAATTACTGCTTACCGAATGGTCCTCCTCTGTGGCAAATGAGAGAATGAGTCAGCAGAATAATTTAGACCACTTCTTTGGCATCAAAGAAGGGGAGAGGGTGCAAGAACATGAAGATACTGAGAACAAAGAGGAATGCATGTATGTAAGGAATATGCAATGTAAAGATCACCTGGCATGTGTGAGTGCGCTTGGGGTAGTTCTCTGAATTGTCGGATCTGGTCATTATGACAGTATGAATAAGTAAACCACCCTTGTCGATGCTTTATTTACGGAATGAGACACGAACGAATTTGGTTGAACAGGAAATCAACGCACATAGAGACACGTTCCAGAAAGAGGTTGTAAGAGAGACCAACTGCGCGCTGGAGTGATTTCTTCATCTGAATCAACATCTGATGTAGATGAAGAAAATTCAAGAGGTCTGGGAACAAGACACAGATAAGAGTCCCGTGGACCCATCTTCATTTGTTCAAGAGAATAGGGGATATGACTTTCGGGCAACACCGGCTATAAGGAAACGAAATCGATGAGTATGTATGTTTAACGATACAGTCACGAACTGATGAAGAACCCGACTCTCCGAAACCTCCATCGTCTATTTCTTTGTGGCCCAGAGAGAGCGGCACTTCTTCGGTGGCATGCTCCCAAGGCTGGTTTAGAAACTCGAGTTCACCTCCGGGAATGCCCTGGCTGAGCCATTTCTGCGCAGTTTCGTTGAGAACCGGAAGGTTATTCAAAAATGTAACTTTGTATTTTGGAAAAGCATGAGGGTCCTCTGGAAGAGAGTGAAGTCGCGCAGCAACAAGGTTTAATGCAGAAGATATTAAGGCAAGGACAAGAAAATTTTTGGACATCAGTGGATGGATGCGCCACGTAAGTTATTGAAGTCTGAAGAAAAGTGGGCAGGCATTCAAACTCCGATTGGACCAAAGAGTGGGAATGTTCTTGAATTATATAAGCTGATCTGGATCTGGCATGAAATCGTGAAATTTGCGCAAGAAGATAGGCCTAGTGTTGCCTGTTCGGCGGGATAGAAATTTATTTCCTGAGCCGCAAATACAATAATCTGCCTGAAATCTGCCAAAAAAAAAATTCGAAAGCGACGTCGACAGTTGAAACGGAACCTGATGTTGGATTATTTCATGTGGTGACCTGTGCTACACATACCATGTCGCCGTGAGTGCAATTCCTACAAAAACGGTTTTCTAGTATAATTACGTGAGTAACACCCTGCAAAATCGAGGGACAAAAGTCTACGAACAGGAAGATTGCCTCTGAATGATAATAATAATACGTTCTTCCATCCAAATGCACGCGAGAGAACAATTCATTTATTCGAATTCTTCTATATTCGGCAGGGATTTGTTCATTAAAGCCGAACCACGCTGCTTTTCCCCCACTTTCTTTCTCTTCTCTTAACCATCTCCTCTTCGCTTCTCATTGCATCTCCCTCTGTGTCTTTCCTTTTCATACTGGGCTGATATGTCATCCCCCCCAGATCCATTGGAGAATGCAAATAGACCGGTTGACGATGACGATGAGTTAGATGACCCACAGGAAGGGGAACATGATGATGGTAAGTTCTCTTGTTAGTTCCCTTTACCTGCATCGAATCGATGGTTCTCGATGACGTGAAGGGCGGTCACTGACCTTGTTCGCTGTTTATATCAATTATCTGCAGGAAATAATGCTGCTGGAGGGAGCACGTCGGCGCCCACGAAGAGGGGTCGAGGAAGGCCAAAGGGCAGTAAGAACAAGAAAGGTGCTTCGTCAAGCACTACTGCGGGCCCGTCTACTTCAGATGCTACCCCGAAGAAGAGAGGTCGGCCGCCAAAGGTACGTTTCCATGTCAATCTCCTATCGCGTCAACCCGCGATTCGACGCGTTTTCTTTGCTCATTGTGCCTCTATGGCAGCCTAAGAACCCTGACGAGTCGGAGGGTGAGCGTGCGCCGAAGCGGAAGCGAGGAAGGCCCCCAAAGCCCAAACCTGAACCCGCAGAGGGCGCAGAGGGCGCAGAGGACGAGCCTGCTACGAAAAGAAAACGGGGGAGACCTCCTAAAAAATCTTCCACATAGTCTGGCGTTGGGCGTCAGGCCGTTTGTATTCTTGACGTGGATCTGGTACCGTCTCGATAATTTTTCTCTTGCTATAATTTTCTTGCTGTGCAAATTTCATGACCCCGTTGTATACCACAGTCTTTAAAAGGTATCATTCATACCAGAGCACCTTATGGACTTTCTCTCCCTATATCTATTCACCTGCTGTCACTTCTATTGCTATCTATCTCATTTCATTTCCTTTTCGTCGCTTTATACATATGGATTACTGTCATAGGATTGGATAATTATGAGTGTTGTACCACTTTGCACCACATTATCAAAATCAACCATCTACGGACAACCTTCTAGGTGTCCAGGAACTCACGAACCATTTTTAATCTTTATCGCACCGCTCTTAGACTTTGGTCCGTTATTTCTGGGAAACAAGGTTTGACATTCAATTTCGGGATAAGTCAACTACCTATACCGTGATTTCGTTGCATAGGACATCCACACTCCCGCCAAGCCGAGTAGCATCGCCGCCCCGACAAAACCCACACCTGTTAATATCGTTGACTGCCTGGCCACTGTCCTACGTACCGTATCGTAGCTAACGTCTGGGCGAAACGTAACCAAAGTGTATAAAGGAAGCCATCCCCTGGGCTCATTTTCTGCATATAACTCATCGGACAATAGAGGGATCAACGACGAAAGAGACCTGTATTGCGGCGAGCTTATTTTATAAAGCAGATTATCCAGAGCCTTGCGAGCCAAATAGATCGGTGTCGTCACTAGATGCCGCATCTCCACACTGAAACGCCGGACAAGAAAATCTACTGAGAAGCGGACGAAGAAAAAAATCGCAGATGGCTCACTAGTTATCCATAGCCAACTCGTTAATGGCAAGTAAATCCTTATGGCGTTCTTGGGAATATCGAGACAGAACACGTTTCATCTGCTCGTCCTCTTGGTCTATTGTGAGTTCTGAGGCCGTGGACATTGCAGACTCTTGATTGAATAAAATGTTTAAAATCCTGACATCTTCAAGACCACAATTAAGACCCTGTCCGTAAAATGGAACCATCGAATGGGCGGCATCTCCTAATAAAATCGCTCGGTCTTTGTAGTGATATGGATTGAGCTGAAATTTTTTAAGATCAAAATAAATTAGAAACAACAATAGGAAACAGGAGCAACCTTCGTGCATATCAAGGAACTTCGGGGATTGTGCGTAAAATCATTTATTAGGTTCTTCTCGCCGATTTCCTGCAGAGCATCCGGGAAGTTTAATCTGAACCAGTTCAAGAATATGTCTGGGGTATTCAGACGGTCGAGCTCCTCGCTCGGGGCAAACAGGGTACAAGTAAATGTGCAATCCTGGCATTATATATTCCATGAGAGTGTATATTGAAGACAAGAAGCAATAAATATGTCACCTTGTTTGGGAGCGCAATGAGCATGTAGGAGTGTCGAGGCCAAATATGAAGATGGTTCGGATCAAGTGCAAATTTCATACACCCTTCAGCGTCCTGACTTGCCGGCATTCTGAGTTCCATGTACTCATGCTTGATGTACTCTTGTTGGTAGTTCATTCTAACCAGAAAATTACGTCCAAACACGCAGACTACAATTACTCCAAGGCGGCACGAATATCTGATGCAACGAACCTAACGACCCTCATTAATTGTCTTCGAACGACTGAATAGCTCCCGTCTGCACCGACACAGAAATCGAAACTAGGGGTGGTGGTAAGAGCACTATTCATGTCTTCGATAGTGATATTCCTGCCATCGAAGTCAACGGCTAGAACCTTATGTTGAAAAAAAACCCGAATATTATCCGAGGCAGTGACTTCGTTCACAAAATATTCACTGAGTAATGCTCGGTCTATGGAATTGATACACTGAAACAAAAGAAGGTATCAGTCTCACGGTAAGGTAGAGAAAAAGAGTATTTTTAGGGAGTATACTCTACCTGTCCATCTCTATCATATAATTGACTGTTCCATTTACCGTCTAACTGATGAATCATGCGTCCTTTCATGGGGATAGCGGTCTGCATGAATCGCTGAGCCATTGAGCCATCTATTGCCTGTATGGCAGATATTCCGCGGTGAGATATAGCGAGATTAATCGAGCGCTGTTGACTGGCAGCTCTGGCCGAAGAAAGGCGAGGATCTAAGGCTGGAGATCAGACAGATCTCCCAATTAAGGATAAAAGTCAAAGCGCACCGGGACGTGCTTCATATAACGAAACTTGCCAGCCCCGCTTAGCCAGCATCAGCGCGGCCAGGCAGCCTACCGGCCCAGCTCCTACTACCACTGCTCGATGTCTTCTTGCTGGAATAGCTTGCGGAGTCATGGATGTATGTCTTGAAAATCAAACGAAAATGCAAGAAAGTCATGACAAAACATGACCCCTGTCCAAATTTGGAAAGTCATCATCTTCCCGATCGCGTCACTGCCGGTGAGCTCACCTTGGTGGATAAGATCCGCCCTATTAATCTGTTGCCTATAAGTATTGGCCGCTCTTTATCTTTTCTTCTTCAGACATGACTTCGACTCCAGAGCTACCATTGAGGAATGAGTTTTTCCTGCCAACCAACAGCGGGGTGGGCGCTCATCGATTGTTGAATGGTGAGCGCCTCATCTCTGATTCCATATCTAAAACACTGTATTCTCAATAGAAGTCGACAAACCATGCACTTACCTCTGTGGAAACTCTCTTGGGCTTATGTGCAAGAGGTCGAGAGAGTTGGTGGAAGAAGAGTTGAGTGTGTGGGCCACAAGGTGCGTTCTTTTATGTCACGCCTGCCGCTTAATTAATAGTAATGTTCTCCCCGTGTTCTCCAGAGGTGTAATTGGCCATTTTGATCATCCTCAGAAGAGAGACTGGGTGGGACTTGCGGACCATGCTAGGCCATATCTCGCGGAGATTGTTGGTCAGTTGATTTACTTCCCCTCGTCATGCTTGGCATCGTGAGTGTTGAACGCAAACATTCAGGAGCAAATGAGAAAGAAGTGGCTTGCATGAGCACGCTGACGACGAATCTTCACTTGATGATGAATTCGTTCTACAAGCCCACTTCAGAGCGGTACAAAATTCTATGTGAAGCAAAGGCATTTCCCTCGGATCAGGTACGTCGAATGAAATCTCGTAAAATTCACTATTCCAAAACAGTACTCGGATATAGTACGCGTTCGCCTCTCAAGCACAAACCCATGGGCTCGATCCTGCGAAGGCTGTTTTAGAGTTATCACCTAGACCAGGCGAATATTGCCTTCGCGAGGAGGATATCCTCAAGGTCATCCAACAAGATGGACCTTCCATCGCCGTTGTGATTCTAAGCGGTGTTCAATATTACACTGGCCAATGGTTTCCGATGCAGTCCATCACGCAGAAGGCTAAGGAACAGGTACGGCAACGTTTTACTTCTATAAGTTCAATCCTAACTTCTTCCAAACCGGTAGGGCTGTATTTGCGGCTGGGATCTCGCGCACGCAGTCGGAAACGTTCCCCTTTCACTGCATGATTGGGACGTGGACTTTGCCGTTTGGTGCACGTACAAATATCTCAATTCGGGTCCTGGAGGTATCGCCGGTCTTTACGTTCACGAAAAATGGAATGATTCTTTGAAGCCAAAGTACGTTCGGTTCCTCTTTCTTTATCGGTATTTTTTGCTCATCGATAACTCAAGATACTCCGGTTGGTGGGGACACGACCCTCTGACGCGATTTGCCATGCCATCTCAATTCTCTCCTGTCGAAGGTGCTGGAGGTTTTCAACAATCTAATCCGAGCATCCTTGCTATCGCTTCTTTGCTTGGCTCCCTTCAGACGTTCAAGAAGGCTGGCATGATGGCGCCACTGAGAAAGCAATCCATCTTATTGACAAACTATTTGGAAAAACTTCTGTTCCAATCCAAGTATTTCGTCCCTCTTGAGGAAGTGAGTACAAAATATAAAGAAGGAAAAGGACCACCTGGGTTTACCATCATCACCCCTCGAGATACGAAGGACCGCGGTGCCCAGCTATCATTGCTTTTCCTACCCTCGGGAACTGGTGTGATGCAGAAGATTTTTGAATCGCTTCAAAGCCACGGTGTTATTGGAGACGAGAGGCAACCTGACGTGATACGGCTTGCCCCGATACATCTGTACAACAACGAGGCTGATTGTGAAGCAGCAGCACAGTACTTGAATAGGGCATTCGATGAATTCGAGGCCTAAGCTTTCTAAACTTGTAATAAAGTGTTGTACGATCAACGTTCAACATTCAAGTGCATCATGTATAAGTGTATCATCAAATGCATCACGCAGTCCCTTTGATAAAATCTACCACTATGCGTAGATAAACTGGTGTACTTAGAACAGTGTCATGCTCTCCCTTCAATTCCTCTATGTTGCCTTGTACAGCTTTGCCTTTAATTTGGCCATATAGATTGTTCAAGTGAGTGAGCATTGCCTCGCTTTGGGCGACGTTCACCAAAGTATCTCCCTGCGAGTGAATAATAAGCCATCGTATGTCATTCTGTGTCCGCAACCTGAAGCTGGTGGTATCAAGGGTTGCATAAGAGGGTAAATCTCTGAATGCCTCTACAATGAACCACGAGCGATAATCTGGAAAATCTTTGAGCAGGCGCTCAATGTCAAAGATCCCTTCAGAAAATATGACTCCTTGTATTGCATCAAGGATCGAAGATGGCGGTGTGAGCGTCGGAGAAATAGAGGACGAGTCAAGTAAGATGGACGCCAGCATGTGGGCACCGCAACTGTGACTTATCAAGTAGATCCTAGAAGGATCAAAGACTCGGGGGAAATTAGGCCTCGTTTCTGTGATGAACATAAGCAGTTCAAGAATGTCTTCTGCGTGATTTGGATGATGAACATCATTGGATCTGGAAGAAAGGCGATAATTGGGGACAATAACCGGAAAAGTGGTCGCAGAAACCAAACTGCGGGCGAGAGCAGAGTGGTCAAGCTATTTGGGGCTTAGGATATATGTTTCTTACTCAATGCAGAATCATGAATACGTGCCTTATCCTCGCTACATATATGCCCGGAAATGAGGGCGAAGTCAGTTAATAAAGATGACAAAACTCACGAACGCCAAGCACCGCCGTGTACGAATAATATCAGAGGAAGCAACACAGCGTCAGATGAGTTCCAATAGTACAAATCGAATTCGCGAAGTGAATCGCGAACATGGTCCTGATGATAGGCAATATCTTTGAGCTCAATCAAGCACATTTGAGTGCCAAAGCTGTGCAACGATGAGTCGGATGGGCGGTAATGGGAAAAGTTATTATGTAAAAGCTATGTATGAGGTCACGGAGATCAATTCATTGCATGACGTCACTCCCACGCTCAATAATCTTCATAAGCGCAGCGCGAGGCGAAAACGTTGAAAAATCCCTTCCTTGCTACAAAGATGGCCTTCACTACTTCAGATATCTGCAAGGTTTGTGGAATTGTGGAATTAAAAGAATAACCATTGTCTCTTATACTTACCACTTATAGATCCTTATTGCAATTTTCATTCCGCCTCTAGGTGTATTTTTGGAGCGAGGGTGCAATGCTGATTTTGTATGTGCCTCGCTGCGTTGGCTTATTCATAAACTAATGATGCTTCTTCTACCAGCTAATCAACATTCTGCTTACTATCCTTGGTTATATACCAGGGATCATCCACGGTAAGCTCCCTCGTCGCTATATTTATACGGCCATTGACGCCGTTCTGCTAGCTTTGTACATCATTCTGAAGTATTGAGCCGACATTTCAGTAACGACTTGGCCATGATCACGGACAAATTTGAACTTCAGTTATTCCGAAACGACACCTTGTTCTACTTTTATGTATATTGATATTCCTTGTAATGAACACGTATGTTAATTCGATAGTAAATCAATCAGCATCGCGCAGAGTTGCCCTTGGCTTCTATTCGTTTTCTTCGTCTTCTTCATCTTCTTCCTCATCGTCCTCATCTACACTGTTATCACCCTCCTCTTCACCCTCTTCGTCTTCATCTTCGGTTCCCTCCCCTTCCTCCTCTTCTGATTCATCAGAGTCATCAGCCTGCTCGTTAAACTGTTGAATCATATGAGACCCGATTTCCCAGCACCTTTTTATGTTGTCAGTCCGAACACTAGGTGATAGGCCTAACCCTTGTGATGTCGCAGCTTGATGCCATTCCCTGATGTCGTCCTCCTCAATGATATCATCTTGGTATAACGCTGCCAAGATTTGGCCAAACAGTGGCAAGCGCTCGGACGATGCACAGTGGGTCTGACAAAGCGAAAGATGAGGTCGAATAAAATGCGAAGATGATCAGAATCTCACCTGGAGAGCAGTAATTGTTTCCACCATGTCCACCCCACCAATCTTGTTAATGAGAGGTCCCCAGCGAGAGACGACATTAGCTATTTCCTGACGTTGAGCGACCCCACCGCCGTCTATAATTTTGATTTTCTCCACGATGGCAGACACTACGGATTCCCGAACACGAGAAAGAGGAACGTTGCTAGCCATACGGAGTGTTTTGAGTTCAACAGCAGCATTATCGACAGAGTGCCCTTCTGTGAATGCACGCTCTAGCGACAGTCTGACCTCATTCCTAAATTCAGACTCGGCAATGGCATCCGTTGAAGAACCATTTGGATCCAGAGACAAGGACGTTGCAGACGAAGTAGGTAAATTATCAAGGTGTCTGTCGAAATCACTGTCCTCATCCGAAGATTCGCTCTCTTCGCCCGACGATTCAGAACCTGGGTCCGAGAAAGCCAAGTCCGAGGCGCTATCACCTGAGTGAAAGCAGTTAGAACTATCATGTGACATGTGTGTCACACGAACCTAACCGCATAAATCGTTGATTTTTCACATTCTCGACATCCTCGCTATCTTCGTCCTCATCAGGAGCATTCGGTGGCCACACTATTGCGTTTGATGCAGTTCCCAAGTCAACTGTGATTGAGTCCTGAGCTAGCAAATGAAAGGAATTTGAATGAGCGTGCTAGAACGGGAGAAACGGATAGGAAATAGATTACCACTTTCTACTTCTTCCTCCTCAGAATCAGCATATTCATCTGCGTCGCTCTCATCGCCAGTAGTCTTGGTTTCGCGCTTCTTTGATAGCCTCCCAAATGCCTTCAGATGGGCATTGGGTCCTATTATCACGCCGTCACCAACAAGTGACCCTCTGTCAATACGTGTGTTCTCCTTTATGTCCACGTTGGATCCAATTATACTTCGTTCAATCACACAACCAGGCCCAATTCTTGTCCCACTGAAAATGTACGAGTTGTCGATTATGGCACCTGCACCAATGAAGCAGTCACGTCCAACAACGGATGAGATTATCTGTGCATTATCAGAAACCCTTGTAGAAGATCCGATAAGGCACTTGTTCCCGACAGTACTTGTTCTATTTGGTGAATGCTGTAAGCAACAATTCTTCTGCAAACTTGAAGTTCGCAGCTTACCGAGCGAGAATCACAGTTCCGTCTTTGTCGATGTATTTATTACCTCGTATATGTTCATATAAATGCCCAGCTGGATGATTGTTATCGGGTACAAGAGGAAAAGTCCACCGTGACAAGATATCTTTGCTGTTAGACTAACTGAGTAACGATTGCCAAGAGAAAGAATTGCGCAAATGACCTGATCGATTCATAGCTTTTCGTATCCTGCACACGGGCAGCATACCCTTCTTTTGCGACATAGCAATAGATGTTTTTCATCAGTAAGTCCGAGGTAAGAACCCCGTGAACGAAATCTCGACGAATATCGAGGTAATCGAAATTGTCCTGGAACAAGGAAGGAACCTGTTACCGATTACATCAGATTCATGTAACGAAACATGGAACTAAGGAATGGCACAGAACCTCAACGGAGCATATATCGATCGAGCAATCAATAAAATCGTTGCGTATCTCGACATCCGGATGTGTTGCTAGAATTTCACGAGGGATACTGGCGATGGTGGATGGTGGGTAACCCATCATAGATTCAAAGTGGAGACATTCAGAAGTTTCAGAGTCCAAAACAAACACAGCAGAATCAGCTTTTGACCTAGAAAAAAAGTTAATCGCGTCTACCTCAGCAAACGACCATGTCAGTACCTCGTCCGGTGCTTGGCTCCACTTTCTTTGACGACCATGGTCATTATGGCATCCTTGTTCGTTTTCCGTCGCTCCTTGTGCACCTTCACAACCTCGTCTATCCGTATGTTGCTCACTAAATCACCCATAACCAAGACAAAATCACCCGTTACCAACCCGCGAGTGTATATGTCGCGCATGGCATCTCCTGGGGAGAACGTCTCTTTTGCAGTTAGAATAGGTACAATTTTGATACCTGAGCCTGGTTTTGACCATCGCGATTCACTATAGATGAACCGATTAAGAGAAACACGATCTCAACCGTAGAAGACGTACGCGATTTTGGCTTTGATTTGTTCAGGATGTGAGCGACAGATTACGAATATCTCTTGTACACCTGCAAGCGCAAGGCTTTCGAATGTCCAATCCAGTAAAGGCGCATTGCAGATCGGAAGAAGACACTGCAACGAATGACAAACTTTAGAATTTGCCACTGGTGGACGTCTGGATAGTGTATTACTCGAGGTTTCCGCGTCGTCAATGGTCTAAATCTCTTATTGAAGCTGTCAGCGAGAATTACAGCTTGCAAGACTTCAGCTTGATCATCGAGTAGTTTTTCGTTTCCAACAGTAGATTTGGGCGCCATCACAATAGTTGAAAAGAAAGCGCACACACTGTAACGGGCCGATCATTTCACTCTTCAAAAGTGACTCGAACTCATGTTCACATGTGATACTTAAGAGTAATTCTGCAAATCAATCGTAAAACAAATTGATTACAAAAGAAACCTAAGCGCATGGGGTAGGATCCGATAAAAGAAAGTAAGGGTATTCAAATCAGACCATGGAATATAGGGAGATGAAAATTAGGCGAAGAGGAGCAGGTCGTCGTCAGAAAGTCGTTAAGGCGAGGAATGAATACGACAACCAAATCCACGAGTAACGTACGAGTGAAAAGATAAGTAAAGACGCATGGGCTCAAATAGACCTAAGATAGTCCAAGAGATGTGATGCTGGTAGAAAGTGAAGCGAACGTAGAGATCAAGACAAGATATAGAAAGGCTACTCATAACGGTCATTCAGCAAGAGGAACATCAAAGAACATTTATGCAGCAGCAGCCACTACAGGTGCAGCCTCAGATGTTTCTGTGGGCTTATCAGCAACAGCTTCCTCGGTGGCCTCAGCGGTGGCAGCAGGCGCTTCGGTGGTGGGCTCCGAGGCAGGGTTTTCAAGAGGAGCGACGGGAGTAGGCTCTTCAATCTTAGGAGGGTGCTCATCAACTTTGGCAGGTGTTGAAACCTCCGATTTCGGCTTGGGCTTAAAGAAGTCGCCAACACGCGCAGAAAGACGGCGTCCAACCTTGGTAGGCTTTGCGACTTTCTCTTCCTTCTGTTTAAAACGTTAGCGAGATAAAAGCTGTGATTTGAAATGTAACAACCTTCTCTTCCTTCGGTTCCTCGACGGGGGCAGCCTCGGCAGCAGATTCAACGATAGCAGGAGTCTCACTAAATTCGGCAATTCAATACACAATGTAGTGTAATGCAGGTTACATGAACGCACCTGTCTTTGGTAGGCTCCTCGGTGACAACAGGAGCCTCTTCGGCTGCAACAACCTCAGCAGCAGGTGTCTCAGTGGCACCTTCGGTAGCAGTGGGCTCCTCAGTAGCGGGGGCAGCAGGCTAAACAAAGAATTCAGTTTTTTCAGGACTATTACGATGAAGCATTGCAGCATACCTCCGAGGTCTCCTTCTTCTCTTCCTTCTTTTCCTCCTTCTTCTTCTCTTTCTTAGGACTCTTGGCAGCCTTTACCTTCTTCTCAGCCTTATGTTTATCACTCTTGAAAGGAGCAAGCAGCTTGGCGAGAAGAGTGGGACTCTTCGGAGCATCCTCCTTCTTAGAGGACTCCTCAGCCTACAATAGAATATTTGAAAAGTGTCAATGAAAACAGGCGATGTCGACTAACAGGCTTGGCTTCATCCTTAGCAGCATCCTTGGTGGTCTCTTCAGCAGGAGCGGCCTCGCTGGCGGGTTCAGTGCTGGCAACGGGCTCTTCAGCAGCGGCAGCATGTGTCTCCTGCACAGAATAAGTCAGATAACAGGCCCTCAATATTCTAAACACACGCACCTCTGCCTTAGCTTCCACCTGAGGAGTTTAAACAAAGGTTATACGGAGTGAAGATAAAAAGAGAACAAAGATAAGGCGTACGGTGGTAGCTTCTTCAGCCTTAGGAGCGTCCTCAGCAGGTGCAGGTGTTGTTTCAACAGGGGCAGCGGGCTCGGTGGTTGACTCAATTGGTTTAACCTCCTCAACGGGAGCAACAGGGGCAGCGACAGTCTCCATGGCGGACATTATTGAAAATGTGCTGTAGCGAGCGAAAAAATGAGCGAAAAAGACAATGAGCAAGAAAAACGATAGCACGAACAAGAATGGGTATTAACTTGTAAGAGAGAGAGAGAGGGGAAGTGCGTCTGCGCAACCTACAACCCGCTGGGGGAATAAAAAGAGGAAAAGGTAAGGTGTGAGAGGAAACCATTTCCGTTCAACGCACCTTTTATCTGCTGACACGACACCACGTGGTTTGATTTCTATTCAATTTGAATTGAAGAGTTGTCCAGAACATTGAACTCCGTTCGCCAGAAATCAGAATTGTTTGTGTACCCGTAGTATACAGTACGTCTATATACGTGTAACGAAGGCCGTCTCGAGTTTTCTCGTTGGTTTTTTTACTATGTACCAGTGGGAGCAAGCATTCGCATATTTACAGCTCACTAGTCGACCGAGCCATCAAATTTACATTTTATTTATCTCGCCAATGTCCGAATAAGCCAATATTGATCCATTGATGCTCAGCTTTGTTCAGATAGGAACTGTAAGAAATGCCCCCATAAAAGCCATTCAAAAGCGGGCCTCCAAGGGACGATGATCTCTTTCTTTCACAATCCCTCAATGTTTAATACGATTATCATTCCTTGCCTGCTGTTCATCGCGTTTCTGCTGTTGCTATTCGTTATCCTTTCAGTTCCGATCATCGAAACTATCTACCTGTTCACCCTGACAGCGAACGTATCCTCTTTGCTGGAAAACGTTTCTAGCAGCGGCAAATTTGGTGTTTGGGTTACTGTCTCTCGGGCGTTGATGTTGAGTCCGTTCCTCCAAAATCTCATTGGGTATTTTTCGTTTCTTACTTCGCCTCTTAGATAACCAGTGGAATATTTTTGGCAGGGTGACCGCAGCAGAGTGTTCTAAGTCAAGCGCATCCGGGCTATACATTGATAGCACCGTCACTACGGCTCTGTAATATGTCACATCATCAACCGATCATTGTTCTGATTTACACAACCTTGATTCAAATGAACTTGTGAAAGCCATAAGCGAGACCACCATTGCTTGCTCTGGACCTCTGGTTCTCTTTCCGATCGGTCAGTCGCCTTGTTTTTACTTTCTTGCCATTCTTACAAGATCACATACTGCGATAGCCTGCAATAGCTTGCGCTATGAATCTTTTAAACTTTGCTCGTATCTGCTTATCTCTTTACATGCTCCGCCGAGGTTCCAACGGTACCGCTCGTTTACCATCGTTGATAATGCTCGACGTCGGAACATTGGCCACTCAACTCACCACTGCTATTATCGTCTTTCTCATCGACGTTATAGTCGTCGCTATTGTTCGCAATGGCAAGAACCGGTGTCACGCTGAATTGAGGTAACAGGAGTAACGCCGTATGTTCCCCTTTCTCAATGCTTACATTCGCCTTCAGCTACTCACCAGGTTTGGATGGTCCTAGGAGCGACTACCGCGCTTTGGTTAACCATGGTTGGCGCATTTGGAGCATGTTATCAGTAAGTCTCTTTGTACTCATTTAATTCTTGAATCTTTCTTCAGTTGTTCCAAGGATAGAACTTCAAGATACTTAACGCCTGGCAATTTTGTTCGAATATTTCGGACATCATATGTAAGTACGTGTACCAGAACGTTCTTACGCTGCTCGCATCTTTTTTCTGTATTATTTATACTGTTGAACACAAGTATTGACATTGCCTTCATCGACAACAAATATGTCACCTTGTATCATTCTTGCAAACATTACAAGTCAAACGTCAACCTACGTCAACGCGGTTCAAACCTGTGTCCTGGGGCAGAACTGGGGCATTATGAATTTGTCGATCAAGCGTTTAGACTCATGAGATTCAGATACATAGATACAAGATGTAAATACTAATAGCCCACTAAAGTATGTACCCCGGGTACATGGTGGTGGATCACACCTGGATCACACCCCACGGAAGCCCACGGAACGTGTTGAAGTAGGCTCGGACTTTTCAGTTCGACAAAGCGCTAAAAAAATTGCACGGCTTCTTCCTTCTTGATGTAAATATCGATATGGGTGTAACGACCTCAGTCCCTAAGTCCTGATCAGGCTGCAACCTTTACTGTCGTCCGCGGTGGAGGTTTCAATCCTTTAGCTTTCATGCGCCGACGTTTGGATTCTGGTAGGTCATGATTCAGGTGAAAACAGTCAATAAAACAGAATCACGAGTGCAGGGACGGCATACCCTCGATATATGGTCGATCTTCATCATCATCAAACGCAATCTTTTCTTTCTCTGGCGCAATTTGTTCGCCCTCTTCTTCGATACCAATTAATCCGACTTCAGCAGTGGAGTCTGAAGCTTTTGAAATTTTACCCCTCTTCTCGACTTTGAATTTAGCAACGTAAAAGCCGTCCATGTTGTGTACATGGGGATAGAAGCGTCTTGTAAGAGACAAACTTGAGTTGAAAATTTTGCCTCGGTACTTCGTGTACCCTTCTCGACCAAACTCTAGTCCAGTATCCACGAGTTTGACGTTGGGTCGTTTGCGAAGAGCATAGTCGACGACGGACTCGTTTTCATCTACTGTCACGGAACATGTCGAGTAGACGACATACCCACCTGTTTTCGAATCGGGAGAAACGCTGTCAATGGCACATAGGATAAGTTGTTTTTGGAGATGAGCAAGGAGCGTGAAATCACGCTCAGACTAACATGAAACGCTTGTCAGCATGTGGTTTCCCAATCAACAAGGAAAATATGTACAGACCTTGTTGACTTTGACACTTGAGTCTTTACTGATAACACCAGTACCACTACATGGGGCGTCGAGCAAAACCCTATCAAAGCCGCCGATGACCTTGGGAAATTCGCGTCCATCGTACGAGCATACCACGACGTTTTTGCATCCCAGGCGGTGAACGTTCGCACTTAAACTTTTCGTACGTGCCTTGTTTGCGTCGTTCGCGAAAACTATTCCCGTATTTTGCAACAGGGCAGCAATATGTGTAGTTTTACCTCCTGGCGCAGATGCCATGTCGAGTACACGTTCGTTCGGTTGTGGAGAAAGTGCGATTACAGGTAGAAATGAAGAGGCAGCTTGCAGCATATAATGGCCTGCCAGATACTCAGGCGTAGCACCTAACGAATGTTCAATGATGCATTTACAACTGAGCTCTGCACACTTACCAATTGGAACACTACTCTCAAATACTTGAAGACCAACATTGGTCCATTTTCCAATGGGTTCTAGATTTACCCCACGGTTTATAAGGGCTTGAGCAAGGTCCCGCCTTCTTGTGCGAAGAGTGTTGGTACGAATAGTGACTGGACGAGGAACTTCGTTTGCTTCGAAAAATTCAATAGCCTGCACGTGAGTTAGAACTTTGACCAATGTAAAGGCGCATTTATGTAGTTCAGACATACCTCAGCGACAGGGAAAAGTTGGAATAACTTTTCGGCAAGGAAGTCGTTGTAGCCATAATAGCTGGAGATATCCGAGAGAAGCTGGCTGATGTATTCCGACCGTGAACTTAGAGATCTGTTTTAGTTGAAGTTTAGAATATAATTTCTATCCACTCACCGACTCTTCTCAGCTAGTTTTTTGAATCTTCCCAGCACACGCACACATTCTCTCATCCGTCTCTGCACGACATGCACGTCAGGACCACCTGCCTTGCTCTCTGCTTCATTCTCCTCGCGGGTAGGTAAACGAAAGGGTTCCCCATCAGTCTCTTCCTCGTCTTCATCCATGTCAAGATCGTCGTCGTCATCTTCCTCGTTAAAGGCAGCTTGCTGCATCTCTTCGACATCGAGAGCATCTTCCGCCGCCGCTTGTTCATCTAGAGCTTTTGAACGAGCAGCCATATTGGCCATGGTGATCCGCTCCTCCTCATCAGATTGATCGGAAGAATCTGAATTATCTGAAGCGGTAGGTATTATTTTTGCGGGACGTTCACTCTGTTTGGACTTTTTAGATTTGCCAATGATGACTTCGGGTTCATCATCTTCTGCATCCGAACCAAAATCGAACGCTTGTGCGGGACCACGAAGTTCATCACTATGGAAGTTTAGTCTTATGATGAATGGACGCAGGAATTTGACACACTCGCTGAACTCATCCATACCCAGTTCATCCAACTCTTCATCATCATTGGTGCTAAATAATGACCTACAGGTCTATTAACACCCCCAAAGCTGATATTGCCTACTGAGGTACGTACTTCGCGTGAATTTTAAGTTCAACATTGTCGGCTACATCCTCCCAGCCATCTGCCGAGCCTTCAGCATCAGAATTAACCAGTACCTTCTTTTTCTTCTTGCCCTTCTGTTTGCTTTCAGACTGGTCTTTGGGCCTCTTTACGGGTCGGGAATTGGAGTTATCGTTTAGAGATTCGGCTTTCCGTTTGCCAAGTTTTTTAGAAGATATAGCGGATTGTTTGACGTCTAAAGGTTGCGGAGCTGGTTGCTTGTTTTTTGCGCGATGACCCATGTTCTTTGCGCTTGATGGGAAGTATAGAAGAGTGAAAAAATCAAGCGTGTGAACTTCGAAAACTCTTTCCGCTGACAAACAAATAAGCAATGTCGGTCCGACATTTCTACATAACTCGTAGCGGTAGTAGTTATTGGTAGGTGTAAATACATGTTCAACATATTTTGAATTGCTCAACTACCCTATCCTCAAGCCCAGTGCAAGCCCTGCCAGGAAAGATGCTCGCGGCGGAAAATCCGCGGTCAAAAAATCGACAAGCCAATTCCAGGCCGTCCAGATTGTTGGAGCTCTCTTGGTACCAGTCGTATCGGTTGTGTAGAACACTCTTTCAAATCGATGACCCATACGCGCCCAATCAACGCGAAGGATGGAGAACGAACCAAGATACTGGTGAATTGACTTAATAAAGATCATGAATGGTTTTAACATAGATACAAACCTGCAGCAGCACAAATACACCGCCAAGGAAAAATGCTACAGCTTTTGCACCCTTCTTGATGAAGACACCAGCACATATTCCAGCGACTGTTCCGAAGCTAAGCTCATACAGAGACACTGAGGACTCTGGAGGAGGGGGATGCGGGGAGCCAGACAGGGTAGATGGTTCTGGCGATCTGGAAGCGGAGACAGCCGAGGCTGGAGCAAAGATTAGGAAAGGGAAAGTATATAGGATAAAGATGCTTACATTCGCATTCGACGAAAGGCTTGATGTACAGAGAAAATCCAAGTCCAAGTCCGCTCAAGCCGATTGCCTTGAACACTGAGGGAAAAGTCTGAAATGTTCTTGTTTTCGGCAGCCTGGATGCTTGCAACCTAGCGTTATGTTGAAGAAGACGAAACTGGCCAGAAAACAGCGAACTAAAGAGTTGAGGGCCGTTACAACGACGAGACAGGATGTGGATTGGTGAAGACATTTACGAATGACGTCATGCCTGAGCGCGAGCAGTCACAAACAGCATGAGTGACTGTCACTAGTACTTACCATTTATAGATAACCACATCAAAGTAAGTTTTGCGTGAAAAACGACTTGACAGCTTTTCGAATATATATAGCTACAGCTAGCTCTCTCACAATTTGTACTTAGAATTGTTTGCCTGTTTTTGCACTTTTGCCTGGACTCAGTCGAAATCCTTTGCCCAAAACTCGTGAGAAATTCAAATTACAGCCAAACAAAGGGTAACATCTCAGGACTAAGGATCTGCTTTAATCCTTCAACGTCTAATTCTTGGAGTTATCCATCCAACTATGGATTTCTCACCTGTAGGTAACTCCTATGCGGACGTTATCCAACGCATTCGCAAATTTCGAACTTTTGATGAGCCAGAAAAGAAACATATTTTCCAGTCTTTCACTGAATTTTGTGCCCCTTACAAACCTCCCGTAACACTGGGGAAACCCGGAGATGTGTTTCTCAATCGAAAAACATTCAAGCTTTACATGAGAGAAGAGAAGCAGTGGACTCAATGGCATTCGACCTCGGATAGTTCGCGACTCAAATATCCAGAACTACAGAATCGATTCCTGTGGATAGTTCCAAACTCGGGCCAAAGAATGGTTGACTTCGTTCCTTCAAGTATACTCAAAAGGTTCAAAATCTTAGGTACTGTTCATCTATCCTAAGAAGTGTATCGTCGTATATTGATATTTTATGATCATCTAGATGCAACTGAGCTTTTGAAATCGATTGTATCTTTGCAACAAAAGCAGGACCTAACGCGAAAGCGAAAATCAGAGGCTTCGCTGAACACAAAGAAAGGCAAGAAAGGGCGGCTATCTAATATTGAGCCTCCCGCGGGCTGGAGTGGCATAGATGACCTTCCTACTCAATTACTAACATCTATGTCTGCTCCAGTTCCGCGATCCAACTTAATGACCTCCCTTTCCTCCACCGCCTCTCTGCAAACCCCAGGTTCTTCATCGTCCCGAGTTTCTCTTCATACTTCTGTTTCCATGTCACCGCAGATTCAGCGGGACAGGAAGCTATTGGAACGAAATGAATTACTGGAGAGGGAAAACCAAGAATTGAAAATGAGTCTTCGAATATCAAAAGAACTCGAAAAAGATAGCCATATGGTTCGCCGACTCAATCATATCGCAAGTGAGGTATTGATGTCCTTTTTTTGAAATTGCAGGCTTCATCCATGATCGAATCTACTTATCAGGAAGAATCCGACGACAGTGCTTTATCTATTGACGAAGATGACACTAGGCGACCGCAGCTCCAATCTCCACCTCCAACGCCGTCGATACTTAGTAATTTGTCCAATGAGTTCATGAATCGGGACATGCACCATGATGAACCTCTTCTCCCTCTTACTGAGTCTGAATCATCCTCTCGGGATGCAAGGGTCGAAGAGGCCGGTGATGACATTATCGCCATGCATGGGGACAAGAAGCCGTCGATCCAGGTCAAATCAGAACCTCAAACAACTGCGGCAACTCCCCACACACATCCAGAATATATCGATCTGACACTTGATTCCGACGATGATCAACCATTCACCAGCTTCCGGCCGGTGTCCAAATCTTTGTGCACTGTTTCGTCTGCTTCTTGCGAGGCACCTTGCCTGCAACTTACTTCAAACAATTCTAGGCAGACACCGAAACATGCCAGTGCTACCCCTTCCAGTTCTGCATCTCCTAATCGAAAGGGCCAATCATCTAATTCCGGAAGAAATCGAACAAGTACTACTATTAGCCGTTCCAGTCGAACCCCCGTCACATCATCAAGCCGCGTGGGTCCGCTACCTTCTGCACCCAAGTTGACCCCGACCGATGTTATCAAGCGCTCGACTGTTAATCCCATTCTACGGGGAGCCTCATCTATTCCTAGTCAAGATGACGACGACGAAATATTCGAGATTAGTCTCGACCAATTTCGAGCTGCGGTCAAATCCGGGAAGAAAAAAGCACGAGAGGATGGTACTATCCCAGATTCATCCAATGTACAACCTCATACCCAAAATAAGGTGCAGATTCCTGTTGTCAAAGCAGAGCCTGCAAACGAGTTTATCGCAAAGAGTGGGAAATTGATGAACGACCTCGTACAGAGCCCTGAAGCCAGTCTTGATGATGCTCCTGCTGCTGCTATGGATGTTTCCGGAGAGCGCTCTGATGATGGCTATGAGACACTTGTTATAGATCCAGATGCTGCGGCAGACTCAGAGGACTTTGACTTTGATCTGGCATACCCTGAAAATGAACATCAATCTCTTCCTCCGCCTCCTCCTTCTCGGGATGCTGATATCAAGATGGAGGATGTAGATGCAGAGTCTGCGCAAAAGACACCCGATGTGACTATGGGCAATGCGGAGATGGAACGGGATGCTCCAAATGACGAGGAAGAAGAGAATCAGGAGGAGGGAGAAGAAGAGCAAGATCTCATTGCTAATCTTGGGCTAACTCGTATGTGTCTGGATTCTTCTTCCGTTTAGCCTGTATTGATTTAATGGCAGTCGACGTGCTGCGAGTCAGTTTCAGAGGGAAGAAAGGTTACAAACGATGCAAAATTTGTTCTGCTTTGGGATTGAAGGAGTGAGTATCAGTTTTCGAGACGGTACACAAGTATTCCCGACTCATGTTGTGTGTGTTTATCAGACGAAAGATGAAGTTTCCAACTAGTGATCCTCATTCCATGCTTCATCATCTCGCGACCTCCCATCGAGAGCAAGTATTAAATCTTCAAAATAAGATAACTGAGTTCGGGCTGGATAGTGAGCAGCTACGCGCTCATCGAGAAGATGATGATTGATTCTTGTGTTCGTGTATCTCTTTCACCATATTGGGTGTATCTCACATCGGGTGTATCTTACGTGCGCATGCATGCTTCTTGACTGCAACCTGTACATACAGTCCATCGACTGAAATATATATTATCTGGGTATTATCACTATTTGCTATGCATAATTCTTGCTATGTTCTGAGGCCAACCATTCAGGTATATCAGTGGGAAGAAGTTGAGATCTAAACGTCTTCGCCGAAGTCGGAGTGGTACCAACTGGCTTCAATGCTACACCTCTCGACTGGTCCAAAATCTGCTTTGACAAACCTAATTCGAGATGTGCTTCAAGCCGGGGATGTGGGAGAAGACGCGCTGCGGCAGTGGGAGGGCTTGGTAAACCTGTGGAGTGCAGACTGGCAGCTATGGAGCCAAAAGAGAGAGGCCGCTGAGGTACGACGACGGGAGGCGAAGAGCGCTTTGCCTCTACGGGAAGCCCTGGCATCAAGGAGCGAGGGGTAGAAGGTGGGGTTTGGACCTGATTAGATGTATAAGATTTAAGATATTCATTTGTGTGTTGAGACCATGATGTAATGTTATATGAAGGAGGGAGAGGGAATCCACGGCTTCCGAATGATAAGGATACGTTAGGGGATCCAGCGGGTACCCGCGTACCACTGGAGATAGTGCTCGGAGTGGTAGTGCGGCTGACTGGATCCTGAAAAGGATTAGGCAGAAGATCAAGAGGAGCATGAATCTGGGAAGAAGCCATGCTCGGTGGCGCGCTTTGAGCACTTGCAGACCGAGTCAACTGAGAGTTAAGGCTCTGAGGACGAACTGCGTAACCGACTGCATCATTGCTTCGCGATATCTGTCCCGGGTCAAATCTCCTCGATGGAACCATGCTAGGCCTTTGAGGGTACCCAATTGGGGACGAATCAGGAGTTGCGTTTCGGAAGAACGGAGAAGAAGGCTGAGAGGAATATGCAGAAGTTGTGGGCGATGAATTTCTACTGTAGAACGGCTCACTGAGAGCATACGGGTGTTGAATCGTTGGAGCCTTGTAGTAGCTCATACCAGAAGACGTTGGAGTCGACAGCGAAGAAGTCGTAGTAGGGGAAGACGTGATTGTATAGTTGAAGACAGGCGGCAGAGTCTTGCGCCCTGAAGGAGGCGTGATAGCCAAAGGTTGTGGGGCATGATGACGCGATAAACCATGTACATGTCCATCCACAGGAGTATGATTAGAGTGGTAATCGTACTTCGAAAAACTCCGAGCTTCTAATTTATCTGCGGATGTAATCAAACTAGTTCTTGAATTGACGGTCGTTAGGCCTTCTTCATTAATATCCGAGGGTGCTTTCGCGAAGAGTGGCCTAGGTATAATGTGCGCGATGACTGCTAGCGTTACCGAGTAGATTAATACTGAAAGGTATTTCAGTTTCGATTTCGGTATAACTGGTGAATCTACTAACAAAGACCTGAGCTCACGAAACTAGCTATCGCAACGGACAGCGTGGACTGACTACAGGTGTTTCCGATACCTGTGAATATTATCAATTCACCCGCGGCCACGAAGCAATTCACCCTGAATATTACCAGAGCCAGAGCATGGAAGACTTGCACGACCAGTAATGAGGAGTAAACCGCCACCTAATTCCTAGTCAGCGAACCAATTTCAAGCAACCCCGCGCTTTACTTACATAGAACGAATGCAAGGTAGACAGAGACGCGAGCAGCATCCAACCAAACTTTGAATTGAACAACGATCCTGAGGAAGGGCGGTAAGTAACTTTGAAATTTCGGCGGTCAGCAGCCTTATGAAATGGTAAATACATGAGATAAAGGAGAATTCCTCCGAGGGAATGAACAACGGTGAGTATAACCACGATTATCCCTAGAGGTAAAATAAATTAATTTGAGAAAGAAATGTACTAGCGCGGAGATACGTACGACTAACGAGATCAAAATCGCTCCATTGACGAAGAAGAAAAATAGAGAGAATCGTAGCACATCCTATGCTGAGCGTCATGCAGATAGCTGTGAACCCAATTAGTTTATATGAGGCGATTACATTCCACGCTTACCAAAAATAAAGGCTCTGAGAGCTTTGAAAACAGATAAAACACGAAGAAACATGGTGTCGCAAGATTATATGTTTGATGGCAAGCAGAGGAGGAAAAGAAATAAATGTCCGGCGAGTCGAGAAGAGAAGAATTGGATATAAAATGACTCGGGGACCAATTTGAATGAAAGGAACGACTCGAGGAAAAGTCAAATGGCCAGCCAAAACGAAGAGAAGAAGGGGCCTTTGTGAAGTCGAATCCAACAATATGGGAAGAGTTATATACCGAGAAGACACTTACATGGACTGACAGATCGGAAACACGCTGTTGTGAACCCATCAGTCAGGATTTGGCCGAATTGAACATGGCAGCAAGCGCCGCTCGAAGGCAGCGGTTATCATCGGCAACTGACCGAACTTTGGCAGAAATTCCCAAAGGTGCACCTCGAGGTGTACTGTTGTTGAATGAGATTACCTTTTGAATGGCAGTTTGACAACGTTGACAGACTGTACAGTGAGCGTTGACTGGCTAGCCTGAGATATTCGCCGCGCGTTGGCATATATAGCATTTATGAAGGAATGTCATTTCTTAATCCCATACCTTGGAAAAGGAAAAGCTGAGGAAGAGAGAAATAAAAATCAAATCCAATCTAAATTTAACCCTCCACGTGGTGAATAAAGCCTCTCTCGTCTCGCAGACAGTCAGTGTCACATAATTTAATTACCTATATCTTGAGTCGCGACAATGACGATGTCAGAGCAACAGCCTCTCCTACAGGATGCAGAAGCCGGTGAAAACTCGAACCCTACTAGTGCAGTGTCTTTTCGGGAACGTTTGGCTTTCTGGCTTGAGTCTCAGCTCTTTCATAAGATTGTGATTGCCTTGGTTCGTGTTTCGTCAACATCTTCTCGTAGACATTCTGACGACGGATACATAGATCACGATAGATGCAGCTATTGTCCTTACGGACCTTGGGTATACGTTGCTTTCCCCGAATTGTACCACAGAAGGACCGGAAGGCCCTCAATGGCTTGAGGTCCTCACCCATATCTCTCTCGGAATTACTGCTTTCTTCCTCCTCGAAATACCCCTTGCTTTATTGGCTTTTGGTTCAGACTATTATAATCCTTTTGGAGCTGTTCCCCATGCAATACTACACGACTTCGATGCTGTCATCATTGTAACCACATTTATCTTGGAAGTCTTCCTGAAAGGCAAACAGAGGGAGCTTGCGGGGTTGCTTATCGTCCTCCGTCTGTGGCGTTTGGTGAAATTGGTGGGAGGTAAGTGTATTTGAGCGTCGGATTAGATCCGTCATGCCACTTATGTTTGACCTTTGTCTACCTAGGGATCGCTGTCGGAGCAGGAGAGCTGGAAGAAGATACCGCAAAAGAATTTGCAGAGCTCAACACGGAGTTTGAGAAAACAAAGCGAGAATTATCTGAGGTACAGGAAGAGAACAAGAAACTCCGGGCTAGATTGGTGAATTTAGGCCAGAGCCAGAATGATTAAGATAAAGAATAATTACTGCTATACAACTGTATTTGATGTTATATTGTAAGAGTGCTAATGCTACAACTATCAGTCCGTTATGAGATGCATGACTGTCTTTAGGGTCCCTGCCCAGTGCCTAATCATGAAATGGTAGTCATAATGCGTAACCGTCATGTCCTGTTTTCGACGTTCAGTGACGCGAAGAAAATGCTTTTATCGCGTCGGCCCTAATCCACTGTGACAGGCGAGTCAACGGAATAGGCTTGTCGTGATCATCAACTTCGTGAGGAAAGTCGATAACGGGTCGAGTCGGTCGAGAAAGGGTTTGTGATTCGCGGAAACGCTCAATGAAACGCGATCCTGCGACTGATTTGCTACCTTTGACTTGGACGTTGAGAGGTAGAGGTGGCAACGGAGCGCTGTCGCGAGCGCCGAGGGAAAACGACGAGTCGCTCGACGTATCGGAGTTGTCGGAATCTTCCCGTTTGATGGGAGTTCGGAAAGGGGAGTCTCGACCCCGACGGACGTGTGTAGATGCCCAAGGTGCCTTTTCAGGATCTGTCACGGGGTGCCGAGCTTTGCGAACACCCGAAGATTCTATGCCATCGAGATAACGCGCCCAAGAGTCGTTTTCAAGGCCTGGCAACTCGCGAGGATTACTGACATCAGAAGATCTGAGTCTTGAGTTGGTATATCCGAACCACTTGACTTGACAAACAGGTTTGGTCCAAATCTCCTCTTCGAAGGAGGCGTGGGTCATAGCAGATACAAACAGGATAAAGAAGTATCCGAGCATGGTCAAACTCGTGAGCCAAGTAGTAGGCATCAACAAGAACGACGATGCAGTCACGGATGATTCGGTAGTTTGTCTGATAAAGATAGCTGCACTGATTGTTACACCTATGGCAGAGCCAATGGATGACAAGCTCAGTACAGCTGACCAGCCAGATTCAAATGCAACACTTGTTCCAGCGAAATTGGGCGCAACGAGCTCCAGAAGACCGCTTCAGAGAACATGGTGCATATGAGTAAACAGCTCAAATTAAGTTAACAGCGTCACTTACAGCCCCAAGAAGAAGATGCTCGTGACAGAGTTAAAAACCAAAAAGAGGGACGCTCCAGGAACTGTTAGAGTCTCATCAGGTATTGAACGACAGTGATGATGTGGGTACGTACGAGCTATGTTCGCGTTTATGGCAGCACTGGCGTTCCACGACGCAAAAATCAAATTCAACAGATTCAGAAATGACAGGAGTGCTGTATTCACTTAGTATATAGACAGAGATGAGGACCTTTGTACTCACAGAGGAAGATGAACCGAATGATCAGGAATGGGTTACGCATCGTCAGAAAAGTCTAATGAAGAGGACACCACACAGTGAGTCGGATTGGAACTGAAGTGGAAGAAGAAGCGAGAGCAAAAGAGAGGTCGAGAAAGAGAAGGAGGAGACCGCCAGTGACACCGTTGAGAAAAGGTTGCTTCAAGTGGCCTTCTTTTATACATGAAAGCACTGCTTCTAAAGAACAATAAGATTAGATTTGGGACAATGGCGAAAAGACAAAGATTGATACAAGGTCGGTAAATATAATGGAATGATTATTTGGTGAGCTTTATACGCCTAAATAGTTGCATGGTGAACTGGTATCAACCGAGCGATGTACAAAGTACAAGGTACAAGGGCAGAGCAAAATGAAAGTCCAAGGAAGCACCGGCGCGCCGACGCGTTGAGCACGTGATTCCGCCTTTTAGTTTCTGCGTTCGTCACCGTGCGACGTGGATGCGGTCCCAAAACGTTTTACGCAGGTCGAGAGGACTTTTTCGGACAAAAAGCCCCCTCTCACTGTATTCCAGCTCTATACCTCCTCGTCTACCTAGAAAGTCGGCTGCCAAACGATTCCTTCCGCCTCACGAAAAACGACTTGTCTCTACAGACAACCAAACACTGGGAGCCTCAGCTTCCGCTCCACCGCCAGAGACCCCATCTGAAGAGCCTTCTGACATTTCTGACGCTTCCTCAACATCTTTGCCGGACGATCTTGATAAATTAAAAGGTAAACGTCGTATCGTCTCTTCTTCATCTACGTCCAAAGAGCGGGAAACCGTAGAAATACCTGAAGGCCTTCATATACTATGGAACCCAGATGAACTTCCTTCTGAGCCTCTCAATCCGGGATCAGTGCCTCCTCCGGAGATACTGGAGGAAGTGCTTCATAATTTGCTTGCGACTCTCCATCCTCACACTCAACATCGTGCTGCGTATCCTCCACCGTTGGCGCAATCTGAAGAGCCTACTCTTGCACTCTACTGCCCAATTGAAGGAGGAGATTATATCATTGACTCAACCGTTGTTGAACTGGCACGAAGAACGGGCTCAGAAGTGCTTGTCTTGGATGCCGTTCAGCTGGCAGCTGGCGAATGGGGGTACTTTGGGCCAGGTACGTCGCCTTTACATGAGTTGAATCTGCACCTGACAAATTTACAAGCTGCAAGCTCACTGAAGCTACCTCGCAATCCATTGCATTTTGCTAGCTCTGGCCCCTCCTCTAATAAATCAAGTTCTATGTCTTCTTATTCGGAAGATTTTGATGAAGACGAACCCGAATTTTCTCCTCCCCGCCAGATGATGTTCACAGTGATGACTCCTTTGAGGAGAGGAAGCAGTACAACTGTGATAAAATCTAAACGAGCCGCTCCGCCTAGCAAAGTCAAGGTTTTCTTCGATTCTCTTGTCAACCTTCCGTCAAATTCAACTGGCCCAGTTTCTCGACCTAGAATAATTTACATTCGTGATTTTCCAACTCTCGCGTCAACTGCCTCGGCCTGGTACCCATATTTGCGCGACGCTGTTAGCCAGAGACGGAAAGGTCCGATGACGCGTTCCTCATCACCGGTTCCAAACCCAATCACTATCGTATTTGGAATGTCTCCACCACTCTTTCCTCCTCCAGACCGTCCGATGCATCCCACTGGTAGCGGTGTTCTGAGCCTTCTGATGAACCGTTCTGCGTCACCTATGTTCCCGACTTCCAATCCAAAGCCCGACAAAGTTGATTGGAGCGAAAGCCCAGTTGCGGAGCAAGCTAGAGAAAAGCGTTTACAGCAACGACTTAAGAGCTGGGAAAGAGGAGAAAACGTTGCGATGGATGAACATGACAAATATACCGAAGATCCATCCGACAGTGCTGGTCGCCGCAGGTCAGACGTGATAGTTCTTGAAGGGAGCATCCCCTCCCAGTCTGGATTCTCTATGCCTGTACCATCAGGTTCTTCTGGCACTGTGGAGGATGCAGAAGGCCCTTCCTTCTATAGAACCTCTGTGTTGGTACCCAGTGTGCGTTCGGTGTCGGATGAACGGGACTATCGTGTTCTACGTCGGAGAGAAATAAATGAACTGACGATGCGTATGGCAATTGGACAAGTCGGTGGTAAATTATCAGAGGAAAGTGTGTCATTCAAGGGTGGGTTCTCCACAACTGCCAACGCACAATCTACAGGAGAAACCAACAAGACCGAACTCGTTCCGGAACCTTCGTCCACCGACTCACATCTCCAAGAAATAAATTTTTCCTCTTCCTCTCCTGAAACCTCCGAACAGGAGCCCATTCCCAAGCGCATGTGGGACGATCCCAAAATGTGGGAGGCATGGGGTGGTCAATTAGAGTCGTGGTCAACCGTTAAAGACATAGCTCATAGAGCTATCGGTGGTGTGGTTGCCTCGCGGGAAGCTACTAAGCGACCAACGTTAGAGCATACTAATGTTTCGTGGTCAGATGTACATTACGCATGGGGTGCTGTGCATGGGGCGCTCGAGTACAGGAAGTCATGGCTCAAGGACTCCGTCCCAGTAGCGCGTAAACTTGAAGATGAACCAGAGACCGAGCAAAGGGCCAAGTTGGGTTACGATCAGGTCATAGAAAGTGTCAAGAATGATCCCGAAATTGACCCACACGAGCAGAGGCTGCTGTCGTCTATCGTGGATGCAGGTATGCGCAACAGGTTTTTTCCTTGACAGCTTCTTACCACATATAATCATAGCCACCATGACTACCTCATTCAGCCAAGTTCATTTGCCCGCTCATACGATTGATTCCATTCGATCTATCGTCTCTCTTCCTCTTTTACATCCTGGAGCATTCCAAACTGGCATCTTGAAGCAGCATGGAATGACTGGGTGTCTTCTCTTTGGTCCTCCTGGTACTGGTAAGACTTTGGTCGTCCGTGCGCTTGCCAAGGAGGCAGGTTGCCGTATGATGGTCATCTCTCCATCCGATGTTATGGATATGGTATGTGGTATCATTATGTTTTTACCCTCATGTCCCTCACCGCTTTCACCTTTTAGTACGTTGGAGAGGGTGAGAAACTTGTTCACGCTGTTTTCTCACTTGCTCGGAAGATAGCACCGTGCGTTATCTTTTTGGATGAGATCGATGCTCTTTTCAGTGCTCGGATGTCCGCGCGCGAGAGTGGGAGTTCCTTTGCCCATCGTGGCATTATCACCGAGTTTATGCAAGAGATGGATGGATTGAAAACATCCCGGGATGACAATGTCATCGTGATTGGAGCAACCAATAGACCCTTTGATCTGGACGACGCTGTACTCAGGCGACTTCCACGGCGATTATTGGTCGATCTACCGGGGGTTCCTGAACGTCAAGGTGAGAACTTACAATGCATCTCAGCGGAACCTGTACGACTGAAGGGCTACAGAAATTTTGAAAATTCTCTTGCGGGACGAAGTGTTGGGTGACGATGTTGACATTGGTGTCCTCGCTAGACAAACAGAGAGCTTCTCTGGCTCGGATCTCAAACGTTCGTGATATCTGCTCGTCGCTCCCTTTTCACTTGCTAATTACTTGTCCAGATCTCTGTGTCTCCGCTGCGTTGGATGCCGTCAAAGAGGACATCAAGCTTCCCTGGCAGGTCTCCTCATCGCTAGACTCATTAGATAGTCCAACAACACACGACCAAGTCAACGCTGATAGCAAGGCGATAGCAGGAGAGAGTACGTTAGAGGAGAGTAAGGATGAACAGGTCGGAACATCCCCGCCTCTCGAAGAAATGCCGCAACCATCAGATGTTAAATCCACACATTCAAATTCTTCATCCCACCTCCGAACTCTTGCACGACGGCATTTCGACAAAGCCCTAAAGGAAATCACACCATCGTCGTCTGAGTCGTTAGGTAGTCTTGCTGACTTGAGAAAGTGGAATGAAGAGTTTGGTGAAGGTCGAAAGGATCGTAAACGTAAGTCGGTATGGGGTCGGGGTCGTTTTGGTTTCACTGACAAGGAGGCTCACTCTTTGGAGGAGGGCAGAGTTGTGCCTTCGTCTCCCACAATAGCAGTACCATCTAGTGATACAAGTTCCAGTTTGTAATTCAACTTGTACTTACATGACTAGTGCACCACCATTCATCTACGCGCGATTAACTCGACGCTTGGGTGGAACCTTAGCTTGACTGCATACGGATATACTGACTACATAGTCACTAAATACTAGATACTGATTGTACATACGATTGATATTAGAATGCTTCCTAAGTTACATACGTTACTTGCAGAAAAGCACGCCCGCTCATTGTCTCGTACTTCGACGTCTAGGTGGTGTAGCTTCTGCCTCTTCTTCATCGGTTTCATCTTTCTCATCTGCTTCTTCCTCACTATCATCATTTTTCGACTTGCCTTTCTTTCCTGCTTGAGAACGTTGAGGCTGACGAGATTTTGTTTCAGTCTGAGAAGGTTCGTCTTCCATCTCTTCGTCGTCGTCGCTATCGACAGTGTCTCTAGTCTGTCGTATCCCGTCGTCTCCATCACGGATGGCCAATTCGCCGACAGGAAGTAGCCCATCGTCTGTTACGTTTTGGGGCCAATCTAGCGAGCAAACAGGGCACGCCGATTTGCGTCTTCGATAAGCTTTGAAACAGTGGTAGTGCATACGCGCTTTGCAATTGTCACGTTTGCAAGCAACGCCTTTGGTCAATATCTAGACGGCTTTGAGTCGCGAATCGGTGTTTGTTTGAATGTCACGCACCTCATGGCAAATCGTACATTCAATCATCTCTTCGGAATATGTGGACTTGATATATGGCAGAAGCTCTAATAAGGATCGTGAAGAAAGAGAATATCTTCCGCGTCTGACAACACAAATATTGATGTGGTTCTCAGAAACATAACATAGGAAAACGCACTTGCTTCTCAAAAGCCAGCCATTTGCGACAAAACTACCTAGTAGGACTTCTGCTTGGGATTTGGTTAAGTTCATCTTGTCTTTGCCTGCTGAAACTTCGCGAAGCGCAGCGAGAGACGAAACTGAAAAGGATTCATTTCGTGCTAACATGATTTGTTCGACCTGCGTGTCACATCAGCAGAAGAAAAGGCGCAAAATGTTGGATAGACTCGCGATCGCCTTGAAGTACATGATTTCGACCGCATTATAATCTGTCGCGACTTGGGCCAGTTCGTCATCTTTTCGGTTGACCTGAGATTGGTGAGGTAAATTAAAAGCTTTTTGAGCGCGTTGATTCCTCACCATCGCGAAAAGCCTTTTGCTATCAACTTCATCTTGGATGCTTTTGAATTCGAAGTCTAGATCATTTAGAGATGCGTTTACGCCTTGAATGAATTCGTCCCATGCCTCTTCTGTATTAGAGTAAGAGACTTCGACGTGCTCGTCGGCAGCTATTAGAACGGAATGTTATTTAGGAGTGCAATAATATAACGGAACCGTATGTACCTTTCACCGCTTCCACGCATTTTTTCCACAACACTTTTGCCAGATTTTCTGACAAGATGCCACGAGAGAAAATCGCCTGAAGAAAGAGCCTCTGGACATCGCCTGCATGAACCATGATGGGTGCTGATGCAGATGGCTGTTGGAGTTAGACGCGTTTCCAATGCCGGTCACGCCTTTCTCGCTCTGTACAACCTATGGAGCCTACGTGGTACGGTCGTGTATACATGTTGAATATATGTCATTTACTGTACTAGCGAACCACGACGTAAAGTATTCATAAAGTCCTCAAATATAAATGTTTGTTCTAGATCTTGGGTACCCGCAGCGTTTTGCTAACCATTGCGGCGGCCCAGCATCCAAAAATGATACTAACCAAATGTATTTCTCCAGTTCCTTCCGCCGCACCCCACAAAGTTATTGTGCCAAGGGGAATTCCCTCCTGGCCTTCAATCCAGCCCATTTTGGTCCAGTAGGAAAGGACTGCGACGAGGGCCAATGAAGAAGGAATAGGCAGTCCTTCGAAATATTTAGCTTTGCCTGCTTCGTCTTTTGGTACTAAAGCAACGGTAGCGTTGAACCGTGCCAGTCTTGCCAGGCCACAGCAAATAAAGCCGGTAAGGACCACCGTATCCAGATAAGTCCTAAGACCGACAGTGAAAGCCAATAACGCTGGAGCCACTCCAAATGAGATCTGCAATTCAAATCAAAATCAATTTTTCAATTAAAGATCAAGGTGCTTTGCCCCTCGTACCAAGTCAGCAAGACTGTCCAGCTCTTGACCAAGTAGACTACTAGATTTCCTCCATCTCGCAACTTTTCCATCGAAAAAATCAAACAGCAAGCCAGCCAAGGGGAAAGCGAGCGCTGACCACAGATAGTCACGGTCATTCGAAAGAAGGTATTTTGCGGATGAGAACATGGAGAACGATCCACAGACACCGTTCATTATGGTGACTAGATCAGCTAAGCGAAAGTTCCTGTGTTATGAACGTTGAGCGCAGTAGCGGCTATAAAGAAGACCGTCACATACCTCACAAGAGAAAAATGGCCATCGGTATCTTGGTACTGGTGCAGAGCATCAGAGCTAGCATCATCATTGCGTTTTGTAGACGTTTTTCGATGGTTCATAACTGGTCGAAGTAGAAGTTAGGACTCAGCCTCGAAGTCCTAAGTACGAGGTAAGGCTAAGAAGTTTCCCGTGAGAAATACAAAATATACATTGACATATTACAACGCCAAACTCTCTTTAAACTCCGTTGTCTACCTTCATCTTTGGATCCTTTGTTTCCTTCTCAAGCTCAATACTCCTCGCAGCGTACTGATTTGGATGCGTAACTGACTCCCCGTCGCTTAATCCTTCCCCTTTCCTGACGGAACGAGCATGTGTAATTTCGAAGACCCGTGTGCAAGCGACATGGTAGGATTTTTTCTTGACTTGTGCTATAATCTCAGGAAGATCGTTGATTGTTAGACCTTGGGCCGAATACGAGGAGAGTAATGCGCTTTGGAGATTCTCCGGAGAGCTTTCAAGCTGGCGATATGGGCAACCGGCTTCATGTACACTGTGGAGTTGCAGGCAACTAGGGTGGACGTTGGAATTAATATGACATTCTCACAAATTTAGGTTGAAATGCGCACTTCTTGGCAGGATAGTTCATTCTTCTTCCTTCCAACCCAAAAGAATGTCGTATGTTATACCTGTATTCTTTATCAAACTTATCGGAACCGGGACCTCCAGCAAATGACTTTCTCCAGAACGCTATCGCTTCATCGATCGATAAACCCAGGACCTATATTCCTTCTTAATTGTGATATACCATGTACAATCACATAGGTAACGTACTTTGAGAAAAAGCCCATAATGTAAGCGTCCAAAATGTTTCAAGTGATGATCTTTCCGCAAGCTTTGATGCAGGACGCGCATGCAGAGCGGGAAGTGTTGTTTCGCTAATGAATCCACCATGTCCGCAGTGATTCCTTCTCCAGTTGCTTCAGCAGAGGCCACCCAGTCTGACGGTATTCCCGCAATGAATCCTTGCGCCAAATTGTCAAGTATAGGATTTAAGCGCATGTCTTCGTCCACCAGAGGTATAGCTCTTGATGTTGCCTGCTGAAATCAGAATCGGACCAAGTTAAGTATAGGAAACCCACCCGTAATGCAGCTTCAAGCCGCTCCTCAAAAGCCGAGTAGATGATACTCGCTTGCTCGCGTGCAGGAACGTAAGCATAACCACCTTTTAAAAACACTTTGCGTTTCTCCACAAGATCAGGAATAGTCGTCCATTTTACCTGTTCTGACCTCTAGCGTGTGTTGGTGAACAGTGAACTATTCACGTACTTTGTAGAAAGCCTCGCTTTGAAAAGCCCCATCCAAATCGGTCTTCGATGAGATGAAGTGTTTTAATTGCTCCTTATACCGTTCTTTCTCCTCCGCACCGACCTGATAACATGAGTCTGGTGAGTTCCATAGATGGCCAAAGACACGAGTTTACAAACAGAAATCCAGTTGAAATCCTTCGAGTCGAGAAATGCGCGTCGTTCATTCGAGTCATCCGTCTCAAAACGAATTCTAAAGAGAGTTGTCTCAGCTCTGATAAATCGACGACGCAATTCTTCTCTAGAAAGGGCCTTATCAGAGAAATATCGAGAAGAGTATCGTTCAATAACGCACGATCGGCAGAAAGCAAGCCTCAGAACAAAATGACCCAATTGATCTTTCCTCCGTTCTTCCAGAACATCTATTCCTAATGCTGAATTTGAGTTGAGAGGTAGGTATTTTCCGCATTGTGTCATTGTCACTTGTTTCGTTTCATCCCAAGAACGATTGCGTGCAGCTGAAGATTCAATTTCGGCGAGTATACGAAGACGGTCAAGTGCCGAGGTTTCAAATTCTTCCACTGTCACGTCGTATAGTGGAGGCTGATCATACCTAGAAGATGTCAGGAGAGAAAAGACGCGTCGAGCGAGGTGACGAACAAACTCAGACGATATGATGCGCTACCATTATCTACAGACACTATGTGAGCGCTGTCACTTTTTTGTAGTTTGGTTTGTTTTGCGGCCTGAAACATCACAAAAGAGATCTGACGATGATGGGAGAAGGAAACACGAAGGAACGCGAGTTGTCACATCACGGCAACGCGCAAGCGCCCACCGGATCCGTTGCATTTCGCTGCTACAGGCGCGGGAAACCGCGGCGACTCTGGTGAATTGTCGCCCAGCTCCGTTCCTCGTTGCAAGATAATGGTAAGTATAACTATATCTGGGATTGTGTAATTATGGGTCGTGGGGTAATGTGGTGTGACCCGTGTACGGGGTGTTTAAAGAATGTGAAGATGATGTATCGTGCTCGACCATGTACTAGTAAATGTAGGTCTCGAGGGATAGATATAATATAAGATAGAGAAAGGGAGGAGAAGGCTGGTGCACTTTTATTTCATGTATAATATTGTGCACTGATTACTGTTCCAAGTACTTTGTCCAGTAATTTACCCCTTACACAATGTGCCCCGTGCATCCACTCCTCCGTTATACCACATCTGCAAAACCTGTATTTTCGGCTAAGAGTCCGAAAGCAGTTGAGAGCACTTCCCAGCAATGAAAGCACCCAGAGCATGTTGCTTTCGGTGCTTTCAGCACTGGGATCTGCTGGGATCTGCTCTCAGCCCTTAGCCGAATATCCATGTTTTGCAGATGCATCTCACTCGGCGTGCTTGTCGTGCAAGTCTCGAATTTGCGGAAACTCGTATGTCCATGATCACCTTTAGTGTTTAGTCCTTCCAATTTGATTCTAGCACGATGCCATTCTTTTCTGAATGTGTCTACTAGCCTATACCTCGCTCCCAAAGTCCTGCACTGCTCAGTGAAGGGCCCGAGTTCTCTGTGGATTCCAAGTTTTATTTTACATTTTTTGGTTCGAAAAAGACAACGTAATTATGTGCCAGCCTTGAAAATCTGGCAGCACTTGAAACTGTGACCACCTATTATTCTCCTGGAGGAGGATGAGGAGGAGGAAGTACCGGCATGGGGGCTTGATCACCAAATTAGTGTCAGAATAATATACACACATATAGGTAGCATACATAAGTTATGATACAGATACAGTAGCTATTAGTTGTGTCCACAACAGCAGAGGGATATACATAGGAAAAACCGATTGCAAATCATATCATACAAACACTGATAATTCTATCCAATTGCAAGTAAAACTGAAAGATAGGCATGGGACGGTTCAATCGTGGTCTAGCGTGCATTACTTGCTCGAGCACTCCTACTCGTTTTGACATATCTCAGGTTTTGTTTGTCCTGATGTGGGTCTTGGGGGACGTCAAACACTACACCGGGGCGTAGTACACGGTATCTGTTGTTTCGTGTCTCCGACTCCTTGCGTTCACGCCATTCATGCGTTGCTTGTTGGGTGTCTCGCATAGGCGGAGGTTGTATGGGGGGTTGGCTGCTGTTCATGGAGGCGGTCGGGGAACCCACAACAGTATTAGGCTACATGATAGTTCGTGAAATTCGGTACAAAAATAAAGATGATTCGTGACTTACTGCAGTTCCGTCTACGGCCTCGACAGATGCAGCAGACATTGTACGGTTGCGCTTGGTGGTCAGGTAACGGAATGGCGTGAATACCTTGTGGTTTGGACTTTTTCGTTCAGAAACCGTAGGGATCGAAATGGGAACGGTGATAGGGGGCGGAACCTTTGATCTGGATATGCTAGATGGTTTTAGGTCTGAAAAAGATGCATTCATCCCAGCATCGACAGTTGTTGCGATCTTGGTCCTATCATGGGATAATGAAGGATTCCATACTTCATACACAGTATCAGTAGCTGTCTGTGCCTGGCCTTTAGATTTAAAGAACGATTTCGAGAGCGACGCCCTCGCCTCCACTGGCTTTCCCCCTGCCGCAGGAATCGCTGCAGTGTTCTTCCGGACATCTTCGGATGCCGTCGGAGGATTCCATACTTCGTACGGATTCTCCGCAGTTGCTTGAGTGGAAGATGACTTGGATTTAAACATACCGAAAAGCCCCTTCTTTCGTGAATCTTGCTGAGAAATGGTGGACGCGGGGATAGATGTACGAGAAGCCGTGGGCTTCAGCATTGACGGTGCTAAGGATGATGGGGTTTTCAGAATAGACTCCTCTGATGGAACATTGGACGCTGGACGTCGATAGGCTTGATCGGAGGGATGAGAAGATGAAGCTGCTGTCCGGGATTGAACCGGGTCCAAGAAGGCCTCAGGCTCTGGCAGCTTTGATCGCCCACGATTTCGGCTGCTGGTAGGTACATTAGTTTGGTACGTGGTCGATTGTATCGGTGGCCCGCTAGACCAAGTCTGTGTGGGTCGTGTACTAGGTGGGCGAGACGGGGTTGCGAAAGATTCCGGCTGTGAACTAACGCGGATATGAGCAGTCACATTGCTGTTTTTACCGGATTCTTTGGCAGCATCGGCATTAGAAAATAGCGCATATGCCATTGTCGAGCTAGTTGGCTTTGATGCGGAAGGCGCAACTATCTCTGTAACACTAGAGTCAGGATACTTTCGGAAATTTCCCAAGCCATATTCATCATTATGAATATCCTTGTTGAATGGGGACGAAGGATACACTTTTGAAAAGCCGTCTGCTGCCGGCGATGGCTTATCCTTGAATTTAGAAGGCGGTGGAAGCATCCAGTCGTCCTGCTTTTCAACTGAAGGAGGATGACCCGCAGGCAAAAATTCGGCACCGAGTGGTTGTATTACAGGTTCAGGTGCACGACGTGCAGGACTGGTCACATCTGACATGAGCTCTGCTAATTTCGGGTGACGAAATGGTGCAGTGCTACCAGGACGCTCGATGGGATCGACAGGATTGAGATAAAGATTAGCACTGGTTTGCGGATTTGTTACAGCGGGAGATTTAACGCCAGACTCTTGTTGTGGAGCAGGTATTGAGCCATTTGCTTGAGTTACACTCCGAGAGTTTTGTCGACCAACAGTCTCCGGGAAAGATACTACCCCTGGAACATGAGAGCTGTCTACCACATTTCGATCACCCTGCGATAGATTAGTCATAGGACCATTGGGATAAATGAAGTTCGTCGTGTTGGGCTGAGCAGGTAATGTCCATCCAGGTCCATTTGGGACGGGGGAGGCATGGACTGCACGCGCGTTTCGATCATTCCATCCAGAATGGGCGCTATTGTGGATACCGTTTGTTTGGGCGGGCCATGCAGACAGTTCTGCGGCTTTGGACACACCTATACGAGCTGATTTATCGATGGTTTCAGCATGCGGAGAATGGTCCTTTAACTCGTCAGCGGCGAGGGCGGTGGACTTGGGCTGAGAAATGGCCGACCAAGGATTGCTATTTCCAAACCCCGGATTTGTCGTGAGAATCGGGTTAGGCGCATGTGAGATAGGATTCTGGGTAGCATGCTGGTTGGTGACTGGACGTTCTCTGAAATCATCACGATAGTGGGCGCTAGCCGAATTATGCAGGGTCTGGGAGTCGCTGGTCCACGCATTATGCTTAGGCGAGGAACTAACAAAAGGAGTCGGTTGAGTTATCGGTGTGAATGAAACTTGAGCACTGCGTTTGGAACTAGGAGTGTCTAGGGATGTTTGGGGAAGAGTAGAAGGTGGAAAAGGACCCGTGCTGGACTCAATACTTGCATTCTTCATAGGCGAAGCAGCTTCATTCGAGGCAGAGATAGAAACAGTGCGACCACGTCTATTGCTCGAGAGAGCAACATTGAACGAGGGAGAATTATTGTGAGAAGTGTCATGAGCGGCGCCTGGGCTCTGCTCCACGCCTGTCAAATTTTGCGGGGTTCCTAAAGGCGTTGGTGCTTTATCCTGCAAGGGGGATTTGGTCTTCAACTCAGCTGTGGGTGGTCCTGGGTTGGAGTATAACAACTCCGGTGTCGGAGAGGGGCGAGACTCGTAAGATGTCACTATCTGCCCTACTGTGGGTCGGGAGCTTTCGCTGAGTTTCATCTGATCCTGTAAAGTTTCTCTCGTCGGTTGCACTGTATGTACCGAAGGAGGAGTGTACTACAGCAAGGTCATTCGATGCGGAGAAACTTGAATTTGGGCAACACACCTCGGGAGTTCTTGTTACAACTTTAGGAGTACCTCCGTGATATGCGGGAGCGTGGGCATGGGCATTTGAGCTAGATAGATAGTTAGTGTTGACTACGGGCTTTTCTAGTACAGATGGCGATCGCTTGATTGGAGTCGGAGGAGTGAAACGAATTGAAGGATGAGGAGAATTGTTGATCATGGAAGGGGGTTCGTTGGTTTGGTTGGCTATCTGAGATCCTTGAAATAATAAAGAAGGGGAAGACTCAGGGTTCTGATGGTTGATGGAGTTCGCATCCTGTATTTCGTTGAGTACCACACCCATGCTAGATACTGTTTGATGCTTACATGGCGAGTTCGAGGCTCATTAGCCGGAATTCCATAAGGTTTAGACCCTTTATCGCGTTCGCGTCGACTACCGTGACTCGGATTTGTGGAATTTGTGGGGTTCGTGCCAAACGAGGGAGTCGCCGTGACTAGAGGGGCTGCCTGTTGTGACGCAGACGAGGCTTTACGCGTTCTACCACCGGTAGGCGCAGATGTTCCTGCAGCCGATTGTTCAGCATGACGGTGCTTAGTTGTGCGTTCATGACGGGAAGAAGTCGCACGAATGTCTTGTGGTTCTTGATAGACCAGCTCTGCGACCTTGGTTCTCACTGGATATGACGAAGATTGTCCACTGGTTTCAAGAGCCTGGGTACCGCTAAGGCCCAATGCTGACATCTCCATAGTCGGGTGTACAGTGGCAGGTCCTTGCAATATGTTACCGATAGGGCGTACAGTTGAAGGCTGCGCGCTTGTCAACGAAGAATTTTTTGAAGGATTCGAGCAAAAGCACGTACAATTGATTCTTCCGTATCGCGTTGTTGATTCGGAGATAAATTGATTGTAGGATTCTGCGCTTTATCCCGAAAATTTGTAGTGGTTGAATGGTACTATGAGTGTAAAGCTTAAGTCAAAGCGACCGCAACGACTACATAATCCACTGACCTTCTCAGTCCGCTGAATCCCATTCAACGGGGGAGCTACGTTATTGGTCGGGGGCTGTAACGGTAGTGATGGTTCTCGAAATAGCGAGCTGTCTATTCTTACGGGCAAGCGTATCGGTAGAGGCTCTGGGCTAAACAAAGGCTGACTTGGCGTGAGGTCATTGATATGTTTTGATGTTGAAGGAATAGGAAGTGCACCACCAGACACAGATTCTTGATTATGCTTCGACATCGGGGGTATAGAGTTGTGAGGCGCCGAGTTGTAAATGGATTTCGTTGTCGGAGGAACGGGAGGTCCGCCACGAACTGTAGCATCTTGTGTAGGCCTCGGCACAGAGGACATAGAGTTCGAAGGCCCAGAGTCGTGAATGGACTTCGTTGTCGGAGGGATGGGGGGTCCTCCATGATAAACAGAATCTTGATTTAGCCTCGACGTTGAAGATATGGGGTGATATGCAGAAGAACCCTGATTCGCCTTCGAGGTCGAAGGGGTGGGATGGGAACCATAGAGGGCAAAGTCCTGACGAAGTTGAGACGACGGGGGAGCCGAAACACCATAACTGGTTGGATCTTTCGACGACGGTATATAAGACTGACCTGCAGATGCGGGGGGAAGCACCTGATGGGAGTTCCGGTCTAAGTATGATTATCGTAGATCAGCGAACGAAGCACCCACCGAAGTTGAAATATTGGGAATGGGATCTTTGATTTTTGTCCGCCGATAAGCCGAAGAATATTTATTCTTCGAGGCATCAGAACTTTCTGCCTCATCACTCGATTCCTTGCTAGTCAATTTCTGAGTATTGACGAAGCTCTTGGCAGGATCCCGTTGCCTTTCTGTCATCCTATGTCGGGAAGACCGTTCAATGTCTGGACGACGCTCCGTGTCCCGATCAAGATGTCGTCGGGAACTTTCGCGATACTTGTCCGCGTCTTTAGATATTAACTTCTCTCTTCCCGAGTCATAGGCAAGTGTCCGATCATCAGTTCGAGGTAGTTCTCGTTCCCGATACTTTGTCCGATCCTTGTCCCGGACAGATGCACGAAAGATGCTGTCAGTATCTCGCTGCCTGTCCCGTTCTCGAACACCGCGTTCTGCGGTGGGAATTGGTTCCGCGGGTGGTTTGATTCGATCTCTGTCTCTGTCCCTCTCTCTGTCCCTCTCTCTGTCTCTATCCCTCTCCCTGTCGCGCTCTCGCTTCCTTGTTCGTTCTATATCTCGTTCACGCTCCCTATCCCGGTCCTTTGTCAGGTCTCTTTCCTTCACCGTACCTTTGTCTCGCTCTGACCTATCCCTGGTACGCTCTTTCTCTTTCGCTCTGTCATAATCTCTATCTCGCACTCTCTCTCTTTCACTCCTATCTCTCGTTCGGTCTCCATGCCTGTCGCTTGGCTCCCTATCACGTTTGGAATATGAAGAGGATGCTTTCGCCATCTCAGGTCGAACAACTGCTGTGGCTACAGAAGCAGAAGTGGAGGCCGTGGGATAGATTCCGTTGAAAGTGGAACTAGTATACGTTTTAGCAGGGTTAGCACTTCGCGTCGCTGTATGAGAGGCGTATGACGCATTTATGGCACTGGGGGATGGTCCAGGAACTGTGGATTTAGGGTAAGCCTGCCCTACACGCTGCGATTGTAGAAGGGGGGCTGTGGAGTTTACAGGGGCTGGATGAACGATATTGTCATCTTTGTTGATTGGGGTTGCATTATGATGCCTGTGACTCCTATGAGCGCCAGAGATCGTTGCAGCTGTGTCACTTGGTCGAGGAGCCCGACTAGAGCTTCGTGGTTTTTCAGAGGAATCTCGAGTGCCCGACCTGCCCTCTCGTTTTTCACTCCTTTCGAGTGGCTTCTGGGACGTCTCGGGCTCCTGTCGTGGCATCCATATTCTGTAAGGGTCTTTTGACGAAGCAGATTTAGATGGGCCCGTTTGTGAATCATTCTTGCGCTGAAAGAAACTCTTCATTCAGCGGATTATGGCAGTAAGAGAAGGAGACAGGTTAAAATCGGCCTCCTCTGCAGAAATGACTATGTATGAATAATTTGGGCAGCGGAGTACCCGGTACATGAGGCAAAGACGATTCAGTAGCTCGCCTGATGGACTCTCGAAATGGAAAGTTCGAAACGAGCGCTCTGAATTAAAACATTTGATTCCGAGTTCAACAAAATACGGTTCATCTATTTGTACACCATACTAGGCTGATAATGTAGTTTCATATACACAGTATGTATTATTATATGTCTGCCCAGAACGCAAAGGAATAACATAGAGGTGATCAGAGAATTAGATCAAGTTATACCGAATGTGCAGAAAGGCGAATCTAAAGGTCCGTGAGGATTTCTCCAACCTCCCACACCTCAAGACGAGATGTGGAAAGCGTATCACACACCAAAAGATCAATATTACACGATTTTGACTCATTACCGACAGTAGACAGCGAAAAGGCTGTTGAAGACAAACAGTCTTCTTGTCGAGACAATTTAAGGATCGTGTTAAGAGAATGAAGGCGAGTATGAGAAAGATAATGAGCAAAAGCTCTTCGAGCGAGCACCGGGCAATATTGAGGAAGCATAGAAACACTGAAAGTCATTGGTTCAAAACATCGATTGAAGTAGAAAAGTGAGAAAATTTCGGCTTTAAATGTGTCACGATTCCCGGCATCTTCGGCACCAACTTAGTCATTCACCGCAGACTCGTGTCCTCCCTACAGAGCGTCATCCACTTGTATACTACTCCTCTATCACTATTTTCATCTCGAACCTCCATATCCTAGTACCACATCAACTGTTTGCCCTTGCCAATGGTGCTTCCTGCTTATTTTCTGCTTATCAACCCCAATTCTGATCTTGCTGAACGCTGTAGAATGATACAATGGATACTCTAGACGAGAAAGCAAACGGTGGTCCTTCGATGGAAATTGACGAAATAGTATCAGTTCGAAATCGTCTGTATTCTACTGTCTTCAGTTTGTCTCTGAATCTCATCTTACTGTCCACAGATGAGGCATTTGCGGCCAAACATATGCCCGATCTCGGTCAAGATATCAAAGATTTTCAAGTGTTTACATGGAGGTTAGAGAATTGGAAGAAATTGGATAAGAAGCTCACCAGTCAAGAGTTTGAATGCGGTGGTCATAAATGGTGCGCAAGTTCCTCGTTTGCCTGGTCTTGCTATTGATTGTCGTTCGCGCCACCAGGCGGATATTGCTGTTCCCATTCGGCAACTCGAATGCACCGCCAAACGATACAGTGTCAGTATACTTAGACTACGCAGAACCCAAGAAGGCTCCAGAGGGGTGGCATGCATGTGCCCAGTTCGCGCTTGTGATTTCTAATATCCACGATCCCACTGTTTTCACCGTCAGCCGTGAGTCTATTATCCATCTTTTTGACTCATTTGCTCATACTCGTCCTTTCAGATGCCCATCATCGTTTCATTGCAGAGGAGTGTGATTGGGGCTTCACGCGTTTCAGTGAATTGCGCAAGCTTTTCAACGTTCAGGAAGGCCAACCTCGACCAACGATAGAGAACGAGTCTGCCGATATATCAGTCTTTGTCCGTGTACTGGAGGATCCCACAGGTGTCCTATGGCACAATTTCGTCAAGTACGCCCTTTAGAAGTGCTAATTTTGAAGGTCATTCACCGTATCTTCTAGTTATGACTCCAAGAAAGAAACTGGTTTTGTTGGATTGAAGAATCAAGGAGCAACATGCTATATGAACTCTTTGCTTCAATCTTTATTCTGTACGCGCTACTTTCGAAAGGTTCCTATCTTCGCTTTTTTCACTTTTTCAAGCAGCTCACGCATTCAATATAGGCTGTGTATCAGATCCCAACTGAGGATGATTTACCTACGGAAAGTGTATCTTTGGCTTTGCAGCGCGTATTCTATCATCTACAAACATCAGACCAACCAGTCGGTGCGTATCCGAGCATTGGCTTTGGTGATGCATTTTTTCAGACGACGATCACAGGTACTACCGAATTAACCAAATCATTTGGTTGGAAATCCCTTGACTCATTTTTGCAACATGACGTGCAAGAATTCAACCGTGTCCTCCAGGACAAACTGGAGTCCAAAATGAAGGTATGCTCTATTTTTCTATTACCTAAATATCAAATCATCTGACTTTGTTCTAAGGGCACCATAGCGGAAGGTGCCATTGCAAAGCTTTTCGTTGGGAAGATGAAAAGTTATATCAAGTGTGTCAATGTCGAGTATGAATCGTCGCGAACAGAGGAGTTTAATGGTGAGTCTATTGCACTTGTCCCATCCTCCGCTCACTCGATACCTAGATATTCAACTCAACGTAAAGGGCATGCGAAATTTGTATGAGTCTTTCAAGGATTACGTAGCGGTGGAGAATATGGATGGCGAGAACAAGTATCAAGCGGAAGGTTTTGGATTACAAGACGCGAAGAAGGGCATCATTTTCGAATCCTTCCCACCAGTCCTACACCTCCAGCTGAAACGTTTCGAATACGATATCCAACGCGACGCCATGGTAAAGATAAATGATCGCCACGAATTCCCTTTTGAAATCGATCTTGGAGAATTTTTGGATGCCAATGCAGACCGTTCTAAACCGTGGAAGTACCGGCTCACCGGCGTTTTAGTCCATTCTGGTGATTTACATGGAGGCCACTACTTTGCCCTCATCAAGCCTGACCGAGACACGCGATGGCTCAAGTTCGATGACGATCGGGTGACGCCTGTTACTGATAAAGAAGTGTTGGAGGAGAACTACGGTGGGGAGCCATTGAATGGCTTGCCTCCGACCGCTCAGCGCAATCAAGTTCGCGCCATGAAGCGCTTCACGAATGCATATATGTTAGTATATATCCGAGAATCAGCCATGGATGAGGTTTTGGCTCCGTTCACTGAAGAAGACACACCTCCCCATTTGAGTGCGCATGGTCCATTGCTTTCAAAGTTTGACATCTCATTTTTATTTCATGATAGAACGGAGATTGGACGAAGAGCGTCTCCAAAGTGAAGCGAAGAAAAGGGAACGTGAGGAGCAACATCTGTTCTTGACCGCGAAGGTATGCGAATAGCTTACCGTGGATTTTTCCATTACTTATGTACACAATGACTTTACTACCAGGTTATCACAGATGAAACCTTCTCTCGGCATGAAGGCTTTGACCTGGCCACTTTTGATGAGAAGAATTGGCCACCATCCGATCTTCCTAGTTTCAGAGTCTTGAAACAAGAGACATATAGCGTGTTCAAAAGTCGAGTGGCACAGCACTTCAACTATCCCGAAAATCAGATACGATTATGGGTCCTGGTAAATAGACAGAACAAGACTGTCCGGCCAGACACTGCTATTCCGGAAAACGAACCAACACTGAGTGAGTGTCTTTTTAAAACGTTAATTTTGTGTCCAATCGAAGGGTCATAGCGGTTGAGGTCATTCGCAATAATATGGCGGCAAGACAGAACGATCTGAGGTTGTATTTGGACGTCGTTACAGATCCTTCGAAGGTGAGTTCGTGTTCAGGTTTTCGTGTGACTCGTTAACTCATTTTTCCGTCAGCCCGAATCACCTCCTCAGTCCATTATGGTGTTTTTGAAGCATTTCGATACCTCAAAACAGAATCTATTAGGTGCTGGAAAGGTCTACATGCCACGGACGTCGAAAGTTGGTGATTTAGTACCGATCATCAATGAACGTATGCGATGGACACCAGGAACACCGGTGAAGTTGTACGAGGTAAATCATCATCGGAGGTATTCACTTACTTGTGTATGATTAACGATTTGCCGTTCAGGAAATTAAACCTGGCATGATCGAGTTGATGAAACCTAAACTCTCTTTTGCTCAAAGTGAAATTCAAGATGGCGATGTTATATGCTTCCAAGTCGACTTGCCAGAGAAAGAGTGAGTATCTGTCGTTTATCAATAATTACTTCTTCGTTGACTGCAGTAATCAGAATTCACGACCTCGAAAGTCAGGGCCTTCATTCCAATCCCATCCACTTCTACGACTTCATCCAGAATCGTGTCATGATTATATTCCGACCCAAATATGAAGATTCTGATCACGATCATCCCGAGTTCAGCCTTATCCTGAGCAAGAAGCAGAATTACGATACAGTATGTTGCCATGTCTGTCATTTTTTATCTTCAATATCTCAAGTTGTGCATAGATGTCAATCAAAGCTGGAGAATACCTGCGACATGATCCAATCAAGCTACGATTCACGACTACGCACGCTAACAATGGGAATGCCAAGTCTGTGCTCAAACGATCCTTAAACCAGAGTATCGCCGAAATAATGGCACCATACTACACCACAAGCGCGGTGATACTTTATGAGAAGCTCGATGTCAGTATCGTCGAGCTAGAGACCAAGCGTAGTCTCAAGGTGATATGGACTGGCATTCACAATAAGGAGGAAGGCACTTTTCCCTTCCTCCTACCAAAAACCAGTTCCGTATACGAATTGGCGGAGAACTTAGCGAAACAAGTCACTTTAACGCCCTCAGGAACTGGAAAAATTCGTATTTTTGAGATATCGCGGGACGGCAAAACTCAGAAGGAATTTACCGGCTCAGAGATGATTGGTAATATTCCGGATCCGGTAGACCTATACGCTGAGGTAATGTTTGGAGTTTTTGCAATCGTTGGATTGACCAAGACTGATCTTGATTTGCAGGAAGTTCCGCGTGAAGAGTTGGAAGCTGATGACGCTGACAAGGTCATCGGGGTTTTCCACTTTTCGAGAGAATTGACGCGCACGCACGGCATTCCTTTCAAATTTGTCGTAAAACGGGTACGCTTATATTTCGTTAACTATGTTCTGACAGTACTAACTTGATATTCACGGTAGGGTGAAAAATTCTCCGATACGAAGAAACGGCTTCAAGCTCGATTAGGTGTCTCAGACAAAGACATAGCGAAATACCGATTCGCCCTCATACAAGCATCGACCTTCAAGCAGCCCTCATATATTGAGGATGGTTCGTCCTGCTGCTTTCCCATACATTGATAAAGCTAACGGCGCCTGCTCTAGATGACACCATATATGAACATCAATTCGCACCGGAGGATGTGTTGGGCTTAGACCACATTGACAAATCTGGACGATCAAAAGCAGGTGTAGCAGAGAAGGCAATTGTAATTCGGGGCTAGTCTCTTCTGAATCTCTTCCATGTATCTTTTTACATTGTTCCACATCCACTTTCATCACTTGTATCCTTTTCCTATACAGTAAATTTTACCGCTGGCTCAATATGTATCATCATGGATAATTATATGGCAGGGGTTTCATACATAGATAAATAAGCTAACAGTACTGATGATGGTCGATCGACGTCCAAGATTGACCTACTTTCTCTTCTTACCCTTTTTGCCCTGCTTCTGCATCAGTATGGTTAACAAAGAAGTGACAACTATCAACACACAGATTTTGACTGGCTTTCTGCATCACTAGTAGCTGCATTTTCAACAGTAGTTTGCCCGTTGGCTTGAGGTGCAGCACGAGGAACTGAGTTCGAAGGGGTCATTGTGACAGTTATAGGGGCGATGTTAGGCGTGTTTTGAGCCTTCCGACCATATCTTCTTTCTAGTAGACAGACCAACAAGTTGAGTCTCAAAAGTCACCGAACAACACCATAGAGGAACACACCTAACTCCGTCCTCCTATCTCCGGTCTGCTCAAAGATAGCACGCATCTTTTCGTTGGCGATCATTTCGTTGGCCGTTGGGAAAATGATAGGACCCCAACCCTCCACGAACGAATTAGCTTCATTCATGACCTCTATGATTTCAGCTTCCATCTCCTTCTCCGCAGCGAGCAAGCTGTTCAAAAGATCGTCTCCCACAGAACCTTTCTGGACAAGATTTTGCAGAGCCGGTTTGTCTTCTCGTATACGCATAACACGCAGGACATCAGCGATGGCACGACGGACCAGCGCCGATTTGAGGATAACCTCTGGGGTAGGTGGATCTGTTTTCTGAAGGAGGGTGACGTAGGTATTTCTTTCAGGATGTGAAGTGAAGTATGGCTCGGGGATTCGAGCTGAATAGGGCGCGTCAAAGGGAGAGTCGATGAGAAAGCAGGCAGATTTACTTACAAGCTGCCTGTCTTCTGTAATAGTAGGAGAAGATGAACAAGCTTCCAAACACAATGATGATGTACGCGACCGGTACCAGGACAGAAGCCATTTGAGAAGGAAAAAGTCTAGTGATGAGCTGGCCGCTATCGCGGAACACGTTTCTGTCTCTTACAAAGCACTAGTTCATCACGTGAATGTCATGCTAGTACATACGTCGGGATACTCCGGCTACATCGAACCCGGCTTTCTCAAGTTTGACTTCTTGGTCTTGACCTTGAGCCCTTGAGCCCTTGAGCCTCGAACGTTGTTGTCATGTTTTTGAGTAATTCCGCTTCCCGCACATTCCCCATTTTCTTGCATATCCGCTCACCCTTTAGGCGTTTGGCTTCAACAAAGGTTTGTACGCGTCTGCGATGGTCATACGCGCCGTTCTGACAACGAACAGTCTCTCAAAGAGACCATCGAAGAGGTCATACCTGTGAAGCAAGCACATTTGAAGAAACTCGCAAGTCTCCCACTCTTTTGCCATCTATACTCTAGCTCACCTGTGTTCAGAAAACAGAGTACTCTGATGTCTCTATTGGTGATGTAAAGGTACACATGGATGTATCTTCTGGCTATACCTTTGGCTCAGCGACATCTTCAGGTTGGGAATGTCATAGGAGGTATGCGAGGCTTAAGAGCGATGCTATGGGACTCGTCTGTCCTAGATCCTGAAGAGGCAAGTTGTTCTGTGTATTAACTGTATCCTTTTGCCCTTCATTCTTTCTTCTGTGATCAGGGCATTCGCTTCCATGGACTATCAATCCCCGATGTACAAAGGGCACTTCCCGCAGCGCCTGGTGGCAAAGAAATCATAGCCGAAAGTATGCTCTGGTTGTTGCTCACAGGGCAGGTCCCATCTGCGGAACAGACTCGGGAGCTGTCTCGAGAACTAGCACAGAAGGGAAACTTGCCACCATCCGTTGCGAGCCTTATTGATTCGTGAGTGCCTCTTGTTGTGTTATGCGGTAAGTTACTGATGGGAATACACTTTTAGATTGCCCAAAACGTTGCATCCGATGACGCAGTTAGGCATCGGCGTCGCTGCTTTGAACCATGACAGCTCCTTCCAAGCAGCGTACGAGAAGGGCATCAAGAAATCTGAATACTGGAGATATACTTTGGATGATTCTATCAACCTTGTTGCTCGCCTCCCTGCACTCGCCGCCCGCATTTATCGTAACGTTTACAAACCTGGGGCCACTTTACCTGAGATTGACCCGGAGTTAGACCTTGTTGGTGAGCCGATCAAACTGATGCACAGTTCTTAACTGAACCCGATACAGGCAACTACTCTAAGATGCTGGGCTACGGCGATAATCACGACTTGACTGAATACCTTCGACTGTATATCTCTATTCATGGGGATCACGAGGGAGGAAATGCATCGGCTCATACAGCTCGTACGTGTAGCATGGAAGACTCAAGTCATGGGTTTGCTGAGATCTGGTTCATCCAATGACACATAGATCTCGTGGGTTCAACGCTTTCAGACCCTTATTTGTCCTATGCTGCAGCATTGTTTGCACTTGCTGGTCCTCTCCATGGGTATAGCTTTCATTCTTTTCGGCCAGAATTGTGCTTATCTCTACCGAACAGCTTGGCGAACCAAGAAGTCCTTCGTTGGCAACTCTCCATGTTGAGAGAAGTCGGGGAGGAAGTATCTCATGACACCATTCGGGAATATCTCTGGAAAACTCTCAAATCAGGACAAGTTGTTCCTGGGTAATCCCAGATCTTCTTCGACGTTTTACAACTCATATCTTTTCTACTTGCTCAGCTACGGACATGGTGTTTTGCGAAACCCTGATCCAAGATTCATTGCGCTGCAAGAATTCTGCGAATCCAAGCCCGAGCTTCTCAATAGTCCAATCATTCAACTGGTAAAAAAGGTAATTGTGCCTCGATCATGACTACATTACTTTCTATCGACACTTCTGCTCCAGACTTATGAGGTCGCTCCCGATGTTTTGAAAGAACATGGCAAAGTCAGTTTATCTATTGATTTGCTGACTTCGTCCTATATTAATGCAATCACAGACTAAGAACCCATATCCCAATGTCGATGCAGCGTCCGGTTTGTTTATTCTCTTGAATAATTAGAAGCTGTGATTGACCCTCGACTTAGGCTGTGTCTTGTACCACTATGGTCTGACTGAATTTAAGGTATATTCATATGTGCCTTTGCGGTGAATCTTCATTGAATGTGGTTATATTTAGTATTACACTGTGATCTTCGGTGTTTCTCGAGGTAACAGCTCATTTTTTCTTTCAATCTGAGAGTATCTACTGATTTGGACCTCCAGCATTGGGTTGTGTCACTCAGCTTGTGTGGGCAAGAGCTCTGGGGCTGCCTCTTGAACGTCCAAAATGTAAAGTCTCTTCGCCTGCTTACATTGGCACCTAATTCTGATGATCTTGTGCAGCATACTCACTAGAAGCTATTGAACAACTAGCAAAAAGTGGTAGTCCTTGAGCATGGGAACTTCTTATTGTAACGAATCAAAAAGATTCAACGGTCACTACTGTACAACAGATATACGTTCAATGCTCCTTTCATGTACTTGTAAGGGTACAAAGCACGGAGGACGAAAACTATGTGATCAAATAAATATGTAAAACCTATCAACCCAATCAGATGACATTACTCGAAAAGAAGGAAAGGGTATACGTGGTTGATATGGAAACATCAACCGGCATCCCAAGTCAGTTCACATCAGAACCGTCGTGATGCTCCCTGCTGGGGAGGAATCTGTTGCGGAGGCGGGGGATGTCCTTGCATAGGCATAGGCCCACCTTGAGGAGGTGGTGGCCCTCTGTATCCAGGACCTGGAGGCGGCATTCCACCACGCATTTGAATCTGGGGACCGGAGCCGGGACCATATCCTTGAGGTGGCATAGGGCCAGGCGGTCCAAATCCTGGCGTACCTGAACCAGGAGGGCCTTGATTAGGCGGATAAGGACCGCGGGGAGGGGGCTGGTTCTGAGGATAACCTTGTCCCACAGGTGGACCCGGACGACCTCCTGGTGGGAGAGAATTGCTGTGCGGCATCATCATCGGACGCTGGGCACCTGGATCTTGACCGGGAATAGGTGTTCCACGAGGTGGCATAGGACCATTAGCAGCAGGCATGGGCGATGGTCCTGAGCGCGGCGGCATATTAGAGACCGGTCCTGAATCTTGAAGAGAGACAGGTGCAGGACCGCCCATGCCACCAGGTGACTTCTCGGCAGCTTTCATGATTTCGTCGCTGTGACTGGTGAGATAATGATCCACACACGAAATGACAAACTTACTCAAGCAGGTTCAAGGCAGCGCACAGCACAACCCATTCGACGCAGTCTTCGTTACCTTCGCCAAGAGTTTGCCACACTGCCTTTTCCTCAGGTGTCTTTCCGGTAATGCTTATTCGAGTACCACCGCCGTGGGGATTCTTCTGAATTTTGCCAAACTCGATACGCTTAGGAGGAATGTTATGACCAGCATATGCAAAGTAGAACATACTCCAGAAGGCGGCATTTGGATTAGGCTTGGAAATTTGAAAAAGCGGAAGATCTGGAGAGTCTGGAGAAGGAAGAGATAGTTTGTAAATGGGAGATATAACACCAGTGTTTGCTATAGTCCATTTCAGATTGCGAGAAGCTTCACAACGAGCGACACGAGATCCAGCGGGCGATGAATGTCCTGGTTCTGAAGCAGATCGTTTCGCAATTTCTTTGGGTGGAGGGGGAAATATTTTAGCAACACATAAATCGCCCTTAGGAGAAGGTGTTAAAAGATAGTTCTCTGAGTTCTATGAAGGTAGTGATGAGCGTAAACATGAGCGAAGTCAAGATTGAGTTCCTACAAAGTTGGTATGCAGATAAGAGTATAGGATGTTCTCCGGTTGACCTAGAAATGGTTCAAAAATCTTTACAGGTAAGGTGTACGAAAGCGTTTACCGTGAGGAGTCACAATTAGCGTGGGGAGATGGTTAGGGATCGGTGGGTCAGTAGGATGGGTATATACCGCGTAAATTGCTGAGGAAGTCGTCAGACATTATTCAGCAGAGAGAGCAGAGAGACCTACCAGCCATGGTGATGGGCGCAAAGTAAGATAACTACCTCAGCCTGTAACCGGTTGCAGCGATAACCCCGTGACTTGCCTATTTCCGGATCTATTAGTATTACTATTGGTGTTGCTGCGGTTGAGAAGCGAACGACACCTTCAGAAATTGTTGAACAAAAAAACAAAGCGAGTGAGGGAAATTGAGATAATGATAATGTAATAAGGTCTAATGAGATCCAAGAAGTCGAAAAGGTCAAAAGTTAAAAGATGAAAAGAATGCGTGACGCTTGATATAGTGACACATTCAGTCACGGTTGAATCGATTTAGCTAGATTTAGCTCGACGACGACCACAACAACGTACCGACCGATTCCGTACTTTTGTGACAACAATTTCCAACAAAGTTCCTTGCACTGTTCATCATGAAAGGTCTTAAAAAGACTTTGGTATTTCCTTCTAACTTTAAGTAATGCGCGCAGCTAATACTGGTCCAGCTGAACAGAAAGAGCTCGCAGGACAGCACGTCCAAGAAAGAACAGAAAGCAAATGCTTTAGCAGCCTCTGCGGCTGCTAATCCACCACCACCACCCCCTAATACTTCCAAGCCACTGCCGAATCCGACCATTTCTCTCAACAATGCTTCTAATCACTCCTCTCAACCTCGTTCATCGTCCCCTGCCTCGTCGCAACCTTCTACTCCGGACCGCAGGCACTCCGGCGATGCTTCGCTTTCTCCTCCTATCGTCGTCGTCAGTCCCGATAACTCGGCAGAATCAGCTCATCGCACTCAACTTTTGTCTGAACGGCACGCCTCGAATCTTGATAGCCAAGGAAATGCCACTCCCCCTCGTAATACTACCCTCAACCGCCTAAGAGCCGGACCCAAGGATACCATCCCTATCGTTGGTAAACCTCCGCGGAAGCAGAGGAGCAGTCGTTTCGTCGTGACGGAAAAGGTCGAAATAGAGAGACTTCCACCATTCATCGGTCTGTTTACTTCACATTCTTGTCTTCCTTCACCGTTCACATGTCGTAATAGAAACACCTGTGAATGAGCGACCGATCCTTTTCATCAAAAAGCTACACCAGTGCCGGGTCCTGTTTGACTTCAACGACGCCAGTGCCGAACTCAAGGGTAAACAGATCAAGGCTCAAACGTTGCATGAGATGCTGGAGTATATCACCACGCAGCGTGGTGTTATTACCGAAAGTGTATACCCCGAGGTGGTCAACATGGTTCGTGTCATATTACAACCCCCTTCATCTCCATCGGTTTTGACACCTCCAATTTTAGTTTGCCGTTAACCTCTTCCGTTCGATACCCCCACCTGTGAACCCCATCGGAGATGCGTTTGATCCCGAAGAGGATGAGCCTGTCCTCGAACTCGCTTGGCCTCACCTTCAAATCGTGTATGAATTCTTTCTTCGATTTGTCGAAAGCCCCGATTTCAATACGAATTTGGCCAAACGGTACATCGACCAACCCTTTGTTCTCAATCTTCTCGAACTTTTTGACTCGGAAGATCCGAGGGAACGCGACTTTTTGAAGACGACGTTACATAGGATCTATGGAAAATTCTTGAACCTCCGTGCGTTCATCAGGCGCTCCATCAATAACGTTTTTTACCACTTCGTCTATGAAACTGAACGCCACAATGGTATTGCTGAGTTACTGGAAATCCTAGGCTCTATTATCAACGGTTTCGCCCTGCCTCTCAAAGAGGAGCACAAGATCTTCTTAACCCGCGTACTCATTCCCCTCCACAAAGTCAAAAGCCTTTCGCTATATCATCCTCAGTTGGCCTATTGCGTAGTGCAATTCTTGGAAAAGGATCCATCACTGGCGGAGGATGTGATGATGGGCTTGCTCCGGTACTGGCCCAAGGTCAACTCTCCCAAGGAGGTGATGTTTCTGAACGAAGTGGAAGAAGTACTTGATGTCACCGATCCTGTAGAATTCCAGAAAATTCAGGTGTCATTGTTCCAGCAGCTGGCCCGATGCATCAACAGTCAGCACTTCCAAGTAGCCGAACGGGCGTTGTTGTATTGGAATAACGAATATGTGGTGAACTTGATGAGCGATAACCTCGCGACCATCCTTCCAATCGTTTTCCCTGCCTTGTACACCAACTCGAAATCGCACTGGAATAGGTATTGTGCATTTCCTTCTCGTAACTTTCAGCCCTGATTATCTGTTAGAACAATACATGGCATGGTATACAACGCCCTGAAGTTGTTCATGGAAATTAACCCCGATCTATTTGATGAAACGATGCAGCAATACAAGCAACGGAAGATCAAGTGGGTGAAAACACCTTAATTCCCCGATCCCTTCGACTTATCTATGATTTACAGCGAGCAACAACAAGCCGTCAGTCGATTTGAAGCTTGGCAAAAGATGCGTCAAAAGGCCGTAGAAAATATAGGAGGAAAGTTGCCTGAGGGATTTGTCGAGATACCGTATCCGTCTCCACCTCCGCCACCATCAGCTGAAGATGTCGATATTCTTGATCTGTCGATGGAGTTGAACGCAGCATCGATTGACGACGTGACAGGAGGTCTAGACGAGCACGGCATCGAACGGGTGCCCATGGCTGACCCGGGACTGGATGTGCGTTAATTCATCATAACTCCAAGTCGTAGTGACAGTATATCTGAGAATCCATGGTTTCCCTTGCCTTTTTTCCCACTTTGTCTTTTACCCTGGTATAGCAAATGTACCCCGATGTGGGAACAGACCTTACAGCATCGAGTCCTGGTCAAAGCCCCCATGTTCGCCGAAAAAGTGTGCTACCAGGTACGCGCTTTTTATGAATCCATCTTACAGATCATTCACATCATGATGCAGTGGATCCTTCGGTTCTTCATGATCTACAGGCGCATCGAAGTCTTGATGAACCTAATAGGAACGGTTTACATTGATTTCCGATATGTCCACTTCTGAAGATACAACCGTCAACATTATGAGTATCTCTTTGCTCCTCAAAAAAACACTATAGTTCAATCAATTCCTTGTCCAATTTTCTCGACTTCACATTCTGTTCCTCGTATATTTACTCTAATCAACACCATGTGTTCTCTTATCCTCTTCTATCTTCCACTTCATTTCTGTGTCGCTCCGGAGCTTTTTGGCATTTTTACCCTTCATACACTCTTTTAGTTTCGATATATCATTGTGGAACGTTGTTCACTGTAATGCTGTTCTTTCGTGTGTCAGTACGTTCGACGCATAATGCTATAAACCTTGCTTTTTCGCAATAAATCGCTGTCACTCACCAATCGCGATGTATGCAAGTATGAATCACGAGAATGTACCAGATGGATGAGAGTGATGATCTCGACAGATCTTCCTGTTTCGCATTGCTTCGCGGCCAAGCATCCGTAATGCAAATGTGTAGACGGTACTGTAGCTCTTTGACTTGATTTGTGAATGCTGTTGTAAACCTGGATTAACGCGCACTGCGCGTCTTATCTCAACTTTCTTTCCGGGAGCAAAGGCCCTGTTCTTAGTAAACACCTACAACCCCGAGCAAGACAGTATTCAGAGATATATAAGAAATACCTCCGTCAAAGACGGGGTCCCACAAAATACTCGATCCTCGTCATTCTCCAGTATTGTAACTTACTCCGTACACTCTTTATCAAAGAAGTAGCATTTCATCACAACTTATATGTCTCTGTTACTCCGACTAAGAGTCCCGTCAGAGCAGGTATACTTTTCGAGATTCGATGCCTGCACATCATACCTCAATACTTCGGCAACTTTGTTGTTAGCAGTTACTAAAGTGCACTCACACTGGACGTGTCCAAGCCACTCGAGCTCGACTCTTCGGAGCCCATCTGACTGAGCATAATGTGCCTGTTAGTTAGACCCGCTTCGGCATCGCCCTGCGATTTTACTGTGTTGGCAAAGCGTATGTCCTCCATGTTGGAGACTGTCGTGTCATCCCCTGAACCACGAATAAAGTGTCGGGCATTCAAGTTGGCAAGAAATGTGGAAAAGTAGATGGAACATTGCGGGTATTGTGCAATCGCAGTCCAAAAGTCCGTTCCGCTAGCGGTCTCGTCCTTTGTACATCTAGTAAGCGACATATCATTATCGCAGGTGTAAAAGGAGACTCGCAAGGATGAGGGAAATAATGGTCACGACGGCGGTCACCAATCCAGTATTAACAATAGTGACCGTCAAGCGGCGCATGATTCTCGAGATCCTAAAGATAATCGGTAAGTTTGAATGCACCTTCTGAATGGCTTGAATTGGGCTGCTCCGTCGACAGAATCAGTGTCTTTGAGGAGCATGAGCATGGCTACTGCAATGACGAAATCAACTACAACGGACGCTACGAGTCCCACCCTCTTGAGATCCTGAAAGAAGCATTCAACATTAACTGCGAAAAAATTTCTCAAGACACAAAAACCAGGTTGATCGGGATGAATATATTTGGCTTGTTTATCGAGAAGACGCAGTAAGCCATAGACCAGCCAGCCAGCCTGAACTCAGAAATCGGAAACCTGCTCTTCACACCAGTTCCATAACCTCTCTCCCATCTCTAAGTTCTGTGCATGGATACTGGGAACCTGCCGTCGCGCCCAAGCAGTCAAGTACTGTGCGACAGATCGTCAGCTTTTATCGAGAATCATTCTTATGAATAATGTTACCTCTCCATTCATGTGCAGCGCTGCCTCCGAGGTTGCCGCGTACAAAGTTGTGATAATACCCAAAGAGACAGGATAAATACGTATCTTCTCAACTATCCAGGCAATAATAGGATGCAGGTGACGCAGCAGTTCTGACTTGACACCGCCTGAACAAAAATCATTATCAGATGAGGGTAAACATCACGCTCGAGGCACTATAACGCGCCTGGATGCAAGGAGATAGCCACGACACCCTGATCGCCGTACCGTCGTGCGAGCTCGGAGGAGATGAGGACCACGCCCTGTCACGTCGCGGAAATATCAAACTATTATAGGATCAGCATAAGCATACCAGTCACACACCAGTTTACTTTGGCCATATAAGCGAGTTCCTGTAAGTTTTTTTCCGTGCCGGCGTTGCAGCATCCCCCTTCTGAAGCGAATCCCAAACGATGCCTTTTTTGGGGGCGGTCATTTCGTGCGCGTCCGACGATACAGATACCACACGAACAGGCTTTGGCGTCCCAGATATCTCACCATTTGCAGTGCGCAGGAGCGTGGGCATCAACAGTAGGGTGAAGAAGTAGTGTCCTACGAAATGTAAACTAATCATCACATGCGTCAATGAGAAACGGTACCCAGGACGTGCACTCCGAATTGAACATCATAGCCCTGCGCAGTTTGAGGACCAATGCCAGGAGAGTACAAAAACCACTGCAGCGAAATGTCAATAGGGAATCTTGATCCGTTCATGATGTGTACTGCTCACGCATTATTAATGAGGACATGTAGTTCCTGCTCCATTGAGATGTATTGTTCTGCAGCTTTCCTGACGGAAGAGAGGTCGGAAAGGTCAATCTTTAAGAAATGAATGTTTGATTTCCCAGTGCTCCGACAGATATCGTCTATAGCTGTCTGAGCTCTCTCTTCCGAACGTGCGGCGAGATACACCTTAGCATTGCGGGCAACCAATATCTATTTGGAAGGTTCAGTTACAAGCTATAAGCAAAAGAAAAGAGTTGTCGCACACGACAGGTCTCCCTTCCAATACCGACGTTGCCGCCTGTGACCAAAAATATCTGGCCACTCAGGTCGGGGACATCTTCTGGGGCCTTCCACGTTGGCTTTGGCGGCCACTTCTCGCTGAAAGATCCAACGCGCGCAGGTGGAGGGAGCTTTGACACAGGCATGGCAAAGATAATTCTTCAAGGAAACTCAATTCACAGGTGCAAGTTTGTGATTCGAAGTTGGTGGGAGAAGTGCTGAGAATTTGAAGTGTGTACAGTACACTACTAATAGAAGCTTCGATTGATTAGGAAAAGATGATACTTGCGTTTGCCATTGCCGAAGACTGTTACAATTGATCTCCGAGGGAGCAGTACAGTCGCCAGTTCATCTTGATGATCAGTAGTAGATGGTAGTTTGTGCTCAGCATTTTGAAAGATGCATGTACATAACAAAAAATTGATGGCCAAACCCTTTTGAAAAATAAATCTTGAAAGCGGTCCGCACGTTTAATGAGAAATATAGATTACATTGCAGTGTCTAGCTACAGGAAAAAATATGGTGTTAAGAATGCTAATGTGTAATATACATTGTCACTGTGTCAGGTCGTAATGATTATTTTGGTTCTGAGATCATGTTAATTGGAAAGCAAGCAGAACCCGAGTTTAGGAAACAACGACGACGAGAACGGAAGGGTAGAGGCAAGCGTTAGTTGGAGAAAGTAAAAAGTTCAATACCCAAAGCCCAATCATCTAGTCTACTTCCTCGACGGAGGGCCCTTCCTCAGCTCCTGCACCAGGGAAGCCACCTGGTGCACCGCCAGGGAATCCTCCAGCTCCAGGGAAGCCACCTGCATCAGGACCACCAGCAGCACCATACAGTTTTTGCATGATTGGGTTTGCGATCGCCTCAAGCTCCTTCTGCTTCTCTTCGTACTCCTCCTTCGATGCCTCCTGGCTCTCGTCGAGCCACTTGATGGTTTCGTCAACATGGGTCGTAAGCTTAGCCTTGTCTTCCGGACTGAATTTATCGGCAAGCTTCTCGTCGGTAAGGGAGTTACGAAGATTGTACGAGTAAGATTCGAGACCGTTCTTAGCAGTGATTCGGGCAGTAGCAGCCTCGTCCTCGGCTTTGTATTTCTCCGCCTCTGAAACCATGCGTTCGATCTCTTCCTTCGTAAGACGGCCCTTGTCATTGGTGATGACGATACGGTTTGACTTGCCGGTACTCTTATCAGCGGCAGAAACATTCAAGATACCGTTGGCATCGATGTCGAAGGTGACCTCGATTTGAGGTACACCACGGGGAGCAGGTGGGATACCAGAAAGCTCGAATTTCCCAAGGAGGTTGTTGTCCTTAGTGCGAGCACGTTCACCCTCGAAGACTTGGATGAGCACACCAGGTTGGTTATCGGCGTAAGTTGAGAAGGTTTCAGACTTCTTAGTCGGGACAGTGGTGTTACGCTTGATGAGTGCGGTCATCACACCACCAGCAGTTTCAATACCGAGGGAGAGGGGAGAGACGTCGAGGAGAAGTAGATCCTGAGTCTTCTCAGAAGTGTCACCGGATAGAATCGCAGCTTGGACAGCAGCACCGTAGGCAACAGCCTCATCGGGGTTAATGCTCTTGTTGGGCTCCTTACCATTAAAGAAGTCGGAGACGAGCTTGACGATACGAGGAATACGAGTTGAACCGCCGACAAGGACGATTTCGTGCACATTGGCCTTATCAATCTTGGAATCGCGAAGGACCTTCTCGACAGGATCGAGAGTGCTACGGAAAAGGTCTTGGCAGAGTTCCTCGAAACGGGCACGTGTAAGGGAAGTGTAGAAGTCAATACCCTCATACAAGGAATCGATTTCGATCGAGGTCTGAGCGGCAGAAGACAGAGTACGCTTAGCACGTTCGCAAGCGGTACGGAGACGACGAACGGCACGAGGGTTAGAAGAGAGATCTAGAAAACGGAGTTAGGGAACGAATTACGTACACGATAATTTTAAAAAAAAACATACCCTTTTTGTTCTTGCGCTTGAATTCTTGAATAAAGTGGTTAACCAACCTGTTGTCAAAGTCCTCACCGCCAAGATGGGTGTCACCAGCAGTGGCTTTGACTTCGAAAATACCTTCTTCGATCGTCAATAGGGAAACATCAAAAGTTCCTCCTCCCAAATCGAAAATCAAGACATTACGCTCGCCAGACACCTTTTTGTCGAGGCCATAAGCAATCGCCGCGGCAGTTGGTTCGTTAATAATACGGAGGACATTCATTCCGGATATGGTTCCGGCGTCCTTGGTTGCCTGACGTTGAGAGTCATTGAAATACGCGGGAACGGTCACGACTGAGTTAGTGATAGTGGTGCCGAGGAATGCTTCGGCAGTTTCTTTCATTTTGAGGAGGACCATCGAAGATATTTCTTCAGGTGACTAGGTAACATGACAATCAGTAACTCATAAGATAAAATGGGTAAAAGAACACATACAAATTGTTTTTTCTCGCCGCGGTATTCAACCTCAATGTACGGCTTCCCCTCTTTTGAAAAGACAGTGAAAGGGAAGTGCTTCATATCGGCTTGAACTTCAGCGTCATCGAATTTACGACCAATGAGACGCTTGGCGTCGAAGACACTGATAGGAAAGTGTCAGTGAAAGAGATCGAGAAAGATCAGTCAACGGACATACGTATTATGAGGGTTCATCGCGACTTGGTTCTTTGCGGCATCACCGATAAGACGCTCTCCGTCGGTGAAGGCGACATAGGAAGGCGTCGTTCGGTTACCTTGGTCATTGGCAATAATTTCAACTCGATCGTTTTGCCACACACCGACACACCTGTAAAACAAAAGATCAGTTTTAATCGAGCATTGAAAGAAAAGAAGCGCTTACGAGTATGTAGTGCCGAGATCGATACCAATAGCTTTTGAGGAAGACATTATGCGCGAAGTTTTGGATGGGTGAAGGGAAGATGGATGTTGAAAATATGTGATCTGATGTGATGAGAACCTGGAGCCAAATTTTATAATTTCGAGCGATTACTCCTCGAAAGCTGGAGAACCTTCCAAATTGTTCGAAACAGTTCTACGTGCGTCTGTGGTCATGTGATGTTTGAATTAAAATCAATGATATGACCTCACCGACGGTCACCGACTGCTATGAGCTTATGCCACACGTGTCTTTTATGAAGAGTGCAGGTCCCTGCTCGAAATCTGGGGATAACTAATCGATTCGATCAAGATAAGAATGTTGTTCAGTTCTTTGTGGAATCAAGATAGCCAGGTAGAACCAACAAATAATATTTGCATGAGCGTTCACGGTACAGTAGAGTATGTACAAATCTTGTACAGATGTCCTTCAGTTCCATTGAATTTGAGTGCACCCGCCAAAGTTGATCCCCCCGCTACAGGCCTTGATATTTTATTTTCCCCGGCTTTTACCACAAAATTGGCACTGGCGAAACCGTCTAGATTAGCAAATGCTAGGGGGAGGTCAATCGCGATACTTCAATCCCAACCTATGAACCAAGCGCATGAATACTCACTGATGTTTTTCATCGCATAATAAGTAGCATTGAGCACTTCGGGGCCGATGACAAGAGTAAAGAAGCCCCGATAAGAACCCTCACTCCATTGTAAGTCCAAATTCGCGGCAACATACTGTTGAGACTTCACGTCTGCTGCAGCAGGTGAAATGTCGGTACCAAACGAAGAACCAGAAGTGACCGCAGTCCCGGCGAACTCCACGCCAATCGCACCTTGACCGGTTAAAGGGTCGTACCTACGAAAGAAAAGAGCAACAAGAGAGAAGTAGTAGGAAAAGGAGGAGATAATGGTTACGCGGTTAGATTGACATGATTGTGGAGAGCTACAAACGTAGTTGAGTCATTAGGATCTGCAGAAACCGTGTCAATTAGTCCTACGTATGGTAACGCAATAGGAAAGATTTACGAGCAAGGTCTGACGCCCAATTCGCATGGCTATCTCCAGAAAGAACAATTGTGTTGTTGATCTTATTTTCATATAGATAGCCCAGGACACGTTCACGATTAGCACGATAGCCATCCCATGCATCCTAATATTAGTAGTGGATTGATCATTATAGAGTTTTCTTCTGGAGGATAGTCCCCTGACATACCAAATCGACTAGAAGCAAGGTAAAAGGTTCCGAAAGTGAGCCTGCATGTCAGAACCACCAGTTCAAAATTGAAGCAGGCAAACGTTTGACTTACAAACCCCACTCTCGTTGAGCTGCGTGAATACTATTTGCTGTCTGTGATAATGCGGAATGTAGGTTGGAATTCCGAGCCTCCAATGGATGAGTACCTACCCTACCACCCGCCATGCGGCTCCGCGATCTTGAGATTGAGAAAGCGTGTTGAAGAACCCTGTAATGAGAAGATCACCACAATGTCGGTCACCCTGCAAGCGTCGTTAAACATCGGAATTGACTGACATTTTTCTTGTTCAAACCCCATTAACGAACGGTTAGGGTAGGCCGCCAATGTGTTGATGACTACGTACATAGGTAAGTACAGAGCTGGTGAACTAGAACGCGTCGTTAAAGCTCACATTCTGTGGGACACGGGATATGGTCACAATCGTGAACCGGGAACTGGTGTAATTGGCTGTCAATAATATAAGCATACGTACCAGTATTGTAATAAAGCTGTCGAATATAATGCATCAGTTGAACGTATTCCGTGTAGTGCACCGTATCAAAGGCGATACTTACGTCCGTGATATCTCTGTCATACTGGCCTGTAATCGATGATATCAGTACGACTCCCTGAAGGGAGTTTGAGATTTACGCGTGTCAAGCATAGTCAGATCCAATAGCTTCCCAATTTCAAAGTTTCGCCAAATCCGCAGTTTATCATCGACGGTGACTTGTCTAATAGGCATCCATTCGTGGTATGCACTACAAACAACAAATGAGTCTGAAAAGAATGAGATAGCAAACAATGTGGGTCTACTCGCCGAACGGCTGCCAACTTCCTGTCCGTAAAGCATGCGCCTGAGGGTGAGAATTCGCAACCGATGGCGCTGTCGGCGATAGACGGTAAGCAAACATCCCGAGATCGGGAATCGGGAATGCAGATACCTGTCGTTGGAGTCTGCTGTTCCTGCTTTCCACGACTGGTCTGCTACCTAAATCACGGATCTATATTGAATTTTATTCATGTTATTCGGAATGTACAGGCACCCACCTCATGATCATCCTAAATTCCTGACTTTTAGCAAGCTTATTTCAATGAGGTAACTCATCTTACCCTAGAAAAGCATGTTATTGTATTGTCAATTGAAGAACTCGGAGGCCAAGGATTAACACAAACCAAACTGTAATCCAAGGTCCACTCAAATGCGCCGCGAGAAGCCCTTCATCTGTACGATACTGATTGAGACGTTGACGATAGTCATGCACAGTAGCAAGCTCTCGTCCAAGTGTTTGTCGACCAATAGAAGCACCGTTTCCTAGAGATTCATAAATCTAAAATCTCAAATCAGTATAGCATCTGGGTTAGAAAATATTACCACTGCGGAAGACGGTACGTACATAATCTCCTAGGTGTAGAAAGATCTCCGCACTAGTACTGTGTGCCGCATATCCATACGCATTGAACCAACCTACCATGAATAAATCAATGAATTTGAGCGTTTCATTGGAAGAAACTGCTTGCCTGCTTGATACTGCGAACATGAGAATACTGCCAATGTGATAGGGTTACCTCCATTAACTTCCTCTGCGGGGGCTTCGAAGAACCAAGATCATAGTTTTAAAATTCTCAATGGCCTACGGTTAATCAGCACTTACTGTCCGGGGAAGGAAGAGTTCTGGTTGTCCCAACCGGGCTCACACTAGAAGAATTAGTGCAATCTGAGAATTGGAAAAAGTATTTGGTATCGGGAGTCAAGCCAGTTGCCTCTACTTTGAGTGTCCAGTCCACATCGTAGCTAGTAAATGCTTCGCCAGTGTCTATAGGTTCTCCTTGCAGATCCGGAGAAGTCGATATTGCGAACGAAAGGCAAGCGGGGACGCTTTGGTCTGGTAGTTGCGTGGTATTGGAAGGAGAAACTGGGACTGCGCGAGTCCAGAGCAAGACCGACGTATTAAATGGATCCCCCTGCTCGTAATCGTGATATTACTTTCTGTTCACGAAAAATAGCTAGTACACGGGTCTTACACTAGCCACTATGCCATTTTTTGCGGTGAGAATACATCAAAATGCGGAGAAGTATACAAGCGTACCAGAGTGCGTGAAATTCAGTCCACCCTTCCAGATCGTAGGGCTCTAAAACTGTAGTCAGATGTCAATGCAGTTCGTCGAAGTGCGCCGCTATTCACGTTGCTGAAGTCGCCTCCGTAGAAGGTGGGATAATGTTTATCCACAAATGGAGACGCGTCTTCGGTACTAGTTTGGCGACGGGCATGCGCGATATGTCTTTTGGCGATTTCCCTGGTATCAATGGCCGACTGGGAAGCAAATGACTATTCTGTTGCTGCCCTATTCCAAAAGAGTCCACATACCTGAGTGTGCCCAGAAAAGGGCGAACCGTACGCCAAGTTTCTATCCAGCAGAACAGTGGTAGCCCTGCAGGATGTAAGATGGAAAAAAGTCAACAAGAGGAACACGGGGAAGTTTATCATTATGGCTGTAAGTATTGCTGAGGCAGTTTCGATGCTCTTGGAATCACACGAATCCTTCTTTATGGGCAGCATGTCTTTATACAAGAGCCAAATGGTGCGTCACAACTGAATTTAATCTTCATGTACGCAATTGTACGCAATGCGGCCCCTTGCAAGTGTATGACTAGCTCGACCTTCGGGCCCCATGACAACACACGTTCGTTCTGGATATCGCAGATGTGAGATAGATATATAGGGATTTGGCGAGCATCCACGAGGGCAAGCCCGCCACTGCATGAGGAACCTGAAAGAATTTAGAGTAAGGTTGATTTACATCTCACATAGCGGAGAGATGTGTGGTGCTTAGTGAGGCCTAGACGGTGCTAGGAGAAAAAATAAGTTCTCACGGTTAGGTTCAGCACTAGAAATTTTCTTCACTCATCGTGAATATTTAACTATCCTATCCTATCCTGGCTCGCGAGAATAGTCTAACACTATGGGTTCTCGGTTAGAGAATTACATGCTCTTAGATACTGCTCCAACTCATAATTCGAATGGTGCGGACCTGACCCTCAGGAAAATCTTTGAACGTACAGTGCTGCCAAAAACTGCCAAAAATAAAGCCATCGCGAAAACTTCGGACAATGCACTGAAAGCACGGATTCGGAATCTCTCTTGCCATGCATAAGGTCCAGGATACACTGGCACGAATCGGAACAGTGAGTTTGGTTTACTGACACTATCCTTCACGTGCAGCTCGACTGAATTCTTCCTCTTACCGTTAATGTTGAAGAGCGACTAAGACGCATCGTCGAGTTTTCTCACAGTTGATTTACACAAACGAGCCGAATCTCCGTGATCTATCGGTTTTGTTTGTAAGCTAAGAGCTTTCAATGAACGCGCATGGCATGTAAGTACTATGTATTGGGACTACGTTGGAAATACATCAAAACATATCTCTTCCCTTCTCTATTCCTTCCCTCACCGCTCTTTGTAAAGTCATGAAGTCTGAACATGGCTCTACAGAAATCCCCCCACCCTCGATGTCACGTTCTGCATCCAAGTCGATAGAAAGAGTTAATACCTTTAGGTTCCGGCCCACGGAAGACAGTGATAGCGGAGATGAAGTATCGCGCGCTCAAAGTAATCGGAAATCTTCCTACACAACAAAATCGTGCGTATTCCTCCAATACTCTTCAACGACTTCTCACCGATTCATCTATATCAGCTCCGGCGCTTGTGTACACTGCAAATCACTCAAAGTCTGTATGAACGCTATCACTCTCTTCTATAGCTCACACTCCCTAGGTCAGATGTGAATTTGGTTCGGGCGAGAATGCTTGCCGGCGCTGTCAAGCAGGTAACATACTTTGTCAATCCCGTTCACGGAAGAAGCGCAAAGCTGCTCCGTGAGTTGATACAACAATGACTACTGGTAATGGATACTTGACTTGTCATCTAGAACACATGAAGATCTACAAGAGAGAGCGCACTCGCAAGACTGTCAGATCCAGTCATTGCTATTACAGCTTGATCAAATGAGAATGGAGAAGAAGATTCAAGCGTTGATCGCTCACGCTTACCCTAAATCTTCTTCTAGAGGATCTGATGATGCATCGAAATGTGTGCTTCAAGCTTTAAAACTGCTTTATTTACTGAATACATCGACAGATATACAATTGAAACGGGGAGTAGAAAACTCTCCTGAGCTAGTTGTTGCCTCTTATTTTTCTCCAGGTTCGTCCTCAAATTGTCCCTGATCTAACTCTCTTCTCAAGCATTTTCAGACCGCTCGATATCAGTTCTATCTCCCCCTGACATCGTCAGATACTGCTGCTTATATCCAAGAGATATAACAGAGTTGTTTACAATGTGTGTTCTCACCGCATGATCTTCACGGAAATTGTTCTTACTTGTCGCTCTTTCAAGTTTCTTTGAAAAAATCAACGTATGTCCCCCTCGTTCATCGTCTCATCCTTCTCACCCAAGATTCATAGCCATTTTTTTCGATTCTGGACCCAGAATTACACACGCCACAGAATTTAATCTGGACATGTCCTTTTCTTTTCACTGTCAGTAAGTGTTCAAAGCCAATCTCTTTTTTGGGACTGGGTTCTATCTGCTTTTGCTAGTTTGTGCGACAGCGTCACGATACTGTGCCTCCAAAGCAGCCTTGTATTCACTAGCTAAAGATTTTGCTCGAGAGGCTGCCGGCCAAGCACTCGTTGACGGTGCAAAGAAGATAGACATTTGTCAAGCTTACCTTCTGCTCGGTGTGTATCCATCACCAAAGAAGAAGTGGGTGGAAGATAGGAGTTGGCTACTCATGGGTGTCGCGATCAGGTATCCGACTTCCGAAAACATTGTAGTTCGAACGCTGGTGGCTCATTTTTGCATAGAATGGCTTTAGAGCTTGAACTAAATTTGCCGCCACCATCTGATTGTGACGAGCGGGAGGCATTAAACAGGACGAGAACTTGGTTGAATTGCTATTGTGTAGATGGATCGCATGCAATTCAATTCGGGAAAATGCCCATGCTCCGTCTTGATGACTATATGGCCCGCACATCACAGAACTGGTACCGGTCGTCATCTATGAATACGCCGTACGATGTCCATCTTGTTGCTTACGTTCAAATACTTATCATCATGGCCCAATGGAGAGCTACTGTGCAGCAAGAAAATAATTCTGAAAAGGTGCATGTTTTGCTTATCTGTACTCAACGAATCTGAACGCTTTCATTAGAATCTTGACGTAGTACAGTTCGCAGTGGAAACGGAGAGACAGCTATCTAAAGAGTGGTCTCTCTGGTTTGCCCGATATGAAGAAGAATATGTTCGCAACCGTGAGTATAACCATCATATATTCAATGAGCCATTCTCAACGCAAACAGCCTTCATTCTCTGCTACTATCGTGCCAACACAACGGAAATGTGAGAAGATTCTATTTTGACTTTTTAAGTACTGAATCAACAACAAATGACCCAGGATAACAGCATACCTCAGACTCGTTGTTTTAGCTACTGGCTTTCAAGATGCTTTCAAATCAGGTATCTCCCGGGAGTCAGGCGTCCTCAGGAGATCAATAGATGCCGCGAGGACAGTCATCCAGATAATGGTGGATCGTTTGTATCCAACAGGCTATCTTAAGTATGCCATGGAAGCAAACTTCTTGTATGTTTCATTTTCTGCCGCCTATTTGCTCAATGTAAGTTCTGTATAGCAAGCTCAGGAAACATTTATCTTTTAACTGTTGTTCAGCTTCTTCGTCCCAAGCTTTTGCCCCTAATCGATGAGAACCTCCAGGAAGAGATCATCCTTACCGTGAAACGCTTAATCCATGTTTTGGGGTCTGAAGATGTTGCATTGGATGGAAGACACACTCCTGCTCTCTATTCTAAATTTCTAGTCAATCTCTTGAGCAAGTACAATGCCCGCTCGAACAGAAGATCAGAAACACCCCCGGATGGCATCCGTTTTCATCCGCAATTCAATGATGAACGTCATACTTCGCCACCAGGTTGGCCAGACATACAACAAGTTGGAGGTCTTACAGAAACTGGCGCTGGCCACACCCTATCTGAGTACGAGCCTGGCATTGTCTACCAGCAGGCTGGTGATGCGGATATGGACTTCAGCCTTGGACATTTTGGTATGTCGTGTTCAAATTTATGTGACATTTTGAGTCCTGATTTTTGACTCGGACAAAAATATTGTTAGTTCGCATCGTGTCTGAACTCCCGGTCAATCAATACAACTTGAACGCAGATCCCAATGTATGGAATGAACAGTGGCCTGGTGTTAGTGGTTGGTCGCCACAATTCAATTGCTAATTACATCGAGTCCTCTATACCGTAGGATGGTATCAGTTAGGATCTGAGTAGAATTGCCATGGCGCAACGAGCATTGTATAAATTTGGTTTTGAATCCACCAGGGGTGAATGCACAGGCGTAAGCTTCCACATCAGGACTGCATGTAAGTTTTACAAAATTTAGAGCTAAGGTTTCATTGGGGACTGACAAGTTTGTGTGCTGAAGTATATCAGGCTGTCAATTTTTTCGCGCCTGTTTCAATTTTGGGACGATACTGACGCGGCTCATGTATGTAATTTCAACCCCCAATGAAATCTCAGAAATAGTGTAGGCAAATTTGAAAAATGCAATATAATTGACACACAAAAAGGCTAGGGCACTAGAGAGCACTGGGAATAGGAGGGCGTAAGTCCAGCCACTTTCAGTCCGTCAACAATGACTGGATCGGGGTGATCAGGGGTGATCTTGATCTCAAACAGTTCCGGATTTGATTCGGACGTCGAAATTGTCGGATGAATAATCGGACCGCCCCGAGTTCGTTACCTCCATTTGCAAGCTAGGTCTTGCTTTGGCATTTGACTACTACACGTGAGGAGTTCCAAATATTCCTATATAAGTTATTAGTATGTACTTGACATGAATTATTAGCTATGTAGTACTGTATCAGCTTCGGTCAGGAACGTAAGAGAATGTGATTGCCACGAAGGATGATATAAAATACTGATAAATATGAGTAGGTTGCTTCAATAAATAAAGTAAGAGAGTGTCACTGATGCATCAACAAATGTGCTCAAATGTCCTAATGAAAACAGGAATGGAGCCCTCACGCATTATCCTACAGACGGATAGAAGTCAGTGACATTCCTTTGAGACAGAAAATTGAAAGAGATACCATGGTAAACAAACTGAAGAGAGCCACAGTCTCATCGGTTCTTTGTAAGTCGGAAGGGAACTCGATGCTAAGGAGTAGGGGGGTTGTGACAAGTTGCTGGCGACTTGCAGAATTGGTTTCCATCCGACTACAAGACGTTAATCAATTAATAGCAATTATTTTATTTTATTTCAAAACCCACAGGTAAGTCACCGCCGCTGTTGTTGAACCAAAGGTTCTACATTCTCTTCGTGAGCATGATCAAAACAAAATAATGGAGGAGAACTTACCCTACGCCTTCCCCGCTAAGATACGCAATATCGCCATCATCCACAAATTGCAAGACAAGATGAACCTCGGTGTACAGTGCGCTGTTTTCCGAAGAAATAATGCCAAATTCACCGCCAACATAGCTATCGTTGAAGTAGTTTCAGAAAATAAAAATAGGATACTTTAGATAAAGCAGCTTACGGGACTATATTGGCAACCACTTCGCCAGTAGTCGGGTCAGTACAATTGCCACTGGAGCGGATCAAGGTCAGATGAAGACTTGCTCCAAATGAAGAGGCATCAACCACATGTATCCACTTACCCAAGGAAGCCGATGTACTCCCGTTCACCGAATGGACTTTCAGTAATGTGTCCATTGGCATCGGGGACAAGTAAAATCATGGCGTCGTAAAGGCGGGTGAATGTGGGAACCGCGGGCATAGCGTCACGCCTGTAAGGCTGGATTGCTTTGGGCATAGCAATCGCCAAAGCTCGATATCCGCTGGTTGCCAGGGAGAGGATGGCGAAAAGAAAGAACAGGCGAAAAGTCGAAGTAGACATATCTGGGGGATCGGAAGACTAGGAATCAATCGGAGTTGATAACAACAGTTAAAACTAGAGGAGAAAGTGAGGGGTTCAATACTAAAAATTGCGCTCAGGATCCTGATCTTAAATACTCTCGCCGGTCGCAGCAAATACTGCCAGAGCCCAAGCTGTGCGCAGCTTTAATTTTGCCGACATTGAAAGTTTCGATAATAGGCTGCCAAAAACGGTCGATTTAGCTGGCGAGGTAGAAAATCAGCAAGGTGACTTTCGAGGCAGGATGGGATATTGTAGAACTGTCTGCTTTGCGAATGAGATTGAATGAGAACAACACTCCAGTTTGGCCGGAACACACACACTGTTTGGCACCGAGTGTTGAAAAGCACCAAAATGAGGGACCTTAACCTGACCTAACCCAAAGCGAAGACATTGAAAATTTCTGAGGCAGAGCGCTATCGACACGCCACGGGCATATGTAGACATCGGATTCGCTTAACGAAAGAGATGGAACATATTTTCAATGAGCTCGTTCGGGCTCGGCATGACGCTTGCTAAGAAGTACACCGAGTTACGCCACACCAGATGTATGCAGGATATCTATTTGAGGCTCCCGAGCAGCCCTTCCTGCAAAATGCAGTGGAGGACTACATATAGTTAAAAATAAAAGAGGTCCACAGTGCTCATCGACAGACAGAAGTTTCATCTCCCGCACACTGGCTGGACCAACTCGTATCCACTAGTTAAATTGTACCCAGAGTACGCGTCCGCCCTTGGGCTTGCTTCGTCGAGCGCACGCGATACGAGCGGCAATACTTTCGGACTCCTAGGTTATATGCAAGTATAAAACCACTGTTATGCAGTTAGAAGAGCCTAGAAAGTACTATCAATAGTAGCCAGTTGTAAAGGCACAGGCAGCCACCCACCTCCTCAAACACGTCTATCTGCTTCCCGTTTCCCCGACGCTTTTAAAATTGGTTGATTCCTGTCACCCCTGGAGATTTACCTTGACGTCTCTATGGTGCATTGCTGTGGTGCGATGCACTGTATACGTAGCGGGAATGGAATCTGTGAAAAAAATCCTCAAACAATAATTTTCAGTTTCGGATATTCGACGGCGAGAAACTCCGTTGACTCCAAGGTGATTGAAGTGTTGAAATGAGACAGCCAGACTCTATAACCTCTTGAAGTTCCAGTCGTATATAGCTAGATCTAGGTAGTCAAGCGTTTGATGTGCATTCCATCCTTTCCGCCGGCAGCAGTTAAAGGAATCGGGATTCGGCGGAGTGTCCTGGAGACTCCCAGGGGATGGAATAACTTGTTGCCCGAAGTAATAACATCAACAATGTTGATGAAGTCGCAATATAGAAACAAAGGAAGCGGAGTCAGCCGACCCCCAAGCTACTCCAAGCCAGAACACTGCCTTCCGCACTTCGTTTTCCAAGCCTAGAAGGCTGTAGGAGATTTGTATTCTGCGATCAGGTAAGTTGAAGTAGGCGTCGAGAAACGGTATCGTGTGTGTATCTTCGAAATTCAAGCGCAAGTCGCAAAAGTCACAGCCACCGGGCGCTTGTTGATTGTACGGTCCGCACCTTCTAGCGATGAACCCAAGCAGGACCCATAGCGCAAAGTTACAGGCTTTTAAGTTCGTCTCAACTTTAGATCTCTCCTCCATTGCAGCTCACTGAACCACAGGAAGGTCTATGATCACTTGTTCCACTCAACTTCATCGGTGTCAAAAATTAGGGATTCTGCGCTCGCAGATCGACTGTTGGACTACACCAATGATTCAATGGAAGTACTTGGTCGCAGCCTTGTTTGGAAGGTGTGACGCCACTGTAAAATCTGCGAATAAATCAAATTTATAATATTGCAGTACTTCCTGATAGCTGACGAACCTTTGAAATCAACCTCTAATGTTGTGAAACCCGAAACCTTGCTTCGCTCTCTCCAATCGTCACGAAAACGTTATGCAGATTTACTTTCTCAAAAGATGATTGCACCCGATGGCAGTTATCCAGAAGGGTTCGTGGTGCCAGGCTGTTCTAGTCCCTCACCTCGACGAGATAATCCATTCCTGGATCTGGAAAGGAATAACCCATTGAGCTTGCATAACGATGTACGGCTAATATCCCGGAGCATCATCTATACACGGCTCATGCATCTGCTCCATAGAACCCTTGGACAGAATGGTTCGCTGCTCAAGAGCTTAGGAAGATGATTGCTCAAGACGTGGAGCGCACGTATGCTTCCTTGTTCATATGGAACGAAAGCTCGTTTTCTTAATTTACCCTTAGTTTCCCTGAGATCGATTTTTTTCGCAACACGGGTGTTCAAGATCAACTAACGAACGTCCTTTTCCTGTATTCGTCCATGAATACCAGTACCGGTTACAGACAAGGTCGGCTCACATCTATCACGCTTCCCTGCTTTCTTTTGTGACGCTTGCTCCTCTAGGGATGCATGAGTTACTAGCTCCTCTGTATTATGCCGTCGACGTGGATTCATTGCTGGATACCCACGAATCTCACCTTATCTCAGAGCTGTGTTCAAAGATCTGGGTTGCTGCTGATGCTTGGGCCTTATTCGAATCTATAATGTGTTTTGCTTCACGTTGGTACGAGTGGCGGGAAAACCCATCAACTTACGCTCTACCTTCTCCTTTGTCCAATCATGTTCAACTGAATCCCGACGGTCAGGCTCAAATTAAGCCATATATAGCACCGATTGTACAAGACTGCAATCAAATACAGGCCACACTTCTCCATACAACGGATCCTTTGCTTTGGAAGCATTTACAATCTAGTGGCCTTGAGCCACAAATATATGGAATGTAAGTTCTATAAAATTCATTACTGTTGCTAGGCGTAATTCCTTTCGCAGTCGGTGGTTAAGACTTTTATTTACGCGGGAGTTTTCCATGTCAGATGCCATGAGATTGTGGGACGTATTGTTCGCTTGTGATCCTACACTCGATGTGGTACCCTGGGTGTGCGTTGCAATGCTGATACGCATACGAAATCTCTGTCAGTCGAGAATATCACTGTCTTCTTTGAAGTATTGACTCGTTTCATACAACTTGCAGTAATCCCAGGAGATTACACAGTCCAACTGACATCGCTTCTACGATATCCAACACCAGTATTTCCCCTTGATTCAACTAACACCGTTCATCATACGTCATTGCTCATACGACAAGCTCTGGCTCTACAACTGGCACCGACGCCTTCTACAGGCGTCAGTGTAGTAGCGGAAAATCGGAACTTGTTGGACATTCCAATGGAGGTTCCCGAGCCACCTTCAACCTCTCGGAGGAAAGGACCACAATCTACAGCTACTCGCAATAGATCGTCACCTACGCATGCGCGTCAACAATCATCTCAGCCTCCAGGTGGGTTACCTGAGATGTTGGGCGGATTATTTGAACGTGGTGAAAGCCTCAACATCAACAAGACATTAATGAGCGCTGTGACTGAACTGAAAGTGAGTAGATCTGTGAGATGGACGTTCCAATGCTTATTCTAAGTTTCAACTTCCAGCGGAACATTCCCGAACTAGCTGCTTCCTTTGTTCGATCTCCACTCCAGTCTCCCTCTATTCCAATGACTGTCGAGAGACAGTCTCAACAGTCGGATGAAAGGCCGCCTTGGGAACCCAAAAGTCGACGGGAACTTGAGCGCGAAATGGCCGAATTACGGGCGAACGACAAACTTCTGGGAGAATCTCTAAGCTGGGTTGTAGACACACTACTACAAGACGAAGACACGTCCCAAGATCCACAGAGACTGAAGAAACGGAAACAAGAAGCTCTTGAATCTTTATCGTATGTGAGGGATGTCCTAATCAATGGAATTACGGAAATAGAGGATGAGAGACTATACGGAGAGGCTGAACTCGCAAATAGAAAGTACAAGGCTCGTGAACCGACCCAAGCAAGAGAAGCTAGCTTGGTGCACGCTCACACTCTGGAAATGCCTAAACCAGCCCCGGCTCCTGTCGCCGATACTCGCCCCAGGATATCGGGTAATAACAGAGGGCACACGACCGCTATCTCCTCGTCTTCTTTAAATGCGCCATGGTCTCCGAACACAGCCCGCCTGGCGCCTTGGAACTACACCAAATCCAGTTTTTCCATCGATGGGTCCCTTCCAGCCACCACTCTACCACGACTTCCACCGCCTACTTCTGATAACTTTCAGCGGAGTCACATAGGTCCCGGTCCTAGTCAGGTAATCAGTTCACCTACCAAAGCACCACCCAAGCGAGACAGAACCCCCGATCCACTAGGAGTTTTGAAGTAGCGCTTCATGCATGTATACCATAACAATGTACTGTTAGAACCAGGTTAGAACTTGTAGCATGAATTAGCATACATACATGTAATCATCAGGAGCACTAAACGACTGATATCAATTAGTCGAGACTTTAGGCTTATATGCATTTAATTGCGTAGAAGTAATGAAATATCTATACTCAAGAGTCCTAGTCAAGAGTGACGAAAAATTGGCAGGAATGAGCCAAAGGGTGGCATCTCGGCATCTGGCTAAAATATTTGATCGGACTTCAGCTCGCTTGATCGCCGCACACTGCCCTCCGGTCGGCATTCCATTACCCAAATGACCGGCTTGTGATTGGTTGGCAGAACATCGGGATAGCTCGGCCTCGGGTTCATATATCCTTTCTCTCAACGTCGACCTCTCGAGCATGTTCCGCAAGGCTCTTCCGAGAGTCATATCCCGCTCTCGACGCTCTCTTCATTCTTCTTTGCCTGCTCAGAAGGTCGTTTCTACAAATCCTGTCAAAGCTCAAGAAGTCCCGGTAACCTTCATTTTGTTCTCCAAATGTATATGAGCTGAATCGGTCCTTCAGTCATGGACATCTGGAAAATATCCTTTAATTGAGCATGAATATGATGCTATTGTTGTGTATGCACTGCCTGGTTTCTCTCTCTAATCGTGCTAACGGGTTCTCGATAGTGGTGCGGGAGGAGCTGGGTTGCGAGCAGCGTTCGGTTTAGCAGAAGCTGGCTTCAATACCGCCTGTATCACCAAGTTGTTTCCTACTAGGAGTCACACTGTTGCTGCGCAGGTTAACTTACACCATATGTCGCGTTCTGTCTGTTTTTCTAACCGTTGGCTTTTCAGGGAGGGATCAATGCAGCCCTTGGAGTGCGTTCATTCAGGTTCTAGACTTCATTATACTAAAAAATGGCGTAGAATATGACTGAAGATGATTGGAGATGGCATATGTACGACACGGTGAGCTTGCGAATGTTTATCTCGCATACATACATTCAACCTCATCAAACATAGGTCAAAGGATCTGACTGGCTGGGTGACCAGGATGCCATTCATTATATGTGTCGTGAGGCACCACAGACAGTGATCGAAGTACGCAGTATCATTTACGATATGTTGTACTGCTCAATTCTCCATAGTTGGAACATTTCGGTGTTCCTTTCTCTCGTACCAAGGAAGGGAAGATCTATCAGCGCGCATTTGGTGGCCAGTCGTTGAAGTATGGTAAAGGCGGACAGGCATATCGATGCGCCGCTGCTGCTGATCGTACCGGACATGCTCTTCTTCACACCTTATATGGCCAATCTCTGCGACATAACACCAACTTTTTCATCGAATACTTTGCTTTGGATCTTATCATGCAGGATGGAGAATGTGTTGGAGTTATTGCTCTCAACATGGAAGACGGTACCCTCCACAGGTTCCGTGCCCACAAGACTGTTTTAGCAACTGGTGGTTATGGACGAGCATACTTCAGTTGTACCAGTGCTCATACTTGCTCCGGGGATGGCAATGCTATGGTCGCTCGTGCCGGACTTCCCTTACAGGATCTTGAATTCGTTCAGTTCCATCCTACAGGTATTTATGGTGCCGGATGTCTCATCACTGAAGGTTCGTGTACTCAAAACTCGGTCATGTAATTGTTCATGTCATCCTGGTTGTTACAGGTTCCCGGGGTGAAGGAGGATATCTCCTCAATAATGAAGGAGAACGATTCATGGAACGTTATGCACCAACCGCTAAGGATCTTGCTTCTCGTGACGTTGTATCCCGTAGTATGACTATTGAAATCCGAGAAGGTCGTGGTGTCGGACCCGAGAAGGATCACATCTATCTTCAACTCAGTCACCTTCCTCCTGAAGTGCTTCACGAACGTCTACCTGGTATCTCCGAAACTGCGGCCATCTTCTCCGGTGTTGATGTCACCAAAGAGCCTATCCCTGTTCTACCTACGGTCCATTACAACAGTATGTCATATACTTCCACATTCCATCCTTTTCTCACTTAGACTTAGTGGGTGGAATTCCTACCAAGTTCACCGGTGAAGTCATCACTGTCAATGAAAAGGGTCAAGATCAGGTCGTACCCGGTCTTTACGCTGCTGGAGAGGCTGCATGTGTTTCTGTACATGGTGCTAATCGTCTTGGAGCAAACTCTCTCTTGGACATTGTCGTTTTCGGTCGAGCATGCGCGCATCATATTAAGGAGACCTTAACTCCAGGTAAACCGCACAAGGTTATCCCTGATGAAGCTGGCATGGAGAGTATTGAATTTTTGGACAAGATTAGGTATGTCGCATGGATTTCCGCTGCAGTTATAGTTATGATTTCTCTTTTCAGGACTTCCACTGGCCCAGAGCCCACAGCCAAAATCCGTTTGGACATGCAAAAGGCTATGCAGTCTGATGCTGCCGTTTTCAGGTATGGTATAGCTGTCATCTGTCGAGTTTTCGGTTGGTGAGTTGTTACGAATATTCCCATTATAGGACACAGGAATCTCTGGATGAAGGCGTTCAGAAAGTACGAGACATTTACAACAACTTTGCCAATGTTGGTATCAAGGACCGAAGCATGATCTGGAACTCGTGAGTTTTGTATATTGTTACCCCTGGGATAACGCTAACAGTGCAGTTCGTAGTGATCTCGTTGAGACGTTGGAACTACGCAATATCCTGCAATGTGCCATACAGACCATCACATCCGCTGCTGCTCGTAAAGAATCACGAGGAGCACACGCTCGTGAAGATTATGCTGAGGTCAGTGTCGTTTTTCATGTGCAGAGATGGCGTTCGCTAATTTAGGCCTCCATAGCGTGACGATGAGAAATGGATGAAGCATACTTTGTCTTTCCAAAAAGACGTCAACTCTCCCGATGTTGAGCTCTCATACCGCGGTGTTATTGACACCACCCTGGACGAAAATGAGTGCAAGGCTGTTCCTCCATTTAAGCGTGTCTACTAGATAGAAATGCATCACAGTTCCTTTAGGTTCTCTGTACCACCTTACGCACATCACAAAATTATATCTTTGCATTGAGTCGATAAGATGAATTATTTCATAGGGTACAGAAGGAAATAACAAGGTTTCCTACAACGGGGAATCGAATGCTGCCATATCATATAATTGTTGGGGGAAATACCGAGCTCGTATAGAGCGCCCGCCAAAGAATCGTCCGTCAAACTCATGCACAGTTTTCCATGCTCCAGTGGGACCCGCAAACTGAACGAAGACACGTACTGCCTCAGCCGGGTCTACAGCAGAGTTCATGAGATGAATCAACACCCTCTCGACAGTACCGTTCTTAGCACATTCATCCCCTGATTACGATATGAGCAACTAGTGATCCAAAGCAACAAGTCGAACAAACCAATCTCGCCCCGCAAGTCGTCGTCATCAACATCTTCAGGACCGACCATGTTGGTGAGCAGTACAATTGGGCTCGGCTCCCCAAATCGAGCTTGTTCTCGGGCTTTCACATCCTCATTATTGTTGATAATTTTGCCTCTGTTGGTCATCCCGCCGCGAGTAGCTCCAGGACCCTTGCCTCCTTTGACCTGTTCAACTGTGAGGGCGTTGACAATGCCAGATCCATCAGCGCCCAACCCTTGTCCTTCTTTGTGCCCCCACTTGGCCATGAGACGAGCGGCAAATCCATGAGGGTCGGGTCTGCGATAAGATATATAGTGTCAGTAAAAAGCAGAGTGAAATCATTGTAGGTAGCAAACCGTTTCGATTGCTCCTCGACTGGCGGCGGGGCAGATTCAGTAGGCTGAGGAGGTCGAATAGCTCCTAGTTTAGCAGCTATGGCCGCTGCCATCCTAGCTCTTTCGTCCAGAACAAACGACCCGGGAGGTCCGGGTGGTGGAGGAGGGACAACAGGAGGTGCAAACGGATTATACGCCAGTTGAGGAGACGGTTGGCGGGGTGGTTGTGGCACGGACGGTGGTTTGTCAAGTGCAGGGGGCACAGCAGTACTCATTGCTAGACGTCGAAGATAGGCTTCATCGCCAGTTTCGGGGTGAGAAGATGAAGGAGGTTCGTATCCAACCGTGCTACTCAGACTTTGGCTGTCAGCGCTGTCCCCGTCATTGGCAGAAGGGGGAGGTGGTTGAGTAACTGGAGGGAGAGCAGGTCGAATCCCCATAGACATTTGCAACCGCCGTTGATACGCCTCATCGCCAGTAAGGTCACGGTCGATTTGAACAGGCTGAGCGGTAGCAGGAGGGCCTTGAGAACTATGTTCAAGTCCCCGTTTTTCATCGTCCGCTCGAGACCAGTGATCAAAGCTATCATGGTCGTTGAAACGACCTGGTTGTTCTGTGAGTTGCCGTTTCTCGTCCAAGAAGAAGTATGTATCAACGCACCACTTTTTTTACGTGGCGGGCGCTCATCCCCAGAAGACGAGTAATTACTGTCGGAGTAATCACTGTATCGAGATCTTTTGCGGGCTGCGTTTCGGCGTTCTTCAGCAAGCCTTTCACGACGGTCGATTCGCTCTTTTTGCTTCCAAAGTTTGTACTCGTTGTAGTCGTTAGGCCTAAGAAGTTCGTAGAGCTCCATGGGATCCCAGGCAGAGACAACAGGTGCATTCCGATTCTGCAGATAAGGATTACATGATTGAAAGTGTAGTGTCAAGAGATGAACAAAAGTACCTTTTTATTCTTTCCTTTCCCGACTTTTCGTTTTTGATTGGATTTGAACCCATTCACGTCCTCATCGAGGATCATAGAAGGCGGTTTGACTTTCTTTCCCCATCCTTGACCTTGTGGCGCATGTGCGTCGTCCACGACAAGAGCCGGTTCAGATTTTTCAGGATCTACCAAGGAAGGTGGGGCGAAAATGACTGCGGTCGAGGAAACCGAAGCCGTCGAAGAAAGTGAAGCGGTACCGGTAGCAGAGGCAAGTGCAGCCCCCACTGGCAATCTAGGAGCGGTGCCTTTAGCCTTCTGGTTTGGATTTCGCCTAATGGGAGCAAAAGCGAGTGCAGCAGACCATCCTTTGAAAATTTCGCAGCGGAGAATATGGAAGGGAGCAATTTCAATAAAGCACTATAATTTCCAAGTGGCACAACAATGAATACCGGCTGTAAGTTTGCCTCCTGAAGGGGCAGGTGTTCCTTCAATCGAAGTTGTGGTAGCACTAGGAATCGCTGAAGCAGGAGGAGCTGAACTGAGGGCTGGTACTGGCTCTGGCTTTGGATCAGCAGGCGCAGGACGAGTTATAGTAGGAGCAGTAGAGCCAGAGAACTGTATTCCTCCGTAGAGACCCCCCGCTCGATTCGACATGTTATGGTCAGGAATAATTCAGGTTTATTACGTGATCGCATTTGTCTGCAACTGGCAACGCAATTTTTGTGGTAAAGAAGGATCTTCAAAATGATACATATACAATACAAGATAAAACTAATATGGAAAAGGGTACGGTAAAACAGCTATTTTCTTCGTGAAGGTACAGTTATGCCCATTGAAATTTCATGCCTTCCAAAACATCCTTACTTGTTCTGCCCTGCAACCATCTCGTATGCTTTGTTAGCTACATCTGTAACCTTAGATGCTGCAGTGGAAGTAAAGTTTTCCGTTGTGCGACCTGGCTGTTTGGTGGCATTTGCCCATCCATCATCTAAGAATCAGTGTGACTAAATAATTGCACATCAAAGAACTCAAACATACCCTTATTCGAATTCTCGTTCAATGGATGGATGTTTGAGGATTCGATAACACCAGGCCTGCCCTCGACAACACCGGACGTCTGACTAAAGTTTCGGGCTGCTTGTCTGTCGCCTTCAAAATTTGCTCCTGCGCCAGCACCGCGCTCCTCCGACGTCGGGTCTGTGACCTACAAAAGACGATTATTTTTTGTGCGGACGTTTGGACAAAATAAAACATACAAAGTTGTTTACCATAGGATTGCTGGTATCAGAGGATGATGTCGGATTCGCGACACCAGGATAGGTATCGACACCGACAGCGCCTCCGACAGAACGGTCATTTACGGACATTATGATGAAGTATAGTTTTTCAAAGTGGCTGGTACTAGTGATAAAAGTCGTAGGGGGTTTCAGGCAATTACCTGGCTTTAAAAATGAGAGTAAATGATATTTCTCATGCACATGACGGAAAGTACGTCAGAACCATATCATGGGTGGAGCGAGCAAAAACACGCAGTGCGTCAGAGTGTCGATGGAGCGTACAGTAGGCGTAACAAAAATCCATTGAATTCATGCTCTAATAGGATTCGTTAAAATACCTTTCTCGTATACCCTTGCTAAGGACGTGGACAGCAAAATCACCTCCATCGACCAAGGCCCATCCATTCTGCATTCGCCTCCTGGAATTTGGTGGAAGGAGTAGAGGTGGTTGAGCGGTGAGAAGCTGCATTGATGGACGTTATTAGTTAGAAGCACATCGGAGGAAATAACTATGATGCATACAAATTTCCTAACCTGTCTTGCTACAGATTCAATTGCACCTTTGCTCTCAGTACCTTCTTTGACCTACATGAATACGACGGATAAGCAATCAGAGCGTGTATTGATTAACACAATGAACAGACCTCAGCGAAAACGACCCAATTCCAAAGAGAACCGGGAATGTCAAAAGCAGATTCGCCAGGGTACGTTCCGCCTCTTCTCCGTCTACCTTGAGGTGCTCTCAGAGGAAGTGGGTCCCCGAGTTCTCTGGATACAGCACGGCTGACAACCAATTTGCCCTGCTCAAGATGAGGAGATTGGATAAGCTGAGAATGCAAATCACGAAGGATTTTTGGTGTATCTTCAGGGACTGGGGCAGCGCGAGATACACGGTTCACATGAGAAATTTCCTTATTTTCTTCTCGCTCGACAAACCATGGCGTTGAGGACAGCCATCGTCGGAATTTAAGAGAAGTTGGCCGTCTAATTGGAGAGGACAAAAACATGGGGAGAGGTATTAGGTAATTTCAGCTTGGGTTTTCACATGCCAAAAGATTCTTTTTCCAGCCAAAGTTCGGCTTAGCTCTCTCACCTCTTTCACAATGGGTGTCAGAGCTGCTGTGGTCGTCTGTGTTACCAGTTTCTTGCTTGGTTGGCTCTCTTCTCATCGGCGCTCTTCTCAGCTCACTGAATTTCTTGTTAGGGTCTCTATTTACCCACTGGATCGCGGATTCATTGACGCTTTGGAAGTCTCCTACTAATGACCAAAACCTTTGGACGGCTGCCACGTACTACTCCATCATTGCCAATGGACCTGCTCAGATACAATATGCAGTTGCCGCTGTGGTTTTACTTGGCGCAACAACAATACTGTGGAGTCTCAAGGACGGAAGAGCGGGAAACTTGATGTTTGACGGAGGCAGCATTTGTAAGAGTCCATCTCATTTCATCCATGACGAATTCTCAATACTATCCCCAGTTCTGTTCTGTACAACGATCTGGATGTACTCGTACTCTGCCCTTCCCAGTACGCGTTACGTTAGACATCATTTCTCACTAATACTTATTCGTTCACAGCCATCTTCACAGTGTTCAAAGATCTTCCTCCTCATCCAAAAACAGATGCTGTACCACAGGAGTTACAGTCAGCCATCTTTGATCTTGCATCAAACAACTTAGTTTGCAGCGTTGCGCTGACGGGGGTGCTCGGATTACAGGCAGGTCGGTTCTGGGCCGAGTCTGCTGACGACGACGACGAAATAGAGTCCCTTAAAGCTACACCCGCCCCTTCGCGCGCAAAAACACCTCAGACAGAATGAAAGACACGACAACGGAAAAAACGCGTCTGCGCTTCCGCGCATTCTGCCGATAACGGTGGACTTTTTTAAATGTTGGGACTTGTACTTCCCCTTGCTATGTATTTTGTTTGGAACGCATTCAACTGATCACACAACTACATGCACTTCAAATTATATCCAGCTATCTATTTTGTCTACTGGATCCGCGATGTATAGTTATTGTACGTACGTACTTACGAGGCGACATATCAATACACACATGCTCCTTCGCCTTCAACATTAGTGCACTAGTCTTCTTGCACAATATCCTCCTTCCGTGGCTTTGAGTTTTTGATTTCGCGGCCCTGCCCGATGAGGGATTGGGCATCGTCGTCGAGAACGATACCTATACGAGAGTCAATAGGTATACGATACGTTCGGAAAGGCTCGGACACCGCACCTAAACCTTCCTCTTGCACGAGACCCAAAACATGCTCCAGTTCGACAAATCCATCTTTATCCACATCCAGTTTTTGTATAACCGCTTGTCCAACTTCGTCATCTGGTCTATGTTTGATTACCGCTAAAGCCTTTTGAAGATCCTGAACTGGGATACGCCCTTGGGCGTCCTGGGATATCATCTGTAACGAGCTACCGACACGTGAATCGTACTCTTCCAGTTGCTTGTCGATCTTCGTTAACATGGTTCGGATACGTTTCGTCAATGCACCAGAAGGCGACTTGGGATCCTGAACATGGTTATGTTAGACTATATACTTACTGTGATGAAGGATAGGGCTTACCTCTTCGGCTTGTAAATTTTCATCCATGAGTGCACGCAGGTCGCTTCGTTCCTTGAGTACACTAGATCTAGTGGATAATACAGAAAGAGCTTCGCCGAGTTCCTTAAGCTGTTCAGTGGTCATACGAGCGTCATCCCCTTCGGCTTTGACACTTTCCGGTACCAGCTATATCATATCATGAGTCCGTTTCTAAACAACAGTCTCGTGATAATTTGAACATACCTCAGTATCAGGTAGGAGCGCTTGTGCGGTTTGGGCTTCCCGTTCTTCTGCCTCTCTCTTAGCACGACGGGCATCCTCTTCCTTTTGCTCCTGCTCCTCTTCATCTTCAATCAGTTCCTCCTGTTGCTGAAGCACCTCCAACTTCTGCTTGTAACTAGCTTTATCTGAATCCACCTCCAATTCTGCTTCATTAAGCTGGAACGCAGAAAGTAGTCGAAATCAGATACGTGGAGATGAAGATAAAATTGTACAAACCAGGTTGTCAGGTAGTCCACTGAGTACTGATTCCAAACTTTTGATCACATTCGTCTTTCCGTCTTCATCCTCTCCCGTCTTCCTGTCAAAATTGAAGGCACGTCCTAGAACGAGAAGAACACCGGAGACACGATTATGCAGATGTAAATTGATCCATGTAGACAGTTCCTCCCTTAACCTGGCTGGAGACACGCCACTGGTGCGAATGCCGCGAGATTGACACGCGCCTTGTAGTTCGGACGTGGAAAGAGAGTCGACACCTTCTGCGTCAATAAGCTGATCATCGCGTCGAAGGGTGAGTAACCGTGAACGAAGGGCGCCTCGCAAGAAATTATCCGTTCCAAATGCATTCAAGTCCATATACCTGCACATCGATACCAGCTGCGGTCTGGAAAGATTGTCCAAAGTGAGGTCATCGTCGAATAATCGTGCGACATTGATAATATCAGACGCGGATGGTGATTCTCCAGTTGAGCGAACCTACACAGACGAAAATAACGCGTCATTCAAGTTATATGTGCAAGTGACGCTGATAATATACTTTGAGAAAGAACGCTTTGAACGCATCGCTGCCAATAATGTGAGCATTTGCTTTTAACGGGGATTCACGAAGCGTTTCTTGTAGGAATTTGGCCATTTCAAGTCTGGATCTAAGTAGCTTTCTCTGTTTCTCCTCCTGTGGATCATTTATGAGCATAAGACAGTCGATGCATATGCTGATAAGTACATACCGCAGCGAATTTGTCTTCGAAAGTCGATGGAAGCATGTTGGGGAATAGTTTGAGAGCAACGGGAAGTAAGAGTTCCATGAAAGGGACAATCACGAAGACAGCAAAAGGAACAAGCCGCAGAAGATCTTGCGTGGTTCGTTTCAACTGTAAAATATGAGAAAATGAAAAAGACTGGTCTATTCGACGCACCTGTCTCCGCTCACGTCGAGTAAGCTGTTCACCGTGTAAAATCTTCCATTGAAGTCTAGCAGATATGCGGACTTCGGATACCAAAAGTTTAGATCCATGCCAGTAATGGGCCGCTTCGTGTTTGACCTTTTTCCAAGCTCTACTCAGTAGAGGACCTTTGGGCGATTCGGCAGTAGCAGGAGGGGAAGGTTTGACTTCCGCAGAAGTATGCGGGTCTACGGGTACGGTTGGACCTGACGGCTTGGAGCCCAATGGCTGACTACTCTGGAACCGACGGGACGGGTGAACATTGAAAGCACTAGGATGAAGAGAACTCGGAGTGCGTAGTAAGAATACAGAGTAAGAGCGAAGGACGTATTGTGAGCGACTATGCGAGCGAGATAGAAAGGCAGGCGTCGGCCGCGGAAGCCATATTAGGGACATAAGAAAATAGTTGGATTGGAGCCAGGTTGAAGCACAAGAGACTGACTGTAAATAAGTAAAAGATTGAAGAACTTGAAGCCGGAATGCCACAAAATTCCTTCGGCAAAGGAATTGACGGAAGACGTAAGGCTGCCTGCCGATAACAAGCGCCGAGAACTATGAATGATTCCTCCAGTCAAGCCTACAAGAAGGCTCGTAGGCAATATCTGAAGACTACAAGAAACAGAGATCCCAATATTGACAAAGCTTGGACTCCATTCCGTGCGGCAGAAAAACATTTCAAAGCTCGTTTCCCTCCGCCAGATTTCGCCAAAGTTCTTGACCTCGCCACACTAGACGCGAGTAGAGCCCCCGAAGTGGCAGCGGGAATTTGGGCGGGAAAGTCAGATGCGGTGGAAACAAGAACGTTCGTGACAAAATCTGGGATTAAAGGGTATGATTTTCCCAGTATGCCAGGTAAATCGCTACACACCTACAAGTCAGCTTGGATTCTATATACGTATCCTCAGGACTGATATTGCTACCTGGTTTACTGTCGCCCGAGAAGCAGAGAGAGCTGATACGATGGTCTCTTGTGGAGCACTCACGTCAACCCAACGAAACAAACCTTGATATCCATTACCGTCTTCCTAGCGAAGGAATATGGAATGCATATGTGCGAGATGGGAGCGCCATGGTCCATCCACGTCCGATCGAAGCAAACACAGATTATATTAAACAGGATTCTGGTCCCAGAAAACTCATTGATAACATCCCAGCCGATACAACTAATTTCGAATGCCTGAGTAATGTATCCAAACCTCTGGCGCCTCCATCATCGACAATCCAACCTGCCACTTGTTCCGACTTGCTGCCACGCCTTCGGTGGGCAAACATAGGCTGGTTTTATCATTGGGGAACAAAACAATATGATTTTTCGAAAGGCAAAATACCAGTCCACGATACTATTCGGAAAATTTGTAAAGACGCCGTACAATCGGTCGACTGGAAGGAGATTTTTTCGTCGACTAATTTTGATTGGGGCCCTAATGGACCGGACTGGATGGACTGGCAGGAAAACTATGGTACATAACGTTGACAAGTCTTTGTCCCACAACTAATCTGATGCTGTATCGCATTAGAACCCGATGCGGGGATCGTCAATTTCTACCAAACAAAAGTGCGTTCTTCAGACTCATCTGAACATTCAAAGTGGGCTAAAGCCTTGTATAGGACACCTTGATGGCACATGTAGATCGCTCTGAGGTCTGCGCTACCTCTCCTCTCGTTTCCATCTCGTCGGTGTTCCTTCACGACTCATCAATGTATAGCGACTGATCATGCTCCCTAGACTCGGCCATGCGGCCGTGTTCCTTATAGGTGGTCTGACTCGGGAAACCGAGCCGATTCCAATCCTCCTCCGCTCGGGCGACGTGGTGATAATGTCTGGGCCAGCATGTCGGAGAGCATACCATGGTATGTCATGTGTGAATGTGGAGAACTTGCGTAGTCTTTTGTCTAATTTCAATGATGACAAGGTGTCCCGCGCATACTCGAAAATACACTTCCGCCCCACATGGCAGACGTGGTAGATGATCCCGAGTGGTCCACCTATAAAAATTACATGGATTCGACTAGGATAAACATCAATGTCAGACAGGTGTTTCCGAAAGACTTTGATCCTGTCTTCTAGTCTACCCCGTCCGCGGCGGTACGCTTTCGTCTCTTAAAGATCGTCCCTCGGGATCTCTCCTACCTTCTCCACCACTCTCATACTCGCGGGTGTGTTTATATTTATACCAGGGCCTACATTCATTCCTATTCTAAATGAACTCGGTAAAAGGCAATGAGGGAGCACATTCCAAGATAGAGAAGACATGTAGCAGGTACTGTACATAATATGGTTCAGACATGTTTAATTTTGATCTCAGTGCTCATACGTTACAGATATAGAAAAAGCAATCTTGATCGAAGACTCGTGGATTGCAGAGTACACTACACAAATACTTTTCACTGCTTCACACCAGTAAATCCAAGGATGGGATCAAACGCAGACTCCGTTGCATTCGAGTTAGTGATTGTGCTCGTGCAAGTACCCAAGCCTTCAAGACCCACTTCGACAACATCACCATCGACCAACCAGACCGGGTCAGCTTTCCCTAGCTGAACACCTGATGGACTGAAGCATACAAAAGTCAGAATACGACCATGCAAGTCAGAGAGAAACCGACTTACGTTCCAGTATAAATGATATCACCAGGAAGCAAAGTGATACCCATGGAGAAGAACGAAACGAGGTCTGCAACGCCAAAAAGCATGTTCGCCGTTGTATCGTTCTGCATTGTCACGCCGTTGACCTTTGCAAAAATGCTGAGGTTCTGAGGGTTCGGAATGATATCTTTTGTGACAATGGCTGGTCCCCAAGGGGCCCAGCCATCAGCATCTTTGCCCATGGAAAACCTGTAAGTAACAATCAATGTAGGGTCAACTTTAAAGTGAGAATTGGTTTAACTGAGGCTGAGGCAATCCTCCTCGGTCAATCTGCCATCCTGGAATACATTCAAGAGATGCTAACATGAGTTCAACGTTGTACACAAACCTCTGTGTGACACATCATAGCCAGATGCATAACCCAGGACGTGGTCAAGCGCTTGGTCTACGGTGATGTTGTAAGCAGCCTTGCTAATGACGACGACAAGCTCGGATTCGTAGTCCATTTCGGAGGTGAAGTTCCCTTGAGTTTGGTATCCTTCCGTAACGGGAACCTGGCCGTTGGGAGGCGCAAGAGCGGTCCACGGTTTGAAGAAAAGAATCGGGAAATCAGGAATCGTGATATTTGCCTGTAGGGATCACAAGTAAGTGCTTTGAGTCTACATGGTGGCTGGATGTACGCGTACTTCCTCGGCATGAGCAGCGTAATTGAATCCGACACAGCGAACTGTCCTTGTCTTCTCTGGTGCTATGGGAGCTAACAAAGTTGTGATATTCTGTGAAAACAATATCTGCATACATTCAAAAAGTCCCCAAAGGCTTGTTACAAATACCTTGATCTCTTGAGTGACCGTGAAATTGCTAAAGATGTCTCCTTGTATGACGCGAGCTGAAGTACTCTTAGATGCATCGGTTGTTCCGTCAGATAGGATGGCATCTCCTGTATAAATCTGACCGTCGTCTGAGATGAAGCGCACGAAGCGCTCCGCAGACACAGACATAGCAAGAGCAAGAACGGCCGGAAAGACACGCATTGTTGGTAGAAGTTGAGCATCTAGTCTTTGAAGTTCCTGCTATAAATACGCGAAAATGTGTGTGTGAGGGAATACTAGTAGCAGCCTGTGTGGCAGCCGTAAATCCAAAAGCGGTGCATGACGTTCTTCGCAGTGTAACCAGGTCCATGGAATTAGACTAGGGGTTCAGAAGTCAATCTTTCGCGGATGTAAGGACTGGATGCATCAGACTTAGGAGAAAAATCCCAAGCGGAGCCACTAGACCCAGTCAAATTCAAGCAATACTCGTGATAGTGAGTCTTATTGACGGGCAAAATCGACGTCTAGAATTCCGTTTTTCGGCGGAGCCGTAGGATTGAAGGCGCAAGTGACCGCACCTCTATTCAGCGGTATGCTACATTGCCCTTCTGACCTACTGTTTTACTGGGAGACTGATATTTCTTTCCCAAGGTTTTATAAGTAGGCTCCCTCGGAGTCCCATGGGTCGATCACTAAATAGATATCTGCAGAACCGATGTATCAATCGCGGCGTTGCTCACTGGAAGGAAATCCACTGGATCGGGTCACAAAGCACGAACTTCGAATTTGACTTTCTCAGCCAAGCTTGCAACGACGTCTCTTGCGTAATCTCTGATAAGATAAGATAATCTACATACGAGTCTGACTTGGGAGACTAGCCAAGCTGGAGCACAATAAGTACATATTTCAACTCGCCTTCAAGTGAGGAATGCTCTTAATGCAAATCTTACATATTCTAGTATCGAGCAGACCCTGAGCAAACCTTAAGTAAAGCAAATCAGAATAGCTCATGATTTTCATCCAAAGTACGCAAAAAAGAACGGCCTGTAACTTGTCTCTCCTAAACAACAACTATGAGAAATCCTTCAAGCGCACAATGGATCTGGTAAGTACAGGGTAAGTATCATGATTAGAGCTTATTAGCAGCAAATTTCGAGGGGATTTGATTGGTTGAGAACAGCTCCAACAGGCTCCAACCAATTCAGTTCACGTCGAAAAGTGATTTTGCTAATGAGCTCTATTCATGTAGCGATTTTTCGTCGGGGCCCCGGGCTAATTTTTACCGCTCACGTGATACTGTATAGCTCGCTCGAACGTTCTCACGTTAGCTTAATTTCGTCCCTCCGCCCTCGTAAGCCGAAAAACACAATCAGCAATGGAAAACGACCAGGTGCGTATTCGCGTTTATCTGCTCGAAGCTGCATGTTGAGACACAAAATAGGGTGTTCTCGTCGATCTCTACGTCCCCCGTAAATGTGCGGCAACAAGTCAGTATGGGATTTGATTACAAGATTACACTACCTGACCAAATTGCCAACTCTCAGACCGTTTGATTACCTCCAAGGATCATGCGTCGGTTCAAATTGCCATCGCTGACGTTGACGCTAACGGTCGCGCATTGCCAACTACCACTACCTTCGCATTATGTGGTCAAGTGCGGTCTCAGGGAGAAAGCGATGACTCTATGAACCGACTGGCAACCAAGGCTGGCTGTGAGTCCTTGTTCTATCTTCCTGCGATTATTATTGATAGAAATTCCAGTGCTCCGCAATGTCTGGTCATACCAAAAGTAAACTGTAGACACTGGCTTTGTTCAATCTCATCTCGCTATCCCTTATTCCGCCCCCCTGTATTACGCTTCTTGAAATCCATTTAGCAGTTGCCGCTTCAGCGCAAGCGGTTGACGCATTACTGCATGATTTATGCATGGAATTGTCTGGCAAACAAATCTCATCAGTCTATCATTCCACCACTGGCAGTTGGGTTGCCCTAGTAAAACTAATATTGTAAGGCCTATGTATGTACCTTGTATACGCGTCTTATAACCTCGTTCGTAAGCCAGTCGACCTCGCTCGTACTCAGACTCCCGGCTAGATAGTTTGTACTTGCACGTGGAATCCCATCTGACTGTAATTGCGTCATCGCCTTCGGAACTCGACCAGGCTCGACCGCAGCAACGATGAACGAATATACATTCTTTCAGCATTCCTCACCATCTGAAAGCACTATCTCTACTTCTTCTGTGTGTTTTGAACAAAATTTTCTACTACCAACTCTAATTAGCTATCCAGACAAATTCCATGGTTGAGATCAAGCGAACCGATCCTCCGCAACCTTCCGCAAATGAAGATTCCAAATACCGTCTGTTGTACACAAAGTCCAAAGTTTATGTTAATCCCACTGCATATGCTAGAGATAACATTCCTGGGTTCATCTCTCTTGTGAAACGGGTAAGTTTGAGTGATGATTTCTTACCGTTGGAACATATTGACATATCGTAGGATGCTCCAAATCCATCGTATTATCTGGCCTGGATCCCAGAGACTCTTTTAAACGAAAGAGGCGCTACTGAGTGGGATAAGTTTGTCAAGGTAGAAGAGAAAGCTGATCTAGACGACGAAGATAACGGTTAGTTTTGTGAAACTACCCCAACCGAAATCGTTTCTGACAACGATGACAGACGTAGTTTTGATTGACTTGCCGACACAAAGACCAGAATCGTATGCATTCTCTGTTTCTCTTACCCAAATCTACTCTCTGCTTGTATATCCCCCTTCATTCTCATCCTGGCGTATGTATGACTCAATTAATCGTCCTCTCAATGTCCTCTTACCCCATTCCAATAGACGGATCGATACACATCAATCTTTATAGCGGAACGACGCTACCAACCCTCTATTTCCACGATAACGAATCGCACTCTTTCACGATGCCTCTACCGAAATCTCCACAAAGTCATACGGGATCAAGTATCACCGCTTATCCTCCACCACCGTCTCTGTCATCGCCTATAAATTCCTCCAGCTCTTGGGGTGGCGAAGATTTTATCGCGCGCTTGAAATGTTATGCTCACGTATTGCGGTCAAATCTACAGCCTTCCTTATTTCTTGTTGACCCGTCACGTTCAGACATCGAAACTCACTCGACACAAATATTTGATGATGATGCTGTCGATGATATATTAGCCCAGTCATCGTACGCGAATTCTCATTCACCTGTCCCAGCACATCGCAAACCTCGACCCTTGAGTTCTCCTCCTCCGACATCCTCCTTATCTCCAAACCCTTATTCACATCGATCTTCTGTTCTCCATCGTTCTCTCGGGTCAATGTCCTCTAATGCACAATCATCATCCCAAGCTCGGATGGCTCTGCTCCAGTCCTTCTCAAATATCACGCGAGCGACACGTCATGCAGCCCAAAACATTCTCTCCCATCCACTTGCCAAGCCTATTGTTCCCCATTTACCAGATCCTGTCAAGAGTCTTGTCAATGTCAACGGAGATTTGAAGTGGGGGAGCTGGGTTGAAAAGGGTGGTGTGGGAGAGTTTGAGAGTGCTAGGGTGTATCTGGCGCGGTGGGCAAGGATCGTGGCGGAAGAAGGTGAACGAGCTAGGAGGCGCGAATCTCAAGCTGTTGGGACCTCCGTGTCTTCGAGTGTGACGGAAGAGACATCTTCTTTGGGAGTATTCGAGTTGCTACATTCTGCATCCAATCTTCCCACTCCGACTACGTCAAGAGACCCAGCTCATCCAATCGACCAGAAGTGCTGGTTCGATTGGTTCGGAGTAGATGGTCGACCAAAAGTGAGATTGGAAGAGATGAAACGAGAGGTGTTCAGAAGGGGCGTTTCCGACCAAGGCAGGCTGAGGCAAATAGTATGGCCATTCATTTTGGGCGTGCTGGAATGGGATGTTACAGGAGAGGAGAGAGACGCCAAATGGGAAGCGAAGAGGCATGTTTTCAGATTCGTTTCTATCGTATCCTTCTCACGAATAAGTTATACAGAAAACAATATCATGCCCTCAAAGACCAATGGTGTGGCGTTCCCGAGGTGTTTGAAAGACCGGATATCATTGATGTTAGTTCTGTACGCTCTGTCCTCTTATAATACCCTAGCTAAATAATTGTCCCGTATAATCAGGAACGACATCGCATCGACGTAGACTGTCGTAGGACAGATCGGACGCAACCACTGTTTTCTACACCTTCCGAAACTCTTCCCAGCAAATCATCAGAAATAGACGATGAAAAAGCGCGTCTTCAGCGATTTTCCATCATATCCCCGGACCTAGTTGACATAGGTTCACAATCACCGAGCAATGAGCATATCGACCGTCTTGCCGGAATCTTACTCACATACAATCTATACGAACGGGAGCTAGGTTAGCTTTCTTGTATTTGTATTTCCCACCTTCTGAACTTGCATCAGGATATGTGCAAGGCATGTCAGATCTTTGCGCACCCATTTACGTTGTGATGCAAGCGGAGGAGGAAATGACCTTTTGGTGCTTCGTGGAGGTCATGAACCGTATGGTAAGTAGACATTTTTCATCTTTGTACAAGTTTAAAAAATATCTATCGAAATGACAGAAACAAAATTTCCTTCGAGACCAAAGTGGCATGAAAAAGCAGCTTTCGACGCTCCAGCAATTAATAGAGGTCATGGATCCTGAACTTTATCGACACCTTGGTATGTCGCACCCAAAGTATCACGACGGTTGAAGATTCTAACATCGTGTTCACGCTATGCAGAAAAAGCCGATGCCCTCAACCTATTCTTTTGTTTTCGGTAAATCTCCTCAGTATTACTTGGGTATTTGAATTTTGGTTGATTCCTTTGTTTTCTGAAGCTGGGTGTTAATCGCATTCAAGCGAGAATTTCCTTTCGACGAAGTACTGAGATTATGGGAGGTCTTATGGTCGGATTATTACAGCAATTACTTTGTCCTATTCGTTGCGTTAGCGATCCTAGAGTCACATAGAGATATCATTATCAGATACCTCGTCGAGGTGAGTATCACAGTGTTTATCTATACTGTACCTGAAACGCATGAACTACTTCTAGTTCGACGAAATCTTGAAGGTTTGTCTGACAACATGTCTCTCTTCGCTTCAAAGATTGATTATCTTTCGTAGTACTGCAACGAACTCAGCATGGCAATCGAACTCGACTCAACCTTGGCCCAGGCGGAAGTGCTGTTCCTTTCGTTCGCTCAACTCGTGGCAGATATCGATCGACGACAGGCTGAAGAATCATCATCATCCTTGCGAGGACTTCGTCATCGCGGAACCGACGTCGCGGGCGAGCCTTTCTCTTCATCGACAAAGATAGTGTTGTCTGAATATTTGAGGGATCTGTTGAAAGCAGGAAGGACTTGATTTTGTATAGACGCTAATCGTACGCCCGCTTGCATCTTCAGTAGAATATGTAGTACTAGTAGTAGTAGCTGTAATATTGGTGCCGATTCAGTAAGGTTCCCGACAGAAACGTCTATAACCTTGTAACTATTTTGCAGGGAAGTGTCATTAAGATGCATTCGGCGCTCATTATTCGTCACGTCGCACGGTCATTCGACGACGGTTTGTGATTACATAACATAAGTACAGATGTCAAATCTCTTCATTCTTCGAAATTACGCTCAAAAAGTGCCCTCTACCATACCTTCATCTATCCTGTTCTCCAGCTCTTCCAAATCTCTCACAATCTATGATAGTTTTCCCAAGTCTATTTTTCACTTTCTCGTCCTGCCTCGGGTGCAATCAGGATCATCGATAGACATAGATGACTTGGAGAGTCTCAAGACTCTGTTTGCGCGCGACAAGGAAGAGGCCAAAACAATTTTGAACGCACTCAATGAGGATGCACAGGGGGTCAAGTGCGAAATTGAGCAAGAGATGCAGACACGGTATGGATTCAAATGGTAGGGGGTTCGAAATTCCTTCCAGTCGGGAAGATAGTATTTATGGAATGACGCGTAGGCCTATTTGGATTGGCTTTCACGGTGCTCCCTCAATGCAGTATGTGTTTCTCTTTGTGGGATTTCCGATGTTCGTCACGTTGACCTTCAAGCTAGCCACCTACATCTTCATGTGATATCTTCCGATCTCTGCTCGGAGAGACTGAAGAACAAGAAGCACTACAACTCCTTCCATCCGAAATTAGGCTTTTTCCTTCACATCGATGATGTACTCTCTTGGTTCGATAGCGAACCTTCCTATTACCGAGAGGTACGTTGACGGAGTTTTCACCTTAGTTCAAAACCATATCGCTCTTATTTTAGATGGTTCAATTAGACCAGAAAGCATACGAGAAGCTTTTGAAAGAAGATTTGGTCTGTTGGAAGTGTGAGGCCCCGATGAAAAACATACCGACATTGAAAGCACACTTACAGGAGGAGTGGAATGAAGTATCCAAGCGAGAAAAGCGGAGGGCGGAGAGGAAAAGAAAACAAGAAGAGAAACAGTTGCTAGAAACCGCTGATGACTCGACGAGTGAATTCGAACGCACTGAGAAGAAAGTCAAGCTAGACAGCTGAATTACTATCATCGTAGCGGATACGCATGCATGCAAGATGGTTACTTATGTACGATTTGGTACACAGTGATCTTTACACAAGTTCTTTGGGTCAACTTCTGCGCTTGTCTACAAATGATAGATACTAATTTACAAGCATTTCATAAAATTTAACATTTCTAGTAGTAACATCTCCTGTTCAATTCCCTTAGGTGGCTTTACGACTAGCCTCTAACTTAGCAGCCCGAGATTTTTCGCTGGCCTTACGAATAGCCCAAGTCAGTTCGTAAGTCTTCACAGCATCTGCAAATGATCATCAAGATAAATCTAGGCGGATGAAAAGAATGGCAAACCCTCGTAGTTGGACAAGATGCAAGCAGCATCTGGGTCCTCTTCTATATCCTCGATGATGTCAATCAAGTTCGATACCTCAGAGAAGAAAGGATCGTCATCAGGGAATCGGTAGGTTTGTTCGTGGTCGTCCCCGGGCTTACGAACGTACAGAACAGGCTGAACATACGGATCCACGAGCCTGAGAAAGAATTCAACAATGACAACTAAAACGAAAGGACATTCCCTTACCTAAGGCAGTAGCCGTCGGCGTATACCTCCAGCTCACAGCTGTAGTTGGTGCCTTGCAACGCAACAACGTGCGTGAAGGTTCCAACCGCGCCACTGTCGTATTTCCTGTATAAAAGTTGGCAACCTCCGAAAAAGAAAAAATGTAAATGTAGACAAACCATGTAGCGGAGGTGACACGCGGGATACGGTTTTCCGGTGGAATTTTGCTTTCATCAACTTTCATTGCAGAGAGTTGACCTGCGTTTTCATCCCATTCAAGAGAATGGGCAACGACGCTGCTGTAGTCAACTTCTCCACCGAAGTAGCGAGAGAGATCGCAGAAATGAGTCCCTTGCTCGATAACTGGACCAGCACTGAAGGAAGGTCAAAATGAGAACACCCAGGAAAGATACCATGCTTACCTTTTGGACTTGTCCCACCAATCAGGCTTGGCGATGGCCTCATACGCACATGCATAACGAGCAATAGTGGTCATCACAGTCAGATTGTTTTCGTCAATGATATGTTTCATCATCTGCACTGCTTTCAGATAGCGGAGCATGTATCTAGGGGGATAGCCTTAATGCGGGCAATTTCGGAGTCAGAGGAGTAAGTATACCCGATGGAGCAGATGGTTTTGCTTTCCTCAATTTGTTTAGCAATTTTGTAACCTTCTTCGATTTCTTCAACGGGACCGGTCGTGATGGGTTTTTCAATGAAGAGAGCAACACCAGGATAGTGCTTGAGGATCTGGACTTCAATGTCTCTGCCAGACTGGAGGGTTCCTCGGAACATTGGGGGGCTTCCAACAACGAACGCACGAGGACGAAGGCTCTTGGGAAGATTTTTGTGAAAATCGTCAAAATTTTTGTAGATACGAGTATTCTCGTAGGCGGATAAGACGAAGGAGTCGCATTTCTTCCTGAGGACTTCTTTGGCACGCTCGGTAGCAGGGTCAATGAGAGCAACGACCTTGAGACGACGACCGAGTTTGCTGAAGAGACACTGTTAGTCGGTTGATAGGTGTCGACATGTTTGAGGAAATACGTACTGTTCAAAACGGAAAGAATGGTTCCAGGGACCTTCCTCGGAGCCTATTAGATAGCAAATCGAGGGTCAGAGAGAAACATAGATAGTCTGTGAGATATCTATATCCATCGATAAGACTGACCAAACATAATATTACCAGCACCGACGAAGACCACATTGAAGTCATCGGTACCAGAGATATGGGTCATTCTGTAAAAAAAAGAGGTACAGAAGACAGCAGCATTGAGCGATGTATTACGATGGTTTGGATCAAAGACAGTACTTGTCCATAGGCACGAGTTTCCTTGGGTCGATCGAGTCTCGACGAGAGAAGGAGGAACCTCGTCTGTCCGAGGCACGGCGTTCTGAGCCTCTGCGATGAGTAGGAGACATCGGGTTCGACATGTTTGGGGGTTTGACGCGAGAAGAAAAGTTTCGAAAACTTGTTGGATGGTAGAAGGAAAAAGACGGTTTTGTGTTGCAAGGTCCGATAGGGTGGAGGTTAACCGAGAAAATTGCAACACGTGATCTAACGTCATCCTGCTAGCCCAGCATCTCAAAATCTTTCACTTCCAGTGAGGGTATATACTGGGTATATAAAATAATTAGTTTACATTTGTTGCTTCGCGATCCATGTTCATTCTGAGGGAGGTTCTTTCATAGCCTGTTTCTTCCGAACCAGCTCCTGTCTCCTGCGTTCTGCCGCCTCTAGTCTCTGAGACATCGCCCGTAGTTCCTCCTTCAGCTTTTCGTTCTCCTGCGCGAGTTTCTGCACATTTGACGCACGTTTGTTTACTTTATCCATCCTATAGAGTTTGTTGGGTATTAAAGACTTGTAGTACGGTAAACGAAAGGACAGCGCACTCTGGATCGCCCGCTGAGATGATCGAATGAAGGTCAAGACCAAAGTCGGTGTCAGGACTGATCTGGGGAAGTAATGGTGAGGCATCTTCTAATGTTGATCTATCTGTGGTGTCCTGTGTGTGTGACGTGGCGGCAACGGGCTCTGAGGATTCTGGTCGGTCTGCGCCAACGAGACTGCTGCTCCGGTAGTGATATATCAGAAACGGAATGAACAGTGTGAGCATTGAGATGTATCTGACCCAGATGGAGCATCATGCTCGCTTTGAGAAGGATCCAAATTGGTGGACATGGTAGAGAACGAAAACCGGTAACCTGCAAAGCTATAAAGTACTTTACAACTGGGCGCTTCCGGCCCGATACGTCTCTTCCTCTGAACTTACCTGTCTTCCATGGCTTGCTATAATGTCTTCGCTGATCTTTCGTGGTCTGACTTTACTGAAGCGCAACAGTTAGATTCTGCCAATCCACCTTCCTTCGTCGACCACTTGACAAATGCAAACTTCCTCAATGATCCCTTTCTTATTGATTTTCCTGATCTGGCACTCCCGCTTAACTTTCATCAAGGATTCTTCCAAGTTTCAGACTCTCCTAGGACACTCTCTAAGCTCGAGGAAAATACGTCCATGGCCACCTCGCATGAGTCTATCACCGTTGAAGATCGCCAGATTTCCAACCTGGGTGAGGTCGGTACACAATTTTGGCATTTGAATTCATACTATTTATTGAGTGACCCATTCAAAGAAGCACGAGCTCAAAGCGCACACGGATCTCTTGCAACACATATTCAAGGCAAAGCCATTGGGCCAAGACGATGGTCACAAATTACGAGTCTCGGGTGATGTAAATACCACTATCTGTGAATTCAAAATCAATCAAGCAGAGCTCGAATACGCTGAACGCCTCGGAGATCCCTCCGTTGCTTTATTTTTGGAACATCATCTTGGTTTCATGAAATGGCATATCTTCATCGAAAATCGCGTCGATAAAGGGAAATCCTCAGAGCAGCAAAAAGCTAGTATCATTGATTTTCTAGTCAAGACGGAAATTATCAAGGAAGTGTTCCGCAAGTTGCTTCCGTGCGTGCAGAATCACTCTCGTGTTTGCTTCCTTCTGACACTGGCATATATTCAGGCCTGCGTACAGCGAGGTCAATTATGCCGTTCATACCTGGTCCAAGTCGCCCAACGGTAGAATTGTCCTTACTCGAGCAAACGTCTTTACACTTTCTGGTAAGCATCCCACGAACGTAGATTCTCAAAGGTCAAGCATTATGCTATGTATCTAGGCTGGTCTAAAGCCTTCTTTTCATACTGGAGTCGTCGTGCGGAACACCTTGCCTTATTCTCCCTTCACGACGATCGCTTGCGCATCATTGGCTCAGAGCTTGAGCGACGCCTGTCACAAGACTGTCACGACCTTGACTTCACTACCAATACTGTAGTGCAGTCTCTCATCCAAATGACAACTAGAAAGCTCGACGCGGTGCTCAAGATGACAAAAGATCGTACGGGTCTGAATCCCACAAAGCTGCGAGGGAAGCACTCTATCCTGGATGCGTATGTGGTGGCCAAGGATCGGTTCCTAGCTTCAAATCATTCTACATCGCGTTCCAGTGCTGCTTCTCCGCTTGGACACACCAGTGATAGTCGTCGATATGATCCTATTTCTTCAGTTATCAATCCAGTCTCCCCTAATCTGTCTGCCCATCTCGAATCGTCTCTGGTCTCTTCCTCAAAAAATCTACGTCGTAATGCAAAATCTACTCCAGGGCGAAGCGTGTTTAAACTTCAGCATACCGTCGTTCCAGCTGTGGAGGTATCCGAAGACCAATTAGATTTTCAGTTCGAGTGGCAAATGAATTGAAACCTTTCCATACGCCTTACGTCCAACCGGTTTCATTTTCTGTAATACGTTGTTTCGCTCGTTTATGTATGGCCACGTATAATCTTCTGAGCAACTCAAATCGTGTTGTACCTATGTGTCTTTTGGTGCACAGTTTGAATTTTAGAATCGTGTGAATTCTGAGATTTGCGCGTTTTGCTTCCTTACATTCATCTCGGCGAAGACACGACAGCTTGTTCCCCGTGACTCCTTCCTTGCAAAAAAGCCTTAAATGATATCGCTGAATATCGGTCATTTAATTATCGCGGCTACAGCAGTCTTCTTTGTTATTGCAAGCTATTCCGTCCTATTTAGCGCTTTTCTTCCGTTCAGAGGCAATGCGGTAAGTCTAGTAAACACTTTGACTTGCCCCGATTCAGTCTTGATAGCACTGTTTTCCAGGTCCTTGATGCATTAGCAGAAGATACGCATTACAAGTACTTTGTACTGCTCATCATTCCTACTGGAGCGTATTTTGTGATCGCTAACTGGGTTGGATGGCAATACTATCGCAATTCATGAGTAAAATGAATCCAATCCAATACATTTTCGAATTTCAGAGTCTTAGCGCATGAATTTTCCAGAAAATGGAGGGTATTCTTTCAGTAATGAAGCTTAATGAAGTCCATTACATATATATCCGTACAATCTACATATTGAACATAAGTACATAGTTATAAAATCACATAGAAACGGCAGTCCATAGGATGTAATAGATAGATAGATGATAAAATATAGGTAGTCTGGAAATGCAACGTGAATCGTCAAGGTGGTTTTCTGGGAGGACGGGATTTTTCTGATGGGGTTTGTGACTGTCTGCGCACATCTTGCAGTTCTTGCCACAAACTACTTCGTTCTTCGAGGCCCCCTGCTGAAGACGGAGGAGCTGCTGGACTGCGATCTCTCATATACCACGCCGCAGGAGCTGAGGACTTGCTTGACCGAGCCGGGCTGGAAGCTCGAGTCCGAGGTATATCTGAAATGAGAGTGCGGGTGGGGCTAACTTCAGATCTGGCCTTTGTGGGCGCTTTGAGGCGATTTCCCAACCCAGTGAATCGCGGAATGGACAGAACATTGCTCGGAGCAAGTGTTTCTTCTTCAGGGCTAATAGATCGGCTTGCCCGGCGGGGGAATCTATTTCGATAAGCGCTGTTTCGTGGGGCATAAGACAAAGGAGGCATGAGTGGTCGAGAGAGAGAAGATCTGGGAGTAAGTGCAAGTGCGGTCGGAGCAGGGAAGTATCTCGCGCGTCTGTCCAAAAATTGAGGATAGAATCTCAGGAAGTTGCATGAATAACCACTCACGCAACGGCCTTAAGAGAGAGCTTAGTGCGATACACTTGTAACCACTTGCCAAGGAATCTTTCTATGAAGAAGACAACATAAAATACCGGACACAGATCAATAACATTCATTTACTCACTAAGGATCGCCTTCCTGTCAATTTCCCTGGCTGTTCTTGCCTGGAGAGCACGAGGCATAATATTCATCCAGACTTTCCAGTACTTAGTTTTCACGCGTTTGGAATCAAAATGAATGGCAGGAAGTGACTAGAATGTGAGTTATCAGACATGAGAGGCTCGGTAATAGATAGATCAATAGTACCTGAGTCCTGGAGAACCACATCGCGAAAGCACGATATTTGAGCGCTTCTTTATTTCGAAGGAGAAGTATTTGTTCCTATATTGCATATAATGTCGGTCATTTTTTGATCACTACAAGGTTCCAAAGTATAAGACTCACTAATGGCTTGAGACGTTCCTCTTGAAATCGCTCACGCCATCTGTCCCAACCTATTTCTATTGTCCTAAGCTTGACTTCTTCCTCCTTTTGTTGCAGGACCCCACGACGATGGCGAGCGGTGCGGGCGACAAGCAGCCATTTGTTGAAAAATTTGCGCGCATTTTCTGAAATCGAAATTGAAATTTCCATCATTCTATGTACCTTCAAAGCTCACCATGCCGCTTAATATCCTGATAGCTCTCCATTAGACCCAACTCTTCGACATGCCGCGCCTGAACACATTTCCATTTCTTGAAAGCCGAACTAGACAGCCGGGCTTATGATGTTTGACTGAACAGAGAACGACTTGGGCTTACATTAGAAGAGCAGTCTCATTACGTTGTGACACCTCTAGCTCTCGCACTTTCATTTCAATGACGCGATTGGTCCAGTGAGTCAAAGACTTGCTCAGAATTCTCTGTGAAGAATTAGTGTTTTGCCAAACAGAGATTAGCGGACACTTACTCGGCGGACTTGCTCAAGAATTAGCTCTTCCGCTTGACGCTGTTGTCGCAACTTTTGACTGAGTATTAACCAGACTGAAGAACGTCAAAATTGAGACTCATATTTATCGATTTTTCGTTCTGTACGCTCACCATCGAAAATTTTCTTGACCTTGGATTGTTGAAATGATTGGAAGTTCCTTTCGACGACTCGCCCGTGATACTGCTCCTTCATATGGTTCCACGATTTGTGAAGTACCAAAAACTTTTCAGCTATTCGGGCTTTCTGGGTCAGTTTCAGTTTGACGTGAAGTTGTAAACGCCATCGAAGTAGTCCATGACGAAGAGCACGCTCGGAGTAATAATGGACTGCAAGGGAATGCGCATTCTGACGAACTTTTAGGATTTGACGCCAAGAAGAAAGTGCGTCTTTGGCATTACTCGAATTTAGACGTGTGCAGAATTGAAGAGCAGAGCCTAAAATCAAATGATGAAGAAGTGGAAAAGACAGCGAAAGTAGAGCCAACTAACCTTCAAGTAAGCGTTGATGATCCACTCGAACTTTCCAAACAGCTAAAACCGTCTTTGCCATTCGAGATGCTTTGACTTTCTCCAAAAGTTGACCACGTTCATGTGCTTTCCAGACACGCATTACAGCGCGCAAAAGAACATCATCTTGTCGGATTATATGCTTATCAGCACGAATTTCTAAGTTCTGCCGGAAGGCTTGAGCGTCGAATCTGAAAACAATCAAATAACTCACTCGTATCCGATCTCGGGCGGTCTTCCACGACTGAAGGAATTTTTTGGTGGTGTTCACATTGTAGAATACTTCTGCCCTCTGTACGTCGTACCTATAAAGTTTGAAATCACGATTGGATGTATGGGCTGCAAGACGCGAGACACACACGTTTTTTTCTTCCATGTGTCGAAAGCCTCGAAAACGATTCTCAAACCCACCCTCTCAGACACGACCTTCTGAATACGAGAGAAGTCGGTAGATGCTCGCCAGTGATCCCAGCATGATTCTACAACTTTGTCCATGCGATTGCAAGACATATCATCTGCAATAGCCTCCTTCTCATGATTTTGTCGTAATCGCGTTCTCCAATGTCGAAAAAGCCGCACAACAAGCTGTTCGTCAAAATACTGGTCTGCAATAACCAGCTTGTGAGATCGCCCCCACTTAACCCAAGCCTCTTTTGAGATTCTCTCATCCCGTCGTTTCCGCACAATCTGTATTTTCATACGCATATCCTGACGCCATTCGCTTTGCTGCTTTTCCTTTGCTCGATGTTTCATACGTTGTTTCCAGATCCCGAAAAACGTGCGTTGACAACGTCTCTTAGCAAATGCGTCAACTCGTACATACATGTTGTTATGGAAAGTAGCTCGTTGATGCCAGCGTTGAAACAGTTTTCGAAGGAGTAGATTGTCTCGGGCATCGTCGATTTGCTCGTTTGTGGTCTGATATCAGATGCATAAATATACGAGCATTGGGTATATGAAAATACATCTCACTATTATCCACCTAAATCCCTGCCTCCATACATTGAAACAACGTTCGATGAGTCTATCCTTTCTGAACCTATCGGCTTCTCTCTCATCTTGAATCATTGCAACCTTTTTCCAAGCGTCTTCGTCGTTAATAGCGCTATTTCTGCGCCTGGGTGCAAGTGGCAGACTTTCACTCTTCATAGAGAGAGTCTCGGAAAATATTGGAGATTTTGATCTTGTTGGAAGACCTCGAGTAACGACACGATGGGAAGGTGGTGTGGACGTGATAGGTTCTACAGTATCATGATCCAACGGACGAGCAGTTCGTCGAAATGGAGCATGCGAGGATACGGGGATAGAGAATGGTCGTTGAATACCCTCGTCCAATTCGAGACCCAGTGAATTGTTGGTTAAATCCGAAGGACTGGGGTCTTTACGAGAAGAGAAGACCTTGGAAAATGGAGGCTCATCGACTACAGAGCCATCTTCAGTATCCGATACTTGCGATTTACGAAGTCCAGAAGAGAATAGGTCATCGCTCAGTATTGTCGAAGGTCCTGGGCGAGAATTTACGATGATACCAGATCGAACTTGTGGATGCTTAGAAGCAACGACGACCTTCGATGGCACAAGAAAATCCTGTAGTGCCGTGCCATACCCATTTTGGACTTTAATCGCGTCCCATTTCTCTTTCCAGCTGCTTCCTTTGAGTGTGCCCAGCTTCAACAGCTTTCCGTAATATACGACCTCGTGAGGATCCAAGCCACGCTCAAGGAGGATGTCGTTGTATGCTTTGAAGACCGTGAGGAAAGTAGTCGCCGTTGGACCAGCCCGTTCTATAATAGCTTCTATAAGCTCGACTTCTTCAGTTGACATCCCTGCAAGCTCAGGGACCGTTGAAAAAGCCGAAGAGCGGGATACATCTTCGGAGTTGGTTGATGCTTGCAGGCGCTGCTGAGGAAGGGTGGTTGATTTCGCTGGAGAAGAGGACCGAGCAGGCCGGAAGGCAAACATACACTTGTGAGCGGAGAATCAAAAGAACTAGAAGACAAGTCAAAACTTGAAATCAACAAGTCGAGAAAGTCGCGTGAAAACATCATCACGTGATACTTACACGAGTTCATTCAACTATCAACACTACAAAAAATTATGTGTTTGTCCCTGCTTGGTCCAATCATTCCGATTGGCTAGACAAATTTTGTCTTAACATAAATGCACGTGCTATCTATATCTAATAAGTTACAAACGAACACTGCACGGGCGAAGGTAGCAGCGAGTGGGCGGAGCAACGCGACGCCCTGAGCGGAACTGAGCTTCTCATTGTGCATCGCACGGGTCACTGCTATGTAAGTACAAGTAGCTACAAGTTCAGAAGTTACAAAACGGACTCGAAAATTATGACTAGCTATCAATATATATCAATCATAGATCTGCGATACTTTGATATTATTTCGTCCGCCTTCAAGATAACTCCGGAAGCCGCACGTCTAAGATTGGCACCTTGCTCTCCTCCCCCATCCTTCAATTTAATACCATCCTCTAACCGGGAGAAAACGACTGAAGCCCACTCACTGACACTCATCAACAATGTGGCCTGGTCCAGACTGAGCGAGCGACCTCCGTCTAACTGAATACACCCATCAAGGACGATGAGCACAAGCTCTAACGCGGACGCTAGCACTGATGCCTCTTTCGTTCCTTTTTCAGCGGTGCCAGTATCCTCAGTTGAACTATCCGCGATAGATATTGGTTTTGTGCCTAATGTCAAGGCAAGCTCCAAAGAATCGGGAGCCAGGAATCCCAGCCATTCTGGAGTGTTTTCGGATGCATGTACCAAAACGGTCAAGGTGCGTAGGAAGTGGGTCATAACCAGGGAGTTCAAAATCAGACCCGTTCCTGCGCCATGGTACTTAGTCCGGCCTTCATGATATGCTGTTCGCGCCTCTCGCGTTTGTTCGTCTCGAAGGAAAAGCCAGAATCGGTTAATTAGAGGAGCCACAAAATAATCGGCTGCGACCTCATTAAATGTCGTTTGTTTATGTGGGGAATTGCGCGCTGTGAGTGTCGATGAATCCACTTCGGATATACGTTTAGTTCGCTGAACCCTAAATCGCCGTTCGCGTACGATTTCGGGGACTTTGTCTTCTGTGGCCTCTTTACCTCTATCGATAGCTTGTCGTGTGATCCCGCTCAGAATCTGAGGCAACGTTGCGGACGAAGGTAGGTATTTTCTATGTAAAGGTCCTGGTAAACGCTTGCTAGGGAAAGATGTGGAATCACTGGAGAGACTAGTAGTTTGAGTAGGTAGAGAGGCCAACTCTCGAGCACCCAAGGCTAGAGCGTTGAGCATAACAAATCTTTGCTCAGTCGAGTATTGGTTTTTGAAAAACTCTTCAATTATACACCTATACACCATTGTCAGATATAATTATGGAAACGGTGATAACTCACGGTGCAGCCTTACGAGGGGAACACGCGACTAATGCATTCATTGCGTTCTGCCGCAATTCATTGAATCTGTCAAGGTTGTAGTTGTCTTGTAAGCCTGCCAGGCCATATGCCAAATTGACAGCATTTTCCTCTATTGGGTCTAAGGCCCCTTCCAAATCGACACGGAGGGATTACGAACCAAGTTCAGTCCCATAATCTTTCTTCTTTCGTATGAGTTCTTCTGCATGATTCAGAGCTACTTCGATCCTGTCCGCATCTTCAGAGGGATTATCCTTTGCCATCCCACCCATACTCCTCAGCATAGCTCCTAACTGAGCTAGATAAATCGGCCTTGGTATTTTCTTCTGGCCAACATTGAGGGACGGGTCTTTTTCGATTTCTTCCAGCTCCGATGGAGTTGGGGAGTTTGAACGCGAGGATGGGGTAGAATCATACCCTGTTATAGAATTGTCGGAGTCATACTCGTCAGATTTGATTGTAATGGCAGATTTTTTTTTGGGCTCTGAGTTCTCCGCTTGGGCAGTCCCAGACGAGATTACATTGTATAAGTTATCTTCTTCGTTCAACGCGCGCGCATCAGCATCCGCGTCACGGACCACCAGTAAGGCCCGCAGATTCCGTGCCCACAATTTGCCACTATCGTCTCCATCCCAATCCCTGAAGTCCAGATTTCTTCCTGCACGCTGTGCGGCGACTTCCGCGACCAACATGCCAAAATGGCGGATATTATTGTCCATACTGTTGATGTATACACTGATTCCATTTATAAAACTGGTGGAGAGAACCAAAGAGATTATTTCTGGAGACGAAGACGGGAAGTATGAAATGGTGAGAAGAAGAATTGAGGTCACATCTAAGAGCAGTTTCTGTCAGGCGAGTATCACAAAAGGGAGATGTAGTATTTACAACGATGACGGGAAAGTAGAGAATGTTTGATATGATCCGGATTTGACCAGAGTGAAACAACGTTTTCGAGAAGAAGATAGAGAACTACAAATGGCTCATTAGAATATTAAGCAACAACGATAGGCAGAACGAAGAACCCAACGTTTATTATCTGCCCACCAACAAACGAAAACACGACTCAGACTTTCTTGCCACTCGCGGCCAAGCATTACCGCAGAGACCGCCTGGCAAAGTTCAACGTCGTCGGCTTGAATAGGGCAAAGCCTACTCATGAAGAAGGCTTCGTGTTTTACGGAAACTCTTGCCAACAGAGAACCATCTGTACTAAATTCTGGAGACTTTAAACAGGTGAAGAGAGACGCTAGCACATGCTGCAATACGAAGGAAGACTCAAACCCTCGAAAGATACGCGACCACGATGCGGAATATGAATCCGTGTCATCTTGAGAAAGTCTTGATCGAATGACAGGGAGAGTCGCATTGAAAAAGGAAGGCTGGGAGTCTGAGTTGGGTGACTGTGGGGGAAAGACACCGAGCTTAACGAGCTTCGTGAGAAGATAATTTATTGAGGCTGAATGTTCTAAGCCACAATGAATAATTTGAATGTTGCGGATTCAGAGATTGGCATACCTTTAGAGGATGCCCATATTAAGCTCTCGCAACGAACAGATAAGTTATTGAAGTAGACTCCGTGCTCCAAAAAAGCGGGGACATTCAACTTTCTTGCCCCACAATAATTGCCTACTTTTGCAGGGACTGCTACGACATTCCGAATGCAGTCTTCCCACTTCTGATTTGACTTCGCTGAAGAGTCATTCAGAGAAAAGATGGCAGTGTGAAGCCTATCGACTGGGTATTCTTTAGACAAACGGGCCAATAGGCGAAGGGAGTGATCTGTGATGGGGAGTGAAACGAGGGTCGCATACGCGAGCACAGCGACTTCTCCGGCCATAGGGGAAGCAAATGAGAAAAGATCTGGACAGAAGTACTGGTCGAGAAGCGTCAAATCTCCCTGTTTCTCCAGTTCCAAATCCCAATTGGGTAGAACATGTTGAAGTAGAGCGCGCTGTAACAACGGAACATGAACAGAAAGTCTGATAGAGCCCGATGGTAGAGAATTAATATTGTAGCGCCGATAAACGGGTGGAAGGAGGGACAGACAGTCTAGAGGAGCGGCTATGAGAGACGAGAGAGTAGGATAATCGGATACAGGATGTTGTAGTTCGTGTATGAGGTTTCTTACTTCGGATTCAGAAGGAACGTCCATACCAGGCCCATGAGCATTAGGTCACAATCACGTTCGTTCACCGTCACTTACGTGTCACAATCACCCCTTTGTTCTAACTTGAAGACTACATACATACAAAGTTCAACGTTCAACGTTCAACGTGGACATCGAAAACCAAGCTGGCTTCGGTTTTAGCAATATATCTTAGATCTTGCCGGCCTTTATTTTATGTCTTTGTTACCAAACCGGCCCAGAGCCCGCAGCAGCTCAGCACGTCCCCAGTCCACTACTTCCAAAGAGAAAACGAAAAGCAATTTAGCATCTACTCCTCCCGACGTTATCGAGCTCACAGACTCAAGTGACGAGGACTGTGTCACTACGAAGAAATCGTCGCGCGACGTTACCCGATCTGGTCATACCCTACCTCGAACACAATCGACTCCGAAGCCACTTGGTACTTCGGCATCTGCGGAAAATATCCCTTCATCCTCCGCTCAACGAGAATCGAAAACGAAAATGTTCCCGCATTCCTTGCCAAGCGACGAAGAAAACGTTCCTCCGTCGCGAAATTCCAATTTGCCTTCCATTATCGAAGACTTCGTCGTCGTTGATCTGGTGCCACTCAAGCACCTCGAAGGTGACCATGTTGAAAAAAATCAACTCATGGAAATGCAGGCAGAGAAAAATGCTCAATTGTCAATGCTTTCTCAAGTGTTAGAGCTTGTTCCCGATGTGCAACCAGAGTATGCTGAGGAACTGATATTGCAGCATTCCACTACTCGTCAGGGTGAGGTCTTGGAGGCAGTCATTCACGCACTTTTCGAAAACCCAGCATATCCAAAGATTGACAAGAAAGGAAAGCGAAAGTCAACAGAACAGCATCACGATGAAGGAGGCCACAAAAAGCCCCGTTTAGACGAGCCGGATTATTCGCGGTTAGACCGAGAATACAAGGGTGGTGTTCACTATTCCGACTTGAGCATCGTTAGTAGTGTTGTCCTATCCTTTCGTGCGTTTAATGATTCCGTGGTTTTAGGAGCATCTCATGGTCGATTTTCCGGATATTCCTAAGCCTTACATACGGAAAATCCTTTATGCCAACAAGAGTCTGTATGCGCCTGCTCATCTGTATCTCCGTGAAGAACAGCAGCGTGGTCCACCTTTCGCCTATGTTCCGAAGAAGACACTCTACAAACCATCATCCAAAGGGAAACATCGAGCGTTAGAAGATGCTGAATTTGAACAGGAGCGGGCTTGGCTGTTAGAAAAACTGAAAGGAGATGATGTCAAGATGGATGGTGCTGTTGCTGAACGAGTCAACCAGCAAGAATACGAGGAATGTGGAGATGGTATAGAATGTGGATGCTGCTTCACAACATATCCATTTGTATGATACCTCTTCATCCTGCTCACATGTCCACTTATCGGTGTTTAGGACAAGATGATTCAATGCCCGGATGCACATCTTTTCTGCTCGGATTGTATGAGCTCTTATGCCGAAAACTTGCTAGGTGCACACAACATCAATATCATCTGCATGGATCAGTCGGAATGTAAGCTTCTGTTCCCAGTCTCAGAGCTTCGTCGGTTCCTTTCCGACAAGCTTCTGGAGCTATACGAACGCGTAAAGCAGAGGAAGGAGATCGAAATGGCTGGTTTGGAAGGGTTAGAAGAGTGTCCCTTCTGCGAATACAAGTGTGTCATCGAAAACCCGAATGAGAAGCTTTTTCGTTGTGGCAATGAGAAAACGTGTGGTGCAATCACTTGTCGACAATGTAAAAAAACGGTAAACGAATATCTTCTATCACCGTCTGCCTCATCTGATCATGACCATCAGGATCATCTCCCAAAAAGCTGTAAAGGTGATACACCTGCTATCCTTGCGATGATATACTTACCACCCTTCTCTGCAGAGATGGAAGAAGACAAAGTTCTTGACGGTCGCCATCTTATTGAGGAAGCGATGAGCCAGTCTCTTCTTGATTCTGTTTTTCAACTCGCTTAACGATCTGGTACAGCTCGTGCACTGATGAGAAATTGTCCTCATTGTGATAAATGTATGTCAATATTTCTTCCACAAACTCTCATTCTCATTCATTACTTGTCACTTTTCTATAGCCTTTGTCAAAGAAGAAGGAGTCAGATTTGATTTGACTCTCCCGGTTTAGATAGCTGATTGTTTTTCCCAGTGTAACAAAATGACATGTCCTCATTGCCACACCCTCTCATGTTATGTTTGCCGACAACAGGTAACAGGTTATGACCATTTTAATGTTCGTCTTCTCATTTTCGTCGTTCAAAATCCCATGTTCACTCTCTGATAGCAGGCTAATCCTAGAGCTCCCGGATCGAGCAGCAGCAAAAAATGTCCCTTATGGGAACCTGTTGAAAGCCGCCACGCCCAGGAGGTGAGCTCAATAAAAACACAAATGCAAGAGGTGGTAATTAACGAAATGAATTAGGTAAAGGCTGCTGCCGAAAAGGCATTAGAGGACTACAAGCGCGACAATCCAGACGTTAGTGAGACTGACATCAAGGTCGATGTTCCGAAATTCCCTGGGCATGTGCAAGCACCCAATGCGGCTGCTGATCCACTTGGATACGGTCTTCCTGGCATGCCCAGAAACAATCCTTACGCACCAATGGCAATGCAACCGCATCTTCAACATGTTCATAACATCCTACGCCATCGCGCCGCGCTTTACGCGGCGGCTCTTCCCCCAGCTCCAGACCCTCCACAACCTCCGGCCCCCGTTCGTGCTGTCAGAGTGCAGCCAAGAGGCCATAGGCACAGATGGCGTTGAACTTAAACAAATAGTTTTGATTCAAGTACGTTCATAAACATGTCTAACATATTCACCATCATATTTAATTGGACGTACTTGATATGAAACTTATTGTTCAACAGGTCATCAGTTTGTAGCTACTTAGAGCGATACGAAAAATTTGCACTACATATTTATGCTGCTGCAATGCTAGTAGTACTCCGGAGAATGGTAATAAGTTATTTCCAAACAAGTTTATTGTGACATAGGAGCCGACCTGGAGTTTACCGAGACAGACGAAAACTACTAGGCCGCCACTGCAGTTGCCTGAAAAATTCTTAGAAACAAAAGTAGCAAACTAAGGCCATACCCACCTTCTTAGTGGCAGGTTTCGGCCTCGCGGTTGCCTTCAAAGATGATTTGGGTTTATCAGAAGCTTGTGCCTTTGAGGATGCATTGCTTTTAGCCTTGGATGCCTTAGCAGCTGGTTTCTTGGCGGTGACCTGCAGAAAGAACATAGAATGGTCAATATCATCTCATCGATACTGACACAATTAGGTTGCCTACTTTTTTGATCGATACTTTCTTCGTATTGCTAGGCTTTCGTGCAGTTGTAGTACTCTTCTTGAGGTGTTTATCGGAGGGTGTGGCCCTGGGATGCGAATACTTTTTGGTGGCGCCATATTTCTTGGTAGTCGGGGCCTTGGTGGTGGGCAGTTTTAATCCAGCGGAGGCTCTAAAAGAAGCTGGTCTCTGTATGACCTTGGCCTTGGCAGAGGGAACCTTCTTGGAAATGCGGTGTCTGGCAGACAAAGCCTTCACTTTCGACAAAGGTTTTCTTGCAGCAGGAGTCGCATTCTAAGAGATAATTGGCAAACTGAGTAATATGCCACCAAGACTCAGAAGGTGCGCCAACCTCTTTTGCAGCGTCATGACGGACTTTGGGAGCCAGCTTGACTTTGCCCGAAGGACCTATATGTGCAATTGTGAGTCATGACTCAGATCAAAGGGCAGGGCACGCTGAACGGACCTTTGGGCAGAACAAAAATACCCTTCTCACTACCAGAGGTTATAGCACGATTGAGCTGGCTAGCTGTCGAAGGATTGACATCTATTCTATATTTGATTTCCACAAACTAGCAGATGATTGTACTACGTTCATTTATGCATAATAAAGCTGACTGACCTTCTTGATAGTGGGGCGCGAGACACCAGTACGAGCTTCTTCGGGATGAGTGACGATGCATTCTGGTAAACCAGAAATTCATCAGGGCAAGCGTTATAGTAGTTGTTGCCAGAAGCTTATATGGATCTACTACTGACCTTTTATCATATCGATCCATGTCGGATGAGCCGTAGGGTGCAATTTCCCGCCAGATGTTTTACTTTTGGTCGTGGAATTCTTCTTAGCAACAGCCATGTGGGATTGGAGTACGAGGAATTTAGAGGTTGAGAGGTACTTCCTGACGATGAGTAGCGTCGTTAGCGAGGGGGGAGGAAAGAATAACATTGACCTGGCCTTATACCACCTGGTACAGACCACACGTGATACTTTGCGCACAGACCTTTCATTCCCCCAGTGACATTGTAATGAATACCTTAGATAACATGCAGAGAGCGGGCAGCATAAGTGCGAGACAAGCATAGTTTGTAGAAATCCCGAGTAAAGTGAGGGACTAGACAAGGACAGCAGAAGCGAAGGGTCTTGGGCGGACGTAGTATTGAAATTGAAAAATCATCTTCATCGCAAGTGTCTGAATGCATCTGACAAGGAGGAAGCGAACATTACAGAGTAGAGGCCAGTAGTCCAAATGAGACGAGGGGCTACCTTTCTGAGCAGCATTGTTACTTTTACCATTTAGCGGGAGGTGGAAGAGACAGAAAGAGATTTTACGCACGGACCATGTTATCGATCATCTCGGCCAAAATGCCGGCGCCGTTCACCAGTCTCACACTAACGCTATTCAGTAGTATTCATGCTACACTTGAAACGAAAGGAGAAAGTCTTGTCGAAACCACAAGTTATCGCTCTTCGCCATTACTTGATTGAGATTCAAAATCACGATCACCGTCGCACCGTAACCAAAAGCTGCTTGTCCCTCCCCAACTCTCTCGCCCCTTCGCCAGATTTCCGCTGCAGAACACCAGAGTCGCCTTTGACGTGCATGTAATCTGGGCCCGGAGACATCACAGCACATCTTCTTGCATTGCATAATCTTCCGCTTCAATTTCCTAGGAACTAAACGACACACTATTCCGAAATTTCCAATACTTCGAAACGGCACCTTTACGGATTTAGCAGCCCTGCAGTATTCTCGACAGAGTGGCTATCTATATGATTTGATCTATCTTTCCCTTGTCAGTGAAACTTTTGTTTTCCTACAACGTGAAATCATGTAACAATCGAATGATTGACTGCTATTGAAAAGAAATCCAATCGTTCAATACAAACTTAAGAAAGACATGCATAAGTTTTTCCGTAATGCTCTTAGAAATAGCAGTGTGATGTACTTACTGGCGAATATGCTTTACCAGATTTGACCACTCTGAATATAAGCACTTGGATAGCTACGAGATCCATGACTAGTTCAACCAAAGGCTTCATACCCTGTCTCATTGTTTTTGAGGTTCTCTTCACTGTTCCTGTCATCATCGTTACCCTCTTCTTCATCATTACCCTCATCGCTTTGCCCTTCCTGTTGATCATGTTCGTCCTCCTCGTCCTCCTCCTCCCCCTCTATGTGATCTTCATATTCTTCGTCGGAATCATCATTGTCATATTCACTCGATGCTTCGTTATCAGAACCAACGTCTTCCTTGAAGAAGTCGTCAAGATTGCTGGCCCATTTTCGTCCATTGGTGGTTGCCAGCCCCGCCGAGGGAGAATTCCCTCTAATCGGGTGGAGAACCGTAGTTGCTGAGCCGGTACTAGATGACACCGATAGGACATTAGAAGCATGAGGAACGGGAGTATCATCCGGTGAATCTCGGAGTGTGGATTCAACCCCCTCCTCATGCCAATCAGGTAGAATCGTATCGCTGAGCGTAGTTTTACCGACAATGACACCAAGGGCTCCAACTATCATATTGGAATGTTCTGAAAAGTATATAGTATCAAGAAGTACTGAAAAGAAGAATTCTGTTCATACGTACCGGCATGTTCATCGTCTGTGACATTGGTTTTGCCATTGAAGAGAACGACTTTGACCTGCTCGCTTCGCAACACGACGCCGCCCCTCTCCTCAAACGGTGTTATTCCATCGTCAGGAGTCAGAACGGGTGATCCGACACCTGTAAGAAGTGAAGACAGCACACGCGCTCTGTCCCGAACATCATAATTGAGATCATAACGAGCCAGGGAAAAGATATATCGAGCTATAAGCCCCAAGGTCTGTTCAGCAGGGTTCAAAACCGATAGTTTAGCTGCAAGCGTGATGATTTGAAGTTTCACCAGTACATCCTGCGATTCTAGTATCAAATCCAGCCAAAAAGTGAATCTGGTGACAGACCTCTTTTGGAAACGTTTTCGCGGTTTTTCGTAATACATCAGGAGCCCACTCCGCTATTCCTGCGGGAGCACGACTAACTTGGTCGGAAGCACAATGCTGTCCCACAAGCCAGACAACACAGGCCCGAGCCTGAGGATGGCGTATGTCGTCAATTTTTCGTGCAAGATTGGAGATAATACTGAGTGAAGATTGAGAAGCATTGACTGCGTTTGCGCCCGATATCTGCGAAAGCTGGGTTTGGACCAGATATTTGAGGACGAGGATCGCGTTGCTGACAACAACATCTGCGAAAACAATGTGAATGAGCGAGGAACATTCACACCTCAAATGATCTGGAGATATCACCGTGGTTATTCTTAATCATTTCCGTAAGCGCCGCCAAACACGTCTGCATTGATTCTGGAACCATTTTGGCACATTTCCCAATGGCTGCGATACAGTCTGCCACAACTTGATCATTGGGGTCCTCAGTATATTCCTAAATAAATGTTAGCGCAAATTACTATTCGAGTAAATCAAACACACAATTAGCTCGCGGAAGATCGGTTGGTGATTTTCAAAGTTGACCAGACAAACGAGGAGTTGGATTTTCTCTGCTTTGGCTTGACGCGAGTCGTCCGAGAGCATGAAGAAGTGAACATAATGTGGGGAAAACAGCGACTGACTACGAAGTTAGTCGATGTAAATCACTATGCATAAACGACCACTTACAGCATTGATCCGAGCAAGAACGAGAATGTAGGACAAAGTAACGCGCTCAACTTCCTTTGAAATGTGGAGTAAACGAAGCAGAGGACGGACAACTTTGACATGCACAGAGGGAGGTCCGGCGTACCAAAAGACGCGTACTACAGCCAGTACTACGGCTGGATTGCGACTTTGAAGAAGAGGCTCCGCGGATGACAACAGCAGTTCTATATCATGATCGACTTCTTCTCCATCGGAGTTGATTATCGGTCTTGGAAGCATCGTCCGAGCGTACCGCAGAAGTAGATTGAGCAAGTCAATTTGGCCCCACTCATCTACTTCCACAAGCAGCTTACACAGGCGTCTGTATCTTTGATGAATGAGGTCCAGACGCGTGGGGCAAACGGCTTCAAATGCCACAGCGACACTGCCGATTGACAGAGGGGAGGTATCGTTCAACATCTTGGTTATAGTTTCGATTAGAGACGGCAGGTGACTGTCGTCTAGTCTGTGAAGGTAATTCAGCAGAGAAATCATGTCATATTTCATGTAACGCACTGGTAGCATTTCGGTATTGCAAGAGCAGCAACTTTTCTCACATAGGGACTGAAATCTGCAGCACATTTCTTGATCGCCAGCACGACTATATTTCCGACCATAGGAACTCTGATCCCGCTGAGCACGCGTAATGCCATGGCACGGATGAATGGATTACTGTCGTTCAAATCTTTCTGGAAGGTGTTGATTGAAAGCAGGGCTAAGTCTGGTTCCTGTTCCGCGTATCTTAGGACGTAGATATACACTAGTTTTCTTATTTCGAGGTTCTGGGAAGCTACATTCTTAACCACTTGGGCAAAGTACTCCGAAACGTTGCGACCTTTGGATATGAGCTGAGAAAAGGTCATTGGAATGTATGCTCCAATGTCGATAATGTGGCACTAACCGCTATCAATCTCTTCATGGCATCCAGCTTTTCTCTGTCACTACTTGAGTCGAGCTGCTTGCGGATGTTTCTACCCTTAGAGTCATCCGCCTCAAGATAAGAAACATTGGAGCGCGCCAGGTTCATCTCTCTTGTATGTTCAGATAATGACTCTTGTATACGCATCCCGAGTCGAGAGGCATTCTCGGTAATCGTGTTGAGATAGTCCACGGACATATGATGATGACAGCACAGGACGAGTATTGCCAAATTTGGAAATCGCCTCTTTGACTTCTCCCGTCATGGGACTCCTCTTTTCCCTCCCTCTTGCAGGCGTTCTTGGGTCAGTAGGTACATCATGCCTAGCGGGCCTTGCGTTTTGCTTCACCTCGACTGCAGGTATGGAATCTATATTAAGAAATTGACCCTTTCTCAATGAGCGATCGCTTAGCGTCCATGTTCTGCAAGTCCTGCAACTGCAATTCTTCTATTGCTACTCGTGTCGGCTTCGCCGTAAGCAGCGGGTAATACTATGATCTTTAAAGTCTCGAACTCTCGTATTCAGATTATATTCTGCATCAATTCCATGCTGGCGTGGTTAATGAGAACAGACTTCGCCATTAAACAGATCGAGAAATGGAGTTATGACTACATCAAGATGGATTGTGCTGGAGATAAATGTTATGGAGTTCTAGCGGTGTGTCTATTTCCTCATCAGATAGCCATGGAATTGACTCTTTTCCAGGTTCATCGTATCTGTTTCGCCTTGACGCTGTTCCACGCAATCCTGAGTTTGTCTTTGATTGGAGTCAAGGACACCAAGGACAAACGGGCCGCAATACAGAATGGGTGCGTCCAAATCTCGCCTAGGGCTTACTTCACCTCAATAGTACCTATAGGTGGTGGGGACCAAAGGTCCTGCTATGGCTGGTTCTACTGGTTCTATCCTGGTTCATCCCTAACCAATTCTTCATGTTCTGGGGCAACTACGTGACCCTCATCGGTGCAACCCTCTTCATCTTGCTCGGACTAATACTTCTTGTCGACTTTGCCCATTCGTGGTCAGAGACCTGTCTTGACAACTGGGAGAATGCTTCAGACGGCTCCAACCTTTGGCAATGGATTCTGATCGGATCCACTGCGCTCATGTATGTTTTTACAATCACCCTTACTGGAATACTTTATGGCTTCTTTGCCGGATCAGGTTGCACATTGAACCGTTTCTTCATTTCCTTTAATCTTGCCCTTTGCATCATCATCACCATAATGTGTGTTCACCCGGTCGTGCAGGAGCACAACCCTCGTTCTGGGCTAGCGCAGTCTGGCATGGTCGCGGCATACTGTACCTACCTCATAGTTAGTGCTATATCGAACCATGCGCACGAAAATTCATCGTGCAATCCACTCAGAAACGGAAGCACAACCGCTACAGGGACCCGTACGACTACCGTGATCCTTGGTGGCCTGTTTACATTTCTGGCAATCGCTTATTCCACAACCAGAGCTGCTACGAACAGCCGGGCACTTGTCGGGAAGAGGAAGAATGTTGGAGCCGTTCATCTCGAGGGACCAGATGAATTTGATGGTCATGCTGAAATGGGAGTTGTCAATACCCAGCCTAGCCGTACTGAATCTCCGAGATATCAGGCATTGCTAGCCGCAGTAGAGGCTGGGTACGTCCTTTGATCTAAACCAAATATTCGTAGTGTCACTCATGCCTGTACGGTATGATCATAGTGCTATCCCAGAATCTGCGCTTCATGAAGAAGAAGAGTCGGATGATGAAGATGAAGTCGTAGGCGATAATCGCGATGACGAACGCTCGGGGACCAGATACAACGTACGTTTTCTTGCATGATCACAACGGCTTGATGAGTCTCAGACAAGCATGTAGTACTCATGGTTCCATGTCATTTTCGTCATGGCGGCGATGTATGTTGCGGCGCTGCTAACGGACGCGTATGTTTTTACTTTTTCGTGCTTTCGTTCTTACTCAACTTCGTTATAAAGAAATGTTGTCTCCAAGAAACCTATCAATGGTCCAACTGACCCTAACAGTGATGTTTACATTGGTCAATCGGAAGTAGCAATGTGGATGCGTGTCGTCTCTAGCTGGATCTGTATACTTCTGTATATGTGGAGTTTGCTTGCCCCTGTTCTCATGCCTGACAGGTATGTAAAATTTTACTGTTTACAGTTTTGAAAAGTTGAAATTTACCATATTCAGGTTCAGCGATGTGTAGAGTCAAGAATACCTGGTCTTTTTACGTTCTATGGACATTTCAATCTCTCATACTATAATCATCACGTCACTCGTGCGACCCAAAGTTTTTTATGTTTGAGCACTATCACCGGCCCATGATGATGAAAACCGCTTCAGCTGCTCGTCATGTTCTAGGATCTCCCAAATTGGGCTACTCAACGCCAAATTAACATCAATGGCCCGTTTGTCTCCGCCTGTCTTCCCTTGCATCTCAGTCGGTAGAGTGTAAGCTAAACCATCCACTAGTGAGATTGACGTGAACGGTGTTGACACCAGGATCGGTTTCTGCCCATCTTCAAAGTCTGTTCCTTCATACATCTCGAACTTTGCCCACTGGCTAACCATGATGCTACCGTTACCGTATCGAAAACCTGAACGAATACGACGTTTGTCGGGCTGAGCAGTAATCCAACGAAGTGTGCTCTTTAAATGTTGCGCATCAGGCACTTCGTTGCGCATGAGATCATGAAGGTGTTTTGCAATTTGCCAGAGTGGGGCGTGAGCGAGAACATCGTGCGAAAGCGAGGTAAAAAGGCAGAGTAAAGCATTGGGAAAGTATAAGGTCGGGAGATCAGGGAATCTATTGCCGCGGAAATCGACGGGGGTCAAAAAATCTGGAGGGGACATTGCAGAAGGGTCATTTTCAAAATATTTCAAGCGAGCTCGGTAGACGCTTTGGTATAGGAGAGCTGATATGGCCTCGAAAGTCGATACCCAGGTATTTATTTCATTCGGATTCGTCGCAAGTGCCTTGAGGGCCTCGAGTTTAGCACCTGAAAAGCGGAGAATGCGGCCAACAACAGGCGTCTGAGGTTCACTAGCAGGGACCGTCATTGCCTCTGAAGGTAGTACTTCTGGTTCAACCACCAGCAACGATGGACGGAATGCAAGAGCTGCCTGCTTCTCATCCAATGTCATTTCAAGGTCTGACATGTAGGGCTGAAAGTGTGGCGGGTGACTAAGTGTTGGAATGCCAGCAGATTTAAGGCCGCGATAGAGCTCTGCTAGATCCCGCATGAACTGGAAGAAACCATGACCATCGCAATTAATATGGCGTAGGCGAACCCCGAGTGCTACGCTACCACACGCAAAGCGAGTGTGTTGCACGGTGAAGAGAGAATCCCGGCAGCTCCCCTCCAAAGACGCGTCGAAGGGGCCAAAGAGGGCCTTGCTACCACTGGGAAGGTCCATGAGTAATATCCGCCCTTGTGTAGATGAAAATGAATCGAGGTGCTCGCTACATTGGGCTACTAGAAGCTCAGCGCCGGCACCCAGACTAGTTACTTCATAGGTACCATCAGTCGCTATATGAAGACGGCCAGTAAGGAGTGGATAATAATCCAGCAAGAGTTCTAATGCTCGCTGTAGGTATTGCACCGGGATGGTCTCCGTGGAGCCGGATTGTTCGTAAACAAACACGACGGCAACAGGTATGAAGGGAGCGACCAGCTGGTCGAGCGGTCCAAGTTGAACTTTGGATAGATCCGAATAATGGTTCTTGTTAGCACACTGCAGTGTGTGGCGCTCAAGTACAACGACGGAAGAATGCGCAGAGGTTGCCGTACTAGTGTCCATAACAGAGTTTGGTGTAGATTGTTTTTCTGGGTTTCTTGGACTTGGATTCAGCAGGCTTTATCTGCCTTATTATATCCGGCATCTCAAGGATTGACTCAAGGACTCCAGGGACCGAAAGGAGATCCGTAAAAGAACAATTTCACGTCTGGTTTTGATCAACAAAGCTATGTAAACAAACAAAGAACAACGCGTCGCGCTCAAACGCGTTTTAGGGTACTCTCATCTTCATCTCCGTTTTTGCTTATCGTCTGAAAATCTGAAAATGAGTCAAGGTGATAATTCAGTTTATTCCTTGATTTTTACTCTGACTGCTACTCGAAAGGCGGCGGCTTCTACCCAAACTCATCTCCTTTCAATCAAAGCCAAGCCAGTCCTGGCGGTGCAAGCGGCGAAACCAAAGTGGGTATCTTTCAAAGTGATCATTGTACGTCCGAGTTGAGACTTCACCACAGAGATCTGAACTCTCGCATTCTGTGCGGCCTCTGACCCTTGCCCAAGTAATCAAAGCCCATCAAGCTCACACCGATGCAGAATGGACTCTTGAAGGGAACGAGGTTGGACAGGTGTGTAACGCGTTTATTATAGTGCTCACTGGACTTTCATGCATTGAAAAGGTCACTATCATTGGCCATGTCGTGAATGTCACAGAGCAAACCACCAACTTTCTTTATACCCTAGAGGATGGGACTGGTAAAGTCGAAGCGCGACGCTGGCGGGAACAAAATAGTGAAGAGGACGCGGATAAATGGGGCGATATACAGTGTGTAATACTTCCATCCGTTAAGTATCATTTACTCAAAAGGAAGTTGCAGAGTGAACCAGGTCATTCGCGTTACCGGACACATGAAGGCGTTTGGGAACAGAAAATATGTCAATGCAGTTAATATACGTCCTAGTGAAGATCCTCATGAAATATATTTTCATACAATGGAGGCGCTCACCGTCTCACTCTCGCTACACAATGGCATGGTACGCGTTATATTTCCTTTACCCGTACACCAAAGTCTCAACAATGAACAGCCTAATGGTCCTCCTATTGGACAGAAATCTCCTGGAAATGCTTCAGCTTACGCTGCTCAATCATCTGGAATGGCAAATGACGACATGGCGGAGTACAGGCATCTTCCTCATTTACAGCGTGAAATTATCAGAGCTCTTCTGGCACAACCAGAGCATGATGAGGGTGGAGTTCATGTCGGTGTCGTTGCAAAAGCTGTCCAAAAAGAGGGTGTAACAGGGGCTTCCATTAGGTATATATCTCTCTGTCCCTAGCTTTTGATCCATTTGACCCATGCATCTCTCAGTGATGCTTTAGATGCTTTAATGGACGCTGGTCAAATTTTCACCACTTCCGACGACGCTCATTTCCAGGTTTCTCGTTGAAAATGTGGTGATGATTGAAAACAGCTTGCTTTGTCTGAAATCATTGTACGTTCCATGTCATGTACAAATGTGCTTTATCTCTGTGTCTCTATATTGTAACTCGGCGCTCAGCCATGGTATTGCTAACTAGGCCAGTCCAATAACTCAAATAATAATGCAACCAAAACCGTCACATTTTTTGGCAAGTACACGTACTGAGCAGCGAAGTTGCAGTAGAGGAGAAATCAGGTGAGATGAAGTAACACCCTGTGTCAATGTTCAATAAAGCAGGAAGAGAGTCAAACTAGCCCTGAAAATGGCACAGAATTGTGTGCAGAGTCGATATACAAAAGTTCCCAGGAATAGCATCTGCAGGGGATGAGTATATAGATTTTTCGTTCAACCCAATCTGGGAAGTCATCTGCGAAGACTTCAACGGGTATATTTCTGTCCTAGGTAAACCGCATAGTTAGTTATTCCGGATAGTTTGCACACAAAGCAATTCTGTGCGCCACTGAGCCCGACCCCGCGTTGTTCGTTTTTCTCACACTCGAAAGTACTTGGGTCTTGGTTCTTTCTTCCTAAAATTTCCAACAGCTATAGCCGGCTGTATCTTCTGGAATGGCGCCCTCCATTTCGGACTTACTCGTCACAGACGATTTAACCATTCTGCTCGGTCTCATTGCAGGGACTGTGTTTCTTCTTCGTACCTTCTATCGTCCTCAACCGCTCGTTCACCCTATCCTTCTTGGCCGGCAAAGTGAGGTTGCAAAGGTCAGGAACCCTGGGGAAAGTGCAGTATACAGGAACTATGGAACTGGCTTGATGAATCGAGTAAGTTCGTACTTCAATATTGGCATATTTGTTCACCTAATTTCTGGCTGCTCTAGTTTCCTCTCAGGCCTCATAAAGACGTACAGGTTCTTACTGACCTTGTGCGCTCCGACATGGAAGCCCCACGTACTCTTTGGAACACCAAGGTGGCAGACTTGCCTCTTTGCGCACTATTCTTGTACTAAACGCATACAGATAACCAATGCTGCTCTTCAAGACCGTGTAGCTTCTTTCGGCACTGGTCTTCTCCGGCTGGCTGACCTTCAGAGTCAAGAATCTAATGTCTTGCTCTTGTTGAACGACTGTATTGGTACGCTTTTGACATCCACTCCACGCAAGCGCCTTAATCCTCTCTTACAGAGTTCCTCATCGCTGATCTGGCGTTGTCTTCGCATTCAATACCCTCCATGACTTTGGCAGCTGCAAACCTACTTTCCCCTGTTCTCGATACACATCCCCCGTCTGCCATCATCACGCACGCCGAATTCCTTTCTACCCTGTTGGAACTCATATATGACGCAGGCGAAGAGGGCCGGCACCACACCATCGTGGTTGTGGGTGAACCAAGCTCTCGTGTAATGGCCAGTGTTGCTAGCAAGGTCAAGGTTCTGCTTTGGACGGATGTGGAAAGGGAGGGTTTCAAGGTCCCAAAGATCATGACCCCACTACCAAGTGCGCTCCGAAATAAATGTTCTGGCTATGTGTTTACTTATAGGTACTGTTTGAAGAACCTTCGGATGTTTTCAGCGTCTCCTTCTTCGCGGATAACACAGGCCATGTTCAAGGAACTCAAATAACACACACGAATCTCACGGCAGGTGTTGCCGCAATCCATGCCCTTTTCCCCGTCTCGGCATTGCTTTCCTCCCTTGACACTATAGTATCTAGCCATTCGTTGGGCGGTACTTATGGTCGTGCTGTTGCATACGCTGCTATCTTCGAGGGTACCTCTTTTGCCACCACGGAAAGCTCCAAACTCTTCCGTGTCGATGAAGGTATGTTTATGTCTAAATATATTTGACAAGGATTAAACGGTATGCTTAGGGACCGTAAAGCAGGACGTCGTCGATGTCCTTTCCGCCCAGCTGTACTCTATCCCATCTGCTACGGTCCTTTTCCTCAAGCCAACTCATCTAGACGCTCTTGTGGATGCTATTCTGAGAGAAGCAAAGAAAAGCTTCCTTCTAAATGCGTTCGCTTGGAGACATAAAATTTCCGGAATCAGTGAAGGGTTTGTGAGCAGAGATACATTGTGGGACCGTCTAGTTTATGATGCTGCGAGGGCAAATGTCATCGGTGAAGGTGCTGGGACTGTACGGGCGGTTATAGTAGGCGGAGGTCCGTCATTCTTCTCTTTACTTCCGTGGACAGAAATGGTGACTAAGTATGCACAGGTTTGCTACCTGCGAATCTCCTCACCCCTGCTCGAGTAGCACTCTCATGCCCCATTATCAACACACTGACGCATCCTGCCGTGGTGGGGCCAGTGTTTGCTTTACATGCTCTCGACCTGCAAGATTTCTCAACACTTGAGGAAGACTCAGCTAAATCGTTCGCTCCTGTTGGTCCACCTACTGTGTCGATCGAGGCTAAATTGCTTGGCGTCGATGACTCTGCGGTAGAGGATGGAGCTGATCCCAGCGGTACGCTAGTTGTGCGGGGTCCACCAGTGACGAAACAACTTTCTGGTGAGGAGCTGGAAACTCCCAGCGGCTATGTCAATATCCGAACCGGGGAAAGTGTATCAAGTGGCAATGGGGATGACGAAGATGGATGGACCAATTTGGGCGTCAAAATCCGGGTGCTAACCAATGGAGCGTTCCGCGTTGTTGTGTAGAGGTATTTCTCAAAAGCCCTTAAAATTTGAAATAGTCGATAGCAATGGACTGTGGTATAGACGGTATTGTATAAATTTACTCTTCAGAATGCACACTATGTATCTGCGTTTCCCAACAGCCTGAATTGTCAAGAATCTTAGTCTAGTCTTCTTTTGGCGTGTCCATCTTTGCCTCAAGTTCGAGACTTCCCAAATATCAGTGACCTTTTGTGTATTTCTGCATATGCATGACTTGCCCCGTTCCGCGTTTTGATTTCATCGAGTCTACTACGGTCTCTCGCGTCCTCGAAGTGAAAGACATTATTTGTAGTTAACCATTTCACATCTGAGTTATGGGCCCAAAGGACTTAGCTAGTAACTGGACATAGTCTGATTATGGTAAGGTAGTGTAGTGTAAGGTCTCTGTAGTATGCTCTGAGTGAAAAACAGGAACGGGCCAGGTGATGCATTCACCTTATATAGACGGCGCATTGTGGCTGTGCGTCTAAAAACGTGTTGAACATAATCAACGGAGACAGATCACCTGACTGGCGCGACGCGACCCGTGACTCAGTCAGTATAAATTCTCAGGGGTTGACACTTATCTCGAGCTCTTTTAACTCTTTCCGCCACACCCATCACTTTGTCCCTACTCCACCGTCCCCACCTTGCATCATTCTATTCGCCCATAAGATCTTCAAATATAAATCGACCTCATCTCCTAGCCTAGGATGTCCGCCTCCGTATCTCCCACCAAGTCTAACCCTACCTCTCCCGCCAAATCGACCGGGAAGCCTGCCTCCTCTGCTGCGGCTAAACCCGCCTCAAAGGCGAGCGGTCCTAAAAGGGCTGTAACTACGAAAAAGGTATCTGCAACTCGTAAGGCGACGACCAGTAATAAGCCAAAAGTCGCTGCTACTAAAAGCAAGGCTATCTCTAACTCTGCCCCTAAACCCTCGTGGAAGGAGATCATCAAGGTACACCTTGTGTGCTCAACGTTTTGATTGATACATATTCACGATGCCGGTTTTAGGAATGCATCCTTCTTCACAAGGACGAGGCCCGCCAGGGTGTCTCTCGTACTACCATCAAGAAGGTTTGATTGAATACATTTCACACAGAATATGTGATTGAACACCTTACAGTATGCTGAAGAGACCTACAAGCTCGAGATGAACGCCTCTCATCTCTCCCAGCTTAACCGCGCCATTACCAACGGAGCCGAAAGTGGCATGTTTGTCTTACCCAAGGGTCAGTGGCACCTTGACTTAACGGACGAAATGGTTTCCGACATTTTCTTTCCTGTAATTTAGGTCCATCAGGAAAAGTGAAGCTTCCACCCAAGACCAGCAAAACTACTGATGATTCGAAAGAGGTTCGTCATTGTCCTCTCTAATATTAGCTGCTTCTTACTGCGCTCTTGACAGAATGCTAAGCCTCCTTCTAAGACTTCGGGAGCGAAGGCTCCCGCTAAGAAGGCCGCAGTCAAGAAAACATCTGCACCCGTATCGAAGAAGGTTGTAACCAAACCTACCACTACCAAGCCCATTGCGAAGAAAGCAACCGCGAAGCCTGCTGCTAAGAAAGTTCTTGCTGGTAAACCAAAGGCTATCCCCACCACCAAGAAGACAGCAACTGCTACGAAGCGTGCGTCAGCCAAAAAGGCCGCTACCGGGACCACCGCTGTTTCCAAAGCCAAGGTAAAATCAAATATAACCATAGGGATCACTCAGTACTGATCATCCTTTAGGCTGCTGCAAAGAAGCCCGTTGCTAAGAAGGCGGCGACTATGACGAAGAAACCAACAACTTCCAGGACCCGCACTAGCAAGGCGACCAAGGCTTAAGTTCTAGACAGTGAGTCTTATATCGCTCATTCACTGCTATCTAACATCTACTTGTGTATCCAGGTCTGGCTCTCTTTTCACACAGTATTACTTGCGCTATTTATCCCATTCAACACTTTCTTCCATCGTCCATGTTCCTTATGACTCGTTCTGTTCTTGTGAGTAGTAACACTATTACATTGTTTGTACTATTATTCTGTCTGTTTCTTACTCCATCTATCCTACTCTTTCACTCCCGTTATCCTTTTTAGGAACAGGTATTTCGCGAAAGTTGTACATTCGTACAAAGCTTTTAGATGTCTTGTGGGAGAGACCGTGGCTATGTTCCTTCCCCTAGTACATCATGTATGTCATATGAGATTTCATTTCTCCTATCTGATGCGATGATTGACATGCGAGTAAATGCCTGCGAACCATAGCTTCCCTAAGCTTCCTCGATTAGTACAGGTCTTTGAGAGGCCCTAATGTTCTAGTATATTGGAGAGTTCGCGTCGAGACAAACTGAACGGTGCTTTCTGGTGATTATTTCAGTGGCTTCGCTCGTAGAGAGTACACTCGAGTGGTCGGTTTCTTTCAATTTCCTCCCAACGCGGGGATCACATTACATGCGGTTCTTTTATGCAATTGAGAAGGTCCTTCTACAACCTAAGTGTTGGATTTATGTCTTCATTTGGAAATTGTAACGACAGCACTTTATGAGCCGATATATAACAGTGAGCATCGTCCAGTGGGTGACCTCTCTTGACAACCGGCCCAATATCTCCAATATCCCGTCGTATTTATGAACCGGATTTTTCAAAATATCAAAACGGAAGAGCGGCGTACGTCTACCAGAAGAGTGAACTTCTCCTTACTGCTCCTGATCAGTTGAAGTCCAGAGATAATAGTTGAATTGATCCAACTTTCACCGATTTCTTGATTTCTTTCTTTCCCTTTGTACTTGGCCTTTGTACTAGTACTGCAGCGCACAGCAACAGCATAATACTCTTGATGACGTTTAACAAAAAGCGTCATTCATATGATTCAAATGCCGGGTCGGCAATCAGCGAAGATATTGAGTAATTCAAATAACTCAGCGGTCCTCGGGGTCTAAAGAGACCCCAATGCGGATAAATGAATGAAGGATGAATCTAAAAGGTCGATCAAGTCTAGAAAGTTTGAATTTTTGATTTCAACTTGTTTCCCTCCCCCCATCTTTCCCTCCGTTTTCCGTTCCTTGGTGAATGGAGCCCCAGCATATAGTCACGAGAACCCGCACAATCAAGCCCTCTGTACGCCTTAGACAGAGCCCTGACCCCTCCAAAACACGCCCAGCTACTACAGAATACCCTATATTTCCTCTGCCACACGTTGCTCTACACCCTGATGACTCTGCAAGCAAGGTCTTGCTCGCCATAGGGAGAAGTTTCATGTCGGTCGATAATAAAGCAATGACAATCAAGGACTTGTCAGAGATGACCATGACTATGGGTTACAATTGCCTAAAGTGCGTGAATCAACTAATTTCACCTGTTCACTTGTTGATATCGTCACAGTGTCTCCGCTGCGTCTCAAGCAATCACGACTTATATTCGAGCTCATCTACAACGCTGCGAAGTACAACAAGATCAACCATTACTGCTTAAACATGTGCTCTCAGGCACTGCAGCTGACGATGACTTATTGCCCGCCTTGTATTCGACATGTGGTGGCGCATCCTCGTCGACTGAGTCTCGAGCCACTAATTTTCGGCGAGGGACTGTCGTTTGGTACTTAAGTCGATCCACAGGCGCGCCATGTCCTTTTGCCCGTGCTGGCATTCGACTTTGCGATTACGTGGACCTTGGCGCGTCTCAGACTACGCTCAAGAAGCACATAGATCCTCAGCAGTGTGGGCAGAAACGAAAGCGTCGATCAACTAGGGAATGTGTTCTGAAGAACTCGGCTCTTCTAGAGCAGTCACGTGAATCGACTCGCTCATTGTCACCGCTCTCCTCCATCGTCGATAGCGAAGTTAGTGAAGACTCGGATGTATCCCCAGACATTGACGAGCCACCTCCAGTCAAGGTCAAACTTACACTCAAACTCCCTCCGCTAACACGTGTTAGGATGGAGGCCGCGCTGGCTAAATCACCTCAAGAAAGTCCAGTCTCTTACCGTCGTTCACCGTCGGTGCCTTACTCCGTCGCTTCTATCGCATCGCCACCACCAGAATCTGATAATGAAGAGGAGGATAGTGGTAGCGATGATGATAATGATAATGGGTCATCAACAGGAAGGGAAATCGATATTTCAATGGATGTCGACGATACATCAGTTGATGAGGAAATACTGCCTGAAGACCTTGATGATGACGAGGCTCAATTTTCTGACGAGTGGGACGACGACAATGATGAGGAGGTTAGCACCACCTGGGAGTCTCCTGGTCCTCGCTCCCCGTCAGCTCAGCCACCCGCTTTTAGAGTTAAAGAAGAGCCGCGGGACGTGCAAGGATTATTGGATCAATGGGAATATGATTTGGATCTGAAAGAGCCGCTTGTGAAATCAGAGGATGCTTCTCTTCCAACATGGGATTGGGATTGGGAATCTGGTTACCACAGTTACATTGCTCCTTCTTCCTCTCCTTCTAATAATTCATCTGCTTCCATGTCTCCAATACAGTCTCGGATCAAACAAGAAGATGAGTTTGATCTCTCCCTCTCTTTCTCTGGACCAGCATTTACCAATTGGAGGCAATCTGCTACACTCTCGCCCACCACCCCATTTGGTTTTACCTTTGGTGACGAGTCTGATGTGTTTCCTATATCGCCTTCTGCTTTCCCTATATCGCCTGCATCTCCTACCCCAGATTATAGAACTCTCCGGCCACGTGCACGTACTGTTCCTTCACTATCCTTAGGCGGATTTTTGCCTGGACAGACTCCAGAAACTCCATCTCGACCCACGGATCCTCCAATTACTCACAGCCTCTCATCGTTAGTCCATTCGTTTTCATTGAATCCTCTGGATGACTGCTCTCCGCTTACGACATTTGTCTTTGACCGGCTCTCCTCGGAACCTGAAGAAACTGAATCTGCTTCGGAGCTATCTACGGCCAAAGAACAACCTCCACCGTGTATCTCCCCTAACGACATCCGTATTGGCTTGAACGCACCAGAATCTGTTGTAGTGAACACATGCGAACCATGTCTCCCCCAGATCGTCGCAACGCATGTAGAAGGTATGTTTGTTTTCAGCTATACGAAGATTTAAATTCATTCACATGCATCCTGTGTATAGGTATTGCTGTTTATCAATCATCCCTGGGACCGCATACCCTGCTCAGACGCATCGATACCGACTTTGTCAATCTCACACCGATAATCAAATATGCTCAAACTCCGTATCCTATATCTGCTATATCGGGCGCTACGACAGTCACTAAAGGCAGACAGGAAGTTCAAGGTGTCTGGGTTCCTCTCGAGGCTATGCGACTCTATGCACAGGATTGTATAACGAACAGGCCATCAACTTCTTCCCCGGATCCTGTTGCCATCCTTGATATCTTTCTTTCTGATTCACTCGTTGAGCGTTTCCCGACCGCTCTTCGGGAATTCGTGCGAACCACCAGGGCTAACCTGACTAATAATGGCACAGTGGGAAAACAGTTTGGTAAGAGCTTTGGTGGTGACAGCGCTTCGTCGGCGTCTCCCTCTGGAACCCCCAATCCTACGGTGATGGCCGCTGCGGCTGCAAAGGACCGAATGCCCATCCACGAACAACCATTTTTCCCTCCTTTGCTGTCATGTGGTATATCCATATCAACACCCCCATCAGTAGAGGTTCCTCTCAGTGCCACTGAGGAGAAAATATTTGACGAGTTCTGCGTCAATCTAGAATGGGAAAAAGCGGAGGAGGGATTTGACTGTCTAATGGATATTGAAGACGCTCTTCGAACCGCTCTGCCACTCATGCGTACGCCTGAACGGTCCACGAGAACTCGTTCTCGTGCTCGACAGGTTTCCTTCTCTCCGTCCTCGTCTCCGCTCTCTTCTTGTCCTCCCTCGCCTGTGCTCGACAACACCGAAACACACTCATCCGCGAAACTTGTTACCACGACTGGGCCACAGGTTGACGCCACTACTTCTTCGCCCTCGTCTAGCTCTTTGAGAAGGTCGAAGAGAGTAGCTGACGCATTGGCTGCTAAATCGAACGTGAGGACTCGGTCCTGCAAACGACGGTCGAAGAACCTTTCTTGATAGCGTCGAAGTTGGTTTGCTGACAGGTACCAATTCCCCTTTCCGTCGATTTTCTTTTTCTCTGTCTCTCTTCTCTCGATGTGTTAATACTGCTATCGTACGTTAAGTCCTCTTTGAATGATTGGGAAATAGAATTTTACTCGTTACACGTACCTTGTATCAGATAGTTCGGGTCCTCCCTTTTATGTTTTTCTACCTACGCTGTTTTACTACTTACCTGTGTGTCTAGCTTGTCTTGTCTTCGTGCCTTCTGTCTCTCGCCTTTATTGAGTGGTTCTTCCACCCACGCCCACTCCGATTCGTTTTCTTCGTACCCACCCGGAGGAGTGTTCTTCGTATGCCGCTTTCCCCAACTGTCGCCAGAACCCAGGGGACTCTGGAAGTAACAAGTACTCATACAACTCGTTTTAGTGCGCCTCCCTTTTTTCATGCTAAATTCTCCTCGTTCACGGTATGGTACTGATGAAGTATAACTCTTTACTCACAACACAACGTGTACCTACATAGGTGCATTTTAACCACTTACATACATAATGCAGTTATGCTTTACATCGATAATATGAGTGGGATTGCAACCTTTGATTCTTTTATTAGCTCCAAACTTTGCAAGTCATAATCTGCAGCAAGTCAGTAAGTCTGCGTTGTACTCGCAGTGGTGGTTTCGACCTAATATCGATCTATCACTCATGCCCAAACAACCAACGCAATGTCGTTCATATATATATATTGATAATTTAGTTGAACAATTTGTAGGAGAATGAAAGTCTGGCCCCATAACGCTCCCCTACGGTACAACCTCTCCAACTTCATCTCTCGTTAAATGAACCCTCCGCTCTACCCTCTCCCAGATTTTGGCGCTCCACGTCTCTGTCTCATTGCTTATTCTCGCACGAAATAATGCAAAGATGCGAGGCTCGAGTGCCGAAAGAGTCAAAATAGTCATCAGGAGACTAAGGAAACCGACATTCGAAAGAATTTCCTGGATTGTGGATAGACATAAGTAACGAGCACGGGTTGAAGATGAACCCGTTGACAAAGGGCCCGGGTAAAGTGAGTCCAGAAAATGTGTTGCTGGAATGCGTAGCAAGCGAGTCAATGTGCAACTCTCTGTTTCCTGTTCACATGTAGAATTGATTTGCGGGCCAAAAGAAGCTTGTGACAGTGTTACAAGAGATGATGGCATGGCCCAAAGGCGAAGACGTTGAGCTAGAGAGGGAGTCCCAAAGGGGCTTCTTGGAGAAAGAGCTCCGTTGAAAACATCTAGAAACAATTCTGGATCATTGACCACAAACAACACGTCATTTGGGCCTCGGTTGCTATTAAGGATCCTAGAGTATGAGAAACCAGGAGGATCGACGATGCCTCCAGCAAGAAGTATCATCCCAGCACTTGGCGCTGTAAGAAGAAGCTCAAAGAATTCTGGCGCCAGTGGTGTTATTCGAAGAATCCTCGTACCGCGACCAACCGCGTTATGAGTCTCGGAGCCTTTTCCGTTGATGGAAGTCGAGGTGGAACCAGGAAGAAACCACTCTTCCGTGTCGATGTCTGGCCCAATTAAGACTACAGCAAGTTCTGCGCTCTGATCTACTTGAGTGCGGAGGAACGCTCTCACATATTCCTTAGCCCAAGAGCCTAGAACACCAGGCTGACGACGGCGGGTAGTGAAACCTGCACCGGAAGCCGGATAAATTTGAATTTCGGAGTTCACGGAATTTTTGGACGAAAGGGCAAAGGAAGGTGGAGGGAGAAACGGCTCTGGCCTTATATACACCTTCAGATCAGATTTTTCATCCCCCCTTCTATAGTGCAGTATACCAGCTTGGTAAAGAATTCTCGGCATGCTCATGAATAGTTCCAATGGATATGACACTAGGGTGAAGAGCAGGTTTCGAGCGGAAGGGAGGGGCAAAGCATTTGTTGCTCGTAGAGTAGCAATTAATTTCGTTTGACCTGGCAATTCAGATTGATCTGCCTCGATATTAGGTTCGCGTAGTTGGATGCTGATCACTGGTTTAGGGTTCCCTTCTATTCCTCTATCTGCGTCGGGAAACTGAGGAAGTTTAATAGACACAGTGTACCAACCTTTACGGTCGTTAAATGGGGAGACATGAAATGCTCGAGGGAACGTCCATTGGTGATCGTACATGCGTTTGGGGGAAGAGTCTTCTTCGATGCCGGGACGCATGAAGTAAACGTGACCTTCACCGAATGTGTTGTGGACTTCGAACAGTACAAGCCTGAGTTCTCTGTTCCCCCTTTCGTCTTCAGATCTGAAGACAGAGGAAGGGGTAGCGATTGAGTAAATGAGGTATACCGTCAACGGATTGATTCCCTCGAATCCGAGATAGCTAGGCATTGACAGAATCCATATCTCACTTGTCCCGTCCAAAACATCTCCACAGCCTCCTTGCTGTAGAATAGCACCAACTTTATCTCTGAATCCCATCTTTCCAATTCCGGAAGAGGGTAAAAGATATCCATCAGAGCTCAAAGAGCACAGCGACCGCCAACGTTTGTTGTAACCAAACAGGAGAGGGGTATCCAACTTGTTGTCTTCTAGAGCAGATATCTCGACGAATACAGCGATAGTAGTGTATTTGAAGGTGTATAGAAAAGGAATGAACCGTGTATGAGAGACAGCATTGGTCAAAATATAGCCCTTTGGATGATTATAGGACATGGCCAATAAATACAGGGGTCATTACATGTACAGGGCCAATAGAATTTCATAGCCCATGGGAAAAAATCACATTTTGAATGGTCGATTTCTCCGCGTTCTCCGCCGATGTGCGAAAATTTGCCTGCCGAAATTCACAGTCCGACAAGACACTCATCAACACTTTGCTCCTTGGTGGGAGCTTCTGCTCAACGTACTAATTTCCAGTATTATCTTCTGGCCTACAATAGCTGTTGGGGCACTTCTTGTCTATCTCCTCGAAACATTCACTGTCTTTGGAGCTCCTTCACGACCCAGGCCACGTCTACCGTATACCACTCGACGTTATCCGCCTTTTTTCCTTGACGGTCTTTGGATATCAGACGAGCAAGCTAGAGCCTTCACACCCACATTCGTAATCCCTAATCTTCTTCACTGAAAAATCATATAATGTCTTTATCCACTTCTGACAACAACGGCTCCTATACGAGAGTGCCTCCTTCTGGAAAGACACCGCCGCCAGCTCCTTCCGCTGCTTTTGCGAAAAGGTTCGCAATTTTTCTTTTTTTTTTGCCAGGTTCAATCCTTTGATTTTGCTTCTAGAGCGCGTGAGCTTCAGGCAGAGCAGACTATAAATGCAAGATATAGACCGCCTGCTCTGCGCGCCATTGCATCTGGTGGCTCTCCTCCAAACGACGCATCTCCTACTGTCACAACTCCAGGCGATGGTAGTACTTTGCCACCTACTAATTACCCAGCGGGCTTTAGAAGGGCTAGGGCCGGCACCCTTCCTTCCAACGTCCAGCTTGCCGCACAGCGTTTCGCTGCTGCCTCCAGTACGCTTGGCAGCACCCCTGCTTCCACTGAATCCCTTCTGGAGCAGTCTCAGCGACCTTCTGTCACGCCTTCCGCCAATCTTGCACCCTCCCGGCCGAATTTACGTCACTCCAACACTGCGGTCACTTCCTCTGCCTCAGTCAATCGACTTAGATCCGAGTCTTTGACTCTTCCTGCTGCTGGGTTGTCTAATAATCCTTTTAGCCACTCACTCTTCTCATCCTCGTGGCTTTCAGGCAATGGTTCAGGAAACGGATACCCCGTTCTCGAGGAAATGCGATCTATGACTTCCGCCGAGGTCGATGACTTTGATGTTCATACACTTGATTATCTCGGTCTAGATGACACCATACGTCCTCCAGCTACCATCTCCGAGCTTCGTACACAGGCTCAGGCTGCTATTGCTGGAAACCTTGCTGGAAACCCCTCTCGGTTACGAGCCAGCACTGTGTCTAACCCTTACCGATCCAGGCCTTCCATTGCGGGCTCGCTTTTTTCTCCAGCCCCCCCAGCCGAGGAGGAGGAGTATGACGCTTACGATGATCAAGCTTTTTCGCGTCAGCGTCTGAGCACTTACGAAACTTCGAGCTCCGATAATTATTCGCCAGCCTCGTACGTAGCCAAAGGTTTCAAGCAAAGTGGGGATCTTCTTTCTGCACCTACTCGACCCCGTGCCATCTCTGTAGGCAATCTTGAAGAGCCTACACGTACGTTTCAGAGACGTGCCACTGTTGTTGACGCTCATCCATACATCAATGAACTCACTCAACAGAGTTCTGGTATGAGTGTCATGTCTAATAATTTGGGCACTCCTGGCATTCTGCAAAGTTCGGATAAATTAGGCTCGGTCCGTGGTGGAACATCCGTTCATTTCCCTAATGGTGAGACCCCTAGCAGAGCTTCAGCGTATTTACTTGCTCCCGGTGCTACTAATCGCTCTCTGTCACCTAAGTCTGAGGGTCCATCGTCACAAATACAAACTCCTACTCGTTCCCTTTGGATTGGAAACCTTGACAATGCTGTGACCAGCGAACAGTTGATTCACGTTTTTGCGCCCTACGGCGCCATTGAAAGCTTGAGGCTTTTGCCGGAGAAGGTCAGTTTCGTTAATCAAATTTTTAACTGGAACGAATCTCATAATATCTCAGGAGTGTGGATTCGTCAACTTTGTTGACCAAGCTGATGCCATTCGGGCAAAGGACGATGTCTTGAACCGGTTGGGAGGGAATATTGGCATGCCGAACGGGCAAACTGTACGCATCGGCTTTGGAAAGGCTGACAGTGCCCCTGTAGCTCCTGCAAAAGGAAATCCTTCTACCCCAGGGCCACTCTCACCTGGAGTCTCCTCCGCAAAGTCTCTCAGTGCGTCTGCCACACCTGGGGGCATCGACGCGCAACTTCAGTCAACTCCTACTAGAGCACTCTGGATCGGCTCCATTCCTTCCACAACCACACCTGCAACCATCCTCAGCGTGTTTAGCCCGTACGGTCCTATCGAGTCAGCGAGAGTTTTGACGCATAAAAATTGCGGTTTCAGTCAGTATTACCATACCTCGTCGCTTCTTTCCTTCGGCTCATACTCAATCTCTTTTCAGTTAACTTTGAACGTCTTGACGATGCCGTTCGGGCACGTAAAGCGTTGAATGGTCGCGACGTCCTGGGAAGTGATGTTGGAGCCATTCGAATTGGTTTCGCCAAAGTTCCTGTCAAGAATGGTCAGGATGGCACTGGCGCAGAGGACATCCCGGGTCCTGTCCAAGGAATCGGCAATTTGAGTGTTGGAGCAACAATCCACGCTCTCCGCGCCGTCAAGGGTGCAATCACGATTCCCGCCGACCAACAGGTCCTCAGCGGCGCTGTCGAAAATTATAGATCCAACTTGTTGCTCAGTATGATTGGGTCGGGCATCCATGACGCGTCGTTTGCTCCAGATGGTCTTGCGAAGCCTCCTGGATGGGTTCCAGCAGTAACTGAGCAGCAGATGATCATGAAGGAACTGAGTGTTGGTAGTGCTGACGCGGAAGCGGATATCGCAGCTCTTGCAGGTTTGTGGGTTTCCATTTGTAATATTATCTCATGTTAATGTTCCTTGCAGACTTCAGACCGCCTACCATGTACTATACGACTATTCCGCTCGTGTCAGATCGGCCGCATAACAGACGTTGGGATGCCTCCAAGCTTCGTGACTTGCGCAAGCGACTGGACTCGGGAACCATGACTGCTGAGGAGGTCGATACTGTTGCGGGTGACTTCCTCGACGGTGAAATCGTCGATCTGGCTTCTGACTGGCTTGGCAACACGGTAGGTATCCCCTTAAATTGAAGTTCACAACTCGGTATCTAAATACTTTTCAGGTTGTCCAAAAACTATTCGAGAGATGCTCTCCCGGACCCAAGTTCGCCATGTTGGAACGCATTTGTCCCAGTCTGGCTATGATAGGAATCCATAAGAACGGGACATGGGCGGCGCAGAAGATCATTGAGTGTGTTGCCACTCCGGAAGAAATTGGACTGGTTGCCCAGAACCTTAGACCATATGCACCACCACTTCTGTTGGATCAGTTTGGAAACTATGTCGTCCAGTGCTGCCTCCGTTTTGGCGCTCCGGCCAATGACTTCATTTTCGACGCCATTGTCGATCGTATGTGGGAGGTTGCCCAAGGTCGTTTCGGTGCTCGTAGCATGCGTGCATGCCTTGAGAGTCCTCATATTACTCTTAGCCAGCAACGTCGCATAGCCACTGCAGTCATCCTGAACTCCATTCCTTTGGCTACAAACCCTAATGGTGCCCTTTTACTCACTTGGCTCCTCGATACGTCTGGGTTCCCTTCACGTTACAACCTCCTTGCGCCTCGTTTTACACCTCATCTCTCGCACCTCTGTACCCACAAACTGGCTTCGTTGACCGTTTTGAGGATTGTCAATCAAAAAATTGAACCGGAGGCTTCGCGGCAGATTGTCGAAGCGTTATTTGCCTCATCGGGTGACCATGTCCTCACAGACGTGCTCGGTGACCAAGTCAATGGCGTAGCCGTCGTCCACAAAATATTGACCAGTCCTTTCCTTGACCCCATGGATAAAGCAGTTTATATGGAAGCTACGAAACGCGTCCTCATCGAGCTGAAGGTTATTGCCACCCAGGCATACCGCCGTTTGATTGAAGAAGTTGGTCTTCCCATCCCCAATTATCAGCCCACTTATACGAATAGTGTTCCTGTAAGTGGGAAAGGCAAGAACTCCCAGAACTCGTATGTCCCAGGTCTTCCACAAGGCTATCCTTCCAATGATCAGGGACTGGCTTCGATGATGGCGGCGTTGCAAATGGGCGGCCAGAATCCTCAGGCTGGACCTCCTCAGCTACACATTGACCCGACATACGAGGTGGCCGGTGGGAGACCTCAGGCGAATCCTCAGAATGTCTACAATCCTGGAAATGATCATTATAACTCGTATGGCATGCGCCAACCTGAAATGACAAGCCCTCGCGGTTCAATTCGTCGTACCGGTAGCCTTCCGGCTGCGGGAACCAACCCTCAAAATGGACAGTATAGCACCCAGAATGGACAGTATGGTGCCCAGTCGCCTAGTTTAACGCAAGGCGGTACGATGCTCCAATACGGTGGAATGCCTGCACAGAACATTCCTGCGCACCTATACCAAACTCCCCAATATATGTACTATGCACAGAACTCTCCTAACATGGGACCATACGCTTGAACGAAGAAAAATTTGATATTACGACCCAAGTTCACGAATGTCATTCCTTTCTCCTCCCGACCATTATCTATCACGTTCCTTCCGCCACTATCTATACGTTTACAAACCGTGTGCACTTGGTTCGGGTTATTTGTGTTATGACCAGCTCCTCTCGATACCCTTCCGGGCAAACAGACGTTATATCTGAAAACTACTACTCAAAAGCGGGCGAGGAAATTTTTGCTGGAATGGTTCTGTCGATCTCTCGATGTGTTTTTTCTTTTCTTTCCCTATCCGCTGCTCTCATCTTCTGTACAATAACGACAGGCTGTAAAACAGTCAATCAATGAATAAGTAGAATTGATAACTTTAGTTACAGTACTCTCTAGTTTGATTATGTATTTATCGACAAAATAGTTCACACTGAATTTGTGTTGTGGAATCATATTTTTCTTTATCTTCATCCACAACCAGCTCACAACATGGGAAATGTAGCATCAAAAGCGCCAAAAACAGCACGGAAGCTACCTAAACGTACAGAACCTCCAACATGGACGGGTTATAACTCGATTAATCCCCAACAACAATCATCTGGTGCGGTACACAAAAAACCATTGGCAGGAGAGAAGAAAGACGAAGGTCAGTGAGCCTCTGCTAAGGGAAAGATGTTGACATTCAAAATCTCGTTATCAGCTATTGAAGTTGACAGTCGGGACCCTCATTTTATGTCCAATCTTTCTCGATTGGGAGTTGTGAAGGTGGACCATCATATGAAGGCCGTTCGCCCCGTGCGTTTCTTCTTCACCCAATTCATAATTCATTGTTGAATTCTTTCCTAACATTATGTTCAGCACCAGAGATCTCGGGACATGATAGAATCTCGTAGACAATCTGAACAGGAGGCTGCTTCCATGCATCCTTCGCGAAATCACGTCCAGGCCTCTACACTAAGCTACCTTTTGGACAAGAGCAAGTCAAACGCGTCTCGTCGGGAATTAACGGAATTAACGGATAAGTACGGAGTCGATATTGAGAAGATCGAGAGCTTGTCGCGGCATATTACAAGTCCAAGTATCAATTCTAACAGCGTAGTTAGGAAAGTACGGAACCAAGATGGAGAAGAAGAGCTCTCAGTGATGGTCAGTCAATATTCTTGGAAATTCAATGCAACCACTCATTAAGCGTCATGTAGGCGATTTGGGTGGAATCTCGGGCTTTGAAGACTTAAAACTTGTTAAAAGTGACCGTGGATTGTTGAACCCTTGTATCGAGTAGTGTATATTATTATATTACAGAGCGCACGGACCTCGTCATAATAAAATATCTCCTGTTTCTCCAACCACAACTGCCATGTTCAAGCTACGACCATTAGGGTCGGCAAGACGTCCGTTGTCTTCTACTGCAACTTCTTCGAATAATTGGCGAACGCAGTCGCGTCAACGTCTGGCTGTCACTTCTGCGGTAGTGGCAGTCTCAGTGCTTGCATATTCCGGTCTGAAGCACACGGTCATTAAAAATGATTCGCTACCTCCTGCCTCCTTTAAACATGAATACAGTACAGAACAGCCAAAAGGACCGCGTCCAAACTCGGATGACACGCTTAACACTCTGGTATGGGGCTCAAATAGGTGCGAACACACCAACTATATGTACTGAGAAATTTAGATTTGACTTCTTGTTTCAGCTCTCAGAAATTGCTACCAGATAACTCTAAATCGGAATTTATACAGTCACCCACTACAGCAAAATGGCTAGACAACGTCGCACTCCGGGATCTTGCGCTACATAAAGAGTATGCAGCTTGCGTGGATGCTAGAGGGGATGTGTACCAGTGGGGTCAGGGCGGTCAACCTTCTCCGGTGTTAAAGGGTCAAGTATGTTGCTTATTTACGCGCTACTTGACGCGAAACTTATCATTTCAAGAACATTGTACAACTTCAATCAACGGATGCAAGAATCTACGCGCTTTCCAGTTCTGGCAAGATCTATACCCTAGAAGTAGACCCGATGCGACGGTCCGAACAAGACTCGATTGCACGGTCTTGGTGGAAAATTGGGTGGATATGGGGCGGAGAAATTATCGGTGCTTTCCAAGAGGTTGTGCCGAGGACTGAGCTGTCGTGGGGCGAAAGGTAAGCGCACTTGTTCATTCAATAAGGATCATTTTGAACTCATCATCTCTATAGGTTCATCTCTATATCTGCCGGAAATGACCACCTCCTTGGACTCACTTCCTCCGGAAGGGCTTTCGCCCATCCAATCACTAACAGTGCAAATGCTTACGGTCAGTTAGGATTTAGGAAATATGACATGTTTTCTCCGGATTCTAAGGAACGTATTCCGGTTGAGCTTGTGCCGAGATCAGTAGCGGATCCGTATGCCAAAGCTTCCCCGTTCAAGCGACGAGACTCCCAATCTGGAGTAACTAGTGAGAAGACCAATACCGCCGTGACCTTCCCGTTCTGCCCTAGTATCTTCGAAATTCCATCTCTCCAAGGCATCAAAGTGTCGCAATTGGTTGCTGGGGGCCGATCCAGCTTTGCCCTAACTGCGACCGGTCGAGTGTTAGGCTGGGGTGCAAACGAATATGGGTACGCCCATTTGGTTTCGCTGTAGACATTGGTTAATGCTTGAGTTCAGTCAGATTGGCTTAGGGGACAATGTCACCCTGGACACAATCACAGTTCCTACCGAAGTCATACTATGGCGTATGGCTCAGGGAACGCAAACCAAATGCGTGAATGTCACCGCAGGTTAGCTTGAATCGTAGAATTGTACAAGAATCAACTCTGAACTCCTTCAAGGTGGAGACTTGACGTGTTTCACCGTTGAAAGAACGACTCAGCCAGACACTCCTCGTTCTTCAAGTACAGTGGAACTTTTACTATCTGGAAACGGGCAATATGGATCCTTAGGCAATAATTTGTATACGAATGCTCAAGGAAGCCCTACTCGTGCTCGGAACGTCAGTAATCTCACTCAATGTCAGTGTATCTCATTGCTCGACACAATTCCCTCCTTGATATTTGCATAGACGATGACGCTACCAAAAGTCTACAACCAATCACTCCTTATTCAATTTCTGTTTCTCCCACAGGACATGTACTGTTGACCTTGAATAGCAATCTGGGACGAGACTTGCTTGCCTGGGGAAAGAATTACAACTATGAACTAGGCAACGGCAAAAGATCTGGTCTGGCAGTGCCAACGACACTGAATGATGCTGATGGAGACAGATTCTTGTTGAGACGGAAGAAGGCCAAAGAAGTTTTAGATCTCCAGGGACATGTCTGGAAACGGGATGTCGAGGTTGAGCAAAAAGCAGTCGCTGGATATAACAGCAGTGCCGTGTTTTGGAAGGTTTCCACGTAGAACCACGTTGGTAAAGTCTAGGTAAAGTAGTGGAGAATAGAGGGGAGTCGAAGATTTCAAGCGCTGTCGCGAGACGTCCCAAGTGGAGACAACATGATTAGATGATGGGTGATTTGACATTCCGCAAGGCAGCAACGAGGCCCGGAACCAGACAGTAGTACTTCAAAGACGACTTTTATAACTTCGGTCTTCCACCCATTCGACTCATCTGAGCTTCAAATTGTTCATCTTTGTCCTCTGTTCAAGTTTACAGCTGATTACTGAAAGTGATAGTGATTTACTCGAGCTTTTTTCTCACAGTAGGTATTACTTTATGAGTAACGACGACGACGATCATTAAGCCCTGCTCTTTCTTTGTAGATGTCCACTTACACTTCCAGTGTTGTCCATTCCTCCCCGACGCTTTCGTCTTCCACCATGTCGTCCTGCGATCTAGGATCTGAATTCCGATCCGGGACCTCGACGCTCTCTACTCAGGCTTTCAGCCTCGTCAACGACGACTCCGACGACGAGATTGTCTTCGATATTTCTTCGGGATCCCATTCCTCAGAAGAAATCTCGACAGAGAGTAGCTTGGACTCCGATGAAGAGGACTTTGTGGTCCTCAGCAGGCCACTTTTACTTCCTAGTCGCAGCGCTACCCCCAATCCTCCGCAGCTCCGTGTATCTCTACCTTCTAGCAGTCCTTCAGGACTTACCTCGGATTTTGCGCGGCTTTCTATGAACAGTAAATCTCTAAAGACATTAAAGAACGTCGCTACCCCCGTCATAGACGACGACTCTCCTCCTTTGACGCCTGTAGATTTCAGGATGTCCAAGAACCATAGGGCTGGATGCAGGGTCGGGGATGAAGCTCCGGTGGTTGGTCTTGGATTTCGCCCAATTGTCGATGATATCTCGGAAAGCAACTTTTCGACTGACTACGAACAGGAGGCCGATGATTCTTATGTATATGAAGAAGCTAAGAAATACGTCACTTCGTACGTTCTTTTTCTTTGCGTTCAAGTATTATTATCGCTCTGCTCACTACTTCCCAGTTTCCTCCAGAACCCTTCTGCATACTGTGAATCCTCGTCCCGACTCACCCTCTTACAATCTTTGATCATCGAGCTTGGTTTATCAAGCTCGTCACTGCCTATGTCCCTGCACGCTGCACAGGCAGTGCTCAAATCGCAAGCCTTCCTCAATATTCGAGAATATCTTGCTGTCCGGGACAAGGGACCAGATGCTGTGAAGCAAGTCATGTATCCCAGCCGCTCAGCACTGATCAAATCGATTCGCAAGCAGCCACGTAACCGTGCTTCCATCAGCTGGGTTAAAGAACATGGTCTGCAGGTCCTGCTGGTTACTGCCTATCATCATTAGACAGCCGGCGCATCAGTTCTTGACACTTATCGATCGCTCTTGCCAATCATTAAGACGACATCAAAATCTAATAATTCTCATCGTATCTGGCCATGGGGGAACTGATAATACTTTCTGCCTCATTTTGCCTTCAATACACTCATGATCCACCTTGTAATAATTGTTCATTCTGTCTTGCTATTTTGTATCGCTTTCAGCGACTTGATATATTTTTTGCTTTGAAACACATCTATGTACTTACATACTGAACTTGTAAATAACCTAATTTTTCTCGATTTGAATGAGCTTTTAGTCGCTTCTTCATGATCAAGCTAACCACCTTGTCCATTGATTTTGCTTTCCTTCAATTACTTCTGCAATCTCCCTTGCAATGTTACGTTCTGTCTGTTCACTCGGATGCAGTTCATCATACCTGTATAATATTTGAACTATAGAGGGACATAATGCAACGACAGGGTGCGCACCACAGGAAACTATCACGATCTGTACCATTGGCTATAGTGCATATTCCAGTGTCAGCCGTCGATTCATTTAGCTGGTACACGCAAGAATGTGCACAGCCAGTAATGTTCAACGCTGCAGTTCCGTTCAAATACGTGGCAGGATTCGCTATCATGTCTTCAAATAGCGAGTATGAATCAAATAACCCTTGGAGTTACAAAATGAGACCCTAAATCATAGTGAATGAGGATATACCTACCAAGATGTGCATCCTTTAGCGAAGGCACAAGAGCTTCAAGCATGAGTTCTTGCAACTTATTTCCCGCACGAGTCATTTCAGACATGAACACATTCCATTCTGTGGTGTTACGCTCTTCAGTCCAGTAAAAATTTGGGTAGGAATTGGCGGAGTAGAGGACCGTGTTTTGGAGGGGTGCCATCTGGACAGTAGATAGATACTATTAAGAAGGACGCGAGACGAATTTAGATGAATTAGTACATACGTTCTGGAACAAAAAGTTCCTTGCACCACTAACATACATGGTTTTCACCCAGTTGACAGCACAACTGACCGTGTCAACCAGGGAGACCCCCGGCGCACCATGACCAGTCAGAAGTGCGCTTGATCCAACATCGTTGGTCCCGATCCACAATGTATACAATGTTTCGTCCGGAGGGAGGTCTGGAAGCGTACCGTTCGACAATTCCGCAAAGTATGTAGGAAGCTGACTCTCGAATACAGGAGGAAACGGGACAGAGGTAAGATTGTTTGAACAAGTAGCGCCCGCTTTAGCAAAAGAGAAGAGAGAAACATTAGCATAGCCTGCAGCATAAGTAGGCCAGGTCGCTCCTCCGTCTGCCATTGCAGTTGTATCAGTGTATGAATCACCGAAAGCAACCAGAGTTTTGATTTGACCGGGAGCAAGGCGGCTGCCACTGACCGCAACAGTGTAGCCGAAGAGACTAGCAAGGGCCAAATGAGAAAGGATCACTGGAAAGGAAGGAGGAGACATTGACGCGAGGTTTTACTACACATTTGAAGTATGGCATCTGTCTCCGAATCCGTCGAAAAATTCATTCCCGTGATCCTTTGTGAATATGAAGCGGTAGTAAGCAAGAAGAAAATGACCATCAGTTATGTTCAAAAATAGGTGGATAGCTTGTATAAAGAACAAAGCTACTCAGATCATGGTCACAGATACATAGAAAGATAGTGGCTCCGTCAAAGACGGGGGTCCCACAATGCCCAAGAGTCCGATAATGCATGTAATAAAAGAATCAATCGAACCGCTAATTTAGGTGTATCATAGTCTTGATTCATCTTGCTCGCTGTCTTCGACCTAACATATTTTTGTTTTAAAACACATCATCTATGTACTCACACACTGAACTAGCTGAATATGTCAACTTCTAATGGGGTGGCTAGCTTCTAGTAGTTTCGAATACCTTCAAGCTAACCACCTCGTCCATTGGTTTTGCTTTCCTTCAATTACCTCCGCAATCTCCCTTGCAATGTTACGTTCTGTCTGCTCACTCGGGTGTAGTTCGTCATACCTAAATAATAGAAAGAAGATTGGTAGCGGTTGAGGAACGCGATGCAATGAAGAAGTGCGTACCACAGGAAACTATCACGGTCCGTTCCATTGGCTATCGTGCATATCCCGGTGTCAGCCGTCGATTCGTTTAGCTGGTACACGCAGGAATGTGCACAGCCAGTGATATTAAGTGCTGCAGTTCCGTTCAGATACGTGGCAGGACTCGCAATCATGTCTTCAAATAGCGAGTATGAATCAAATAATCCTTGGAGTCACCAAATAACAGAATAAGATTGAAAGTACAGCAGATTAGGATATACCTACCAAGATGCGCATCCTTCAGCGAAGGCACAAGAGCTTCAAGCATGAGCTCTTGCAACTTATTCCCCGTACGAGTTATTTCAGACATGAAAACATTCCACTCTGTGGTGTTACGCGTTTGAGTCCAGTAATGATTCAGGTAGGAATTGGAAGAGTAGAGCACTGTGTTTTGGAGGGGTACCATCTGAGCAATAGATATGTAGATATTATTGAGAAGGACACGAAATCAATATTGATGAATCAGGACGTACGTTCTGGAACAAGAAGTTCCTTGCGCCACTAGCATACATGGTTTTCACCCAGTTAACAGCACAACTAACCGTGTCAACTAGGGAGACTCCAGGTGCACCATGACCAGTCAGAAGCGCGTTCGCTCCGACATCGTTGGTCCCGATCCACAATGTGTATAGTGTTTCGTCCGGAGGGAGGTCTGGAAGCGTACCGTTCGACAATTCCGCAAAGTATGTGGGAAGCTGACTCTCGAATACAGGAGGAAAAGGGCGGAAGGTAAGATTATTTGAACAAGTAGCGCCCGCTTTAGCAAAGGAGAACAGAGAGACATTGGCATAGCCTGCAGCATAAGTAGGCCAGGTCGCTCCTCCGTCTGCCATTGCTGTTGTGTCAGTGTATGAATCACCGAAAGTAACGAGAGTCTTGATTTGTCCCGGAGCAAGGCTGCTGTCGCGGACTGCAACGGTATAGCCGAAGAGACTAGCAAGGACCAATTGAGAAATTTGAAGGACCATTGGAAAGCAATGAGGGGGCATTAACGCGAGGTGCTGGAGTAAAGCACTTTAAATATGGCATCTGATTCTGAAGTCCTTCGAGCGAAAAATCTATTCGCGTGATCGTTTATGAGAGAATTGGGAAACAACAAGGAGCAAAGGGACCAACATTTATGTTCAAAAATGGGAGGAGATCTTGTTCGAAGAGCAAAGCTACTCGGGTTATGGTCACAGGACTCTTTCAGCAGGTCCGGCAATGGCAGCGGACCAGGCCGGATCATGTTGCTTTTCTCGATGTCCCGCAATTACGCCGAAAGTCGAGGGAATAGAACAGTTTGCCATGAACCTACGAGGCACAAATTTCGAGCGAAGGAAGAGCGAGCACTTCTAAGGATATCGATACATACTTACGACTACAAACATATAATACACGTGACCGTACCTGGAATGGGCGTCAAAGTGGTTAATACCTAATCCTCCTGAGTCCATATGTCACGTAGAGGGACCACACCAAATCCATTACCTCTCGGCTCCTTTTCCTCACATTTTGCCCAGCTCACATCTCAATCCCAGCCGGTACAGAAGCAGCCTCAAGCCAGACCTAATACTCTTGCACCAAGAGCTTCACCGCTTGCCAGAAGTCCCTCTGGTCTCAATTCAGCAAATGTACTTAGTGTCGAAGAATGGGAGACCAAAGCACCTCTAAACGATCTACAAATAAGATGCGTAGCTGCTGTCAAAAAAGCAAGTGAAATCAAAAGAGTTCCGGACAAAGTTCGTTATATCTATCGTTTGCGTGTCATCTTTCAATTCGATTCACTGGTACCTCCTAGTTTGATACTGCTAGTAATGAAAAAGATTCCCCGTCTCGTCCCTCTACTCCGCTCGCAAAAAGGCTCTTACCATCCGCCATCACACCAGGAACGCCAGGTTCCAGCTCGCGACCTGGAACACCGTCTCGCTTTGGGCCAGCTAGCCATAAACTTCATCCCAAATATCCTTTGCATACTCCCCAGCAATTCTATGATTGGCATGCGCTAATATCGCGCTCAGTCACTCATGCGCAAGAGTCCCATTTTCGCGCACATCTCGATTCAGTTTCGTCTCACATCGAAACATGCGATTTTCTTATTTCCCAAATAGATCAGGTAGAGGATGAGATCACCTCAATGCATTTTCAATGGCAAGGTGTAGAAGATGGCGGTCGAAGCTTGAAGGAATCTAGTGAAGGGTTATTGATTGAGCGCGACTCACTTCTTAAACTGGAGAGTGAGTTAGGTGAAAGATTGGATTACTTTAAAGAGCTGGAGTATGCAACGCGCATGTTAAACGCTTCTGTGCTCGAGGGTTCTGCAGGAAAGGGGGGAAGGCCACTTGTTATGGAGTTTGAATTCTTGGATATGGTGGAAAGAGTGGTCATTTGCATCCAATGGCTGGAAGCGCACAGGCATTACCGAGAAGCAGAAATTTATCTCTTAAGATTTCATCAATGTTTGACCAGGGCTATGACTCTAATTAAAATGTACTTCGTCGGAAGCCTTAGGGCCGTTCAAGCAGATGTCGCACGGAGATTCGGTGATAAGGTATGTTCTTCAACCAAATCTGGCCTGAATCTTCTAATGAAACCTTAGGCTACATCTTCCTCTACGCAAACCACGCATCATCTTTTGTATACGCGTTTCCGCGCTCTGATTTCTCCTCCATCCAGCACAACACCCACCCATGTCCCTTCTTCCCTACGGCCCCTTCTTCTTGAACTTGAATATCGCGCTCGGAGCTATCCTGCGGAACTCGGTGCCCTACTTGGGGAGTGTCACTCTGCTTATCTCACGGCTCGCAAGGCGCTGGTAGGACCAGTGGTACGTGCAGAAGTCGAAGGCCTTGTGAAGGCGGTCGACTTAGCTTCAAGTGCGGGAGGTACGAGTGATGTCGTTGAACTAGTGCGTGTTTTCTGGTACCTTTACCAGATCGTGTAATTCATCTTTCGCAGACAAGAGTTGGGTGTAGCTACGTGAAACAACTCTGCACCGACGAGTTTGACCTGTTCAAGGAGTTTTTTACCACAGGCGAAGAAATTTTATAGTAAGCAAGCGTTGCTGGGTGGACATTTGACCAGTTAATCATCAATGATTACCAGCAATTATCTCGAAACTCTCTGCGATTATCTTTATGACGACCTTCGCCCTCGGATACTACATGAACCTCGACTGACGGCTCTCTGCGAGGTTTGCACCGTTCTACAAGCCTTGATGATTTTGGACGTGCGCGTCGATGACGACGGTGAGAGCGAGAACGACTCTGCAGATGTCGAAGAAAAACTCGGGCTTGACCTTAACCTTGATCCAACCCTTCGCACTCCTGACCCCAACTCCAGCGCGCTTGGACATTTAAAACCCCGGCTCCATATTGCGCAGCTGCTCCAGATGATATTGCAAGATGCACAAACAAGACTTTTCTTCAAAGCTCAAGCTATAGTGCAAAGTGATATTCGACACTACGTTGCAAAAGACGATGATCTTGCTTATCCAGCTAGGTTGTTAAATGCTGTCGGGCTCAGCGACTCTTGTAAGCTCTTCTGAGACCATACTACTTTATTTTGAGACGATGGTATTTCGCAGTGTTGAGGGACAGGGCAAATGAAAAGGAGAGCTTCAGCCAAATGTGGTCCACACAACTGGGGTCAGATAAAGATCACGGAGCATCGTTGGACAACCAGCAAACATGGTTTCCAACATTGCGCAAGACGATACTGGTGTTGGAACAATTGCATGAGTTTGTCAACGTATGATTTCTTCTTATTTTCTCGTCATCAACTGATTGTTCAAACTTTAGCCAGCGATTTTCGAGGATATTGCGGAAGAAGCGATCGTACTTTGCCAATCATCATTGGTCGCTGCTTCTGAAAACATAGTCAATTCTGCTTCCTCTTCCTCTAATCGTCTCGCCCCGCTGTCCGAAACAGCAAATACGGCATCTTTGATATCTGAGCCTATCGCTCGAAGCACTCTGCTGGATGGTTACCTCTTCCTCGTGCGGCATCTACTAATATTGAGGGAAGTACCGGTTAGGTTTGGTCTCATCACAGAGAGTACCGACAATTCTGCGAACACGAACGCCGCACGAACTACAGATTGGGGCGCGCTTTCGGGACCTGGTCCTCAGAAAGTAGGTGTGGGTACATCAAACAGTGTCACCGGTCAGTCTTTTTTGGCCGAGACTGTAGTAGTAGACCGACTATGCGAACAGATACTTTAGCGTCTATTTTCGGAGGTGGTTCTGCGGCATCTTTACTTGCGACATTAGGGGTCCTTCCGAGTGATTTTGGTGACGCTGTAGCTGGTAGGCCAGACAGTAAACGGACGATTGACAATGCTAAAAGGGTAATCGTTTGTATTCTTGTGCTGACGATTGTACTAATAACATGTGTCAAACAGTCGATCAATCAGTCTCTTCGATTAGCATGCGAGAACACTATTGCCACATGTACGAACGAGGTTTGTGAACCTTTGCGAATGTGGGTCGAGCGTGTCGGAGCTTTCAGCGCAACCTCTGTGTCTTCGAAGGGTGACTTTCATACATCGCCTTCAGCCACGATGAATATCTCAGTCTCTTCTTCGAATCAATCTGTGGGATCAAAAGATGTGAAAGGAATGCCGGACTGGGCATCCCCAGCCTCCGCAAGTGAGGTGGATCACAATTTCAAGATGGCATGCGAGGAAAAATTGTTACTGGCCGTACGGAAAATACGGCTATATCTAGGTGGAGTAGAAACAGGAGAGGAAGAAAACAAGAACTTGAATAATATAAATGGGAACATCCACGATGGTGAAAAGCGGCCGGTCTCTTCCCCGAATACATCTGCGCGGGCTCTTTCCAACGTTATCGTACAGCATGTCCAAGAGCGCATCGGGGAGGAATACGCATGGTTCCGGGATGTGATGTGGGGAATGTCTACAGATGCTGGTACGTCGGATAAGACAGGAGTGTCAGCACTGTATACGGAAGAGCAAGTGAAGGAGTTGCAGGAGTTGCGGGAGAGAATTTTGGATCAAAGAACGTTGAAAGCTATGTTGAAGGGGATCACTGAGGGGCAATGACCTCCACTCTGACTAAGTTGGGGACAATTTCATGGATTTGGACTGTGTATGTATGTATGGAGCATTTTCACAGTAATGATATTGTCATTTCGTAGCTTGGCATACTCTGGCATACTCCGGGCTTACTTTATGTACTTGGCGTTGGCATGCAACTGGCATGTTATGATGGTCAAACGTGGGAAAATCGTCAAAAACTACTTGCGGATGTTGGTGGCCGACTTTCATTTCTCCCCAACACTTTGCGCTTACTTTGTTCTGAGTGGCTTCTGACTCTGAGCCTCTAACTCACGTTCTCTCATTCCATTCCTTAAACCTATTGAACGAAAATCATGTTCTCCTCCAAAATTGCCGCTGCTGCTATCATTTTGGCCTTGCCCTTCACCTCGTTCGCTGAGTTCCATGGTCATGCTCGCCAGAATCGCCACCATGAAATTGCCAAACGTGATCCTGGCAACGTAGAGGTGTTCAAGCGGGATAGTTTTACCAATGCTCGTTGGACTTTTTTCGCAGATGGACTGTGAGTGGCATCTTTAACGCAATCTGCAATGGTTGACCCTTGTACTCCCAGGGGTGCTTGTGGAACGACTAATTCCCCCAGTGACTTTGTGAGTACTAAGATTTTGATAGGATGAGTCGAAACTCACGAAAATCTCAGATTGTTGCGTTGAACTCAGAGGTGATTGATCAACGTGTGTCTAATCGATAAAATTGACCTTTCGCTCTAGCAATATGGCAGTGGAGGTTACTGCTATCAGATGATCACCATGACATACAACGGAAAGACCACTACCGCCCAAATCACTGATGAAGTCGGTTTTCAAACTCGATTCCTCTTTTATGACCCCTGAACCTATTTTAGTGTCCGGGATGCCCTTATGGAGGCCTCGACCTTTCAACTGGTCTGTTCGAATTTTTCGCTGACGAATCTGTCGGTGTCCTTTACGGAACTTGGTCATTCAATGACGGAAGTAGTGGGGATTCCTCTTCTTCGTCTTCTGTATACACGCCCACGTCTACCAGTATGTACACTCCCTCATCTACTTGGACGCCCGACTCGACCACTGCGACACCTACCTCCACGACACCTACCACCACTTGGACCCCGTCCAGCACGTCGAGTTCTTGGTCCTCATCTTCTTCGTCGTGGTCTTCATCGTCCTCGTCCTTGTCGTCTTCTTCGTTCAGCTCGAGTTCGAGCTTTTTCTCAACAAGCTCATCCTTCGCGAGCTCTTCTTCGGCCGCCTCTTCCAGCGCTGCTCCTTCAGCCACTGCTGGAACGTTGAACAATCTTGAACAAGTGGTCCTGAACTTTGCGGGTATTATCGCTGCCGGTGCAGCGTAATCCGAGGAAGGGATATCTCTGAATATAATTCATGTTAATGGACCTTTGTTGATGGACCTTTGTTGCATTGTGTTTCGCGTACATGTGCTACCCATCGCCACTCCATTGTGTCTGCCTGCATCGTTATTTTATTGCTTACTGCTTCAATGATACCCTTGTCTCCTGATTATTCTAACGTACCCAGGGTTTCTGTTTATTGCAGTCCAATATTGGGCCTTTTCTATCATTTCATCTGCATTTGGTCCGGATGAGTAAATACATCTCTACGTATCGTTTGCCACTGGGATTTTGACAATGTGATAATATTGCTTGATACTAGTTTGTGGTCATTCAAGCGGAACAAGCAATGGAAGTTACCAAACTTTAAATCCAAAGTCTGTCTGTGCGGAATGCCGATATGTACCTATAAGAAAAAAATTTGCACGAAGCAATAGACTTACTTGTCCCCCCTTCGCCTGAAACTCGATGAAACTTGCAAATGCTTTCGGACTGTGGACGGAGCTCAGCCTTGCCTTGCAAACAGCGTTGATACCTACGATGAAGGATGTATGGAAGAAACCTGCGACTATTTCACATCTTTCGCGGACGTTCATGGCCCACGTCTGGATCGCGTTCGCATCTCAAGTAGATGCGAATGCACGTACAGTGAAGCGGGAATTATTCTTGCCCAATGCTACAGGGGTGGTCCTGGACATCGGAGCCGGTAAGGCAAAGAGTTTATCGAGAAGGGAAAGCCTTTCTCACTCACGGAATACACAGGATTGGGACATGGCGTTCAATACCTCGATCACAGTAAAATCACTAAATACGTCGCTGTGGAGCCTAACATCCGGATGCATCCAGAACTACGAAGAACAGCTGCCGCTGCAGGATATCTGGAATCCAACGGCACTTTGGTCATCTTAGGTTGTGGTGCGGAGGAAATAATGACTATTCTAGAGTCATTAGGCTCTACTATGCATGCTGTTGACACGATCACTTCCGTCATGTCCATGTGCAGTATTCCATCAGCTGAGGAGGCATTGCGCGGGCTCGTCCGCCACGTATTGAAGCCAGGAGGGCAGCTGCTCTTCTATGAACACGTCTTGAGCCCCCGGAAAGATGTCGCTTGGTGGCAGCGTTTTTGGGCTCCGATGTGGCAAATTTTTTACGACGGATGTCGCTTGGACTGTCCAACTGATATTTGGATTGGTAATATCATGGATTCGGATGATAATGGGGAAACAGTCAACATTTGGAGCGAACGGAAGTTGTGGGGGGTACCTGGAGAAACAGAGGAAACGGTATTTCATCACGTCCTTGGAAAATTCGTGAAGCGGGAAGGTAGAATGATAAGTTAGATTGAAAGACCTTTCAATTTCTTACCGCACGTCACGGTGTTCGTATATGTTATTTCTCAAACCTCCTATTTTTTGTTGTTGAAGCTGCGCCACAATCGGCAGTAACGGTCCGAGAGGCTATTTTTCTTTCGGCATTTTACAAAATCTTTGCTCCCAACCACCATTGGATTGAACTGTGCCGGTGAGGCATTGAGCTTGAGCCTTGAAGCAGCTTGAAGCTTTGAAACTTGAAGGTGAATCGTCATTGTTTGATATGATCCCTGATTTGACTCTTCATCTTAGTTCTCTCAGGACTCAGTATATCTTTATCGCAAAGATTTTATTGACATTCACGTCTGAACACCATCATGAAACTTGCTGCCGCGTTTGCTCTGTTTGATGATCTCAGCGCCGCCGTGCGTGTGGCATTTTGGCCTACATTGAAGGATATCTGCCACGATCCTGCTCTAATTTTTCACATTTCGCGTACCTTCATGGCGCACGTATGGTCTGCTTTTGCCGCACCCACTGATGAAAATGGTCGATTGGTCAAACAATCTCTTCTCCTTCCAAACGCCACAGGTACCGTTCTAGATATAGGTGCAGGTCAGACTTCATAACCTTATCAACATACAATATCTTCCAACTCAATCCTTATGCAGGTTTTGGACATACTATTCAATATCTGGATTGTTCCAAGGTCACTAAATACGTCGCTCTAGAACCAAACATTCAGATGCACTCTAGAATCCGCGATACAGCTGAATGTGCAGGATTTCACGAATCTGACGGATCACTAGTCATTCTCTCTTGCGGTGCTGAAGATACTCTTGAGATTCTCAAAGTCTTGGGCGACCCTTATCCTGTGGACACGATTACATCTGTTCTGACGCTTTGCTCTATTCCCTCACCCAAGCGTGTCATTACTTCGCTTGTCAAAGATGTACTCAAACCTGGTGGACAGGTGCTTTTTTACGAACACGTTCTGAGCCCGCGAGCCGATGTTGCTTGGTGGCAACGCTTTTGGACACCTTTGTGGAGCATTTTTTTAGATGGCTGCCGCTTAGACTGCCCTACCCATCTACACATTGAGGAGATGAAGTACACTGATGATATGGGTAATGAGGTTAGTATGTGGGATGGGGGCGAAACATGGGGAAAACCTGATGAGTCTGAAGAAAATCTATGGTGGCATCAAGCCGGACGATTCGTCAAACATGTTCAGTGAATGTATCTGGGGGGCAAACGGGGGGCGGTTTAACCTTGTTTTACTTCAGGTTCTTTTGTTCAGTACTCATTACCCAACATGATTAAAGTATGCTGTGTTAATAAGCACCACGGTCAGGGCAGCTGTGTATGTACTGTAATGCCTGGTGCCATGCCTCGCCTTCCGCGATCAGTACTACACTTCATTGCAGGCGCCTCGGGCGCCAGCACGTACATAAGTTTCGCGTCAAAATTCGGCAAATTCTATCGATTTCCATGGATTACAGCATTCAGTGTTTGCTATATTTGGGGAGAGAACATATAATACTAGCTCTCTGTACGCAATAGAACAAGAAAATACTTAAAAAGTATAGTATGAATTTGGGAAAACGAAATTAAAGCTCCTCGAGCACTAGTTTGTGATATGTGACAGCTCGATTATGTGACAAACGAGGCAGTAACACCGTGTGACCTACACCTGAACAATGATTAATGATGTTTCAAAACAACTTGAAAGGAGACGAAAATTCCCAGAACTTTTCGTGTTTTCAACGTGTTGCTAAGCTTACCTGCATTCAGTTACCTCGCGATTAGTGGGCAGATACCCGTTCCTTTTATAATCGGTCTTTGTTATCAGCACGGCTTTATAGCCACCCCACATTCTCTACCCACAACTTCTAAACAGCCATCACTGAAAACAACTCGAAATGCCCAAATTCTCGCGTCGATCCATTTTCTGCATCATTCTTTCGCTATGCGCGTTTCATCTGGTATCGGCGAGTCACAATCTCGACCCCATTATCCATCGACGCCACACTATGAACGCGAATTTGGTTAAGCGCGAGGCAGCCAGTCTTCGCAGAAAAACTTCCTTGGAGAAACGATTCGATGATGCCCGCTTCACGTACTACGCAGATGGCCTTGGTGCTTGTGGACAGACCAATCAACCCGGCGATTTCGTGAGTTTTGCGCTCTTGATCTTCAAACGCGTTGATTTTAATCTACAAATCTATCTATTCATCTGTCAACGCTTAGATCGTTGCCTTGAATTCAGCAGTATATTCATTTCCAAACTTGTTCGGAATCAACGCGTCCTGATTTTTATTATTATTATAGCAATACAACGGTGGGCAGTACTGCTTCCAAATGATCACTATTACTGTTGGGGGGAAGACTACCCAAGCTCAGATAATGGATGAGGTAGGTATTGAGTCAACCCGCAGACCTTCAGTTACTCATGTTTCTGTCTCGACGCAGTGTCCTGGATGTCCATATGGAGGTCTTGATTTTTCAGAAGGCCTATTCCAATACTTTGCCTCGCTCGACGAAGGTGTTCTGACTGGATCCTGGAATTTCGATTCGGGAGCTACTTCTACCTCTGCGACACCCACCTCGACATATACTCCTCCAACTTCTACCTGGTCACCACCTCCATCCACATCCTCCACGAGCACCTGGACGCCTACCTCTACAAGCACTCGGAGGAGTTCGTCAACTTTGTTATCCTCTACCTCTCCGTCGACGTCCTCGTCGACGTCCTCGTTGACATTCACGTCTTCGTCTTCATCGTTGTTGTCGTTTTCCACCTCCAGTACCGCTACCACAAGCACCACATCAGCCACACCAACAGCCGTTGTCCCGTCTGGGGTTTTCGAAATACTTGAAGCAGCTGTCATGGGGATGGGATTGGTAGCTGCTAGCGGGGCCGGTGCTACGTTTACTGCGTGATATTTTTGAAAGACTGATTATAGCGTATTTTTGGCTTATTGCATGTTTATAATTCTACAAGCACTTTTATATTAAGATGAAGACTGGGTTCTATGTATATATGTATGTACTTATACATGCGCTGTGAAAAACGATCTGTTCATCGATGAGATAATCTATGATCATTCCACCTTGACTTTTGAAGGAGGGTCTACGTACGACGCCTGTGAGTATGTCAAGAATCAATCAGCACTCAACGTATATTGGGCCAGTAGGCAAAGTATGTTTACCGTTATAAATTTCAGAACTTCATCTATTAAGACGACAGGAGCGCTGAAGTAGAGGACAGCTTTCCATTCAGGCCAATTTAATGGTGTAATCGCGAACAAGGTCTGTCGCAGGACAATGTCAGTCAGAGAGCGGAATAAATGTCCAACACGGAAGAGGCTCACAGTGAAGAACGGTGTGTAAAGAATCATAAAGTGTAAAGCCATACTCAAGGCGATGGCGCCTACAAGGAATGGGTTCTTCCACAGAGGAAGCCTCAACAAGCTTTCATTTTCAGAGAGCGAGTTCATAGCATTGAACATTTCCACGGTGACAAGAATTGACAAGCTGATGGTCGTTGCACGCTGAGCCATGACATTTGTGAACATCTCGCAGCCGATTTCAGGGAACATAGTGGAACATTGGTGAAAATGTGTCTAAGAAATTTGTTTTAATTATATCTTCATTGTAGAAAATACTGAGGCCACAACATACCAATTGGTAGAAGGAAATTTGAGGTCCGCCCTCGTAGAATATGAACCACCAAGCGTAGCCAAAGACGGTCGCACATCCAACATATATACCAACCACCATATACCGGAAGAATAACCATGGACCAACAAGAGGTTCTTTGCTGTTCCTTGGTGGTACTCTCATGATTGAGTGATCAGGCGGGTTGAAACCGAGGGCAGTGGCGGGGAGACTGTCCGTTACTAGATTAACCCACAACAGTTGCACCGGAATCAAAGCTTCTGGCATACCCAGAAGCACAGTCAAAAAGATACTGGAAGGAAGCTACGGTGAGTAGATTGTACGAACGACGTGCAGATATGATTACCTGACGACTTCACCGATATTTGAAGAAACTACAGTCAACCGGTAAGTATTCCTTCCCATGGCGCAAGCTCCTAAAGAAATGTGAGACTTACTCAAATAGCGAATAAACTGCTTGGTATTATTGTAGATCAGCCGACCTTCCTCTACGGCCCCTTCTATTGTTGCGAAGTTGGAGTCTGCCAATACCATATCTGCCGCGAGTTTGGCAACATCAGTTCCACTGCCCATGGCTACACCGATATCTGCTTTCTTTAATGCAGGTGCATCGTTGACACCATCACCGGTCTGACAAAATGGACATCAAAAACGAGGAAGATGATTTTCGCAATGAAACATACCATAGCAACAACCAAGCCAAGTCCTTGTAGTAAATCAACTAGTTGACTTTTATGCCCTGGCTCTGTGCGGGAGAATAAGCTAGCACGTTGGACCGCTGCAATCTTTTCTTCATGGGAGAGATCATCCAATTCTCTCCCAGTATAGCTCTTTCCTGTAAGGTCCTCATCTTCGTCGAAGATACCAATTTGTCTGCAAATAGTCTCGGCGGTACGTTTGTTGTCACCAGTGATGCAAACGACACGGATTCCGGCGGCTTTGCAATTTGCGACAGCGGGGCGAACTTCCGGGCGTGGAGGATCCAGCATACCAACTATAGACACAAAAGTGAGATTTTGCTCGAAGCGAGAATAGTCCCGAGTGCTTTCAGATTGATAATGCGCGGCATCAGTATCCTGGACATCGCGGTAGGCAAGTGCGAGATTGCGCAAGCCATGACCACCGTACGTGACTGTCGTTTGCAAAAGAGATTCCTTGATCTCTGGGGTGAAAGGGATAATTTTCTCGTCGACCAAAATAGAAGTACAGCGTTCTAACACAGATTCTGGAGCACCTTTGACGAACAACGAGCCCACTTGATCAGATTTTACGAGCACAGACATCATCTTGCGGTCTCGTGAAAATTCGAACGTGAGAAGACGTTGAATATTGCGTTCAAAATATTCGTTGACTGCGCTGGCGCGAACTGAGTGAGATAGCGACGGTAGAGATTTCATTAGTTCCAAGTCTCTGCAACCAATCTTTTCGACAAGAACTTTGATTGCAGCCTCAGTTGGTTCTCCGACATTTGCATACGAATCCTTCTCCTGTGTAGTGAATGATTAAAACGAACTAAGCGGATGACAACAGATAACTTACGCTGTGGTAAACGATTTTCGAGTCATTGCAGATAGCGCCAATTTCCGCCAATCGATAGATAACATCTGACTGTAATTCTGCACCAGCTGGCTTCCCGCCCGCAGTCAAAATATTTCCATGGGGAGAGAAGGTCGTCCCTTCGACGGTATATTCGCGTAGAGCACCGGTACCATCAACAACAACGAACTAAAGATGTCGTGAGCAATGCTATATATGCAACCAAAACGCGTATGTACATACCCTGGACACGCTCATTTGATTGGTGGTCAAAGTGCCAGTCTTGTCGGAACAAATAACGTTCGTGCAGCCGAGTGTTTCGACACTGGGAAGGTTGCGGACAATTGCATTCTTTTTAGCCATTTTTTGTGTCCCCAAGGCTAAACAAGCAGTGATAACCGCGGCCAATCCTTCCGGAATAGCTGCTACAGCCAATGCGACAGCAATCTTGAAGTAGTAAATCGCGCCTTTGAGGACACCATGATGTGAAGGATCCCAAAAGTGTCGGATGTTGACAAGCCAAACGAGAATACAGATGACGGTTATGACTTTGGCGAGCATATCCCCAAAGTCGTCGAGTTTGCGTTTGAGCGGTGTCTTTTCGGAAATTTGGGAAGTGATGGATTTATGGATATCACCCATGGCGGTCTTTTGGCCCGTAAATACAACGACAGCGGTTGCGGTCCCATTGACCACGGTAGTACCCTGTCCAAATACACGTCAATTTAAGCAATGATATACGGGTTTCGGAACTTGCAGAAAAAAGCATGTTCGTCATATCTTGCTTCACAGCTTTCATATCCGCAATAGACTCGATAGACTTGTTAACACTGGTACTTTCTCCGGTGAGGATCGCCTGGTCAACTCTGAAGCTGCTGGAGGATACCGAAATCACTCTGCAGTCGGCAGGAATTTTGTCACCGACAGCGACTGAGATGATGTCTCCTGGGACAAGTTCGGTTGCGTGTATACGACTGATCTGGCTAGAGCGAATGACCTTAGCTTCATCCGGAGAATATTCCTTGAGAGCCTGGAAATATTGCGGGTATGAATAAGTATATTTTTTTTTTTGAATCAGCGCTGTGAACGCACGTCAATAGCCTTCTCCGCGTTGCTTTCCTGAATCACACCGACAGTAGCGTTGGCTATGAGGATCAAAAGAATGACAGAGGGTTCAACGAAAGCGGTCCAGACGCTGGAGCCTTCGCTGTCTTCGAAGAGGGCCAATACGAAAGAGATGACGGCTGAGGCAAGAAGAATCAGCACTAGCTGGTCTTTGAATTGTTCCAATATGAGCTCCCACAGAGGAGTCGCTGGATCGTCAGGAAGCTCTGCATCGAAATGAGTATCACTATGTAGATACATACATATTTTTGCAACCAACATACCGTTCTTTCCGTAGATTTCTGCATGCTTCGCAGCCTGTGCTGAAGAAAGACCACGGGATGGCTCCACATTAAAGTGGGCAAGAATCTCCTCTGGAGAATTTGTCCAGGGATTGTTCATGAAGAAAGTAAAAGGTGAATTAAGATACTTACGGAGCAAGTGAATAATTTTTGTGCTTTGACTGGAGGCACGTGTCAGATACGTGGCGTCCTCCAGACTGAGAACGTAGTCTTAGCCATTTTCTTCATAATACTCTGCAGGTTTTTGGCAGGTTTTTCACTTCCTTGGAGAAAATGTTCGGCTTTTTAGCTGTCTGAAGGATAACCGGAAGAGAAAAGAGGATTTCGAAGGGTTGAACTTTGTGAAAATGTCGTCATCTGAACCCACGTACTTCAACTCAAATATGAAAATATACGGGCAGCGGCTGTTAGCAGGCGTCGGAAGCGTAGGCGTTGAATAATTACACAGTCATTTACTTTGCTTTGCGGTCTGCTGCAAAACAATATACTAAGACTAGGTGCTGGCCTCAAGTAGAGCTTGTTCCTCATAACCTCTCATAACCCGCTCCAGTAGCTCATTGAACCATGAGAAATCCTGCGAAATCCCGACGCGGTCCGCGTTCGGACTGCTTACGTAGCTTGTTTGGCGTAATCTTCTAACCATAACACAATCAATCCGGCTTACTGACTTGCTTCGACCATCGGTTTAAGCTGTAGTCTAAGAGCCCATGGGCAACTCTTCCTCCTCCTCCTCCCGTTCTCATGATGAAACTGTTGATTTCGGCTTCCTGACCCCTCAAGGCGTTTACACGGGCCCACGAGACTGGAATCAGGCCGTTGTTACTCAGCTCATCTGTGCCAGAAGACTTGCACCGTTTTACCGGCCACTGGAAGACTACGATGATTCTTGGACAGACGACCAGATCTTAGCGGCGAGGAAGGAGCTTCCGGACTCTGAAGGAGGACTGGAATCTGCTTCACGGTCTGAACCTCTTTCGGCCTCATCAATTTCCTCTAAGTCGTCCAGCCACTCGAAACGACCAAATACTCTGAAGGAACCTAGTAAACCGGAAGCAGCAGTGTATAGAGGTGCAACAGAATGCCCTATATGCTTCCTGGTGAGTGTTTTGCAGAGTATATCGTCTCCAGCTCGTTACTCATATTACGTCACAGTATTATCCCCAGTATATCAATCATTCCAGGTGCTGTGACCAAGCCATATGTACAGAATGCTTTGTGCAAATCAAGCGCAGCGAGCCTACGACTACCCATCTAGTATCAGAGCCCGCTGCGTGTCCATATTGTGTACAGGAAAACTTTGGTGTTGTGTATACTCCCCCTCCTTGGCGAGCTGGCATTGGCAGCGAAGGATCTGTTAGTTCCTCTCCGCGTTATCCCATTATCCCATTCCTCTGACACTGCAATCAGCTTTCACCTCGCTCAATTTCACCCAAGCAATCTCAGCAATCACTCGATCATCCCGCACCGACGCATAAACGTAGGCAGAAGAGTTTCAGTGCGGACAGCCCTGAGGTCGTAACGACTGGTTTGTACTTCTTCTCCGATAAGACAGACCTTATCATGATCGATTCTTATATTTCAGATCAAATTCGACCGGACTGGGAAGCCAAATTAGCAGCTGTGCGCGCGGCGGTCACACGACGAGCAAACCGCCGCATCATTATGCGTCAGGTCGGCGACCGTCTGATCCCTGTAGGGGTCACTAGTGGGCGCGTGCTTGCACTTTCCCCTGAAGAAGCTGCGAGTGCTGCTAGTGGTGGTGACAACGGAGGCGGGAGCTGGCGACCACGAAGAAGACAGCAAGGTGGTAATGGCCTCGAGCAGTACCTGGGGCAAGATTTGGAGGAGGTACGTTTCAGATGACTGCAGTTGTCTACTCTTGACTTCATTCCGTTTTCTCATGATGCAGATAATGATGATGGAGGCTATGAGACTGTCTTTGTTGGAACATGAAGCCCAACAACGGAAAGAGGCAGAGGAGAAGAAGAAGGCAGACGCACAGGCCAATAAAGTAACAGACGATAATGAGACTAACGAAACCGTCGCCAGTAGTACAAGCTCAAACGGGGCATCTACTTCGTCCGCTCCTAATCTTAACTCCATAGACCTATCATCGACTTCCCCTCTCTCTTCATCCTCTTCATCGACTCCCGCCCAACAGAAGAATGATTCATTACGAGTTAAACGAGGATCTTTATTCAATCGAAGTCGATCACCCTCTCCTGCTCCTCCCTCGTCCCAATCTTCATTACAAAATACTCCTCCATTCAGCACACTCGGTGCGGCGTTGAGTACGGCATCTACCGCAAGTGCGATTCTCAGAAGCAGTAGTTCAACCTCTGCCTCCTCTGATCCTTCCCCGGAAAAGTCCTCTCAAGCCCCATTGCTCGCGAAAGAAGCAACATCCCCATCGACGATCGAATCTGCTTCCACGAGCTCCCTACCTTCTAACACCTCCAGCAGTACCACGTCACCTGTTCCTCCTTCAATAACCATAGCGCCTGTCCCTCCATCAGCGCCTATCTTTCTTCCTCCTGCATCACCAACCCCACTGGAATCGCATTCAGCCTCGAAAAGGCCTCCATCCATCAATACACCATTTGGCGACAATGATTCCTCATATGAAAACCTACCCTCTTCTCCAGAAGAAATTCCCGAAGAAACGCCATGCGAACCTCTGATTCCGAAAGACGGGACAAAGATGGAAACGGAGCTGAAGTCTGATCCAGAGGCTCCGGTGGGAAGTTCTGAAAGGAATCAATATCAGGAACGCCTATCTGGACCCTCTGCGTCTATATCACAGTGAAGCATGAGTTTGTCTCCCATGTAAATCCGCAATAGTTATTCTGTGGGAAGGGGTCTGACGATACAGAGGAATGCTAGCTATATGATGCTTAATTTGATAGAAACCGTTGGTAGGATCGGTTGGTAAGGTCGGGATACGAGTGTCCCGAAGAAGGGTGGAGACGGAAGAAGCTATTAAGGAGAGCAAGGAGTTGACAAAGACAGCAGGTTGTATACATACACTAATTTGGCGAGGGTTGTGGATGTTAAACCCAGTCTATCAGTTTACTTACATTTCTCGCTCCCCCCACTCAAACTTTGTTCAATAGCATGACATGACATTCATTGTATGTAGCTTCATTAGAATTTCATCGTTCTCGTCCCCTTGTTTAATGATTCGTGGATAATAATTTCGAACGCGAGAATCCGAAACGGACGGTGATACAAATTCTGTGGAGGCGTATGACAACAAGAAAAAAAGCGGGACAGATAGGAAAAGGATGAATCCTTGTTCTCGATATATTGACTACCTGTTACTAGGTTCGTCGAAAACTAAACGATGTTTTCGACGAACCGAGTTATTTTTTGGAGTTGGTATCAGCCCAAATCGGCTTGATTGTGTCTGGATCGACTAAGGTGGTCGGAGGAGCCTAAAACACGAGAATTGATGCTACAAGCATGGAAGAGGTAACATATCAGGATCACCTGAAAAGTAACTTGTTGCTTCATTTCTGCTTCCCTAGCCAGACGTAAAGCTCTCGCCGCGTCCACTTTTTTCCGAATATCCGGTGCCATTCGCTGCAGAAGTTCACGACATGGAAGAAAACGACCAGAGAGCGTTTTTAGATCCAGGTGGTAACTACTTCGACAGGAGCGTAAAGACTGACATTGTAGAGTTCTTCTTCCGTGGGTACAGTTGCTAAAATGTAGTCGAGAATTATAGGTACCAAGATTCAGAGTCGACGCAGCATGCAATGTCTACCTTTCATTAACAGGTAACCGAAGCCCGTGACTGTTCATTCCGAATATCCATTGGCAGCCGTTGAAGCAGGGACAGGCAGAACGAATGCAGTAGGTCAGAAAAACATTACACGGTTCATAGTTCGGGCAGAAGTGAACGAGTGACGATTACATCGGTTCATCCGTGTCGGATGAATGTTAACGAGTTCATGGCGGAAGTAGAAGGAGTTGGAGGGTAGAGTGAGTGAATGAGAGAAACGGCAAGTATGGAATGCTTGTGATCAGACAAGTGTTGAAAAAGGTAAGGTACCGATACGCACAGGTTATCGCTGCTCCTGCGAATCTAAGCCATGGAAAGTGTGACATAGAGACTTCGAGTAGATGAACGAAAGCCAGAAATGGAGGCCCGGCAGTCCGGAAGCGGACTCGCCGGATTACAAATACCTACTCAGAATCGCCATCGAAGTACTGGGACAAAGTGTGCATCTGTATTCAGTTGTATTCTCACTTCTTCGACGAATACAAACATACGGAAGCATAGCGTAAATGTGCTGACAGAACTGAGAAGAATGCGTTCAAGCAGTGATCTGTATATATGGCAGGGTATGGATTGTCTGATGGTACATATGCTGTAGGAAGGTTTATATGCTATTGGAGGGATGCAAGGGCACAAATATGTTGATGCTTGAAAACGACAAGATAAGAAGAATGGAACAAAGGTGTCACATCACAAACCAAAAACAAATGTAGAAGAAAAAATATAATTATGTCTGAACCATGGGGTGTTTCGTGTTCCCAACAGACCCACACCGTGAACCTGCAACCGTGGAAAGAACACTTGGTCTCTTTCTCTTGAATTTAAACCCCAGCAGATCACTCGATCTACGGCTTTTCAGCTCAATTTTGGCAAGTTCTGCTTCCCATTCCCTTACAGCTGCGCTAGATGATTCGTCCTTATGACCTTCAGTGGATTCTAGAGTGGAGCTCCCACTCCCGCTGCTTGTGCTTGGAGTGGAAGATAATGATATGATTGGCGAGAATGCGTGTATATTTTGCGTGGTTTGAATATCACTGCTGCCGCCAATAATAGAAGTCGTAGCAGGCCGCTTTTTGTTAGACGCTGCAGTGTCGAGTGAGGAATTGGAAGGAATTGGAACAGTTTCTAAAGAGACCTTTGGAGTGGAAAAGTGCGACGAGCTTGAATCCCGTGGTCCGGCGCTTGTATGTGGACGACGTGGGATTGAATCCTTTCGTTTGCTGCTGGATGATGTCGGGCTCGGTGGCACACGTGGGTGCGGCGGTGGTTTGAGTCCCGAAGTACTGGTGCTCGGTACAGGTTCTGGACTGTCTTCGAGTTTTCTTCGAGTTCGACGTGGGGATTTAGATTTGGATCGCGCCTCGGAAGAGGATTGAGAGCGTGTTTTAGATATAGCCAAACGGCGTTCTGCGTCATTTGTAGAAGTTGTAAATATCTCTTCCTCGTCGAGCTCAAACGATTCCGTACTATGCGGGCCTGTCACGATGATCTAGAAGTATGATTAAAAAAACAACACGCATGGGAATGAATCATGATCACCTTCACGCGAGCAAAGAAGCGAACAGACACCAAGTCTGAATGAATGGTTTCTCCGATTCCCCATCTGCTACTTGGTTTGGCGCTAGGCCATTGTACAGTCAGAGTTTTGCTCCAGATACCATTTTCTGCTTGAGAAAAAGGACCAGATGACTCGCTAGCTGCGATTGGTAAAACAATCGGTTTACCGACAAGACTTTCCGACGAGTCTGAACGATCTCTTGAATACTGAGGTTGGGGCAATAAGGGCCGAACATCGCTCGCAAGCGAGACGGAAGACGGATAGCCGGACTGAGGCGATGTCATAGTGGAAAATGATCTGGAGGAAACAGGGAAATTTTGTGAAGCAGGAGAGTATGTCATGAATGAAGAGACCGACAGTGTGGGTGAAATTGGTATAGCAGACGATGCGGAAGCAGACACAGGACTTTGGGATTCGTTGAACTGAATACGGCGCTCAACGACTACGGTAGCGCTACGTATCGATATGTTTCGCTCCTTTGGCAAAACATGTATGGATATCGGCAAAAGGTCTGTCGGGCCTATAGGTTCTCTCGGCGCCCATACTGTGTATTGCAGAGCAAGTCCTTTGGGCTTCGTAACAACGCGATCTAGATATGCTGCGGTAATGTGCATATAAATCCGCGGAGAAGGCAAAAAGGCAGGGAGGTCGTAGCGAACGAGTGGTAGGTCAACATGCTTAGTGAGCCGGGTGCCAATACCAGATATATGGGCGTGGCTAATACCTAAGCAGTGGTGAGTACACAGCATATATCGAAAACATGGTTCCTAAATCACGCACTGGCTTCCACACGCCAGACACAGCGATACTCGACAAACGACACCGTGCTGAAGCCGCCTGATCGCGGGGGTACCGTAATTCTAAAAGGACACTCTACTTCACCCAAGTCGAAGAATTCATTTCCATCTGGTTTGGACCATAACACTTGGGTGTAGTCCACAACCATCTTGCTCGAGACAACGCCTCCAATCCGGCCAAGCCGAAACTCGTAACAGCGAACCGATACTGTGATTTGCTTTGCAGGCAGTTGTTTCAGATCTGCATCCAACTTGGTACCAACCACTACAGAGGTATTAAGTAAAATTTCTTTCGAGCTAGCCTTGGACGTACCTCCTTCTACTACAACATTGCTCACACCGAGAAAGCCAGTACAAGGAAAGTATCGGAGTCCATTGTGGTTTTTGGAATACAGTAACAGTTGCATTCCACCCGTACGCAGGAAGGAGAAGGAGAAGGAGAAAAGGGAAGAACGCAAGGTGGTGGATCACATACAGTATATGAGTCTCTAAAGGAATCTTCGATGCAAGCGATCATGGATTTCTCGGGAATGAAGTGTCACGCAGATAAGACAACCGACTTGAGATCTATAAAAACCTGCATACGGTAACATTACACCACGGAATTTCAAAAAAATAGATATATATGGTAACAACTCCACGGCAGTCTCGTCGTCCTGACATACTGTATACTCCAAGATTGTATGTAATAAGATACCAAAATTCCGCGACGCTTCACTCGGAACGTGAAGGTGCGGAATTCAACGGGGCAACTGCATGTTGTCCTTCTGGTACCGCGTCGAATCCTCCTTGGCCCAGGTCTGCCGGCAGCGTGGCCGTCTCATCCAATAAAGACGATGACAACAGTCCTTCCGCCTCTGGATCTGCAGAAGTCGGACCAGTGATTGGTTTTGGAAGACACGGAGGAATTGCGACCAAGTTGTTGAAGAGAAACTAGCACGATTTGAGCACAATCGTAATCAGCTTGACGACCCCACTTGATATCCGGGAAACAAATGTATAGTACATACCGTGCCATAACTGTAAAATGGAGAAAACTCGGATTAAAGAACCGGAATGGATAGGATGAAAAGGAAGTTAACATACACCAACAGCCCGAACCCGAGGACTTGCAACAACGAAATGGGCCACAGGAGCTTCTCCCACCCTAAGCCTAAACTGACAAGCCAAATAACAAGCGTTCTACATGTATCGACAAGAGAACGTGCGGTAGCGCTGACATGCCGCGTTACGCTCAATCCAAAGAAGTTGAACAAGGCAATGCTACAAGCAATTACGACACCGGACCACAGCACAGAAGGTGTGTCCACCATCTGGTGCCATCCACGAGGTATATCGAAGAAGATAGACTTGGATGACACGGCAGGTATAGCTAATATTGGGAAGAAAACAAGAATAGTGATAACACCAAACAGTCCTTCATAGCCTACGGCAACTAGAGGAGGAACCGAGTAATGACCTGTATACAACAAGTCAGGGTTGTCGAGCAATGAGCGAGCTACTTTGTGAGTTTACTGACCCATGATCTTCTCTGATGAAAGGCCCATGTGCATCAGAGGTTTGCATAAATGGTGACAAGAATGTTGGAATACATACCTTCCACGACAAATTGAGTGGCAGTACTGACAACATGTTGCGTTATGGCTGAGAAAGTAATAAAGGATAACGGCTTACAAGACTTGAGCAAACAAGATGAAAAACACGCCTATCAATGAACGAATTAGGATAGCCCATACATAGAACGGAGGTAGAATCTGACCGACAAGTACAGTCGTAGCTTCAGGTGTCTCAGTTGACTCTGGCGGGGGTAGATCGGCATTGCCATTGGCCTTGACCAACAACGAACTTAACGCCTCTTTGACAGTGTCCTTGATGAGTGAACCGCTAAAACCAACCAAAGCCACTCCGCCCATCACGATGATTAAAGAAGTCCATCTACCGCCGTTTAGATATAACAGTCACAAAGAGCGCTTGAATAAACCCAACTGATAAAGCCACAACCGTCGACGCAGAAACACAACACTCAGAAAGCCGACGAAAAGCACAAGAGAACCTCGGGTCATTTGGTAAATGGAGACCGGTGTGTAGAGCAAACCAACATTCATTAACTGTGAAGCAGAAGGAAACGGTGTCAGACAAACTCGAAGAAGGGAGTTCAGCCACGTACCGTCGTTCCAGTAAGATCACAGGCCGCAGGAATCCATAACAAGAGAACGCTCCAGCCACTGAGCGGCCGGGAAGCTGGTACAAGTTTAATATTTGATAAACTGGCTTCAGATGATTCAGAATCCTGTAGTTGGACTGGCTGCAATCGCTTGGAGCGGACCCAAGTATATATGACAGGGAGGAAGCCTATAAAGAATCAAAGACAGTCATTGAGTGTCACAAGTATGCATAGGGTCTAGGACGAACAGAGCATTTCACCAACTATTAGCCATAAATAGTCAGATATGATTTCTTCGGACGATGGAAGATAACGCACGAAACATTTGAAGTGTTTGCCATACCGGCTGTTCATAAAGAATTCTTCGACTAGGGTCGGGATCGTCACAATTCTCGACACATTGCATGTCCTGTGAATGGATGAGAATACTGCCCCAGAGACTTAAAAGCTATACATGCCTGCCATTTGCTCCATAGAGAATTACTGGACCCCTAGAGTGCGCTGTCATTGAGCATGAGTATTTCTAGTAGATAGACATACAGTGAGGATCATCCCTGCAAGCAAAACAGGGATAAAAATTGAGCTGGGCATGACGAGGCGAAGGTAGGGAACGAAGATGATCTAGTAAGACTACGATCTTAATTGTGTGCTGTCGATAACGTAATAATATGGCCCGACGTCACATACACGTGATATTATGTGATATCTCACCGACGTGTGGTCACGTAGTCACAGCCGTTCGCGTTCCCTTTCTGTCGCTTAGGCGTGGACTCTTTGACTGTAGGCCAAAGCCCGTTGAACAAAGAGCCACTCTACCATTTGATAGAGTATATAACCGCTCATGTCGCTGGTATGGAACCCGGGCCCTCTACCAGAAATGCGCAAATGCCATTCGACAACTTTACCAGAACGCAAGGCTCTTTCTCGTCTTCCCTGGTTTCAAAACCGGATACAGTTGTCTGGCAAATGCCGCCTCCGTCCAACCCTGGTCTGCAGAGGCTTATGGACAACGCCAATAAAGATGGTGAAGTATCTCCTCTTCCTTCTATGGATTATCTCTAATCGTCTTTATTGCAGTCAGTCGGATAAATCCACCACCTTCCGAAAGTAACTGGAACTTTCTGCCGTCCGTAGTGGCCACAGATGCCGTCGGCTCAAGTTCACGTCCATCCACCCGTTTATTAGACAAGCGCTTGCATTCCATCACATCATTCGAGATCAATCCAGCAATCGCAAAATTGGTGGATCCTGTAATGCTTAAAGGTGTAGCAGATGCTGCTAATCAAAAGGCGCAGGAGCGTTCACGCACTCTAGGTCTAGTGATGAAAAGGAGAAAGAGCACTCCCAAGTCGACAAAAGCAGAGAAGTCCACCACTGGGAAATCTCGAGCTTCTAGAGCAGTGAATAGCGGTATGATAGAAAAAAGCCGCAATGTTCCCAAACGTAAGGAGAGAGGAAAGACGAAAGAGATCTCAGGATCTTCCTTACTCCAGAAATCATGGACGCGTGAATGTAGCACTTTCAAGCGGCCCGTGTTTGACGATAGCTTCTCTATTACGTCATCATCTACTTCAAGCCCAGAGGTGTTGGACGACTCTATGTCAATCGACGAAACTAATTCACCCGACACCTCTCTTATGTCCCCATCGCCGCCTCTGCTCACAACCCGTTTACCTAATCCCCATACCACCCTATCCCTATCTGCTGAAATTTCGAACGCACCTGCTGTCGACAGCGGGCGTCAACCCCCCCTGAGTAACGGGACACGTGCTCAAAGAGCTCGAAATGCCCACAGCCGAGAGGCACGCTCTGTGCCTATAGTCACTTCGAAAATCCCACCGAAAGCAATTCAAGTCCCGGCCCTACCAGTCGTTCCACCACCGATGTCGCATCCTCTTCCTTCGGCTAATCCCCCTGCATTGGGTATGCGCCGAGTCAACTCCTTCCCCGCAAAGAACGTGAGACTCATAGATAATATTGGTGTTGTCAGAGACCTACCCACCAAACAGCGCCCGTTTAAAACACCGTTTCTTCCAACCACGCAGCGATCCAACACCGGTCAGGCTCTAGCTGTAAATGCGACGTATCCTAAGACGGAGAAAAGTCCGGTATCTCGAATGAATGATGTTCATCGCGAAGCATTTGCTCACACAATCGAGGAAACTGAACCACATGGGATGGTTTGCGATGATGCAGAAACCTCATATGAACACGACTCTTTCGATATGGATGCGTTAGAGGAAACATTGAAACAGTATGATTGAAGTGACGTTGCTTGTATTCTACTTATATCGTTAGTGTTACTCATATATCGTTTAATAATGTTCAAATACTCTGAATGACTTTGGAATCATGAATAAAGAATCCAGGTAGCCCCCGCCTCTTGACAATTTGGGCAGTTCTTCTGACTTGATTCGACAATTCAATTCGATTTGGTACATAGCAGTAGATTTGCAGTACACTTCGGGGGGATAGGGTGTACGGAAATCCTGAAGCATTGACTTTGGGCTCTCCTTCAAAGTGTCGAGGACTTTAAGGAATATAGTTGTGTTTAATGTTAACGCTCGGGGTTTGGGTTTTTGCTGATTATTACCCTTTCACGTCACTTCTCCATCCTTATCACTGCTATGTGGCGGCAGCATCATTGGCTTCCCCGCAAAGACCACGATTATATATATTCTTATGCTAATTTATCATAGCATAAGTATGTCTAGCATCCGACGAGGTAACGCCTCATTGCCTTATCCGGAGTTAAGCGTCATTGTACCTTTGCGTTATCAGCTCGTCTAGTTTTGACTTCATGCGGCCTCAGTTTGCAATTGGTAACCCAGTCTCTAGTTCTCTGCCCCACCCTGGAAGACATGGTCTCCCTCAATCTTTGAGCACAATGCTCTGCATGTTGGACAATTGGTCGTCTATTCCTGCTGGAAATTGCGTTGGTACCCTGGACCGTTTTTTTGACTTGTCGCCGAGCATACTGCTGCCAAGTGACTGAGATATTATGGGGGGGAACTGCAACAAGAAGTTACACCAGATAGCCTGAATTGATATATTATGCAAATTGAGAGAAATGTCGCTAGTACTCGGTGTGATCACTGCATTTCAAAGAACAAAGAAGTCGACCGCGCAATGAGCAAGACATTGCATTCTATGACGAAAATCTACCAGTGAGGGCCACAGGCATCGCTCGTGGATAAAATCCCGTCAAGAGTATCACTCATCGTCACTGTCTAGCTCTCTTTGCTCGCCGGCCTGTATCTGCCTAACGACACCTTCCAATTGTTCAAGCTCCCATCCTACTGATTGCTTAGTCATTGTTGCGTTTTTGATAAGACCTCCTAGACGAGTCAATGCCTCGTCGCTGAATAAAATTGTGAGTAACGCTACAAAAATGCGAGCATCATTTTACCCACCTAGCACACGCCTGCGTCCAAACGCAGAAGTCATCCAGCCAAATCTTACTGTACACATAGTAAACATCGTGATGGTCTAAAATGTCTTTCATCTCCATTAGACAACGAAATACAGTCCGTCGTCCTCTGAGAAGTAGATTGGCAACATCTTCTCGACACTTTTCGGCCAGCGCGAAAGAACGGTACAAGGGAAAAGCGAGGGATCTCCGGTAAGATGGAACGAAAGATGCGGATATATGGTCTGAAGAAAATTCTAGCGTCGGCGAATTGTTTACAATTTCAGAATGGTAGGGAGGTGGATCTAAGGCGGAGAAGGCCGATATTAGTGAGCAGATAGTCCATGCGCTTTCTGGAGTCGGATCATGTTGAGTCGTACGCGCGTCATACGCGTACGAAAACAGCACAGTAGCCAGAGTCAAATAGAGGCTGTACGTTTGATATCTAGTCAGAATATCTTCACTCATACGTTAGAAGAAAATAGTGTAACTGGAACGAGACATACATTCTTTTCGGGGAAGGTTCAGCATGGTGGCGTTTTCTTTTTCCGTGTATGTAAATGTACCATTATCGGACAAGTGTGGATGGGTCCAAAGTATGAGCTCTTGGATGTACTCGTGTTCGGCAAAGTCCGCCCTAGGAGGAAGAAAGCTTAGAATCTCTATATATTAAGTTAGAGCAACCTACATGTAATACTCTTCGTCCCATTTTTCATCCTCGTGTTTGATACGCCTTTGACGGCGTTGTAGACGGGTCAGGGCCTCAGCCTCCGAGCCAAGCTCGTTGACCTCATTTTCGGTGTAGGTAACATTTGTAAAGTAACCGGTGTACATGTCCAGAAACCCGTATTGAGCGCTGACCCTCAGCGTTGGCTGTTCTGCGGGTGGTACGTCTTGGAAAAGCTGCCAATCATTTTTTGCCCCTGATACGAGTCAGATGCACCTCCGCGAGAAGAAAGTTGTCACATCCAGACCTTCTTCTATCTCGCGTTCCTGCAATGAGAGGTTTTGTGTTTGAGCAACGAGATTATCTGGGTCTTCGGCCGTGCTTTCAGAGGAAATGACCTCAATTAACGGCTCATGCACTGTCGGCCGCGGAGCCAACAATTTAGCCAATAGATCTAAATCCTTAAATTCCTGTCCTTTGATTTCTTTTGTAAGTGTTACAGTCAGGTAGCCTGTGCTTGGATCATATTGGGCCGAAGAAGCATCATCCTCGATTAGGCCGTGAGTGAAGTTCAGACGCAAAAAATAAGGGTTGATGTGGAGGGAGAATAGATTGCCGTCCACGTTGACTTCAACGTCCGAGGCCTACTTTATTTGCTGATTGGGTGAAAATTGACAACTGTAGGGAAGCACAGGCTACATACGCGGACTGAAGGGCAATAGATCGAGATGAGGACGGACTCGGCCGTCTGAGAACAGGAGAACCGAGGCGTAATCATGGTTAGAGGAAAAGGTATATAAGAACCAAAATGATCCTGGTAAATCCCAGTTAAAATATGGTTCAAATTGCCGAGAGTCAGGCTCCTTTTCCCAAAATCACATCCATGTCACTGAACACTTCGGTACACTCCTTGCTTTGCATCTCTTTTCGTGCTTTAACGTGTCTTTCGCCAGAAACTTGCAGCCTATCCTTCCCTGGCTGAGGTTGAGAATCTCATCGTTAATGAAAAACGAGGAAACTGTATTCCAGTCTATGTCGAGCTCCCTGCAGACCTCATAACACCAGTCATGGCTTACATGCGGATATCCAAGGACTCCAAGTATAGCTTCCTTTTGGAATCTGTAGTCGGTGGTGAAAGTGTGGCGCGATACAGCTTCATCGGAGCAGGTGTGTAACTACTGCCTTCATATATTATCCCTCACTCATCTAAGCAGATCCTAACAGGATCATTAAGACCGGTCCCAGTGAAGAGATTACCGGAGATCCCATGGTTGCTCTCCAGAAGGAACTTAGTCTCTACCAATTTATCAAGATCCCTGAAGTACCGACATTTACGGGAGGTGCCATTGGTTACGTTGCCTATGATTGCATCCAACACTTTGAGCCAAAGACCGCCTGCGAACTCAAGGACCCTTTGAATATTCCTGAAGCCGTGTTCATGCTAGCCGACACGCTCGTCATCTATGATCACATCTTCCAGACCATCAAGGTCGTTTCGCATGTCTTTATGCCCAGCGATGCCGGGAAGAATAACTTATCTTTTGTCTACCAAACTGCTGTCGATAAGGCGCGTAGACTAGCAAAGGTCTTGATCACATCATCCACGCCTGAGCCCGTTCAGCCTCCAATAGTCTCAGGAAATGAAGCCGTATCCAATGTCGGAAAGCAAGGCTATGAAGGTTTCGTCACTACATTGAAAAAGCATATTGTAGCTGGGGACATCATTCAGGCGGTTCCATCTCAGCGGTTAGCGCGTCCAACGTCACTGCATCCATTCAATGCATACCGGCATCTACGCCAGGTTAATCCAAGTCCCTACATGTTCTACTTAGACTGTGGAGATCTGCAAATCGTGGGTGCTAGTCCAGAAACCCTTTGCAAGGTAGAAAAGAACATAGTGTACAATCATGCCATCGCAGGAACGACGAAACGAGGAAAGACACCCGAAGGTCGGTCAATATGATAAGTGACCGATTCATGATGTTTGACGTGTTTTCAGAGGATGAACAACTTGGTGCCACCCTACTCAATTCCGAAAAAGATCGTGCTGAGCATATCATGTTGGTCGATTTGGCTCGTAACGACGTTAATCGAGTGTGCGACCCAAAGACGGTAAAGGTCGATCATCTCATGAGGCTAGAAAAGTTTAGCCATGTCATTCATCTTACATCTCAAATTTCCGGAAAGCTTAGAGAGGGATTAACAAGGTACCATCCACTTCCCGGAATCTATAGCGATGTTGAACTGCAATATTTCTAGGTTTGATGCTTTTCGCTCTATCTTTCCCGCTGGCACAGTGTCCGGCGCACCGAAAATCAAGGCTATTGAGATTATTTCATCTCTTGAAAAGGAACGGCGGGGTGTCTATGCTGGAGCCGTAGGCCGATTTGACTTTGCAGACGACGAGATGGATACATGCATCGCAATACGGACGATGACCTTCAAAGATGGCGTAGCGTATTTACAAGCAGGTGGTGGGATCGTATTTGATAGTGTGGAAGAAGACGAGTACGTTGAGACGATCAATAAATTAAAGGGAAACGTCAAAGCCTTACAGGAAGCTGAAGGTAAGCTCAGCTATCATGACCACCAGAGGTATATTGCTGACAATTAACCCAGAATATTGGTCAAACCTGCAAAATAACTCGAGCGGAGAGACTTAAGACAGAGATAGTATTATCGTATATTTGATTTAGATGTTAATGTGTATGGAGTATCAGTAATCAAAAGCTTCCGCATCTGACCGCTGAGGTTGGCGAGCATCCTGCATTACCTGCATTTTGTTGAAATCTTCCCAGGCAGAGTCTACGGCCATTCTCATTCTCTGCGTCTCTGCCTCCCGGATAGCAATCCCTTCCCGTCCCGCGATACTCAGCACACCTGCAATGATTTCTGCGGTCCGCGGGCTTTCGTCATTGGCAGGTATCGGATACATAACAATGCGAGGATCGACGTTAGAGTCCACGATAGCAATGGTAGGGACATTTGAGAGGGCGCATTCTTGGATGGCATTCATGTTTTGGATGGGATTGAGAAGAATAACAAGGTCGGGAACGATGCGCTTTGAACGCACAGTTTCATGGCCAAACATCTGCCATTTATTGGTTAGTGTTCCGGGCAGCCATCTATCGCCGACATGAAAGCCTTGAGTGCCTAGACGCTGGGCAGCTTTTTGCACAACAGGACGTATGTCGGCGCGCGTGCCGATAAAAACTATTTGACCGTCATTGGCAGCGACAGCGCGAACGACTTTGGCCGCTCTACGAAGAAGAGGAAGTGTGTGGTCTAGGTCAATGAGAGTTATGCCAGCGCGTGTACCGTAGGCATAAGGCAGAAAATTTGGATTCATCCGTGATGAAGCGTGTCCAAAATGGGCGCCAGAGGCTAGCAAAGCAGACAAAGTCGCGTCTTTGGTCGGTCTATGCAGGGAGTCCCTTAGAGACCACTGTGAGGTTTGTGTAGAACCATACTGGCTCATTGCATCCACTGTAGATTCGTTAACTGTTGGGAAGGAGTACTGTTTTCTGGATCTTACTCAGAGTTTTTAGACTTGTCCTCGTCTGTTGGAAGTCTGTCCAGTCATTTTCTGTCTCTAAAGGGCCTTGGGCCTGTTGCGAAAGTTGTCGAGTACAATTTTTGCAGAACTTGAAAGAAAACCGGACTGGATTGGACAGCCGTGGACGGAGGGAGTGCATGGCAAAGAACGGCAGTTGCTTACAAAGGCGGTTATAATTTTTTCGCCTTCTTTCTCTTGGTCCATCAGCTTTTCCTTCCTTCCCACTTCAACTCTTCTACTACTCAAAAAATGGCTGACGAAGTGTACGACGGTGCTATCGGTATTGATCTCGGAACCACTTACTCGTGCGCTCGTTGTCTTTTTCGATATTTTTTTTTTCCATCTAGGCTGATCGAAAAATTTCAGATGTGTTGGTGTATGGCAAAACGACCGTGTCGAAATCATTGCCAACGACCGTGAGCAGCTTCTATTGCACTATTTTTTTGTGTGCTCATTGATCCTTACAGAGGGCAATCGAACTACACCTTCATATGTCGCCTTCTCTGCGGAGGAGCGCCTGATAGGTGACGCTGCTAAAAATCAGGCTGCTATGAATCCAAAGAACACTGTATTTGATGCCAAGCGTCTTATCGGTCGTCGATTCGAGTATGTGTCTTTTTCCCCAATAGCGGCCATCCATCCCTGATCAGCACACACTAAACTCTGCACCTCGTAGCGACCCAGACGTGAAAAAGGTACCATCGATTCCTTTGTCTATGCCCTTTAACCGTGTATCTCATTCGACTTTGCGATCAGGATATGATTCACTGGCCCTTTGAAGTCACTGAGAAGGACGGCTCCCCGCTGATCAAGGTCAGCTATCTCGGGGAGGAGAAGACTTTCAGCCCTCAGGAAATTTCCTCCATGGTATTGACTAAAATGAAGGAAGTTTCCGAGGCGAAGCTTGGAAAGACAGTGAAGAAAGCAGTCGTCACGTTCGTGCTTTTTTCGTGTTGTTTACAAGCAATGCTGCATATTCATTACCCCGGTTTCGCAGTGTACCTGCCTACTTTAATGACTCCCAGCGTTTGGCAACAAAAGACGCTGGTGCTATCGCTGGCCTCGATGTTCTCCGTATCATCAATGAGCCAACTGCTGCCGCTATTGCTTACGGTCTCGACCGTCAATCAAAAACTGAAAAGAACGTCCTCATTTTCGATTTGGGAGGTGGAACTTTCGATGTTTCCCTTTTGAATATCAGCGGTGGTGTCTTCGCTGTCAAGGCGACTGCTGGTGACACTCATTTGGGTGGTGAGGACTTTGACAACACCCTCTTGGAACACTTCAAGAACGAGTTCAAACGCAAGTCAAAGCTCGACATCTCCGATGATGCCCGTGCTCTCAGACGTCTAAGAAGTGCTTGTGAGCGTGCCAAGAGGACACTATCTAGTGTCACGCAGACTACCGTTGAGGTTGACTCACTTTACCAAGTCAGTTCTACTATCTAGCAACCGCGTCGGTCTGGTTCTTATTTTTCTGCAGGGTGAAGACTTCTCGGCAAATATCACGCGTGCCCGTTTCGAAGAAATCAACGCTGCTATGTTTAAATCAACTCTCGACCCCGTCGAAAAAGTACTTAAGGATGCGAAGATGGCGCGTGAGAAGGTCGATGATATTGTCCTCGTCGGCGGTTCTACCCGTATCCCTAAAATCCAAGCACTCGTTTCTGAGTACTTCGGTGGCCGTCAGCTTAACAAGTCTATCAACCCAGATGAGGCTGTCGCTTACGGTGCCGCTGTGCAAGCTGCTGTCCTCACTGGTCAGACCTCTGACCAGACTAAAGACCTTCTCCTCCTCGACGTCGCTCCTTTGTCTCTAGGTGTCGCCATGCAGGGTGATGTTTTCGGTTGTGTCGTTCCCCGTAATACTTCCATCCCGGCGAATAAGAACAGAACGTTCACCACCGTCGAAGACAATCAAACCACAGTCACTTTCCCTGTGTATGTATCCATCCACAAGTGATCATGTTACTATACTTATTTCCCGATCATAGCTACGAGGGAGAGCGTACTCAGTGCAGAGACAACCGTTTGCTTGGAGAATTCGAACTCACTGGCATTCCTCCAATGCCCCGTGGCCAAGCTGAACTTGTCACCACCTTTGAGATTGACGCTAACGGTCTGCTGAAGGTCTCTGCTCAGGATCGCTCGTCTGGTCGTAAGGCATCTATCAGTGAGTCTTTTTCTGAAGTTATACATTACCATTACTTGCCTCTCATATCTTCACAGCTATTACCAACTCTGTCGGACGTCTATCATCTGCCGAGATCGACCAGATGATTAAGGATGCCGAGCAGTTCAAGATGGCCGACAAGGAATTCACTGCTCGTCATGAAGCTAAATCCGACCTTGAGGCGTACATTCAACAGGTGGAGAGCACAATCACCTCACCGGAGATTGGTATGAAGCTTAAGCGTGGTGCTAAGTCTCAAGTTGAGGCTGAGCTTGCTCGTGCTCTCGAGAAGTTGGAGATCGTGGACTCAACCGCAGATGAACTGAAGAAGGCGCAGTTGGGTATTAAGCGGGCCCTGCAAAAAGCCACTGCTGGCATACGGTGAACGTGAAGGAGTCGTTTTGTACCTCACCCTTAAAGCTATGCTTATACGCTGTATCTCGCTGTCGTGATAAATTTTACTCTTACTCATTTTTACTCGATTTATCTGTCACAAGCACGTGTCCCGCGCGCGCTTTGTCACACGGCCGTTGCAAACAATTTTGAGTTTTTGCAACTTTGAACATTCATCCCCTTGTTCTAGACTTCGAATAATACTCTCCCTTTTCTGACAATATTTACCATGTCAATCGAATTTTCAGAAACAACGTATGAGGACCCTACCTATCCCTACGCTAGTCTAATGCCTATTGCACCAGAAAGGTCATCGTGGAAATGGCCGCTATGATGGACCCTGAAGACGATTATAATACCATTGTCGAAGCGGAGGAGAAAATCAAAGCATCTAGAGTACAGAGAGAGAAAGAAATCGAAGAAGCTCATGCAAATATGAAAGGCGCGTCGTCGATCCAAATTCCAGAAAAAATCGCTTACATTCTAGAAGCACTATCCAAAACCCTTGAAGCTGCGAAACAATCAGCGAAAAGGCCGAAATCTGTTCCTTCTGCTGAGACTCATGCTGCCACAGTCAACGAACTCGATAACTCCAAACTATCACTAGCAAAATCTATCAGTGACGCAGAGAATATGCTTGCCAGTCAAGAGGCAGAGCTTGCGGCTTTGAAAGCCGAATGCCAGAGTTTAGAGCACTACGACCCTGCTACTGAGCATGAAAAAGATCTTGACGGAACTGCGTGCGTTGTTGTCTGTCCTGGCTCTAACATTTGTTATTCAATTGTCATCACCAGCCTTCGATTGAAAATTTATAGGGGAATGGGATTTGACATCGCATTAGACGACAAGAATCAAGTCTCCAATGTTCTCATACGTATGTTCTATGCATGTGCTCCAGTTAAATATAATCATCCTTCATCAGGTTCGCAATCCGGAGATGTCCATTCTGTACCGTTGAACATCGACAAATCTCCGGCAGATTATACTCGCCATCTTTGGAAGCTGGCAGCTTCGTAAATATTCCCCTCAAATTGTTTCATGCTGCATTCATTCGTTGTGTCTGTAATTTTTATCAAGTTCATTTCGCGATAAGAGCGTTATTTTTTGGATCTACGTGTACACTGGTACGGGAGTGAAATCCGTGATGTTGGGACAAAGGGAAGTTGCGTTAGTTACCCTGTTTCCAGGCCTCCAACCAGTGGCGGACGTCTGAAGAGGAATGCTGGAAGATTGTAAAATCGCAGTTAAGATCGCGGGGTGTACAGATATGACCCCTATCTCACCTCAATGTAGGCAATTCTTGCGCGAATGCTATCTAAGGATTGTGCTAAACCCATGTGGTATTTTGAGGTGTCCTTGTCCTAACGAAAGTGTCAAGGGAATACGTAATACGTAAGAGCACGAATATCCAGTACGAACTTTGAAAAAAGCATTCATCTCATCCAGGTCTTTTTGTGTGGACAATCCACCGTAAGTCGTCTAGTGGTCATGAATCAACAATCGGAAAGGCTAGAAGGGAAATTACATACCTCAACAAGATATCTCATCATGAATGTGCTTTCAAAACGCTTGTAAAGCTAATAGATGGATGGAATGTGAATCGATTTATTCTCTCCATTCGTGCAGATCTACAAACCTCTTCGTAGTGATCCTGGAAAAAGTGGGTGACTTGCCGTTTGGTAATGTCATTGGATGCAAATCCGCTCAAGAAATAAACGACGTCCTGGTCGCGCGCGCGCTTCAAAGCTATTTCATACGTTTCTTCTATCCTCGCCGGGTCTTTGGACTGGCACATTGCTGTCCTGGAATGATATAAGAGGTCTGGTTCCAATGTGTTCAAAATTTGGTGGCTTACATAGCAGAAATACGGGAAGTCGGTGTGGGTGCTTTGTCGTATATCGCCTTCACACCATTGTACCTTAAGGATGTAAGACGTCATGAATAGCTACCGAGCCATGCAACGCACTCATCTTGGCCTCCATAAGTTACAGCCTACAGGGGGTGTATCAATTAATTAGTTTCAAAGATAGTTGTAAAGACCCACAGCACGGTAAATAGCGCCCTGGAGATCGGCTGGGATAACAGAGTCATCCCCTGTTTTCATATATTGAGCGAAGCGTCCTTTCAATTCGTTTATAACGCTGCACATGATCTGGTCAACTGAAAGAAAATCGACTTCTCGGAGGGACGTACGACTGATCCTTAGCAGCAAGACATTGTCCGATAGCACAGGTTCGCAACTGGGAAATATCGGGGCTGTCGGAAGCGGGATATTCATATCCAAGTTTTTGGACAAAGGGCGAAAAAAGAGACTGCAATTGGCGTTCAGAACGCAACGCAACTCAAGACAATGTGATACGCACAATCCGAAAGGCATTCAGAAGACTACAAATGTTCTCATCCTCCCACCAAATGGCCGCTAGAGAACTAAGATTTGCTGAAATACCATCCCAAACAAGATCTTCGTCGAATGAACATTTTCAGTCGATAGATTATCGACAAGTTGAAGTAGTACTTACACTCCTGTTCATTACGCAAAGCGTCGATGAGGGTGAGTGCATTGCTCAACTTCATTAAAGCGGCTTTGGAAAGTGCCAACGCATCATTAACCAAGCCCATACGGTCCTCAATAGTGAATACGCTATCGGGTTTCGCAACCTCTGCAGCAATCTTGGACAAATGAGCGTCCTCGTAAAGCACCCGATCTGACGAATTTGGCGTTATAACTTCGAGCCAGTGTAGTCAAATGAGTGGCACTCACAAACTCCGTTGGTTCCTGCATTGAGTTTGTAAGGCTTGGAAGTATCCAGCGCAAACGTACTTTCGCGAGAATCCAGGACAGCAGTCTTATCGATAATAGTTTTGCCGCTAGCATCGAAAGTGAGGATACTCAAAGGGATATTCCAGATGGTTTCGTTATCCTTCCCTTCTGCCAAGCCCGTCTCAAGGAAGCGGTCCTGGCGAACCTTGATACCTCCCGAAGTCTCAGTGACGGTAACGACAGGGAATCCAATCTGGAGGTAAGTCAAAGGTAAATCGACTAGTCTCCCATACGTTTCAGGAGTCGGACGCACCTTTTTAACCCAATTGTCCATGAAGTTGATAATGTCCGTGCCAGTGGATTTACTGATCCCAGCCCATAGATCATTCGTGACGCTGTTCGCGTACAAATGTGCCTTGAGATAGAGGGAGACTCCTTTAAGAAATTTATCTTCGCCAACATATGCTGACAGCATCCTAAGGACTTGATTGTGGAAGGAGAGTCAGTCAATGTGACACGATTTACTACAATGAGCAACACTAACCTGAGGCGGCTTTGGAATACGAGAGACCATCAAATATCTGAGGAGAGTGATTAGCTGATCGATGATTGTTGGCGCAAACGGACCAGGTACCTGTCCTATAGATTCAGCATTGGGGCAGGCAACCTCTATGGGGTGAGAAGACAGTTTTGAATCAAGAGCAAGGGCACGATTTAAGTGCACTGTGATAAATTCCGAGTTCGGTTTGAATTCAGGGAAGGCCCTAGGGATGAGTGAATGAAAGCAAATGAGAGCTCGAAGAGTCAAGAGCGAAATTTCTAATTGACTTTTCTATAAGGCTTTGATTAGATATGTACATAGTGAAAATAAGACTAAAGAAGCACCTTCAATGATGACTTCCCCCATCTTATAATCCTCGATTCAGCAGTGAGCTTCAATTAACATTAGACGACAAACCAAGGTTGCAAAACCTGTGAAAAGTTAGGTAAACACGACCATCTGCCCACAGTGAACACTGAATGCTTACCCTCATTGAGGTACAGGTAGTCCCACCTAGTAGGGCTTGGTGAGAGAGAGAACCCAAAGAGCTAGTTGGGACCCACCATTCCATCGTTGTGATATTTCCAAACCTAAACGGAAAGGTGTACACAGCGCTTTCAAAGAAATGTCGGAGAATCGTACCACATATGCGCTACTTCGTGACTTTGTACAACAACCACACGTTTTTTTGCTGCCAAATCAGCTTTCTTAGGATCCAGGAGCAATGCACTCGTTCGACCGGTGATGAGACCCCAGTTTTCCATTGCGCCGGCATCAAAATCGTTAGCCTGCAAACAACATTGTCAGTTGTGACATAGGAATGTGCGACTTGAATTCTATAACACTCACCACCAACGTATCAAGCTTTGGAAGAGGATATTCAACTTCGAATACTTGTTCGTACAATGGTAGGACTTTGGCCTTCACGTCCAGAGCAAACTGAGCTTGATGAATTAAATCCTTGGTGGCGTATATTCTCAGCGGAATTGTACGTCCGCTTAATGGCATCTTCGCGGACGACTCAAGATATTCGAACGGCCCATTGGCGAAAGCGACCAGATACGAAGACATCAGCGGTGTAGTTTCAAATTTCGTGATCTTCCACTCTTCATTCAAGTCTACAAACAGAGTCTTCAGATCGGCGTGGTCGCTAGGGGAAAAGACCTTGTCAGAAGTGATAGGCATGTTGCTGATGTTCACTGTATCAGATTTGGAGACCATCGTGATGGTGTATTTAGCTTTGAGCGCGGGCTCGTCCCAACAGGGGAAGGCCGTGCGAGCGTCGGTTGCCTGCAATCGGTAAGTGTCAAGCTTATGAGATCACGGACAGGAGACTAGCCTCGAACTGAGTCAGAGAATAGTACTTGGTCTTCCCTTCTTCTTCGAAGCTGGAACGATAGTAGCCAGTCATAGAACCCGTTAATTCACCGGAGAATCCGATCGTGATTTTAGCTTGGGTGCCTGCGGGGAGGACGGTCGGAAACGAGAATGAGACTCGTTTCTCCTTTTCATCGAAGGAAGGTTCAGAAGATAGTTGGTCAGATTGTGAGCCAGTCGAGTGCACAGTTCTGGATAGGCAAATAAGATCACTTGGATAAATTCCGGATTTCAAGATTGTACGCACGCCTGGCCGAGTTTGAGCTTGGAACTGTTCATGACAATCGTCTTTGTTTCTTCCTTTACATCAAGGCTACACAATCATTCAGACCCAAATTTACCGACTAACCACATGCGCTCACACACCTCACTGTCACAGAACCATCGAAAGTCAACTTGTCGAGATCGGTGCGGACGGTAAGGTCATAATGAGTAGGCTTGACGTTGGTGGGGAGACGAAATTTGGACGCGGGGGTTTCTGAGGTAATAGTAGACATTGTGGCAGTCCTGGTTGAACTGAAGATCCTTGTATTCTTCAGATCATGTGGCGAACTTGATAATTGATTGGGCCGAAATCCGAGTGCTACACATGCTACCGTGCAGACAGAAAAACGTTTTGCAGAGACATTGAGCAATGTCGGCGAAAGAAAAAACATCAACGTTCGGTTACGTTCCTGTGAATGAAAATTACAAGAAATTGAATATTTACTGTATTATAATTGAGCGCTTACTTATACAGAGTTACTTTTCTCTACATAACTCTTCATCGACCGCAACTACGAGTAAGACTAAGTAATAAGGAGCAGGGGGTATGGCAACTTTTCAGGAACGTCCTTCATTCGTTGGGCACCTTGGATGCTCTTGGATGTGGGTTGCGGGCCAGGTCCTTGTTTGATGGTATAGGTCTGGGTTGTAGGGTCGTTCAGTATGTGTATGAGTAGTAGTGTAGTGAGTAGCGTTCAGCCACTAGCAGTGGCTTCAAAAGAAAATAGGATATTGTGCAATAGTCCTAAGTTTTGTGTTACAGATGGGTGTAATCCTTGATGGTGGTTTTTTCGAAAACCAGTAATAATGTATCCAAATCTTCTGAGTCCATCCGAATGGACCTTCTCCTGCCAGTCTGCTTACTGTCTGCTTTGGTGGTTACCACCTCTTCTTCTAGGCCTTGGGAACTTGAAAGGATATCCAACTCCTTCTTATTACTTAGAGGTGTGTACCTTGGACTGCCGGTTTTTCCTGTTTTTTTGTAAAGGTTCCACTCTCTTCGGGAAATTCAGTGAGATCTCTGATAGGCAGGTGTTCTGTGATACCTTCCTAATCATGTGCTGGAAATCCTCATATCTTGGGAATTCACTCAACGTGTTCTTGGGTCTCTAGTATCTCACTGCAAAGGCATTCAACGTTCTCACCAAGGAGCAAACTTAGAGTAGTCCTCGCCGGTGTATGCATGCCCCACTACAGAGTTACTTTTGCCCATAAGTAGTCGGCCCATTACACATTTTCGCTAGAAGGTTCGCTCCAAACAAACAAACGAAGAGGCACATCATTACGGGCTTATATGCATGACAGGCAAATGATCGTCTCAGCGAAATGTGACCTCAGGTTCCATCGTCGGTCATGAACATTTGAACGGTAAATGTTAGCGAAATTTTCTTACTTCCGGTATGAGACCGAGCTCAGTCAGCACTGAGCCAGGTCAGTGTCAAGTCATTTCCCACCATTGATTATTTGAATGCAGTTGATGTTCTAGTTGATAAAGAAATTAGTTTCTGTGCTGCCCGGGCCCATTCCAATCTACCACCATGTCTTCCCCAACTTCAACATCCGACTTGGAATCACAGGTCCACAAGGGAAAAGAAGTGGTGCAGGTTGTAGAGTTAGGAGAAGAAGAAAAGAAATACGAGGTCGACCTGGAACCAAATGAACATCCCCAACAGCACACGTCATTCAAAAAATGGACCGTCATTCTAGTTGTCGCCACTTCTGCTCTTTGTGTGACCTGCGCATCTTCTGCAGTACGTTCTGCGTTGCATGTTCAAAATCATGCTTATCAAAGGTCTTGCCAGGCATCTTTCACTGAAGCAGGAATAGCAGCCGAATTTCATGTACCACATGAAGTTACAATACTGTCGATTACCTTTTTCGTTGCAGGACTAGGCATAGGCCCGCTGTTGACAGGTCCCCTCTCGGAGGTATACGGTCGGAATATCATATACCGAGTATCTTACATCCTACTTTGTGCATTCACGTTCGGAGTCGCTTTCGCTCCCGATATTGGCGAGTTCTGGCCATACTAATCTTGATAGGACTTACTGAAGCATAGTCATCCTAGCCGTCCACCTGGTGTTCCGATTTCTTACTGGTTTATGCGGCTCCAGCTTTTTGAGTGTATCGGGAGGATCTGTCAGTGACATGTTCGAAAACAAAGAGGTGGCGAAGTAAGTTGCTTGAATGATTGGACTCTCGTGATGCTGATGTTTTCCAGTCCCATGGTAATCATATCTCCACACTGTGGCACGCTATCCGTATGAATAATTCCCTAGGCTGTATATACTCTCAGTCCTTTCATAGGCCCGGTCGCTGGCCCTCTCATAGCTGGGCAAGCATAACTCTCTTCACTTTCAAGTTATGACTGAAGCTTATATCGATATTAGTTTCATTAATCAAGTCCTTCAGACTTATTGATTGGTCAAGGCACGAAAGCTAATCAACATTTTAGAATACTAACTGGCGTTGGACATACCGCGTGTTAATCATATGGTCTTTCATTCAGACAGTCGCTCTGTTCGCGGTTCGTTACTTTTTCTGCCTCGCTTTGTACCCTATAACGTACTCAAGGCGCACGTTCTTAACAGTTAGTCCCAGAAACCTACGTCCCCGTGCTGAGAAAGTGGAAAGCTGCCAAGTCAGTCTTGTGTCCGACCAAGAACATACAACTTATTCCTGTCGCAGGCTTCGAAGATCCACGGGGGACGAGAATTACTGGGCTCCCCTCGACAAAACTAACATATCTTTAGGTGAAGCAATCCTCGTTAGCTGCTATCGACCTTTTGGCAAGAAAATAGTATCTATCTCATACCTAGTACTTTCTGACATTGTTCTCAGAGCTTGTCATTCGTGAACGCATGGCACTTCTGTTGAACATCTGGTGTGTGCTTTGACCTCAAGCTGTCAGTGTCAAATCTTTTTAACGATTATCAGGACATCATTGATACTCGGGATACTTTATCTTGCTTTTCAAGCTTTCCCCGTCATCTTCGAGAAACATCACGGCTTTGATACACAACAGACTGGGTTGACGTTTCTTGGAATTGGACTAGGGATGATAATCGGCTTGGCTACCCAACCATTTTGGAATAAGTACACGTTCAAACTGGTACCCTTCGGCTGTAAAAATTAAATGGTTCTCTAGCTTCATCGCCAAGGAATCCGAGAAGAATGGTGGGATCTGTCCTCCTGAAGCTCGACTATTTGCGGGTGAAGTTGGCGGTGTTCTAATTCCTCTCAGTAAGTAACGGCTTAATTTTGCAAACTAGATCTTGTTAATTTAAACTACTCACAACGTCTATGTATATGTCTCCAGGTCTGTACTGGCTTGCCTTCACTACATATCCATCGGTCCCTTGGATTGTCCCCATCATCGCTTCAATTCCCTTTGGTTCTGGAATTTTCCTAGTCTTCACATCCGTCTTCACCTACCTAGTAACTGCATATCGACCTATTGCAGCAAGCGCAATGGCTTCAAATAGCGCCATGCGGTCGTCCTTCGCTGCGGTATTCCCTCTTTTTGCCGGATATATGTACACTAGGCTAGGAACTGTGGGGGCGACAGCACTTCTGGCCGGAATCATGACATTAACGGTCCCACTACCGTATGTACATGAGGTCTACCTGAAAAATTGCGAGGCTACTGACTGCGCTCGATGTAAGTTTTATTTTCAGACGAATTGGAGCAAAATTACGTGCAAATTCTCGGTTCGCTGCTTCTTGACGGATACATAACTTAGTTCTCTCATACGCTCAATAGACAGCGTTACTCCTCTAACTTTGGGTGTTCACCCGTATTCATCCATACGTACTCATCCATGCTTTGCAACCAACGTTTGTGTTCTCAGATGCGAAGAAAAGCCGCGCTAGATTGACAGACAAGAGCGGTACTGTAAGTAGATCCAAGTATTAGATACCATCAGTTCGAAATCTTCTTGCGACAATCCTTGACATGGCCAGTTCCAAGGCAGCAAATGAGGTGGCGATGGTTTCTTAATTCAATAGAGAGCTTAATAAACAGGCTTAAACTGCCACAACCAGTGCCACAAGCTGCCACAAGGCGACCAATTCAAAGTTGTAAAGATGCCGGCGGCCTCTAATTTGTTCGACGAAATCAATATAAGTAAGGGACTGAAAATAGTAGGACACGGTTTACTTATGAGTGGTTAACTCATGGCCATTGGGCTTCGAGTTGTTGCAAGCAGTGTATTCGAATTTTCCTTGTAATTTTAGGGGGTATGACACGTGTTGTATCTTGCTTTATCTCATTCGACTACAGACCATATGCCATGCCTTTTGATCCTGTAAGAGATGCTGTTCTCAATTCGCCTGCGACAGAAGGATTACCTACAAGTCCATCCCTAGCTCGCCGGGCCACCCATCTTTCCGTTCTCCTCAACTCTGATTCTGAACCTCTTCCTCGCCCCTCTTCGTCTCTTCCTCAAAGCTTGCATTTTGAGCCGACCGACAAGCTCGTTTTCTCAAAGCCTCTAAAAAAGGCTCACGATAAATCTGTGTCCCTATCGAACTCGCGGCCTTCCTCCTCCTCTTCCTTTTTGCCAACCTCAACCGATTTCCCAGTAATGCGTTCATCACCGTTACTATATAATCCAACACACAGGCTTACACCACCTACCTCTATATTGACGCCGATGTCCAAGGCTGAAATGGAAATGTACAAATCCTACGTGGGCAAAGGCACTGCCCGTTTGACCAAACGAAAGCGGCCCAGGGACGATTCAGATACTGCTGACGAACCGCCCGTGAAAAAATACACCGGGAGGTCAGGCGTTGTCGTGGAACATTGTACGTTCTTGAATGTACACTCTCAGCTAGTGTTATGCTTATTCTTCGTTCTGCAGATAATTCCCGTCCAGAAGTCGGTGTAATACAGAGACTGGATTCGCCTATCATCGGCCTCAAAAACTTCAACAATTGGGTAAAATCAGTTCTTATATCAAAGTTTGCACATCCTGCACTGGCTGCATCCAGTGTACGAACACAAAAAAATAAAGGCAAAGTTCTGGACCTTGGATGTGGAAAGGGTGGTGATATAACAAAATGGAGTAAAGCTAAGATTAGCGACTATGTAGGTGCAGGTGTGTTGCCCTCATCGAATCTTTTCCTACGCTGGCTTATCTTTTCGTCAGATATCGCCGCTATCTCAGTCGAACAGGCTCAAGAACGGTGGGAGACCAATCGCAACGCCAGCCGTTTCCAAGCGTCGTTTGCCACTTATGATTTCTGTACTCAAAACCTTGAGGACGTTTTTAACCCTGATATTCTGGCAAAACCTTTCGACGTCGTGTCGTCGCAATTTTGCATCCACTATGCTTTTGAGAAAGAGGAAACTGTACGAAGGATGTTCCGTAATGTCAGTCGCTGGCTGAGACCCGGCGGTACGTTTATTGGAACAATACCCAACGCCGAGCAACTACTTGAGCGTTTACGAGAACTTCCGCCCGAGAGCCAGGATCTTTCATTCGGGAACGCTGTTTATAAAGTTCGTTTCGAATCACGCGAGCATTCTGGCTTTTTTGGCCACAAATATTGGTTCTTTCTTCAAGATGCAGTGCAAGATGTGCCCGAGTTTCTGGTTCATTGGGACAACTTCGTGTCGTGCGTTTTTGGTTTCATAGCGCAAATATCCGCCACTCAACGTTCATCCAGCATGGCTGCAGAATACGATCTGCAACTATTGTATAAGGAGGAATTTCATGACGTTTTTTCCGAGCATCAGGATCATCCCGAATTCGGGCCTCTCATGGTGCGTATGAGAGTAATGGATGTCAACGGAGAGAGTTCGATGGACGAGGACCAATGGGAAGCAGCTAGTTCGTGCAATACCTTCTTTCGCTGAAAACTAACTCATGAACCAACTAGACATTTACATTGCCTTTGCCTTCACAAAACGTTAGTATCCTGGATAATGTATGATATATAAAATCAATTCTAATTAGACCCCGAGTCATGTAGTAAGTAATGATAATTCGGCCCATTGGTAACACAAGCCGTTACCGGTAACACAAGCCGTTACCGGTAACATGAATACACAGAAAATTGGCTCGCAAGGAAAGTTTTGTGAGAGTAAGTTAAAACTTTTTGTGCGAACCAATTTCGAGAAGGCGGATTTATGAGACTGCTATTAATATTTTCGTTGATCAAGATAGCAGTGGGTCACAGTCACCTGACGTGTGCGGATCTTGCGCTCTTACCTTAAATGATACAGAAAAAAATACGAATGTAAAAGGCATACACATATGATGATAAAAATCAAGTTTGTTGAACAAATCAAGTGCATTTACTCTTGGCCGAAGCCAACAGTTTCCCTACGTTTTTAAGTTAGTGCTCAATAAAAAGAAATGGAACGCAGACGTACTCGACTGCAAGAGTTAATTTGTGTTCCAGACTGGCATAGTCCTTATACGGCGGAAGATCAATACGATTGAAGCAGGTGTGGCTCTTGGGCAGCTGCGATGGGTCACCAGATTTTTCAATCGTAAACCGTCTTGGGCCATCGGATCCTTGGAGGTCCTTGAATCCGTTGACAGGTATACGCGATGTACCAGTAGCGAACTGTAAAAGTCTCGATTTGCGCTCGGGTGGCCAGCTACGAACACACTTCCAGAACCACTGGATAACTTCGTCGGTCATTTCGTATCCTCGGTAGTCTGTAAACTTGAGCCAGTCATCACTGCATGCTTCGCTGTTTAACTCCGCATGCCCACATCAATTCGGGATTACTCACACATCAATTTCAGACATGCCACCAATTAGCAGTTCGAGCTCACGCTCGTCGAACACGGTGATCAAGTCCTGAGGAATAAGCTCGCTGAATCCGGACATGAAAGCATCAAACTGCTCCTTGACTCGTTTGGAAATGCGGTAGTCGACGATACACTCGACGTAATCCTTTTTGTTATCCTCCGTCACAGGAATGTCCTCTCCTCCGGGCTTGAGTTCAATTGTCACCATTTCACCGAATCGTTCCTCAGTAGTTGTGAAAGATGTATCGATAATGTCCGTGATATCGTTTTCACTGCATAAGAATGAATCAGCCTTGTTGTAAGAGCGCACTGAGAAAAAAGAATACTGACAGCATCCAGGTCATTCCACGATGTAACTCAGTATCTACTGATTCCAAGTCCGCTAGAGTAACTTTCTTCTTCAAGATCATCTTGTAGAAGCTTACTATGAAGTAGGCATCCAAGAAGCGACGGTGGAAGATACCAAGACCCAGACATCTCCCAATGAACTTGAAGTAGTTCAAATGTTCGGGATTGACTCCGGAGGCAGGATTGATTTGAAGCGTGTAGTTATCGTGAGCGGAATATTCAAATAGGCAGTAAAAGGGATTGAACATCTCGTGCGAAAGCAGGAAGAAGAATTCTCTAGAAACAACGACGATATTAGTAAACAAATCTCGGCGAATACTCTACTTAGACAGCGTACCTGGAAAGACCCCCGTAGTCCAAACCATCCTCTCCGTCAAACTTAATCATGAGTCGCTTCTTCAAATCATTGGGTGTCTGCCTCATTATTTCAGCATAACTGTCCTCGAAAATGTGATTTCTCCTGATTTTGATTTGGCAATTGCCCGGCTGTGCACGCATTGCAGGTTGGCTACGGAAATATATGAGTTTCCTGCGGAAATCACGCTTGTACTGCGGTACGTTGGCATCGAGTGTCGAGGGTAATCGAGGATCATCCCACGTTGTTGTTTTGGTGTTATGATCAACGAAGTAAACTCGGGCGGTGGAGGTAAGGCGCATTTCCCACCCAGAGGGCAAGGGTCCAAGTTGGGAGATGGCTTGTGGTTGGAGACTGGATCCTTGACCATTTGGACCCATGACACGAATGATGGCTTGTCTGCGGGGATCAACCCAGGTTGTTGTGCGCGTATTGTGATCAACATAATATGGGCGTCCCTCCAGAGTAAATCGCTCCTCCCATCCATTTGGCAGACTACCAGACCCGGCAGTTGTAGCATTGCTACCGGTGGTGAGCGCTGCAGGTGCCGGGTTAGCAGTGGCGTTGACGGTAGCAGTGCTATTGCGGAACACATTGCTCGTCGAATTGTTGGAGTTATTGGCTTCTAAAAGGTCATCTGCGAGGATCCTTCGCGAATGCTGATCTCTGGCGGCGTTGGTTTCACTATCCTGGACATCATTGTTAACAGCAGCGCTATCTGATGGTCTATTCCATGTTGTAGTCCGAGTGTTGTGATCCACGTAATACGTACGCCCTAACGGATCTATACGTCGTTCCCACCCCGGAGGCAGTCGTCCGTACTGATCCACATTTGGATTGAAGTTCCGCATCTGATTGGCGTTACCTGCCGTAGCAGAAGGGTTCATGGGGTTCGCAGGAGCGGCGTTATTGGCCGAAGGGTTAGTTCCGGAAATACTGGTCGGACGAGATGACGACGGCGCGGCTACGATTTGAGGAGACGGTTGTTCAGTTTCTGTTGAAGGCGCTGACGAAGGTGCAACAACAGCTGGGCTGGCAGTAATATCTGTGGCTGTGGCGTGAGAACTAGTAGTACGAGATAGGGTTCCGGATGGATTGGTGGGAAGTACTAAATTGGAGGTGCTAGCACCTGGAGAGTTGGTGTTATTGAGCCCCATATCAGCGAGCGCAGAAGATAGACCATTAACTTGTGAAGGTCCGGGATTGGGTATTGGCTGGGTGACATTGGTTGACAGATAGATGATGAGCTTTCCGTGAACAACCAGATTATCGTTCGACTTTTTCAAGTCGAGAGTAAGCATTTCTAAGGAACATTGAGTTCCTGTTCCACCTGAAAAGAGGAGGACAGTACGCACCATGACCACCAAGTTCAAGGTCCAACACATCGCTGACCCTAACATTCACCACACCAAGGAAGCCCTGATCTCTTCGTTTGAATTTCCGTTGGTCAAAAATTTGAACCGCAAGTACTGAGGAATCTTTGACAGTGCTACATGGGGGAGAATCTAGTCTACGAGCACATAGTATGCAAACAAACTCTTACATATCAAAGCTTTCGTTCCAATAGGGATTGAGGGTTTTCTTCATGACGCTAGTTGTATGTGTTTGCTCCGCATCAACGGTGATGACGGCGAAAGGATCTGGGAGCCTGAAAACATCCCGCTTGGAAAGACCATCCGCAGCGACGACTGCAAGATGAAATGAGCACGATTAATTCAGATAAAAAGGTTGGACCGACCTGTGACCCTGATATTCTTCGTACTGTGAAATGGAAATGCAAGCAAGGAGAGTAAGCTGAGTAAGAATGTAGCAGATGTGAAAATAGCGTCGATGACATACAGAACGCCCGAAGGATTGGACATGAGGGCTCAATGCTCAGCAGTTATATTGAAAAATATCAGTATCGTAGAACACCAACGAAGAGGGCAGGACGAAGTAATGTTGTGGAAGTCCTGGGCAACGGTTGATCCTTAGTCGAAGGTATGGTGCTGAGGTAAGATTTACACCAATTTTAGATTATATTCAAATTGATATTTAGCGCCGTGACCTCCTTAACTAGTCTCGAGCTTCGTTACTACATACGCAACGTAGATTTTCATTTGGATACAATTAATGAACTCGGTAAACAGATGCGAAGCGGCCTATGACTTCAAAATATGATTACAAAATTCAAGCCACCAAGACAAACTAGTGGTATGTTTGTAATCTAAAAATGTTTTCGACCAGCAGCGTCGACCCGTGCGATGTACGATGTGCAACCCCATTGTTTTGGCGTATGTACGTACAGCTGAAATTTGAGGTGTATATCGAGCTTAGACGAAAGTCTACGCAAGACTAATACCAGGTGAGCTTAGCCCTCAGTGCGTGTCATACCCACCTGCATGGGTCCGCCCTCCCGAGGTCTACAAGTGAGATGGTTGCTTAGCAGTGCAGCTACTAGATGTACCCCGAACCGGTATGCGAGCTCATCACTTTCGTATTTGACTTGTATACACCGTCGTCCACGTAATATAACCACTTATTTCGGACTTCCCTTCTTCTTTCCCTCTCTTTTCTTGCCTCCCCGATTTTTCTAGGTATGCCTGATTAATATCCCCTACAATACTGCACATAGATCTTATATTCACCTCTCTTTCATTTACTCACCGATTATTCTAGTACATCGTTTATCGTCGCTAACGCACAAAGTGCCATCTATCGAATCTAAATTTATATGTCCGATGACCGACAACAACAGGGGGAGGGAGCTTCACTCTCCCCTGCGCTCCCCCCAAATGGGTCGAGCACAGAACAAGCAGCCATATTTGTTAATGGCGCCTTGCAGACGATCTCAGATAGGGTCAACGACGGGCGTCTCACGCCAGAAGCTGGTCACATCACCATGCGAAGATATCTCGAGACAGTGTTCCGCACTTTCCAACTGCACACGGAATACAGCCTCGGGGGCATTCTCCAACCTTGGCTCGAGATCATCAACAACCACAAGCAGCGCCTTGCCCACGCAGAATGCGAGAATCATCAAAGGGAGCCTAGATCAGTCCAACTACCAAGCATCAAAGAGCTCCTTGCTGGACCGGCTCGCAACGCAACCCACAGGGGACCTCCAGAATAGGGTGATCCAGGCCAACAGTCACACCCAGGTGTCATCCTCACCCCAGCACTCAGAGAACCTAGAGGTGAAAATGCCGGGGTGCGAGATCGGAGAGAGAGCTTCAAAGAGGAAGACACTCGAGCCAACTCCACAAAGAGAGATTGCCGAGACTCGTCCGATGAAGGAGTATCGCGAGCTAAACCTACAAAACGCGCCAAGCAGGACAAGAACCTCTTTAATTGGACTGCTGATGCATTTGTCAAGCAGTCCATACTCTCACCGAAACACCGGAGGATTATCAAAGAGGTTGAAAACTTCAGACTCAATCTGGGCAACGCCATTGAGAGCATCGAACAAAGTGGAGTTAACCCCATCTTCCCGAAGAAGCTCTGGAAGTCAGTTCTCCGTGATGAATACATCGAGCTCTCGGAGGTACACGCATTGGGTGCCACCGACTACGTCCCAAAAGCACCACAACCGGCCTCAAATAAGTTCGCAGCTCTCAAATCTTCCACATTTGCCAAACCTGCATCCACAAAGGCCATTACTGACCAGGCTTCATGGCGCCGAGCCTGGAGAGCCACAGCAGATGCAATCTCCTTCGCGTTCGCCGACCGTTGCAACGAACTTAGTGCATATGAAGAACATGTGGGTCGACTCTTCGACGACAACCTCCCTAGCTTCCACCATAATGTCATCAACTACGACAAGGCTGTACGACAACTCATCGGGTCGCGACGAGATATCCTGTTTGATGAGTTCGAGCACTCCGAAGTTGCCAGGATCAGAAACATGTACCTACTCCCTACTGGAACACATTTCTCAACCTCAACCTTCCCTGCGCCCAGAGCAAACCAAGCGAGTTTGCACCCTCGCAACAGAGCCAGAGAGATATGCAGGAAGTTCAATAGAGGGAACTGCGATGGCTGTGAACGGAAGCACATCTGCGCTACATGCAGCGAGTCCGGACATGGGTCACACAACTGCAGAAAGACGAGCTGGAAGTGATCAGAAAATGACTGAATCCTCGACTAGCCGTTCATCCCTGGCCCACTTCTGGAAACCTGCAGTGGATTTCGTGTCAAGTTTTTGGGGGGAGTACGGAGAAATTGAGGAGAGGAGCGAGACTGAGGGGGAGAGTGTATGCAATGGAGAGAACCCATCTCTTCCTCGTTTCATACGGGGCTTTGGGTTCAGAGATAACGTGGGGTTGTTACGCAGTCGAACGACAAGTTTCACCGAGTGCGACGATCCACTCCCAAGACCTGCATCGACAGAATTTGAGAGCCCGGCGTGGTACAATATCCAGGAAAATCCTCACCTGTTCCGTGTGCAAACTCCTATTAACGCGGACCGCCTGGAAGCCCTATCGAAAGCTCACTCGGACCAACCCTTCCTGAAATCGGTAGTTGTTGGGTTGAAGGAGGGCTTCTGGCCTTGGGCATCGACGCGTCCTCGCGACGACTTCTCAATAAATTGGAAAAACTTGTGGGCGCCTCTACCATCTGAGGAAGAACAGGACTTTGTCAACACCCAAAGAGAGCTTGAAGCACAATTGAGAAGGCACTCACAACTTTTTGGACCTGATTTGCTCCCTGGGATGCACTCAACACCAGTCATTGCTGTTCCCGGACCACACTCAGAGGCACTATGTTTCGTAGCTCACCAATTCACCGGAGAGTTCTGCCAGGACAACATGGTCGACAAAGGTCAGATAAAAGGGAATAAATTAGACTCACTAATCGTGTTCCTACCACTCCTACCGGTGTACAATGAACTTATTGCTGTTTTCACAAAAGTTGGCGCCTCGGTCACACGCTTTACTTTTTGGCTTCAAAATGATACCGAACGAAAACATCGATATCTCACTCGTTCCTCGACCGATTACTGTAAAATTTAGTGCGTTGACAAGCTGTAGTATATGCTCAGAGCGCCCCATGATTATTTCTTCCAAAATATATAATTTTACAAATCTCAGCTATCAAATGGTGTCAAATGAAAACACACAGATATCTTGCTCAATCCTCCACCAATGACTGTAATTTTTAGTGTGTTGACAAGCTGTAAGGTATCCTCAGAGCGCCCCATAGTCGTATCTTGAATGGTGTGACCCAGGCAGTAGAAGTTGAGGAATGTCACATATGGCCGGAAAATGACCCTGAACTATCAGGCGACTCATTCCTTGCTGTTTCTTTTTTCATTGTCTCAATGGGCAATAAGAAGAATGCTAAAAGAAGGCAGTCTGGAAGCCGCAAGAACAAAAAATCAACTCAGGAAATAGAAGAGGATCAACTGAGCAGTGATGAATCACTCACTCCCGATGCTCCCCTTCGACCACCTCGCCCCACTCCAAAACCTTACCACAGAGGCATACCAGCTTACGATGCATGTCACAGCAATTTAGGTGCTGAGATTGATGATACCGCTGCCGCTAGATTGCTAATGTCTTTTCCCGGAGTCTCTCCATCCGAAAGTCAGGCAACACCAGCACGTACTCATCCGTATGGTGTCCATCTATCAAATGAGCTTTCATCCACAAAGACAAGTTGCGCAGCCTGATATAAATGTGAATATGTTAATTTGAACTGTGCTCGTTTGAATTCATCTTGTTCAATTGCAACACGAGTAAACTGTGATATACGGATAAATGACGAGAATGTCAGTCGAGGACAAGATATCGTACCTTCTTGAGCTTGTATCCAGTTTGCCTAAGTGTCCTCCATATTGTTGTAATGCTAACCTGTGTACCTCGTCGCTCCTCTAACTGTTGCTTCAATTCATCAAGGTACATGTCCGGTGTGTGTGCAAGTAACCCGTGAATAAGCTGGTCCTTCCATTAGTATTGCTTCCATACACAAGCAAAAGAACAACATACCTTCATATCCTCGATGCTAAATCTTCCATTTTCTCCTTCGAAGGTCAGTGGTAAGAAGTAGAGTGCCTTGGATGTGTTTCCGGTGTTGAGACAGGATGCGTTGCAGTGTCCGACGTTTGCATGCTGATTTTGTAACAATCTCATCAAGAGACACACAATTGCGATGAAGGTTGATGATTGTGTGGCGAAGGTCTTCAGATAGAGGCTTTCCGCGAGTCATACTGCAGTGAGATGGGGTGTAACGTCAAGAAGGCAGCGCAAAGGATAGGACAAGCAGTAACAAACAGCTTCAAATTGATTTCGCTCTACCACATACTACAACTATGGGGCATTTTAAGGATGCCTTACAGCTTGTCAAGGCACTAAAAATTACAGTCATTGGTGGAAAATTGAGCAAGATATCTTTGTTTTCATTTGGCACCATTTGATAGCTGAGATTTGTAAAATTATATATTTTGGAAGAAATAACCATGGGGCGCTCTGAGCGTATACTACAGCTTGTCAACGCACTAAATTTTACAGTAATCGGTCGAGGAACGAGTGAGATATCGATGTTTTCGTTCGATATCATTTTGAAGCCAAAAAGTAAAGCGTGTGACCGAGGCGCCAACTTTTGTGAAAACAGCAATAAGAAAAAGGCATGTCGAAAAAACTGCCACTGTGCCAGTGCTTTGTACTACATACTAATAGATTATTAGTAGTTTGACCACTGGAGTACGTACTGTGCATGAATACGTAATGATCAGGGGTTCTACCAGACCATAGACGCCCAACCTGAGCCTCATCCATTGACATCTACTTCTAGTAACAATAATCCGAATTCTTCTCCTATGTCTCCTCACATTGAACTGCCTATGAATACGGTACCTCACCATCCTCAATAACCGATTTTTCCCCACTTAGCTGGCACATAGGCACACCAACACGCAGCAAACGCCGAAGATTACATGAATAGTGGCCTGCTCGTTCCAGCCTCTGAGGAACATTTTAAGGCAGCAGAAGCATATACTGCTGCTGTGGATTGTACAGAGGATGCATCAGTTTAGCTCACTTCTTTCATCTAACATAATGCGGTAAATGCTAAACCCGGAATTACTAGACGAAGCGTACGCTACAAATGCTCTGCAATGAACATAGGAGAACTGGCAAAGAGCTCTTAAGGAAGATTGCGAAATTAGAAAGCGAAGGGAAAGATCCAACTGAACCTCAGAAGAGTAATCAAATCCAAACCAACTCCAACCCGCAAATAATTGCTGGTTCATCTCGTATAATCCATTCAGCGCCTCCACAGCAGCACTTGACCGATTCTCAAGTTGCTGTTGATGAATCATTTATGCTTTTAGCCGGCCAACGAGTAAGTTCTTGATACATTTGTATCATTTGCACCTTACGTCGAATCCCCAGTCGGACCCTGGTGATGCCTTCAATCAATTCTGGAATATTATGCAAGGAATGCTGGACAATTTATCCCAGCCTGTTGCTTTTGCTACTGTACCTCTGGGTGTTGAAGCAATTCCCGGGCCGTCGTCGCCACGTCGAGATTCGAGTCTCAGTAGTGATACAGAGTCCGAGGAACCAATAGTTTCGCGACTAACGCGCAAACTGGGAATGGGAAGAACTACCTCGGCAATGCAAAGCAAAACGTTATCCCGGTCATTGAAAACTCCAATTAGCTCAGAACTCGAGCTAGAGGATGATGATTTCTTTGATGAAGGTAATCTTGGCCTCCACAAATCATATTCTAAAGCCATAGTTGATATACATTGGACGATCAGGCGACGATCTATCGGGCTCATTCTACGTTATACCGTCTGAATCCACCATGTCATTCTTGAAGAAAGAGAATGTCGCTCTCAAAGCCGAAATAGAATTGACGCAGAAACGTCTGGAAGCATCTGAGCGAGTACTACAGATGAGGAAAGAACAAGACATGCAGCTCAGGGAAAGTATAGTCCAGGCTTCGAAGGAGGTGAATCTTCTCCCCGTCGCTATTCATCCACGTCATGATGTTTTATTCCAGGCACAGCGTGCCATGGGGGCTTCATTTGTTGGACAGCGGGGCCAAATAGCGCCTGACTTTGCCTCTGTCAACCTAAATGTTCCTGCCTCCGCCCTACCGATCCCAGGTATTCATACTGCCCGCGAGGGCCAATACATGAGGAAAGTGAAGGAGCTCGAGGAGGAATTGCGATCACTGCGTAATGAAAATGAGAAGAACGTGAGGGTATTGCATGTATCGAAAAAGCTTTCCTTTATTCATCTCTTCTATGCTACAGAAAGCTATGATTGTCAAATTCCGAGAACGTTGGGAAAAACTCAAAGAATCTGCCAAACGCAAAAAAGAAAGCAAAGCTGCCGCGGAGGCTGCCCAGGCTGTTCGAGAACGTATAGTTGAAGAACCGGAGACTGAGGATGAATTGGATCGCGGTGGTGCGAGATAATCATAATAATATCCTGGTGGTGTCCACGTTTATCATATATTCTCTGTGCGTGTACTGCCTGTAATAATGTGAGTAGAAAAGTGTAAACAAAGGATCTAGCATTCCTACGTGTCCGAGGGAATGGTATCTTGAACCACATGTGGAACTTTAGAAGAAAGTGCCAAATCAACGGTAGCGGGATGTTGCTGTGTGTTTGAGATCTCGGGAATTCGCAGTGATATCACTACACTGCTTCACGAAAATAAGTAGCCGTGGAACGATTCGCGGCGTAACATGGATGAACAACGAGATAAGGATCAACGGTAAGAAGTGTGAATGGCCGCACATGTCAGAGGACAATTGGTTGGTGATTATAGATATTTAGTCTAGGCAAAGACACCAAAGTCTTCGATACGCAAAGATCGAGAAAAGAGGTCAAACTGTGCCTGCGCCTGGTTCAAATTTTCTCCTTGCACTGCTCCACCGTCCTCCGATATGACTGGAATATTGAACGTAACAACTAAATCAATGCCATTGCTCACGACCCGGTATAGAGCCATGAGGACCCGAACTTCATCAGGATTTGTCTTGTTGAATTTTGGGACTCGTTGAACCCCTGAGAGTGTGATAATAGATGGTGTGGCATCTCCTCTGTCGTTGGGAATGACGTTCACGGAAACGACTTCACTCGTCACAGCATCGTTATCGTGAGCTAATGAGTCGAAATGAAACCTAGTTGGACTGAGAGTTTGGAAGATATTATGGTAGGAATTTCTTACTTAATTGCGTCTTGGTTATCATTTGGCTCAACTCTCTGAAGGATTTCTACGATGATGCTGATGCTCGAGTCTGGGAATAATAGCACCTCCTGGGTATCGGGGACTTGTCGGATTTCTCTTCATTGGACTTAGATTAGGAATGGACAGCAAGACGAATGGGACTTACGAAGCATCGAGCAGATTAGATGGAGCAACTGCTGTAATCGCACCACCAAAGAGGTGTAACGGCGTGTCAGGCATGAAGTTTCAAGAGAGCTTCGCAGTTAGATACGTTCAAATACTGAATAACATGATGAGTTATTCGGAACCGGAGAACCCCACTTCTGCATCACGTGACACCCGCGACTGTGACTGACGCGGTTGTGACAAGTCTATCAACGTTTATACCAATTGAATATTACCCGCCATGAACGACGCACGGAGGAAATCTACCTTGACATTCTCGAGTGACTTACACGCGAACATGCGCTCTGGGATCCCTCTTCCTTCGACGGCAAAAAAGCAAACAAACCGGATATCGCTTGCTGGTCCTGCAATTCGAAACCCATATCCTGCTCCTCCCAGTACAAATCCACGAAATACAATGCTTCGCTCTCAGAACACTAGCTCGCTGCTTAGCAGCTCATCAAAGCAGGTCTATGGGAAAACTCCGTCGAACAAGTGCGTTCAAATTCCATGATCTCCTACTCTGTTAAACTTCTTTCTCCTAATAGTAATCGACGTATATCATTATGGGCTGGTGGATCTGGGACTACCCCTTTGCCTGGTGGGAGTCAGTCGCAGAAAGATCCTCGTCCTATCAGAGAGCGTCCTTTCCAGAGCAAGGAACGGTCAGATATCCTCAACTTCTGCCATGATCTGGGTTTGGACATCAGCATGGCTCAACTGCTTAACATTCAGAGCAAAGACTATCGCATCATTTTTGAATTTCTCGTCGAACTACTGGATCCATGTTATCCTATCGATACAACGGAGAAATTTGAGGAGATATTCATCCCTGCACTTAAAAGCCTTGGGTATCCTTACGCACACTCTATAGATAACAAATGGCTTGCATCTGTAGGGAGTCCTCATACATGGCCTCATCTTTTGGGTGTATTACATTGGTTGGTGGAAATGTGTAAGGTGAGTCCTAAGCGCTTAGGTAGCTAAGGGTTGAGTCGAGGTTGTCCCTCTAGATGAAAGAGCACTACTCCGGAAGCGGACATCCGACACTACAAGATCCAGACAATGTGCTTGAGGAATTCCAGGATCCCTTCGATCGCCGTACTCTTGCCTTTGACTATTATAGCAAATGTTATGCTTTATGGCTAGATCACATTGACGAATTTGAGGAGCCAAATGAACAATTGGAGGATCGATATGGTCTGTTATCTTACCATCACACAAGATGTATCGGACTGACACTGAAGACAGCCAAGAAGAACCAACGAGTCCAAAAGGATGTTGAGATTAAGAACCAGCAATTGGATGAGGCGAAAATCGAGTGTGATATATTGACAACTTCCGCCGTTCGCCATTCTGCTCCGAGTATAATCTGTTGAACCCTGATTATCTCCCTCTCACTAGGCCCCCGTTATCTTACTTAAAGAAGAAAACGAGACGCGCGTTCGCGACGCCGAGAAAATGCAAATAGTTCTCAAACAATGGGAATCTCGAAGAAAGAAACTAAGTGTCGCAATCGCGACAGAGAAAACTGAACTAGCTAAGAAAGGTATACAGCACATATCTTGTCTTAATTTCAATGTTCATAAAGTTTGCAGAGGAATACTTGGCAGTGTTAAGGTCGGAACAAGAACAGCTCGATAGCGTTGTCAAAGAGCAAAATTTGTCACCAGAAGAAGCCACCAGAATGACAACGGAGTACGAAATGTTGTCTCGCAATATCGAGGACTTGAAACAGAAGATCGCAGATACAGAACAAACGGTCATGTCGCTGGAAGTAAGCCTTACGAACCGTATTTCCGGGACCGAAGAGACCCTTCATATCTACAACGTGGCACTCTCGACATTAGGCTTATTGCCGCCTCTACCCCCTCCGCACAACGATATCGATCTTACACTGGAATTGAACACTGCATCTTCAGATCATAGCCAGCTTCTCTCTGGGTTGGACATCCGAAAGGTCATCAAACCCACTTTGAACTCCATAGCAGAGTCCAAACGCTCGACCCGCGCCGAAGTAGAGAACGAAAGAATCAGGGTTGACAACGAGATTGAACAGCTAACATTGGAGTGTGATACTGGCGAGGACGAGATAAGCCAGCTGGAAAAGCAAGTCGCAGCAGTGAATGAACAGGCAATCGATCTTCATAATGTATATGTCAATTGAGTTAGTGACGCTCGACCGCTCATGTCTGCATTTAGGCTGCACAACGCGACGCTCTCGCTTCCAGCGCGACTGCGAGGCACTTGGAACAGATGGTCGCCAACGCTAGGACAGCCGCAATTGCGAATGGAATGGGAGCCAAATCCAGATTGCATCAATTACAGTTCGAGTAAGTACGGTCTTACCATTCCCTATCATTGCTCATATCATCGATCGAAGTTACCGTGAACAGGTCGAACGGGTGAACAGATTGAAGGACGAAACTGTACGAGCCATTATCAAAAACAGCTCTGATATCGCTGAGTTTCGGGGTGAGGTTACGAAACGTTTGAGAGAGCTGCGAGAATGCGCAGAAATGGAATAAACTACGGTTAAATGTCTCCTATCATCTTGGATATACCTGTCGCTCATTGTTACATTGAAGGATAAATTTGTGGGATCGTCTGTACTTAGGGTTGGCGTTTCTACCAATAGCTTCAATAAGTCACATGAGATCACCCGGGATGATCTTAGTCTATTTCTACATACCTCACATTGCATGATGTCGCTTGCAATGTGCATGTCCAAAGTTCTGTGATCTATCATGTATGAACGTTCTTTGTTTCGGTATTGTTGACTAGCTGGTACCGAGACTGACTCTTTGGACTCTAGACCAACTTGACTCTCCATACTGAAGTACTGATCTCTTGTCTATGTCTGCAAGGGTTCATTGTGGGACACTGACTCCGGTAATTGAAGTCTCAGCTTAGATACAGACAATTGTTCTGCGAGGAAGAGACCTGTTTTGGTAAAACTTTCGACGTGTCGTTCCATGCATTCTGAGACTTGCCATAATGGGACTCTAATTTTTTTTAGTTATCAGTGCCTCGTCAACTTCCAATTGGTGCAAAGTGAACGACCCGACGTTCCTGTTCCCTTCCTACTCAAGTTATGATTAAAACCCGAGGGGACGGAACCCTTATGGATATCAATACGGCTCGGTTTCGTTACCGGAAGCCTTCCAATGATTTGGTCGAGGGGGGTTCAGTGTATCTGCAATTACCGGGATTTCAGCCACCCTCGGGCACTGATAAACCGAAGATTGTTCCATTCTCCTGGGACTTGTTGGACGCTAGCGGTAAATATTTCCCTTCTCCTGTGTGTCTTATCTTTTCTGTGTTGCATCATCGACTCTCGAGCTTTAAGAGGAGATGTTGTCTTGATATTTCATCACTGTCAGTTTTCCACTCCCTTCCCCGCTTGCTTAACCATTACTGCGGTGCGCGCTTCGCGATGGCGACAGAACTCAAAATTGAAACAGAAACGGCATATGATGACCCAGAAAAAGGAACCACCGATGCTGTCGTTCCAGCGTATCCCCGCGACGAGAAGCCGCGCGAGATAACCCCTCCGCAGTACCTTGAAGTCAAGAAAGGTGAGGCCAAAGATGCCCCAAGAAAACCGACACCGAAACCGAAGAAGAAAGTTTCGAAGTGGATTCTTCTCAAACTCTGGTTCAATACCTATCGGTACGCTTAATATTTCCATCGCAACTGCTTGAATAATTTTAAGGATACTTCTCCAGGAAATTCTTTTGCTTTACATTCGGACTTAACATGATCGGTCTCGGTTTAGCAGCTTCGGGTCATTTCCCCTACGCTGTCAGGCAGTCGGGCGCCATGGTTGTTGGCAACTTGAACTTTGCGATATTGATGAGGAACGAGATATTTGGTCGAATACTGTACTGGATTGTGAACACCGCTTTTGCTAAGGTAACCTATTTGTTGCCCCTTCAAGGAATCCGCGGTCCTGAATTTTTGTTCAGTGGACTCCTCTATGGTGGAGGCTAGGATGTACATCTGTTCTTCAGGTGAGTCTTCGGTTTCTAGTCTGCTTCTGAAAAATACTTACACCAGGCTCAGCACCTTGGTGGTATACACTCTGGATGTGCTCTTTCGGGAGTTTTATGGCTGCTTCTGAAAGTCGTCAACGCTTTCCGCGCCCATCAACTGCAGCATGACGCAGTCCTTGTTATGGGGGTAGTCACTAACTTTGCAGTCATGATCAGCGCTCTGAGTGCATTCCCTTGGGTTCGAAATACTCATCATAAGTGCGTCCTCCGCGGTACTAAGCCTGACCTACTGTTCTGATCGTATGAAGTGTCTTTGAGCGTCATCACCGCTTTGTGGGCTGGATTGGTCTCCTCTCTACTTGTGAAACTCCTTTAACTCTTCATCCTATTAGGAGTATTTATTTACCCTTCTTTCTAGGGGCATTCGTTATCCTGGGTGATTGCTACAATGGCGTAACCAGAACCTGGGATTTGAGTGGGGTGGATCTTATTCATCACCAGGACGTCTGGTTTACAATCGGAATGACGGTGTTGTAGGTGGTTCCTGTATTTTGTCATGCATGTTTTCGTTGAATGCTTTATATTTCAGCATCGCTTTGCCTTGGATCTGCGTGCGTGAAGTCCCGGTTGATATCGAATTGGTGCGTCCAATAATTATCGGGAGTGGCTAGTGTTTTCAGACCGGTTCCAGCCTTCGCCCAAGGTCGCTATAATTCGGTTTGAAAGGGGAATGCAGCAAGGCCTTCTTGGTCGCATCAGCCGCTCCTCTATCATGGAGTATCATGCTTTCGGTATCATCTCGTAAGAGCGTCCTATTAACGACTGCTTTGAAATTGAACCTCTTTCATAGGGAAGGCAAACATGCTAAATATCACTACATGATTGCTGGTGTACAAGGTACACATATCTATACAGATCATAATAGGTTCCTAAATCTTATCTGTTTCCTCCAGGGGACTTCACGAAAAGCCTCGTCAACGATCCTCCCAGAACCCTATGGACCCGCGAAGTGAAGGTGGGTACCGGTTCCCCCTCAATGTTTTGTCATGAAATCATATTCAACGATTTGTCGTGTAGTTTGCCGGGGTGTCAAACACCTCCACGCTCTACAAGCGTGGCATTCGTATTTGCACGGGAACTGGTATCGGAGCCGCGCTGTCCACCTGTTTGCAGTCTCCAAACTGGTACGTGGTTCATTTTTCACATCCTCCTTACTATTTCGCTCACACGGAAGTAGGTTTCTGATCTGGATCGGTCGGTGTGGATCACTTCCTAAGGAGCGTGCTTTGACTTGAATATTTGAAAGGTTCTGATCAGGAAAAAACGTTTGGGCCTACCATCGCGGGTCTTATTCATCGACACATCGAACCGGAACGTTTAATCTTATGGGACAGTAAACAGCGGGGTGGTCGACCTGACACCATGAAGATTCTTAAGGAAGCGTACCACTCCTGGGGAGCTGAAGGTATGGTAGTCTATTGCTCAATGTAGATGTTCTGATTGTGACGGATTTGAATCATACAGTTGTCTTCATTACTTCTAATTACATTGGTAACTCAGAAATAATGGAGGGGTGTAAGGACGCAGGTATTCCCGTATTCGGCACGCTATGGGACTTCGTGAGTGTTATTTTGTAAATAGAGAATGGTTCTTCGCCCCTGTACTCATATTTTCATTCAGTGACAAGTTATTTTGCTCAGTACTTAATAAGCACCATTCTATTCTGAGTGATATACCTAGAGGAAACTATACGAATGCGGATTCACATTATAATATACGGGGACTATTGTCATACTCAAGCTTTTTCCACGACTGTATCTCTTTTTCGAATGGGAGAATAGTCTTGATAAGGTACCCGGTCTCTCGTGTGATCCCGAGGAGGATGATTGATTGAAGACGAGGGAAGATAGGATTGAAGCTACAATCCCACTGGTAGATTAAATTACTCAAAGAATCCCACATGCCATGAGGTGCCACGTTGCGCAGTGCCGTGAGCTGTTGCACGCTCGAATACAGTCTGTCCTAGTCTGTCGAGGCTCCCAATTGGTCAAATTTATAGCAAAATTTGGCCGGATTTACCCATCCAGCTCCAACGACGATTGGGATCTATACGAGTGTTTGGTTGTAAGCGGATATTTCGACGCGCACATTCGGACATTATTCTTGAAATATTCCGAGCATCCTGGAAGAACAAATTGGAGTCCGTGTGTAAGTGGCGCGACATGAAAAACTTGAATGGAACTACGTCTATGCCAGAGTGTTTCCGCCCTTGGAATGCAGGAAGCCCGAGAACTCGAAGCTGGGAGCTTATATTCAAAGATGGCCGATTTGGATGATTTCGGGCCTGTAAAGTGGTGCAGTGAGTTCAAGAATTGGTATTCGACCATACGACGTACAAGCATTGCTTTCATTTTTCGGCCTCGGTAGTTCTGCATGATTGACCAACTTGTCACCATCTTTTTCACGTCAAGTACGTCCCCTTTTAACCACGACGGCATGTCAATCTGGAGCCTTGTATCAACTCAATTTGACATTTCCAAGGACGTAGTGGGATTACCTTTGAAATAAAACATTGCTTTACAACAAAGTCTCGGACGTCGTAAGGACCATCTGAACACCAACAAAATCTCAATAAAGGTTCACAACAACCTTCATCTAGTACGCCGTGTTTGACTAAGAACTGGGATACAGACTCCAATACTTGCCCAAAAGTCGGGGCATTATTTACCTGTGACTATACATATACTATCAGGTGGCTGAGCATACCACATATCCGAAAGTAAGGCATACCTGGTTGATGCCGGTAAGTTCTTTGCAAAATCTACTGAGAGTTGGCCTCCAGGAGGGTTTGACGAAACTGCGGAATTCATCGACGACCACTAGTTCATGCCTTTGCTTATCATCCTTCCATCTCATGAGGCACACAGGGAATTCCTACCGCATTCAGTTCTATTCAGAAAATTGCTTTGCAGCAGGGGATGATGCATACATACTATGATTTCATTGGGGTAATCAAAACTTGAACCAGCTTCGCACGTTCCCTCAACATCGACGACGAGGAATACATCATAAGGTTGTCTGGTTCGAGCTGACTCCTGAATGTTGAGCTCATCCCCATTATCTTGGATATCGCCGACAGGGCTTTTATCAGCAGCTGTTAGCCAGTTTCAGATAAGAAAACAACGAGGACTTCTGGAGTATTCACTGCTCGAGTTACTTAAATCTTCTTGAACGATTAATCGCTCTTGCATGTCCACGGTTCGCCGAAGTCCCGGGAAAAGTACAAAGCAGAAGAAGAAGATCAGCGCCACGGTAAAAACAACGGTCAAAAGGTCGGTGGATCGCAACATAGAAGCTTTCTGGGGTTGCTGTTCAGATGTATCTTGTCCTGATTTAGTGGGCGTCTAATTAAAGGGCTCGGACCGTCACCCGTTGCACTTTTCTCTTCGCCAGTACTGCACCATGACAATAGTAGGAGGAGATGACTTGGATGAACTCGTGCTTGAAGAAAACTATCTGGCCATCTCAGATGACGAGCTTGACGGACTTGTAGATGAAGTCGAAGACTCACCCTCCCAAGAGGATCAGGTTGCTGGACTGTCCACCGGAAATGATGATGCTCGAAGAGCAAAGAAACGGAAACAGCGAGAGAAAAACAAAGAACGCAAAGTAAAGGTGAATATCCATTTCCAGGTCGCTAAACTCGTTCTAAACGCGAAAATAACTAGCGACAGAAGCTAACTGATTCTGCAGAGTCAGACCAACCTCAGTCAATCACTGAGCGGCCACCTCGAGAGTTGGCCGATTATCTGAGTGCAATGCAAGCCAAGACTTTTACCAAATCTACCGATATCGAGTTAGAAGACATGCGAATACCAGGCACAGATTTTTACATCTAATGATGCAATTATAATCATATTTACTATACTCTGCTGTAGTTTCTTCCATCGCGGACACAACCTGCTGGACTGGACCTAGGACATTGGATCATTTGTCCGACTTCATTATCAAGGGTACGATACTTTCACATCGTCCCTAGAATCACTCATAGTCTAGCCCTCCTGCTGCAGCACTGCCGAGCCTTCATACTCGATTATCACAGAAATCCAAAAATCCAGGATCACCAACGCTGCTGTTCATCACAGGAGCGGCTCTTCGAGTAGCGGATGTCACAAGAATCCTGAAAGACAAGCGGCTACGTGGAGAGAAGGGCGGCGAGGTGGCAAAACTGTTCGCTCGCCATTTCAAGCTGGCAGAGCATTGCTCGTATTTGAAACGCACCAAGGTTGGTGCCGCGGTTGGAACACCTGGGCGTATTGGGAAGCTCTTGTCTGAAACAGGTATGCCTTGCAACCTCAAAGATTTTGACCGCGCTCTCAAAATGTGTAGATGCTCTTACCATATCCGCATTGTCACATATCATGTTAGACGTCTCTTTCAGAGACGCCAAAAAGCGAAATCTGTTGGATATCCCCGAAACGAGGAATGAGGTGTTCAAAGCGGTATTCGGTGGTCCCAAGATTTCGGAGGCCATTCATTCGGGCAAAATCAAAGTCGTTTTATTCTAACGTTCAACCACAAATCAGTTTATGTCTCTACGGGTACAAACTAATCATACAAGTATTGTATTGATTCCATTTTATCCAATTGCTTTGTGGACCCGAAGAGCTACCTCGAGTATCCAAAGTTCTTCGTCTGCACCATCGCAAAGGGCCTTGTCCGCCTCAGCAAATATGAGAGCGCAATTAGATTTCTGTTTGGCATTCAAAGTGGGATGTGAAACCACCGTGTCATGAATCTGACCATGCCGTGGGTTAGTAAAGTGGTCATTAAAGGAATACAATAGTTTCACTTGAGATAATATCTGTGATGCAGAATACCCTTCCCGAATTATCTCCCTCACTTTGCCTCTGATACGGTCGAATGCAGGCTTGCCAACTGCATCGACCTGCATGTCTGTATCCATCTCGATGCCTAGACTCATCACGAAGTCCCTCATTACACTGTCTGGTACAACACCTGCAATCTCTTGAATATCTTGAGGCGTTATCTGCGTTGGGGGCTGCGTGGATGAGGAAAGCCTATGAGCGGATTGAAGGTAAGTTATAGCACGTCGCAAGTCCCCAGCAGAGGTATAAATCAGGGCCTCTAGGACAGGATCATTGATTTGTATTTTTTCTTCGGACGCGATGTGAGCCAATCGATAGGACGAGGCCGAATGGTCTAGAGGTGTGAAACGAAACTTGGAGCATCTCGAAGCCAGAGGTTCAATGATCCTGGAGGTCGCACGTGAGCTTTAGGGCTTTTTCTCATTGAAAGAGTCAAGGGACCTTGTCACGTAGTTGCATACCAAACAGAACCTCGTTATTCTTGCATAAGTTTCCATGATCCGACGCAGAGCACCCTGGGCATCCTGTGTCATAGAGTCCGCTTCGTCAAGAATAATGATCTTGTAAGGCGGACATGGATATTCCTTTCCATCAGAAGAGATAGCCTGTGCTCGAGGTGTTTGGCGAGCAAAATTCTTGATTTTGTCGCGTACGATTGATATACCTCTTTCATCGGAAGCGTTGAGCTCAAGGACACGATTCCGAAAGTTATCAGGCCTATAAATATGCAAATTAGTACGGTAGGCTCATATAGACGACTAGCGCGAACCCGAAAAGCTGCCTAGCCAAAGCTAAGATGGTCGACGTCTTTCCTGTACCTGGAGGTCCGTAGAAGAGCATATGGGGAAGCTGCGTACAGAAATTAGCTCTTGCAAAAGGGTTGACGCGTATTCCATACATTTGTAGAAGACAAGGTTTTGCGCAACACGGCGACAGTATGGTCCTGGGCGGAGACATCGTCGATTGTCTTGGGACGACTGTAGTGTGTTCAGTGTAAAAGCATGGGGTAAATAAATAGCAGTACTATTTTTCGACCCAAGGCTGTAAAATTGGATCGACGACGTGTTTTGGCGTCGATTTGGCAGTTTGAGGTTGTGGCTTGAAGAAAGAGGCCATAACACCGCGTGACCAATGACCTCGAGTGTGACAAAAGAACTTATGTCTGTTGACTCTGTTCCCCTCACGTCGAAAAATCGTTTGACCGGCATGTCCAACCCCTCAAGCAGCAAAGGTGAATTCAACTCCTGCTTCCTGTCAGATCATCCACTGGAATGTCTTCTTTAGCTATCAACTCAGGTATTGATTTTCGAAAAAAGCGCGTGCATCGAATTAAATAACGCGTCAATAGAGGTATTGGGGAAAGCATCTCTCGTCGAGTTGAAGAACGGAAAGGTTCTGTTCAAGCAGAAGCCTCTCTCGTTCGAAAAACACTCGGAAACATTGCAAGGTCCGTGGCCTACGCGTTTCTATTCATGATTTGCCGTTCACCTATGATATTAGAGTTGGTGAATTTCAGAGAAATGATCCAAGGGCTTATAAACAACCATGGATCGGCTCTAGTCAATATCTCAGACGAATATAAGCCGCTTATCGCGAAATTAGTGCACGAGAGGTGCGCCTGGACAATCCTTCCGTGTTATCAAGGCTTACCAAACCAACATTGTAGCGACAAGACCCTCTCCGCTCTAGCAAAGCACCTACACTCTCAACTTCTTCCCCCAGACGATGATGGTGATGAAGGCGACGCGCATTCGCGTGCTCTTCTACTCCCTTCATCTATCATAGAGGTTGCGATCCAGACAGTAGCGCAACGCAATAATTATGGAATAGAAACTGATCTAGGAGTCAAAGCTCCAGCCTCGACTTGTGTTTGGCGTTGGGAAGTGAGGGAGTCGTATCGACACTGGTTACCTAAAAATGCACAGGAGAAAGCGTCGAATCGATTAGCAGAGAGGGTCAAGGTGCGTTCCCATCGCTTTTATTGTGTTAGCATGTGTTTTATTCAGATATGGTGTGCAGGCGAAGAACGATCTGATGATAATCTTCAGAGCTATACCGGAGGAAGAACAACGTAGCATTCTTCATCTTAAAGCTAACATCAAAGTTCAAAATAATGACAAGGGTAAAGCCGTTGTTATTCCGACAACAATGCAAAGCCCGGGACAAGCCTCTAGCAGTACTCATAGCCTAGACCCACCCGAGGCTAACGGGACAGAGAACGGGGATGTAAGTTCTTTTTCATCCTTCAAAAGTTCTTTCTCCTTAATACATAAATGGAGCAGATCAAGGTAAAGGTCGGTAGGCCAAAAAAGGATGCAGAGAAGGTATAGATTTCCTTCCGCAGACGTTGTGATTTTTGCTGAATGAATAATAATAGGCGAAGAAGGAAAAGGATGCTCAAAAATCTCTCATGAGTAGTTTCTTCACCAAATCCAAGTTCAACCTCAAGACATCATCCAGTAAAGTATCTGTATCAGCTATCGCTGGACCTTCGACTAGCTGTTCGGACTTTGACAAGACCTTTAAGCCCTTTACACTGAAGAAAGGTGCTCACTTGGCTCCAATAAATGCGTTCCTCGAACGCAAACCGACCGCAGGAACACGCGACGATGTCATTATCGTAGACGAAGATGCGAGCCCTCCGGTTGCATCGACAAACGCCGATGCCGTCAATACGAGTGCCCGAGGTACGGATTTTTTCACTAATCTTAAACTCACCGTCGCCCACTCATCATTCAACCAGAACGTCTATCTCATATTCTTTCAGCGTTACCGCCACCCGTTTCAAAGACGTGGAAGCGTCCACCCAAATCAGCAACACATGGAATGAAGACCTACTGCCCAGTTTCCGTGCGAGATCTCATGAAACAACTCTCGGAAGTAGAAGTCTTTGGAGATACGTCGTCTGTGCGAAAGATACACAACAAGCTTTCCGATCGCATCCTTATTCCTGGCAAGGTATTCATCTTTGATGAGGATTCACGACCAGGATACTACGGTACTTGGACTAGAAGCTCCCGATTGATAGGAGCTCGGACTCCATTTGCGAAAGACGTCCTGGAACTCGATTATGGATATGACAGTGGCGAGGACTGGGAGGAAGAGCCAGCGGGTGATGTCGATGATGTTATGGATGATGCTGAAGATGATGCGGCTACTGAGGACCAAGACTCGGATATTGACGATTGGCTCGTAGAAGACGACGAAGTTGAAGAGGACATTCCTGCTGATGAGCGCGCAGGCTCGCCAATATTCAATCCATTGCCGAAACGCAGGGCCGATGATGCTCCTCCCCAAACCGTCAAAAAGCGCAAGGTTGTTGTCCCGCTTGTCCCTTTTGCGAAAGGTCCGTGCTGGGAAAATTCCATCGGCCAAAATGAAAGCATGTTCGACCCATTCCGCATTCGTCTTCTTAACGGTAATGTACCATTGTATTTCGGTTCGATTCACCTTTAACATTGCAAATCAGACACTCCTTTTCCCATCGATCCTTTTACTTTCGTTTCTTTCGCAGCGGAGGAACAAAAATCAGTCAGAGCATCCGAGAAAGGTTTTGCCGTTCCTGCATTACCAAATCACATTGTCCAGGCTAGCACAGCGAAGGGATCTGATACTGGATCTTCGCCAGCACCCGTCGTTGCTCCATCAGGACCAAAGAAGCCCGCATTCACTCCCAAGACAGCTTTCCCCGATGAACACCTACCCATACTGCTGTCTAAGATCAACACTGCTCAGGCTGCTAACCTGACGGTACTCGTTGAGGCAGTCTCACAGGAGCTACGGGAACACAAAGTGAAGAAGAATGCAATTGAAGCTAAGATTCGGGAGGTAGGGGAGAAATGTAAGGTCCGGAAGTTTTGGGTGGTAAAGGAAAATCATCCTGTGGGTATTGCTTGACTTTTTGACATAGATGTCAAACTAACTCGAGAGGTGGAACAGTCGAACAAGGCAGCTTCTGCCCGGATTTGAACTTGTAGTTGATAACTATTGCGTACATTGGATGGGTTTTTGTATGATTTAACGCCAGATAGACATCGTGATTTATTGCTGCAAAACGCGCGCCTGGCCAGCCACATATGCATTCTGGATGAAAACGTATCCACCCACGCGATCTGCTGCATTACCATCCCAGCTTGTTAACACCTCTCCTTCGGGTGTTTCCAGTCCAGCGGATATCTTGTCTCCGTGAACGACGAGTCCTAATGCACCTGCGGGTGTGCCAGTAAGTATAAGGTCCCCTTCCTGTGTCCATACAAAGGTCAGAGAGATACATAGAATACACGAAATGCGATAATGCCTGAAGGGTCATAATACTTGAGCAGTGCCGTATGAGCTCAGGGATGTCATATCTACAAAAAATGTTGGAAGATGTTTGAGCTAGAGGGGGAGGGGATGCGCACATCATTTCTGCGGTGTTCCCCCGTTGCCTTTCTTCTCCGTTTATCTTCCATGACGTCGGAGATGAGGTTTCTTCAATGATTTTATGGATGATACTCCTGACGCACCTTTATCCACAGAACGAGATTCATTGGATCCTTTATGTTCTCCTTTGGAATAAAATCAGAGATAGGACAGAATGTATCGAAGCCTTTCGCGCTTGTCCAAGGCAAAGATTTCGCTTTGACAAGTTGTTGAAAGTTCCGGGCGGTCCTGATAAATGTACAGTGATCTGAACGGCATATTGTTTTTGAACAACTTACATGTCGATTCCGAGAGCATATCCTGCAACATCTACAAGATCGCGATGAGAACAACGATAAGGCGAAAGACAGGAACGAAAGTTTCGTACACTGGTCCCAATCCTCTCTTTTGACATCCTTGCCATCTTTCCCAATGACCACACCAAGTTCAATTTCATGATGCATCTGTACACCTTCAGGAATCAGAACGGTTCCGCCATTCCGCAAATACGAAGTGGTGGGCTTGAGGAAAAACCACGGCTCGGCGTTGGGTGGGTTTCCCAACTCTTTGATGTCTATAATAACTATCAAGTTGGTCGATTCTTGTAAGGAATCTTAAAACGTTACGGGCGTCATAGTTTCTATGTATATGTAGACTAAATTTTGAGCTCTTGAAAGAGAAAGATAGACTTGCCTTCCGATAGCAAGGATTTTCTTGCCGTGTTTGACAAAATTTTGTGCGATGGACATATTTCGAAGACCTCACAGTTATGGCGAGTCAACTGAGATTTTATAGGTTCTGATTTGGAACGATGATTGGCCAACGTTGTTTTCAATGAGACCACAAAGGAAATATTCACGCGGGAGTCGCAATCAGCGATAGTCACTGTATGTCGCCCGACGCCCTCTCTGCCCATTCCGAGGGAAGCCCCGCCTACTGTAGTAGAATATGTAGTACGGCCGTAGGAAGCAAGAAAGGCAAGATTTGTCAAAAAAGCACATAAGTTCAGGAGGATTCGAAAGGCCAATATAGATATGCACTTTTAAGTAGTGTGGTTGCTCGGAATGTGCCAATGTTCATTACCATAATATATACCTTGCCCTGCCAGTCCTTTCGTTGGCTCGATGCACGCTCATCATTCTCTTTCTCTATCTCAACCCAGGTTTCACAACTTCGAATATAAGAGTAAATGTAGATTCGCCATCGAATGATGCAACACCCTCGACCACATGATCGCCTTCCCTGCTCCAAGTAAGTTAAATTGAAGATCTCCATCATCATGATCCCTGCTCTTTATCATAACTCTATGCGCTCCAAAAGGTCGTCATTTCTGTGTAAATCATCGCGGCACAGCTCCACTCAATAACTGTTTCTATGTCCTATTGCTACTTTGCTACCCATGATGTCAGAAGCCAAGAAGAGGTTATAAAAGGCCCTGCAGTTCCCTCAATAGCTACACAACGACCAACCTACCTAACGATCAATCTACACGACCTTCTATCAAACAATCTTCAAATTTCAATGTCTTCTGGCAAGTCTCCTACTTCAATTTTTTATTCTGATGCTCACCGGGATCACTGTTCAGCATCTGAACAGCACCAACATCACGTCGCTGGCGGCCTCAAAGCCGCACTACACAACCCAAACGTCTCCGAAGAGGCTAAGGCCAATGCTCAGCAACGATTGGAGAATATGGGCTCAGCTACTGAAACGGAAGCTCCGTCTTATGACGAAGAAACTAATAGAGTGCTTGGTGGCTATAAAGCAACGCTGACAAGTAAGTTAAGATTTGTACTGTGTACAACGCGTTTAGATTGACTCTTGTGCAGATAATCAAACTTCCAGTGCGGCTAAGGCGCATGCGCGAGAGGTTCTCGAAGCTGCTGGGATTGAAGTCGACCTTGGACATACATCAGATGAGCATCAAACAAGAGTACTGGCCGGTTACAAAGCTGCTTTGAACAGTGTGTCTATTAATTCTATTCGAATATCTCTGGTTCTAATGGTGTTTCTCAAGACCCTAGAGTTTCGGCAGAGGCCAAGGCTCATGCCAGGGAGTTCCTTCGCGAACACGGTAATGATGAATCTGTGTAGACGCGAGCTCGTTACTGATGTAGCGCGTATATAATGTAAAAATAATCATTGACTCGGATGTATTTGTGTTTTCTTTTCCATTGCACGAATCTGATCGTCCATAAACTATTAGCAGTGGCACTATAGAATGGCCATCCAGGGCCATCCTTGGCTGAGCAGGGCTAAATCTTTGGCATATTGTAACCTGGTCTGAGCAGCGTACGTATAATCTACATTTTCTCACCTTGGTACCATACCGAAGACAGAAACGTTGGATGCCTATGTAGCTTTCGAAGGGTCAACTCGATTTATTTTGAAGGGATTGACGGATCCACGTATTGGAGTCTAAAATTAGCTCACGAAGCGGTACAGAATCGAATTATTAAGAGGAAATATTCAATATTCCACATATTCAGCCTAAGATTGCTAATGCCGCTACACAACAACTACTACACAATAACCTCGTCCATATCATCGTCGTCAGAATCATCAACATCGTGCATCGGAATGATTTCCTGCGTCGATGTTGATGCAGACGAAGACACTGTGGGGACGTGAATTTGACCATTCGGCGGGAGGGCTGCTACTTCTGATTGCGCTTCAGAGAAAGAACGAGCATCTCGTGGTGTCTCCGGCGGCGCCGCTTGTGGCAGCGTTCCCCCAGTATCTGCTTTGGAGTTGGGTCGATCTGAATAGGAAACGGGGGCGGGGGATGTGGCCAATAACGATTGTGATGATGCATCACCATACGAAGCACCCTCATTCCCGGCACTTGTACTTGCTGTTATCAAAACGGCAGAGCTTGCGCTGGTGATTTCGGAGGGAACACTGGCCATCTCCGAGAGTTGCGCCGCAAGAAGTACTAGTTGTACTTGTAGCTCGGCGCGAACACCGTCTGAATTCATTCCGCCTGTAATAGAAGGATTCGCGACATCGACAGTCACTGCTCCTGTTATTGATTGCGAATTTGGGACTGGCGGGGAAAATGTTGAGCCCGCTTCGGCTTCCTGTGGGACTTTTGACAGATCTACACCAAAGTTGAGGGCTTTTAAGATATGCTGAGCAGCCTCGAACGCATCGCCGAGGTCAATCGCTGGATCGTCTTGGGAAGGATGTGTTTGGATAATGCTTGGGGGAGGAGGGGTGGAAAACATGTAGGATGATTGTGAGAACGTCGGCATTTTGTTGGTAGAATGCAATGCACCGGTGAACGGATGTTGTAGTGTTTGATGAGGCGGAGGTGGTAACGAGGTGGAAGAGTGCGATTGGGGGCGCCGAGTTGTTCTTCGAGTGGTCTAAATGGCAGATAAGGTTTGGGAACCAGTATTCCATGAGTTGAAAGACGTACATTACCACCCTTCCAATTAGGATTTAATCGGTATTTACCAGAAAGACTCTTTTCAAATCTCCCGCGCTTAAATGCTTTCTGTAGCGCTTGACTTGCAGACGGACGAAAATTTGCTTGCACGCGATAATGATTGACCATCCAAGTGTATATGTCCTTAGGCGCGAGGCCCTCCGGATCCTGAACGTCGTTAAGCGCCTCAACGATCATGTCTTCGTACCCGGGCATCTCATCGGACGACTGTGCTTCCGGATATTGAGGTTGACGATGTATCGGAGGAGGAGGTGGTGGTGCGTAAGGTTGTGTGATGCCATATGGAGGCTGTGAATACGACGACCATGAAGTCTGAGGATAGTACGGTGTGTGTGGGTATGCAGGTTGGTTTGCGAAAGTAAAACGTTGTGCGGGATGAGGAATAGACCCGAAAGGAGTAGAAGTAAGAGACGAGGATCCTGGAGGACCGGGTGCTTCCGTGGCGATGTGAGATGCGTTGGAGGGATCTGACGACTTGGGATTAAGATCTGCCGATGAAGATGTATTTAGCGGAGGAGTTGACTTTTCATCGAGGGCTTTCTGTAGAGCAGCTATGGCTTCATCCAGGTTTGCAGGCCATACTGTAGCCTTGACCGAAGCAGGTATATGTATGTCAAATGTCAAACATATTTCGATGACTTGTGGTGGTGGCAAAAATGATAGATAACGTCGTTTGCGCTCTTGGTCGTCGGCAGCTGGATCATAGATCAAGTTAGTATAAGGGTTATATGGTGGGAGATCATAGCGCTAACCAGAAGCAAGTGCATGAACTTGCTGATGATAATGATGATGTTGGTATGAGGTAGATTGCGAGGAAGCTCCAATCTGCATCGTTCCGACTCACGATAAACTGTACAGTTCAAGTTCGTAAGGAGGTGGCTTGAACCGGCAGCTGTGAGCCGCTTACCAACCCTTACCGGTGATAAGATTAGATTTAGTCGCGCTTGCTGAAGGTTTCCTCTCATCCACCATGGCCGGCGTTATTTGGGCTGACATGAGGTCAGCTTTCCAGAACTTGAAGACGAAAACCAGGAGGCGCCATGAACTGAAGCCCGTTATCAGCAAGCTATCTTCAATCTTTGTAAAGCTTGTGAGGAGCTTTTTGATTTCCGGATTTTGAAACCTTGGGTGACTAACTCGCGTCTTCTACAAGGAATCGTCTTCATTGGATCTTCCATTTGTCGCCGAGACATGCGTATATTTCCGGAAAGAGTTCACGCTACTTTATAAAACTCTTCTTCTCGAAACGTTACAATTTGCTTGTGCACTGTTCGACTGCATACAATCCCAGAAACAATCCCAGAAAGTTATCAAGAACAAGTTTTCCATATTACAATCTTGGGAGCATGTTCAGAAATCTATCCTATCAGGAATACTGGTGTGCTCATCTCAGAATGTAGTTTTCGGCCTAATAATATTATCACTGTAGGACTATCTCGAAGAAACTCAAGATTCGGATCATGAAATCAACAAATCCATTGCAGAATATATGTTCCCAGTTCTATGTCGACATTTTTTTCCTTCTGACCCAAGCCCGAACTATGAAGAGATCGATTTCGAGCTCAAGACCACTGTTAGTGCATATCGTCTTACGTCTAGTCATTACAACTCAATATATGCACACTCTATGATCGTAATAGGTCTATATTATCCTTTCCGACACCGTGAAGAATCATAAAATCTTGCAGAAAAGGCTTCGTGACCCTAAACTTCTCGGAGGGTTCGTCTCTTACCAAACTTGGAAATTGTTGATGACTTCTCCCTCCCAGTGCACGTTTTGGCCTGGAGATAGCAAGGGCCAGAGGTATGTGTTTCCTTTTTGCAATTTACCCATTATAACACTATTTTGATTTTGGCTTCCTAGCTTATCTTCATCTGGAAGCACTCTTCGAGCTGTTTGAAAAACTTTTGCCTGAGAACCCGGACGAATGCAGCCTCTTTGTCGATAGCGTATTCAATCCAGCGCTCTTTTCGCGGCATCAGGAGCTGAAAGAAATCATTGCCTCTCTGAAAAATCAAACTTGGGAAGACCTTTTTCCAAAAGTAGTGAAAACTTTTGCTCAAATGAGCGTCAGATTGTGGGTTTAATTCATCGCTCAATTGCATCTTACCTGATGTATAATGCTCACCTTAGCCCTCAACCAATTTCCATTCTCAATGCCACACTTTCAAATAATTCTCCTTGTCCATCGGAGACCCTTTTTGTGGACCAACGTGGTTTGACGTACAATAAAGATGTGGTACGTTTTATCGGACACTTTCCAAGAGTATCTTCCTCAGCGAGTGCCTTTAGGGCGACGCAATCGATACTTGTCATATAGTGTATCATAACATCGTCAAGATTCGATACTCTCGATATTCGCAGCCTTCGATATTAACAACTACTTTCAATTTTGAACTCACTGCTCCTCCTACCGTTGGCAAGGACGTTCCTGAACCTGAAGCCGTTACTTTAACGGTTGATGTTCCACGACACGAACGTGACGATTTTCTGAAAGCCCTTGAGGCGAGAGGTCTAGTGTGTTTGTTTGAAATATCACTTGAGGATGGTTTTGACCCTTCTTTCAGGCATCTCGGTTTGATCAGACTGAGCGAAAGATATCACTTGCAGTTTCAGATGGCCCATTGAATTTCTCAAATCAGCCTGAAGATCCGCCACGGTCATTTCCTGTGAGTTTCGCTAAGTCGTCCTAAGAGCATCATGTTAACCCGCTTACATTACAATATCAGGAAAAGAGTCGACAAAGTAATTCATGTGGCATTTGTCGAAGATTTCATCTACTCATTCATGATTCTATGTCAGTCCTCAAAGAATTGACACCTTCGGACACGATATTGGTCCCGTCCAGCTCCCCGATCCTTCCCAAGAATGCACTCACGGCGCAGGCATTGAATGTTGATTTACAAGAACCAACCCAAGGTCCCGGAAAGCCGCCCAAGAAGGGAAGAAAGATCGTTCAATCAGACGACGAGCTGGAGGATGAGCCGTCGCCGAAGAGGAAGCCTATACCCCTCCAGAACCGTATCACTGAACAAGCCGTTGTAAAGAGCGAAAATAAGCTCTCCCCTCACAATGAAAGTCGTAAGAAGGTGGACCACAGCAGTGGTAAGGAAAACGGTGAGTAAAAGAACAGACCTATGAATATTGATTTTGATGTTCGTGTCTTGAGACCTGTTGACGAAGCGCAAAGAAACACCGAACCTTCATTCGAAGAAATCTGGATTCAAAAGGAAAGCGCCCGAGATAGACAAAAACACCGATCAAGCATTGAAACGCGCGCGCCTAGACCCTGAATTCAACACAACTTCTTCAGCTAAGACGACGCGTCACGCGAAGCGATACGGAAGGAGAGAGCGGGGGCGCACATCTTCACCCCCTCTAGCTCAGGACTCTCCTGATGACGACTTGGATTCGATTCCGAAACCGATCATAACAAAAACGACCGCGAAGACTCTTGGTGGTGTCACGAGACCTGGGATAGTGGCTGCTGCAATGAAAGGGAGGACTGCAAAGAAGGATGTGACGGTGCCTACAACAAAGATGAGACCGAACTCAAAAGGAAAGGCCCCTCGTGTGTTGATTCACCTTTGGAAAGACTGTTCTTTGTAGCTGAACAAAATCCCAGAGAAAACGACGACAAGACCCAAGCATGAATCGGTGTGTTCAAATTGTTCCCTCAACTTTCATCTCAATTTATGATGGACGCCCTCCCATTCAGGTCACTGTCGAAGATGCCAAGCCCACTCGGCGTTCTGCTCGTGTTGCGGGTAAACAAGTGAGCTCAACTGCATGCGAAGACTAAAATTTAGCGATAGTCACTTACCTTCGTTAGACCAATGTGGATGATCAACAAGCTGAAAGTGTTGACGAGGCGCAGAATGAAGGACAATTCCGCAAGGCGTCTGCCAAGGTATTTATCGATTTGACAACTAGCAAGATTTGTCCATTTCCTTACCCATTCCAGATGAATAACAGTAAGGAGGAGACAAAGAATCCTCAATCTAGACCCAAGGCAATCCTTAACAAGAAGGTAACGTTGATCATGACTTCACATAACAAGACGTTGATCCTTAATACTCTACCTGAAGGCTCCCGTTGAAAAAATTGAGGCGCATACGGTACCCATATATACGACGCCGTCGTGTCAAGAGATTGAGGTGTGTACTTATCACGTCTACTCCTTGCAACTTCCACGAAGCGCTTTACATTTCATCTGCAGTCTCATCCACCTGTAGCACCAAAGGTGAGTGTTTTACTTGAACCTGGTTTTATCAGAACGCCAATTTTCCAAGGTCACGAAGGCCAAGAAAGACAAGCAGGCTCCCTGGGAGATGTTTGATTCCAATAAACAACAAGAGGATGATACGAACTTTTCGCCGACGAACCCCGACTCCGTCTTCGGAGGACTTGAAGAACCTACTTCCGGCATCGACTTGCCTGTACAAGTTCTACCTTTCGAGGACTTCGATAGCGGTTATATCGATTTGGAAATCCCTCTCAAAGTGGTATTATTTGTCCAATCTCATCATCACAAGTGCTCACCATATTCTATGTGTGTAGCCTGGGCCGGATGAGAGCTCGGATTCCGATGATGGACCCAACCCCGATTTACATAGAAGCGCAGATCCCCTTGGTCCCGAAATGATAGATCTTACTATGGACTCCCCTTCCCCGAAAACTGCGAACTTGTCTACTACCCCTTCCCATGATCATCAATCGAGAGCTGCAAACTTACCTACTACCCCTTCACCGTCAATAACTGAAGGACCAGAGCCACTCAAACCCACATCAGAATCAAAGCCTCGTAGAATCCATAACCCCCAAATGACTGAAAATCCTCGTCAAATGCCACCCTCTCATTTCTTAGAACGCGATACGCCTGTTGCCAAAGAAACCCAAATCCATTCTTCTGCTCCTCTCGTTGCTCCTGCTGTACTCACTCCACTTCAAACTTTCAAAGCTATCGCTCTGCCGCGGCGCACGCATTTCTCAGATTCTGAACAAGTACCATCAAGTCTTCCAAAGCACACAGATAAAGATAGTGTTCCTCTTCATCACGCTCATTCGAAACGTGGAAACGGGCTTGCTCTCCCCAAGATCTTCCCTACTGTTGCCTCATTGCCCCAAACAGCTTTGGATACGCAAAAAGATACTCAATATTCAACTCCTTTACGCTTTGCTCTGGAGAGAACGCCGCTTGCGCCACCCTCCCTCAAGAAGCGTGTGCATCATCAACAGCACGTCGCGTTCTCACCTCGGCCCCAGTTCCCTCTTGAAATGAACGTTCTTGACGGACGCTGGGAACCGGAGAAACACGATCACGGTAAAATTATGACATCATGCATCTTACTTGTTTTAAACTATATCTTGCAGTCCGCAAACTTCGTGATGCGGCTAAAAGCAATGTAGATTCTGTGGTCGGCTTTGCTCCTCAGAAGCGTCGTACTGACGGGGGACCACTTCGAGACGAGAAAAATGCTGAGATTAGTGATATTGTTGAGGTGAAATTGCACTACTACTAAGTGTACAAAGCCCTTACTGACTTCTTATTAGATACTACACGATATTCAAGAGGTCTGAACGACATTCCCGACGCATAGATCATGTTGAACGAAACTGTTGAATTCCTAGGTATTGATCACGAAAATCTCGAATCGGTTTGACAGCGTCAAGAAAGAAGTTCGAATCGGTCGAAACAGCATCCTTCGCGCCGCCGCCGCCGATATTGACAAGATGCGGGCTGAGAGGTTCGTGTCATGACTGAACCTCATACTTGCGGTCATCCTATAACATGATACGTAAAAAATAGTGCAGGACATTTCAACGCCATGGTGGACCTCGAAGCAGAATATGCATCCTTTCGCCGTTATGTAGTTCAACAGTTGGAAGATCTGTGCACCATCGACAAGGACGTAGTCGGCAGACTCACTGAAATCGTTCAACATCATGATCGCCATGGATTGTCGAAGAAATTTCCCAAGTCTTTGCCAGCAATCCCTGCTTGCTTTTTGAACTTGAGTTAGTAGATTACAGCTTGTTTACTTGAAAAATGGTGTACGGTTTTACTATACATAGATTTGGTTGTCGTTTTCATTGGACGTGAGGGTATGATATACGTTGTGTAAATACTATAACATGAGAAAGGAAGCAAACGGCAGAAAATAGCATTGAAAGAATTTGACATCGTCAGTAAAGTCCTGTTAGATAACTTGACCATCAACTCAGATCTACTCTCCAGCAAACAACCTGACAACCATGTACGTCGTGGATCCCACAAAACGGACAACTGCAAGGACAATCATAGATCAGTACGAATCCGTAACATAGAACGTTCGACAAAACTGACATGCTAAACCAGCGACTGAAAACAACAAGAACGTTAAGTATCCTTTCACGGAATTATTTGCTCCAGAGTCCGATGCTTTAGCGTTTGCCTCGACGATGATAGCAGCGAGTAAACCCTGCGACAAATCAGTCCAGCGCATCGATTATGAAGCCGAGAAACTTACATTGCTCAAAGTCCAAGCTAATAGGACATTGGTTCGAAAAGTGCGGTAATAATCCTCTTGCTTAGTCGCTTCGTCCACTTTTTCTTCGGCTTTAGGGGCCTTAGTACGAAGAACATGTAATCTAGCAAGAAATGAGTACCCTGAGTCAACATCGTCCATTTGAATCTTGACTTACGCGTCCTCGTACGCAGCGTTGATGTCCTTCTCTTCTGTGGGTACGTTCACCTCCACCATTGTCTTCCCGTCTTTGCCGTCTTTCTTCACCTCCACGACACCCAGGTCTGTAGACACCTTGTTATCGCCCTTTGTACCCCAAGAAATATCATGCACGTTTGCGAATGCATAAACGTTGAGTACAGCAATGTAAGAAGGGGCCATGAGCAGGTATTGGATGAAGGATGTGATCATATGCCAAGGTTCAAACTAGAAAGAAACACCAGAATAAGATATTGCGGGAATAAAATTAAGAGAATAACCCACGAATAATATACTAGCAAAGAGGTAAAGACCATAAGTAGCCGCCAAACTAATTACAATATCTCTGAAAATGGCGTCCGTAAACAGGCTGTTCAAGGTGATAGGCCCATCAGTGGAAATGATATTTTCTATCCCCTTGTACACCAATAAGATTGCGGAGGCCTTGAAATATATGATAAGTGTTGAGTTGATGAAGCGCATTGTCCAGGACGTACCGTCATGTATATTGTAATGATTCCAAAGCCAATGAGTGCTATGGTGAATGCCCATTTACTACCTTGTGGTCGATTGCCCAAACTTAACAAGAAACACATGACCAGCAATCCGAGGTAGAAGTAGTTGAGGATAATGTTGACGATATTGATACCTTTGAGGCCGAAATCCGGGTCCTCTAAAGAATCTGAAAGCACGGTGAAAGCGATGTAGTAGTTTGCCTATGAAAAACTCAGGTGAGTCGCACACGTCTGGTAGGACTATACTGTGAGCTCACCAGTGCAAACCAACTGAAGATTAGATTGAATGTTTGATACACCATTTCTACATGAATCCAGAATTTTCTCATGAATGAGTGTGCGCTCCGATAAATGTAGTAAAAATGGAGCGTTGAGTGGACACCAGCGAAGAAGGAACCGTTCAACCAACGACGACGCTGGGAGATGAGCTCCGGAACCTGCGGAAGCAGTTAGGGGAAGAGCAATGTGATATTTAAGTAATCATCGTACTTGGTCTGGAACATCTGTGACACCATACGCGCTCTTGACATAGTGCAGAATCCAGCTACCGCCTCGCTTGGATACAAGCTCCCAGCAAAGAATACGATCCTCGGCAAGATACATGTTTGCAGTGAAGATATCAGCATTCGCTCCGTGCTTTGAAGAGGATGAGAAACGAAATAGCATGAACAGAAAATCGAATCCTACCATCTTTTCGCCCAAGAAATATTTTGCCAACGGACCCTCTCCTTTGGCATCATTCTGCAATGCTATATATCGATATGCGGAGAAGGCACCTGGCAGCACTGTGATATATCCGAAGACGGATTCCAACGGTTTATCGAGAATGTTGGACATCTTGTATTCGAAATTCTGAGCAGCGACTGAATATCCCAAACGATCAGATCTATGAGGATAGTTTGCTGCCAAAAAAAACGGACCTAGTGGATTGAGCAAGTTGACACCCAGCTTGCCCTTGAGCGCAACAATTTCACCACAGGCCCCACCGACATTTGAATTGATGTCGAACGCCTATCGAGAACGTAAGCGATGAGCAGAGCATAACATGCAGAACTAGAACTTACCTTCCACAAGTGATATATACTTGTTGGGCCAGGCATCGTTCCGACGTCGATCAGCACACAGACATTGGGGTTCAATACGGAGCCGAAGGCATTGAAGAACCACCGATGAGAGTTAATCTGTACCAAAAGCGTGTCAGAAGGATGTTATAACAGCATGCGAAACTCAAACCTTCTTTTGGTTCTTTTCCTTCAAGCAGAATATGACCTGAACTGGTACATGGTTCTTCTCGGCACCTTCAATTTTGAGTGAAGGAGAGATGGATACTACAAGGACATTAGTTGTAATTCGCGGAGGCTACTGAAACCTTACTATGTGTCGTGTATTCGTATACGTGAGCTTGCACAGGTATACGGTTGACCACATTCTTCGCTACCCCGTCTTGGTAGCATCCCATTCCCGCAAGGACAGAAAGGGTTCGCGAATTGATCTATAGATTTCCGTGAGTGCGTTTCGGGAATGGTTTTGGATGGAAAACTCACTTTTCCTCGACCATCACTCACAACGCAAACGACAACCTTCTTCCACCCATCTTTGCCCCAGGTCTTACTCCTGTCACGTTTACAAAGGTGTGCGATATTCTTGAATACACCCTGCATCGAACGCGTGAAAAGGACCTCGTCCTCATTGTACATTGTTAAGACGATAAACAACTCGGTCCGACGCGGGGGATCGTAGTGCACTTGACGGAGGGTAAACCTAGGGAAGATTTGATTGTGTCAGGGAAGTCCTCAGATAGAAAGTTGAACGAAAACTCCTACCCGCTATCCTTGAAATCGTTTGGATCACAAGTGGCGGCACTGTAGCGCATGTGTGTAAATTCCCTGTCCAAGTTGGTGGTGTCCGTAGGGAGACCGGAAAGAGAGAGAAGCTTCGAAGGGACAGGTGAATCAATGACAAAGTTGCCGTGAAAGAGTCTAACACAAAAGTCAGGAAAGCATATCGTCCTAAGTTATGGTTGGAAGGCACTTACTCGACCTTCTTGATAGTTTTGTATCGTCGAGGAACTCTTTGAGGAATTCTCCCATATCGAATATTGTTGCCATCTCCGCCTTCTCCATCATTCCAATCCCCATTATAAGCACCAGGTATTGGTGCATCCACGTTTATGAACTCTCCACCCAAACCACCAGCGAACTCGCCCCCAGTAGGGTTATGATCTGGAATTCTGATACCCATACCGCTCCCTCGTGAATCCCGTCTCAAAAGAGGGATATCGCCATCTTCGTCACCGAGAGATTGTCTTTCGTCAACTGAAATCATAACATGAGGATTTGACGAGAATTTTAGGTGAGTGACGTACCATCTCCGTAGTTGGGCCGAGGTGTAAAACCTTCATCGCGAAGACCATATGAGGTAGGGTAAGCATTCTGGGGAGGCGGAGAGCTTAGATAGTCGTGTACAGGAGGTGAATGGATTGGAGCACCAAACGGAGGCAGAACATTAGGTGGTGGTGGTGAGGTAGGGTGGTAACCTCCCGGAGGAGGTGAATGTATTGGTGCACCGTAAGCATCTACAGGGCCTCCGTAGTAGTTTGAAGCTGCTGGCTGCTGTGCATAAGGGCCTGCAGTGGAAACTCCATATGGATCGAATTGGGAAACTTGAGTCAGAGGTTGGTCGTAATGCTCATAGGGAGAAGGAGTCCCGGATGTATGGGGCAAGTATCCGTCATTATAGTGTCGATGTTGGGCTTCGTCAGCCTGCAAGGAGAATATTTCAAGCTCATACGACACTTCTGTGTGTAAGAAAACACACCTCTGGATAATGTGACATTTCCTATCTTCGTAAATTCGCGTTCTCTGAAACGAGAAAAAAGTTCAAACAATCGAATTCAAAATCACTTGTTTTTCTTCTTCTTGGACTGAGTTACTGTGAAACAGAGCGACGAAGCAATCGCAATAGACCTGGTTCTTGGTAGTCAAGTAGTGTAGCTTCCCAAAATTGAATTGATAAGAAGAGAGGTAGGTGTGGAGCAGTAGAGCAGAATTCGTAGTCGGCTGAGGGCGTGTAATGACCGAAGACAACCGAAGAGCAATACGATGAAAGAAGAAAATGATCAACAATGGTTGTCGACGTTAAGTACAAAGTGTATAAAGTGTGCCTCAACTGCCGCCAAATAAATGATCGCATAAGAATCTTGAGCAGGGCTGTGCTGTTACATAACTTCGCGCCCATGCAGCGCGTCGGTGTCTGTCGGTCTGAATTTTCTTTGAATTCTGCTCCCTTCGTTGATGAGAGCTGGAGACTGCTAGCCTGCTGCTAACTATGCCTTTCTCACCGGCTCTTTTCTTCGATATATGTAAGAGATCTCGAAATTCTACAATTCTCAGAATTCAAATGACCTTGAATGGCAGCTAGCTGTGCAGTGACCGCAGCCCTGCCGTGTCGTGCCCGCAATGTACTGCGCTCTTACAGCTTTACCTGGCTCCCTCATACAGAAGCATTTATCGTAATCACACGAAAACGGAATAAATCCCATGAAAAATCGAGAGAATGGCAGACGTTGATTTAACCCCGGATGGTAACTCCATCTCCTAAACAGGACGGAAGGCAGCATCGAAGACCCTGATAGATACTGGATAGACAATACAAGATCCTTGTACTATAGATGCTCGACCTTGAAATCGTTGGTATCCGCCCTCTTCCGCTTCCGGACCGCGCATCGCAATTGTCACAGGTAGATATCGTATTTACGCGCATCGAAAGAGACGAAAATCAGGAAATCGAGCATCTTCCTGTATCTCCAGGCTGGAGTTCGAGCCAAATACGTATCTTCCTTCCTCGCAAGGCAAACTCCGGAGTTACATATATACCAGCGTTAGTGTCCACTTTCCAAATGACCACCTCCGTATTGGACACAGTAAGGCCTAGGGTTTGCCACTGCGGCTTCGATAAAGGATTTCGAAAAGTTGTATTTCAATAGCAACTGTGAACATACACAAGCTATAGCTATATATGTCTGGCTGATCGCAGGGACTCACTTTCAAGGCATGTGCATGAGCTGCAGTCCATTTCACAGATGGAAGTAGACGAGCCCCCGTCTCGAATCAGGTTTTTGGTACTCAAAGAAATTGATATTAGGCGTACACTCCTTATATGACATGTGTACATAGATTTACGTAGATGATACAAAACTTACAGTATGTTGGTTCAATAACGACCATTAAATTAAAATAAGTTAATGTCCTGAGTCCAAATGCAAGTTTCTCGGAAGTTCCTATGCCGTTTCACTAGTGTCCATATTAATTTCCAGAAGCGTATAGCTCATCGAGACGGCATTTATATGCCTCTTCGACAGCTTTTCTTCGAATGTTACCCTTCGAAGCGGTTCGTGGTAGAGTGCCTTCAGAAGAATGAATTTAGAAACAAGTCTGACTCATGATATCGTGTGGCTAAGATAAATACCTTTGGGGACTATGATAATCATCCTCGGAGACAAGATGCTTTCGTGGATATATCTCCTAGAATGAAAATGACGGATTTTGCGGAATATTTCCCTCTTCAACTTGGATTCATCCAATTCGGAGTTCGTTTCGACAAAGAGAGTAGGAGATGGACGACCTGTGCCAACGGCAATACACTCTGATATGAGTGTGCCGCACATAGCGCGGGCGTTGTCTTCGATAGATCTATGAATGTCATCAGTAAGTATAATCAAATACAGTTCGATAGATGTCCGAGGAACTGACTTTGTGTCACATCTCAGGCTGTTCTCGGTTTTGATCCAATCGTCGTCCCTGCCAGCAAACACGTAGCTACCTAGTCCTACTTCTTGGAATAAATCTCCGGTGTGGAAGTGACCGTCAGATTGTCGTAGAGATACGTCTGGGCAGTCTCCAGAGTCCGACAAAACGATAAATTCGAATAGGCGAGCTGTTGACTGATGTTCCTCGGCGGTAGATGCTATAGGGACAAAGGCATATGATAGACCCTGGAGGGGGCGAAGATGATGGCGGGTAGTGGGATCGTTGCCTCCGATTGACACAAGTGTTGTCCCTCCACATTCTGTGCTCCCAAATATATTCTAAATTGATCAGGATGATGAGTGAGATGTCAGCTGAAACTTTGAAAAAGCTCGTACCTTCAATTTTATTCCCGATTGATACGCAAATGCCTCATCTTCTTGAGATAGTGCCATACCACAAGTCGTTACCTCTTCGAGACTGACGAGCAATGAAAGCAGTTCAGGATCTTTCCTTGCGGCTTTGAGATGTATGGAGAAGAAGGTGGCGAACTGCCACAGACGATTGAGGTTTCCGAATTTGATCATCTCGATGAGCTCTTCTGTTGCACAGGGAATTCGCTTTGGTTGTATGATGCATGTTCCATACTGCATCAAAGAGATAAGCACTGAAAGAAGTAGAATCAGTACAGCTCTAAAGATACAACTGAAGCATACGTACGAGTTGTCTGACCTATGTGACACATGCTTCCACTGGGTAAAACGTCAGTTACTGAGGATTCAAGTATCAAGATCAATAGTCTAACTTACAGCCAGGTACTAACATCCTGTCGATTAGAATCCCGAGGTACGGCTGTCTGGCTAGCCTTTCGTGCTACTGCGTCTAGCCACCGATAATTGCAGGGCACCAGTTTCGGGCTTCCAGAAGTAGAGCCACTGGTGTGGAAGATAAATGCACAGTCAGAAGGCCCGCATGCAGGAAACAATGGGGCAGGTTCTGAGGATAGAGCGAAGTAGATGTCGGTGAATACTGGCGTATGTAAAACGGGAATTGGGCAATTGCCATCAATAAAACCGGATGTTAATGAATCGCAGATAAGAGCCGACGCGTTCGCCTTTGCGAGTAATTCGTAAATGACAACTGGGTTAGGCAAACGAAGACTGAAAAGCTGGGGTATATATCCCGCCCTTGAAACCGCGTATATGTGCAGTACATCAGAGTATGTGAATCCCCCGATCCTTCAAACAGTTTAGCATTGGCACAAATACGAGGGGAAAGGAAAACAAACATACCACATCCCTACGACTGAATTTGAAGGTACTTTGGAGCCAAGCTCCCGAGCCCAGTATTTTGCACATAATTCCACGTCGTCGTAGAATTGCTTGAATGTGATTGTCTCCCAATGAGGGATACCGGTAGATGTTGATTCCTCTGAAGGAATCTTGAAGACTGCACGATTAGAGAACCGTTCGCTGCTATCCTTGAGGATGTTAAGATGAGTCAGGAGTGATAAGGCCATTGCGGTTCAAAGAAAAGAATTTGGAAGATAATAATTGAGAAATTCATGCCCGTATATATACATGTTCACCTCTTCAGCCAATGCGAGCGGCATCGAAATCAAAATTGATTCATGTTTGCGACCACAGAGTCATTAGTCCGTAAGCGGGAAGTGTTCAACAGCAATAAGCGTTTCGTTGTTAGATTCGGGACTTTGGCTGAGCATCTTCCGACAGAACAGAGACGTCACAACCCAGTTTGCTGTGATAAAACAGTTTCTGGAGCGCATACGGAGATCATACCCAAAGAAGCTGTACAAAATTCGATGGAAGAATTCAAGATTTCTTCATCACCGTAGCCTCTGCGGAAAAGCGGACTAAGGTTTAGAGCAATTGTAAGTCGACCTGGCAAATAGATGTTTTAGAAGTAGATGTAACCGTCAAGCTAATTGAAAAGAGTTGGACGGGTACAGCTTCTGTATACTTGTTGATTTGCGTACGAGACAAAGTGAAAACAACTTCAAGACCGCAAAACGCGGGAGGTGTAGGGAGGTGTCCAAGAGTGGCAGACTGCCAGCAAAATTCGCTTTGATGCAGCACGTGGAATCCACGTGAGGATTTCCGTCGCTTCCGCCATTTCACTCAATGTAGGCCGTCTGGGATCATAGCGACTCATTTCTATCTCCCGCACCAACCTAGAAGAGCTTAGAGCTGTGCAAAAAAAGTAGAAGAGCCTGCGCTGGCGGACCATCGAAACAGTTACAATCTCTCCAAGTTGAATACCAAGTGAAGGTACAAGCAATCGGACGATACACTTTATCATAATGATCAGGCCCCAACCACGACGCCCTGATGCCCCCCAGCGCCCCCCCTGTAGATTGTTCAAGAGTTCATTCCTGTTCTATTGCACAAAATCTTCTTAGTTGATCTGATTCCCCTCTAACTTCTCCTGGGTCTTGCAGTTGTTCTGCTCTTGGTAACTCAGGGTTGAACATCTTCTAAGTCTAAATAGGTCTAAATTCGGTACGATAAACTCGAATAGCCCTTTATCCGACTTGGGTCCCATATATACACTCCGATCCTTGTAGTCATATTGGTTGTGACGCTTCCCAAAGTTTCTCCAGGTTTCTCCCTTGTTCTTTTTGTGGAAAATGAAAATCAATTTACCTCGAACCTGCACCTTTCCTTATATTCTCCCGGGGAAAATCATCAGTGGTTGCAACTGGCTTGCAACGGATCTACGAAACATATACCCAGATCCTCGCCTGTTCATTGTCGGTTCCTTTCCTATACAATCCCATACATCTCGATCTGCCGAATACTTAAAGCTACTTAAAGGTGTTCTTGTTTATTATCGGGGAAATCAAGGGCAATGTTCGATCTAGTTCGATGCTTCCAAGTGCGGGTCCCCGCGCTTGAGAGTGAAACGCACAAGCCATCAAACAACATCAGTTCAGAGGAATAGTCACCTAGGCTATCATATTTATCCTCAGATCTTCCATCCTCCATGCTGGTAAAGATTTGACAAATGACATTTGCCATCGTAAATAAATGCTCAACAATAGACTTGCCACGTCGATGGAGTACATTATTGGACGGGAGGTGGAGGTCGAACGACGAATATATAAATAGTTAGTTACTGTTACCCATGTACTGTACTTAAAGACCGGTTTGAAGATCAGAGATAGCATCGCCAAATGCAGCGCTCCACGTAGTCTCCAATTGGGTGGCCTGAGCAACCACCTCTTGCTAGCAAAACGATTCAATGTTCGAAGTGTTGTAAAACATTATATGAAAGAAAGGGCCCTTACATCAGTGATGATGTCGCCGATTGCAGCGATTAATCCTGTGGCTGCGGCTCCGAGAGTAGCCAAATCAGACATGATGGCCGACGTTTCATTGATACTGGTAAAGTTGGCTCCTTTCACGGCAATTTGAGTTAGCCCACCAACGAGAATGGTAGAAGAGTTCTCTATTTGACCGAGGACGAGCAGGCCGTCCATGTCAGTGGAGAAATTCGAAGTAGCCTATGGATTTTTACAGTCAGGGTAATTTAATGTGCTTGGAATTGTCGAAGAGTATACCTGGGTATCTGTAATAGCAGTGTTGAAGGCTGACTCCAAGGCAACACTGTCGTCGTGAATGGCCTGCAATTTTAAATTCGCAAACGATTCAATTTCCTCTGGAGTAAATATCACATACGGCAGCTCCGTCAGTAGTACCGGCGAACGCGTTGACGTCGTTATCCCAAGTTACAAGCAGCGACGAGATGTTAGTGATATCAGCTTGAATTGTTGCCATGTCTCTCTTTATGAGTGGCGTCCCCATTGCAATAGTCAAAACTGAGGCGAACAAGAACACAGCGGTGAGTTGGACCATTGTCGACGATGGGCTGGCGTATAACAGAACTCAAATATTCAAGCACTGCTTGTATACGCCTTTATAGGTGTTAGTCGTGAGTTCTTTTTGCGAGCATATGTGTTGGAAGAACAGACCTATTTTAAGACCTTGCCCTATTCAGAAGACACTCATTCTTCCCATGATAAATTTGTTCTGCACCACTCGGGAGTAAATAGATGACCTTACAAAGGGAAGAATTTAGTGTATTTGGATGGATTTACATCGCGACGTCAACACCCAGGATTTGGTGCGAAAACTCGTCCTGAGAGAACCAGTATAAACATTCAATGATTCCCAAGTTACTGGCGATGAAGAAATTATTAGCATGCAATGGAGAGGGAAGGATTGGGAAACAACATATTCGGTTAATCAAAACAGCGCAGGAGGGTTGAGAATGCAAATATCGGTGGTGTACACGCACAGAGAAGGGTGTCGATTCATGGTGAATGAGAAGGTGATGATTTGGCGCGACAAGGCTAGCTGGTTTTGACAGAACGACAGGAAAGGACATCCACACATGGATCCATTCACATTGAACTGCTATTGAATGCGCTGAAATTGGACAAGTAAACCAACATGAGCGAGCCGGGAAGAACTGTACGGTATGGTCTTTTTGACACGATACCGGGCGATCCCCCAAGGCTTGACATGGCGCGCGAGCTGCACCAGACGTGAATAAGGAAGACTGCAATCCCAAAGTAATGTGATTGAGTTTTAGTAATTGGCGCGCAAGCCTAAGGCTTCGTAACCATACGTCTGCAAACATATTAGGAAGGAGTAGGCAGGAATGCGACGAAGTCAATTCCAGACACCCAAAACAGTCTGTTAGTTGCAGGGGAGGAGAAAAGGACGCATCAAACAATCGGGCTTGCCGCGTGGACGGAGATAGTTAAACGGTCACCGACCAAGAAGGACAAAGCATGTGTATATAACCCACGCGTCTCGTTGATTCTTGCTTCCACAGCGGATGTAGAGGACTGGAAGAAAATTGCTATTGAAAGACGCACGTATCTAGGTCAAACACGAATTCTGATGCCTTGGTCATATTATAGCATAAATATAGTTGAGGGCTATCCACTGCTATCCATCACGCCGGGTGACAATTAGTTAGTACCTGTTAGAACATTATCGCCGACCGTCTTGTATTATCATAGTATGAAGAAACTTATTCCTCGTATAAATTAGAACATGTACCTACCGTCGGGAGGGTATTACTATTCGCGACATTGTTAACTAGCCAACACCAGCTATGTCCTCGCGAGGCTGCGGTTTCTCCTTGAGACTCGCGAACCTCCGTCCGGCCTGAATACACCACCATACGAAGCTTACCGTGGAAAAGTTGAAAATTTTTTCTCAACCGCGAAGACCGCCTAGAAGAACGGAGACGTCCATTTTAGGTTGACCGAGGCGCGTTCACGTCGGCGTTGACTACGGCGAGAGGTCCTGTGGCCTGAGATTCGGCATGGGAAATTCTCCGGTATGTGAGACGAGAGAAAGGAGAAAGATGACATCAGTTATTTTGCCAGTAAGTACTTATCGGCTTCATTGAGAACGGAGACACTCAACCGTAACAGAGAAGATACGGGAAGTATCCAGTGCTGTAAAATGATATCGAAAAGAAAATTATCAGGGTATTGTCGGAGCGCCTACAGAGATCAATAGACCATTGTGGACATTGGACATGTCGGACTATGTCGGATTGGAACTTGATTCTCAGGTGTGATTCGTCTGAGTTTTGGAGAATGCGATGCGGATAGCATTGAAGAGGGGATGAGGCAGCCAAACATGTACTACAACAGTAGCAATACTGCCACAATGCTCACTCGTCGAACGGCAAGCTGAGGATACAATAGGGATACATTGTCCATTACATAAACAGTCGCGACACAATACCAAAGGATTTGATTGGATCTGAGCCACGTGCCACAGCGTACAATCTCCTTCCGTTTCTCCTTCGTCGTTTTCGTTAATGTTTGCAAGACTTCCTCGACAAGTCTCTCAAAGGGCTCTTGCCACAAGGAGATCAATTTCCTCAACATGCTCTCGCCGCTCTGATGCCTTGTTCGTTGTAAGCACAAATTGCTTAGGTCAATGCCCTCTTCCGACAATTTCATAGCATCGGGACACACCATATAACAATCCCAAGGTTAATCAATCCAATAAATATATGTCTGGGACTCGTTCCTCAATTTATGACAGATTCCTTTCGAATTCGATGCTCCCAATCTGAAGCGCGCAGAGGAAATAATCAAGCGCTATCCTCCACAATACAAAAAGGCCGCTGTTATTCCTCTTCTTGATCTTGGCCAGAGACAGAACAAAGGATGGACGAGTATCAGCGTGATGAACTATGTCGCCAGACTCTTGGAGATGCCTCCCATGCGGGTCTACGAGGTCGCTACTTTCTACACCATGTTCAATCGGTATGTGTCATTATTCTTTTTCGAATTCACCACTGTGGCCTTATAGACCGCATAACAGTGAACCCATTGGCGAAAACTTCGTTCAAGTTTGCACGACCACCCCGTGTGCGCTCCGTGGTTCTGGTGAAATCTTGAAGACTGTCTGCAACGAATTAGGTGGAATCAAGCCAGGAGAGACGACTAAGGATGGGAAGTTTACTGTTATTGAAGTTGAATGTCAGGGTGCGTGTAGCAATGCACCTATGCTTGTTATCGGGGATGATTTCTACGTGAGTAGAGATTCTTCATCAGACATCGCTTTGTTTATGAAAAACCATGCGTTCGCAGGAAGACTTGACTCCCGAATCTACGAAGTCCATACTAGGCGCCTTCGCAAAGGGGCAGAAACCAAAGCCTGGGCCGCAGAGTGGCCGTCAAACTAGCGAGAACGCTGCTGGGCTTACTACGCTTACAACAAAGGTGCATAGCAAGACGTTTTCATGCTTCACTGTAGCTGATCATTTTATTAGCCTTATGGTCCAGGAGAGTTTTGTTTACCCGAGTTCCAGTAGTCACTATATACATCATAAATCATTCAAAGACAGGATATTGCATCACAGTTTATGAGTATTGTAAAGGTCACTAGTCAGTGAGTTGCTAATCATCCCCTTCTCCGTCGTCGTACCCGTATATTCCTTCCCCTGAGTCTGGAAGTCTTTCAATTATGTACCTGCGAAATGTAAGGAACAGGGTGTGACAAGCAAAACCACAACGTACAAGATTTCTTCTTTCAAATCGTGGCAGTAGCGGTCTGGACGAATCTCCAGTCAGTAAACACGCTCCACGCACAATTACTTGCACTACTCACCAAGAGGCAGATCGCTAGGATCGTTACCTAGAAGTATGGATCAGCATCGTCTGTTGAAGCTCAAGAAGAGAGGGTACTGTACCAAAAGGCATCTCAATCTCGTCAGCTATACCTTCTATTCCCATGAAAGTAAAAGCTACGACTGTAACGATTGGTACAGTCATCCACCCGAGGTCGTTCACCAAAGTTAACGGGAGAGCGAAAAGATATAATGTAACACATTGCTTGAGATGGATACCGTCTGCAGGGAAGAAGGTAGAAGTATCAAGTGGTTCGTTAGTTAAGCAGATATGCAACATACAAGATATAGGAATTGGAGTGTTGGCCACTCGTTCCATGGCAGTCATATTGTCAACCATACTCTGAACTCTGATCAACGTGTCAGGAGATAGAAAGGATGAAGTGGTATGAGGAGTAACTCACAATGCGTTCATGGCATTCATTCCCGCAGGACCTACAGTTTCTAACAAACCCTCTCTCCTGAAGTAGAACAGCAAACGCGAGATCTCATGAGCAATACTGGAATAGAGGTATGGTAAGTAACGCACGTATATAAGAGACGAGAGAAAGTCATTACATCAAAGGTAATGGCAAAGAGTTATCATCTGCGAAAGGCCGAAACTCTACTGTTCGATGGGTCACCGCGTCTGAAAGTAAAGGTGTAGATTGGCTGGGAAGATTTTGTTTGCTACGTTTGGGGCGAACTCGTTTGGTTGCATCACCCCGCCCCAAGTCCGGAGAAGACCTCCCGCTAGACTTGTTCGAAATGGTATGATATGAGGTTGTCAAATCGGATTTGGATTTTTGGTAACCGACTTCATCGAACCGCGCAAAGTTCTTGGGTAGGACATCATGATAGTCGCTCCAATTAAGACCGTCTTCTCCACGTAGGTAATGCTTTAAAGCAAAAGGGAAAGCAAGACAGAGATGTAAGGCCTCGGACTTGATGCGATGGAGCTGAGAGGCAGTGGGTACTGGAGCTTTGCCTTTCTTGCTGGGGGTATCGTCTTGATCTGAGGGAGGAAGGGCGACGTTGACCCAAATCTGACGAGAGAGGTTGCGGACGTTTGAAATGACCGTTGCGAAACACTTTCTTCCTTCCCAAAATCGATCATAGGAGCTCCTGCATAAAATATCACCATGAGAAGCTGTCATTCCGGTTCAATTGCTCCTCGTACCCGTTTCTACGATGCTATTTAGTTGACAGTAAAAACAAAACAAGCAGAGACCCACCTGAAAACCAGGATCAAACCAACCTAAACAGATTGATTGGACTAAGGAACTATGGTGACTGACTGCCAGCAATCTTACTCACCACCACCGAAAGTAAGGGCACGACAGAGTTCGTCAGCATAATACGATATCCATTGTGCCATGCGTAGGCGATAATTGTAGCAAAGAGCGTATTCGTGGTGACAGGCCAGAAAATGCGGCTAATAATCTGTGTATAGTCGAAAGAGATATTCAGAAGCGCGCTATTCATGGAGTTTATAGCGGGTACATACACTGCCTTTGATTCGGAACACATCTGGAAGCCAGGAGTACTAAAGTAGAATGAAAGGTAGGTCAAGATTCGGTGTACGTGGCTTGCTGACCTTTCGTAGATGCTTTCGTTTTGGCTGACAACAGAAAGTTGTAATTCAGGTAAGGAAGGTACTATTGAATAGATGCTCACCCTAAGTGAAGGGAGGACGGAGGTTAGTGTGCGTTTCGCACTTCCTTTCGTGCCTATATCAGACATTTCAAGTGGAAGGCGGGCCAAAGGTGAATGCAACTGGCAGAGTGACTGGCACTGGATCCCTGCCCAGTGGCAAATGGTAGACGCCAGAGATTTGATAAGCGCTCTGCCAATCTACATATCTCGGAAATTGTCGGCCCGTCATTTCTTCGTCTTACCGTACTTACCAAAAAATTTGTCACGTCCTCTAATATTCCGAAGTGCTCAAGGCGTAATAAATTTACAAGAGCCTTTTCAAGGTAGCAGCTCGTGGCCCAAGCTGAAGCCTTTGCCCGAGTCCTCAAAGCCTCAAGCTCGATGATTGACATCTTCAGCTGACTTTTGTGATTAGTCTGCTATAGTCTGCCTCATTATTGATGGCAGTCGCAATTTGGATGCACTGAGGCATACTGTTTTTCGGAAAAGATAACGGTGACGCTACAAATGACATAGAAAATATATGTATCCAGGTCAGGTTTCAAACGTTCATCGATGCCTCGATGGAAGCTGCGGAAGCGGGAGTTCAATATGCTGCGTGGTTGGGGTAAGAGAACTCCAAGGAACAACATCTCTATGTATGTACCAAGAATAATATGATGGAGAACAATAATGACGCGAATGACGAAAAGCGATTAAGATCGTTGCAGATCGTTGCATTGCTGTCAAGGTCTACCACAACAACTCAGGTTATTCAAGAAACTCGGAAATGACTGAAGTATGTAGTTGCTGCAGTGAAAGCAAGTCCAAAATATGAGGGGACTACGTTACAGTAGTACTTATCTCTGTACTTACACAGAGCCTCGACTGATTCTGAGGAATTCGGGGCATGTAGGCATTAAAAGCGCGTGGTAAGTACGTACACGCGTCTTTCTATTTTGAGAACACTTTATTTTCATTCCTCTGAAATGTCATGTCGTCATTAGTGAACCGTATAAAAACTCATCTGTGTTCAGAGATGGACTACATATTTCCTTCACTACCATCATGGCTCTCTCCAAGGTCCATCCTTTTTTCTTTTGCCAGTCGTTGTTTTGCTCACCTCTTTTGTAGCATATCAATGCGGATCGTCTCGTTCAAGATTCTCATGTATCATCGTCTTCTTGACCATCTCGTCTAGGGAAAGAAAACCTGATTTCGTTTCTATTGTAGGACAAAAAATCGAAGCATCACAAGCTCACTGGTATCGACAGCAACACCATCCATCACTCTTATGGCGCTCGGGTAAATAATCTTTTCCTCGCAGCTTGCCTCGCTGACCATATATCCTGAACAGTATGGCACACAGCCCCTTCCTAAATATCACTTTTCTTCCAAGGGTATCGATGCGGAGTCCGCCTACCAACTAATTCACGATGAACTCGCCCTTGGTAACCCTTCCTCTTTATTCTGCTTGTATGCGCGACACCTTACGCTTCTCACATAGATGGTTCGCCTGTCTTGAACTTGGCGTCTTTCGTCCACACCTGGATGCCCGCTCAGGCCGACAAACTCATGCAGGAGAATATGACTAAAAATCTGATCGATACCGACGAGTATCCTGCTACACGTCTGTTTCGTTTATCATTCTTCAATGTTTCGAAGGTTGAAGATTTGTTACAGAACATATTCATACTCGCTGTATCTCCATCCTCGCCGATTTGTGGCACGCACCTTCCGCAAAGCAGGCCATTGGCACGGCCACTACTGGCTCCTCCGAGGCAATTCAACTGGGAGGTCTTGCCATGAAACGTATCTGGCAGGAAAAGCGCAAGGCTGCTGGTAAGAGCATCCACGAGCCTGGGTATGCGGATTCTTCTCGTCAGTTGTATCGCGCACTCAATGTCATATTTCTGCAGGCCTAACATCGTCATGGGTGCCAATGCTCAAGTTGCGCTTGAGAAATTCGCCCGTTACTTCGAAGTCGAATGCCGTCTTGTCCCCATTTCGGTTGAGAGCAAGTATCATCTTGACCCCAAAAAAGCTATGGAATACGTTGACGAGAATACCATCGGTGTTTTTGTGATACTGGGTTCAACGTATACTGGCCATGTGGGTTTCACAATTCTAAAGACGGCCCATAAAGCGGAAAATTTGACATGAATTTATAGTACGAACCAGTCAAGGAGATGTCCGACCTGCTTGATGAGTAAGTCTAATTCAGGTTCAGCTTCAAGGGCAATGCTTACATCTATTCTAGGTATGAAGCTAAGACAGGTTACTCTGTTCCCATCCATGGTGAGTTGCTGTTCTTGGCTGAAGACGGACGCAATGAAACCTGAATTGTGTGGCAGTGGATGGTGCTTCTGGTGGATTCTTTGCCCCGTTCGCCACGCCTCAACTGGAGTGGGATTTCAAGCTTCCTCGTGTGGTCTCCATCAACACTTCAGGCCACAAGTTTGGATTGGTTTACGTCGGCGTTGGCTGGGTTGTTTGGAGGGACCAGGCACATCTACCGAAGGATCTGATATTCGAGCTACATTATCTCGGATCCGTCGAGTACTCGTTCTCTCTCAACTTCTCTCGTCCAGCTGCACCGATCATTGCACAGTATTTCAACCTCATTCACCTCGGTTTCGAAGGGTACCGCAACGTTGCCCTTGATGATCTGCGCAATGCTCGACTTCTGAGTCGAGCTTTGGAAAATAGTGGTTACTATACGGTTCTTAGTGACATTCACAGGAAGCACAGTAGCGCAGGCGCTACTATCAAAGACGTAGTTGGTATTGATGACGATGTGACGGTGCGTTCGTTGCTCATTTATGATTTATCTTTGTTTGAATACATTTGCTGATCAAAAAGTATGCTGTTTAGGACTACGAGGCAGGATTGCCCGTAGTTTCTTTCCGGTTTTCTGATGACTTCAAAAAGAGTTATCCCGAAATTCAACAAAAATGGATTCAAACTCTGCTTCGAGCTAGAGGATGGTACGTCTTAGAGACTCGCTCATCGCTTGTACAACACTCAATGTGTGCTACCAGGATCGTCCCGAACTACGAACTTGCTCCTGATTTGCAGCAAATTGAGATTTTGCGTGTTGTCGTCCGTGAAAATATGACTGAAGTGGTGAGTTCTTGTTTCATCGACGCGATGTTTGTGGGTTTGACTGATTGTCTAATCAAGCTCGTTGATCGTCTTGTCTCCGACCTCATGGAAATAACGGAGCAGTTGACAACTGCGGACTCCCCAATGCATGCTCTGAATGACCTGGGCCATGGCCACTCTAGTTCATCTAAGACGGAGCATACGCACGGCAGACTGGAAAAGGGCGCGGGAAGCACTTCTTCTGGAACGTATGCGAAGCAGTGTTAAAAAGCCTGTGCAGAAGAAGAAACAAGAATGTACTACTATGAATTCGCTCGTATATGGAAAGGGACTGTATTACCTTGTGGACTTGGGCGATAGTTTCGTTGTAAATACTCATGTATGATTGAACGGTTGTTTTCCGTCGCGTTGAAAGTAACAAGGATGAAAGCGCCGTTTCGCATCGATCGATAGTGTCCATATACAGCGCGAAATGGGTAGGCGAGCAAAAACTACAATAAATGTTGGAGTATGATACACAGTGTTCTACTGACTGAGGATTGTGCGCACAAATGATTCGTAGTTGACATTCCCGTCACTAAACGCGCACATCAGTGAAATATTTTGGCCATAAACGAGCACATAGAGCTTACGCGCCAATCTGAACTCCTTTCAGCAACTCATCGACCTCCTCGTCCGACATCTTTTCCCCTAGCTGTGTAAGCACATATCTCAACTCTCCAGCGCCAATGAATCCATTTCCTTCCTTGTCAAATACCTGGAAACCGCGGATGAACTCCTCTGTTGAATGAAGAGTCAGATGCACCTCAGGTCCAACGCCCCAAAACAGATCGCATACCGGGAGTTCCAGCAGGTTTGAACCCGTCTGGACGATTTAGTATTTGTAGAAAAACGGCGTAGTCCACTAATGTCGTTAATTAGATATCAGTGGGTCCTGGAGGTAGACTTGGCGCACCATCTCTTGGAGCTGCTGCAACGATCTCCGCAACTTCTGCTTGAGTAGGATTTTGACCCAGTGCTCTCAAGAGGTCTCCCAGTGTCTCCCTTGGTACCTTTCCTGTCCCCTTTTTATCGAACAAAGCGAAGGCTTCCTTGTACTCTGTGCAACTCCATTATGATTTAATGGACGTGATCTAGGATATAGATCTTCACCTGCGTTATCGCTCTATAGTCGATGAGTAGTGATCTGATAGACGTATACAACGATAGAGCTTACCATGATCGTTGATACGAAACGTCTGGTGGTCGTAAGAAAGTTAGAGGATTGTGGTTTGTATATATGTGTTGTGTCAACCGCGTTTGCTTCTTTCCTTCCGAACCTCCATCAATCCGTTCATTTCACCAAGTGAAGTGTTTACAGCTCAGCGTTTGAAATGGTCAGCTTAACGCTTGCAAGTTCTGTCCGAACTCGAAGAATTTAAGAGTTCCTAGGATGTTGATCCCCTTGCCGACTCTGCCCCGCCGCGCTACGCTATAGAGTCAGACGAAGAAGATGAATATAATCCATTACAAAAGTTGTCCTCGGAAACTTCGTCACCGCTAGAGCTGAAAGTGGTTGGTGATTTATCATCGAATCGTCCTTTAATCGTGGTGTCTGGGAATGCAGGCAAATACTGGGCTAAAGGAAGCTCGCTCGGAGAGCAGACTGGGGCAGTATACGTTAATGATACTCAAGTATGTGGAAAAAATCTTGATTGCACAATCTCGAATCGAGGCTGATGTATCCGCTAGGTCGGTCTAGTTTTTACTCCATCCTGGTCGAAATCGACAATAATCGTATCCGAGACGTTTGCAAGACTCCCCGTTGTCAACATGCACTCGTATGCCGAAAAGTTGGTCGAGCATTTGAAGCCTTCCAGGTAATTTTAGACTTGCAGATTATCGTTGTCTCGTAGCTACATCTCCAAACAGCATCGTTCTTCTCGATACGTATCCAACACCGATCTACGTTACTTCACAGCCGATTGCACTCCAGGATGCACCAATCCGCTATCTTTCTACTCATCAAGTCGATCATACAATCGTACGTGTGTCTGTCCCCTTCCCATCCACCTCTCATTCACCCAGTAACCAACTACGACTTTCCAGTCATCGTTGGCTGAACGCTTCTCGCCTCCAAATTTTGTGCATTCCACAACCTCGGCTGCTCTTATGTCCTATGTAGCATCAACACCCCAGACAACGTCGCGTCCCGACTTGAAAGCAACGCTCCTACTTTTGCCTTTCCCGAGGATCCCAACGCCTGCTCCAAAAATTCTTGGACGGTCCGATTTCTCTCACCTCACTGAGGACGAGTATCAATGGTCTGAAGTTATGATGAATATCATACAGAAGCTGTTATTCGTCGCGGTTGGAGAGAAGTCTGATGCTTGGCACACACCATTGAACAGTAGCAGTAGTAAATCGTCAGTCAATGTCTTCGTCAAAGCACAAGTACCTATAGACGACGGCATGTATATTTAATGTAAAGAAATCGTCATTTGGGTGATTGATAGATAAATCATCAGGCAATCTGCGCGACCTGAAACCTCTTGAACCAATCTTGAACTTGACTCTTTCTTTCTCCGGAATGACGAAAGATTCATGTCACTTTTCTATGCGTTTTCTTTAATCTCCTTGTTCTGGGTCATCGTACACATTGTCCACCGTCTTCGTAAACCACAAGCGGCTTTATTGCCGACGTTGAACAACATCCCTCGCGCCCGGAGCTGGGCGGATAGTTCCACGAGTGTCATAGTCAACAAGGTCCTATTGAGGATTCAAACAACTGCCTTCAACGCAAAACATGACGAACTTGCGGGGAAGCTCAAAGATCGGCGGTCGAGGTCTCTAAGAAAATGGACGGCAGCGTTTTATAGCATTGGAGTTGGAGCAGGCATATGTGGCTTGGTCATTGGTTTTGGTGGCCTCCTCTGGCTCACAGGAAACTCTCTTTTCTTCCAAGTGTTCTCGGACTCCGAGATCCTACCTAGTCATCGGAAACGGGACCTCAGTAGTCCTCAGCCCGATGCGAGAACTTTTATACAGCCAATCGTGAGTCGATTCGTTGGAAAGTTTCTGCTCTCACTAAACGATTGCAGATACCTGGGGTGACAGTCCCTTGGGCACACCTACCTATCATAGTTATCGCGGTTTGTCTTTGCCAAATTGTACATGAACTGGGACATGCTATAGCTGGGGCACTGTAAGCAATATCGGGTACGGTGCTGCTTCACTATCCCGCTGACCCTATTCCAGCTACTCTGTCCCTATCACTTCCTTGGGAATGTCTTTGACGCTCGTAATACCCTCCGCATTCGTATCTTTCCCGACGGGGTTCCTAAGTTCATTAGACGTGATATCAAGGGCACGAATCATTGCCGCAGGTCCTTGGCATAATCTTGTACTGTGGGTTTTCCTTGCAGTGCTCGGAAGAACGACCGACCTTGTAGAAAGGGCCACTGGTGTTGGAAATATATTGGTTAGTCTTGGCTGGGAGGATATGTCAAATGTAGGCAGAGTAGTTGTAGGTCTTGACGACGTGAGTCAGTCCGTCATCTTCAGGAGTCGGACCTCTTATTATTTCGTGGTAGGACTCACCTTTGAATAGTGTGTTGAAGGTAGGCTCTGTGATCACCGCGTTGGACGACACATCCCTAGCGGACGAGGAAGACAGATGGTCTCAGTATCTCATGCCTCAAATTCCTTCCGACATTCCATGGTACGGCTGGTGTGTTTCTCGGGAAATAATGCAAAGTGAGCTAAATTTCGAATGAACTTCTGAAACCTCTGATTGATAGCTACTCAGCCAGTTCTTCCGACTGTTGCAGCGAAGTACATCCCACCTTGGATTACCTCTGCTTCGACTCGCTCGGATACGGTAAAGGGTGCCTCAATCCGATACCCATACTTTCCATGAGTAACGCTCAGTTTCGTTGTCAGCGAGGAAATGACTGTGATGACAATGCGGTTTGCGCGCAGCCAGATAGCTCGGCGTCGATACTAAGGCTCAGCGTTCAAGGGCAGGATCTCATTCTGTGGAACGGGCCAAGGAAAGAGATCTGGGAACAGGGTGCGCCTTTATTATAAGGCTTTATTCCTAGAGTAACTGAACTTGCTTTCTAGTATCCGTAGGTCGATACGCTCCAAGATTTTGGTTCATACCTACAAATACAATCGGGATACTGAGAGACTTTTGGAGGTATGCGATCATATACTCCTCGTCAGATTAATTGTATTTCGAATGCTCGAAAAATTCTAGCTATCTCCAAATGGCCACCCTTTCACTTTTCGTCTTTAATCTTCTACCCCTTCCTTTTCTGGATGGCGCTCAATTATTAAATGCTCTTTTGGATTATGTACGACCTGTGTCGGAGCTCGGTGTCGATGAGGAATCAGGTATCTCACAAAGAGGTCCCGCGGCATTGTGGAAACGACGTTTCGAGCGATTGGTACAATTCGGTACCCTTGGTATGATCTTGCTGTCAGTGTATATGCTCTTGCGTGTAGGCGGGACTTCAGTGTGATATAATTTTAAAGAAAACAACGGTCCTTTGCAACATGTGAAGCAGGAGTTACACAGTTCTTCCTCGTTGCACGGTATGTCGGTACATACATACCCAATTATGTAAATATAAAGAATGCCCAGACCAGCTAAAGATCAACCTTGTACAGTTCCTGGTAGACAATTGACCGCCCTTCAGATTGTGTCAACATGGATGGTGTTTCTTGATTTATTGGTTCTCTGATAAGTAAGTCACTCCGTCGGGCATACTGAGGCATCGTCGCCCCGCTGAATCAGTTGTCTCTTTTTTAGATATTTTTCTCTTCATTAGGCACGTGGAGCTGCAACCTGATGCAACGACTACCTAGATTGTCGCTACTCTGGCCCGACTCCGTTCCTTGGTTTTGGTCATGATTTTATGAGTTGCTTCAAGCGTTCTGTAGGTTTGAGTGCAGGCGCAATTAGAATTGCGAAACGGCCGTGAGTCGATTTGGATTCCCAGTGGATGACTTCCCGTAAGGCGAGCGAAGCCATATGGGGAAGGTCCCTGTCGAATGCAAAACGGGTAAACAAATATGATGTGTACTCTTGTGTACTGGATTCGGATGATTTCCCGTAAGCCTTTGGCCCTTTGCCCAATATATATAATCTGAGTAAATGATTCTTGAGCCGGTCTGATAGGGTCTGATGCGACGGACAGTCGATACGCTGTTCGCTTATTCCAGTAAGCGAGTCAGCTCAGCGCTGAATCGGTTATCGATGTTCCTCATATAAGAAGTGGTATGTACATACATTATTAGCACTCTTGGTCGAATTCGAATTCTCGTTCACCCTCATCGTCCTTCTCTCTTTCCGCGGCTGGTCCGCCAACAGTATAGCACTCGTCTTCATAGATTTACACCACAAATCTCACTCATTTTCACAATGCATTCATACAGAGCTCATTTGTCACCCTTGCCCTCACTCTCGCTGCGAACGCCAGTCCTGTGGGGTACTACTCCAATACTTACGCAACTCGAGAGGTCTCTAGTCCTGAAACGTACGACATGCGGGACATCTTCTCTCCTGCTGAAGACTTTCCCAAAGCACGCGATTCGGGGAATCTCCTCCTGCGAGGAGATTCCCCACTGTGCCAAATGGACATCCGCCTCCCTACGAGGAAGCGATCGCAGCGCCCCATTCTGGCACTGCCGAGAAAACACCCCCTAAAATCGACACAATTGAGAAACCAGTTGACCCGACGAAAGTTGAGCTTAAGCCACCTGCGGCACCTGTTCCCTCGGGGGTCGTAAAGGGAACAAAGACAGGGTGGACGAGCAATATCAACCCCAAAGTAAAAAAATATGCCAAAAACGCGGCAATAGTAGGAGTATCTGCCGGTGCTCTTGGAGGAGCCCTCGGCGGCCTTTTATGGGCCGTATCCGGCTCGTGTACTGGGCCAGAGCATAATCCAGAGCGGCGCAGTGAGTTCTTTCTCTTCCCCTTCCCCTTCATCACGATTACTCAAATTGTATGTAGGCCCTTACGGTGGTGCGCACTGTTAATTCAGGATGGTGATTTTTTAATGGACTGGTACTCGACGCTCGTTATGTATGTCATGCTGGGTATGTAGAATGTTTGGATCGGAAGGGTATACTTGATTTGGTACATCAGTTGTATAGTACCTTACACTTTGTGTTTAAATTGCTTTGTGTTACACCAATGAGAACGCACGTACTATGGTTCACAGGGTACTTCCGTAAACAGGGTACTTCCGCATTTTTGAAAATCTCATATTTTGAACGTTTTAGGTCGATAAATGCTCTCAGACTTTTTATGTAGTACTTTCTAGGTTCTCTATAGACATACTGTACTATATGAAATAGATTGTATTCAGGGGATGCATATGTACAAAACCAAAATACTGTAATATACAAGCGTGACTTTAGATTGAAGCCTCAGGAACCGTACGAAGAGCTGGTAGATAGCTGTAAAAATGACATGGGCATTAAGTAGAGGTTCTCATCAGCTAGCATAGCAAATTTAAAAGCAATCCAATATGTTGTAGAGATTCGACAAGCAGATAAAGTGAAGAGGGTATGCGACGTGACAATATTTGATTCCAGCTTCATGCCGTAGCCTCGGCAAACCTCTGACACTCTCCAAAAGCGTGATCAACACAAGTTCTGCCTCAACCCTGCATCAAATGGCCAAGTGTGCCAGAGTGCCGAGCAGCGGCATTGATGTGACTCAGTGTGACCCAAGATGCGGAAGTACCCTGTTTTTCCTCGGTCATGGTCCGACGCTCTGTTTATGCCTTATCTGCTTTAACATGTAAGACAAAAGACAAGCTTAACATGATTCTAAATAAGACTGTCTACTCAGATTTTTATTTACTCAAAAATTTAAGACATTATTCGCAATATTCAAGAAATCGGAAGTACCCTGTGAACCATAGTAAATTTTTGAAAAAGACGGATTCCACAACAAAGATTCTGATCACGGCTTAATGGGAATTGAAATTTTTGACTTCTTACACTATGGACTCAACCGATTTTTTTTCTTTTCTTCATGGTGCCCCCGCAGAATCTGAAAAAAACGACATGGATGAAGAGATGGAGGAGGTTGATCCTCTAGAAACACTCCCACAAAAGCGAAAAGCAACAGAATCTTTTTCAAAACTTCCAGATGATTCAAGTTCATCCAAGAAGGCCAAAATGGAAGCCACACCTGCTACTGAATCTATATCAAATCCGGTTGTTCTCGATGACTTTGAAACAGAAGCCAAGCGAGAAGTTGCTGCCAGCGCTGGCTTAACGGGAGGCGTTGAAGCTGGTTCACGGTTAGAATTAAGGCATCAGGTACGATTTCCAAATTTCTGACTAGAGTGGCGTCTGAGCTTTCTGACAGGTTCGACATCAAGTTGCAGTTCCCCCAGGATACCCCTACATCCCAATTTCTCAACATGTACCTCCTGCAAAACCTGATCGAGAATATAAATTCGAACTGGATCCTTTTCAGAAGGTTTCTGTCCACGCTATTCAAAGAAACGAAAGTGTTCTTGTGTCTGCGCATACCAGTGCAGGTAAGACTGTCGTGGCAGAATATGCCATCGCCCATTGTCTGGCGCGGAAACAGCGTGTAATCTATACGAGTCCCATCAAGGCTAGTCCGGATGCCATTGGGTTCTACTATGGTCTCTCTGATTTCTTCTCTTCAGGCTCTCAGTAATCAAAAATATCGCGAAATGCTGGCTGAATTTGGGGACGTTGGCCTTATGACTGGAGACGTCACAATCAATCCCTCCGCAACTTGTCTCGTTATGACTACCGAGGTATGCAATCTGGTCATTTTCGCGTGTCCAAAACTTGAAGAATCATCAATAGATTTTACGCTCAATGTTATACCGAGGCTCTGAAATTATGCGTGAAGTCGCATGGGTTGTTTTCGATGAAATACATTACATGAGAGACAAGGAACGAGGTGTAGTCTGGGAAGAAACCATCATCCTCCTTCCCCATACTGTCCGATATGTCTTTTTGTCTGCAACAATACCAAATGCCATGCAGTTCGCCGAATGGATATGCAAATCGCATGAACAGCCTTGTCATGTCGTTTATACCGACTTCCGACCCACTCCATTGCAGCACTATCTTTTCCCGAAAGGCGGCGAAGGCATATATCTTGTCGTTAATGAGAAGGGCGAATTCCGAGAAGACAATTTCAGTAAGGCTATGGGTGAAATACAGGAACGCGCAGGAGAAGACCCTGCTGATCCTCGAAGCGGAAAAGGAAGAAAGGGAAAATCAAAAAAGGGCGGCGAAAAGAAAGGTGAGTGTCATGAGACAGGTATGATTTAAGCACAGTTTTGATTGTTCCATCAAGCTGTCTCCGACATTTCTCGAATTATCAAAATGATCATGGTAAAAAACTACAATCCGGTCATCGTGTTTTCGTTCAGCAAGCGTGAATGTGAAGCCAACGCGCTGCTAATGTCTAAATTCGAGTTCAATTCTACGGACGAGCAAGATCTCGTTACGAATATCTTCACCAATGCTATCGAGAATCTTTCTCCCGATGACCGAAATTTACCTCAAATAGCCCAGCTACTTCCCCTTTTGAGGCGTGGCATCGGTGTCCATCACAGTGGTCTTCTTCCTATTCTGAAGGAGGTCATCGAAATCTTGTTCCAGGAAGGACTCATCAAGGTTCTTTTCGCTACAGAGACTTTTTCTATCGGTTTGAACATGCCTGCTAAAACAGTTGTGTTCACTGACACACGCAAGTACGATGGACGCGAACAAAGAAGCTTATCTTCTGGCGAGTATATCCAGATGTCTGGACGAGCTGGTCGTCGTGGGCTCGACGACCGAGGAGTGGTGATCATGATGTGTGACGAGAAGTTGGAACCCAGCGTAGCCAAGGAAATGATCAAAGGAGAAGCAGATCGTCTTGATTCGGCTTTCCATATCGGTTACAACATGGTAATGAATCTCATGAAGGTGGAGGGCATTAGTCCAGAATTTATGTTGGAACGTTGCTTCCACCAATTTCAGAGTAGTACAGGCATACCGAAACTCCAAGAAGGTGAGCGCCGCGATTGAATACCCAGCCCCCATTCTCATCCGTGTGTTCCAGAACTGAAAACCGAAGAGAGAAGAAAGGACGATATTTCAATACCAGACGAAGAACGTGTTGCCGAATATTATGAATATCGTCAACAGTTAGATCTGATGGCAGCCGACTTTCGAGAAGTCATAACACATCCCAACTATGCTTTACCGTTCCTTAAGCCCGGACGTCTTGTAAAAGTCAAGTATGGCAATCTGGACTTTGGTTGGGGCGTCGTCATCAACTTCAGCAAGCGTTCACCCCCCAAAGTAAGGTTCATCCACATTTTGAAGAAAATGCTAATGCGCACTTTCTTTTCACTAGAATCAGCCTATGCTCAAGGTCGACATCCCGCCTCATGAACAATATATTGTCGACGTCCTACTGAATTGCGCGTCTGGGGGAAGTGTTTCCACGAAGGACAAGATCAACCCAACGCCTACGCCTGGAGGCATTCAACCATGTCCGCCGAATCAAAAAGGTTCTCCGCTCGTGGTCCCAGTAATTCTTTCCACACTTGAAGGGATAAGCCATCTGCGTATATACCTTCCCAAAGATCTACGACCCGATCTCAATCGCGAAACGGCGTGGAAGAGTATTCTTGAAGTTCAGCGTCGTTTTCCGGACGGCGTCCCACTTCTCGATCCAGTGAAGGATATGAAAATCAAGGATGAGAAATTTACTGCCCTTGTTCAGGTGTGTCGTAAACTGATATATCGGTCCATCACAGGGCTCAATTTATTTTGGTTCAGAAAATTGAAGCAATGGAAGACAAGATGTACAAAAATCCATTGCATACAGATCCTCGGCTTTCTGAATTATATGCCATGTATAAAAATAAGAAGGAGCTACAAGACTCGATTCGGTCTCTGAAGAAACGTATACAGTCAACACATGATGTTCTTCAAATGGAAGAACTGAAATGCAGGAAACGGGTACTACGTCGGTTGGGTTTCACAAGCGCAATGGATATCGTGGACACCAAAGGAAGAGTCGCTTGCGAAATCAGTACCGGGGACGAACTTTTGTTAACGGAGCTCATCTTCAATGGAGCATTTAATACACTGGCTCCAGAACATTGTGCGGCTCTCCTCAGCTGCTTTGTATTTGATGAGAAGGTCGTTCGTTCAAAGGTTTCACCTTGAGTCATATCTGAATTTTCGTTATACAGAGCGAAAAACAGACCAAGCTTAGTGAAGAGCTCGCTGCTCCGTTGCGCGTAATGCAAGAACTCGCCAAACGTATCGCCAAAGTGTCCATCGAATCCAAGTTGCCGCTGGATGAGGAGAAATATATCGCCTCGTTCAAGGTAGAGTTAATGGATGCTGTGATGCAATGGTGCCGCGGGGCGTCGTTCTCTGATATTTGCCAGGTGCGTTTTTCTTTCGCAATGTTCGCAAAAGTAATTAATCATTGTTCATCGTCAGCTCACCGACATATTCGAGGGCAGCATCATCCGTGTGTTTCGGCGATTGGGAGAGCTACTGCGTCAGATGGCAATGGGCGCTAAAGTGATTGGCAACACAGAGCTTCAGGAAAAATTTGAGAAGACCTCAGAGATGCTTGAACGTCCAAATTCTGTGATCTTCTGTTCCTCATTATATTTGTAGAGGATTTTCCTATATCGAGTATACATACAACCATCATTGAATGCATAGTGTGAGGAACTGGGCCTGGAAGCGCCCGAGTAGCTCCAGGCAAATCCCGGCGCTTGTAGTCTGTAGTTTTTGCGATCTTTAACCACTAAACCCTGCCTCCTAACATGGGCGGTCCTAATCTTGAAGTCTTCAAGTTTTCCTTGTATCTCTTCATCCCTATATGTGCCCTTCTTCACTTCGGTGATCCTCAATGGTACAGAAACACCGTCCTGCCTGTGAGCAATACACACTATTGTTGCATATCTTACGACCGTTCTAATCTCCCCCCCACCAGTATAAAGAGCAATTGTTTCCTCCGGAGCAAAGACTACTTCAGGCGACTTACAATTGCTATACTCAAGTGTGCTTAATATTCATCTATCCCTTTTAGCAACTACCTACAGACCAAAGTTCTCTTCGAGAAGAATTGGCCCGAATCAAAGGTGAAAGATTGGCGCGACGGCTGGCAAAGCAAGAGGAAAGTGAAAGAAGGTTATAAAGGACCTGACGGCTCGTAGGTATGCTACTTTCATGTCTAGGAATTTGTTGGCTACATCCTTGCTGCTAGAATATACGATAGATAATCAACCCTGCTCTGTTTTTTACATCTATTCTAAATGTCAGTCGCCAAACTAGCTCTGCTTCAGACTGTAGTCTACATCCACGATTTGTCCGTCATTCAAGACGACTTCCCAGTACCCGTTTACATTTCTCTCTATCTCGGCCCTCAACACTTCTTCATACTCCGCCAATTCGCGCAAGCTCACTTTGAAGCCGCCGCACACAATGAATACTATATTCCTTTTGCGTCCGTCAGAGCGTGGCGGGACAACAGCATCCAAAAGCTGAGGCTTGTACGCTGCCGCGAGAGTCGTTGAACAGGCCAACTCTACCAACGCTTTATGGTCGTCTGCAAGCAAACCTTAGCGTGCGTACAGTTATTAAGAAGAAAGACGCACCGGCGAATGCAACGGCTGATTGCATACTTAATTCATCCGGAATAGTCACGCAACGAATACCGCCTTCCCTCTCCAGTGCCATCCTGACACTACCGGTCGCAGGCTGCGATGCGCCAAGAGACCCAGAGGCTCTGGAATGAAAACTGTCAAATTGAGCCAGATCCAGTTTGGAGGCTTCATCGTGCACTTTTGTTACATATGAGGGGAGTTCGGTAGCAAATTTGCTGGATCCGGACGAGTTCAACAATATGGAATGATGGAAGCAGTTGGAACCCATAGTTTCCAGTGCAACAAGGGGCACTATATACACATATGCAGAAGTGAGTCCAGCATGTACATCTTGAGTATGACACTAACCATGATCCCATTGCACTTTTTTGCAGCCAACCATGATTCCCGCAAGCAGGCCGCCTCCTCCAACGCTACAACAAATGGCATCTGGCTCAGCCACCGACCATTGCTTCAACTGATTGAATGTCTCTGTTATCATGGAACTATGCCCTTCCCATAAGAGCGGCTCGTCGTACGCTGGCACCACGACACTGTTCGCAGTCCTTTCAGATTCAGACACACAACGATTTGCGAGACTCACGCGTTCTCATTCATCATGGCCCTTTCTTTTGCAGCATTGAAGGCCTCTAGGTAAAATTTCCCGGCAATCGCAACATCTGCATTCTGCTCCTTTAGCAATTCTACAGTGCTCTTTGACGCTCCTTCCGGAAGGAAAACAGTACATTTGGCCTCAGCAGCCTTCGCTGCGCACGCCACCGCAAGCCCTGCATTCCCTCCTGATGCTGTGACAAAGTGTACATCTCTGCCTTTCCTTTTCATAGTCTCGCGCACAAATAAGGACATTCCACGGAATTTGAACGAATATGAGGGATGCACATTCTGCAATGATAAACTTGGATCAGTATTCCGGGACAATCTCTCTGGATGCGAACCTCGAATTTGAGGAACGCGTTTACTCCAAGCAATCGCGAGATGGGTGCAGATAGTATAAGAGGTGTTTCCTGCCAAAGATATGGGCTATCCTGATCCATCTGTTGATGTAATTAGTCAAAAGTGAAAAATGCACCGGTCTCGGGTGGATAAACTGTTACGTGATGTCGGAGGACGCGTGCTGTCCGCGGACACGTCATGGTATAATCGGTGACTGGATTACCATGGCCTAGCTCAGACGAGATACTCAGGAGATACTTATGTCGACTGGATGGGTGTATAGTCACCGACTCTGAAAGAGGAGGTCCTTGTTCGCACCAAATGGCAATCAAAAGTCGCCAGTTTCTGTGATGGATCAGTCATCATTTATTTTTTCCAGTTAATTTCGGGGCACCCGGCACAGCCGAGCACAGGCTTAACCTCTGTCAGTGACCTGTCATATTGTTGGTAGATCCGACATTGGTCAACAGTCGCCACTTTGCTGTGATGGATCAGTCATCATTGATTTTTTTGAGTTAATTTCGGGGCACTCGGCACAGCCCAGGACAGCCTTAACCAGGTTTAACCTCTGTTACTGACCTGTCATATCGTAGGTGGATCTGACATTGGAAATTGGATAATCAGTTCAGAACAATGTTATTCAAATTATCAATACAATTGCCTGTGCCCTAGTGTTCCCTGCTGTGCTAGGGTTGAATGAAGATATTATTACATGCTGGTGCTTATTGCAGTTACTGTCGTATATTCAAACCAGTGTGCGGCGATGGTAGAAATGCAGTGATGGTAGAAATGCAGTGATACACTCTGATGCAGCTTGTTCGATCCATCTATGTTAAATCTCACAATCTCACAATGGAACAGTCTGGAACAACCAAGAGCCTTCGGTGTCATATCAATCAATCAATTTGTTATTGAACATCAGTGTGATGTATAGCCTTTGCTTATATCAACTGCATTATGAATTGTTGTATTATTGCTGTATCAGGATTGGTGAGGTCATGCATGTAACTTATATAAAAGTCTTCATTCTATAAAAGTCTTGATTCACTTCTTATTCTGTCATGGATACCTTTCAGGTTGCACTCAATTCACAATCTTTGCTTGTGCCCCACTGGGTATTGCCAGAAAATATTGTTGCATGTGAATCTGATTTCCAGAAGTTATCATTGCGTCTCTTTCCACATTATTTGCAATCTCTGAAGAAGGATGTAGCTGTTGCTCAACTTATTCAGTGTTTGATTGAATTTTCTCATCGTTCATTTAAGGTGACGGATTATGTTTCATCATCATTGTATTCTGTTGTTCATGACACATGCATTGCTTTGTTTGGCAGTGATATACCTGAACTTCTTTATCAAAATTATCACAAATTTAATGGTGCTCGTGAGCGCATTGATGATGTTATTGCTCATGGTGATGTTTTGTCTATAACTTGCAATGTTTTTCAACAGTTATCCACTGAGGATCTGCAGTTTTTGAGAAGTTCTCTTCGGATTACTGAGTGCCATCATAAAAATGGACGTATTTTTTGTTGTTTACCTAAATATGGTCAACCTGAATTGAAGTCAGTTCATTTGTGCAAGCTGATTGCAAGATGTCTGCAAAGGGATTACCTTCATTTCTATGAAATGGCTGATGATTATCTTGCTGATAGCTATTTGTATTATTATCATATTCCATGCTCACAATTGTTATCAATTCAGGAGGTAGTCTGTTGTGTATTGACATGTCTAGGTTATCCATTGCATGCATTGAAAAACATTGTGAAATTGACAGCTACTGTAGCTATTCAGCATTCTCCCCAGAAGAAATACAATGAACAACGGAAGGATGCTCGGCGAAAGTCACGCATTCAACGTGGAAATGAGGAATATGATTTACTTCATAAGTCATCTGAATCTTGGCCTCAACTTGTTCCATTTGCTGTGTCTATGAGTTGTATTGCAAAATATCGCCAGTCTATACAGTATATTGTTCCTTCCATTTGTGCTTGTTGTGGTTCTGAAGACAGAAAGTTTACAGGTTGTTACTTACCACAATCACAGTGGCCAGTAATGTCTTTTCTAACTGTGGAGGATCCTTTCATTCTTTCTCATACACCTCAGGCCCGCTTTACTTATATTTGTCAAGATTTAGATGGATTGCTTTTGGATCCAAGGGGAATCCGTTCACTTGATCTTGGCTGTACAGTATTTGAAATGTATCTATGTCATGAATGTCTTCTTTACATGCAGCGTAGTACCATGCCCCGTTTGGCATTGAATAATCATTTGTATCGTGGTGAGTTACCTGAAAATCTACAAAATGTCTCTTGGGTGGAAGAGATGGCTTGTAGTATTTACCGCACTTCTGCTCATGTCACACGTATATTTGGTTCATCCAGTGAATGTGATCCATTTCAATTGCATGGAAACACTTGTGCTCATCCACTCAACATATGTTATACTGCAAAGAGGTTGCCATGGAGTCCAGCTGATCTTAATGATTTGATTAGTATCATTTTTGTTGGACCAAGAAAGCTTACAAATGAAGACTTGCAAAAGCTAACACCTTTTTTTGTTCGGAGAACTGTTATTCAAATGTTGTTGTTATATTTGCAACAGCATAACCGTTTGTATATTGAATTACCTCCTATTGATGAAGAAATTCTAGCAATGTATCCAGATAATGATTTATTACCTGGATTGCAGGATCGTTTTATTTATGATCATGATACTTCTGTACCAGAAGTGTTTGGAATTGAATCAGATGGTTTTGATGATCATCCTGCAGATTTGCTCAGTCATCAGAATGAAGTATTGCTGGAGCGTTCAGGTGTATATGATTCAGAATCACAGGATGTTCCTGCCCGTTTCATGACTGCGTCATCCATACATAATATAGCTCAAGCTTTGCCTTCAACTGGGTTTGGCACCTCAGATTTCATTATACGATATGGTAAAGATCCTATTGATGAGTATAATAACCCTGATTTGTTTCCTGGTATGTTTCCTACATTGTATCCATTAGGAATTGGTGGTTTTGAAGATCATTGTCAATGTCCTGCCATTTCATTTGAAGCTCATGTTCAGCATTTACTTGATCAATCACTACGCAATTTTCGTTATCATCATTTCTTTTCTTTTGTTGCATTGAATGTAATACAAAGAAGAAAGGCTCATCTGCATACGTCTTTGTCAATATCTTCTAATAAGTATGATTATATTGCATCTGAGCTGCTGGCTGTTACTCCACAGATATTATCAAATTTGGCCCATAAATTGAAGAATGAAAGTGACAATTCTTCATTTACAGATGATGAGCAGCATGCATTTAGATTATTAAAGGAAGTCAACATCATTGCTGCTAAAATTCCTGGATCTCAAGCATCTAAAACAAGAATAAGACAACAAATAAGAAGTTATTTTGCATACTTTGGTTTACCTCAGCTGTTTGTTACACTTAATCCTTCAGCTGTACATAGTCCAGTTTTCCAAGTAATGTATGGTGATCAGAATGTCAATTTAAGTTTGCGTTTTCCTGTTGTTGTGCAGCCACGTTCTGAGCGTGCTTTCCGAGTTGCTCATGATCCAATTGCTGCTGCTGACTTTTTTGATTTCATGTACCATGTAACATTTCAAGACTTATTTGGATGGGATTTTAAAAATGGTAAAAGTACACAGCAAGGAGGTCTGTTTGGTCATCTCCGTGCATTTTATGGATGTGCAGAGCTTACTGAACGTGGGTGTTTTCATGGACATTATTTATTATTTCTTCGGGGTGGTTTGAATCCTTCAGATGTGCATAAAAAAATGCACCATGTTGAAGAATATCACAAACAATTTTTTTCATTTTTTGAAGATATTATTCATCATCATCTTCCAAATACAGATTACAGTTCTGCTTCACAATATGAATCAAGGTCAGAAATGCCTCCTGATGTTCCTGAATTGGATTCTGAAGGTGATGATTCAAATGAATTATTATTAGCATGGCAAAAATTGTTTACTGATGAGCACAAAAAAGTAGGTGAACAGCTGCAACGTCATCGCTGTAGGCCTGTTTGTCATAAAGGAAAGTCAGCTAACAGTGATTGCCGTTTTGGATATCCTCATGATGTAGTGGAGCATTCAAGTTTTGATTTAAATCATAATTCAATCATTTTATCAAGAAAAGAAAGTGATGTGAATGGTCATAACCCTTTCTTATTAGTGTATACAAGGCATAATCATGATGTCAAGTGCATTCTTTCAGGGAGAGCAGCTAAGGCAGCCATGTTTTATATATCTGATTATATAACAAAAATGCCTCTTAATACTGAAGCATTGCTATCAACATTGTCAAAAGCAGTAGCATCAGTAACATATGAAGATATTGATGAAACACCAGTTATGAATGCAAAGAGACTTTTACATCGTTGCTTAACACATTTTGGCAGGAAACAGCAGATACATTCTCAGCAGTGTGCACGTTATCTACGGGGACTTACTGATAGTATGAGTTCTCATTCAACAATTCCATTGCCATCTGCAAGTTTGATGATGTTTGTGCAGAACCAGTATAGGCATCTTCTAGGCAAGTATTTGAATCAGGATTGTAGTGATAATCTAGACATACAAGTTCATTTTGGTTTCAGAGAAGGCAAGTTAGTACACTCTAATCAAGTGATTGATTATTGGTATCGTGATTCTTCGCTTAGTGATATGTGTTTTTATGATTTTATCAAATACGTTTCATTGCAGGCACAAAGTAAAACTAAAACTGCTCACAACTCTGATACACGTATTGGTGTATTGAGGCGTCATAAACTGTTGTCTGGGCATCCTTTACAGTCTACACATGAGCTTATTCAGCACACTAATTTCAAACAAGGAGATGTAGGCAAAGAGTTTGTTCCAATGATGATGGGTGCAGTTCCTCCAAGAAAAACTGACAAATTATATGCATTATTTGTTCTTGCTCATTTCAAAGAGTTTTCGAATCTGAATCCATTGATCTCATCAAATGATGTTGACAGTGAATTCAACTGCTTTCATTTGCATGCTGACCATCAGCAAATATTGAATAACTGGGAGGAAATTCATGAATGTGCTGATCAGCGAGATGCAGAGCGGTTGCGTAAAAAAGCTAGTGAATTGGCTAAATCTTCTCATTTACTTATTGGCACGGAGAATGTGTTAGATGATGATGAATATGCTGATTATAATTTTGTTCTTCCCAAAGGAGTTCAAGATATTGAGTTAAATATATCTTCCAATATGCAACAAATGCAGTTGTTGAAAACAGATCTTTGTAGTGCAGCATGGCTAAGTTCACCTCCATCTGCATTGAGATTGTCAATTCAAAAAGATGCTTTAGTCAGTCCAATGTTGCCATCATTGACAATTCAAAAAGTTGATAAGTGGCTCAAAGAAGGAAAGTTAGAAGCTGAGAGACTTGCAAATATCCGATATAAGCATTCCAATATTTCTAATCAAAGTTCATCAGATATTCCTAATGCTGACTCTGAAGTGCATCAATTTTCTGTGTCTTATAGCTTCCAAGGCACTGACAATTCATCAAATCCAACATCAAATGTATTGACAGCTTCACAGTTGAAAGATAAAATTGCCAATGAGTTTAGTTTGAATAGCAAACAGCAGTTTGCATTTGATATTATTGCATCATTTATCATATTTAGAGAGATTTTCAAGCTACCTGAATGGATTGCTAAAGAACCAATGGTGATGCTCTTGACAGGTCCGGGAGGTACTGGCAAGACACATATTGTGCAAGCAGTGCAAAAGGTTATGGAATATTACAGAATGGATCATGGTTATCGAGCACTTGCACCTACAGGAAATGCAGCATCACTCATTAATGGGAGAACCATTCATAGTGGTCTTAAAATAAGGGTTCGGGAACATAAAAATGGTAAATCTCACAGGCCTCTTGGTGAACTTAATGAAAACATTGTGGTGTCTGCAAGTGTGAAGAAAAATAATAACCTTCGCATGGAATGGAAAGATGTTTGCTTGTTGTTGATTGATGAGATTTCAATGGTTGATTCAATGTTGTTAGCTGACGTTGATGCTTCTTTGCGTTATGCTAAAGAAAAACCAAATGATTTCTTTGGTGGAATAAATGTTATCTTTTGTGGTGATCCTTTTCAGTATCCACCAGTTGGTACTCCATTGTATGCACCTATCCGCTCAGTATCAATACAAACGGATGAGGAAATGATGCGGAGATTAGGTCGTATTGCATGGAAATCAATCAATACAGTCATAGAACTTGATGAGCAAAAGCGCATGCAAGGAGATCCAGAATATGCAGCTGCTGTAGGGCGTTTACGTACAAGAGAATGTATTCAAAGTGATGTTGAACTTTTCAATACTCGAGCTATCCGAACATTAAGTAATCCGCAAGGTGTAATGTTCACAGCAGAACAGCAGTATATGGCTTCAATTATTGTATCTAAGAATTCTGTTCGTCAGGCATTGAATGATTTTAAAACTACAGCCATTTGTGGTGGTGAAGAGGGACCAGAGCTTATTGAGGTTGTTGCCCATGACCAATTGCAATATAAGAGACATACAAATGCTAATTTGAATGGAAAAAAAGTATATCCATCACTTGCACAGCAACACCAATTGTTAGCCATGGATACATCATCTGGAAAATTGAAAGATGGATTGCCAGGTATATTGAAGCTCTATATTGGTATGCCCATTATCATGAAACATGAAAATTTGAATACTGAACTTGGAGTAAACAATGGTTCCAGAGGTTTCCTAAGAAAGTTAGACTTATCTGTAGATAACAATGGATTTACATATTGTAAGTATGCTTTGGTTGAGTTTCCAGATAGTAAAGTTAATCTTTCAGGTTTGCCATTACACTTTTTTCCAGTAAAAGCACGTTCTTGGAAGTGTTCCACCTTCATTGTTGATGAGAATGAAAAGAAAATTTTGGTTTCTGTTACCCGTACACAGTTGCCCTTTGAACCATTGTTTGCACTTACCGGTCAAGGAGCTCAAGGTCATACACTTGCTGCCATTTTATGTATGTTACATTTGGGTGGGTTTGGAGCTTATGTTGCTGCATCAAGGCCTCGAAGTCGTGATGGTCTGTTCATTACTAAAAAGGTTACTCTTAATGATTTAAATACACCTGGTATTCCTTATGATTTATGGTTTGAAACACAACGTTTTCATGTAATGGCTTATAATACAATGGTAATTTGGGGGTTTTGTAAGGGTGAATTGAAAGAAGTTGTTGATGCTGAATCTGAGAAAAGGGGCAATTTTTCTAAGGTCCACTATCAGTTTGGTGATGATAGGCATGATGAGCAGCATCATGTGTCATTGGACACAGAAAGAGATCATGTCAAGAAAGATAAAGTAATTGATGGACCCACAAAAAGTCAATCACCTTCTTTTGCTCAGTCTGGTCCTTTATGGGATCATGTCAATTGGAGTTGTGCTTTTGATTCAGCATTTGTTGTGTTGTATAATTGTTTTGTTTCAATGTCAATGCAGAATCAACATATATGGCAGAATCAATCAAGATCAAAACATATATTTACATTATTTAGTAGCTTATCTGGAATTCATGCAGATTCTACAAATCAATTGCTGTGGAATGATATGAGGAATCAGTGGCGTGATGTACTTTTTAAAGAGCATGGTTCAACATGTGAACGTTATGGTCCTGTTCTGTTATCTGTTTCAACTATCCTGGCATGGCATGTTCCATTATCTCATGCTGTGTTGGCTACTTTTTGTCCGTCACATCAAATTTTGCATCAATATAAATCTTATATCTATTGTTCAAATTTGATTTTTCCTCATTCAAAGCCTTTGCTTTCACAGAATAATATGAATATGTCTGTTCAATGTTATGTAGATGCATTCAATGAATTTACAGATCATGGTATAACTAGTTGTCTTACTGATAGCGATATGGTTTGTAATCGCACTTGTCACTCTATAGTGAATATTACAGATGATATTTCACAAGTCATTATTTTTGAGCTCAATGGTGTCAAGACAATTGTTCCTTCATTAGAGTTGACTGTTCCTTTCCATGATACTGATATTCAGCTAAAATATAAATTGAGTGGTATAATCTATTTTGGTTCCCATCATTTCACAGTTAGGATCTTCAATGAAAGTGGTATTTGGAAGTATGACGGTCAAGTTGATAATGGTTATTTTCAGCAAGATCATATTATATCTGATATTGAGTTGATGGAGTTGTTTGGAAGACATGCTCATGTGTTGTTATATACATTCTCATCATCACATACCAATGTTGATGTTAATATGTAATGGTACCTTATTTGTTGTTTACATACCTTTTTTATTCATATAGTTGTAGTTTATGTTTTTTCTTTCATTTATATTGATTTTGTTCCTTTTTTCATATTCTATTATCTCCCGAACTTCAAAATGATCTAACCTTCATTGGAGCACACCTGTACTTTGATGTTGAGCTTGGGCAACTCTGTGGGTTGTCCCTGCTCAAGGAAAACTCCACACCGACGCGGAAGAGCAGCGACGGAAGGAAAACGGAGAGTACAGATGCATGATGTATGCAGGTAAGAGCTGGGAAAGGGACAAGTCCAAGACAAAAATTTCCTGTGCTTTGGAGATGGTCGCCAGCGAAGTTAGGTTGGGAAGTAACATTGGTGCCGGTAGTTTCATTTTATATAACTGATTGACAAATTGTTAACTCTATTCAAATAGTCGTCATGCAGAGCGTCTTATGTTTCCCTTATCATTGGGGGCAGAAAGATCGAACAGCTTCAACAAAATATCAAGCCGCTTGATATTTGGCCTAGCAAAGGACAAATACAGTTCTTGGAGGGTGTCCTCTCTTTTGATCAACGATTTGCTCACAACATGGTGGTCTGTGTCTTCTCTGTACAGACTTTCTGTCCATGAGCTGAATTGCCAACTCAAATAGGGAGATGGAACGAAGTCTCATTCCATGTCCTCCTTCACCTCAAGTACCACTCCCTTGGATACTCATTACCGAGACCCACTACCGAAACAAAGTGAGATGAAGCAAAACCGAGTGGACTCTCTACCATGCCTCACGTCCACCACCACACTATTCTAACACTCCCTTACTTCTCCGCAGCCTTCTACGGAGAAACGACGGCTAGTCTCTCCAATCATGGATGGCTGGTACTGGTGTCGAACAAAGGTTAGCTAACTCCCTCACGCCTGAGGAACGTCGTCTCGGTGGAATCTTCGCACTTGCAGTCACGGGCGTTGACGAATTCTACAGCGAGAGCAAGAGGAAGGGCAAACACAATAAAGGTTTGAGTCTGGGGTGTATAAGCAGAATTCTTTATACCGCCTGTGGTTCCAGGGTGTTTGGTGAGTGAAGTTCACTTTCTTTCCGTTGCGCCTTTTATCCTTCGGATCCTTTACCTTGTTTTTTGTGTTCTTTGCGTTCCTTCTTTGCTTCAATTCCCTTCCCTCTCCTCTGTCATCGCGTTAGCTGCTGGTCATTCATTCTTTAGTCTCCCTTTTTGGGCGTCGTGCTTTTCCTCCTCGTTCCTCCGTCGTTCGCTTTCTCCCAGGCGCTACCTGCTTTGCTGATGTAATCCTTTTGTCTCTTTTGTTCTCCGTTCGTCATTCTCCACTCTTTCCCTCTTCTTCTCCTTTCCTCCTCCCTGTTCTCTTTCTTTCTGTATCTCCTGTCCTATGCTTTATCTAACACCCCCTCCCTTTGTCTCATAGTAGGTACCCCTCCAGGAAGAAACCAAAGAGGGAATAAGGGAGGGAATGAAGAAAATCTTGTTACGCCATGCGACAGGACGATGGCATCACGGAACGAAATATCATGTGGGGTGTATCATTCCCACTCGTTTGTCTTTCGAATCCAACCCCGGTTGCGGCTCCCCTTCACTCCCAGTTCGCCTTCTCTCTGACTTTACATTCTCCGACTCCAACTCTAATCCCTCCAACTTCAGTACATCCTATGCCTACGCCTACACCTACGCCACCGTCCCTGCCTTCAAAGCCGAATTCGAATCGATGTGGGGTATGGGTATAGGTGGAGGAGAACCTTCGGCATTGTCGTCGTTGTCGTCGTTGTCAGCACAACCCAGTGGGTTAACACGCCAACCGTTACACAGCCTCGCTCTTCCATCGTCGTTGTCAAGCAAAAGACCAGCATCCAAACAACATCACGATGACCACCACCACAATGACACAACTCCTACCACCACAACTCCTGCCACCACAACTCTTACCACTTTTCTGCAGCCTCCAACGAAGAAACAGCGCATTAGCGTCTCCCCTATCCGTCACCTCATGCTTTGTGTTATTTGTTGTTGATCTGCTCCAATTCCCTTCCCTTCCCTTCCCTTTGTCATCACATTAGTCTCCCCTTTTAGACTTCGTGCCATTCCTCCTCGTTTATCTTTAACTGTTCCTCGTCCCTCCGTCGTTGGCGCTAGCGATTTTGCTGATGTAATATCCTTGTTCTCCTTTCTCCCTCCATTCATTATCCATCCCTCCGTTCTCCTCCGTTCTCCTCCGTTCCCTGTCTCCCGTCCTATTCTCTATCTAACACCACCTCTTTTCCTCCCCCCGAGTCGTGCAAGAAGGTCCAGTCTCAACAGGCTATCAAGCTTACGGATTAATTCTCAGCAGATCACTACATAGCACTAAATAAAGTCCTCATCGCAAACCACCGCAGCCAAAGCTACTGGCTCGAATGTCAAAATGAACCCTCAATTGTACAAACGCAACCATGATTCTGTGGTGGTTGTGTTTGTTTAAATAATCGCCAGTGAGCCTAGGTTTAGTCAATCCACATTCCTGGGGTGATTCCTTCCTATGAGCTTTAGAATTATCGGAGTTTTTTCTCACAGCTTTCTTTTCATCTACCAGATCGCTTTATAAGACATGCTTTTACTTTGATCCCCACTGTCTTGTGTTCTGGGTGTGCCTCCCATCAGATCCGTTGTTGAATTTGAAGAATGTGAAGGAGGAACTGCGGTGAGTACAAGATGGGTATAGGTTGTGCAACGTGACGAGGTGTGATACGTGCGCGTTGGAGTTTGTGGATCCTCGTCAAAGTGCTTTCCTTATACTGTCGGTATCGCAGGTGGTCCTTCTTCTCTCATGATCTGTGGGATATGTAGCTCACAACTTTAAGCATTCAGTCTCTCCTCCTGCTTTTCCAAATTCTCCGAATCACATCAACATCTTGCGTTCCAATTCTCCAGGTGCAACGGTTCCACAAACTTGTTTTCGAATCTAAAATGAAGAATATACATTTAGATTAGAAGTTGATGGGCGTCGGACATTGTTGGATTTATCCATGCGATAAGCCATCTTCGTCTCGGAAGAATCTTTTTTCCCCAGGGATTTCTGGACCAAATGACATTGAATGTGTGCACATATTGCATGAAGCAAGATATATCTGCTCTTGAACTCTCTTCTTGTCGAGTATACAGCACAATCATCATATTGATGAACACTCCTATAACCCTAATGCATATTGCTGGGGTGGAAATTTTCTCTAGTTACTGCTATAGTGTGAGACTTCATGCTGTGTGGAACCAGGATTTAACATGTTAGGGATGGATAATTTGGTTGACAAACTTGAGGACGAGGATAGCTCAGAGGACGTCACTGAATCAGAAGTAGTTCTCCAACTTGGAGTCTCCCGATTTTGATTGGCAGAAGGGATGTCCTGCGGTGATTTTGACGAATTCAAAATCTGCGATTCGACCAAAGCCGTGAGCCAGCGCAGTAGGCTGGGTGTACGTGTAAGTGTCGTCAACCTGACGCCTGTTGTCTGACTCACATTGCGGACATGATATCAATCTGCATACTATCTGCAAAGGATACGTGGGAGGGTGTGAAAGAGTGCGTGATAATGTCCTCGCACTAGATGTACAAGCAGATCTAGCTGGTGGTTTTTTTGAACCGAGTTTTCCATCGGAGGGTCATAATCGTCTCTGTCAGACTGTTTATCCACATCCTGCAACTGCATCTGAAAGCTACATTCCATGGTTAATGGATTAAAAAAAGCTCGTGCTGGAGCAGAAGACAATTGAACCTCCATCGTAGATTCCGGATTGTTTCTTGGTTTTCTGCGCCGTAATGGAGGCGAAGTTGGATAAAGGAAAGGAGATGCATGGGTTGCTGCCAGGAGAGCTTCCCGTGATAGTAAAGAGTCAGGTCGAGGCTCATTCTGAGATACGAGCTGCCAGGGAGGAGGTACTGCCTCTTGACAGTTCGAACAATTCTTCCAGTTGATTACGAATACAAGTCATTTATGAACATATACGCTTTTAAAGTTCCATTTTCTGAATTGACATTATGCTAATTTAAGGAGCACGTCTATGGAGTACAATGAAAGCCTCACTTGCTTTAGCGCAGTGCGCAGCTCTGATACCACGCGTTTCAAGCCGTTTGGAGTGTATGAATGTTTGACGCCACCTTTGTATCTCCGGATCGAAGGGGAAGTGAAACCGGTCATGAGCATTGTAGGTCGAAAAAAGTTCATTTTATTACTGCCTCAACCTTAACTGGAGTAAAATCATGTTGAGAACCTCTTCAAACTAGGCAGGAACTACCACAAACAGAAGCAATTGACGGGAATGTACACCTGGCAAATGCTGGCAAATGGCTGCACAATCACTCAGCTGAATGATTGCTCCTGCTAGTTATCTGCGAAGGTATACTCATCCGGATTATTGTTATCTGTGCTGAGAAGAACTTAAGGCTTCCGGTACAGTAAGGTTGCGGTGATAAGCAATTCAGAAGTTTGCGTGTGAGATATGACGTAATAAGCACGGGTGCGATTCAAGGGACAGGGTAACCTACATTCATTCTGTAGATTGACTTTCACTGACAATTTCCAACAGAATAGATGAACTACTTTTCACCGAGGTCACCTGACTCCTTCAGACCATCAAAATGTCTTCATGGCATATCGGATGCAATCTCCAAGCTGATATATGTAATGACTTGAGTGCAAAGACCAAAAGACGTGCGTTTAGTTTCTAGACTGTACATTCATTGATGTGAACTAACAACCTTTTCTTTCTCCTTTAATAGTGTTCAGAATGATAATTTCATCGAATCCACCACCAGATAACGTAGCTGTGAATTTCCAGCAAGTCGAACATAAATGTGAAGTCGTTGTATAAGGCCGGGCAAGGGAAGATTGGAACAGATGAAGTACAGTCAATATTACTTACTGAAAAGACAATCCAAACCTTATTGGCAGATCATATTCTGTGCTATTATCAATCGCTCGAAACCTCGCTTAGCAGCACTGTAAGTCAATCATCTTCAGTTTCGGGATGATTGTGAGGACAAAGTCAGGACAGTGCTTACCTTATTTGTAGATGCAATGCATACTGTATGGAATACAAATCGCTCACAACAGTGATCAAGTCTGAGTTGTGGGTGCTTTTTATTAATTCTTCTTACTGTCACTAATTTTTACGTTGTGTGTTTTATCGTGCAGCTCCGGTCACAGTGTTGAAAGCCCTGAAAGTAGTGTCGAACCCTGCTGTAGTGCACAATGTGAGCAGAGTGAGACACAGTGGCAAAGACATAGGTTTTAAAGCTTGCATTGAAAGCATTACAAACATCATACCACTATGTATCAATTATCTCAAGGCACATTAGCAAATTTTGTCACATCTATTCACATGTTTCTTGCAGTCATATCAGTATAAGTACACATGTATGTTGTTCCTTATTTTGCAACATTTTCAATGAAATTGTGAAGATTCTGTCCATTCACTGCATAGTAATATTTGATCAGTCATACTGCATATTATAGTAGATATAATAATTCACCGTTTCCTTTCATTCCAATATTCAATGTCCATCAGTTCAGACTGTGCACTTCTCTCCTTATTCTGACAAAGTTGGACAAATGTTTCCACCAAATTCTTCACAATAATATTGGAGAAGTATGGTTGAAGTACATTGACTTTTGTGCGACAGATAGGGCAAGTTTTACCTCTCTGTAAATATATATTGTCAATAATTTATACAAAAGAAGAAAAATGAAATACTTCCACTTACTTTGGAGTATAACCATGACATCCCACATGGTGCACAGACAGTATGTCCACATGGATTGACAATTTGTGGATCAATACTATGTGATGTTTACTTCATAAAGTTGTAAAGTAGCATACATATACCTACAACAGATCACGGCAACTGTATATGGAGTATGGGCTCAAATATTGCAAAGAATAATCAACATTATGCACTTACATTGGACATTCAAGGTCTGTTTTGAATGAATTGTTGGAAGGGAAATTGATATCATCTATCTGTGCTTTGCCCTTTCCCTTTGGTGATGAATTTTTGTTGTCAACTGAGTTTAGCCGTGGTTGGCTTGGGGTTGCATCTGAGGTTGAGTATAAGACGTAACAATTAAAGTGTACTTCTGGTTACTTGCATGTATAAGCAGTTGAGTTAGTAAACAATCCATATTCAACTGTTTGAAGTTGTTGTAGAAAAGATTCATTGAAGTGGTTATTGTCAGCAGAGAAGTACAAGGTTTGAGGTGTGATTGTCCTTCTTTGGTTATAATGAAAATTCAAAGTTGGGAATAATGATTCTTCAGTAAATTCATCTGCAAGTAACATCAGGTCAGGAATATTTTTCTATGTATTGCAATAAGATGTTAACTTGTTATTTGAGTGGTGGCTGCGTTGATAGAAATATTTGAAGAGTGCATTGGCTGCAGGCTGTAAACATTATCTATTGAAACAATCATTTTCAATAGTTGCAATGAGCTTTGAAGTCATTATCAATTGTGACCATACCTAATGTGTTGTTTTCAATTGATTGGTGCTGATCAATATTGGGGATGCCACCATCAATATCCCCAGAGGCAGGAGGTAGAATAGTATTGTTGAATGTTTCATCATCAGACATTGCAGTATTCTGAGCATAAGTGCTTTATTTCTACAGCGCATATATATAGTTGAACACCTTTTCAATCATTATGACAGATGATGCATAATATTGCCAATTAGCTACTTTGAGTAGATGATCCAATCTTGCTATGTATGTATCGAATTTGACACCTTTATGCCTGCCATTTCTTAGCATTGATAATTTTGCACTGCTCATGCATTGTAGTGTGTTTGATAGTGCTTCATCGGATACTGATCATTGTTTTCATGATTCATCAGACACTGGTTGTAAACTGTGATGTGTTTCATAGTGGCTCGTGATATCAGGGGGCCGGTGTGTGCAATGTTTTTGCACACAGACAGAATACTGCCATTGGTGAATTTGTGCACATGATAAACTGTATCATAAGCTGTAGTGTGTTTGATAGTGTTTCATCGGATAGTAATTGTTGTTTCATCAGACTATAATGTTATTACATTTGCACTGGTTATACATTGTGATGTGTTTCATAGTGTCTCATGATATTAGTGGTTCAATGTGTGTGTAATGTTTTGGCACACAGAGAAAATACTGCCATTGGTGAATTTCCACTGATCATAAACTGTAGTGTGTTTGATAGTGTTTCATCGGATAGTAATTGTTCTTTCATCAGACTATGATGTTATTAGATTTGCACTGGTTATACACTGTGATGTGTTTCATAGTGCCTCATGATATCAGTGGTCCAATGTGTGTAATGTTTTGGCACACAGAGAAAATACTGCCATTGGTGAATTTCCACTGATCATGAATTGTAGTGTGTTTGATAGTGTCATCAGATACTGATTATTGTCTCATCAGACCATAATCTTATTAGATTTGCACTGGTTATACATTGTGATGTGTTTCATAGTGCCTCATGATATCAGTGGTCCAATGTGTGTAATGTTTTTGTACACAGAGAAAATACTGCCATTGGTGAACTTCTACTGATCATAAACTGTAGTGTGTTTGATAGTGTTTCATCGGATAGTAATTGTTGTTTCATCAGACTATAATCTTATTAGATTTGCACTGGTTATACATTGTTATGTGTTTCATACTGCCTCATGAGATCAGGGGTCCAATCTGTGTAATGTTTTTATTCCTAGATTTAACATCTTTGTAGGTCTCATTCATGAAAAGAGGTAGGTTTGCACTGCTCATGAACTGCCCTGTATTTCATAGTATCTGTTGATGCAGTGATGATTGTTTCATTATAATAGCATCTGAGATGTACTGAATGTTAAGTTTGCTTCAAGTGTAATTGAGTGCGATTGGCAATATATCATTGCCAGCGTATCACATATTGTGTTGTTTGTGGATTTACCAAACTAGTATATCCATTCATTTGGTATGGCTTCTATATATAGGTGTTATTGTTTTGGAACTTTTTGATCCATTTCCACATTTCAGTAAATCAACATTATGAGCACACACTCAACTCCAATTCCGCTTTCTCCAGAGCTGCTTCTTCGAACATTTGCATTCATTCCAATACCATGTCTACCACCAGTTGCTTTGGCTTCAAAGCATATCCGATCTCTGGTGTATGTTGACTTATACAATTCTGTTCCGAGCTCCTCTTTGCCCTCTCTTGGTACCACATATAGGAGGAACATTCTTCACTCAGAATGCCATCCAGCTGCATTTGTCAGATCTCTTACAATATCAGATTACAACGCAACCCCGAAGGATGCACATGTTACCCGCAAATTTCTCTTAAAGCATCTTCTTGGTGCTTTGGAAAAGATTGCAGTACATTCGCCACGGAAATCACTGGTGCAATTGCGAATTTGTTCAGTTCATGTCATCCTTGAAGAAATTTTCCCCGGTCGGATACCAATAGCAGTTCAGAACATTGACAAATTAGCTGTCCAGTGTTCCATGTACAGTAATGTGTTCAAATTTAGTGCTGTATTGGTGAGTTTCAAACTTTATATTGTTGGTTTTTATGTAACATGCATCACAATTTAGACCAAACTAATCACATCCAAATTGATTGCATTGGATATTGATTTCAACCGTTTGGTGATTTATCCAGGTACATTTCACATTTTGAAAGATGATTCACAATTTTAATTTGACTGGTGCAGTAGATGACAGTTCCATCTGTGATTCATTGATGATGTTGGCTTGCTCCAATCCATCCCTACAAACATTACAGTTATCCCTGCATCCAAACTCAGCTTTCCAAGGAGTCTTCAACAATGCATTGTTTTACTTTCCAATGCTGCATTTTTTTTCCTACACCAGTCCTAATGGTTCAATTCACATCCACAAATTCCTTCGACGTCATGAACAATTGCGCTCATTCACTTATCTAGTCGATGAATATGCAATGTCGGAGAGCAGTGACATAATGGATTTTGTCATGCTTCCTAACCTCTCCACATTCAGAGGCAGCCCCTCAAATGCTTATGTGATTTGCAATTCACATTTCCGCATGACGGATAATTTGTATTTGGAGATAGAGGATGATGACGATCCATATGTTGAGAAGCTATTGGAGGTTCTCAATCATTTACAGGCTGTCCGGAAACTGATTTTGAATATCAAACTGGAATGTGCAACACATATCATTTACAAATTCCTGAATGTTTGCCCTTTTCTAACATTCATTGGTTGCAAAGTGGTTCCACTGTCAAATATAACAGAGGTAAGTATATGAAATTTGCAATATTGAACAAAATTAACATTCGCGTGTCTGAAGGATTCATTTTTTCAAATGAAATTCTTGTATCAAGCAATATTCGAATCATCTCCGGTTATGAAATCTGTGAAGTTTTGGATTCAACAGTCAAATGATGACATTCTTGAACATAACTATGTTTTGCTTCATGAAAAGGCATTTAATTCTATTTCGACACAGTTGAAATCTACTGTGCATATCGAAGTTCATACAGGTACTGTTAATCCAGAATTATCAAATTGTTTTTGAAATTTGTTTTATCTACAAAGTGTAGTGATACAGTGATAACTTTTCTGTTTCTATCTTCACTGCTTGTTCTAACTTGGAATAAAGGAAATATGTTGTATCATTCTATTCCAGCACTTGAATATCCTTTCATCCCATAATAAAGATACCCTATCCTCTACTACGATTTGCTATTCAGGTGTAGTATGGATTGAGTTGTTTCAGAAGCATAGCAAATGTTTAGGTCAGACTCTCATTGATTTAGCATCTACTGTCGGGTTCAGACAAGTCAACATTACCTGGTAGACAACTTATCCCTTAGACAGTTGTTTGTCAATTGATTCTGAATTCACAGCTACGTTGACTAAAAATGGGAAATTTGGTAAGTTTGCTGCTGAAGTTAGTTGCTGGCACTGATTACTGCAATATTGTAGCTGATATGAATTGCATATCTTACTTTGGCAGATTGAACCTTCTTATTGGGTCTATTTTATCATTCATTATATAATGTGTTAACTTTCATGATCTGCTAACTTTACAATTTGATGAGCAGAGCAGTGCAATGAAGCAGGATAGGAGCTGCATGGTGAGTAGAATGTATCTTGCCAGTTTATGTATCATGACAATGTTTTGCTGTTATTGTTTCATGTACTCAAAAATCCACAATGGAAGAAATCCCCTCGTTTGGAGGGCATAGACAGCAATCCACACTGTGTCAAAAACGACTCTAAAATTGGGCGAGGCAAGGGAGTATACGCTATTGATGTAGGGTAATATGGATTGAAATCAACGTCGTGTAACTGGAGGTTAGAGATTGTATCGTGATATCTTCGCCATAGATCAACCTGAAGCAGATAATAAGTAATCACGACAACACGCGGAACATATAAGATAATTACCCAGAATATGTACCACCAGGTAGCAGTCTCTGTAGTGAACACAGCGCATAAATGAGCATAAGCAGTTTCGAATATCTCGTCACTGCCTACCAGGAGCTGTCGCACTCGAAGGTCGCGTTCAAACTCGAGAGCGCTTCGCGCAAGCCTTGTCGTAGAACGAGGGCGGCCATACACATTTAGTAAGAATTGGTAGCTCACTTCTTGGCGTTGAACGAAGACATGATCTTCCTATTCGAAGGACACAAGTATCATAATGAACAGACATGTCGGCATTGTATCTTTGTCTGAAACAGCAACAAACGTATTGCGCCCCGATAGACTACACATGCCAGACCGTAAGAATGACTGCTCCAAAAGGTTCGAGCACACTTACAGAAATATGGTTATAAGGCCACCGTACCGTCTGCCCTTCAAGAGCCCTCAGAGCCATCCGAACCTCACGTTTCCGTTGAATTTGACCAGAGGAATTTTGAGCAACATATTCTTCCAATTTCCTGAGGTTTCGGAGAACGGCTAGTTTACCGTTATAACCTACAGCGGATGAACGTTGATCATCAATGTCAGGTCATACAAGTGGCGAAGGTGGTGGAGGGACAGTGAATCTCCATCGTACTGTGACACCATCCTCAGGTTCATGTACAAGACAGCTAGCATTCAATTTGGGGTCAGGAATCATGGATGAAGTTGAGTATGACATGGTATTGGGGGTTGTCGAGAGGTATTGGGAGTGCACATTAGGCTTGAAGGGTTTGTAAACAGAATATACCAACAATCAAAAGTGATGCACAGATAATGACCTACAGTCATTATAGTGTAGAGCCTTTGTCTGCTTATACTGTAAGTGCATATGCTTTTGTAGGAAACAAATGAGGCCCGCATTGGATTGCACAGAACAAGGTGTGACATTGACATACTGTGAACAGTTCCACAAGCTCCTGCCACTCAGTTTCGGTAGAACAATGTGCCAAAACCTCCGGTATTGACACAACCCAGCGCCAAATAACGAGCATGGTAGGTGAAATAATCTTCGAGGATAGCCGTATCATAAGTAGAAGGCGTGTTGACTCGGGGTAGTTTACGGTGTCTAGGAGTGACACGAGCAGAAGTGGAGATTGTGGAAAGCGCAATAACGGCTGCAACCAGACTGAAGGAGAACATTTTGTGAGCCGGTATTTGTTAAATGTTACAAATCCGAATGAAAGGAGAACATTTTGTGAGCCGGTATTTGTTAAATGTTACAAATCCGAATGAAAGAATGTGGTGGGTTAAAGAGCGTGTCCGGAGAATAAGTGAGGGGATGAAGACAGATTGAAGGCAAAAAGGCGCGTCATATATGTCAACTCAAATTTGAATTTTCCACTCCACTGCCACCGTGTGGAATTATGAAATTCTAGTTGGCACATTACATGTGTCTGCTACTACGCCTGCGTGAGAGGTACATGAGATCTCAGTCCAGCTTGCGGTAATTCATAAGTTGTACTACTGCGAGCATAGTGAGGTATTGCACAGAATGACTAAACAGATATATGAGGCCATTTTCATCAGGCATTGTATCCCGCCACCGTACCTCTGATGCTATGAGAAAACGATGTGTATTCGGTGAGTAAAGGCCGGCGAGCCCTCATGTGGATTTTGATTTCAGATGTCAGCAAAGAAATAAAGTGTTGTGACTGCATTGGAAAGCTCGGAATATTGGACACACAGCTTACCTCTTTGAAGATACTAGCAAAATCTCTGATGTTCCGTGTTATTCACAAGGTGCCAGTTGCAAATTGCAAGTCATGAAGAAGCCCCTGTAACCAGGATAAGATAACATAGCAGTAGTATATTCATTCTTCATCATCTTCGTCTCCAGAAACCTCAGCATTCTCTTGACCAGCTTTAGCCATAAGCTGGGCAGGATCTTGTTCGTCGGTCTCTGAAACAGCTTTGGGCTGGTGATGGAAGAGTAAACGGATCGTGATTTTGGAATGTAGCGATCGTACCTTCATTTTTACGACTAAAGAGCCACCTTGGTCTTCGATAGTGCTTTGGATTGATGCTATCGCGCGTTCCAAGCGATCTACGGCGGCATACTAAGAACTGTTATGAGGGTAATACACGTGGAGATGAAAATTAGTCCCAAACGTTGTCTGTTGCATTTGTGGTAAGTACATAGAAAAGAGGGGCGACGAGCTTCACTTTGATTGGGACAGCCTCACTACTCTCTTTCTCTCCTGCCTTCAAAGCTTTCTTGATGGCGTCGATGCCAGCAGGGGTATAACAGGTCACTTCAATATCGGCATGAATTTTGATTGGCTGAGGAGTGAGACGACGAGCAATAGTGGCCGTTAATAGTGTTTTAATCGCGGGAGATATAGTAGTTTGTAGTGTACCAAAAACGGTATCAGGCTCTCTGTAAGATTGTCAGCTAAACAACTCGTTTGGTATTATTTTGAGAACTCACGCCAATGACAGCTTGAACGCATCGTACGGATGTCCGTACGTTTTCCCGAGAGGCCAGGCAATTTGTTCATATAACATCTCAAGTCGGTCCTCCTCATTTCCTGTTGAGACTGGAAGTTCTTCGGCACCATCTTCATCGTGAGCGGCCTGACGAGCGGCTCTACGTGCTTTCTTGCTATCTTTATCTCCGATATGTATAGGTGCTGGTGCACAGTTTTGGGTTCCACGTCCGTGGATGGTATTTTTGAAGCGACATGCCGTAGAATCGATGCGACTGTTTTTGACTTCATGTATCGCTCCTCACATTTCGTGATATCTTCGGGAGACACCCGTCTTTTGGATAGATCGATATAACCTTAGATCGAGATCAGCTGTATCAAAGGAAAAGCAGAACGTTAGACGGCACCTTTTTCTTTATCGACATGCAATACAACAACAACTTCATTCCTCCCGACTCGAATAAGTTTTGCACCGATCTTATACGCCTTCTAGAGAGCTCAGACAGGAGAATCATTCCTTCGGTATTGTCATATTCTAGCTGTAAACAGTCCATTATCTGAACGGAATCTTTTGAGATTTCAAGATACTCACAAGCTTGACATACGCTCCCATCTCTGCTATCTGACGAACTTGTCATGGTACTAGAGTAGCAGCTTTACAATATTCTAGTGAATATACTATGCTAGCCAAATTGGTGGAGTTGTCACAACAAAAGAAGACGTCGGTCAGCGTCACAAGGGCAGTATTGCAGAAGCCAGTCCATCTTCATCTTTCAGCAGTGAGTACGCAGTGCTTCAGCGGTGCTAGAAGTCCAAAATGAGATGGATCAAAGAATTCTTCAAAGTCGACTGATTTCAACAAAGAAATACTTGCAAGATAATTTGATGATGAAATATGTCTCCAACCCAATTGTTACCCTGGTTGCGTTTGGCGAAAGCCAGATGTGAACGCACTGAGCACTCGGAAACTGTCCCTGTATCGGCAGCTGATGTTCAAATTCGACAACTTGAGATGAGTTGTTATTAAAAGGATGCCAACGCTGTGACACTGATCAATGCAGTGAGGGGAGCTCTCTCTCTCTAGATTTGCAATAGCGCTACATTACTACATTTGTAAAGCACTGATAAGATGAACTCAAATCGAATGATCAGTGGCCATGACACTGTATTGGTGAAGCAGCCCGAACTGAAACTTGTTCTGGATACTTGGATTTTTACTGAGTTAGCCCTTGCTTTCTGTATGCTAGTAGGCAGTGGTACTGGCTAGGTAGTAACTTGTTTGTAGATGCATCACATTATCAACTTTGTTTGCCGTGGGACCGCCAATTAATCAAACCAAGCGACATCGGACATTTTTTCAAACTTAAGGTATTGAGGCCTAAGTACGCGGAGATGGCTTCAAATGTAGTTGACAATTGAGAAGCTGTGGGCTTACAGTGGCTCATGATGGTTTTTCAGTATGATGTGAGATTGTTAGTTTAGTATCTTATGAAGCACCAGCAAACACCTCACAGTTTATTAGCAGTGCAAATTCATTGTTTTTGCTTTATGCACAAACAATACAAAGCAAACATTACACACTGGACCCTCATATCATGAAACACTATGAAACACATCACAGCTCATAATCACTGCAAATCCAAAATTTACAGTAAATCTGAGATCATATTCTGATGAAACAATGATTGGTATCTCATGATCGGTATCTCATGAAGTAGTATGAAACATACTAACATTTATGATCATTGCAAACTTGGATATTAGCAATATCCAGCAATGTAGTAATATACTTACAGATCTATTTACTTGTAGTAGTGAGAATCCTAATGATCTCGCTGTTGCTGCTGTTAGCTTTAGCCCTCAACCATACAGAATGCACAGAACTGTCTAAAACTGGTGTCACATGGTTACGGCAAATATAGCTCAAGTTGTAGGCCCATTTGTGCCGGAACATGGAGGCTTTCCATTGACTTGCATAGCTATCACATAAATTCAACATCAATTTTGCACAGCTGCATCTATTACATTCATCAGTATTACACGCATCACTCGCTAGTAGTTCATCAAACAAAAATTAAATTGAAAATAGCACTGGTGAAGATCGGCCTTTTTTGTGACAGGCCCTTTCTGTAGGTGGAAATCAAGAGATGTGTTTCATATAGAGAGGCAATGCTAATTGCTGTGAATAGGTTATTTGTTGTGTTTTTTTGACTGATATTGTGTCATTAAGCTGTGGAATATATTGCATTATTCATTGTGTTTCAATGTCTTCAACTTTAAGTTGATAAATTTCTCGATTTGTGCATGTCATTCAATTGTGAAGCTTATAAAAGCAGATCTTTTTCAAGTCAAACATGTACTCAGCATCAACATTTGTGTTTACTGCAGCTAGCTTGTAAAATCAGGTAAATATGGTCTGTCTTTTTCCATGATGACAAATTTTTTACTGTGGCAGTCAACAGTGATGGATTTGGAATCTAATAACAACAACAATGATGAACATGTAAGTGTGTGTTTTATTTATGTTTTCAAAGAAATTCAATTCATAAATATGACAGGGTGCCCACAGCAATAAACTTGTTCACTATCATTCTTTGGATTTCACAGCAGATGACACACTTTATGATCAGGTTGAAGGAATGATAGCTGAAAATTCTAAAATTTTGAACCCACTTTCTGCGTTCATGCAATATTACCAGGATATATTCACTGCTTCTCCCATCCCAACTCCATCAAATGTTTCATTACAAAGAGTTTCTGCATTGTCCGAATATGGTGGATTGTGGATGGTCAATGAATCACGTGAAGTTATCCGGATTGGACTTGTTGTTCAAATCAGTCAATTTGGTGATGACTCTAAGTATGGGCAATATATGGATATGAATGTATACAATTCTCAGGTCAGACAAAAATCACATTATATTCAAGTTATACTGATTTCAGCTAATTTGATTTTTGCTATTAGATCACCATTGATTCATTCCGAAGAGCATGTGCAAGATTATTCTTTCATGAGGTTTATACACCTGCAGAATGCACAGCTGAAGTGGCAGAAATCTATAATGCTCATAAAACACGTTTCAATGTTGTGCTTAACCTATTGCAACATTGCACTACTCAGTACATTGATCAAGCTAGTGCTACTGATAGTAAGATTTATGTTGCAATTGCTTGCTTTGTTGAGCATGATTTGACAAATTCGATATACAGACAAGCTCTACCCAGATCAGGAAATCAATGTCATAACATTTGTGCATTTGCATGACATGGGTTATTATGGGCTACAAGGAAGAACTATGAATATTTTTCGCAATGTTCCTGCCAGGAGATCTAATCGGCATTCATCTACGTCAACCATACGTGGAAATTTACCAGATCCCCGTATTGATTCTACTTGGAAAATTAAATTACATTGCTCACTTATTTTTTGCAGGTAAATTGCGAGCATCAGAAAAAGAAAAAAATTTGAATGCATTGAAGACTTCAGCATCCATTGATGGTATATTTTATTATCATAATGAGTTGGACATGTTGACAATATGTCTCTTCTATAGCTGTAGACATTTGGCATAGACAACTTGGGCACTGGCCTGATTCAGAAGGATATATACATGACTTAGCAGAGAAACATGATCTGTCTAATGTCAGATTTCATATTCCTTCAGTTTATGATGCTCAAGGTTCACTGGTTCATCCAATGGATTACGAAAATGTGCTGGTACCTGGTTGTTTCGTCATGGTGGAACTTCAGTTCCATTTGTAAGTATATTACTTTTCATGAAATGCACACTTTGATGAATTCAATCATATTCTTAGGTGGGATATAACTAAAACCACAGATGGCAAAGCAATAAACAGACCAAGTCGAATTTTCTCAAATATGATAAATCATTTGCATGTATTATCCGATGACGCCGATGATCTTGGTCTTCTGCTTCATACCGAAGCATTGAATAGGGCAAAGAAGATAAAACAGGACATGGAGTCTAAAAGGCAGGCTGAGGAAGCTAGAGAGATTGCCAAAAGAGAAGAGGTTATGCGCATTCAACAAACTATGACAAGAGCTAAGGCATTGTCTGACATGAAGAAGAAAAGACTAGAAGAACTTCGAGGACAAAGTAGTGTGGATTCAATGAGCCAAGGTATACTCTTGTCAGAACACCCTCTGTGTTTTTATTTAATAAAATTTCTTCCACAGGTGAGTTAAGCCGAAAGCGCAAGGCTAGCCTTGGGAGATCCAATAAGGGAGAATCACACAAACGTGTATCTGGTGACAAAGTAACAGCTGATATTGAAGATGGTGAGATTGATGAACAAATGTAATGCACTATAAGTGAATGCAATGTATTGTTACACAATATTTCCTGGAATTATTGCTGAACCTTTAGGTAAGGCTTCTTACGTAAATGTATTCTATCTCATAGGGGGAGGCATTAGGGGGAGGCATTAGGGAAGTTGGACTTGTCCATATACCATGGTCATGTGGTACGATAGGTACAGCTACAGTAAAAACTGCACTGCTTCACACTCGGTCCACATCAAAGTCTTATCCAGAAAAACCTTACTTGGTAATTGAATATTCTGCAGCCAATTCATGTAAATCAATATGTTCATATTTGAACCTGCTTAGTGTGGAGTGTTTCTTGCAACTGTTCTACTCATTTGCAAAAGATGTATCTTTGGCTAATCATCTGAGAGCAGCTAAGAGGACTTCCCAGTAGCCAAAGCACCTCAGAGCAAGTCGAAAATTTTGATTTTGGTACTGGAGAGCACTATCCAGTCACTTTTGCTCTGTACCAATTGTAAACCTTACTACTAATAGGACTTATTGAAAACATCATAAGTATTATACTGGTAGCAGTATATCTCAGCAAATTGTTTTGTCTATTTTAGCTGTAGGATAGCATAAGGTTGTCAAATTAAATATGCTATATATATCTGATTTCCAAACAACCAGTTTACCACACTGTACAGTCTGTATATTTTCTACTTGGATTACTACAGGGGGGTGATTAAGACATTGTGTAATTTTTAGTGATAAATGATGTTTCTATTGAGCTACTTTAACACCCTCAGTGAGGCTTGCTTTGAAAATTTTAGCTGTGCAAAAAGCCAAGATGATGGTGGTTTAGTTGTGACTTGAAAGGTTCGGCCCTTGCAGCATGCGGCCTTACCCGCCAGTCATGCTAACTTTTTGCCAGGATGCCTGTGATGTTACTCCACTTGCAAGGAATAAATCATTTGCCAAAATCTAAGCAAAGATTCACGAAGAAAATACTTATCATTGACAATGGTACAAAGTCATGTGCACTACAGTGCAAAGAAATGTTTCAGAGTGCTGCATTACCATCAAAACAGCTACCTCAGTGCTTTGGAGTTGTAAATAGTGATTTGAAAATGTGTCATTGTTGAGTAGTTGCATAAGTCAATGATGGAGTTGGTTAATATTTTTGATGGATGAATACTTAGTAATTTCGAAAGCAAGAATAAAATATCAGACAAAAAAGGGAATTCGAAATACAAAATGATTGTGCAAGGATTGCAAATATTGACAAGTATACACATGATTGTTGCTCCACTGGCAGTATTCTTGTATTAGAAATTGCAACTGAGGCGGATAACAATACCGTCATCAACAAATGCGAGCACTCTCTCCTTCATCAAGTCCCAATCAACTCCAGGTTTTGGATAAGGTATAGTAATGTGCACACGAACATTGGAATGCTGTGGTGATATATTCCCAATGCTGAATTTCACCTGCATTGAAGCAAAACAATGAATAGCTCATAATTAAATCGACAGTTGGGAATTTTACCACAGGAGCTATCAATGAAGTAGCATCGAGTAAAGAAATGAGCTCATAGAATTCTTGCAAAATGGCAGATGAGAACAAATTCAAATCTGTCCGCTGAGATGAACATTGTCGTAGACATTTCAGTGCTTGCCAAGCGCAGCTGCGAGGAAGAAGGCGACGTGTGGTATGTCGCATTAAAGTTTGAATCGTTAATATTGCTGTGTCGTGACTTGTATGGGGGTAAGATATCAAAAAGGTATGTCAACAAAATCTATGTTGCAAACCTCAATACTCTTTTGCTTGTTAGACCATGCAATGAGTTCAATTGGTGTTGAATGGATTGAACATCTGCAGTGAGAGCAATATATGGCAATGTTGATTGTACGTCAACAGCGCAACAGTCAATTGTGTTAAATTTCCGCAGATATGCCATACCCCAGCTATTGGCTTCAATAAAATCCACTTTGGGTTCCTGTTGTCCCAAATATTTAAAGGGGATTCTGAAGCAATGACGATCACCTATGAAACGAGGATGCAGGAAGGTCAAAGCAGATAGTGGATGGCTTGTCATAGACACAGGTGCCTGATGAAGTACATCAAACCCCCTATCAATGTACTTTTTCACAGCATTCATTTGAATTTCTGTGAGAGGATATTCAAGATCAACAAGTAATGTTGTTTTCCTTTCAAGTGTGAGTTGAGGAAATAAACAATATGCAGCATTATGAGTGAAGATGTTCATCACACAAGCTGCAAAAGTTTGTGGTTAGCTATATCTTTATATATTCAATTATGATTACTCAACTGGAATGAAAGGAGAAAATTGTGTGTAGCGGAGACATATGTGTAGCAATCAGTTGAATCTGCTGAGAACCCTGCTTGAAGTTCCAAACTGCAGCAATGTTGTTGAGTTTGTACTCCCGGATATCTGTTTCAACAGGAATGGCAACAACAAATGGTTCTTCCTCTATTGCTGCTTTAACTCGGTTTACATCTGCATTGAAGTCATTCATTTGACCTTCTGCAGGTGCAAAACTGTAGCCATGCGCCAGGTACCAATGACCAACAGTATTGGAATATGAAAATTGACAGTACGTGTCCAAGTCTCCACCATAGAAAGTGCGTGTGAAAAAGTGAAGTGCAGTGGAACCTGACACAAGTAAGCCAGTAGCTGCCTGAGGAAAAGTAAGAGATTATATATCAAATCGTAAAATTGTTGCCTGAAGATCTTGGAATTCTCCAATAGTGAGTGGATTATTGAAGAAACCATGGTATGCCCTCTCAATTCGGAAAACAGAAATTTTGTATGATTGCACTTGTTGTTTTGATTTGTGGCCACAACGACTGAGCGAATCTAGGTCGACGGGAGATAAATGGTCAAGAATAGTATGCAATAACTCCAGAGGCCTGTGGGAATGTCAGAAGTGGAAAAGATCACAACGCAGTAACATACAGTACTTGGATAGACATGCTATAAAGAACAGTGTTAGGAATCTAATGGTTATTTGAGATTGTGAATTTAAAGCAAACCTTGCAGCGCCACTCACCGGTGTTACCGACAATAATCATGCTGATCTTGAACTGCATCATGTTTGGATTTATTGCAGTGCTGATACATGATGAGATCAAGATTCAGGCTGTTCTTGATGCCATCCAATGTTGTGCACAGACATGCACAGACTGTGATGTTAATGTAATGTAACAGTACATAATGCAATGTGGCAAGCAGTACAGTGCGTTGTGTTATTCAACAACTGAGAAAAACGTAACTAGTGGCAACTGGGTTTATTTGTGAGTCATCTACTTGATATTGTACAGTAATAGATTTTATAGTCCTTGCTCCAATTATTCTGCTCTCATTAGTATCTCTGATGCAGCAACCTGCAGTATTTGTGCCTTCACACCTCACACTTGTTTCTCAGAATTTCAAACAAGTATGAACAAATAAAGAGATTACTGACATGAAATCTACAAAGATCAACCACTGTATTTATGTTTCATCAAACATAAAGATGACAGTACACTTGTTAGTGGATTTCACCACCAAATCTGATGCTTGGGTCATTGTTGAGTAAGTGTGTAGTGGATGAGGATCAGGGATGTAGTTGTAGACAATATGAGATTTAATTTGAAGAATTTGAAGAGGATTCAACTCAACACTCAATATAAGCAGATACAAAGATACACAATAAATGGTAACAAATAGTGATTATTAGAGGCTGTCCTAAAGACAGAGGTATTCCAAAATGCACAACTGCTGCTGACACATAATTACTAACATCAATAAGCATTGGTCTTCATTGCTCATGGATATTCCATCACTGAATGATGAATTAGAATCAATCATAGGACTCAGCATACTGAAAAAGTGTGTTATGCTACCATATTACATTCCATGCACAATTTTCAATCAATTACAATATAAAATGCTGTCAATTTTTGTAGAATGATGTCAACATCTTTGGAACATAGTTGTGAACCTGTTTTTTATGACGATGCAGCCGAGCAGAATCATTATATGCGACATTACATCCATCAAAGGGACATTTGAATGGGGTATCATGAGTGCTAGTCATAACAAATTCATATCATATAGTATTATATATTGAAAGATGCAAAGACTTACTGTTTGGTAGCAGTATGAACTTGAAGTGCAGTTTTCTATGATTTGTGATTGGGTTAATGACAGAAACAACCTTACAGACAAAGCTCACTTGGCCAAATCTTTGTTCGCAGTACAGACATGAAAAAGGCCTGATGACATACAATTATACTTCAGTGGTAATATTCATCTCAGAATTGAATCGCTAACCTCATTTTTAAATGCGTATTTTCGATATGCCGCTTCAGCCGCTGTTTGTCTGCCTCATATTCACAAGATTCCCATAGGCAACGATATCCTCCTCTGGCAGTGTGTTGCACAAAGGAAAACCATTGTTCTGGTGACTTTGTTTGAGGAAAATCTGCTGCTTTGTTGAAGGAATAGTCGACATCAAATTTGTTACTGGACACTATCGCATTTTGTGGTACAGCAATTGGTGACTGTGAATTGAATATACAGTCACTTTTCAGGGTAGAGCAACATTTGCAGAGCATCTCATGTGGAGATGAGATCATTCGTACAGTTCTAGATATATGTGATAAAGCAATTGTTAGAAAGAAGACCCTGACTTACCCGAGATGTGTTGTTTGAGTGACAGAATTGGCACTACTATATCGTTACATGAATATCAAAATCAATTCAAGTGAACACCCACTTCTCATATTCACATGAAGTTGTTCTAGATTTCAACACTTGTGATGTCAATCTAGTGAGGTTCATGTTTAGTATGTTGGTGCAGGTGCAGTTTTCTGACAGCAATGGATTCTGGAATGAAGAGCTTGTGCTGATATGCTTTCTATGCCAGAATAGTAAATTGCTTGGTATCATTTGAAATAAAGGAGATATGTATTCAAGACATACATGATTTTTGAATCAAGTCTGACTCCAAAGATCAAAAAAAAGAGCTTTATTACATTGAGAATTAGTACATGCTGTCATTATAATGATGAAAGTTGATTCACTATTCAATGTGAGCTAATTCTGAAATCTGCTGTCTTTGTTCTCTGTCAGTTGACACATTGTTTGGAAACAAAAACATGCTTACCTATGTTATAGTACAGATAGGGAGAAATATGGTGAAATAATCGCAGTATGAAGAAGTCTTGATGGCGGTAGATAATAAGCAGAGTGCTCATCAAGTGCACCATTATATATTAGTCAAGGATGATACAATATGCACTGTTAAACACCTACAAATGAAAGTACCGAAAACTCCGAAGAATGCGGTGAGCAAATGATGCATCACATTTGATCCAATACTGCGGAACTTAGATGACAATGCTTAGAAAGGTCAAGTAGCGAAAATCCATCAATCAAAAAATGATTTTTTTGATTGAATATAGTCGATCAATTACTGCACATTTTAGTTCCGCCATTCATTCATGCTTCTAGGGTAGTGGTACATTATAGCTATGTATGCTTTCATATTTCATCACAGATCAGGATCAGTTCAATACACTCACTGTCACTTGAGTGATGCTTTTCAAGCCTGACTTGAAGCAACGTAACATTGAGCAACCAAAACACATCTGCAAAACCTGTATGTTCGCCAGAGCAAGGGTACTGGCTGGAGAGCGCTCTCCAGCACCCAAAGCACCGAGAGCAGAATTTCAACCCTGCTCTGGGTGCTTTGGCTGCTGGGAAGCACTCTCAGCTGCTCTCGGAGAATTAGCCGAAAAAACAGGTTTTGCAGATGCATATATATTTTGCTTCAAAGTTGATTGTCTCATGGGATTAAATCCGATAGATAGCATTCTCAATACTCTGGATCTTACATATGCACGATTTTGCAGACTTATTTTATTCACAGCAAAGTACTGTTTAATAGAGCTTATTGGCAGCTTACGGCAAAGTTACTCTATGTTGCTCTGGAAAAACCTGCAGCACCACTCAATAACAAATGTATAGAGAGCTCCACCTATTGAAATTTTGAGTATATGTTTTGTGATGTTCTGTGCAACAAAAGCAATTTACTGTATGTTGCTAATAAACTCTCATCAGTAGAACACCAGTTATTGTCTCTTCGAGGTAATAAAAGATACTTGACAATAGAGTTGAATTACTACATAGACACTACAACAAATCTGATCACATAACAAATTTCATGATATATGTCAACATAAAGCATGATTATAAGAGCTGTTATTGAAGAAGGAAAATGTGATATTAGTAACCAATACAGATAATGAGAATAGTCATAGAAATATAAAGCAAATCATACCTGAATTGCTTTTCCTTGTAATCCAATTATTTTTGGACATGCAGCAACCAATTGTTTGACACACAGCTCAATGTCTGCAACTGTGAAATTCAAGTCATACTGCAACAATGACAGAAAGTGGCGTTCTATTGCATTAATATCTTGAATACTGAATATATCAGTGCAAGTTGTCCAGTGCCGATTCGAGTATACAAAGTCATCAATAAACTGCAAAAATATTGAAGTTTCATTTATATGCTTGAAAGAGAAAACATGCCTTAGCACTTAGAATAAGAGCACCTAACAATATGCTCTCCTCTGCACAGGTAAATGATGGTTTAACACCAATTATGGTTTCTGCTTTGTGGAGGTATATGAGCAATGTTAGCATTGTCCCCATTGATATATCAGATTCTTCAATGATTTTGTTGATGAAGGCAGAAAAATGCACATGAACAGAGCGCGTTCGAATTTTGCGTTGCTGAACTCCATGATCAACAACATCGAAAACACGATCTTTGACATATCCTATTATACCACATAAATTGGCATGAATATTGTACAACAGAAGTTATAACATCACCTATAATGTCTGGACTAATGTTGAGTTTAAGGACACTTTGTATCAAGGGATTTGCAGTAGAATTGACTGTGTTGGCTCTGTGCATAATGCTTGACAGAATGAGTAATATGTAAGTTATGTTCAAAATGAAGTAAGGAAATCCTGGTGCCTGATTGAATAATGAGAGTATACAGCTTCGCAGCAGGATCATTACAAGTTTGCATGTAATTATATGGATAAACAAATCATTTCTTACGTATTCAGCTGGTGCTGATATTTCAGCAGCATTGTTGTTAACAAATGGCGGAGATGATCAGCAGCTTGCACTGCAAATATCTAGAACAACCTACAATTACATGTGCAACTTTAGACTTCAATTTCCATTTATGTTTAATTGGTTGCATTTACATTTTCCAGTGTCTTGGATACATGCGTTACAAAGCTTAGCTGACTTTCAAATGTAGAGATTCTTCCATCTCTGATGATATGTTGCAAAACACCCCAAAACTTAAAAGTGTCCCCTTCAGCCCGATGGCGGAACTTAGCCTGTACAATTTTTGTCTATGTGTAATTGGTTGTATCCATTTACGTTTTCCAGTATCTTGCATACCTAATTGAGAAAGGTTAGCTGACTTTGAAATATAGAGATTCTTCCATCTCTGATGAAATGTTGCAAAACACACACCAAAATTTAAAACTGAGCCCTTCAGCCTGACTGCGGAACTTAATCTATGTATATACTAAATACGTTCATTCAGCCTTAGAGTCACATTATGAGGCGGTTCTCATAATGTTGTCAATTGGACGATATAGCTGTGTGCTACACATGACTATATCACATTATCAGGTTTCTTCTTTGGTTGTCAACAGCTTATTACAAAAAATTCTGTTTGGGTAATGTCAAATGGTTGGTGCTTTGACCCACTTAGTTGCAGTGTAAATAACAACAGATATTATATAAAGGCAAGATTTTGCATTGTCATTATCAATACCTCAAGCATGTCTACTCTAGAATGCCGCAAATACTATCCGGGTCGACAGCAGGAAAAACGACAACAGGTTGAACGACAACAGGTTGAACGTTTGCTTGAAATTACCATAAATGCTCAAGTTATAGGTCAGTTGTATACAATGTTTGAGGATGAATCAAATAACATGTAATATTTGTAGAGTACTTGAAGACATTAACATTTGGAGTTGTTGATGCTGCAGCTACAAGGTTATTGGCTCGGTCCTTATCAGTGGATATATTTTTCAAGTCGTTCATTGGACGAGTCATTGAACGAGGCAAAATATCGATGTCAATGACGATATTGGCTATCACGTACTTGCAACGAGCTCAATCTTATATCCGTGTTGGATATAAAGTTGGATGTATTGCAGAACGAATACTCCTAGGTGCTTTTATGATCAGCACAAAAGTAAACATTTATCATATGAGTCATATTCATACTCTTACCAAGTCATCTTATAGTTTTCTGTCAACATTCCAATATCCAATGAGGAGTGGGCCGACATTGCAGAAGTTTTCCAACTTGCAGACATTGATGTCATTGAGAAGCAGTTTCTTCTGCTTATCCAATGGAATCTTTCATTTTCAGAAGAGGACATAATTGCTTCAGCAATGAACATCATCACCCAATACCCTGAAATCATCCTGTAATGTTGATTGTGAGCGTCTTCAGTTGTTCTAATTTCGATAACAATATAACTATTGCAGACTTCAATATAACATTCAATCATGAGTAAATATATATTCTCACTGTACTATGTTAATATACAAATATGATAGGCCATTTTCTGAAAGGTGCTCATGAAAGAGGTAATTATCAACAATGATGATTATCATACTCAAAATAATAGTGACAGAAGAAAATGAATCAGCAAGGACAGGTCCTCAGGCCCTGTCGTTCAGTATGGATGACCAGCATTCTGCTGCTGAAATTCCACTTCCTTCTTCCCCTCCACATACACCCGCCCAGAATGGACATGGAAATCCGTCTATATCCGTTGCCCACAAACCAGACGCAGATGCATCCCACCGGTCAGGTCCTTCTCTTCAGTCAGATTTGAAGCCGCAAAAAATCGAGGATTCGTTGGAGCACGAACCATCCGCAGCAGAGAACGTACAAGGAAATACAGATGTTGCCGATGAAGTCCTAGTTAGAGCACCCATTCCGCAAATCCATGCACCAATCCTTAGCATGCAGGAGCAAGAGTTATCGGTCTTGAACTCAACAACACCGATGACAGAAGAACAAATGGACGGAAATGCAGGCGCTGTCGATGAAGCCGTCATTGCAGTGTCGGATTCACGGATCCCTGCGCCGAATTCTGACATTCAGGAGAGGGAACTCCCAGTTCCAGAGCCAGAGTCTTCCCTAGAACTTACGCCTACATTGAAATCGGCAGAGCCGTCTTCTTCCATTGTCCGGGAAATTCCCCCAGTGCCTTCTCCCCCCGTATTCAACTCTAACAACTTCAAAGAATCCTATCATCCGAAGACACCTGGCTGTCCGCTTTCGTCAAATTGACTTACTCGTCAACGCTCATTGACCATCACTAGAGGCAACAACTCGGTTTCATCTGTACTTATATCTTCTGCACTCGAAACCATTGCTTCCTCCAAGGATGCGAAGCGTTCTGCTCCTCTGAAAGAGAGCACCCAAAAGGTTCTGGACCTCATCCGTAGCAACCAGGGCGGTGCGGATTACAATTCTCCTCCGAACTCACCGGGTCCATCCCTCGAGGATAACCTACCATCCCTGGTTGACCTCGTTGCTCATACAACGATCGCTTGTCATACAGAAAATACACCCGATGCGGTATCCCTACAAATCGTGAAAGCTCTACTATCACTGGTTCTCTCTCCTACCATCCTAGTTCACCATTCTTCGTTGTTGAAGGCGGTCCGAACTGTGTATAACGTCTTCCTCCTGAGTACAGATGTTGTGCCTCAGATGGTTGCACAAGGTGGTCTTACTCAGATGGTGCATCACGTCTTCACGCGTTGTAGGATTAGAGATTATCCCCCATCGATCGACAGCGCGACCTTATCCCGAAGCCCAAGTCAAACTAGCTTTGCTTCTCCAAAACACCTTCCGTTTACTATCCCATCCCCAATAACGTCGATAGCAATCAATGGGCATAATACGCACGACCTCATACACCAAGCACAATGCTTCTGCTTCGACAGCGCCACTGCCACAGGAGACCGCGAGCCCGCTACCTGTTACCACTGAAAGTGAGTCAGTCAATGGATCCCATCCCAAAGAGGACGATGAATCTGGGCCGCGTACACGCAAAGCATTCGTGTCAGTCATATCGCAGACCTTCCCGGAGTTGTTGCCTCATAATAAGTGCAGAAATGTGGCTGAAGCGATGGAGAGTGACGAACAATTCGGACACAGTGGTTTTGGTCGGAAGAGATTGAGTACAAAGGACATGTTCGTCAAAGACGCCTTTTTAGTGGCCCGTGCACTGTGCAAACTTACGAACAAAACCCTTGAATAATGAAAGGTGCGCATATTGAAACTTGACGAGTTAGGTCCTAACTAATTTGTCGCAGTGGACGCGATGTAAAATCCCATGTTATGCGCTCAAACTTGCTTTCGTTGCATCTGGTGTTAACTGTCCTTAATACTCATATGCCATTATTGATCGACCCATCCGCCATCATCTACTCCAACACTTCCAACGAAGCAACTACTTTTGTGCAAGCTATCAACCAATATCTCTGTCTGACTGTGACTCGCAATGCGATCAGTCCTGTACCCCAAGTCTTCGACATCAGTGCAGAAATCTTCTGGAGAATGCTGTCAGGCATGCGAACAAAATTGAAGGTACGCGTAAATTCAATAATTTTTCAGCGCGTCCCATTTCGTGCATGTGCGACCCATGTTCAAGTTGGCTTGGTTTCCGTTTCTAGCAGGCCTTTCCGGGCCACTGCAAGAGACTGACGATCTGGAAATAGTAGCGCTTTGTCTCGATGGATTCAAGAGTGCTATGAAGATAGTCTGTTTTTTCGACCTTGAACTGGAGAGAAACGCGTTCGTCACTACCCTTGCTAAGTTAAGTTTACCTTCTTGAATAATGTAGGGGAGATGAAGACGAAGAATATGGAGGCGATCAAGGCTCTTCTCGATGTTGCTGTCGCTGATGGCAAGCATTTCAGAGGCTCTTGGCACGAAGTGTTAACTTGGGTCAGCCAACTCGAGCATATGCAGCTCATTAGCGATGGTGTCGATGTTCCAGAAAAGAAAGGGTAGGTGGTATCGGCTCGAGTATATCTGTCCTTGACAGCCGACCGCGCAAATTGCCAGCAGAAGAGCTTGCGAACGAAAGTAGATCTACACACATAACGGTAGCGGCAGATATGGTCTTTTCTCTGAGTGATTTTCTATCTGGGATATGTTGTTTTTCTGTCCATATGCGGTCAGGGTGGCGGACAATGTTCGGCGTGTTCCAAGCAGCGTCCAAAGTGCTCACTGGTAAGTAGTGCTCTCATATCGCAGAAGTATGGTGTTGAGTTCGTCTCAGAACGGATTCCCAACTCCGCCTTCGAAATCGTCACTAAACTAAATCGGGATCATTTTTCTGAGATCGTTCGTAACGGAGCGTTCAGTGATCTGGTAGTGTGCATCACCGACTTCTGCAAAGTGAGCAAGTATCAGAAGATAAGTCTGCTGGCGACAGGAATGCTCAGAGGAGTCATTCCCGTTATGTTAGATTCTGCGGAGTGCGGTTGGAGCACAGGACCTTCATCTGAGACGAATTCTTCCATGGATGATGGCATAGTAAAGTATTGGTACCCCATATTGTTCGCTTTCTACGATATAATCATGAACGGAGAGGACCTAGAAGTTCGACGACTGTAAGCGTATTTCTTCATCCCGACGTTCAGTCACCTAACATCACGTAGCGCCGTCGATTCCCTATTCACAACACTCAAGACTTATGGAGACACCTATCCTTTAGAGTTTTGGGATACTGTGTGCAAGAAGACTCTTCCCCATCTTTGCTGTCTTGAAGTCTAGTCAAGATCTCTCAAGGTTCAGCACGCAAGAGGACATGAGCGTTTGGTTATCCACTACAATGATACAAGCCCTGCGCGATCTCATAGACCTTTACACGTATCATCTTACTATTCTGGAACGTTTCCTTGACGGGCTTCTGGATCTTTTATGCGTCTGTATAGGTCAAGGTCAGTTGAACCGATCTCACAATAGACTGAGCTAAAGCGGCGTAGAAAACGATACCTTGGCTCGAATCGGAACATTGTGTCTTCACCAATTGCTGGAAAACAATGTTTCGAAGCTAAGCCCTGCTCGATGGGAACGTTCCGCAACTACGTTTGTCAGATTGTTCAAGACCATGACACCTCATCAATTATTTGACGAGACTCTACGGGAAGAAATTGCTGACAGTAGCTCGGAGATCGCGGAGGGTAAGATAAAAGCTATTCACTGGACTTCGAAATGTTCTCAACTTTCTTTCTTAGAAACCAATGGCCAAACAATCCTTCCTGCACCTTTGTCAGAGCAAAAAAGTTCTTTATCAGTTTGCTCGAATGTTCAACGAAGACAAGGATTTACGCACTGGGCTATGGAAAGTTGGTCAGTTGAAATTCCCCCCGCGTTGAGACACTACGATTTATGGAATGAAATGTCTAATAGGTTTCATGAAACATTTGCCAAATCTCTTGAAGCAGGAGTCGAGCAGTGCTTCAACCCTCGTTCATGTTCTATTACGCATGTACTACGATCCCAGGCCAGCTCACCATACAGCCCGTTCCTAAATTGTAGATCGTTTCCTTCCGTGAGTACCTTTGTAGCTAGTCTTTATTTCCTTTTATAATGCTTTTTGTACATACAGGCTTAGCTTGGGTGTTGTCGAAGACTACAACAAACTCTGATCAGACAGTCAAGCCAAAAACATTGCATGGACTCCTGTAGTTGAAGAAATTCTGGACGGATTTTGCCGCTTGGATGATAAAGCCGTCAGTCTCTTCCAGCCTGTGTACACAATTATGTTACTAATACTCTCACAGTTTGCAAGGTATCTTCCAGCGATATATCCTTTAGCTGCAGATCTATTACTAAGAGAGTTACCAACATCGGTACGGCAATGCCTCAGAACATATTTTATACGGGTTGCACACAGGGTATCATAGACAAGCATTCATCGTAATTGTGTATAGTATTTATTTGTATATTCTCGCGTAATCACGCTCTATTGGATAAAGTACGGGCGTCGGTATGTGAGTAATGCTTACGAAAACCCGCCCTTACGGCAGCTCAGATTCGAGGTAAAAAATCCTCAAAATTGATAAGCTTTTCTATCGCAATAATAAAAATGCAGGAGGAATATTCATTGATATGCAACATAAGACGTTCCTGGGAATCATCCCACTGGTTATTACGTACCCTCTTTGATAATGATAGGACTTTTCGAACGTGGCGTTTGATAAGACTAGCTTTGACCTTTCCAAAAAGGGCACACGCACGTGTAGGTCTTCCTGTCGCCGCGTCAACTTGATTCTGTTTAGATTTTAACCTACTTCGACTCTTATACCCCTCTCGATTTGTACTATTTTCTATCAAACGCAACACTCGCGCCACAGTGCCGTGCTTTAATTCGATTTGGTGTGGGCGGAGAAATTTGTAGAAGTGATTGGGCATAATTCCAAGAACTGAAGAAGGGAGATATCCAAAGACTAGTGGAGACAGAGGTGTAAGATGAGCTCTTTGGCATTTCTAGTCACTGAACTTCAGGTCCGTTCTATAATCTCGTGCTTAACATTGAGCCCATTCTGTTTTATTAGTCACTGTCCAGCGAAACACGGCGGAAGCATTCGTAAATTCGCGATGTACTATCTGCAGTCTAAATCCAACAGCAGCTCTCATACATCCTCTTCCAGGCTGCTGAAAAGTCTTTGACTATCCTTAGAGCTTCACCAGAGCAGGCAAATATTAATCTTACCACAGTTCATACTGTATTACTTACTCTGAGCTGAATTTCGTGTTATTCAGATGGACCACAATCTTTCGACCTCCTCAAACCAGTATTCATGGGATGCGCTACGAAGTCTCCGAAAGTCGTTGCGATATCTCTTGGTTCTCTTCAACGTCTTATATCCCTCAAAGCCGTTCCGAAATCCACTGTGCCGGAAATCATCCGTATCATGGGCGATGCAATGAACCAGGGTGTAGATATCCAGCTCAAGATATTGCAAACATTACTCGGGTTGATAACAAATTATTTGGAAGTGCACAATACGTTGTTGGGCAATGTAAGTCGGAGTATGCTTCACATACCATTTCATTCACTCAATTCAGTTCGCTGAAGGCGTACTTTGTACTTTCATAGGCTTTGCTTTTGTGTTTCAAGTTACAAGAATCACGAATTGCAGTCGTATCTAGTACGGCCACTGCAACTCTTCGGCAGCTCGTCGTGGTTATGATGGACAAAATGGTCGATGAGGATCACAAGAACACAGACGCAGAAATTGGAGAGGCGGATAATAGGCTCGCAGAAATCACATTACCAGATGGCACCACCACTCCCCTCAGTCCTTCCGCAAAAGACGCGTATTCCGTATTCGAGGATCTATGTCTCTTGGCGAATTTGGAAAAGCCTAATTTCCTCAAGCTTGAATCTCTCCATAAGATGTTCGCACTGGAGTTAATTGAGAGTGTTCTGACGAATTATCATGCATTATTTCGAAAAGTATGTCGATTGTATCAGTTGATTTTTCGGCCCATCTAATTGATAGCCACAGCACCCTTCCCTGATTCTCCTTTTACAACATCATCACTGTCCCCTTCTCCTCAAGGCGCTCTCAGACCGACCGACATTCCCTCTCATTTTGCGATGCACTCGCGTCGTGTTCCTCCTGCTGAAGCAATTTTGCCTCGAATTGCAGACGGAAGCTGAGGTGTTCTTGATGCTCCTTATCGGTATTATTACGGACGATAATTCAGTGTCGTTGGATACAAGCGGAAGCAGAAGTAGCATCGCATCGAATGAATCGTATGGTCATAATCGTATGGTCATAATCGTATGGTCATAATCACGGGTCAAGACCTCAGTGGATGAGGGTGCTTGCAATGGAGATAATGCGAGGGTAAGCGTTATTTAACATGAGCTCATTTCGTCTCATAATGTTTGCTTCGTCTTAGAACAGTTCGTGCAGCGATGCGGAACTCATGCGTAATGTATGGGATCGTTACGATGCACAGGAACATGGCTCAAATGCTCTCAAAACCCTTATTACTGCGCTCAAACGACTTGTCACAGAAAAGCCCGCTCTGCTCGGGGTAGGGTCGCAGATGTTCGGTGTGGGTGTCAGCAGTAATAATGATAGCCACTACGCATTGTCACCCAGTGGTTCTGCTTATTCGTTGGATGGAGTAGTTGGGATGGTTGCCACTGCGGCTAGCGCCACGGTATCGAATGTAGTTGGAATGATTGGCTCGAACGCTGGACTAAGCTTGCAGGGTTCAACTATGAAACTGCAGTGGTGAGTGCCGTTCTGCTGTTCCTACAGTTCTTCTACTGATTGTGATGTTTCAGTATTGACCAACTGGACAAGGCCGACTCTCCTCCAATTCCTGAATCATACGTCTATCTCCTCGCCGTGCAATGTCTCGTCTCTCTTTGTGAAGGATTTGCAACATTCGCTGCACCCCTTTACAACACCATAATCATCCAAAAACCTTGCGCAGCAAGCGAGGCACCTATCCGCGCACCACCAGCCTTGGACTTTACCAGCCTTTCTTCGGACGATCCCTCAACAAAACAACTCCAAATTGTACGGGATATTATCGAAAGCAATTGCCCTGCTCTACTTGCTGCGCTTTCCTTCGTCATCGCAACAAATCTTTGCGATGAAATTTTCGTTGATATCCTGGCAAGTTATCAAGCCATGACCAATGTCTCTGGGATGTTGGGTCTTACTACACCGAGAGATGCCTTCTTCACGAGCTTGGCGAAGTTCTCTGTTCCCACACGGGTCGTGTCAAGTCTTGATTCGTATACAGACCCGCAGACTCCTCGCTCTGCAACCTCTTTTTCCGAAAATCTTGGTGTCTACATCTCCTGGTCTTTCTGAACGTAATCTTGCGTGCCTCAAAGTTCTAATATCGAGTTCAATGTTCCTTGCTGAAAGCCTCGGCGAGAGTTGGTTCGGGATTCTGGAGGTGCTACAGAATGCTGATTATGTTTTGACAAGCAAAGGCATTGCATATGGGGTCCAGACACCAGGGAGTAAAGGTGGTGCATTTTCTCCTGGGAGAGGCGGTCATACCACTCCAAGTCGGTCTGTGTCCATGGCGTTGTCTTCGTCAGGATCTGGACTTGGACTTCCCTCGGCTGCACTCTCATCCTCTCAACAACCTTCCCCACGTCATCCGCTCCTCAGTGACCTGGACCCGGAAATGATGTTAACTGCAATACAGCGCCTGTTTAATGCGTCAAAGAATCTGGAGGACGGGGCGTTCAAGTTTTTCACTGATGCCCTGTGTAAATTGAGTGCAGAGATGATTGGGATGCAAACAGGAACCGCGGATGGGTTGGGTTTGGAAGTCATTGCGGAAACTGGAAGTGTGGAGGAACTCAGTAATCTTGATGGAGTTGTACTCTCTCCGCCTGCGCCATCGATTGCAGACACTCCACATCGCCGAAGAGTTAGCGGTATCCACCTTCCAAGAACATTGGTTTGTTGTTCTCTTTTTCGCTTTTTGAGCTACATTAACATTGTGGTCTACTCCCAGCGGTCAGGCGACTTCGGGATCAATAAACTCGGTGGTGTTATTTCTCAAAACATCCATCGCTTGGTATACCGGCCTCCAGAAGTTGCATGGACCACCATTACAACACATCTCCTTTCCGTTATTCGTCTTCCCACTGCTCCTCCACCAATACGCATTCAGGTCGCGAGGGTCCTTGATGATATTCTCATTACGGTCCCTCGCAACTTGGGTACCGCGGGAGAATTGCAAGCGCAAGTTCAGCAACGCGTCTTGGAAGTACTCTCCTACCAGGTCATACCGGACTACACCCCCCTACTTAGTGCTGCTACGGCGAACGTTGGTACTACCGTAGAGTTGAGGCGGATGGGTCTAGAGACTTTGCATGAAATTTTGCAAGTCTCGGGACATACACTGATTGTTGGTTGGGAGACAATATTCTCCATGCTTGAAAGTGTGTGTAGACCTCCGCCACCCACAAAATCAGGCTCCGTGGACTCAACCATAGCAAGCCCTACTGCTTCACCCCCTCGTGCTAAACCGATTCTGCTTGGCCTTGGTGTACCTTCCGAAAAGAACTACACCACACTAATCAAGGTTGCCTTTCAGTCTCTCAATTTGGTTTGTGACTCTGTTTCCGAACTCTCGCCCGAGCATCTTCGTCTCTGCATTAGCACATTAGGACAATTCGGGCGGCAAGCCAATTACCAACATTGCTCTCACTGTTGCCGCGAGTCTTCTATGGAGCGTTTCTGATGCGATCCAGGCGAAACGAAAAGATGCTGAGAAGGAACCGGAGTACAGTGCTCTGTGGATGTTTCTGCTATTAGAGGTCCTTGGTCTGTGCTCAGATGATCGCCCGGAGGTCGGAGATGGTGCGATACAAACTCTGTTTCGGACCATGCAGCTATATGGCGCAAGCCTTAGTCCCCAAACATGGGATGAGTATATGGAAAGTCACATTCCCGCTCGTGGACTCCTTATCAACGGAGATCCGTCGTCGTTCGGCGCTTGTTGAACCCTTCGATGGCGCCGGTGCCGGAGAACAAGCGTGGGATGAATCCAAAATTCTTGCCTTCAATTCAATTGGCTCCATCTTCCACGATTTCCTTTCCTCAAAACTCGTACATCTCGAATCATTTCATTCGGCATGGGATACCTTTGTGACACGCATTCAAGATTCCGTTCTTCTCGACCATCGATCCATAAGCACGCCTGCACTGAGGTGCTTGGAGAAGGCTGTCAAGGCATCCTCAGCATCCATTTTTGATGTGAGACAGAAGGTGGTGGAGATGAAGGAACGAATTTGGATTGCAATTGATGCAGTTGGGAGTGCAATCTTACGTCGTCGGAATGGAGCACAGTCCCCCTCGCTTGACTCGACAATACTACCGAAACCATTCACGCAAGAATGCCAGGTCGCTTTTGTTGATGTGATACAGTCTACTCGGGACCTCAGTCGTGCGTTGGAAGGTGCTGAATGGCCTTTAGAGAGGATAACCCGGTTGATGGTCATTTTAAAAGGTGCGTCGTAAATTTTTCATATTGCATCTCGAATTACCCTGATTATCGACCTGACATTGACGCACTTCCTCCTGTTCAGGTATGTTCGAATGGTAGTGCCTATGAATACTTTTCCATCTCACCTCTCATAGACTGTCGTGATGACCACAATCGGCGGAATCGATCCGTCTGGCTCTGGCATACCATCCCTCGTTCTCAGAGACTTGTCAGAATTTGCTACGCTCCCTTTCCTTGCCGCATTCGACATTCCTCCAGACCCCAAGAGTTCCACTCCCTCCAAACGCATAACATATATAGCCCTTGCAACGAAAACCATGCCCAAACTTGTTGAACTGTGTCTTCAATTCAAGGATAGATTAGAGCTGTAATCTGAGGGGACTATAAAAACTGTCTTATCTGTATGTGTAGTTTTTGAATGTCTGGTTCGAACTTGATGTCTTACTCTAAATTCTAGGCGTATTCCATCCCAGTGAAACTCAAATATGACTGCCCTTCACCTTCAAAACATGGGAAGGACGTCAAGGAATGTGCTCCTCAGGTCATTGCTTTCGATGAAGGTAGATTGCCAGATCTTCAATGTATAAGTTTCGCTGAAAGATCGACATATACATTTACAGATATCCGATGAGCCACTTGAAGGCATGTGGCGGCAGATCGTAGATGTCTTTCGTGGCGGAATCCTCCCAGATTGGTTCGTGTTCATCCCGAAGCACCATTCCAACTGTTTCTCATTTATATAAACAGTTCCACTGCCGAGAGCTTTCCATTGGACATTCAAGAAGAGGAAGAGAACTTTGACCTTTCTCTCGTCGCTTCCCTCGAAATCGACGTTGTTCCACAGACTCTTTCGGGAGCGCAGGACCTCGACTACTACGACGTTTCCGTTGTTGATGGTTTCAACGTTTCGATTGCTGTTACCGTCAGCAATACCTCCTGCAGCACGGCATCTTGTCCGGCTGATCTGAACTCTGACTGTGGGATTTCTTTTACTCCTACGTGAACGTAAATTCAATCTGGAAATGCAGGCCCAGCGGACCTCCAAGTCCTTGATTCCTCAGGAGCTGTTGTCGGATGCAACAGTGCTTGTAATGCTAATCTTGACGGTGACCAAGGTATGTCGCTGTGCTTTTGAAACGTTCGGATTGATTAAATGTGTACAATTGTGTACAATTAGCTGACTCTGCCAATTGCTGTACCGGTTCACACGACACAGCTGCTACCTGCTCTCCCTCTGGAATAACAGACTATGACTTCTTCAGTATGTTCCGCCTTAACAAATTCCATCATAAACTAAATTACTTTTCCACTTGTTTTACAGAGGATGCTTGTCCTAACTCCTACGTCTACGCTTATGACGAATCTAGCGGAACTGCTTTGTGGACTTGCCCTGATAGCACAAGTCCAGATTACACTTTGACTTTCTGCCCTTGAAGAGGAGTTGAGATTGACAACAAACCAAAAAATTTAAGCTTTCTATCCCATACCCTCGCTCTTTTGTTCACGTTATCCTGTATACATCGTTATCCCATACAATCTTTCATGTACATGTACCACTTGTATGGAAAACCGTTGTGTGAGCCTTCCCCGAAATGAGAATTATAGTCCGAGCACTAGTTGATGAGGCACAACCGCTGTTCAAACAGCCAAAGAATGTAGCCATAACCATTTCCTGTTCAACAGAGCTCCATGAATATCGTCAGCGTACGGGCGAAGGGCCGGATTTTTGTCCAGCAGCGAGTCGTGAGGTCCCAGATTGTATCTGGACACCAAACATCTTGTGGCCGAGCAGGTCGTTCTCCCAGCATCAAACTGTAGATCACTGCGGCATCAGTTCTTTGATCGTGAAAAGGAACCTTCAGCGTTAGAATCTACGTCCAATGTCAACATTTAGCGACTGATATCAGGGGGAAGAGGCTTACTTCCACAACAGTACAGCCAAATGCGTAAATATCTCGCGAAGAGTGATGTGGGTGTTCTTCGACTGGGCCTTGAATGATTAGCTCAGGTGCCATCCAACATGCCAGTACTCGTAGTCGCTGTAGACCATGATCTGGAATCCGCAGTAACCAATGCTAAACCGAAATCTGCCAAGCAGCAATGAAAGTCGTCTGTCACCAGTATGTTAGCCTTGGGATGATTTTAGTCACTAGGAGCTCTTATAACGAAAATTTTGATGACACTCACTCCTCGAATGTCGCCATGTATCATAGGAGGTGTTCTTGAGTGAAGATACGCCAAACCTGCCGCGATCTCTGTAAGCTGGATTCATTAATGAGTGATGACATATTCACAAAAAAACCGGAGATGCTCACTACATTGTGTCGGCTATGGGTGGGATTCGCTTTCAGATAAGTGATAATATCCTTGTTTGCCATCCAGGGAGAAACTAGGCAAAAAGAAGGAGCAAAGATTTCTTCGTTGACACTGAGTAAGGGAAGAATGTTCGGATGCTTGAGTTGTCTCCATAAGAGCGCTTCGTTGCAAAATTGCTGTTACAAGTTATCAGGGTCTATACATAACGTTCAATTGTTCATGCTAACCCTTCGAATTCATTGACGAACTTCCGCGTCCGGTTCGATGACCAGTCTTAAAACTTTCAAACACACAGACTGATTGTTCACAGCTCCACGCCATATATCCTTCAAGGAGGTAACCTTTATATAGTAGATTTTGCGAATGGAGGCACTCACTGCAAACCCCCCACCACCGACTGAGTTTTGACCTTCTCGTTCGATTTCTCGAAGAATCATAGAGGAGGGTAGAATTCGATATTTTTTTTGACAAACGACGAGAGAATTGCAGACGTTTCTTTCAATATGTCTCTAGAAGAGAAGGAGATGCATCGATTCCGACTGAAGACGTCCATTCAATGAGGTCATTGGGAGTGGTGTCCATTTCCTTCGGATGATGCATATCTCAGTGAACTATATCAAAAGCGGATTGGGGAAGAAGTACTACCAGTTGGAAGAGGTCCATAACTTGTTGTACCAAAACAACACCGTAAGGCTCAAGAAATTTCTTTTCCCAATCCGAATCGATTTCACCATGACGGAAAAGAGCATACCGAAGATGATCGGCAGTCATTTCATTCGAATCTAACCGTGACAACGCTTTCTCCTTCAGTGCCACATACTGCCCATGAAGCAATAATCAACGGACCTTCATCAAAGTTTCCCTTGTTTTCAGCTGCTTCTCCTGCAGTCCCGTCAGACCAGACCAATGCCTTTTTCTCAAATGACTTTTCAGCAGAACGTCCTAACACAAGCAATGGGGGAAGAGTAATCGGTTTTGATCCGGTGATGTCGAGGACAAAGTCATCATCGTAGCATGAAAGACTAAAACTACTCCGTTTGAAGCTGGACAGGATCTTTACCGTTCTTCTCTTGACCTTTTTCCTGAACCAAGAACTGAGCCGGATTCGCGAGGAGACCCTGGAAATTGTCGTATCGGCTGTCGATGGAAATTGAAATTGAGGTCGAGGGCCAGCATCCGTTGGACTCGAAGAATTATCGACTTCCGATGATGGCTTGTTGAATTTCAATGGAGGATCAGGAATGGATACCAGTGGTTCCAGCGAAGTTGAAAATCTCCATCCTGTTTCAAGCCCGTCAGGTGAATCTGGCGGTACAGAATAGGGTTCGGGTGAAGTCGATTTTGAAGTCGAAGGCGTCTCGTCGAAAGATGCCTGCGAAATAAGCGAAGCCAAATGCAACGAAGTGAAAACACCTTCCCATTTCCTGCTAGGCTTGTGAGGGTCTGGCTGGACAAACCTGTCTGTGTGGGAATCAAGGGCTGCAAGAGATTCTGGTTTGAAGGGACAGGGACGTAAGGTCCCCGTGCTCCGGGGCCGTATACGCCTGTTTGTTGCGCTTGGAGATGTTGACCCATAGGAATGGGCGAGTTGCTCATTCCCATGCCGCTTTGATATCCGTTAGGAGCTGTAGGGGGAGATGGCGCTTGAGGTATCGGAGAGGGAGTACCCATTTGAACGACGTTAGTTATAGGAGAAGGAGAAGGTGCCGGTGCCGGTGCGGTGCTCTTTCGCAGCTCGCTTAAACGAGCGAGTGGCTGAAATACATCGTCCTCTGTTGTGTTTGCTAGACTTGGGGGACCTCTGGCTGAAGCTGAGACAGGAGGGTTTGGAGGAGTTGGAACAGGAACGGCTTGAGCGGGGGCAGATGTAAGCGGAGCGGAAGGGGCACGACGCACCGTAACAGGTGGAGCACGAGATGCAGGAGCCAGCGGTTCCGTAGAAGTTGGTCGATTCGTCTATGCGTCGTCGTCGAATCCACTCGCGACCAGCGCATCAGAGCTTGAACGAGCTGGAGGTCGCACCGGTGTCCCTGCAGAGACGGGGCTTAGGAGTAAAGGCGATTCTGTACGTTGTATCTTGTCGGAAACTTCGCTGATGGTGTTAAGATAAACGGCGCTGGATAGACTTTTGATCGGTTGAGGTCTTCCTCTCCTTCCAGGTTTGAGCACACCGTTCGGCCCGTTTGCAAATAGATTAGGAGGAGCAGTAACTTTTGGAAAATCGCTGCTCTAGTGATCATTGCTTTTATCAGCAGATCTGGGTCTGCGCTTCTCAATTGCCTTCGGGACACGGATAATATCACCCTCTCGGAGACCCAATGAACGCATGGTTGACTCCGTCATGTCGGGCAAAATTGACTCGAAAGAAATCGAACCAATCAATAGTTGGGCCTTTCTTCGGCTGAGGAGAAACTCGAGGAGGAGCAACCTTCCCTCCAGATCATTTTTAACGGTGCAATGCGAGAGGGGTCTCATCATCAGAAAGATTGTCATTTGTTGGAGGATGGGACTTTTTACTGAGAAGTTTGTCAACGTAGCGCATGTCTTCGACAGACATTTTCTCTGAGGGTACTTCCACAATGACACCATTGATCTTGTGAAGCCTGAGTTTTCCGTCCTTGAAGCTAAAAAGAGCAGCTTCAACACGAAATTGCCCGCTACGATCATGCCAAATCCGGACACGATCCGCAGGACGGACTGAAAACAGTCGTTAGGTTTTGAAACAGGCCAGGAGAAAAAGGCACATACAACCGTTTTCGGCGGAGGTTCGTCCTGATGAAGAGCTAGGGCGGTCTTTGCGGGGTGAAGAACGACTAGAAACTGTAATCAATCATGGCTTAACGATCAGGGTACATATAACTAACCTGTTGTTGGCTGATGAAGGTGGAGGCGAAGGATGGCTGACGGCTGCAGCCTGCGTCCTCTTGGCCCGCTCGGCTTCAGCAGCCTTTGCTCGCGCTTGCGCCTCCTTCTTCTTTCTCTCTCTTTCCTTATCCTTTTCTCTACGTCCCTCTTCCTCTTTCCGCGCACGTTCGGCGGCCGCAGCAGCAGCAGCTTCCGCCTCTGCTCGTTCTCGGGTTTGTGCCTCTTTCGCCGCCATTTTCCCAGCTTCGCCGTTATCGTTAGTATGTCGTCGGATACTTTGAACTCCGGCGAGACGATTGCGAGCTAGAAGAGGGGTAAGTAGAATTCGATAGATGACTAGGGCGAGGCGATGGATTCACCTGAAGATCTAGAGGGAACTCGGCCACCACTCCTCCTAATGCCGTTAGTTCCCCTTCGTTGTCCAGCGCAGCAAGATAATTGAGAAGTTCCAATGCACGCATGAGCGTTTCCGGTGCAGGGGCATCGAGGTAGTCGAATCGGACAGGATTAGCGAGATTTGACCGCAAGATTTCCGGGTGGGTCCGCTCTTCGAGTTCGGATATGAAATCCTTTTCAGTATACAGCCTGCGATGAAGACGGACGGAAGTTAGACAAGCAAGTGAATATCTCAAAGAATCACTGACCTAAAGCTTTTCCCTGGCCTAGTACGCCCTGCACGACCGGCCCTCTGCGATGCTTTTGATATCGGTGATACGAGTAATGACTCAACTCTTTTCCTCTTCCTCTTCTGGTTCCTCTTCGAGGGGAGTGGATCTTGGCGCAGTCTGGCGGTCAGAAGGCGCGAGCTCAATATATGACGCAGGGACCACTCCTTCTGGGCCTTCAGCATTCCGACACTTCCACCACTCGTCATCATCTTTTTCTAGCACCAATAGCTGTTCGCCCTCAATCACAGACAATTCATCGTCTCCATCGGCAGTAAACGGATAAAGCGCTACAACCATTTCTCCCTCCTCTTCCGGTTCTTCCTCTTCTTCTGGTTCCTCTGCTTCAGGGGGAGACGGTATAATTGCGGGGGACTCGGGAGCAAAATGGACGGAGGCTTTAACTGGTCTTGCTGGAAGCGAACCTAACGAAGGTGGCGGAGGAGCTCTGCTGGGTGTCGGCGCAGATGCTTCCTCCGAAAGTTGAAGAGCTAAGGCTTTTGGAGATTCTAGCTTCACGACAATCGCTTCGCAGTTGTCCTTGGAGCCAACGTTGAAATGTAAGCTGACTCCACCCTCAACATCAAAGTGGACATGTTTAGCCTTTTCGACGTCGATATTACTGATTGAGCTTGCGGGCCATTTCGGCACCGCTGCCTGAGTGGAGGCTGAGTAGACGTAGAGGTGATAAGTGAGCTACATATGCACCTTGCTGGTTTCGCTGGCGAAGAACACTGCCCCACTACCTATACCGAGTGTTCCCTTCATCTTCTTTCCTTTTTTGTCGACCTCTGATACGGACCAAGCCTTGATATCATTGGCGTTGAGTTTCAATGACGCGACTCTATCGGCAGGATCAACATATGTGGGTGGAGAAGGAGTGGGCTGGGACGGTGATCAAGATACAGCGGCTTTGGTGAGGGTGTGAAATACGCACTGAAGGTGGAACTATAATTCGTTGATTTGCTGGCTGCTCTTCCGTTGCTTCTTCTTCAGTGCCTTCTACATGTCTCTCTACGTAGTTCGCCGGTATATAGCCAGCTTTACCGCCCTCCTTGGTGCTTTGAACCAGCAACCACTCATCATCAGGCTCAAAAGCAAGCAAGATTTCGCCCTCGATAATCGTGAGTTCTCCCGGAGCACTGGCCTCATAGTCACAGAGAGCTTTAACCAAAGACAAGTGGTCGGCCTGATGTGGCCCGTAAATTACTTGCAGACAAACTAGAGTTATATAACGCACCTGTTCCACATAAGCAGCAGGAACAAGACCAGTGGGAGTGCTTTGATCTTGAGATTCACCCTTTACCTTGACCCTCCACCAGCTGAAGAATATGAGTATTGGGAAGAAACATTGGAAGAAATCACTTACTCTTCGTCTGTTCAATCCTTGAGAAAGAGGATCTGGTTTTCTTCGACGGCAATCTCGTCGTCAGATTGTGGTTCATAGCCTTGAGAACAGCCAAATACTCTTCAGGCTCAGCCATTCTACAAGTAGCAGGCTTCTTAAGATGGAGATAAACAAGCTTTCCACCAGGGGTCTTCACAATTCTGGGAGGAAGTGGGATTGTACGGTTGGCGTTCGCGAAGGGTGACGCGTGGGGCCACACAGTTGGTGTGTCGATGTCTGCCATCTGAGTCCTCACCGTCGTCCGTAACCAGTTCTACGCACACTTGAGCATACGGAAGTGAACCTGAGCCAAAATCCCGCTAAAAACCGCAATCAACACATTATCCATAGTAAAAGGGTGTCGGAAATTGTGAACATACAGATGAGAATTATTAAGACACGTAAAGCACCACGGAAGATACACAGACCCAGCACAAAACTGGAAGATAGACGGAAGCGATAACCAGTGGACAAGAATTAGAATACCAAGTTGAACCCGAATTAGCCGGATGCTAAAGCGGGTTTACAGTTGAAGTAAGGACGGGACTCCACCCGACTCAACTTGGTAAACATTTCTATAGTCCAAAGGTAAATTAAACCAGAAAATAAGCGCCTTGGATCCCAGGAGCAAATGCAAACACGAAGTAATGAAGTCACGAGGCACGCGGTTCAGTATTTGCATTCAATCATATGACCATTCTTCATCTTTATCTGCTAGCTCGATATCGATGCCTCAAATCTTGAAAGTTCCTCCAACGGTTGAAGAACTTACTCCTTCTCTAAAATCTATTATCCAAAACTGCACTTTTGAATGGAATGAGCTTCAAAAAGCTAACCGTATCAGCAGAAACCGGGCTCATTTGATGACGGTTATATGGAGAAAAAAATGTGAACAGAAGTACTTCGATAATAATCAACATGTTCAGGTAAGTGCATAGTGATTCATGAATAACCTTAAAATTTTAGTGGATAATATACAGGACATGACATACAAGTGGTTACAGGAATGTGTTAAACTTCATCCAACCGAACTCAATTCAGATCAAGCGATGAATCACTTCTGGAACCTAGTCAAACTGCCTGAACCAGCGTGGTTGGATTATTTCCGATCGGCACAAACACAGATTGTGGCTGGAGTAAGCTGTCTTCCAGTAACAAATAAACATACTCATCAATTGGATATAGCGGACCAGATATTCCAATCCCTCAACCGATCCCATCCAGATTGCCCCCGAATCATCCGAGATCCTGGAAAGCATGTTAAAGGCAAATGCCGCTGCAAATGTGCCAAATGTCAAAAATGCTCCAAAACTTACCAAACACGATTCGAGATCCACTTTTCTTCAAAGACAAAATGAATGGGCAACAGTATTGACATCTGTCTTTCTGTCGAAGGTATGTAGGAACTGTGGGAGCAGGAACACAATCACTTACTATAGGATTTTGCAAGGGAGTTGATGTTATTCAGGAAGAAGAGATAGCTAAAGACAAATGGCTTAGTGTTCTAGATGAGATGAAAGGAATTTCGGAAGGGACTTACCATGAAACTGAGTGGTACCTCGCATTCAAAGTGAATCATGTGAATTCACTACATTATCAATGCTCACAATTTTGTCAGGAATCTAAACTCTGTGGTGTCTTCAATGCTCTGTGTAATCCAAACTACCCTGTTAGGCATGCCAGGGTAAATGATTGCGACAATCCTCATTATCGCATCACGTGGTATGGTTATTACGCTTTGGCTGAAGTCATAGGAGTATTCCAGGAGGAATGGACCCCAGAAATGATCAAAACTCAATGGATTACGGACTGGGAAGAAAGTCCCCATGAAAATTATCAACAACAAGTGAGTGACAATTTTAATTTATTATTGATAGTATCATGAATGTACAATTTGGTCATTACAGAAACAGCATGCAGTCAAATACACCAAGTTTGACTGGAAGAAACAGCCAGTGAAGATTTTCCAAGCTATGACATGGGAGAATGTTATTCCATTGGAGGCTTTTCCCTCCCATGTCTACACCTTTCTGTCTCAAGATAACTTCATTCATGTTTGGAACCGATCCATAGCTCCAGGACTGGATGAAAGACATGTTGATGTATGCGTCTATTCAAAGCTTTATTTAGACCTTTAAACATTAACTTCAGTTTATAGCTTGAAGGAATGAAGCCATCTATCCTCTATCAAGTCATTCACAGGTGGATGGTTAGCAAACAGGGAAAGAATGACATAGATAGGATGAAAATTCCTGAACCCTTCAGATTAATTGCAACTTGTACATTGGAATATTTTGACTTCAAAGAGAGACTAGACAAAAAAGTTTGGGATCATAAAATTAGACAGGTAAACTTAATATCCGATGTCTTACTGAATACTGATTGGAAATTGGCAGAACGAGTATGAGAAGTTGTGCAATGATGTGCAGGGATGGTCTCCAGGTTTATGTCAACATTGTCTCAACCAACCTCAGGATCAAAGATGTATTCAAGACCATTTTACTATATTCAAGACCAAGGAGCAGCTCAAGCGTGAATTTCCTAATTTTGACCTCGAAGGTGCCGGCATCAGTTGCGTGCCAGAAGACCAACAAGTGGAACCAGTCACAGTAAGACTTTTGACTTTGAGAAATACCTTATCAACTTTTTATTAAAACTAGCCACCCGTAATACGCAAAGCTGATGGTAGCATAAAGATACGCAAACCACTTACCGAAATCTATCATCCGGACCGCGACCTTCATTTGACTCTGATTCAGTCCAATCCTACGATTATCAAACGTTGCGGTCGGCACATATTTCGCATTATGGACAGCAAAACTCAAAAAATGGTGAGATCAATTTTGTACATCTGAACATAGTTAATAAATTATGATAGTTTGAGTTTGTATACTTTAACCCGTTTCCAGCTGATATTCTCCAAGAAATGGCAAACAGTACAGAGGAAGACTGTGGCGTAAAGGCACTGAACCGAGGACGGTCTGACAAAATGCTATATTGGACTAGAGGGTCAATGGTTCCACTTGGAAGTCGGGTTCCTATGGGGGGTGATAAAGGCACAAGTTATGGAGCCTATCAAGGCATGTCGGCAGAAGATGAACATACTATCCGTTTGATGTTCCGCCATGCAAAAGATTCCCTACCACTTTTGGAAGCAGCTAGATCAGTGGATTCTAACCTGGTCAGGAATCTAAAAGATGCCGCCACTACATGCGACAGGCTTGGTGCAAGTGGCGCAAATCTTTACAAATGCCAGGGATATCAGGCTCCAATTCATATTGAAGACGATGCCTCCAGAGGGCTTTGTGCACAGGTGTGGTGGAAAGGTATTGAAGAGTGGAACGAGTGGGGGTTTGTGAATTTGCAATTGGGATATTACATTGCCACTCGAGCAAATACGCTATGGTTAGTTCCTCTTATTTCAGTATAATTACAACATACTATATTTGTTCCACAGGTCTTTTAATTCTTCACACATGCACGGCACTAATCTACCTTCACAAAATTCGTTGATCAGGAGCAATCAATGGGCATGGGAGGCAGTGGATGATGAAGAGTCTGATGTGGAGTCGGAAGAAAGTAATGATGATGATGATGATGATGAGCAACATATCGGAGCAGGAGGGACTTTTGCATCAAAACATACACGAGAACCATCATCTGCTTCTGAGACATTGATCAACGCTACAGGCGTTAAACGCCTTCGGGGTGGTGCACGTGCACGTAGACGTCGCATTCGGCTTGCAGGTAGTGGGGGGTTCCATGTGTCTACACCTAAAAAAAATGCAAGCACGGCTCAGAGAAATGCAGGTGTGAGGGGTAGAGCTGCAGTAAGAAGGGCACACTACGATCAAGCATAAAATGTACTTATTTGCTTTACGTTATCTGACTACATTGTGATTACACTGTCTATCTGTGATCAGTCATTGCTTGCGCTGTCGGAACCATTTTATGATGAAATGCTTCGGATACCTAATAAATAAAACGTATAACTTCAAAATGGAAACAGTCGATCACGAAAAATTAGGAGCACGGTTTATTCTCTCAGAATCTGTCTACCAAGCTCTTCCCTCACACCCATTCTACAGTCCTCTTCTTCGATGGTAAGGCCGTCACTCGGGTATTCAAAGTCGGTACTCAACGCTACACCGCATTTTCATCTCGTCTGAACGCGAACGTCCTCGCTGTCAATTACCGTGGCTTCACAGACAGTAATGGGTCACCCAGCGATAGAGCCGCATGAATGGTTAATCAACTCTAGTGCGAAAGGGGAAGATATTAGGGAAGATATTATTATCATTAGCATGGTCACAGCCTTAGTAGTGGTGTCGGCGCAAGGCTTCCGCCAGTTGTCGAAGGAAGAATTAACATATAGAGGAATTGTGCCGTTGAGTCCGTTCTCAGGTATCACAGAGCTGGTCAAGACGTATAGTGTAATGGGCGCTTTACGCAGGTAAGGCCATTGACCATGATCCCTTATGCGTTCAGTAATTCCCCGTTTTTAACCCTCACGACAGAGCATGTTCTCGATCAATGGGTGATTACAGATTTTATTACCTGGGCGTTGATCTACAAATTTGACACATTGAGCGTAGTACCCGTATGTTTCTTCTGCTATCTGGTCGTTCTTTGTACTGTATGGATGTCCTGCTCGAATCACAGCAAATCAAGGACAAAGTCCTCAAAGCACATACAGGTAATTGTCAAATCCCGTCTATACTGAACCTACCAACCTTTAACCCATCCCGGTCGTACAGAAAATGACTGGGACATTCCATACGCACAACTCCGAAGTCCTATTCAACGCTTTCCTTGAGCCTGCCTACCCGGATCGACGAGAGGTACGCGTTACTTCCCCGCGACGGACTGAGCTGAATTAGTGATCTTGCAGTACAACGATGAAGACGAAGAAGAGGAAGATGAAGAGGAAAGTATTGCGAATGCCGTGGCCAAACCTCCTCATCGTCCATCTTCCCCTACGCCCTCACAAACCACAGTAACATCTATGCCAGTGTCTTCAGTGGCGACCAAAAAACCGGAATACGAATTTTTATTATTCTATCACTTGCTGCGATTCGGTCATCGCGAAGGCCAGATCGGCGAGTTCGCTCGCGCTGGTTTACTTTTACTCATGGACGTTGCCATGTCTCCCGGAGAGCCTGTTCACCGTCTCACTGGAGAACAAACCTCATCAGAAGCCACCGCAGATCCTATAACAGATGCAACACTTGCATTAGCGGAATACATCCTCGATGGTGATTTCTCTGAAGTCTTGGGTGCTGGTCTAGGCGCAGTGTATTCCATGCTACCCCCCGGGCTTCGTCCTCGTGAGCAGAGTGCGGAATGAAAGTCATAATGCCGCCTATAGACTCCTCGGTTTCAGTATAGGCAGCTTCAAGGTCTGCGACTTCTTCGGAGGAGCCTGGATCATCACAAATCAAACAAGTGCATCACTACAAGCAATTATCATACATACGCTGATATTCCTTCTTCATCTCGTCTAATTGACCTCTCATGACGCGATCAAACATTTGCTCAAAATAAGCCTCCCAACCATCCTCTCCTGGAGCGAGATCAAGACCTCATCCGTCTTCCCCGTGAGGTCCCACCGTCTCCTGCGCTTCTCATCACTCAGCACAGCGTATGCGAATCCAACATGTTGAAACTTGAGCGAAGCTTCACTTTTCGCGGATTCACTGGCAGTCGCGTGTTTATCAGGGTGGTATTTCAGAGCGAGACGGCGATATGACTTTTTGATTTCATCGAGTTTGGAGTCATTGGAGACAGAAAGTACAGCATATAAGTCGACAGATTCTTCGACAGGAAAGAAGGTGGAAATTTGGTCATCGTGGTCCATTATTGAGTACAGTGACGCGTGATGTGACCCTGCATGTGATCCTGATTTACAATACCAGCAATGATACTGATTGGTCGACTACAGACGCCTGCTGTCCAGCGAAATGACATACTTACTTCCAATGAGCTAAATAATATACTTTCCATAGCTGTTCTGCTTCTACTCCGTATTTGTTCAGAGCTTCTGTCCACAAATAAAACCACAACCAAGCAAATCCAAAGCCAAACGAGCAGCCGACTGATACGTGAGCCAAGGTGTGGTGTCCGATCCATATCATAGACAAAGCGATCAAAGCAGCCCAAGGCAAAACGATTAGCGGCGGGATGATTCGTGTTGTCCAGTGTTGAGGAAGGGTATGGTGAATCGGAAGATAGAGACTAGCGAGGAGGATGTATGTCGCATAATATGTGATAGTAGTGGAGTGGGTGCTCAGCATTCTAAAGGTATTATATGTCAAGGAAAGGATATATGGATAACGGAGGAGGCTCCAGCTCTTACCCATAAGTCTTTTTCCGTTTCTTCCCCGGCCGCTGCGTTACAGGTCTTTCTTGGCAAATCATTTTCTTGACAATCTTCACCGCTATCATACAACCTGCTGCACCCGAAGCAAAATAGGTTACTCCAGAAGATTGGGTATATAATATGAAACCGGCTGTTAGAGCAGTTACGGTCGTATTCGTCTGTGGAATTTCTGATTCTAGTACGTTGTTTTCAGTGGGATCGAAGAGAGATTTCTCACCTTATCCAAAAATTTCAACCACCAAGGAAGCCTCCATTTTTGTGATTCTGTATCAACATGCTGGTTTGCCATGAAGGATGAATGTTTTGACAGTGTATGGTCATATGGGCGCTATGTCCGGCCATGGGACTTGTATGACTGAGACGGGAGAGAGGTTCTATATACCATAAACGATTTACCTCGGACTGGCAATTTGTGCGTCTGTAGAGGCAACGTATTCTTCATGAGTGCTTTGGAATTCGGTCAGGGCAGCCTGATTCGCTTCGCTGATGCTCTGGAATTGTTGTACATGTCCTTTCGCTTAGGTGAAGTCAATCTGTGCAAATTCGACGGCCGATCTGATAAGAGTGAGCGTTGAAATAGATAGGTATGGAGACTGCAAATACCGTAAATATATACAAATAGGGATCATAAAGACAATTGGCATTAATCCCTACGCGCAAAATATGCAACTTATTAGGACTTCATAGCATTATCGTCCTCCTTTTTCGCTTGTAGCAGCTCATCAATCTCATCCGGTTTGTAGATCTTTGCCTTCGGAAGTTGTGTTTCTGTATCAAGAGTAATGACAGCAGATTCCACTAGAAAGCGGATTTGAGCAAGGTTGAAAATAATACACAGAGACAGGAACTCACATTTCTCACTTCCTAATGTCGTACTGTCCATCGTCTTGCTCATAGTTTTAAGCACAAGACTTATCGCGGCCTTGACTTCGATATCGTCCTTGTACTCTTGTTTCAGTAGACTTTCGGCTGTACCATTGTTAGCGCCGATGCAAGTAGCTTTCCAGCCAGAGTAGTTCCCTGATGGGTCCGAATGATACAGCTGGAACTGGTAATGCTGGTCGTAGCCAGCGTAGAGTAAAGAGACACCGAATGGTCGAAGACCTGACAGGCGTTCATTTTCTGTACAAAACGAGACCATTGAAGAGACGTACCTCCGTACTGCGTGTAACCCTGCTTCATGTCGCAAAGCCGCTGAGCCAACACTTCTACCGGAATATCCTCATTGTATTGCAGTAGATGCTGCTGTGAGGCAGATCGAGCATAGTTGATCAGTGAATCAGCGTCAGCAGTCAGTCCTGCTACGCCACCAATGACATTTCTGGAGGTACGTAGGTAAGCGACGATGGTCAGACATTCGGAGATATGTAACGCACGAATTTAGCAGAAAGATCTTCTCCCCGCTGCCACCATATCCACCCTCTTTCGCGTCTGAAAGATCAAGGAGATTTCCCGTGACTTTCCTCTCTGCTGCAAGAACTACACCATCTTTGGCTAGAACACGAAGCACCGTTCCTGCATGTGAGATTGCTTCCATGGCATATTAAACTGCACATAATCTTCAAGTAATCCCCGGTCACTTGGACTATATGTGCTTACTCTGATATAACCGGCCTAGATAAAAGCTGATAAGCTCGATTGAGAGGTATTCTTGTTACGATGCTTACCTTCCGGAGAGAAGATGGTTGTCCGACCTGTTCAACGGTCGTCAGCGGGGCGACTAGTAGTCGACGAGAGCGATGAACGCACTATTATATCTTCAAGACTATTAGAGACTCGTCAGCAATATTTCTTCACAGAAAGCTGCGATGTACTTACCGTAGTAGATGAGAGATGAGAGAATCAGAATAGCTGAGTACAACTTCAGAGATCAAGACGCGTCGCTTGCGCCTACAGGTCCTCGGCAAATGCCGGACCGCACGCCTCTCCATCTTTGACCATCAACCATCAGTTTATACCTTCGAACCTCCAATTTGTGATTGACCCACTGATACTGTGCAAACACGAATCTTCACAGAGCGAATGTACAATGTTACTTAGAAGCATAGCCCATAAATCGCAAACGTGTCTGCAATGAAAGGCTGTTCCTAGCAACGAAGGTTCTTATTACACTGGCCAACATCTTGGTCCTAGCACCTTAAATCCTGAAGTTTTTATTGCCAAAAGATGATCATACACACACTAATTCAGTATCATTACGTCTGGCTTCTTCTTCAACAACGTATGTATGCATGGTTTGCCTAAGAAAATCTTAGAAACACCCTAAAAATTCGCCAGTCCATCTTAGAATGGATCCCCTGAAACCGCAGCGCATATTAGCCTTTTCCACTAATACCTATCTGCCACTGATCAGTACTCAGTTTCAAAGCTATGAACAGTGTCCAAAATTTACTGCTTCGTCAACCATAAATTGTGGATGCAATGAACATCCGCAACAACTTATCGAAAGCCACACTAATCTGTACTGTAAATTTGCTACACTCCAATAATGTTAGTCCGTAATATACGCCTTGTGACCTATTGTGGATGGATCACCGGCATCAACTTCTACATCTAGATCATACCAGATCACGATCACACCTCAAAAGTGAATACGTTTCTTACTGATGAACGTCGGCATCAAACTCAATGCAAGTCTTGATCCAGGCTTTCTCAATTTGTCAAGAAATTAGCCTCTTTTGACTGTACCGCCATACTAGCGCAAAGTCATTCTATACCTATTTGTGCTTGTACCAAGGAGGAAAATATATCTTATGTATCTCCTTCCACACATAAAAAGATGAGTACCTTCTTCTCGTCTTCCCTCCATCCTCAACAATGGCTAGTTTTAACCATCTCGCTGAAAGTCCTTCCCGTCTCAGTCAAAATTCTTCCAATGACGAATATCAGTGGGTTGGGGTTGACACATTCCTCGACAAAGTTTTGAATGCCCCGATCGATGAACATATCATTGGCAAGTTGCTCTTATTCAAAGCACTGCGTTACATGTACTTATTAGTGATAATGTTCTTAGAATACCTGACAACACTTACTTTTGAAGCCGTCGATGCGGGCACGACAAAATTGCTTTATCGTCCCACCTCCATTCGTGTTTTCTTTTCTTCACTTGTCCGAAGAATTATACGCCGAGCAGGAGTATCAATGCCTACCATAATTCTCGCAATTGTTTATCTGAAAAGAGCGAGCCATGATATTCTAATTGGAGACTATGCAAAATTCGTTGCGGAAAGAGTGTTTTTAGGAGCACTACTTCTCAGTGCAAAGGTACGTAACGTATACTACTACTGTTACTTAAAGGATGAGTGACGGACCATATCCTTAGTATTCCACAGAAAACGCCATCCCCAATGATCATTGGGTCAGCGCTGCTGAGGTTTTCACCCTGCAAGACATTAACAACATCCAACAACAATTCTTAATCGTTCTCGACTGGGATTTGTCGTACACTGACTCCGATGTACTCAAAGCTGCGCTGGATGTTTATACAGCTACTCCAAGCATTATTCTCTGACAAGTACGCAAGTACTTCTCTGCGGCATCATGTATATTCATCTCCCAACAGGTCTACGCAAACTGCATATCAGTCAATTATGCGCTCTTTATCTTGATTGCTAAAATTCGTTGCTACTGATTATATGTGCGAACTGAAATCTATCATTGCTTACTTGCGATATTGTAACATTTGTTGTTGTCGTTGCCTGTATGCCACAGCATGTAAATACGTTGTACACTACTATATCTTGAAATGAATGAATACGATTGACCGATGAATTGACCGTGATTTCACGCTGAGATTTGTCTGCATCGATGTTTGCACTGAAAGTTGTTTCTGAAAGATTTAGAACTTAGGCAAATCTGACCTCGCAATCCGTAACACATTCATACTACGCTCCGGGATCGGAGGTGCGACTTCAATGAGGACTAATCATATGCAAAGAATCAAACACCAACTTCATCTCATATTGCCTTCTCATTCGCCATCTGGTGCTAGCCATTCTTCTCCGTCAAAAGGCGGATGCTTGGCTGTGTTTTCTACCGGCTGTGGTTCTGTTTCGTTGACGGGTTCCATAACGTGGTTGCTATTTTCCGCTCTCTGTAGCGCAACATCAGTCACCATTGTAATTATCATTTTTTCACACTCACCAACACCTTCACCTACACCTTCGCCGTCCCAATTTCATTCCGATATCGCTGGTTGACGAATTCCAGCCGTTTAATGGTTTGAATAGACGTGAAAGGGACTGGTTCAGGGACCTACTTAAAGAGATTAATGTGAATGGTTGTGGTCAAGGAGAACTAGAGCAATTGAAACGATCCTTGTTTTCGCAATGAAGTATTCGACAGTGGCACCATTTCCCCTTGGTTTTCCCTCGCTTTTGAGCCGCAACGCATCCTCACCATTCAGTCAAGGAAGAATCCAAGCAAATCGCACCAAAGCCTCCATCTGCGTGCGTAGCTGCACCCGGCAAAAATCTGGCGAGCTGACTGCAATTGCAATAACAGAACATGGAACAGAAATACACAACCGACTTCATTCGAAAGTTGAATGTAGCTGAAGGTAATATAGCATAGTCGCGATGGTCGCTGAAAGAAAGGAATAGATAGCCAGTAACAATTACCCATATAGATTTCTTGAAAACGATGGCTGAATATTGGACAACGAAGCAGCAACTATTATAACGCACATTGTTTCCGGTTATTAACAGTTTCCCATCCACAGCCATATTGGCTTCTGAAGGTTTGTTCATATTCCAAGCCAGGAGAAAAGAAGACAATCGCAAAAGAAATTAAACTGAACATGAAGGATAGACAAGACACATGAGGAAAAGGCATGAGCGAAGAGGGTGTGAGCGAAGAGGGCGTGAGACAATGGTCATCAACTTGTACTTCGACGTCGTAGTACGTGGTAAATCTCAATTCATAGAAAGAAGAATAGCGGTATATCGAGGATTCTGGATCGCGTTGAACGAGCATAGGTCACTCGACCTCATTTACAAGATTTTTTGAACCAAAACACCAAACTGATCTTTCTGTTTTCGGAATAACATTAAAAACACAACATAGTTCATCAAAAAAATTCCACGTACATCCGTCGATCAAGCATTGCATCCCATGTCGAAGTCTCCATCTCAAGACCAATTATCAGTTCATGTAAGTTAACAGTTAAATGTGCTGCCGGAAATGATACTTGCTATATGTACAGAGGAATGATTCTTGTCACCGCCATTTGCTCGACATTTGACTGTCTCATTGTCAGTATCAGTACATTTAAACATATATTGCAATGATAACTTCATCCATTCTTCGACAACCATTGGTATGCAACTTCTCAGGTGCATGTCAGGTTGAATATGCACGACAACAAAGTATCGGGCTCGTAACACGATCGCATGTAAGGTCGCAGCTACTGAATCAAAGTGATGAAAGGCGCAAGTGAGTAAGCTACATTTACTGCAACAAAAACGGCGGACTTACAAACTATGCGTTCTGCAGGATCCTTCGTTCTGCAGGATCCTTCGTTCTGCAGGATCCTTCGTTCTGCAGGATCCTTCGTTCTTCAAACTTCCTCCTTTGGAAACGAGAGCTTCTTTGAGAATCCTACAACTCCTTCGAGAGCCCCTGTGGAACTATCTCACTTCGCTCATCAGGAGGTTGCACCTCTGGCGATAAGACACTCTCCCCTAACAGGGGCAACGCCGTTCAATCCCAATGGTACCCAAACAGGCTACACGCCCATTGTGCAATCTACGCATTACCAGTCCATATCGAGTCCCTGTTTAAATCCAAATGGTCCAGAAATGGGTCCTAGTACTGTCGCTCAGTTGAACCCTCAGCCTCCCCCCGCCTCACATCACCCTTATATATTCTGATTTCCGAAAGCCGAGCCCACACTCAAATACGAGTCGATCTCTCCTCACCCGCACTGGAACCAAATCGCTTTTCAGTTCGGTGTCGCACCTCCACCTCCTGCTACCATCATCCGTTCTCGATCCCGGAAGCTTGTTGTCGAAGCTGGTCTCAAATGGGACCACGACAAAGGTCCTTTGATTCTTGCTGACCTCGGCTACCTTCCTCAGCCAGACATATTTCCCCCGGTGATAAAAACTGTAATGGACACCTACTTCAACCATATCATTAGGCCGCCACCCACTGCCGACCACTATATGCTCTGGTGGAACACTGTTTGGATTTGAAAACAGTTTGTGCTGAAGGTCCAGCAGCAACAACAACCCACATCCGTGGGGACAGCCATTTCCTCTGAGCGTCGATCATTTCGCGGGAACCCTCCGTCTGGCACAACTCGTCGTAAAACTCCGACGTCGCAGAATCATCCTGATTTACAATCTACTAGTCCCGTCCATGATTCTTCAATTCAGCTCCAAACGGCTTCGCAGCCGTCTGCTGAAGATCTCGCTAAAATGAAGCCCTTTAGTATCTTCATAACGGAAACTGGCCGGCCAAGGGGACGTGCGGCCACAATCTCGGATGAGCGTTCCAAAAAGTTGAAGAAAGCTTGTCCAGGAGGGGAACTGATCGTTGAGTCGTTTGATGTATCATGCAACGGAACCAACGGCGGAGCATTGAGGCCTTGGGGAGATCCGAAACAACGTTGGTTCACACCCGCCGTGGCGACGACGTTGGCATTAGAAGATGTTATAGCAGAAAACGGGCTGCTTCTGGCTGCCTCTGGCTGGCAGTCGCACAGTTATGGGCGATGCCTTAAATCCAAACTCGCGAGGAGGAAGAGGCTTTAGAATCGCAGAAGTATGTGAGTTGGGTCATTCCCGCCTGATCCTATACCAGTACCTGTTGGGATGACCCAACATTCTGGTGAACGCCCTCTACCAACATTAACTAGACGTGGTGGTGCGCTTGGAACCAATGATGTTGTCCATTCAGTCTCCTCTGTGATTGTGAAGACGGACAATTCTCATTTTATTGCAGATTATTATCATGGATTATATCGGTGTATGTGCCGTTGTAGCCGCAGCGAAGCTGTATCATTAAAGCGAAAGGTGAGCTTGAATTTTTTGAACTAATTAATTGCGTGCACCTTATTCATGAAAGCGACACTACCGCGGTAGTGTATCATCTATTGCTCACGGAAGAAAGAAAGTGTCACCATCCACTGTTACTGTCGCTTTTGCCGTTACTCATGTTACATTGAAATGCAGTGCTTCTTCTTCTCTCTTTACCACCACGATATCGGCTCATCAACTGGAGCTAGAGAATATTGTCAGCTCACTATCATTTGCATCAACGGTGACAGCAGAATCTTTCCTAATATTACTTCCAGAACATAATCGTATTCTTACTATGTATGGTACAAAACGAAAACGCAAGATTTTCGAGCCGCATCAAATTCAAGTGCTAAACACTGCGTTGGAAAAGGTATGAACTACTTAACAATCTACTTTCGACCTGATCATTCAAATACGCAGTGGAATAATTACCCTCCGGGCGAAATTAAGAAGCAATTGGCAAAAGAACTGAACTTGACCAATCAAGAAGTAAAGGTGATTAACCTCCATTTATTTCTGAAATTGCCTGAACGCTTCCTTTCCAAGACGTGGTTTCAAGTGATTCATGTTCAATGTTTAAAAAAATTGTCAATCTTACTGGTTGATGCAGAACCACAGACAAAAATTGCGCAGAGAAATTACAGAAACGGAAACCCCAATGCCCGAACCTTCTGAGTACGTGCACGATTGCTCAAAATTCGCATACTCAAACTTGTATAGATCATATTTCGGAGTGATTCGCGATCTTATGATTGTCACCCACCCAGACCAAAAATGTTTGCGAAAACATCCTCGCTTGGACAAAGAACAAAAACATTCATATGATCAGCAAAATAGTGTCGCTCTACCATCTATTTCCACTGTCTTTCCCGATATATTCCAGAATCACAACCAATCCCCGTCGTATTCTATGACACGTCCAATTACTCCACCTCGACTTGACAACCATGTTGTGCTACCGCCTATTCAATCCCTATATGCAGCGGCGGACTCAAACACGAATAGTAATCAGTAGCATTGGTACTAATACGCTATACTGCTCGCAGCACCGCAAATATCTGTTCTCTTTTCTCGTTCTTTCTTCATTTTGTACTCAACGTTGTTAAATGTCAACTCCGTCATATTGGCAACTTGTAACATGTACATAGCAGACAAAGTATGTACAAATTCTTCGCCTAAGTTTCGCATTTGCAAGTTGTATAAAATTGTACGTTGCAGTTGCTGTTGCGGAGGAATTGAAGATAATCTTATCAATCATCCATCAATGCTGATAACAATAAAACGTGCTGAGAGCGTTAAGAACTTTTCAGAGTCGGGGACTGCCGCGCTAGCGCGGCGCTAAGGATCAGTCACAAGGGTATGTACCGCTCTCGGCATAACCTCGGACACCAGCACGGACCGCCAACCTCCTTTTAATTACCTTTAAAATGGTTTAAGCAGGAGCAAGTACTAAAGTCTTTTTGCACCCGACCATGAAATTCATAGGTTCGCTCATTACCTTCTGCCTAACAGCTATACTTACAGACCACGAATAGACGGTTTCTGGCTCTTGAAAAACGGCGTCAAGCCCTACTATGCTCTACAGGTAATAAATACACCCACGTCTCTGTTATCGATCGAATTTGTTGATGGCTGCTACAGGTGGTCAAGGCAGATCAGCAAACGGACGGTTATGAACTTCAGGTTTCAACCAAACCCATCAGGCATCGTGGGGATACCTTGGGCGGTATTATATGGTGTCTGCTTTCCTCTTAAACACGAACTTATATTCTGTCCGGTGTAGGTCCTGTCCTCACGATAAAAGTTCATTCCCCGACAGAAGGCGTGGTATGAGTTGTTTGCTGCCTGTCTTTGCCATCATCTCATGCTTTGAACTCTAGGTTGGTGTCAAAATCGACCATTTCAGTTATAGTGAGCCCACTGTAAACATACCACTGTTCCCGAATGCCAAGCCGATCCCCAACGTCAAGCTGAGCAAAGCGGGGTCAGATTACACTCTAAGCACCGCCGGGCTAAACGCTGTCATCACTGAAAATCCGTACACCATCACATTCAAGTCGCCCAAGCAAATCCTGACATCTGCAGGTCCGAAACATCAGGGCGTGTTCGATGTTCCTTCCCAGTGGACGCTCTCGAGTGCTTCAAATAGTTCGTGCTTAGCAACGGACATAGGATCCAATCCCAATCCGGAACCCCTTCCCCCTATCATTCGGTACATCAACTCTGAGCTGAATCTGTCTCCCGGGGAGTTGATTTATGGGTTTGGAGAACAGTTCGGATCCTTTGTCAAGAATGGTAGGTTTCAATTTGTGAGTGTAGGGGGGATTCAATTCATCAGTATCATCTCAGGTCAAACCGTGAAGATTTGGAATCAGGGTATGGAATTGTGCTGCCACCTTCATCTATTATCTCTTCTAATTTTGAGGGTATAGACGGTGGAACCTCCAGCGATCAAGCGTACAAATGTGTACCATTCTATCTGACCAACCGGAATTACGGTGTATTCATAAATCATCCAGGAGAAGTTGAAGTTGAAGTTGGTAGTGAAAAGGTTTCTCGAGTCGGTGTGTCCGTTGCCGGAACCAGCTTGGAATATTTCATCATATACGGAGAGACACCGCTTCAAGTATGTCTGTCATGCCTAGGAAAAGAACGTAGATATTAATTGTTTCCAGATTCTTGAGAGATACACTCGCATGACCGGACGCCCCCCGTAAGTCCTGTTTCCTGTTTTCCCTTAGAACTTGACTTAATCTTGTTTAGTGTGCTCCCAAGCTGGACATTCGGACTCTGGCTATCAACTTCGTTTTTGACATCGTACTCCAGCGAAACTGTGTCCGGTTTCCTACAGGGAATGCAAGACCGTGATATTCCAGTCCGTGTATTCCACCTTGATTGCTTCTGGATGAAGCAGTACGAATGGTGAAGTATAAGTGGAAGTTCACGTGGACTTTTCTGATATTGGATCTTAGGTGTTCTTTCACTTTCGACCCAGACAACTTCCCCGACCCAAAAGGTTACTTGTCGGAGATCAAACGAAAATTCGGTGTAAAAATATGCGTTTGGAGTGAGCTCAGGTCAACACCACTCTGCTGTCAATCTAATCCCATCTCAGTTAATCCTTACATCTCCCAATTATCACCAATATTCAAAGAGGGCATAAAAGGAGGGTATTTCATCCAACGTACAGACGGGACCCCGTGGCAGTGAGTTTCCCAAATATTCTCGAGATCAACTATGTCATGCTTTGTCCAATGCTCAAGGTGGGATCTGTGGCAGCCTGGGCTAGCGATTGTTGACTTTACTAATCCAAAAGCCTGCGAGTGGTACCTTGCCAAACTCAATGCCCTTATTGATATTGGTGTTGACTGTTTCAAAGTGAGTCTGCTGCGCACCCTCTATTCTAGTAAACAATCATTTGATACATGATGTAGACAGACTTCGGTGAGTGGACTTTGAAGATTGACCATGGTCCAGCTTTCATTCTGGACAACAGCTGAACGTATCCCACACGCATCTGTGAAATATTTCGATGGATCTGATCCCATGCGTATGCATAACATGTATTCTATAATCTACAACGAACTCGTCTTCAATCTGTTGCGAGATCGCCTGGGAGAAGGCGAGGCAGTTTTGTTCGCTCGGGCTTCTTTCGCTGGAGGCCAACGGTAGGTTATTCTCATTAGTCGCGCGCCATTGGAGACTCATTCTATGCAGATTCCCTGTTCATTGGGGTGGCGACTGTGAATCGACCTGGGAAGCCATGGCCGAAGCGATGCGTGGATGTCTGTCTCTGACTCTTTCCGGCTTCGCATTTGCTTCTCATGACATAGGCGGGTTTGAGGTGAGTTCAATCAATGCCACTCCTCTGAGCTTCCGACCCATAATTTTACAGGGCCATCCCCCGCCTGAGATATACCAACGTTGGGTCGCTTTCGGTCTGTTTTCTTCGCACTCGCGATTGCACGGTTCATCGTCGTATCGAGTCCCATGGAACTATGGAGAGGAGGCTGCCAAAAACATGGCAACTTTGTTGGAGGCGAAGCATTCGTTGATGCCTTATTTGTATCAATTGGTAAGTTGCGCGTTGCAAATATTATGGGCAGAACGACAGAAAGTGAATACATATGCAGGCCATTCAATCTACCGAGACAGGACATCCAATGCAGAGAGCTATGTTCCTCGAGTTCCCTGAGGATAGAAACACCCATCATCTTGATAGGCAATTTATGATGGGACCCTCTCTTCTTGTTGCACCTATCTTTGTTCCCCAAGAAGAGGAGACAGAATATTATATTCCGGCGGGACGATGGACAAACTTCTGGGATCATAGTCGTACGGTTGTTGGCCCAATATGGATCAAGGAACGCGTAGCTCTGGATGAAATTCCGGTCTGGGTCAGACCTGGAACACTGTTATTACGTGGACCGCCAAAGACAGGACGTCCGGATTACAACTACGGTAAAGACTTGCGTGTTGAGCTGTTTGATGTGGCAGAGGGGGAGACATTAGCCAAGGTCCCCGGAGGGGTCGTGATACGTGCAGATCGAGAGAATGGCAAGATCAAGGTTACCATTATTGAAGGTAAGGCCAGCATCAACAGCATTTTTCTGGTAGGGGCAGGAGGCAAAGAAAGTGTCGTTAAAGTCGATAGCGGTGCTACGGAGGTCGTCTGTGAATTAATTTGAGTTGGGGTTAACATTTATTTCGTGTAATCTGTGTAATTCTGCAATTTAGTATAACAAAGCCCAAGTCCAAGCTCTAGTCCTCGAAAAATGCTCTGGTTGCCTCTTCCCGTCTGGCTTGACGGTCTTTGGAGTTCGCTCTGTTACGGGCCGAGCGAGCAACACTCTGTGACAGTAAGATTTAATGCTGGTGACTTTCTAACTCGATACGCCGCACCTCTCCGTGTAGACAAATATTCATTGCATCCTTGTATTTGTTACAGCCTCCAGTTAACCGTGCCCAGGGACTGAGATGACAATCCTCCAAGGCCTGTATGAAATCCTTGCAGACTGGGAAGGTTGTTAAGGAACAACAAGAGTAAAAATTAGAGGGTAACGGACCGAGTTTCTTGTCAGACAGCTGTGGATGCATTCCGACCAGATGGGGGAAACGGTTCAAACCCGGTGAACAGCGGCAAGCTAAAGACAGTTCGCGCGGGTTGATGACAATACGAGCGCTTAAATTTCGTATTCATCGATAAATTTGCGCCAATTCTTCTTTCTTGACAGCCATGTCTTCCTTCACTCCTGCCCAGTCTGATGATGTATCCGTTGCAACTATCCGTGCTCTTGCGGCCGATGTTGTTACCAAAGCCAATTCAGGGCATCCTGGTCAGCAGATTTGTTGTTCATCTCCAGTCTTTGTCCTCACAGTGTCGTCTAGGTGCCCCGATGGGCATGGCTCCAGTTGCTCATGTCCTCTACTCCCGGTATGTCTAAACGAACAAACTGAACGCGAGAGACTGCTCTGAGCCAAATCACCACGTTAGTTTCATGAACATTAACCCCAAAAATTCAAAATGGTTCAACCGTGACCGATTCGTTCTTTCTAACGGGTGCGTGTACTGAAATCCTATCGACTCCGTGCTATGGTACTTACTCTCTTCAGTCATGCGTAGGTCTGTGCTCATTCAAACCGGGATTCTCACTGATCGCGGCTCAGATGCGCATTGCAATATGTCCTACTACATCTTCTGGGCTATAAACTTTCAATGGATGACTTGAAGGCATTCCGTCAGCTGGATTCCTTGACTCCTGGACATCCAGAAGCAGGACATACTGACGGTAAGTATTCATATAGCTTGATCTTCATATTTGTTCTGACCAGACTCCTATTTCAGGTATTGAGGTTACGACTGGTCCTCTTGGCCAAGGATTCGGGAACGGTGTGGGTCTGGCTATTGCTCAAGCTCACCTCGGTGCTGTATTCAACAAGCCAGGTTTTGAACTGATCAACAACTTTACATACGGTGACCTTCCTTCCAAATTTGAATGCGTATGTATCGACTGAGATGATCTTTAGTGTTCAGCGGCGATGGTTGTCTCATGGAGGGTGTCGCCAGTGAGGCGGCATCTCTTGCTGGTCATCTGCAACTGGGTAATCTCATAGTGGTACGTATATTTTTTCTTTTCTAGCTGCGCTGGATATTTAGTTCTTCTCTATCTAGATTTACGATGACAACCGTAAGTCTGTCCTTTCCACAGGCAGCAGCATCTATAACGCAATACATAGATATCTCTATTGATGGTGATACTGCTGTGGCTTTCACTGAGAACGTTGGGCAACGTTTTTTGTCATATGGCTGGCAAGTCCTTCATGTCGACAACGGTGATTCGTATGTTCAGCCTTTCGACCATCGTGTGACTCTACTCACACATACTCAGTGATTTCCGGGCAATTTACAACGCAATTGCCGAGGCTAAGCTGGAGAAAAGTAAACCCACACTTATTTGTCTCAAAACCACCATTGGTTTCGGTTCCAAACAACAGGGAACTCACGGAGTTCACGGCTCTCGTGTGTATCTTTTCAGGTATATGATATGGTTTGTTGTTCATGAGTCTATATAGCTTTGAAAGCGGATGATATTCAAGCCCTCAAGACCAAGTTTGGTCTTCCAGCAGACAAATCATTCTTCGTCCCACCTGCAACATACGATGCATATGCCGATATTGGCAAGCGTGGTGCTTCTTTAGAAGCTCAGTGGAATTCCTTACTAGGAGAATATGGCCAAAAATACCCCAAAGAGCATGGCGAACTTACCAGACGTATTTCTGGTGAACTTCCTACAAACTGGGAACAATGCTTGCCTGTCTACAAATCAACAGACGCTGCTCAAGCCTCACGCAAACTCTCCGAAATCGTTCTCACGGCTCTCGCACCGGTTCTCCCTGAACTCCTTGGAGGATCTGCTGATTTGACTGGCAGTAACCTTACTAAAGTTAAGGGGTCGGTTGATTTCCAGCCTCCTAGTACCGGTCTCGGGAATTATGCGGGTACTTACATCCGATATGGTGTTCGTGAACACGGTATGGGTGCGATCGCTAACGGTATACACGCTTATGGTGGTATTATTCCTTATGTTGCCACATTCTTGGTATGTCATTCTATATCAAGAAGAAGTTACGATTGATTCAAACCCTTCTCAGAATTTTGTTTCATACGCTGCCGGTGCCGTCCGTCTTTCTGCTCTTAGTGGGTGAGCATCTTGGCCAGAATGTACTTGACTTGCGTCACTGACTTGAATTTTCACTTCAGCCATCAAGTTATCTGGGTCGGTGAGTACTACATGTCTTCCCTTATACTGAAAAATAGTCTTGAACCAACATTATATCCTAGCTACTCATGATTCTATCGGCCTCGGCGAAGATGGACCCACTCACCAGCCGATAGAGACTGCCATCCATTTCCGCTCTACGCCCAACCTCGCCTTTTGGCGTCCTGCCGATGGCAACGAAACATCTGCTGCGTACCTCGTAGCCCTCAAATCCAAGAAGACCCCTTCAATTCTCTCCTTGTCCCGCCAAAACCTCCCCAATCTTGAGGCTTCCTCGATCGAGAAAGCTGCCAAGGGTGGCTACGTCGTTCACGAGGTTGAAAGTGAAGACCTTACGATCGTCAGCGCTGGTAGTGAAGTTTCGATCGCTCTGGAAGCTGCCGCCAAGCTCAACGCCGAAGGCGTCAAGACACGCGTGGTCAGCTTACCATGCTGGCTTGTGTTCGACAAGCAGCCTGAAGAATACAGATTGAGTGTGCTTAGGAGCGGCGCCCCTATCCTCTCCCTTGAGGCTCTCTCTACTGCTGGATGGTCGAAGTACAGTCACGAGGTGAAGATTTCTCTTCCAATCTCAAATATTTTGCTTTTCATCACTGTCTGATGTAGCAATACGGTCTTCCTGCATGGGGCGCATCTGGACCTTACCAAAAAGTGTACGAGAAATTTGGTATCACTGGTTCAAGTACGCCGTGTCCGCTTCTCATTTACCCCTCTCATCTGCTGATCGTAACCTTTATTGCAGACATCGCGGTCGTCGGAAAGAAGGTTGTCGACTTTTACAAGCAAAAAGGTGGCCCCGTTGTTTCTCCTTTGGTGAAGGCGTTCACGCTCTAGATTGTTTGCCCTGTCAATTTGCTATAGATCTTTACGTTACTGACCATAGAGTAGAATTTGCTGAGAATTTGTACAATGTATCTCGCCTCAAAGGAGCATTTTTGCTGTGAACTGAACATTCTTGACAAGCCTGCATTTCGCCTTGAAGGTGAATCCAAGTAAAGGAACGTCGCATGATTGTCAAATTCGAAAGTTCTAACTGGGGATCTATTTTCTGGAGACAAAGACAGTGTCCCACATCGCCCTTTCTTTGTCCTCTTTCTCAACCTCTTTCACATGAGGTGTTAAGAACCGGACGTCCTGTGAGGCGAACGCAATTATTACATCTGATTTATGTGAGAGATAACGGGCTCACCTCTTGAGGCTTCGTCCATTCTTCTTTGGGGAGTACATTATGGAGCACGCTAGCATGAGAGGCACGCTTCATACGGTAAGCGCGGTCATATTGTTCACGAGGAGTCAAACGGTGTAGGGCCTGCAGTGTCAAGTTGAGACCTGATACTTCTGTGTCCGAAAAGTGAACTCGCCCTTTGTACGTCTTCATATTCCTCTATGACTGTAAATGAAACGGTCAATACACTGCAAAATCCGAAAGATTGAGCACACGTACTAAGGTCGTCATACTTGAGGCCGTACTTCCTATATCCCGCGAGGTTAGCATACCAATGGGCAATAGGTGTAACCCAGGAGGTAAGGGTTTTTGAAGCAAGAACTCTGGGAGCAAGAGTAAGACCAAGAGGCATTGTAAATGGATAATGTTGACAGTAGAGCACGGTCGGAAAACATCGGCACGTAAGAAACCCTAACCTTAAATATCAGATCTTGATAATAAAAAAAGTGCAATATAGTGCATCCTCCAGACTTTCAACTTTCTCCTTATCTACCATCATCGCAGCCATGTCCACCAAAGAACAGACTTACATTATGGTCAAGGTAAGCCTAAAACGCGTCGATACGTGAAATCGTGCTCATTCTATTCTCCTTTATGGTTCAGCCCGATGGTGTCCAGCGTGGACTCGTTGGTGACATTATTGCCCGTTTTGAGAAACGAGGTTTCAAGCTTGTCGCGTTGAAACTCGTTCAGGCCACCACTGAGCACCTCGAGAAACGTGATGCCTATCTCATCACGTTCCCTATTATCCGACTCATCTTCCACGAACAGACTACGCCGACCTCAAGGGAAAGCCCTTCTTCCCTGGTCTTATCAAATACATGGCCTCTGGCCCTGTTGTTGCCATGGTCTGGGAAGGTCTTGACGCTGTAAAGACTGGACGTGTCATGCTGGGTGCCACCAACCCTCTGGCCTCTGCACCTGGTTCGTTCTTTCGTGCTCAATAATATTTACCTTGATTTATCTGTTTTTTCCGTATATAGGAACCATCCGTGGCGATTATGCCCTCGCTGTTGGCCGTAACATTTGTCATGGCTCCGACGCTGTTGAGAGTGCTCAGAAGGAAATTGCACTGTCAGTACATCTTCTGTTAACCGTTCCCAATTCTAATGCATTTCATTATGCAGTTGGTTCCCAGAGGGCCTTGTGCAGTACACCAACACCTTGGAGGGATGGGTGTTCGAGTAATCGCACATCAGATATGCACCGAGGAATCAAAAAAGCATTTTGTAAAATTACCGCACTCGGCTATCGATCTTTCTTGACAAAGTTTACTGGTACCATAAGATAGTCCGACACAAACATTAAGAGATGGCAGCACTAGTTGTGACGTGAATAACATCATCGTGCACTTCCAAAGCGTGTACGAGATCCTCGAGTATTTCAGCGTCCTGATCCGAAACTGTAGTTTTCTCTGTAGGATTATATACGAATTTGCTTTCTAAAATTGCGACACCAGAATGCTTCGATAGTTTGTCTGTGAGTTCTGCAAGCGCAGAAGTTTCACAGTAGAACTGATGATGTTAGATAAAGTATCAGACGACAAGGTGGGTGTTGTACGTACTTTGATTCGCGACAGGGAATCGTCTTCTGGAGGCAGCGCTTCGAAATCATCGATCCCTTCAGACAGTGCCACCTCGGTCACAGCATCCAGACGGCCGTTCACATCAGGACCGTTCTCCACTCCGACGACAACTACTCCGCTCCTTGTGAACATATAACCGACAGATGCCATTCGAGCACTGAGACAGTTTAGTGTTTGTTGTGGATTTGACATAGGTCAATACTCACTTCCTGGAATTCAAAATTTCGCGAAGTGTTTGCACAGTGCGATTGGCATTATCCGTTGCGCATTCTCTATCGAACATACACTTTAATACAAATTGGAACAAAAGAGAGAAGTATAGGGGAACGCACATAATGACACCTACAGAGTTGCATGCTATGGCCTCGTAGGTCAAAATTTCGCCGGAGCCCTTGACCTTGGCTGCCTAGGTTATGATTTAGACAAAGCTTCCACCAAGTCAAAACACCGTTCTTTACTTTGGCCAATGCTTTTGCAATGTTATCCTTTGGAACATCTTGAGCTTTCAAGCGCTTTAGAACAGCTGCTAATGTTGTGTTCTTCTCAGGATCGACACCTCCACCTATGTACAATGAGTGGAAGTTGCTTCTTTCAGTGAGCAGTAGAACACATACTACGTGCGGCAACCAGAATGTCCTGACCATTTCAATCAATAAGGAGAAGTAAGCTTTAGCACTTTATGCTTGACATACTTGTGTAGCTCTTTGAAAAGCAACAGATTTTGATGCATCATTAGCACCTTTCTTTGTGGTATCGTATCAGGAGGAAATGTCAGAATCTAGTGGCAAAATGTACTTTGTCTTTGATTTTACTCCACTAAAATTACGAGGTGAACGCTCTGAGCCAAGATACTTTGTCAATGCTAACCTTGTTGTGTCCTGCCCATTTGGGTGACGAAATGGATATGTGTCGTCGAGGAACCCTCAGAAACATATTTTCCCAGGCCGGCTGTGCCGGCTTCTTTCCTCAATACCACCAACCACCACGATTACACTACAAGTTATGGACCTCGACGCAGATCTTTACGGCGGTGAGTCTCCAGTCCGTCCTTATTTTCACCTGTCTGAATTGATTCTGTTCCTCCAAGATCTTTATGAAACAGACATTGCAGGTTCCGTTGCCGATGAAAAACTGCTCGAGTCACCAACGCAAATTTCAAAGGCTGAAGTCCCTGTCTCAGAACCGGTCGAAAAATCCTCTGTAGCGCCTGCTTCTTCAGACGACTCGACCGCCACATCTAGCGCCTCTGCCTCTCAGCCTTCTGCTCCTGCTACTCTTGCGCAGCCTGTACAACAAATTCCGACGTACGAAGACCCGACAATTTATCGGGATACCTCTTCGGGGATGCAGGCAAGCTACGAACAAAATTTTTCAGCTTTGGAACATCGCAGTGTCCGCCCCTCAGAAATGAAAGACGATGGGTGAGTTTCCGGTTCTGTTCTTAGTCCCACTGAAGTTGCTCGCGGAGACCCGGGGGACGTCTAGGCCGTGCTGTGCTGTGCAGGATTTATGGTCAACTGTGTGGTCTTCGTTCCGAAAACAAGAGTATCACAGTTTTTATCGTAACTCGCATTCTCTACGAACTAGGCTAGGCTAGGCTAAACTCAGCACAGTAGAGTCTTGTCTCTGTCATTTCTTCTGTGGTATTCGTTCTGTCCTAGCCTACCCCATACTAATAACAGTCTTTTTTGTCTTTTCATGTACCTGCTAATGCACGCTGCTCGACTCTATTCGCACACTCTTTGAACGTTTACTCTCGTTGCTTCTAGCAAAATGTTCATCGGAGGTCTGAACTGGGATACAACAGACGGTAGATATATCAGTCGTAATTCTGTCTGGGTTCGTTAGCACTAAAGAGTAATCTTCTGTAGAGGGTCTTCGCGCATATTTTTCTCAGTTCGGAAAAGTTGATGCATGTACTATAATGCGTGATCCCGCAGGGCGTTCGCGGTGCTTTGCATTCCTGACCTTCGAGGAACCGGCTAGCGTCAACGCCGTGATGGTCAAGGAGCATATCTTAGATGGAAAGATTGTGAGCAAATATTCTTTGTCTCCCAATAGATCTCGTCTCGAATTCAGATCCTCAGATCGATCCAAAGAGGGCAATACCTCGACAAGAGCATCAACGAGCGACAAAACTCTTCATTGGCGGACTTGCAGGAACAGTCACCTCTGAATCAATGAGAGAATTCTTTTCACAGTTTGGAAGGGTTGTCGACTCGACAGTCATGCTGGATAGGGAGACTGGACGAAGCAAGGGGTTTGGATTCATTTCACTTGAGGATGCGAACGTGCAACAATTTCTAGGCTTTGGGCACCTCGAAATTGATGGTAAACTAGTATGTTGTTGAACGCTTCTCTTGCTCCTACTGGCCTGTCTGACATGATTTTTCGCAGATTGACGTCAAGCTTGCCCAACCTCGGTATCAGCGTGAATCGTTCCAGGAGGATGAGCAAAGCGGTGGTGGTGACTACAACAATAACATGCGTGGGGCAGGGAACAGAGGGCCGAACAACTATTCTGCTGGTGGTGTTAGCGGCAACGGTACGACTTTCAACAATGGTGTTGGCGGTGCAGTTCCCGCTAGCAGTGTACCATTTGACCCTCAAGCATTGGCTGCACTTTATACGCGTATGTTCCAAATGGCAAATGGAGGAGCAGTGAACTCAATGATGGGCGGTGGTATGGGCGGAGGAATGGGCGGAGGAATGAACCCAATGATGAATATGGGTGCAAACATGGGAATGGGTGGCGTTGGTGGAGGTAGGGGGGGTGGGGTGCAGGGAGGTGGACTCCCTAGAGGTCCACGGGGTGGACCCGGAGGTATGGGTGCTACAGGTGTTGGTCCAAGCCGGCAGCCGAGAGGTCAGCATAATTACCACCCTTACGGGCGATAGCCTTGACCCTTCCTCTACGTTATACTGAACATCATGTAACTTACTTTTATTTGTTTCCTCCCTATACTTACTTTCGAGTATAAAAAACGCAGCTGCTCATTAACTACATTTTATTGCACTGTTAGTTATGTACATGCCCAGAGTTCTTAAAGTACTGAAGATAATCGTATCATCGCATTGGTCATGATCTGAGTTCCAGTCCACTCTCCGCTGCTCGAACAGCGCTTTCCAGGTCCAGATGGAAAAATGGTGTATCGAGAGGAAGAAGAGGAGCATACCCAGTGGTTTCAATTTCGAATGAATTGATCGACTCCTTTCCTTGGGCACTGGTTGAAAGTCCCGTTTCAATGTCGTCGGCGTGTTCGCGAACGTTTTGGCGAAGATCACTCAGTTGCCTGTCGCCGAGACCATCTCGGTAAGGCACAACTGCAGCGATTTCGTGGGGTGCTCTGGACGATGGAGTGCCTAAACCAAACCCTCCTGCAACAAGTGCACGCCTAATCCATGGCGATAATATAGAAGCGAAATGAAACTGTAAGGGATATATGAGTTTACAGCTATGGCATGTAGGACATCAGTCCAACCTCAACTGGGTGGTCCGCCCATCTTTCTATTTCATTACGAGTATCGATCAAGGCTTGGGTGGCAGTAGTGTCGATGTGAGACCTAGTTATTGAACGTACAGGTTAGTAATGTTTAGAAAGAATTCGTTCGCAACTCACACTGTAGAGAAATCCAGTACGACAGCATGTATGTCGGGAAGACTAGAATTCCGTTCTTGCTCATAAGCAGCGTCGGCTTGACGAGGTCCCGGATCGTTCCAAGGTCTATCACTGAGCTTGACATTGCTCATGTCCTTCCCTCTCCTCATATTTGCCTTCACATAATCGACAAGCACCGAATTAACGATCGATGAATTTGGATACAGATAGCTTTCCTCAAACCGGTAAACGATAACTCCTGGAGCGGGAGGCGATACTTTGATATCCGGATTTGTCATTCCATCCCTGGCAAGAGGAACAAAGACATCGCGTTGATCTTTACTTCCAGGTGCATCCGTCCGAAGAGTGATTTTGCCCAAGAAGTATCCACGGGGATGGGCGACACGGATAAGAAGCAGAGCCAGAGACACACATACAGAGACGTAGACGCCGATTTCAATGGTAGAAAAGATAGTGACTAAGACTGCAGCGGCCCATATCAAGAACTCTAATGGGGAGACTCGCCAGTAGGAGTAGACCTGAAATGAGGGAATGTCAGTGAAAGTTTCAGTAACTGAATAGCTTCATTAGCGGACCTGTCGCGGGGAAGCAACTAGATCTGCTACTGCGTGAATTATGATTGCAGAAAGGCCCGCATTAGGGATCCAAAAGAATGCAGGAGTTAATCCATAAAGCGCGACAATGACCACAATTGCAGAAAGAATTCCGGCGGCAGGAGTCCGCACACCAGACTTCGATTTTAATGCTGATCGAGAGAACGAGCCAGTCGCAGGGTACGCTCCAAAGCAAGAACCGATAGTATTAGTGACACCGATGGCGATGAGCTCTTGGTTGGGATTGATTTTATAATTGTTAACTCGCCCGAACGCTAGGAGAATTTCAGCACGGTGTACGACTATGTTAATTAAGTAACTTACATTTAGAGATAGCGATATGTTCCAGAAGGAGAATGATGGTTGCGACAGGGAGTTCTCCTGCAAGAGCGCTCACTAGCTCGGGGTCAATAGTGGGCTGTCCAACATGTTGAAGGCCAGCAGGGACCGTGCCCAAGATCTTAATAGGGAATTTGCCTTTCGTACCGCCCCTGTGCCTTGTGTATAACCAAGAGGCAATGGTTAACATTACGATGACGAATGCATTTCTGAACACAGAGATGAAGAAAAAAACTCTCGCTTTTTGTAATGTGAGCTCTAGTAGGCCAATGTCAATTAAACACTTACCACGACGCGGGTATCGCTTGGTGAAGAAGTCGCACAAAATTCGTATAGCATACAAGGCGAAAAGACCCGTTAGTCCAAAAGCAGCATCCCGGGTGGTGATGGGGAGTCCCTTTAACGTATCAATAATAACCAGGTAAGTAGCAGCACGAGTGCTAAACTTGAATGAGTTACGCATCGAAGCGCGGGGAAGTTGACACTTACTTGAAACCGGTGATACCCATCAATCCCGGGACTTGACCAGAAGCAATGTTGATAGCGGAACCGGTCATGAATCCACTGACCGCGGGGGCAGGAATGAATTCAACTAGCCAACCGAGTCGCAGAAGACCGATTCCTAAAACAATGAAACCACAGATGAAGGCTACAGTCGTGGCAATCTCAGGGCCTTCCCATTTTCCAGGATGTGCGTCGTCTACATGAGCTATGATTTGTGAGACTGTGAGTGACATCACAGCGACTGGGCCAATAGACACATCCTTAGATGTAGCAAAGAACTGATAGGCGGAGCGTATAAGGTCACAGGTGGCCGTGAAGCTAGAAATTCACATACGCAGTAAATCAGAACTCCAACGAAGGAAGAATACAGCCCGTATTGCACCGGGAGCGTTGCAATCTATTGACATATCAGCTGCGGTTGGAGTCACCTCGGGTAGGTTGAAAGGCACCAACCTGAGCATAAGACATGCCTTGGGGGACGAGGACGATACCAACAGTGAGTCCAGCTATCACATCTCCTGTGAGCCAACCCAAGTCTTGATAGATAGTATGATGAGCATTGTAGAAATCTACGGCAACGCAAGCGAAACCGACTGTATCTTGAAATCCATCCGATAATGGGGAAGAGACCAACAACGTAGTTGATCGCCTGTGCAGTTTTTAGCTTACTGGAAATGCGATCGCAAGGTGAAAACAAACCTGCTGAATGGGATTTCTATTGAACTGAGAGAACCAGTCTTTGACGGTCACGACCGGAACAACGCGTTCGGGATATCCGATGATCTTCTTACCCAGTTCTTTTGCTGAAGTAGCCATCGTATTCAGCTATTCAAGTCGGGGTAAAGGAGGGAAAGGAAGTGACGTTGATTCAAGAAGGCGCAACATACTTATGTAAAGAATGAATTCTTTGATGATGTTTAAACATTAGCAATGAATAGCAGTTCTGTTGCGATCCCTCGTCCAAATTGCGCAATTCTGTGGCGGATACAATTAATAGTGGGCGCTAATACCTGGACCTCTTTTATCTAAGGCACCACTCGAATTTTTCGCGCCTCCCGTGCTCAGTGTGAGCAGTATGAGCCATCATATCAGTATATATCCTCGCGAGTCGTGATTCTCTTGGTAGATCGCGCCTTTGACCACGATGCGGAAGTTCAAACGTTCAGGTACTGAAGTCATTTTTGCGTTACGCGCATGCGATCTTGATAACACTGCCAGGCACATACTACTCATATTATTGACCAAGGGATTGGCAGTGGAGTCTGGTGTTGTCAGGTTGTGCGCCAATGTGGCAGTTGGCAGTGGTCCAGGTATGTCTGAGTCTCGCTAGATAGCAGAAGCTACACGTGCCTCCGACCACGGTCTCTTATTCAGGATAGAACTGAGTAACATCAGAGGGTATTTCTTTCCTCTTCGACCTGAATCACCTCATGAACCGTCTTGATTCTGGCATCTTAAGTCAACGTTGTCAGTTCACTTCTCTCTAACCATGCATTTAAGATCATACGTCCCCCCCTGCTTGAGCGGTCACGAAACCTGCATCTGCATGTCTAACGAGATGCAGATGTCGATTGAGCCAAAGCCTTTTGTCAGCTTTTGTCATTGCAGTCGCTCCCGTCGATTGGTTCTTTCGAAAAGCTTCCAGCTTGTGTTAGGAGTGAGGCCTAGTGAGGAGCCAATGAGAATCTGTCAGCGAATATGTATCTTGTGTATTTCACTCCGATTTGAGAGTCAATGCGAAGGAGAAACAGAACGATCATTTCAGCAGGTGGTCAAACGTTCAAACGTTCAAAGCGATGCCGATTCGGATCATGAGTGTACATGCCTCACGTGACAAGTAAAGAACTCTGCCGCATTTGGAATTCAAAAAATCGATTGACCTTTTGCTATACTCGACTTTCGCGGCGCAGAGCGCTTGTATCACGATAACTTCCTACCTTTTCTTGTTCACGAGCATCTAATGTCTAGTCTCACAAAATCCACACCACTTGTTGCCCCGGGACACACTCGTCCTGTTACGCACCTGTCCTTTTCGTCCTTACAAGACGACGGGACTTACCTGCTGATTTCAAGTTGTAAAGATGGAAATCCGATGTTGAGGGAATGGACCGGTGACTGGGTTGGAACATTTCTGGGACACAAAGGTGCGGTCTGGAGCACCAAATTGTCCTTAGATTCCTCCAGAGCAGCCTCCGCCAGCGCGGATTTCACAGCGTACGTCCATATCTAGTACGCATATCCTTTGTAAAAGGTCATAAAATCTTTTTGTATAGGAAAATCTGGGACACATACTCTGGGCATCCCTTACAATCTTTCCCCCACAATCATATTGTCCGCAGCGTCGCCTTGTCACCATCAGCTTTCCATCTTCTTACCGGAGGTCAAGAGAAGAAGGTGCGGATTTTTGATCTCAATCGTCCAGATGCGGATCCAGATTTTCTCTCCGAAACTGGTGGTCTGTCGCACGAGGCGACTGTCAAGAGTGTCGTTTGGGTTGGTGAACATATTGGTGTCTCTGCCGGGGAGGACGGGTTCATAAAGTCAGACTAGTTCCTTGTTGCCCACACCTTACTGACCCTTGGCTTAGGTGGTGGGATCTCAGGACAAGAGCATTAGCGACAAGCATCACCTTCCCAAACCCCATCACATCGATGGAGCTTTCGCGACAAACTGGGAGGCTTGTCGTGACTTCTGGAAAAACCGTCGCATTTATACACGCTTCGCCATCAAATAACGCAGCACCCTCACATACCCTAACACTTCCCTACTCTCCATCTTCTGCTTCGATTCACCCTATTCTCCAAGATCGGTTTGTCACTGGAAATTCAGGCGACGAATGGGTGCGAGTACATGCAATGGATGGTGAAGAAAGAGAGGTGCTCAAAGGCCATCACGGTCCAGTGCATTGTGTTGAATTCAGTCCGGACGGCGAAATGTATGCCAGCGGGAGTGGTGAGTCGAATTTGTCCTCATCGAACCCTACTATCACTCATAAGAATTCCTTTTCAACGAAGAGGATGGTGAGTTTTTTCATTATCATGATCTCTTGGAATGCGAGGCCCATCTCTATGCAGGCACTATTCGTTTGTGGCAGACAACGCCCGGCAAATCCTACGGTCTCTGGCAGGGTCAGAATGGTGGTTAGACGTGGTGGACTTTACAAGGAAAGGCGTTATGGAATGATTGTATCAAGGATGCTTGCTGATGTTATTTCACCACTTCCTTCGACCGTTTATGTATTCTACGGGCCTTAATTTGTACCCAATAACAATCTCTTTCTTTCTACTCCGAGCGTTTGCTGGGCGCCTACGGATGTCACAGCATCACATGAACGGGATACGGAACTTTAAAATTGTCGTACGATGGCTTCTTGCCTTTAAGTAAATATTTTCTTACCTCGTCCATTCCTTCTTCTCCGCGATGGCTTTTAACGGGACTGTCGAAGCAGGCAATGTTATGGATGCACTCTACGCCGGCACCGACTTTTCTTCATTGAACTGGGCGGAACAAAAATGGGTTGCCTGGTATGTTTGGTGGGGAAATCCAATCATTGCGACTGGAATGCTTAGTTTCCTCATGCATGAAGTATGTTATGTACTATGTTATTCCGTATATCCTCACCAATTTCGTTCAGATAGTCTATTTCGGGCGTTCTCTTCCTTGGATTATCATCGACGCCATTCCGTATTTCCAGAAATGGAAGCTGCAGCCTAACAAGATTCCAACTCCCCAAGAGCAATGGGACTGTACCAAGCAGGTGCTTTGGGCTCATCTTACTGTCGAACTCCCTGCTGTTAGTCCCCTGATATTGCTAAAAGTAATGCCGCACTGACATGTTGGTGTTAGATTTGGCTCTTCTACCCTATGTCTGAATTCGTTGGAATGAAGACCTACCAAGTCCCCTTCCCTTCGCTATCTACTATGTCATGGCAAATCTTTTTCTTCATGTTCTTTGAAGATCTCTTCCATTGGGCAGGTACGTATCCGTTGGCTAATAGAAATATAATGTGAACTTATTCAATTTTGATACTCAGCACACCGAGCACTGCACACTCCTATCCTTTACAAGTATATACATAAAATTCATCACAAGTATTCTGCACCTTTCGGCTTGGCAGCGGAATATGCCCATCCTGCGGAGGTCATGATCCTCGGAATGGGCACCCTGGGAGGTTCCTTGTTCCTCTGTCTTTTCACCGAGGTCCACTTCATCTCGTTCTTCATCTGGGTCATCATCAAGCTTTTCCAGGCTATTGACGCGCACTCTGGTTATGGTATGTTTGACAGTGGGCACATGTACTCATCACTGCGGTCACTAAGATCTCTACAGATTTCCCGTGGTCGCTTCAGCATATACTTCCCTTTTGGTCGGGAGCCGAGCATCACGACTTCCATCATATGGCGTTTACCAACAACTATTCCACTTCGTTCAGATGGTGGGACAGAATTTTTGGTACCGATGACAAATATCTTGTATACCGCGAGCGAGTCCAAGCTGCAAAAGCTCAGGCTCTTTCCAAGGAAGATTTCTTAAAAGCTGAACAGGCGCTCATGGACGAAGTTCTTGCAGAGGGACTCAAGGCTGAGAACGAAGTTGAAGAGCGTTCAAGCAGGAAGGTTAAAGTGCAGTAGATGAGGATGTGGTTTATCTTTGTTACGAGAATTCATTCTCTTTATGCTTATACGGAATTCTTTATAATGATCTACTTGAATCCCATTAGAATTGTTCACGTTCCACTACATACGTTATTTCCTGTCACCTCACAGGAAATTCAAATCCCCAGTTATATTGTTTAAGATACTTAGAGATCCGTTCGTTGGAACTCTGGTCGAGGTCAACAGTGTGCTCCTGGTGTGTTCCTTGAGCTAAGGCACTCGAAGTGTGGGTGTCAAGCAGATTGTTCATGTTACTCCCAGAACAGAGTCGGATAGATCCTGATAGATCGTGGTGTATGTAAATTACTGCTCTCCGATTGGACGGGAGTGCTTCGCGCGAGCCTGCCGGACTACGCCGCTAGGGCGGGAGGCTGCGGACCGGAATTCCGTCAAACTTCATACCGCGTAGTGATCGCGCAGTTCCGCAGCAGTTCAGAAGTTTGCGAACTGAATCAAATTTCCTAACATCTTCTTACCTTTTACAATCATGTCGCTACCTCCCGATAGGCCTTCAAGCACTTCCAAGGGAAGACAGAAGGAAGAATCTCCTCAACCAACGGATATTGCTGAGAAACTTATTGCCTTTAGAAGACGGACAGCCGTGTAAGTTTCTTGTTCAGTATTGTCTTGATTTCTTTCCAACCTTTTGATCAGTGCAACTCGTCCGAAAGACAAGTCAGAAAGGACTCCGATAGCTACAATAGTTGCTAGTGATAAAAGGCCATCTGCTTCATCTGGCTCTCGGTCACCGAAGAAGCTACATGCTCCACCAGCTATGGTCAACAAGTCCCCTCCAGATACGACTGCCGATGAATTTTCTAGGAAACTCCAGATATCTTCCTCCTCTTCCCCTTCACGTCTAATGCCTGCGGGGCCAAGGCAGAACCAGGCTTCGAAACTCTACAATCCTGATCGAGATCCAATACCCACTATGCGGCGCACAGCTGAACCCGACACCATGTCAGATACTGACAGCTCACATGCTCCGCGATATAAACGTAGTCCCAGTGTAACCCGCGAACGTGAACGTGATGCTCCTGCTCGTCAGTTATTCGACCACAGGAAAGATGATCCTGTGAGGTTCGCTGTGTTCGCTCGGCCGCAGCGTCCTGTCCCTACACCCAAATCTTCTGGAGAATATATTTCTGCCGCGTCCTCCATTTCTTCTTCATTCACACTTTCTTCCGCCACTGACGATTCGTCTGCATCATCTGCTATATTTGATCAAAGTCGGCCTAATGCAAGAAGTGAAGACAGTGCTACCAACGCATTCTCTAATCAACTCAAACGGCTCTATCGAAACATCACGAGTCTTGAGAACAGAATCAAGGACGAGGATGTGGAATCCGAAGACGATAGCCGCTACACTAACAGAATTTTGAGTAAGGAGAAGGATCGGACTCAGGAAAATGAAGAGGCAGAAAAATGGAGTAAACGGATAGAAGATCATAAGCGGTATGTGTGTCACGATTTTATGTGGACTTGACTTACAATTGTCTTTCCAGACTTGTGGAATATATTCACAACATGCTGCAAATTTCACTATCGCCTTCTGTCCCCGACTCTTTGCGCACTATTCCAACGAAGTATAACATCATAATGCGATTATGGGTGACTGGTTTCAATAAACTCCTTCAATCACTCCAACGTGCCTGTCTTGAGTCCCCGCTTGCCATGGAATACTTACAAGAATTCATCATGTACGCCTACACCTTCTACACTGGATTATACGAAGAACATCCTTTGATTGGTTTTCGCTCGAACTGGTTGGAGGCCCTGGGAGACCTCGCCCGGTATCGTATGGCAGTCGCAGCAATCGCAAGCAGCACTGTCGACGGACCTGCACTTACTGCTGCGAACGTTCTAGAGGCTGCCGCGGATGGTATAGGCACGGAACAACGCGTTGAAGCCCAAACGAAGGCCGTCAGTGATGTTCCTGCTGCGAGGATCGATGACTCTCCCTCACCAAGTGTGGGTGTTGCTGCGGCAAGAGCATTGGAACTTTTACCCGAGAAGGATCAATGGAGGGCAATTGCACAGGAATGGTATGGCATTGGGATCATGGACCAGCCTGGAACGGGCAAGCTCCATCACCATTTAGGTTTTTTATACCGAGAAGTAGAAGGGGAGGAATTGCGGGCTATATATCATTTTGTCAAAAGGTATGTACTTCTCCTTTTCATTTGATTGGTTGTGCGACTATATTTGCAGTTTGGTATCCCTCCATCCATTCCTGACTTCTCGAGAAAACGTTTTACACGTCTGGTCTCCTGATGCACAAGCTCGCCGCCAGCTTCCGGATGCACGCGCTACTGAACTGTTCGTCCTTCTACATGGGATGTTATTCACCAACATTCAGCTTGATGACTTCGAACCTACCTTTTCGCGATTTATGGAACGTCTTGAGTTGGAAGTTCCAGAAGAACGGGAGTGGATCATGATGGCGATTGTCAACATTGGCTCGCTATTTGAGTACGGAAAGACGAATGGGGTTTTGAAAAGAGCAGGTGCTTTAGGGTCTTCCTCGTCCGCCCCAATAATTTCGCGCATCGCCAAGAAAGAGGCTCAACGCGACGATGACAAGATGGATGTGGACGATGAGACCAAGCCCCGACCTGACGCATCTCCTTGTATATCAGAACTTGATACCACTCCGGATGACTTGCCAAGAGCATTCAAGCTGGCGATGGAAGTTACTTTCACCATGTTAAGATTTGTTCTCCAACATCCATCCCGCAGGCCTTCTCCTTTCTCCGAATCCAGGATCAACCCATATTTAACTGTGCTTCTCACATTCCTTTCTATCATGCTCAAACATCAAAAGACAAAGGAGATCCTTGAACGTAGCCTTCCTTGGGACGAATTTGCTGCTATGCTTGCACTCGTTCCCAGAAACGTGATGATGTCCGAAGGTCTATCGCCGTTGAACAACAGTCGGGAACGATGGGCCATGCTCGCAGCCAACACTGCACCTCCGTTGCCAGAGGATTGGTGTTTGCGTGGTATGGAGTGGGTAGGTCGCAAAATATTTCCTTACGGCTATTGGAAGGGATTCGAGGACCGTAAGGTCGAGATCGAGATTCTTAGTGAAGCCGAACGCGTTGATATTACCGACGGACATATCGAGGATGATGACGAACATACAGAGTCCATTGCCAAGACAGAAACAAAGAAGCGTTGGGTCCGGATTGTGCGATGTGCCATCGGCATTGCGGATGTTGTTGATGGTTTCAATTGGGTAGAAGGTACTAGGGAGTGGAAGGTCGAAGGTGTGCTTTCTGCAAAAGTCGAACAGTGGAAAGAAGAGGACCGACTGCAAAAAGAGTCAGAAGAACTGAGAAGAATGGGCAATAGCTGGGCTGATGACTCAATGGACGTCGACGAGGACAATGTCGAAAGCTTTTCAGACGGGAGTGAGGAAGACGATGAAAATGATAGCGAGGAAATCAGGGCCCTCAAGGTACGTTCGCTTTTAGTCTTTTATCTTGTATCAAGCTGATACTTTGTGAATAGGAACGTCGCCGACATCTCCGTAGTTTGCTACAGTCGGAAGTGGCGCCTCGCCGCCTTCCCCGCTCTTCCAGGAAAGAGCAATCTGCACACCCTCGTTTACCCATTGTGGCTGGGTACACGGTTCTAGTCATTGATACCAATATTCTCCTTTCATCCCTTCCGATGGTCGCTTCTCTGGTGGAAAGCAATCGCTGGACACTCATCATTCCTCTTCCAGTGGTCATGGAACTGGACGGACTCAAGTCCAATTCCTCAATTCAACTCAGCGAAGCCGCAAGAACGGCAATAGACTATATCACGTCTCACGTTCGTACACATTCATTATCTCTCAAAATACAAACTTCGAAGGGAAATTATCTCTCCAACATTAACTTTCGGATTGAGGAAGTTGATTGCAACATGGACGATCTCATCCTAAAGGCTGCTATATGGCATGAGGAACATTGGTCAGATCGCTCAGCTTTGTTACAGGCAGAATCCCCTCGCCCTGGTATAAATCCTGTAAAGGTCGTCCTCATTAGTCTGGATCGCAATCGTGAGTCACATTTATGTTCTCATCATTATTATCAATATACTGACATTCTAGCACCATCAGTCCGACTCAAAGCTCGTTCCCGACAGCTACCGGCTGCTAGTGAAAAAGACATCGCCTCCTTGTTCGCAATGGGAACCTACAGTGACGGCCATTTCTCATGAACACCCCCCAATTTAGTTGGGAATTTATCACTGAATTGGGGGGTGTTCATGGGAAATGGCCGTCACTGTAAGTGGGCTGGATAACCTAGGAAGTTTTCCTAGGTTACTCTCCCTATAACTGTGATGCTGCCCCTGTCCCTGAGGACCGAGTATCTATGCGTGCCCATAGAAAGCTTATCTGCCATGTCCCGACAGCACAAGGCTAACTTGTCTCAACAGCCGTAATTACTGCTGAGTACGCCGTGATCGAGGTGGCTCCCATCTGCAGTATCTTTCATTGATACCCCACCATCAACACTCTATACCACTCGTTCATCTTCTAACTTATCATCTATCATCATGTCTATCCTCGGTGTAACAGCGTTCATTATTTGTATCAAACTACTGCCGTGTGTCTGTCTATCTTCTGTAAACTAATGGTACCCGAAACCATCAAATGGACTGTCTTTTTCTGTCTTCCCTCTGGATGCAATATACTCAAAGGTGTAGTATATGGCGTAGTATGTACATCTATGGTGGCAGCTATTTCTAGCTCGAGAAGACAAATCTGCGACTGTCCCAATAGTCAGGCCATTCGTCTGAATGACTGGGCTCAGCTGGACTACCATGGACTGAACTACATCATTAAACAACTACTGTAACAGTTTATATATTATATACGACTAGGAAAAATTAACAGCAGAAACTAGTTTCTGCGCAACAATGGGACTGCAGTCTCCGCTTCCTTGGTGATACCGTTTGGAGAGTAATTCGGATACCCATCAGGCAATGTGCTCAAATCCGTGTCCGCATCAAAGAGCATGCTCCTGTGGCCCTCATCGGGGGACAAGGCCACGTAGTGTTTGGGTGTAAAAGATGGATTGAGACCGTGGGACTCTTGATAGAGCTGTCGTTTTAAGAGCGATAACCCTAGCAGATAAAGGACTGGTAGCGTCTGTACCCATTGCTGCACTCAGACAACTGGAGAATTCAAGTCGAAGGTACACTCACATATATCCAGACCTTCCAAAGTGTATGACACCACTGCGATACTGGCCGTCCGGTATGTTCCGCCCATTTATTCATGCCACTCCAAACCTGGACCAATTTCACTTCAGCATACTGAAACTCAATTTCGGAACCTTCAAATCGTTACCTGGAAAAATCCCTGATTTCGGAAGGCAATCAGCCAAGGCCAAGTAATTCTAGTCAATGGCACGTACTGCACATATCACCACTAAGCCCCAAAATACATGGAGGATGTTTGAGGGTGCATGGACTGCGCGGTTAGGTAGACCTCTTCGAGCGTGGATATAACGTCCCAGCGATAGTTGGAGTAAATACAAGACCAGTATCAAAACGCCACAAATCTAGGATGTGTCGGTTATTCAGTGTCGGTTATTCAGTACGATGTCAATGACTTTGCCTCAAACCTCACCTGATGAGCATCCGAAAAGTGAGTGGCACGAGCATTGAATACAGCGAAAGGGCCCAGAGTCCAGCCCACAAGGATAATGGGAAGAGCGATCACATAGTTCAGAGTTTTATGGATTTTGAACCACTTCTCAGAGTAAGTTCTCGTCCACCGCGCCACCAATGCACCTGCTGGAAGGAGGACTAGCATCCCGATCGCGATGAGGAAACCATGAGCAAGGACGACCAACTCGTGTGTGGAATAAAAGAGTGGATCTTGAGATATTACTGGAGATGATGTTGTGTCATCCAACGAACCCTCCGGCGAGGTTACTGATATATCCTTCTCCAGATTGAGCAAGAGCATCCCGGCTGCATAATGGCCATATATAGTGGTATGTGGATCCGGGGATGCTGGACGGGTCATGCCGTATGCCCAAATCAATTGCTCAAAAGAGGCGTTTTTCTCGGGCTTGAAAACCCACTGGGATTTGTCAAGTGGTATACTAAACGATAAAGTGTTTGCTGGGTTGAGATTTGAGTCCCACTAGCAACTATGAGCTTTCATTTATCACCAAAGGGTGTGTAATTTCAAGTGCTTACCACTGTAGGTTGAAGCATAGGCAAGAAGGCGATCCGAAGAGGCTCCTCCACTACTACCGGTTCTGTGTGGTCATATCCATGTCGATGGGATATAGTGAGAGAGTCGTCCTCGTTTCTCCACATCACGACCATATCGCTACCAGCCATACGACGGCCAAAACCACTGGAGAAATGGCGAAGTTAGAATACGTTTGCGAAATAGGAGATGTTAGAATCACAGAGCCAGCCAGCCCATCTTCTCTTTCCGAGCGGTCATTTGGTCTGTAGAAAACGATAACAATGATTCCTCGTGAAGGGGCATACAGGAAAGCTAATCTCACAAGTGACAGTGTCATGATGAACCGTCGCGTTAACACAGACTAGATATCCGCATTGACTATCTCCTTTTAGGGCATTAACCTGATAAAGCTGCAGAAAAAAAGACAGTACGATTGGGAGAACTGAACACCACATAGTTGCAGGAGGGATTTTAATAAACGCTTATTTCTGCTGTTATTTTAATGCATCTGGAAGATCGTGTGAGTTCACCTCTTCTCACAAGTATAGTTAATGAAGCTAGTGAATGTGAGAAACGGCAGAAGATGCCCAACCAGATCACAAGAATCTGAAGACTTTTCCCCACTGCGCGACCCAATCCGATATCTGGCGTTGCGATACCTCAAGTCACTTTGCTCTTTTGAATGTCTTCAAATAAATCAATGTTACACACAATAATTACACACAAAGGATTTTGCTGCATGATTCGTATGTACACCATTGAACAATCTATCGATAACCGACAAATAGATTATGATTCATTATCATTTGCAATGTGTTAGTGAAACTTACTCACATATAAACTGCATGCCCTTATTCCATTATAAATTACATGATTTTTCCATGCAAACTATAGTGTAGAGAAATCCAAGCAGTACCACCGGTCCCGCCCAACTTGACCAGCCCTAATTCGGCTGCATGGGTGACGAACGGTCCAAACTTAGGGAACCCTGCCTTTTGGTATATGAAGGGATCCTGCGTTATCAATCCCAGTGCGATGGCAGAGCGAAACGGTCGTTGATCTCCCCGAAGTCTATAATCTTCCAGCAGATGTATGAGACGCTGATAGGCCTCGGGAACTTCCGGAGTCGCTGTTCTTCCTAGAAACCCTCGGGATGCAGTAGGCCCCTGCTTTCGAGCTAGGGATCTATTTATTTCAGATCCAACAGCGGCCATGCTGGAATTGATAGGTTCACCTGACTGCGAGGCAGGAAATGAAGCTGTATCTTCAGACTCAGAGAAAATCGTCTTTTGGCTGTCCGCATCAGTTGCGATTATTGGGGAAGGCTGAGATAAAGGAATTAAAGCTATGTCAGGGCTATCCTCGTTTAACAATATTGGAAAGCGATTTGCGGGCTTTTCTACCATAGTCGCAGGAACGGGTGTTTGCGTTATAGAACTAGGAACTTCAGATGTTAGACGCCGAAAAGGCGCGCACGCAGGTGCATTTTTTGGCTCAAACAAGTTTGAACATGATTGGAAAGTTTCTATTACGAAAATCAGATTAGTCTAAGAAGACTTTGTAGAACGAATTCCTACCGTGGCGTTCAGGAGGTTTCGCAAAGTATGTAGATGCTGTGTGTGGTCTCGGACGAACCGACTCGGTACTGGTCGATGATTCCATGGGACGAGAAGGAAGTATTGTATTCTTTTTTTCTCCTTTTTGCTGTCCATTGATGATTGTGTACCAATCAAAGAAAAAGGAAGCTTGAGCTTCAAGGTTAATCTGAGACCCAGGTAAACCAGGAGCCACAACAACTACCCGATACATGCGAAGACGCAGTATCGAAAGGGTGTAAGCGAAATCTCGTTCACCCGATATCAACATGATAGTAGTTGTCGTTGGATAAGGGTTGTCCATAGCGAATGTTAGAACATCGGCTAGGGAATGATTGATGGGCTGTGCGGCTGAGGGTAAATTGCGAAACCTAGCGCACCTATGATCATTTGATCTACTGTATCCTTGCGATCGTTACGTGGGCAGTCTGTTAAGCTAATACCAGACGATTGAAGCTCAGAACGTAAGGCAAGGGAACGAGTAGAGGTCTGCTCCGAGATATGGGTATACGCCTTGAATAGGTTGACGCTCCCGTATTCGTGAGCCAAGTCTCGAATACGACTAACGAGCACATAACCAGAGATGTTGGGAGGTGGAGAGCAATTGTCTGTGGTGAAGGAAGACTCTCAACGAAATGCAAGGATTCGATAAAGATCATTCACCATAATCCCAAAAAATAGCGACCTGGCCATTGTGGCCAGCACTGCTGCCAGTCCTCATGCTGGGAGCCATTTGCACGAGATGGAAGTAAAAAAGACAAAGGGTCAGGCGCAATTTACGTACACAGCCACCCGGTATAGATTTAGGTCAAAGTAGAAGCTGGGTTGGAAATGGAAGGGATACAAAAGGGAGAACTTGGAGGCAAGGGTCTGATATGAACCATGAACATCAGATTTTCAAGTATTGTGTGGATTCCGACTAGTGGGTAAGGTTCACGCGTGTTCAATCACTCGAATTTCGGAAATGAGATAGGAAAACAGTCTATTGAATTTTCTTCCCTAGCCGAGCCAAATGGTAGTTTATTGTTGGCCTATGCATCTTCTTAGGCATTGGCTGTGCAAACGTAGAAATATGAGTGCAAGTAAAAACGAGGGGAGCGCGTATAACACACCGTGGTCTTCATACAATGAAACAGGTCCTGAGCAGCATCTCTACACGCATTAATTGAATGAAGATCATTCGAAGCAGCCCAACAGCCCAGCAAACTTGTAAGTTGCGGAGCGCACATAACATTTATTGCATCTACAAAACGAATATTAGTCTATGATAACACAATTTAGAGAAGTGGTATTGTTGGCTTACTTTTCTTCGGCCTGACTTTGAGGTTTTTGATATGGATGGCCATGAGAGGGAGGCGTCAGCCTGGCTAAATCGTCTTTAGTTCACGAGAGCAATGACAAGACGAGAGTATGAGCTTTCACGTGCCGGGCCGCTGGAGCCGAAATGCTACGCAGTTCCACGTACATTCACCAAAATCGTTTAGCGTTTTACTCTCCTCTTTCACCCGCGACATATGGTATCGCTTCTTCAACAATATCAAGAACAGTAGAAATATGGCTACTACTTCTTCAGCGAACAGAAACAACTCTGGTCAGATATGAGCTGTGATCTCACCTTATAAATTGCTCATGTAATGGCCTTCAGCTGTGAAGCGGATAATGCAGGAGGCCCGCGAGCTGGCTAACGACCCTTCAACCGATTACACTGCTGCGCCACTGGAGGTGTGTAACACTTTTCCCCATATCGTATGATCGTGCCATAATATGTTCTGGTAGGATGATATATTCGTGGGTGTAATTTCACAATCATTGGCCAATGTGTTGTTGTTTATCTTTGTGGTAGGAATGGCATTGCACCATTCGAGGTCCTGTGGGCACCGAGTTCGAGGGCGGGTTATATCATCTCCGGATTCTTCTTCCCGCTGAATACCCATTCCGTCCACCCTCCCTCATGGTACTCACTCCTAACGGAAGGTTTGAGCTCAACACTAAGGTATATATGACTTTTTTATCTTTCTCGTGTCGAAGTGAACTCAGCATCTCCCCCAGATATGCATCAGTTTCACAAATTGTATGTTTTACCGCTTTCGTTTGTTCAGCAAGTCTAAACGTCAGTCACAGATCATGAAGAATTGTGGCAGCCTGCATGGGGGGTCCGTACAGCTATTCTTGGTATCCATAGCTTCTTTCCGTTGAAGGGTCAAGCTGCGGTGGGCGTTGGATCTATCGAGTATCATTCTGCGGAGCGGAAGAGGCTTGCGGTGTTGTGCGTTTTTCATCCTCTACAGTACATGGGTTACTTGAACGAACTCATGTAGATCACGCGAATGGACGTGCCCGCACTGTCAGCAATCCAATCTAGAGCTTCTCCCGGATCCCAGCACCAGTGCCGCCTCCCCCGAAACGGAATCAGATTCCGCGCCGGAACCTCCTGCAGCGCCCAACGAGCCCTCAACATCCCCCTCGCTTTCAAGTCATACCGAGGTTACTGCGTCAAACGTGTCTGATGACGGCGTTCCTAGGGCTGATCTAACCCCAGTGACCGTAGTAACTCCACCAATCCCAATTCCAATTCATGCTGTTGCCGCAGTGCCGCAAACAACATCTCATTTCCGACCACCTGTATTTCTAGATGCTCTCATAGGTATCATCCTGGCTCTCGTATTTGCTTTGTTGTTCAAAAGAATTTTTTAACTTTCTTATACACCGCATGTGTAGGACTACATACATATTGGATATCTGTTTCCATCTTCGCAATAATATTTGAAAAGATCCTCAAACGCCCGATCAGGAAACCATTGTATTTGTATTAATCGCCTCGGCCTGTTATAAGCTATATACCTACTGCGGTGCGTCGTGGAAAGCCATCTTGATTATAACTTTGACTTTCCTGCAGGCTTTCCGTTCTACTCTATACATGTCCTTGCAGTTAACTTCCTCTTCATCTCCAAATTCACAATCAGAACCTTCGTTTTGTACTCCAGCTAAACCGAAACGGAGCCCCAATCGTGCAGCATCGCTGCGCCTTTGCAACGCGAAGACCATCGACGTCCCTATTCCTCCCTCTCTCCTTCAATCGCCGTATCTCAATTCACCCATGAGCCCATTCCAAAAAGCGAACTCTGCCCCCTGCACTCCAAGCCGGGAGGACGAACAATGGTTACGAGACACCATTCCGCTTTCCAATCACTCAACTCCTTTGGGTCGGTCTGCTTCCACCAAAGAAAATGTTCAGCGTCAGACTTGCAGCTCCCCGAAGTGCAGTGACATTGACACTACGGAGAGAGGTGAAGTAATTGATAAGACCGCCAGAAATCGGAAAGGGCCATATTCGCCTCCACTAGTGCGATTGGGAACACGCCAACTTGGTCAAGATAAAGTACAAACACCCTCTCTGCACCTTCCCCGTGCGGGAGAGCAAGAGTACTTCCTCCTCTCCCACGCAGGGAGGTAGAAGGTTGGTCCAATCTTGTCATAGTAAACTTCTATTCCTAATTTTTATGGCGTACTGACCCTTCATATTAGGTGTTTTATACAATCCTTTCAAGACTCCGAATGTCTGGTACATAATATGTTTGATACCTTCCCATTACTATGACCTTCTGCAAGTTATGCGGGCATAATTCAACACGCTGGACGAAGTTTTCCATTTATGTACATAGCGTGGGGTGAATATACATAAGCCCACCAACACTAGACTCGAGCCAGTAGCTTCGGGTGTTGACACTTTGGAAACTGGCGCCCGAAGTCAAGAAGGTGATTCCGCATCTCACTTCTCAGCAGCGGACTGGTTCCAACATTATGATGCATATTATATATATATTATACCCATTGTGGACTCTAATGGACTTTTGTAGCTTTCATTTGACACAAAGATAAGAAATGAATGCTTATTTCAGTAGACATCAAGTAAAGATCATAGAAGCAGGAGACTTGTGGCACTGGGGAAATTTGTGTAAGATGTGAGCTAGAAACAGCAACAATTTATAAAGGTACAATAATTACAGAACAGAGGGGAACAAAGAACAATCATGTAAGCTTCAGGACAATGCAATATGGTGAGGGAGGCTCAGGGGAGGCTTTTGTTGGACAGGTAGAGCGCAGGGTTGGAGTCACCATTGGGAAAGTAAAAGGGCTGCAACCGGAACAGGGTCACATGACTGCATTATAGGGCAAAAGGGACGCGCCGTTGGAACGGACAGAGACAACTTCAAAAAGGAAATTTTGCACGGGCACTTGAGGTTATGGATGTTCAATGACCATTGCAAGAAAGGTGATCTGTATGATGAAGTACATACTTTATCAAGCACATATTGCTACAAAAACAGGAGATGTATTTGCACGTACGAATGGAAAGATTCCTGGAGGGTACTCCGTCACTTTTTCTTTGCATCTCCTAAAGTTAATGTCACAAGCTCTTCGTCCTCCATATTGTAGCTTGCAATAGTGCTTTTATTCGTGAGCATTTTGCCAGCATAGGATAACCGTATACGAGAGACATTTACTGAGCTGCCAATGTGTTGTATGATACGCTCGCGCAACGTCGAGACAAGAAGATTGAGAGGAAGATCTGGGACAGTAACAATCTTGCCGTCGAACTTCCACTCTGGCTTGGTATTATCTGTCGGTAATTGGAATTGAAGAGAGATGGGATGCTATATTCGTTTGAATGTCTAAATATCCAAAACATGTCGAGCAACGGGATAGGCAACTTACAGGATGCATTCCAATCCAGTCTTCTTCTGAGTATATTTGGCTTCCGGGAATTTTGTTCACCTTTTGCCTTTTGGCAGGAGGGATGTCGTCCTCTACGCCCTCCATTTGATCAGCACTTCGAACGACACCAGCTTGGGATTGCAGTACACCGTTTGCGGCCGCTAAAGCAGCTACTCGTGAAGGGTGCATCCCGGGCGCGATACCAGGTTGATAACCGAAAGGCTGCGTGGTTTCGATGCCCTGGAAATGCAAAGGGGGTAGCATAACGGGTGGCGTCTGGTACGCCGAAGCAGGTTGAGGACCGGACGACACTGTAGCGGTGGAATATGCTGGATTGGAAGATGCCTGTGGAGGTGCTGGTAATGACGCATGAGGGGGTGGAAGGGAAGTGAGCGGGGAAGGTGCAGCTGCGGGACCAATGCCAGGCCCAATAGCATTCGCTTGTTGCCTTTGAAGAGCATAAAGTCAATAGAGATCAAACGAGTACAGTGAATGACGTACGGCCCGAGACCCTTTGAACGATGGATAGCGGCAATCTGTTCGTCGAAATTGACGTTTGTGGAGAATTTGTCCAGCGTATTGGCCTTCGAAGCAGTATGACCATCCCAGACAACTTTTTCCCTCTCTTTCCGTCTTTCCCGTTCCTCCTCTTCCTCCTTCTTCCTTCGTTCCTCGTCTTGTTCGGCACCAAAAATGTCGACACGAGTACGAGCAAGATTCTTGAGCGACGAGACAACGTTAGCACCACGCTGTAGCTCAGACGCCTGGGCTTTTCGAGCTTCAAGTGCGTCTCGTTGCTCTTTCCATCGAGGATCTAGCAGTTCAATACGCATGTGTTCTTGTAGCTCGTCGACAGGTATTTGCTGGCCACAGATACTGCAGCTAGTCATTGCAGCTTTGGTGTTCTTCGACCCAACTAGAAGAAATATTAGTGAAATGACGATGATACAAAGTCAGCATGGAATTACGTTTCGGGACATAGTCTGTTCGAATTTTCATTGGCCCAGCAGCTGCATTCACAGAGCTAGCTTGTAAGGCTTTTGCACGCTCAATCTCTCTCCTCTTCTCCTCCTGCTCGCGCATCACTCTTTCTTCATCTTCATCATCGCTCTCCTCCATAGCAGCATCGTCGCCTCCTATACCAGCATTGCCGACTGCTGCAGCAGCCTCAGCTTCCGCCGCAGCTTGTTTGGCACGATGAGCTTCAACGTCTTCGACGGTATTTTCCATGATCATAGCGGCCATTCGTTTCTGTGCCAGAGTCATGTTCTCTACTTCCTGTACACTCATTGGCGGAGGAAGTTCAGAAGTGGCATCCGCGATTGTGAATTCAATGGTCTGAACAATGGCATAGTCATGCCAATCAATCTCAGCGAACGCGACTGATAAATTAACATTAGTCATGTTGTAGCGGAGGAAGCACAGTCAACTCACTTCGTTCCGCTTCCTGGTCGTCTTGTCGTCTCTTTTCTTTCTCTCTCTTTCTTCGCTCCCATTTGGCATGCTTCCGCGCTAAGTCCAGAGTCTTTGAACGTGCTCCTTCGTCAACGCGGCTTTTCAGTATTTCCAAGGTTTCCTTGTCAGGATTTATTATTTTGGTATACTGATCCACCAGCCGATTAAAGTAGCCAAAGAGGGAGTGATTAGGTCTCAGGAAGTCGAATTGATAGTTTCGGCCTTCCCTAGCAGAAAGCGCAGCGAGAAAGTTTCGACCACGTCGGGCGGTGAATAAAGCAGTGAGTTTCATGGTGTCCCTATGAAGGATCAGAGATAAGTCAAGAATGAGTACAACACGACGCACAAGTCGATCGCACTAATGTTTGGCATGTCGATGATGAATACGGGCGTCGGTGGTTCGAGACCAACATCGACAACCTTGGCTTGAATCGCGGCGCCGTCTACTTTGTCATCCCCAGATGGAACCTGTTCATCATCAATTTCGCCTTGGAATATTTTGTCCATCTTGTGTCGGTAGTATGCATGGTACGGGTCAGCTGGATTGAGGAAGGAGAATTTTGGATCTGAGCGCTGCCCTTCTCGGACTTTGTCCTCGAAAAGAGGTGGGTTCGCAGACTGGGCAACATATGAAGCAGTTTTGTCAATCACGGCTATATAAACAAGTAAGTAACAAGTATAAGTCTGAGAACAAAAACGTGCATTTGATTTCTGGAGGAGGAAGAATAAGACCGCTGGTAAATCTTTCCTTTGCCTGCTCAGGAATTCCATTGGGGATTGTGTGAGGTACGTCGACTTCCATCATTGTGGAATTGAAGAAGAGACGAAGAGTTTTTTCGCACGACTACATACATAACTCTCTACTTTAAACACTTCCATGTTTGGTCCTTTTCGCGCCTCCCATGTAAACTCTGGAGGTCTTCTTTGGTAGAGTACCCAGTACTCAGTTTTGTTTCTTCTATGTCCCTAATTCAATCTCAGGAAAATACCATGGAAACTTTCTACCACCAGAAAGGCAAACGCTCGCCATAGGCTCAAAAAAGTTGACGCTGTCATCGAAGCCGTCAGGGCAAGCGGTGTACAGTGTGCTGCACTTGTTCGCAAAATATATTATCTCTCTTCAGTTTAGCTGACTCCTTCCTAGGAAAGGGCGCTTGAACTTCCAAAGGAGCACGAGATGCCTGCTCGCGACAAATACACTGTTTTCAGTCCCCATGCTCGTGGATACCGTAAAGGGATACACAAGGTTCCAAAATGGACTAGAGTGCGTCTTCGTAGGTTCGAATTGTCAGAATTCATTTAATATTTATACACGCAGATTACACAAAGAACCAATCCGAAAGGTTTCTGACACTTTCACCTTCGGGTAGGTCTTCTTCTATAACTCCCTGGAGCGTAGAAGAGGCGATCGCGAAAGCCATGTAGATTATCACATATTGTCAACTCTACGACTTAATATCACCTCCCTTGTATCATTTCGTTCGCGTCATAACTTTGTCTACCCAGTCACGCACACCTCCTTCCCAATCATCCCAGCAGCATGACGAGTATGCCGAATCCCTTCCTCCCTTCCCTGATCGAGGGTCACCCTTGCGCTCAGGTGCTGCTTTGTATCCAATAGCCTTTGAAGGCGGTAGGACCCGAGCCCATCTGAGGACACCCTCGAATCGAAACCCCATCCTTTCCGCTACTTTCAAACTCGGTGCGTTCTTCGTGTTACAGACCCACTGCAATCTCCGCAATTCAAGCCCGCCCTCCTCTGGAAGATCAAGTGCATAATGCATAAGCAACCCAACCATGTTGGAAGTTACATGAGTGCGTTGGAATTTTGGCAATATGACAACGAAGCCAATTTCAGTGCAAGCATCCCGGTCACTGGAGTTGATGTAGCTCACAAGACCCGCAATAGCGGGTTCCCCATTAACGGGACTCGCCTTGTCCAAGATAGTGAAAGAAGTCGTTGCAGGGTTTACTTGGATGCCTTTGTCCCAGAATTGTTCGACGAACTGTTCAGTAGACGTAAAAGGTCCATAAGAGAGATAGTTCCATGTGGACTCGTCAAAAGCTTGGAACAAAGCTTCAGCGTGTTTTGAGGGCTTTATCCACCATCAGTTTAGAATGCGTTCACTGAAATTCCTACGCACTATGAATGGAACCAATTTCACTCTGTCACTTTCCAAAGTGTCTGGGATCGGAAAACAGAAGTTGTTGTCCTTTTCAGATGAGAGGGAGGAAGACATGGTTAGCTCGGGCACCTGCTATGTGAAAATACATACTCTGTCGCAAATTGTGACTCGAAAAAAGATTGTGCTTCAGACACTGATACAACGGGATTCCGGCGCCCTGCGGAGATAACATGTCCGCATTTAGCAAATATTGACATCGTTGGTACATCCGTGCACCTGCCGACCTGCTCAGCCTGCATCGTTCATGTATAAGGGTTCATATCAACTCAACTCACTCTCAATTCTGTCAATGCTGCAGCAACTGTAATGACACGGTAAGTAAAGCCAAGAGGGTGGGAAGGTTGGTATCTGCAGCTTTGACCAAATATGTAGTTCAGTAAGTACGTGCATATATAACGTTTTGAAATCTGCCGAATTCACGGCGCAGGAGTCTGTATCGAGCCCAATTGCCAGTGTCACTATCATTGGGAAGCCGTTATACACGTGTTGACTTTCAAAGTGTAGAAGCGTTGAACCATCTAAGTACAACAGAGAATCACTGTCAACATTCCCAGGTCAGAATTAGGAAAGTCTTCTTACGCGTATCCCTGGTCGTCAAAATCTGTTCCAAGCATATTAGAATCAGTTGCGCAATTCTTGCAAACAGTACGAACCAGCTGCCACATCCTCTTGCGAGCAAGTACACCTGTCGAGTTGAGCGCACTCATACGCCCATCCTTGGTGTTGATAGCCCAAGTCATGGAATTGCACCACTTGATCCTTCCGAAGCGTCATTGCTACCCCAAAAGAGTGCACCGGTGAGTCTCCCCAGCGTTCGTAGAAGAATCCACCTGCCCGGTCTAAGTGCTTGAAAAACGCAGTATAAATTTCACTTTCCCATATCGAACGATGGGATATTTCGAAGTTGTTCTATGATCGTGCGAACCGGATGAAATGACGCGGCGTTTCATTGTCAGCAAGTGTCAAGATGCAGAAATTCTGTTGGGAAGAAGAGAAGGAGAAGATAAAAACGCTACTTACATACATACACATTTTCGTCCATTCGTTGGAGCCTGCTTGTCCTCTAAGGGCTTTCTCTATTCCTTCTTTGCCGTGCCATACAAATCCATGGTTAACTTCTAAAGGAGCGAGTGGAAGACCCCCATTGATTGATACAACATCAGCGGATGTTGAATGAGATTGATAATAGTCGAAAAGGAATTCCGATACATTTCGAGCAAGACTTGGTTGAACCCAATTTGCGTCTTCGTTAACTTGGACGAAACCTGATATAAGGTTATTAGGAAACTTGAAGCTACGGCTTGATCAACCTGGAAATAACATACCGTATAATGCTCCGACATCTATCATACGGTCAATGGGATCATAAGGCTACAAAAAATTCATGAGATTCTACAATAAGTTCTGTTCACAGAGCATCATACGCACAATATCGCAGTGAAACTCGATGTCTGTATCAAGTCTCCATAACCAATCGTACTGTGCGAGGGCGGGGTGTTGCCAAAAGAAACCTGCGGAGGAAGTTGTTGTGATCAAATTCCTCGATATAGAGCGTGTACAAAAGGCTTGGGCACAAGGAAAATGTGCTATCAAGACATTTACCAGAGTAGAACCTGCACATCGCTCGGTATCCAAAAGAAAACCTGTACAGGGATCAGTTCATTGCGATCTGGCAACGACTTGTGACCTACCCAATGGTATGGAGAGATTCCTCGACGCGGGACCTGTCGTAAAAGTCTGGAATGTCCCATGATTCCTCAGTCAGAACAGCTATGCAGAATTGGTTTTGAGCATGCGGCATCGCAAGATAAAAAAGTAGAATAACATACCGAACTTGGCTCTACCCTGCGTAATCCAATCGATCTTTCGTTTTTCCTCTTCAGTAATCATGGCACTTTCTTCTTCACTCGCAGTAAAAAGCACATAAGGGTACTGAAACCGTCGATTGAACCGGTTTTCGACGTTGAGCAGAGCAAGAGTGGCTTGATGTATGCGCGAAGGGGCGACGAGCATGAAGATCACCCGGTTTGTCTTATTTCCTTGTGTACTGTCGAGGGAGTCCATTTCATGCGGAGAGTTATCATAGTACGAGCGGTATTTTTGAGTCAAGGTCTCTTTCGGTAAAAATGCAACCAGGACCACAACAAGAACAGCCAGGAAAATAGATATGCGAGCTCGGGAGGAAGATATGAGCATAACAAAGGCAGAGTGCACTTGACGGGTTATCCAAAAATCAGACAGAGGGCATGTTGAATATATTCAGAAGGCCAGGGGGGCGATACCGGGGAAATGTGACCCATTGGGGGTAGCTCCCGTCACCAGTCTTGTTACGCAGCTTGTATGAACTTGCTTGTAGTAAGCTTATACTAGCTTATACTGCGGTGATATCGAGGGTTTAATCAGGGTTTAATGGACAGGTTTAGATACAGAACATGACAGTCGAACAGATAGATGCAAAAATTGACAACCCTGAGCAAGACGACCTCCGAGGTTTGATGCGATAATCTCAGCCTTCAGATCTGCGATAACTTGTTCGGCATCTCGGCCAATATGCATGAATCGATATGAGACCAGACCTCCTTTCGACAGCGTAAAAATGTATAAGTCAGGGGAAATCCCAACAACTCTATCTCCTCCTCCCAGAGTTATTTATTGCTCTTCCGTCATTCGTAACGTTCACAGGCACAAGCTTTAGCTTGTAGGTTGAGTCGAACTTGTGGCAATTTACAGAAAAATAAAGTTGCCCCTCGTCCCCCTGCTACCAATATCATCTTCCTAAGCCAAACGTAAAAATGGCCGTATCGCGTCAGGTCGTCGCTGTTGTCAGCTTCTACATGGTGGCTGCATTGGTGGTGCGTACGCAGAACGATCAATTCCTGCAAAAAATTGACTCAATCCTGCTGTATCAGATGATATTTGTGAACAAAATGGTGCTGAATGCTACGCCAAACCTCACAGTCCTTTTCATGTTTTTCCAGTCCTTCGCCACCGTTGTCCTTCTTATGATCACATCTCGCTTTACCCCTTGGGTAGAAATTCCTGTCATTGAATATCAAACTGCACGAAAACTTGCACCTTTGATACTCGTTGATACTGCCGGTTTCATCTTCAATGCCTTTTGTCTACGGGATATCGAAGCAGCCTTTTATCAAATCGCCCGTGGACTAGTCCTTCCTCTCACCATCCTGGTGGTAGCTATCAGCACCCGTTCGAGGCCTCCCTTGTCTGTTGTCGGATGTGCCGCTATCGTTACTTCTGGCTTTTTCCTCGGTGTCTCATTCTCAGGGGATATTCCTGCACGATCAGTTCCGACGCCATTGGGATTATTTTATGGGTTGCTATCATCTTTTTCGATCGCCTTACATGCCGTACTGGTCAAATCTTCGTTGCCTCATGTGAATGGAAGCAGTACGATACTTTCCTTCTGGTCGAACTTGGGCTCTGCGGTTTTGCTCGCTTGTTTGGCCGTATTCAAGGGAGAAGTCCACGAGTTCGTAATCATGGTCAGCAGCACGGACGCTGCGGGAGTGCAGTGGGATTGGGCGACATTTGTCTATGGAAATATCATCACAGGGATCTTTGGATTCCTGATCAGCATCGCTGGAATCTTGAGTGTCAAGGTCACCAGTCCTGTCACTCACATGTTCTCTAGTGTGGGTTTTCCGATTTCCTCGTTCATAAATTCCTATTCATCTCTCAAACCAGGCGGCACGGAGTGTACTTCAAATCGTTCTCGGTGTCAAGATATTCGGAGATATTGTCACTACGTGAGTGTCTTTTCGCGCATTATCCAAGAAGAATTTTTCAATGTTTTTATTTGTAGTCAACGTGCTGCCTCAGCTTTCGTTATCCTTACAGGAACTCTCCTATACACTTATGTCAAATCTCGGGAGAGTGGCCCATCCAACCCCTCATCAGGAACCAATTCTGCACCTTTGAAGGATTTGGAATCTCAGTCTACAAAACAGGAACAGGTGGATGAAAAGCCGCTCACTTAAGTTAGATGTTACATGTAGTAATAATACTATGTAATTAGCTAGAAATAGTCAGAGGCTTTGCCCATAATCATAATCATTAAGCGACGTACTTCGCCTGGCACCATGTATCATCATTCGTTAAAGTTAGGAGGCAGAGTTGGCAGTAGATTGGGGTCTATCGAGAAGTTGTCGATAATTTATCTCACAGCATTGAAACGAACGCATGATTATGATGTGATGATGTAGTACGAACAAGGATGAGCACGACATAACCTCAAAAGAATGTATATGATCTTATAGATCGTAATTATAAATAAGTACCAGCATAAAAGCTGAACGTCCAACATGGCATGGAAGTAAATTAACGAAAGGGGGCATGAAAGAATGTCATCTGTAGATATATCTGTAATCTGTCCGCGAATTTCGAGCAAGAAATCAGAACATCCGTACACGTTCACTGCTGAGCTAAAATTGGATCGTTGCTGCGAAATCGAAGAGGCTCGGGGCGTTTCGTATGTTGTATGATTGATCTGAATAGGTCCAGGTTTTCGTCCGTGAACTCCTTTTGGGTAACGCCTTTTGCTTCATCGTCTAAGGAAATATCTGTCCAGAATGACGACTCCCCATAAATGTGGGATGACGACAGAGAATTGGAAAAAGGAGAGGAAGGTGTGATGACTCCCTCGCTGTCAGAACAGGTCGGACTCGAAGACGCAGAAAGACACGGTGATGGCATATCGTATGGCAAAGTACTGCTCAAAGCAATAGACCGAAGGGCTCGCTTGTCGACTTTGCCGTTTCTTGTGGCAGGAAAATCCTCCAAAGCAATGTAGTGAGTTGGAACCGCATAGTAGGGTTGAACTCTCGACACTGCTTCGCGCACGGATTCCGGGTCGACAGTTGATGGTGTTACGAATCCCCACAGTTCAGAATCGACCAGTAATGCAGCAGTTTTGAAGACACCTTCGCATGTCTTTCGTAAAAATGAGTTATGGATCAGATTAGGAACGAGACAAACTTATTCACCTGCATTGCAGCAGATACACCATCAAGTTCGACTCGGAAACCTTTAACCTTTACTTGATCGTCCACACGGCCCATATGATCCAATTGACCGTCCGGTCTCCAACGTCCAAGATCGCCCGTGTTAAACATCATACCGCGGCCGCCCGCCACATAGGGATCCTGTCTCCAACGTTCCACGTTCTTGTCGGGAAGGTTAAGGTAACGAGTGTTGGTTCCGATGCCACCGACCCACATACATCCCACGTGCCCAATGGGAAGAGCTTCCGCGTTATCGTCGCACGAGAGAATGTAAACATTCGTGTTGGGAATTGGTTTACCGATTGACAGAGAACTCCCTGCTGTATGCGGCTGCACTGTGTTGCATATGGAAATTTCGGTCGGCCCACAACAATTATTGAATGATGTATAGAAGGCCCATTTGTCGGCAAGACCTGTGCATATACATCAGACACATTACAGACAGCATATAGGCATGAAAGACTCACTTTGAGGACAAGGTTCTCCACCGACGATGACATGTTGAATATTGGGGTAATCTTCGGGGTCGTGACGCATTAGGATGCTAGGTGTAGAGATCACGATATCCACGGTCTTCAGGACGGCTACCCAGTCTTTGAATGTGTTTCCGCGAAGACACAGAGTACAGCCGTTGTAAAGAGATCCCAAAACCTCCCATGCTCCCATATCGAAGGCGATATTGAGAAGTTGAGCAACTCGCATTCCGCGTCGCATACCAACATTGGCAGGGGCGCCACTGATGACTATATACACATAATCATCAGAAGATGTAAGACAAGGGGCTCGTTTTCTCCTCACCGTTCGTTACGCCCTCGTGTTTGACGTCTACGCCTTTTGGTCTGCCTGAAAAGGGGAAATTAAGCACAAAAAGGACCGCTCTAATCGCTTGAACACACCTGTAGTGCCGGAAGTGTAGATACAATACGCGCCATCAGAAGGAGAGGAGAGATCCTCGACCTCACTGAGACCCCCTTCTGTAAAATCATCCCCCTGAATGAAATTTTCGAGACAGACCACGGGAACAGGGCATTCAGAGAGCGAGTCCAAATAATCTGCCATCGAGAGCACCATACTGGGACCAGAGTCCTCCAACACGAATTGAAGTGTTTCATCGGTAATCGTTACTGCATCCAAGGGCACATACTGGGCACCACTCTTCAGGACCGCTAGAATGCCTATAACCAGCTCGATGGACCGCCGAGCGAGGATGCAAACGCGGGACCCAGGACATATGTTATGTTTTCGAAGATGATGAGCCAGACGGTTCGATTGGATGTCCAGTTGTCGGTAGCTGATAGACTCATTGAGCGACGGATGTTCTACCGCAATAGCCTCTGGCTGATCTATAACATGCTGTCGAAAAGCACGATGGATGATGGGTGTCTGTACAGTCCTAATGGGTCCGAAGCTGAACTGGTGAAAGAGTGCTTGGTCATTTGAAGACAGATGAGCGAGAGAGGAAGACATCGGGGACTAGATTGTAGGGCGGCTCTACGCTGACCTTTAAGAATCTAGAGAAGCGGTGCCTGGGATGGTAACGTATGTCTGTCAGTTTTTGAAATTCCAGTCTTGGACCGATTGAATGGAGGCAATTATGATAGATCTTGTTTCCGTAGACGACTTCTGTACCTAGAGTCCTAGACCATGAGCTAATAAGAGTACCTTGTCAGCCACTCATGTAGGAAACTGATCGCTGATAGCGGCTGGTGTCGAGATCATCACATGAAGCTGGTCGTTGCCTTTTATTGCGTCGAAGTAGTGGTTCATAATTCATTCTAACTCGGAGAGTCAAAGTCAACGTTCAGGAACTTGATTGCCTTCAGGGCAGCTCTGGGCATGCCGTGCCAGCCGATCGCTTAACGATCACCCCCTTATTCGAACACCGGGCCGATCCGGCGGCCAAACAACATTCATTTCTTGAAGTTCAACTAACTCTTATTTCTATCCTTCGAGTGCAATCTTCTCATAATGGGGGCGAAAGGAACCTATTCCTTGATGTCCATTCCAGATATCATCAATTCACTTGGTGATTGGGGACTGACCGTTGAAGAAGATCGTCTCTTGCGGCCGACATCAGAATTTGTAGAGTTCGTCTTTTGCGCGTGCCTCGCTCAAGTCACCGGTATAAACCGCGAGGATCTACTCCAACCAGCTCAGGACGCGCTTTCTATCTCCTCATTGGAGGATAAGGTGCGCGAACTTTTATATACCTATGGAATGTCGTCTAATATCATTTTAAAGGATAATATATATCTCTCTGCCCTCACTCATAATCTCTTGTGTTACCACCTCACCCGGTTTGCCAATGCTGCCCGGGTAGACGACTTCTCTTCCTATGACATTTCTAAACCAACGAAAGAGCGTACACTCTTGCTTCTATCCGCTTTTATCAACTTTGTCAAGTTCACAGAACAACTTTGCAATCCTTTTGTAAATGAGCTTGTGAACCGCTCGAATGCTCTACTTGTCGACCGGGACCAGGTTTCCAGCAAACTTGCTCAGACTCAAAAACAGATCCAGGAGTTGAAGTCAGCATTCCGTTCTCTATATCAAGATTCTTACGCGTCTCAATCTTTATACACAGAGCCAAACGAGATAAAGATGAGCCAATATGTCAAGAACTGCGAGCGAAAAACAAAGAACTCGGTGACCTAGTGCTCCAAACGAAAGCCGCTCAGCAACCAATAGTCCAGGAAGCTGCTTTGCTCAAAGAAGAAAAGACGCGATTGATGGAACGAAAGGTATGTTGCAATCCACTCTGGACTTGATATCCATTGCTAAGCTCCGTTTACATTCCAGGAACACATCCAGAGGGAACTCGAAGCAATTTCCGACGCGAACAAACGCATCAGAGGACGTATCGTTCAGTCTCCAGAGCGTGTCAAACGTAGCATCTCGACTATGAGCGTTAGCAGGACCGAACACAAGAGGATGGTCGCAATAAATGAGACCAAAGCGAGGGACCTGCAGGCCAAAATCAACGCGTTGGTGATAATTGAACAAGTACTTCTTCTATTTTCAACCCATGAAAAGAACTTGATGGTTCAATTATCCAGGATCTTCGTACCTGTATAGACCAACTGCAGGTCGTCGAGAAAGAGATCAAGTCATTACAGGATATGCAAAAAGACCTAGCAGAACTGAAAGACCAATTACACGACAAAAAGATCGAAAGAAATGAGCTACAACTAAAGCAGGAGGCATATACTGTTCTTATATTTAATCGCACTGCATCGTACTCATGGCGCACTTTCTAGCGGGTTGTCAAGCAACTAGAAAATGCCCACGCAAAACTCACACTTACTCAACAACGAGCCGCGGACAAAAAGGCTGCAAACGCACGAATTCTTGAACGACTTCAGGGAGAATACAACGATATGGCCGAGCAGAGGCAGGAAAACGACCTGCAACTAGCGGAAATAAGGAAAGAGGCGGCAGAAGTTGAAGAAAAGGTAAACTTCACTACGTTCTATCCCAGTAGTCTAAGGCTTAGTTACTCATACGATAATAGATATCTGAACACCTCAAAGTTAGCGAAGGAGAACTACATGGTTTGCTCAAGGAATACTGGAGTTTGAAGTGCGCGACGAGTGAGTCTATTACCAGCCCTATCAAAATTGCACTCTGATATTGCTCATATGTTACTGCAGATGTATACATGGAGACTTTGGCGACGAAACTAAATATGAAGATATCATGAATTGGTGAATGTTCTTTGTATTACTATTCGGATTCCTTCATGAGTATCTGCTTGTATAGTGACTCAATCATATGTATCTTCGTCTGTATGTAAATTTCCTTGCTGGGGTGCAAACGTTATCCTGTCAGGCTATGTATTATGCATTCCATGATGGTCTGATACAGTACAACATTCACCTCAGGCGCGCGTTCTAGAAACCGAGGTATCTGAATTCGTTCTGCCCAACAGTCCGCCGACAACATTCGAAACGGTCTCAGTTATCTGACGTTGTTGATTATGGGAATGCTTGACATAGAACAGCCGAATGTTAGTCGAGTTCCACACCCCCAGAGGAGTCATCCCGCGGACAAAGATTTCACCCCAAATTAGTGAGGTAAGCCACACAATCGATGCATCGGACCACTTTGAATAAACTTGAGAATAACGATAACTGGAAAGTTGGTTACGCACCACGAATCGTCTTGGTGATAGTGGAGGAGCAGGTGGAAGCACATCAACCAATGTAACTGAACCTAGAAAATCGAGAATCGTCGACGCAGAACTAGCCTTTTGCGAAGACTGCATCTCTTGCACTTTGGGTAGTAGTTCAGAGATCATTAACATTACGATATCCAGCGGCAGCCTGTTGATACATAAGTTCGTTTTCGCAACACAAATTGAGACAAGTCGTACCCTTGCTGCCACGAAGCGACCTACGACAAAATGTTTTAGCATGCTTTACATAAATGGAAATGGATAAGGAGTATACCCATTCTGGTGTCGGAACAAAGCCATTTCTGCCAATTCCTGCAGCTGCCATCCGTTCTAAGCTACCTGCATCCAACGAAGATGATGAACGTCGTTGTTTCATCTTCCCTTTGGATTTCTCAGAAGGCTTGGCACTGGGTATTGAATCTGGGGTGGGAGAGACTACGGGTTCCGTTGTAGTTGTTGGTCCACCATCATGATCGGAATGTGGTATCTGACTGGCCGCAGAATTTTCGTCAGTTTCATTCTCATCTTCGTTGTTCACGAGGTTTTTCTTCTCTTCAGGTGCATGTTCCTCTTTGGAAACTCTCCTGCTCTTTCTTTTGTCATCCAAACTTGATTTTCGAGCTTGATCCTCTTTTGCAACCTGGACACGTCTGATCTCACGAAGGCCACGCGCGAGGGTGAAGGTCCCTAGATCCTCAAAGGTTTTATGCGCTGCCAGAATCCCATGTATGAGATTTGGATTCTCAGAAAGGCGATGCAGAATGACGGAGTTGAACATTTCCAGCCTGATTCGAGGTAATGAAATGAGAAAGGGGTACCTAGAACAACGAAGAGAACACACATGAAAAAGAGAAGCCGCGGATGTCCCTCGTCGGAAAGCAGGAACAGGGGAGATGAGAACGATGTGAATAATTGAACCAATCGAGCCGACGACGTGATGCTCAAGTTCTTGAAATATGGCGCGCAGTTCGACAGGGCAATGATCAATGCTGGGTACAACGAGTTCAGCTGACCAGATGTTGTAGCAACTATAGAGTAGATCGCCTAAAGAACCTCGGTAAAGTGAGCAATCGTTATATATTATTGGAGTCGACGTACGTTGATCAAAAAATCAGCAGCTGTGCCAGAAGCAGGGAACTTCGATGGTAATGAGGCTTTGATTGGATTCGTCAATCGTTGCCCGAAAGCAGGTTCCGCTGACAACGTTTGAACAATATATGAAAGGGCCCGACAAATCCCATGCTGCTCTAGAACAAAAATGAAACAGGTTTTCAGGCAGAATGTAACAATGGACTAACGTGGCTTGTCCTTAATCTCCAAGTTATAGCAAAGCAGGTAGGCGATAAGATCTATTCCCTGATCTGAATCCAGGACATAGGCTCGGAATCGCTGATGAGGTCGGCGGCACCATTTAGTGGGTAAACAAGTGACGGTATATCCGAACCAACCTTGTTCAATTCAATCATTTTCCAAAAGAAGATGACTGGAGGCGATATGCTATTCAGAAATTGTTACGGCCTGCAATAATGTAGCTCACCGTTCTCAGCAATGTACGGTGTCGCCCTCCGAGCCCCAGGGAGTATATTGTTCATGCTCATCACTTCTTGCTCCATGATCCCCAGAATACCGCCAAGCACAAACTGGAAATCTTGCGTCCTGTGCTAGGGTGATACTATGACGTGTCGTGATTTGGCTTGATGAGAAAGGTACTCACCAACTTCATGAGGAAATATCTGAATTCGTTGGTACGCGCCGTAGGAGCCGATGTTTGTTGTTCATTAGTTCCAACTACGACATCCCTAGCGCTTCCGCTCTGAAAGTCAAGCAGGACTCCCAGAACTTCAAAGCAAATGGCAACGAGATTGACGCGCGGATCTTCGCCTTTGAAGACGAGGTGATTGTAAGGAAGTTTCCCTGCCATGGAGTTGATGGTGATTGGTTGAGCCTGTGGAGAGTTCATAGCAGTGTTCAAAAGTGAACAAAGTAAGGTGAGGACATCGCGTCGAGGTAGTTTTTGCACTAGATGGAGGGTGTACATCGACGGTTTCGAGAAAAGTGAAGAGGCGGAAACATAAATTTGTCGGGAGAGCAGTACCAAAAGCAAGCGAAGCACTTCGGTTTTGTTGCTGTCATATTGGTGACCGGGTCCAGGATCGACCATGGAGCCAATACCTTTTTCCCTGAAGAAAGATGAAAACCCGAAAAATCACGAAAGTTCATTGCGCACCATATAACATAATTGATTTTGTAATGATCTTTTTGAATCTGCATCGGGAGAGTAAACCCACAGCAAAACAACAAGTCGATTATGGAACTAAAGAGCCGCTCTCCAAGGGATGGAAGTTGTTTCTTCGGATGTGGTGTTGGGGCTGATTGAGGTGCAGACGACTTTGCCTCATCTTCGCTATCTTCATCGTCTTCAATCACGAACTGGGGTGACTCCGTTTGGGGCACCGGTTGTTCTTCCATGTTGTCCACTTCCACCTTTTTCCAAAATACGTCTACCTCGAACGAGCCTGATTCTGCTCCCTCCGTCTCGAATACCACGGGCAGCACCCTCTGTAAGACTCGAAGACAATTCAAAACCTCTTTCGTGGCGTTTCTCTCGCCAGTGCCAGTGCCAGCCTTGATGAAGGATGTCGCAAGAGCGGATACGGACGTCGAAGAGGGCCCCGGGAAGGTATGGTCGGAGACGAGATTGAATAGGCGCAAACTTATTACACGAATAAGTGTAGCAACATTTTCTGGTGCTTCTAAAAGAGCACGTCGAACTGACTGAGTTTCAGCAGATGAACGACTCTCATCTTCTAAGGTGGAACATACTGTCGTTCGGTGTTATCAAAGAGAACACCTCTGAGGCTGAGTCGAATAAAACAACGTACTGAAAGATCTGTCAGTACAAGATCGAAAAGCCCAAAACCACACTACCGCACTTGATTCCAATAGCCATCCGTCTCCGGGATGTTCTATGAAGTGGTCCTTTTCAATTGTTGAGCCTTTGACCTAGAGCATACTACGTACTCTGACTGCGGCTAATTTTTGTAGTCCGCCTGGTTGGCTACGAAAAGCCAGTTTCTCCGAGTCAGAAAGGAGCCCCAGTGGTGCAGTCAGTCTTTGCGGGATCTTAGAAAACATCGGGCAGTTGCAAGTAGCGCTTCGATTGACAATCAAAACCACATCACAGAAACAACAAGCGCTAAATACTGTATTGCATAAGTATTAGACTAGACGCTGGGCCTAATTCCTCGTCCAAATTTTTATAAGCAGCTTGCAAAACAGGTTTTGAGATACTAAGTATTATACGTCAACAAAAGCTCCAGGTATATGTAAGTCTGTAAGATTTTCCGACAGCGAAAGATAAAAAACGGAAATCTAATCATTCAAACTCAGTAGCGCATGCATATATCTAGCAAGTCCAATTTCCGTATGCATCATTCACGATTATTTAAACCAAAAAGAAACCAACAGCTACAGCAAGCAAAATGGTAGCCATGCTTGCAGCATTTGTGATCGCCGAAGATGAAGAAGAATCTGAGGACGACGACGACGAAGACGAGGACGACGATCCACTAGTGCCAGTTGCAGCGGGGGTGGCAGTAGCAATTCCATGGACTCCTCCAGTGACAGGGCCACCACTGGTTTGCTGTGTTGTGGACATATAGGTTAGCACAATTCTAATAATGAGATTTGATTAAGACGTACAGTGACTTCATTAGAACCAATTTGCAAAGCAGCAGCTTGAAAGGCTTGGAAGGTATTTGAACCGTTCGTAGGAGCTAGAAGGAGGGTTTAAGCCATATAACATTAGTTTATATATTATCCCTTTACCGTTAATGCTTCCAACCATCCCCATGCCGCAATGTAAAATTTGCTTGCAATGGAACCAGATACTACAGAGGAAGAATTAAATGTCATAAATCGATCAAAAGACGAGCAAGATAAAGTGAGGACTTACGCTGTTCATCCGCAAACATCAATGAGAAGATATTTATTTGATACAGTGAAAATCCTATACAACAGCGAGGACATACGTTGGTCATCGGTAACGTTGATGGTAAACTGAACCGCATTTGTGAGCCCTGAATCAAAACCAGCACCAGTACCAGCAGATGAATTGGCCGTAAGATATGTGCAAGGCTCTTGGAAGGACGACTGTGTGACGGAGTGAGGAATATCACCTCTGATATGCACATTGCCGTCAGTTTGTCTCAAATTTATGAACAGAATAACAAACCCCGGAAACCAAAACGTCACAAGTGTTCCAACCTAGTGGAATATTTCAGCTACATGGCCCACGGGCGAAATGAAACAACTTACTGGCGCAGTAATATTGGCCGGATTGAACACGAAATTGCCTGAATGAAGCGAAGTCAGTACCTGTGTCCTTCGACAACCTCCAAATTTCCCAAAACTAGACGTACCATTGAACGCAACGTTGATGTTCATCTGTCCTTGGGTGTCTGGGGGCGCTGAGGGAGCACTAGCAGGGGCCGCAGAAGTGGTCGTTCCAGAACTTGGGGGAGGTCCATAGATCTGAGCGGAAACCAGAGCGGGAATGGCAAGTACAGAGACCAAAGTCGTAAAAATCATCGTTCTATGAGTGGTTGTTCTTGGAGTGGGGGATGAGATTTTTTTTGCCCATCCCTGGCTACTTATACACCAAGTTTATATCTGGAGACACTTTGGCGCGAGTCGTGAACAGGACTGCGGAAAAGAAGACGTGCCGTGAGGTTTGTATGCAAATGACCATGGCTATAGCTTCGTTCGGCTATGAAAGAAGCCAATTTTGAACTTTTCTTCGCATGAACATGAAAGATGCATGCATAGTTGATTTGACAAGTTCATCAATTCCTCGATCAAAATTCATAGTCAGCGCCGAGCAGTTGACTGCAATTGACCCCTTGATCCTAGTGTCAGTCAAACCCAAAATGGATCTAGTAGACCACGACCTCCTAGGAGCTCCCATAGTCAATCTGATAGCATGGTATTTGAAAGGCTAGAGAGTTCATCGTCCTTCGCATTTTCAGAGAGTTACCTGAAGGCCTGACGACTTGACTATTTCTGGAAAGATTGGACGGGAGTTGTATACCGGCAAACATTCCTTCCCTCAGCATCCTGTTGTTGTCTCACGCATAGGAGGGAATTTTTAGCCCATTATAGTAAGTCACATAGCATGCTTCGAGGTGAATAACTAGACGTCTGCGGGACAAAATCATCATCCACTGGATAGGCTTCGATTTCGATAGGATACTGCACTCCGGGTATCCCCTTCAGTGCAATCCTTCCCAGAAACCAGATCTCCTGTATCACATCTCCCCTCAGTCCCCACATCCACGCCTGTGGACACATACACGAAATGTAGTATGTATGATTGTTAGTGCGTCGTAGCTATTCCATTACTGATCCCGCAGTCGAGTGCTTAGGTATTCCTGCCATGCCAGACTGCAGCTGATGCATGTAAAAAGGAACTGGAAAATGCGGAACATCATACCGTAAGTGTCAGTTATCCGAATCTTCACGCTTCTGCTATTATACACTGTGAGAGACTATCGTGCCATTTTTACTTGCCATTTTCAAAATATATGTAGGCCTTGCACAGCAAGTACTAGCAAGTAGCACCATCACAATGGTCGCCACAGTGTAAGAGGTGATGGTTCGATCGAGATCTATCATTATTTCATCGCCCAACTGATTGGTCCGGGTTTCACCGGTTCACCGGCCACCTTTCGTGAAGACGGGGCCAAGGGCGAACACGGACAAGTTTGAAATATCTATGTACTCGCTGAAATTCCCACCGGTCAAAGCTGGAAATATCAAGCATTTTTCTGTGTCCGATGATCGCAAATTTCAGCAAATAATGATCGAGAAGTAGCAATTCAAAACTAGTCACTGGAAAGAAAGAAGAATAAAGATATTTGACCCAAATCAAGTTGCAAATAAAATCTTCTTTATAGACGCGTCGGGCCACTACCCGAACGCGGGAAGGAACTTTCAGGTTCAACTAGTGGTATCATTTCTGAACTTGAAGTTTTCATACCTAAGGGACGGAGCGCAATTAACTGGATAGAAGGCAATAAAGAGTTATTCAAGAAGAAAAGGACTTACCATCGAGGTAATTAGTATCCGACATACTGCCCGTCATATTTTCGCCACGAAATCTGACAATTTTCACTCCGAGGGATCTGAGGTTGATAAGCACAAGCATCCCTGTTTCAGAAAATTCGGGGACCAGCACTATGCGACATCGTTTTCGCAATCCATCATCCTTGCCATCGTTTTCTACCAATTTTGTCATAAATTTCTTTTGTCCACCAACAATATATATGTCTGGTGTTTCTTGTATGATAAACGGGTCCGAGGTGAAATATGGATGACACCAAAGCGTATCTGGTGCTGTCGGGGCTATATGCCTCCATTTTAACGTTGACTCCACAGTTGACAAAGGGGTATGCGGTGGGGATGGGAGATACTTGAACATATCATTTACGGGTTGGCCGGAATGCAGAAGAAAGGTCCGAGTGATATGTGTAGAGTCGGAAGAGAGGTGAAGGTAAGTGGGATTGGTTTCGCAAGTAAATGAAGAGAATGAGGATATTGCGCCAAACATGGCTCGAGGAAACGGTTGCTGTGGAAGGATGGTTCCGGAAGGGTCTGTCTCACCGGGAAGAATATGGATTGGCATAGCCCGGCCTATATCGAGTAAATGACCGGACAATGACAGGACTGGATGTGATGAAAATGTCGTGCCGTCGTATCCGAATTTACGCTACACGACGACTAAGCAAAGATATCAGTCGAGCTCCTGGAAAGACGTACCGATTTCTTATCACCTTCTGCATCCGCTTCACCCTTGCCTGTCACGAGCATGGGTGCCATGGAGTTTCCCGCAATGATGAGACGGGATATTTGGGATACACAGACTTGATCATCTGCACTTCCCTCTTCGCCCGTTAAATATTCAACCAACAGCTGGATTTGCCCATCAGAGGGTGATGGAGCCCCAATGTTGAGACCGGAAACCACGCCGATCCATTCATCCGATGGCAAGTCCTTTGTACCTTCAATCAGGAATGTGAGAAAATATTTCAAAGACTTGCGTTTCAATACGTACTATCTACTTCCATTCTGTCCTCTAGCTCTTCCTTGGTTGTGGAAGGTTGGGGGGGAAGGCCCGCATAACAAAAATCTGCCACTTCGAATTTACCATCTGGAGTCTCCATGCCTAAAGCTCCTATGATGAGACCAGTGACCAGTTTTTCCGATTTCAAGCGTTCGCCGACAAGCTGTATTCTACCAGATTCATCTTCCATCATGACTTGATCATCTGCCGAGTAGTAATAAGGAGGCGGGGGAGGCGCAGGGATGGAATGCTGCAAAGAAGAGTTCAGCAATATCGGGTTATGTAAAGAAGAACCCCCACATCTCGGGCAATGTCTTCCATGACATTGGGTTTCAGTGGCATGTCCATGTACACTGTACCAATGATGTAGCATAGCTGAGAAGGTTCAACCTCAAGAACGCGAGGTACGAATGAGGGATTTCCTAAGATCAGCTTCTTCATTGAGGAGCCTTGAACACAACGCTTTGAGACGACGTACCAGGAAGTTTCATCCATCGTTTAATCGCAGCTTTCTGGACAAATCCTCTCAGCGCACGTAGTCGAAGAAAGTAAATGTTGGAGTATTGGAATTTGTAGGTTTTGTTCTTCGAATCAATAATGAAAGAAGGGGTTTGTGGGCTTGGAGCTATCACTGTCGTCGTGGCTCGCGCTAGCTGTGTATCTGGAATTGGTCTGAGAGGTCTACATTGTCAAGAGAGCCGCAATCGCAAAGGACATAAACTGACAAAGGCGCAAGACTGGCCATTTGAAAGACAGGTAGTGGTAAAAGAAAAAAGCGCGTTGTTGTCTTCTGTTGACGCGACCATGTCCCTTGCGTCTCATACGGCCCTTTCGTCCTCTCAAAAAGCGTTGTTGAAACGAGGTTTATTCTCTTCCAACGCCCTTCGAATATTCCCTGACATCTCACAGGAAAAATTGTAACAATATCGGATCTCATCCTTACGCCTGTTCAAGACATTTCGCGAAGATGCAGGGTCTCTCCGTTGGAGATAAATGCCATTGTGGACACAGTATGCCGAGCACACCCCATACGTGCATCTACACTAGACGATCTCCTCTCGCCTCCCAACTTGTTCGGCATATGTACATCCGGAGATGCTTGTCTAGATGCTGTCGTCGGTGGCGGCTTCCGCACAGGAATGATTTGGGAAGTAGTCGGTGAAAGGTTTCTCCTGTATAACCCATTACTGAAGAAATTTTTACTGAAATAACCCTTCAGCGCAGCTGGGAAGACCCAACTGGCGTTACGAATGAGCTTGCTTGTGCAGCTATCGAACGAATTTGGTGGCCTCGCTGGCTCAGCGTGCTACTTGTTAACTTCGGGCAAGCTCCCAACCTCCCGCATTATGCAGATTTCCCAACACCATCCTTTGCTTGCTTCTTCTGGACAATGTAGCCTTGATCATATACATACCATGTCTGTTCCTAGCATCGACTTTCTGGTTCACGCTCTGTCCTCGCTTCTTCCGGACTTCATCAAGCTCAAGTTGGAACAAAACAGGTCTGACTCTACCATCTTGCCAGTCCGATTAGTGGTGATAGACGCACTCGGAGAGCTTTTTCACTCTTCAGGCAAAACTTCAACTCAAACTTTGGTCCAACGTGCTCAGAATGTCACGGAGATATCCGCACATCTACACTCTGTTGCTAGCAAATTTGGCATCGTCGTTATTGTCCTGAATGAAGTCGTAGATGCATTCGACCGAGAGCCAGATAACGAAGAAACTCCTACTACTGGTCTCTCCTACGCAGAACAATCGAAGTGGTTCGCCAGAGCACACAGTCTACCCGGAGAAAATCGAAAAGAGGCTAGTTTGGGCCTGGTATGGGCAAATCAGGTCAACGCTCGTATAATGATGTCTCGGACTGGACGAAGAAGATATACAAATTTTGGCCAGTCGGCAACGCAAAAACGTCAAAAAACGAGCAACGGACATCATACAGGAAATACTCCTACTGAAGATCCCGAACGTCTCGAGTTAGTCCGTCGTCTAAGCATTGTGTTCAGTTCGGTTTCTGACCCTGGGTCGCTGGATTACGTTGTGGATTCTGCTGGAATCACTGTCCTGCAGGAAGAAGAACAAGGGTCTTCAAGGAAAACAACGGCAAACGAGCCTACCGCCTTGCCATCTGTCGCCCTTCCACCTACAATGTCTAGTTCACAGATTGCCCCGCTGGATGCAGGCGTTGTTGAAAGCGAGACTGCAGTGCGTATTGACCTACCTCCTGAGCCAAACGGGGCACCGGATGATGAAGACGAATGGGAGGCCTTTTGGGAAAAGGACGAGATAACGGAAGAAATGTACCTTGCAGCATCTTCGAACCCAGACAAGTAGTGCAATATTTATGAGGATATTTATTGCCGTACCGTACGCGATTTGTGTTGTTTGCAATGTTTGAGCCTCTGGGGGATTTAACTTACAACATACTCACTCTGCTATTCTTAATTGACTTATACAATCAAGATTGGGTCTCTTTGTTGGTTGAAGTGGATGCAGTACATTGTTCGAGATTTATCTACGAAACTTTGATGATTGAATTATCCTCTCTTATACTGAACATAGAGAGGAACATCCACCCAACCCTCCCCAACCTCCGCTGGTTGGACCTTTTGAGGGGGAGGCATGTCTTCGTAAAAGACGGTGACTTTCGGATTCCAATGCTTCAGTGGGATGTTGAAGTCAGTGAAAGGATCATGCAGTGGCTGAGGCACTTGGTCTACGGGACGCCCAATCCTGGTGAAATGAAAGGTAGCTACGTTTCCAGCTGCAGCTGAGGAATTCATCAGAGCTTTATTCGCAAGAGGGTAGTCTGTTGTACATACCCGAAAGCGCTGTCAAGAATGAGATAGTGATCAAAAACTGAGATGCATGACAAGATTTGGGTTCGAGGGCTGAGAAATCTCGACACATGCGTCCCTTCTGAATGCGAATTATGAATAAGGTAGCACTGCCTGTAACGACGTTTGTTAGAGACTATTTGACGCAAAGTAAGAAGAACGTACAAAGAGCAAATGCGATCAACGCCGTGTAAACTACATAATTTCGTAGTTTGACTGTCTCAAACATTCGGTCCTTGAGACGATGAAAGAGATGAAATGCGATGATAATGAGAGAGAACCAGTTCGGAATCTGGAATAGAGCTTCCCAAACTGGCGAAGGGTGAATTTCTAAAGTTGAAAGATCATAAAAAATGACAACATACCCGTCCCTGAGCCCAGCGCAAGGGAAAGAAGAAGTAGGATCATGACAACAGCATTGTTGAGAGCGATGAACACTACAGACTGATGAGCGAAAGAAAATCCCAATTATTCATCTGAACTTGCCGAATAAAATACCTCGAGAGAGACTGAGGCGATGCATATTGCGTTGCTTTAGTTTATGTTTTCTCTTCTCGTTCACATAATATTCCTCTTTCTCTCCCGGCTTCAGAAAAAGCTTGGGTTGAGGCCTAAGGGGAATATAGATAGCTGGTGGCATCTTGATTCTTTGTGACGCTCGTTTAGCCCGTTCTGCTTGTTCGCGAGTCTTATAGACATGATTTGGGCCGTGTTTAGGGATACGCTGCATATCGATAGCGTGCGCCATGGGAATGAAAATGGGAGAGAAGAGAGTGAGTGGGGAAAAGGAAAGTGATGTCAATTGAAGGGAGCGAGTGGGGGGGTTCGAGATCGGAAGATACTGAAGCAAATGGGTGTTTGAGTGCCGTTGCGAAGCCCGAAAGACCAGCGGTCGGTTTGGAAACGACAAAGTAGGGGTGGTCAGAGCTTCATTGAAGACCGTCATCTTATACACCGGTTGACCCCTTCGTCTCACGATCTGTGGAAGTTGGACTATGCCATTGCTACCTGTTTATGGTGATATCAAGTGATGGGCCAAGCTTTGAAAAAAATATATTGACCCTGGCGTAGAAGTCTGAAAGCGGACAATAATAGCTCAATGTGTCCATTGTTCATTCTTGGACTTTGAAGGCGAGTTTCTCGCACTGCGGGGATGAGCCCATTTTCTCACCCCGAAAAGGCTGAGATTATTGTGGGCTTTTGTACAAAATTCTCCAAATATGTGCATAGAGAATATTTTGAATAGGTCCATAATTATATTTAGCAGAATATAAGGCTCATATGCAGCAATTTTTGAGAATAATCACAACAAAATATTGGCCTGATTATTGAAAATAATTGCAAAATAACTGCCATGAGTATAACATGAGGTTTTTCAAAATAAGCTCTGCAAGGAAATTCTTTCTTTTGCAGATCTAAGGATAATCTCAGCGAGGTTATGCTGAACAAAGACTTTCCTTGCAGAGCTTATTTTGAAAAACCTCATGTTATACTCATGGCAGTTATTTTGCAATTATTTTCAATAATCAGGCCAATATTTTGTTGTGATTATTCTCAAAAATTGCTGCATATGAGCCTTATATTCTGCTAAATATAATTATGGACCTATTCAAAATATTCTCTATGCACATATTTGGAGAATTTTGTACAAAAGCCCACAATAATCTCAGCCTTTTCGGGGTGAGAAAATGGGCTCATCCCCGCAGTGTCGGAAGATCAGGATGAGTTATATGGGACATTGCGAGTGAAGGAGACCTTTTGACTCCTCTTGAGCGATACATAGTCACTTTTCTCCGAACCTCTAGAGTCACTCAAGGAGCCATTCTTTCCCTCCTCCCCATCTTCTTTTATACTAAACTAATTGATTTGAGTTTGGTTGGACGCAAGGAATGTAGATGTATGATTTTACCAGGACTTTTTGTGCACGTCGCCAGCGACTACAGTATCACAATAGTTTGCAAGCACCGTCGAAATCAGCTATATATGAAAAACGAGAACATCAGTCGAGAGCAAGGGGTAGTAATAGGATCGATGGTCAAATTGTGGTCAAAGCATTCGGGATATCCGCAAAGACCCGCAAGTAGAACTGTTCTTCGATGACTGCTTTTGACTGTGCTAGACCTTTGGTCTTTCACCATGTTTGAATATATTGCTAAATTGCTGCCAGATTGCAGCCATAGTACCGTGTTTCGTTCGAGAATCGAGAAAATCAAATGATAGCGGAACTCAAAAGTACTTCCGATCCGCTACATAGTATCTGCAGTACTTAGTCAACCGCTTTCACATCATGAGAATCTGCCATAGATCCAAGAAGCTGATTAGTATTGGTACATTGCATTCGTACTGAGGAAACCATAGTAATATACAAAGGGTAGCAAGCCAACATCCCAAGTGAAACGCGGAGGTTGCACCAGAGGGGCTAAGTAAGAGGAAGATGGATATAAAATGAGTGAAGCCGAGGTCTGAGTCTAACGTTCAGCAATACGACTTGTGTGCAAGCCAGATCATGCATCCATCGGCAGCTCCACCCAACCCTCTGACCCAAACGTATTCTCTCCAGAATAACTGACATACAGGAAATTGTCCTCATCCCTAGAACGCCGATGAACGATGGAAAGGAATACAAAGTGGTCACGCTTACTTGTGCTCCTCGTATATCGCACTCATAAGCGCGGCGGTAGGTGGCAATACCTCATCCACAAAGATGAAGATAGCCTTCTCAGGTGCGAGCTTGATTCGTTTCCGGATAACATAGACGAACTGCCCCACAGTAAGATCCTTGATTACAGTCAATGACATAGTCACGTTAGACAATGGCAGTTTCACTCACCGATGGTACTAAATACTTCTTCTTATCGATAGTCGGGATATCCGTTCTATCTGCTTTCTCGCAGATTACCTAGTGCATGCCACATTGAGCCACGTAACATAGAGCAGAAATCCAGCGACACTGACAGGAATACGATCTGGATACTTCTGTCGAATACGCTCTGCCTCTGCCTTGCGTTTTTCTGGGAAAGAATACGAGGTAGGTATGGATGCACGAAACTTGCAGTAAGAATTAGAAACCGACCGAAAGGGTGCTCGTCCTTGAACTTTGACCTCATCGTAGCAGTATAGAGAATCTAATTCGAAGATGAAGAGTTGGATTGGTAGAGACGTTGACGGGTTAAAAGTATGTAGTGGTGGTGGTCCAAGATGAACAAGCGTTTATAACACGAGTTGCAAATCAACACACTCGTAAACAAAGTCGTTGACGACTCATTGAAACTCATAACGCGCTGTCTGGCTCTGGCCCGTAATTCGCCAAATATCGACTATTCAGCTTGTTGGCTACCGAATACAGTAAGATATGCTTGCTTGCTACTACACTACAACCATACTGGAAAACAGTCCAAATTACATACAAAATTCAAAATAAATAGATTACTGTGACAAAAATGGTAGGCTACTATGATCTTCGATCTGCTCCCATTCCAGCAGCCATTCCCATTGCCATCGCTGACCCCATCTGCGCACCCGGGCCGTCTGATGGTACAAAGACTGTCTTTGCACCATAAGCCCGCACTTTGGTGACTTCCATCCGACGCAACTCCATCTCACGGGCAAACTGATCGCTGACCTGGGCGTCTGCAGCAGCCTTGATTCGAATTGCTTCCGCGTCTGCTTGAGCAGCCAGTCTAGTAGCTTCTGCTTGAGCTTCTGCTTCAATCCTTGTACGCTGAGCTTGAGCCTTTGCCGCCGCGACAACGCTGTACGCCTCCGAATCGGCCTGTGTGTTGCGTGCCTGCGCCTTGATTCGTGCCACCGATAGTGCACCTTCTTCTTGTTTCACTTTGTTACTATTTTCTCGGTCAACGTTCTACACCATACAGCGCGTCAGATAACAACGTTTCGCGGAAGAAGCTTCAATCATAAAATGAACATACAGCAGCTTCTACCTGAGCTTGGAGTGCTCGCGTTGTAAGCTTATCCATTGTCGAGGCTGTACAGAATGCTTAACGTTCGACCTCAAACGGAAAAGTGATATGAACATACCGATTTCACCTTTGAACTGGCGGTCGATGACAGCTGATAAATCGAAGATGAATTCCAAATTTCTTTCGAAAGTGGAAACGCAGCCGTACCGAGATCCTTGAGGACAATACCATAATCAAGGGCAGCTTCATGCATCTCATCCATAGCACGAGTTCTGAGCGCATCCAAAAAAGCCGAAGATGGATCCGTCCCATCTTCCATGTTATCAGGACCGATTGAACGTTGCTTGACCTGAGTATAGAAGTAGTGGGTCGCAAAATCACACAAAAGAGAAAACGTGAACCAACCATGGCAGAGTAGTCGAGGTGAGCTACTATTTGAGTAAGGATAGATTGTGTTTTGTCCCTCAGTGCGTCGTAAGGCGTATTGTATCCGTGTGTTGTCAGTTTCAGCGGCTCAGTGAGTTGCCATTTTAGATAAATGGTCAAGCTGACTGGGACTTGATCGCGGGTAAATCTGTAGAAAAGACCATGAGATATGTCAAGCGAGTTCCAAACAGATGAACCACTTGCATATCCTTCGTTGGCATCTCGATTTGATTTTCACCGAGGGTGTAAAGACCACGGAGAGTAACACTCGGGTTCGTAATCACAGATTGACCAGCTCCTAAAAGCTCCAGATCGTCTCCCCTTTGCAGGATAGCACAATTATTAGCAGGAATATTGAGGCTTGAAATGGCATGAACAATCTTGATGATTCAATACGGTAATGCAGGTGACTCACAATGTTGCTACAACGTATTCTTTGACTTCTTGAGCATTGGTTTTACTCTTCATTGTAACCTCGTGGGTCCATCCAAGTGTAGACTTGGTGATCTTATCCTTTACACTCTGCGAAAGATGGGTTTGATCGACAATCGAGAGAACGTCGTAAGTTCCCTCAATAGCAAAACACACAAATCCAGCGTTCTTTATCACAAATATGTGATTTTGAGGATCCGATATGACTGCTGCTTGATTTTGAGAGACTTGGACCACCGTCAGGCCCAGAAATTCGATGACGGTGTCGGAAACTAATGTAGTGTCACTGCATATTATGGACGCAGAAAGCAAAGTTCACTTACGTCCTTTCTTTCCTTCAAAAGATCTTGCCCACCAATTACGCAGCGGAAAGCCGGGATAGCGACCAGGACGTGTCAATATCTTGGGAGAGCCTCCGTGATTAATCAATCCGAGTTGACCAGGAGTGATTTCTGACCCAATCCAATCGGTAGGAACCTAGCAAAGCATCAAAACGGAGAAGATATGTTTTGGGAAGGTCACATACCTTCTTCGAAAGTAATTTGGGCCTCCCAGACTATTTGAAAAAAATCAGATAATTGCGTCTGCTGTAAGTGATACTCGTAGATACACACCTCAGCTAGTTGTCTATCAAGTTTCTGAAGCGCAGCGATCAAACCGTCTTTGCCTATGCGCACGAAAAATGGCCTTTCTTCAAGCTCAGTTTCAATGCTGTTCACAAAGGGATGTCCAACTCGTTTCTTCGGGGAAACTGGATTTGGTAAGAGGTCATCGTTGACCTTGGGCTTGGACTTCAAAAAGTCCTGCTGGTCGCGCGAGTCATCGCCGACAACGGTAGATCCATCAGCATAATTCGACATGTTGGTTAAGTTCGGCATCAGAATTTCCGTCGTTTCTGTCTTTTTATAATCCTGGAGTCAGGGAAGTCTGACAACGGGATGGTCATAAGGTCCAAGAATTTTGCACTGCAATTTGGCAACGGTTTTGTCACGCTGTTGAATTAATTCTGCAATTGGGAGAAAAGCTGTTGTACATAACTTGTCGGGCCAAGTCTGCCTGTGTCGGGTTGTTGATAAAACTCGAAATGCTGTATGAATTTATGAAATTGAATTTCTTCAGTATCCGGGCCGATTGTCGAGACATGAATTCTGAGTTTCAGACGTGGCAAATTCTATTTTCGACACTTCCATGCAGTTGCCGTGGTTGTTGCTGCTGTCCATCGCGTCAGTGGCATTTTCTTCACCAGTGAATGATACTTTTTTATGGGGCAGCTATCGCCCAAACCTATACTTTGGTATTCGCCCGAGAATTCCCCAGTCACTCTTGACAGGTCTTATGTGGTTTGGGACCCAGGATTACGCCTCCATAAGTCGTAAGCATCGCGTTCGTTCTTCACAACTACTTGCTTACATCTGTGGAACTCAGAAACGCGTCACGCCTGCGATCAAGGTGATCAACTTCAGTCCTACACCTGGACAAAATATGATCCTCGGGAAGGAGGTGTACAAGTCATTAAGGACGCTAGGAACAATGTCCAGCTTACGACCGAATTCTTGAAGGTTCCTGGTGGAGACCATGGAGGCAACTGGGCTGCAAGGATTAAAGGCGAACCTCTGGATCCATGTATGCAATCTAAACCATATGCCAGTTTCCAATGTTGAAACTCGATATAGTACAACCCTCAAGGATTTCCACAATCTTCTATCTTGGAATGGAAGGTCTCGGTGGAATCGACATGGATACAGACGAGGAAGACAATGTACGCAACCAATTGCTTCAAAGTCAATCTCCACGTTGATTCACACGTCTGCAGGGCTTGCAGGGTGACATCAAGTTTACTGGGTCCTCACCGGAACTGGACGACTTTAGTATCCGCATAGTTGATGGTTTGTTTATCCTGAGCTCTCCGCATGTCACTTCCGTCGATACGATTGCGTTTTTGAAGGTCCAAGCAATACTGCAGTCACTAGCGGTCCCCACTCTGAGGTATTCAAGGATAGAATCGGCAAGAGTCACTTCATGGGTCAACCAGTTCCTGCCGGAAACATATGGCAAGCTAAAGGTTTGAACCTCTCATGATATATATGGTTCCACAACAAGCTGACTAGCATCCTTTGTGTAGAATTCATCTTACAGAGCTTGATGAAAAGAGCACAGGAAGTCATTGCTCCATACCGAGATCCTGCGGCGGGGATTCCCGACCCGTCTTTTGTGCTTCAGCTGCCGGATGAGATTTATTCTGGTAGTAATCTTTATGCTGTTCAAAAGTTTTTTGACGGTGAATTTCAGTTTGACGTCTTTTATGAAAGCGCAAGCTCCAGACAGACGCTGAGCTGTGAGCCCTGAAATATATCACTTCTTTCATGATGATCTCACAATTTTACAGCTTCCACTCTTGACGAGGGTATTACTGCTCTTTCTACTTCTTTTGACCAGCGTTTCAATAAGGTCTTTCCAACACCCTCCGATTATTCTTCAAAGAGCAACAAGGATGCTCTCGAGACGTTCTCACAAGCAATTACATCGAACCTCATTGGTGGTGTTGGTTATTTCTATGGCAATTCAATCATCAACGAGAAATTCTCGTACGAATGGGACGAAGATGACGAAGCTGAGGATAGATCGGCCAGTGATGAGAAAGGCCCGAGATTGACTGAACCGAAAAAGTTGCTCACAGCAACACCGAGTAGAAGTTTTTTCCCCCGTGGATTTTATTGGTATGTAGGCGGGGCAACATTTTAGACCACTTACTGCATTTATGTCCTCTTTCAGGGACGAGGGCTTCCATCTGCTACACATTGGAGCATGGGACAATGACTTTGGGTGAGTATCTCTTCCCCGTTGCGTTGCGTTGGAGGATAATGTCTATCACAGCCTCGAAATTTTGAAGGACTGGATTGACCTCATTGACGATAATGGTTGGGTTGCCCGAGAACAAATTCTTGGAGAAGAGGCTCGAAGCAAAGTAAATCTCTCATCTTTCATCTCCTCGTGTATAGCGATCTTATATTCCACGCAGGTCCCTGCAGAATTCCTGACTCAAGTCCCCAATTACGCCAACCCACCAACACTCACTGTTGCTGTCACAGCTTTCATCAACCGAGTCAAAATTGCCTCCCTCGGCCCCTCAGACGCAGACCTTGGCATGGATTTTGGCATGGGCAGTTCCCAGACCCCTTTAACTGAAGTTAAAACCGAACCTGGCAACCGGTCTTTGGATCCGGAGGTCGCGACTGCCTTCTTGAAGGGCATATACAAACCGCTCAAAAGACATTACGACTGGTTCCGCCGCACTCAACGTGGACAAATAAAGCAGTATGGTCGCAAGGCTAGATCAAGGACCGAAGCCTACCGCTGGAGGGGAAGGTCTGATAAACATGTGCTGACGAGTGGAATGGACGACTACCCAAGAGGACCTCCTCATGCTGGGGAATTACATTTGGATCTTATATCATGGATGGCACTATTCTCGAGGACAATGAGAGAAATTGCAGAGTTTATCGGAGAGAATGATGATGCGATCTCTTATGGTGAGATCGAGAAAGCCATACTTGACAACATCGAAGGTGAGCTGGCCTTCTCCCGTTCTATTGGAATCATGGGCTGGAGCTCATTATTAGATTTGCATTGGAACGAGGAACAACAGATGTACTGCGATGCTAACGTCGACGATGATGGTGAGTTGACAAGCTCATCTTTTTGTATCTATCACACGGATTCAGATTGCACGGTCGGACTTTCAGATGAATCCTATCATGTATGCAACAAGGGTTATCTGTCTCTATTCCCATTCATGCTCTCCCTCTTGTCTCCGGATTCGCCTCATCTGGGCGCTATCCTTGACGTGGTTCGAGATCCGGAGCAGCTGTGGTCAGATTACGGGCTGCGTAGCTTGTCTGCTTCCCATCCAGAGTATGGAACTGGCGAAAATTACTGGAAAGGTCCTATCTGGGTTCAAATGAATTATTTGGTCCTTGGGGCGCTACATAACAGATACGCAGTCGAGGAAGGACCTTATAAACTAAGAGCCCAGGAGATCTACCGCGAGTTGAGGAAGAATATCATTGACAATGTGTTTAAGGTAACTGTTCAATTATCGAGTTGTCAGATTTTCGCTGAACCCTCTTGTAAGGAATACGAGCGTACAGGGTACGTTTGGGAACAATATGACCCCAATACCGGTTATGGTCAGCGCAGGTGAGATTCGTCTCTTCTGTATTTTGTTCATGATTTAACAAGGTCATCTTGAAGTCATCCGTTCACAGGATGGACATCATTAGTTACATTAAGTGAGTTGCTTTCATTCTTATCCGATTTATTGTGACCTGAAATTGCACTTATAGTTCTCACTGAAAAGTACTGACATGAAGACAAGATATCACTTCATATTTTGTAGTAATTTATGTGTGTGAATACCTTGCAGACTCGATGCCTTGATTCTTTTCAAATGCACGGAGGGTATGTACTTCGGAAATGTATGGAGATGATGTGCAGCAGTTATATGCTAAATCCTGAACTTCAATGCAAATCCCGTAAAGTGGTACTTGATGCGGCCAAGGTGTGAATATGGGTGTATACGTAGGGCAATTGTAGGACATGATGAAAGTTGAAAGGGTGTAGAAAAGGGTCATAAAACATCAGAAATTAGGGGAAAAAAGAAGAGACTAGAATCGACCGGCATCAAAAGATAATTCATCAAAATGTAGGGAATCCAAGCGTATCTCGCCGAAACTTAGGTCTGGTTCTCCAATTTCACCTAAGGCTACCGGTGAATTTGGGGCGATAGGCTCAATCACAAGTGGGGTTGTCTCCTTCTTTCTAGGACTTCTACTGAAAGACGGCAGTCTCTTCAGCATGGAGATAGACGGGCGATTTGGAAGAGGGTCAGGGAAAGCTTCATCAACAGGAGTCGTGGGACCTGATGAAGAGGAAGATTCGGTGGAGTCCGTTCGAGAAGGACCAAGTGAATCCCGAGACAAGCTATCAAGGGTTGGAATAGAAGGAGAGGTGGGAGTGGATGAACCTGCATCAGAGCGCTCCGAGTCCTTCGAAGCGGTAAATAGACTAAGTACAGAGAAACGGCGGCGGTTAAGTCTGGGAACAGATGAGGGGACGACAGACGGGTGGAGGGCAGGAGAAGGACAATGACGACGAGGCGCGCGCGGAGTGGTCTCCATGTCATCCTCTCCCTCACCATCGTCGTCTGTGTCTGGATATGGGACAAAGCCCTGCATTTCAGCTGAAGACGGTGAATGCAGCTCGACGTCAAAGGCTTCCGGAGTTGAAGCCTCAGTAACCGATGATGGGGGACTCTCATTGAATGAGTCGAAGGAAGAGCGGGATTCGAGGGAAGGCGAATGACTAAATAATGAGAAAATCATGGAACCTCGTCGGGACGGAGTAGGACTAGGCGCTCGTGAAGTTTCTGCATCGGAAGTGACAACTTCTGGAATTATTCTACTGCGGGATACAGAGCGACCGACATTTTTAAGAGAGTTGAATGCTCTAGACGCCCGAGACTTGAGGGACTTGGAAGATTTAGCGGCGGTTTCAGAAACGGAAGGTAACTGATTCTCGCGTTCATCCTGGGTATGTCGTCTGACTTTAATGACTTCAATAATTTCCGAGTCGTTTCCTGGAGAGTTTCCATCTCGAATAGTGATATCCGGGTCCTGATAATCCTGTTCACCTCGTACTTCCTCTATCGACCGACCGTCGCTCCTCCGAGGCATGACAACGCCATTGGTGTGACCACCACGATGAAATATAGGTGATTTATTGGAAAGCTGTCGTGATATGATTTCTAGAGCTGATCCTGTGGCCTCAAGGTCTTCTTCGGTAGGAATATAGCGCTCTCGCGGATATGTAGCGTCAAAGCAGCAGAACGGGGGATCATTGTCTTCTTCCGGTGGTATAACAAAAACATTGGGCATTACAAGGGCAGTCATAACTGCCTGGAGAGAGAAAATGAGCGGCGGGCTAGTAAAGAGCGTGTTAGTCAATGGACGTTTGGTTCAAGTGCAACTGTTTCTTATTTAGGCAGTCGATACGGCATGGCCGGGGTGTTACCCACAATCGGTAAAGTCAAAGCAAGGCTTATCGACCGAAAATTGAAATACTGGGACAGGATGCATCCCATCGGTCCTGGGCCCGCAATTAATTAAGTATGGTTCGCTCTAAGTATGCATAAGCAGTCCAACGATGACCACTATAATAAAACTGAGTACCACGGTACATCTAATATATACAACATAAAATATAAGTTAGGAGTACAACCAAATGAATCTACAGTATCAATGACTAGATTATGAAAGTACATACAAAAGTTACAAGGGTGAATGCTGTAGTGTAAATGTATCTGCACGGGCGAAACGCCCCCCAAAAAACTTGGCTAACCACTGAAACTCCATATCTTGACATCGCAATCATCGCTGCCAGAAATGATCTTGTCTTCCCCAAGAGAAACACAGCTCACAGCAGCAGTGTGTCCTACAAGAGTGGATACGCAGCGCCCTTCGTCACGATTCCAGACCTATGAGAGGATGAGATTAATCTTGAAGGGGAGGAGTTCTGGAATTCTTACCTTGATTGTACGGTCATGACTGCCACTTACAAGCCTCATCTTGTTGACAGAGACGCTCCATACACCTTCAATATGCCCGAAAAACGTTTGGATAGGCTGGGCAGTTTCGATATCCCAGATCTTGGTGGTGTTATCAAGACTGCCCGAAACGAGTAATGGTTTCTTGGTTCTGGATACTGTTGATGCCACCGGTCGTGAAGCTAAACTTTGATCTGATACAAAACTACTCGAGGAAGTAGATGCCAGGGACGGGGAAGAAGAGTCAAGGGCGACGACGTGGTTGAGTGTGCGTTCCTCTTGATCAAGGTCGGCGATTTCAACATCCGCCGGTTCATCGCATTCATCTGCCAGAAGCAGTTTGATACTCTGAACCTGACCGACATGTCCCGTAAACTGTTTGATACATGTACGAAGAGTAAGATCCCATAATCGGATCGTTCCGTCGTCGGAAGCGGAAAAAAGCATTTTGCCGGGGTCGATCTGAGGTGCCCCACAACCAGGTACATCGAATACTGGGGTGGTTGACGAAGCCGAGGACTGACCGGTCTTTAAAGAATCCCACAATTGAACCGAGTTCACCCAATCCTGATGTCCTCGCAGAGTAAAAGCACCTCCTGTGCGAAGATTCCATACCTTAATGGTGGCATCAACGCTCCCGCTGGCTAGAACGTTTGAATCGAAATTAAGACAAACGACACCTTCGGTATGTCCCGTCAAAGTTCGAATACACCGACCTCGCCGCCAGTCCCACACCTTGAGAGTCATATCCATGCTCCCAGTGATCAACTTAACATCATCAAACTGTAAAGCTCGGATGGCCCTCGTATGTCCTTTCAGACAATGTAATTCGACGCCAGTTTCTAGGTTCCAAACTCGGACGGTGCGGTCATAGGATCCAGTGATGAGAACAGGAAATGAGGGGTGTGTCAACGTTTCGCTGTATTGGAGACACATAACACCATCTGTGTGTCCTTTAAGTGTACGAACAGTACAGCGACCTCGACGCCAATTTCTTTCTATAGTCATTCGTTCACTATAGACATCCTTCCAAGGTCGGGTGGTCGCAGCGGGCTTGGTGTCGGTGAGAGCAAGAAGCGACGAGGAGGATGAGGAGGATTCAAGATCAGGGTTAATGTCAGATGAAGGATGGAGTACGTCCGATCGCTGCCGCTTCAACGGAGGCGCGACTAGATCCGTCGAATCTTCCAAGGACCGTTTTAAGGAAGGCAGGTCAGGAGAAGGGCAAGGCGACCCAGGCAAATGATAAATTTTCTTCTTTTCCAAAACTGGTAATCCCCAGCCACATTTATGGCATTTCTGACCGATGTGCTGCTCGCAGATGCCCCGCCATAAAATATCATCATCCGCAAAGCTCTTCCATTTCTTCGTCACCTGTGCAGCGCGACATAGGGAAGTAGCGTCAAGGTAGCTGAGCACTTTTAAGGAAAGCTCTCGAGGAAGGACAGTGAAAGGATCGATACGGATAAGATGCGCAAGCTGCTCCGTTAACAGTGACAGTTGCGAAAAGCAACACATAGTAAGGAGACCTTGTAGGATGAGAGCACGGCGTGGATGTGAAGAGGATGAAAAGCTGGACCAGATCGCATTAACAGCTTCCCGTTCCTCCAATGATAAGGCATCTAAAGACTGTGAGGAGTCAGTAAAAGGACAAGCGGAATCGAGTCGCGTGCGTACATGTTGAAGCTTTAGATTGGTCCCTTCGTCAGCCATCCGCTGGTGCCTCACACATAATTTTCTTCCTGGAGGCTGCTGAAGTGATGTTGAGGACAACCTTAAAGGTTCCTTGATGACAGAAGGCCTAGGGCTATCGGAAACGGGCCTTGAGAGCGTAGGCACCTCAAGTTTTTCATCGGCATAGCTGCTCATGATATTATCGGTGTCTCTGGACAATCTGGGTGCTGGAAGAGTATCACAGAGTGTTGAATTCGACGGTTTAGGCAAAGATGGCATGATATGTGTACGAAAGCGAAAAATGAATGTGAGAGACCCGACTGAAGAGGAACTGTGATAAATATATGAAGATGCTGTCTCGCCAAATATGGCGCCATCTTCATTCAATCCTTTGGCGCCCATCCGGATCGACATCTCTTCCAATTTGCACGAATCATTCGCAATCCACATTTCATGTTTGATGATTTAGAATAATTAGGTTTTGAAACATCATTTTTTTACATATGTATTTGCTCGTCATTCATTTCAAGATATAAAAAAACGAAATATGAAAAGACGGTCATCGAAAGAGAAAACCGGTAACGAATTATCCGCGCCTTGCAATGACTGTTGTGACGAGGGTCTGCACTCAGTCCAACGTTATCTTCATCTGCTCCAATGGTATAGGTACAAAGTTGTCCAGCACTATGTTCCGTGACGCCAGCTCTGGCTCGCAGTGCGAAGGCACAAGTCGTCGCATCAAGTCTGGTCGCACAGATAATTCTGCAAGTCATGAGCTTTGAATGAAAAAAATCAATTTTGGGTGGCATACCTTCACGAGTAAAGTTGAAGAGAGGAGGAAATTCTTTCCCGTTTGGCATCCTTGCTCCTTCAACCCGTAGCTCGTCAAAGAACGGGTGGACCATGGCCTCGACTGAGCTAAGCCGAGCCCCTGGTGTGTATTCTAAAAGTTTAGCAACCAAATCGATGGCCTCGGGAGGAGTACGTGGCCGGAATACCTATAAATTTATGAGTATGAGCAACATAGATAGATTTCATCCAGTAGGACAAACTCTTACTTTCGAGAACGGATGAGGCTTGATTTGTGGGAACTTGTGCTCCATGTAATTGGGGTTCATCGTCTTGATCTGCTCCCTTGACGGTGTGCCCAAAATCTTGATGATTTCCACTAGCTGGTCGATACCACTTTCCCCAGGAAACAAGGGTTGGCCGAGCATCAACTCTGCCATCACACAACCGGTAGACCAAATGTCTAAAAGAGAACTAGTGAGAAATCATTCCAAAAGCGGCGACACATGGGTGACATACCGATGTTGGTGGTATAGTTGGTCGCACCGAAAATAAGTTCGGGAGCTCGATAGTATCTTGAACAGATGTAACTGACATTAGGCTCGCCAGCGACAAGTATCTTGGCGGATCCAAAATCACAAAGCTTGAGAACTCCAGTGGCCGGATTGAGTAGCAAATTCTGAGGTTTGATATCTCGGTGGCATATGCCGACCGAATGAATGTAGGCAAGAGAACGGAGGAGTTGATACATGTACAATTTGATTTGGAGCATGGGCATTGGTTGCTTCAGCTTCGTGTAGTGGCGACTAGCACGATATACAGTTTCGGGAACGTATTCGAGCATGAGATTGAGATAAACTTCGTCCTTCTAAAGAATAGAGTTTCTCCAACTTCAGATCCGAGCAATGCTGTCAAAAATACCGAATTGACTCACTTTTTCACCATTGGTGTAGAAAAAGGCGCGGAGGTCAACGACATTAGGATGCGAAACAAGTCGCATGATTTGAAGTTCACGGTTCTGCAAAGGAACGGGAATGAAGACAAGTCGTACGAATGTTGAGAAGACACACCTTGAACCTCTTATCCTGCAGAACTTTCTTGATAGCAATATCCTCTCCCTCTTTGGGTGCGGGAACTATCTTGGCCTGGAAAACGACTCCAAAGGAGCCATTGCCGATGACTTTGCAATGGCTGTAGGATATCTCCCGATGATCGCCCGTCTTTCCATCGGAGGCTACGACCTTTACGACCTTCGTAGGATCATCAATGGCTATTATACGTGCAGGTGAGCGAACAGCGATATGCGGAGACAGATAGAAAATCAAACGTGAAAATTTTTGGAGCGAAGGAAAGTCAAATAAACTTTATGTGAATGGGTGAAGAAAGCAGAGAAACATACGTGATATTTTGACACCATTTATGGGCCCATGCGTCGACATTGCAAGACAGAATTTGAGAAGATGATGGTTATGGAGAGAGAATAAGTCCAATCAGGAGGCAAGGGTCGGAACCAGACGGAGCGCAGTAATGCGGGGAAAATGGGCAAATCTCAAAATCCACAACAAGTTGGGCTCGTAAGGAGTCGAATGGTGGAAAAAGGGCAAAAGATATGGTCTGAAGTAATAAGGAGGGTAGCAGAAGGAGAAGGAGCGATTCAACCTGTAACCTCTCTGCGCACAGGATTGGCTATGAATCATGTGTCCCTTCACGTAATACTCCATCAATTCCATTTCCATTCCCCACCTTCGGTTATTGATTCAGATTGTCGGATACCAACAGCAGCCAACAGCCCACTAAAATCACATTTTACTGTCGTTCGATAGCCTGAAGATTGCTTTATTCGACACTGGTCTCGACCTTCAAACGGTCTCGGCCGTTCACCTTAAATATATCTGCCATTGTTGTCAAGGCTCGTAATCTCGTCCTCTATCAGCCTCTATCTTGGCCTCCATTCGTGGTAGAGCTCAGAACCTATCAAGATCTCAGGACTACTATCTAACAAGTCTCAGCCTGTCATTTAGTTTTTCGGAACCAAGATGCTTGTACACGAAAAAGAATCTTGCTTGTATTGTTTGACCGAGCACCCACAGATTTCAAAGATGTCAAAGGTCAAAGAGTTTGACCCTTCACTTCAAGATTGGCGAGTGCGTATCTGTGCGTATTCCCTCGTATTCTTCCGCGTTCCGTTCGGCCAACACAGCGGATGACATCAATTTAGTGGTCAAAATCCTTTTGACGCCGCGCCTTCGCAATATTCAGTTTGCTTAGCACCTTCTCTCTCGCCCTCGATCCTTCTGAGCAGTATTGGTGTGCGACGCCCGGTGCAATCTGATCTGAAAAGACGGTGCACCCTTCCGTCATACCTGGTCATTCCCTCACTGACTTTAACCAGCTTTAACCCTCCTCTTTCTAGCAGTAACTGCCAGTGCGCACATGTAATTGTAAATTTACCTCTCGAGTCATTTTGCCTCTTAATTGCACTTCGTTCAGAGTTTGAAATAACCTTTCACCTAGTCCCGGCTGCGCGATGGCTCCTTGCTCTCAATTTCGCATGAACTCAAGCCCAATGAGTGCGTGCGATTCATTAGACAGACTCTTCTTTCGCGCAAACCGATGGAGCAGCAACTGCAGTCAATCTTCGTGGATGATAAACAGAGTCAGGGGTGGGTGACAATATCGAAGCCTTCATGCAAGGCCGCTTGTAGCTCATTGTTTGTGGCTTTGTTAAGTATACTATACCTCTTGTTTGCATCCTATCTCTCTTGAACATTGCGCAAATGCCGATTATCACGAAGAATGGGTGCTACATTCGACAGACGATCGTAGTCATTTTTTGGGTGCGTTCAAAGATGAGCTGCATGGGCTTCGCACAATAATTGCTCATTAATACAGCACTTCAAGTCATCAACCCGTGATGGTATACCACTTCAGACCACTTCGTGCTCGAGGTGCGTCTGGCAGATCGCCCTCCAAATCAATTCAAATCATGTAGGTGCTCCAAGCGAGCTCACTGGCTGATATACAACTCTTCTGGGGACCACGAGGATCAATGGGGATCACCGTCTCCTAGAAGGCGAATATGTTCCGCGGAGATGAACATAAAGTAACAACTGGAATAAATTGAAAAGTTTACTTATGTATATATAACAGCCCTTCGCTCCATCGAATTTGGAACAGATAAGTTGGTATAGGTTGAATATGCTTTTATCGATGGAAAGATTGATGCAGTTTGTGTACGATGCTCGGGAGGAATGAGCGAGGAGTTTCCGTTTCATAATGGACATGGGTTCGGAGGAAGGCGAATCGGCGGCCACTTGCAATCTCACAAATTACACTTACATGGAAAATACAAATCTTGGTTTGCTCGATTTGGTGCTTGTGTTTACAGTTCATCTCACTTCGAATGGATCGTCTGTCGTTCTGTTCATACCGTGTATGACGGGCTAAAAGACTCGGGAGGACTGGGATGATAATTTGGGAAATTCGAAAACCAGTAGTAGACCTTCGAATGATGGCTTCGTTCTTTTCGTTGTACCCTTCTACTGCATCGGCTTCTTTTGCACATTACTATTCTCTCGGGTTTCACTGCCGAGGTGGCTACTCCAAGATCATGTCGCTATTATGAACCAGGACAGGGACCACAAGTAGGTCTGTGTGACTTTCATTACAGATATCATCAGTATGCTTCTTTTTCTCTCAGAATTATATAAACCGCATATGCATGTCTTCTTTACAAACCTCACCAGTGCCCTACACCTTCTCTGAACCACCTTTGTCAATTGCACCATGACCTCTGCTGATTGTTCTTCTATCTTCCATGGGGATTGCACAAGCATCGTTGTCCCCGACCGGAATTCCCAGTCACACACTTGCAAAGAGTCTTGTCCTGTTGAAGAGAAAACGGAGACGGACGGTGGTAGTGGTCATGCCAGATATATTGGCTCTGGCGTGCATGAAGACCCTTACATTGTTGTCTGGGACGAAGAGGATCCAGAAAATCCATACAACTGGTCAAAGACGCGCAAGTGGATCATCACTATGCAGGTATGTCATCGTTGGAGATCCTTTATATTTCTCATGAGATTCTCACGTTGTATTCAAACATTCACTATTTATCAGTTGGCGTTGACCACTTTCACGGTGTCTTTCAGCAGTAGTTCGTACAGTGGCGGCTTGGAATACATCGTTCGCGACTTAAATGTATCGGATGAGTTAGCCGTATTGGGTATATCTTTATACGTGTTGGGATTCGCAGTTGGGTATGTGGTCGAAATATATTTGAGCAGATCACGCGCGAATTAATGTTACAGGCCACTTTTATTCGCACCAATGGGAGAGGTTCGTACGATTAGCGTTGGTTTTAGAGCGTGTCAATTAACGCTGTTTTTTTGGTCCCTCGCAGATGTACGGTCGGGTAAGCAACGATCACCGTTTCCAAGTGCTGCTGAAACTGAGGTAGTGACCGTTATCGTTTCTTTAGCGTATAGTGTTTTTGATCACTGTCGGGTTGTATACTCCTCTGCATATCGGGGGAGCTTTTGCTAGGAACATAATCACTGTCCTTATCGTGAGGTTACTCACTGGTATCTTTGGTGCTTCTCGTGAGTTTGATGTTTGTATTTAGGCATGTGGCATACTCAGTCATACTTCGGGTACAGCTTTGACCAATGCAGGAGGAGCAGTAGCAGATATATTTAATCCTCGTGAGAGGGGCCTTGCGTCTGCAATCTATGCTGCAGTACCATTCCTTGGTCCAGGTTGGCTAATCTGGGGTCTCACTGTGTTTTTAACTTTTTGATCTCTCCATTCCTTCAGTGATTGGTCCCATCGTTGGTGGCTTTGTAGCAGACTCTAGTCTCGGATGGCATTTCAATTTTTGGCTGATGTTACTTTTGGGTGCCATAAGCTTAATAATGGGGTATTTTCTGGCACCAGAAACGGTATGTTTTATTATAAATAGCGGACAACTCCTTATATTTTATTTCTTCGTCGCAGTATGCGCCGGTTCTCTTACGAAGGCGTGCCAAACACCTCATGCAACTTTCGAATGGAACGATCTCTTACAAATCTAAATATGACATAGGTCGTTCAACATCCTTCATGAAAGTAATGAGAGTCAATTTGAGCAGACCATTTGGTTAGTGGTCGAGGTCCCTACATTATTTTATGGCTGACTCTTACGGTAGTTTTCATGTTCACCGAACCGATTGTTCTACTGTTTGCAATTTATATTTCTGTCGTCTACGGCACATTGTATGCTTTGTTCTCGGCTTTCCCTATCGTGTTCGAAACACGAAGAGGGTGGTCTGCTGGTGTAGGGGGGCTTGCTTTCCTCGGAGTTGGGGCAGGCATATCCGTAGGGACGGCCACTGCTTCTATTCAGAATACCATCTATCAGAAAGCGATGGATAAGAGTTCCACTGGAAGAGCGCCCCCCGAAGCGTAAGCATTTTATAGTATTCAACAGCAAAAATCAACTCACATAGTAGTGTTTCAGTCGACTGCACATGGCAATGATGGGAGGCGAGTCGCAATATTTTCTGTACAACCCCTTCTAACGAAGAATCCTATTTTCAGGCATTCTCGTGCCTATAGGTCTCTTTTGGTTCGCATGGTATGTTATCGATATACGTGTTTCCTACAGATCCCATCCCTCAAGATTTATTGCCAGGACCGCGGATCCGCCTGTGCATTGGATCGTGCCTATCATAGCAGGCTTTCCATTCGGGCAGGGTGTCTGTCAAATTCTTCAGAGTTCGACTGCTTACTTGATGGATGCATACGAAATTTATTTCGCGAGCGCTATCGCTGCTACCATTGTTCTGCGCTCTATTTTCGCAGCTGTTTTTCCGGTCATAGCACCTACAATGTTCGAAAACTTGGGAGACGCGTGGGGTATGAGCATCTTCGCGTTCTTAGGCTTGGCTTGCACTCCCATACCGTTCTTATTTTGGGTTAGTTTTCTCGACTTGACGAACAATCACGAGTCACCTACTGATAAATTTTCATCAAGAAACACGGCAAAGCGATTCGCAGCAAATCAAAATATGCCTACAAAGAATCTGAATCTGACGATACATCATGAACCTTCTTTCATTTACAGTTGGACATTTCCGAATTCTCTAAAAATAATATGATGTGTACGATTTTTTTACTGTAAGAAAACAGTCCTCATACCCCACGGCTGGTAGTGTACTTAATCAGTCTTATTTACTGTATTATTCAGTTATTAGCTTTCGAAAACGTGCTGGTGCTCAGAATAAAATTTCACTCCGTCCTCGTAAAAGTAGATAGATGTACGCAAATGCAATTTTGGATGTCGGGTCCGAAGTCAGCGACATGCTCGGAAGTTGCTTGCGCACGAACGAGTCGGAATACTGCCACAACCCAGCTCTATCCTTCCCACTTCCTTTTAGCGCCATGGTTACGGTTCTACAAAGGATCCGCATCATCAAAGTTTCCACGCCGTTGCGATGAATGCTATCGGAAGCCACCAGCGTTTCGAGAATAACGGGTAGACCGGCCTTCTCCAACTCGATATTGACTGCGGCTAGCAGTTGTTGCATATGATGGGGGATCCGGACTTGTTGCCGTGTCCGATGTTTCCCAAGTGTTGTACGCAGTTGGGTGGCCCGCCAGTGAAGCAGGATGTCGAATGGTATGGTCGACGAGTTCATCCTGGGTCGCCGTTTGGGGCATGTTCGGACTAGTGGAGGGGATAGCAACACGCATAAAGTCCCAAGCAGCGCGAGCGGTACCCATTCCCCACGCTCCAGTCGCTTGTCGTTCAATTTCTGCTATGACATTGGACCGAATGCTTTTTACTCGGTAACCTTCATTGGGGTTTGGGAGGGGGAATCTGGAAAATGATATCAGATCCACAGTTACGGAATGCTTGAGCACTGAGATGCTTGCCTTCCTCCAAGATGGTTCAGTACAAGTTTCTGAGCACCGATGGTTCTTGCGAACGCTCCGGCCATCTCGGGTAACGAATGTCCTCTAGCCAGAGCCTTTTCTTTCACCACGTCATAGGATCTTTTAGATTTTGGATCAATTTCTTGAGGAATGTGTGCGTCTGCAGCTTCGTGAATTAGAAGCGACGGAGAGGGATCTAGGCATAAAGGTGTCATCGCGGATGGATCACAGGTGTCTCCGAGTATAACTATTTTACGAAAAGGTTTAGCGGTCTCCCTAAAAACATAACCAATGCATGGATCTAAATTGTAATAGTCGAGTGTGAGGAAAAAATATCAATGAGAGCAGGATTCCATCACACCTCGGTGTATAATAGGTCCTGCATCAACCACTACTGGTCCAAAGATACCTTTGCCCTGAGCTACCTCTCTCCACAATCCGTCTCCAGCAGAACAAAAGATATCCTCGCCAGCAACCTCGTTCGGGTGCATAACTTTCGGATCACAAGATGTCGCTTGGTCTGCGGACGCTAAAAGTTCATGAACAACGTAATTGTCAGACATTCTGGTGAAGGTCATTTTGAGTATACTTCGAATAAATGTCCGTATTCCAGCTGGCCCATAAATCTCTATGGCTGGATGCTGTATATAAGTTTAATCTAGATGGAACCATAAGAACACTCGAAGCTCACAGGTTTTCGAAGGGCCTGTAGCTTATCGGCGTTCTCGCCCACTGGTACAGGAAACAGGAGATTCCGGAGGATAGGAACTATTCTATCGCGATGGACATTGAATATTGAACACAAATAGACTTGCAGTTTGAGACAATTCCTACCCCATAACATGGTCGGCTGTATTCTCGTGATGTAAGTATTATAATACGCACGGAAGGTCATCGAAAGAAGTTCACCATGCATATGCGTTATGAATATTTTTTTGACTTGTGACAATCGGGGATTGGAACGATCTGCACTGTGTGGCTGTAGCTGGAACTGACGAAGAGTCCCTTCTGCACAATCAACCACTGGAAGCAAAAGTTAGCAGTGAAATCCTCATGGATTAGAATATGCGCATACTCCAAAGGGATCCATCGCCTAAAACATCAGCAACGAGAGATGAACAGTTGCGGGATGTACTAGGGCCTCCACCACTCGAGGTTCCGAGAAAAGTCACAGTCATTGTACTGGTCAGCATATCTTTCGGGATGTATAATGCTGGGCGGAAAGTCGAAGAATAGCGCGTAAAAGACGGGCAACGAAATAGTCTTGTCGCAATTCTAGCGAGGTTCATCTGTTATGAGGTCGTATGGGAATTTGATCTGTGGGAAACCTTCCGATATTTTAGAACATTAAGAGGACCTTTCGGATATACACCCATTAAGAGGCACAGTTGCAGTGGTAGCGTGGCCGAGTGGTCTAAGGCGTTGGATTTAAGCAGTCTTTGCCTAGCTTCCCAATGGAGGAAACTCCGCGCGAGTTCGAACCTCGCCGCTACCATGAGTCAAAAGAGCATAGTTTCTTTTTGCCGCTACTTCTTCATTTTTGGTCATGCGCACTAGATGGGGCGTCCTATGCCTCATATTTTTCATTCTCAAGGTGAACTTGAGTCTTACATTATCGTACAAACAAAGCTCAATACAGTACTTCTCGAGTATGTACATATGTGGAAAATAACCTTTCCGTGATTCCTTTATCAAAAGATCTTTGGAACAGCCCGCGTCAGTGAACATCGAACGTTGATTCACGATGGCTGCTCTTACACCTGAAATGTTATCTTGTCCACCTGGTCCTTGACGAACTCTGGAGGGTGGAAGAATATGAGGAAAGGAATGGGAAGTACAACTTAACATACCGTCGAGTTGGTTTGAATTCCTCTTGTTCGTTTGAATTCCAAAAGTTCGAAAGTGAGCTATTTCCACCAGGGACAGTCCTCACACGCCTGGTAGAGTCAGACCAGAAGCGACATAGAGAGGATCATCGTCACGTACCTGCTAGGTTTCACTTGGGAAGTAAAGTTGATTCCTGAGTGTTCATCTTCATCCTGCACATCTTCTTGAGCTACCGAAGAACTGGCAGGCATTTCACTTTCCTGAATGTGAATGAGGAAGGGGAAAGAACAAAGTAAAAAAAAGATGTACACTAGTAATCTCTTTGGGGGGAGCTTGAGACAAAGCATCATCTTCGTTGCTGCTGAATATGTCAGTGTGACCCCCGCCAGGGGTTTGGCGCACGCGACGAGAAGGCTTGAACGCTTCTGAGGCAGTCGCAGAGCTCGTAGACGCTGTAGAAAAGTCCTATGACAACGATATCTTGAAAGCAGAGAGAACGCACAAGTAATAGATGTGATGGATTCAGAAGGGTCCATTGCAGAGGATATCTTGCCAAATTTTGCCCACTCTATGTCACAGAATATAATAGCCCTTCACGCGCAGTAAATGACCTGAACGTACTGGGAAGTTTTTGAATGTTTCCAAAGTTAGTGTCCACCGTGGTTCCAGTGTACCTGGGAGTTGAATGGTTCATGGTTTGGCATGTCGAATTAAAGAGCTTCGTACTTCAGGAATTCGATCAGAGAGCGCTTCGTAAACACGATGCTTGTAGCATCCCAGTCGAGCATGCCTGGAAACAGTGAAAAATCGTTCTGTATGGAGATGTACGAATTGCCATACCAAGCGCGGCTGACCACTCTTTCTCTTTGGACATATCGATAACATCAGAAGGCGTATATCTGTGCAATGAGGTTTGTGAGAGAAGGCAATGGAAGAGACTGAGAACACGGACGTGGCAGACATTATGGGAGTTGCTGAAAGAGCGTAGTCAAGGGCGAAAGTGGCACTGTGGCAAACAGATTACACTTGTGATCGCGCATCATCATCATGTTGTCTTCTTTCACGGGTATTCAGCGCTTTTCCAGATGCATAAACCGTCGTTTCTTAGCTTCATTTGCCTATACGAAACCTTCGTTGGCAAATGATCCTGCAACTCACTCAACTCCGCTCGATATCACAGATGAACAGCGGGCAGCATTGGACTCGGCTCTTCGTGTTGATCAAGCAGGAGAGGTTGCCGCTAACTGGATTTATTATGGCCAGCATTTCATCCTCGGAAAACAGCCTGTTACAGGACCTTTGATTCAGGTTTGTATCACATCTACTTAACGTTTGGTATGTCTTCATAACAATCATAACAATATATCCAGGAAATGTGGGAACAAGAGAAGAAACATCTCGCAGTTATGGACAAGATGCAGCTTCAACACCGCGTCCGTCCGACTATTCTCATGGACTTCGCAAAGATTGGTGGCTTTGGACTAGGTGCTGCGACCGCTCTTATGGGCAAAGAGGCTGCAATGGCTTGTACGGAAGCTGTCGAGACCGTTATTGGAGAGCACTACGATGAGTAAGAAGAACGAGCCAAGTACTCGATATTTTGGCTAATGTGTCATATCTCAGCCAACTAAAAGAAATGGAGTCATTGCCATCCGCTCATCCAAGCGTTCCGTTGTTAAAGGAAGTGGTGAAGGAATTCAGAGACGACGAATTGGAGCATTTGGATATTGCAGTGGTTAACCATGCACAGAGAGCTCCGGGACACGCGCTACTTAGTACTGTCATTGGTGCAGGATGTAAAGTAGCGATAGAGTTGTGCAAAAGATTCTAATGTACACAACCGCAGTAACTTGATTCATTCCGGTTTGCCTGCTAAAGGTTGACCTTTGAGCTTCGCGTTCCAAGACCACCGAGACTGTAAGGATGGACATTAAAGCAGATCGACGACTCGTTTGAATTGCAGACGCACAGTAGTATAGTTGACCGCAGTATACAGGACAGTTGGAAAGACAACCATACCGAGGATGGCCGCCTTGACGTTAGCAGGAATCCATCGGAAACGAAGATAATGTTGCTCGCGCTATAGTATAACAAGTCAGTACTTGGAAGCGCTCTTGGGAAAAAAGTACAAACCCATAAATTGAAGTTTTCGACAGCAGGGTCTGTTTTCAAGCTGCCTGCGGTAGATATGAACCCAAGAAATGGAGAATCAAAGACTGCAATTACCATGATGTCCGGCCATGATGAAAGTGAGAGATGATTTGTCCTTGTTTATGTAAATCATATTTTCTTGCTCTTTACTTCCATCTTCTCAAAATGGACTACAACGATAATCGAGAATGGGACAGAGGGAAAATTTCTGACACGCCTTGGTATCCACACGATTCTCGTCAGAGTTATCATCCCAGAGAGGATGATCACAATGCTCAAGGGAAACGTAGGAAATTCAATGACGGAGTATGTGTTTGTCATCTCTACTGTAGTTCGAACTAAGCACTCTAGAATAGGGATACCAGGGCTATGATGGCTCTCAGGCTTATGAAGATTACAAGTATGATGCAAACTACACCCGTCAAGGTCCAGGATTTCCGCAAGACCAGTCGGGACGTGGCGGTGGCCCCGGTCATCCCAAGAAGCGGTTGCAGCCTTCAGAACCCAGTCCTCATGTTATATTCCTTGGTCTTGACCCCGACTTCACAGAGTCTGATGTCTGTAACATTCATTCATTCTTGTAGTTTTCATTCTTTTGCTCACTCGCTTATGCTTCTAGTTGCAATCATATCTCAATTCTCATGGATGCAGTGTAGAAACAGTGACGATAATCCGAGAACGATCAACAGGCAGTTGCCCATTCGTATATTCTGCTTTCCGCATGCATTGACGTTATCTCTCTGCGTCTGGATTATCAAGGTTCTTCAAAAGGTTTCGGCTTTGCGCAATTCAGCAGCTCTGAGCATGCTCGTGCTTTTGTGGACCCGTTGTTCCCTTTCGTTCAAGTACCCCCTCCGGCTTCCCATGGTGCCACTGCGACTGCCGCTTTTTATAAAAGCCTTGAAACGGGTCTACCACATAATGGACGGAGAGTCAAGATTGACTATTCGCAAAGCGCCACCCCACATGAAAAAGGCCGATCAAGGGGAAATACCAACGACGGTACTCGGGACATTGGGAATGTTCAGGCGCCTGTCCTACTATTCAGAGGACTCGATCCGCTTTCCGGACCACAAGCTATTCATCAAGCGATGAGGAATTCATCGGGAGTCGGCAAAGAAGGTGCTCAAGGCATGAAGAGAATCATTCTTATCAAGGACAAAGTTACGATGGCCAGTTTTGGTTTTGCCTTTGTGGAGTTCATAGACACACTGGTACCGTGCTTCTCATTCTAGCTTCTTATTCTGGTTACCCAATGCTTAAGTGATTGCTATGGTTCAGTCGGCTTCTGCAGTGCTTGCAGCAACAATGTCTCCACAAATTCATCCCGCCGGGTTTAGAATATCTGATAGGCCTGTTGCCCCTTCGTTCGCTCATCCCGACTCTTTCCAACCGATCCAGGAAATTATGCTTCGAGACGAAGCCTGTCTCGTGTCGTCACTTGCTCTCGGCGGAGTGGAGGGCACTTACGTTCGCTACTGGGACGAATCTTCAATGGTCGCAGTTCTTGAATTCCAAGTTGCCACACCCCAATCATCAACAATACCTAATGCTAAAGATAAAAAGGAGAAGAAAAAGAAGGGTGAAATTTGTTTTCTCTGCTTCGGTCTATCGATGAGTACCTTCCTGAATAATCCGATCCAGATTCTGCTGCACGTCCTACCGCGCCTCCCATACCTTCTGCATTGCCTGTATCCGACAAGCCTGTCACGCTTAGTTTCAACAAGGGCCCCTTCAAAACCGGCATAAGTATGTGACTTTGATGTCTAGGATATGAATACATTTTCATCACAATCTCAGGCTTGGGTCCAGCCGTGAAACCTCTGTCTTTGGGTTTTTCCGCTGATGATCTTGAAGAGGACGACGATAAAGAAGATAGCTCAGGAATTGGCAGCAAAGGTAATACCCTTATTTGTTCACCTGCCTCGAAGTTTCAACAGTTTATTTTTAGTGAATAACTCGAAAGGCGTTGCCTCTTATGTGGCAAGTAAGAAGGTAATTTATAGGATCAGCTTGAGAACCGAAGCAGAATCATCTTTTCCCGTTCGCTCATGATCTGCATTATCCGTAGATCATCAACAATATCAACAAGTGGAATCAAGTTCAAGAGGAACTTTCGGGCAGTTCTAAAACAAATTCCTCTACACTGGTGACCAATCCCTATCTGGCTATTCTCTCGGTGCAATGATTAAACTGCAACATTCCTTGCGATAACAGGTAGCTCCCACTGAAACTCCAACGGTAACTTCGGCAAATGCGTCTGCGCCAGCGGGCCCTCCGCCAGCAGAGGACGGGTTTGAATTCGCGGACATGAATTCATTCGCATGTCTGCTTTGCTCCCGACAATTCAAATCTGTTGACCAACTCAAGCGGCACAACAAGGAATCCGATCTTCATAAGGCTCGCTCTCTTATTCACAGTTCTTTGGTCGTGATCGTGACTTACGTTTATCATTGAAATGCTGGTATTATGCTTTCACTCCTTCAACAGAAGAACTACGAAGATGTCGACCTGCGAGATCTGGCTCGGCAAAAGGTGACGGCCCGTCAGCAGGTCAGAGTTTCTGAACAACCAAAATATCGGGACCGAGCTTTGGAGAGACGGTCTCTTTTCAATCAACCAGATGTTCCTGTTCCCGATGTCGAAGCTAGCAAACTCTCTAAGAGGAAGCAAGTGGAAGGTCCTCCTCCGCCTCCTCCGCCTCCGCCTCAGCCCTTGAATCCGGGCCAGGACGGGAACAACGTCGGCAACAAGTTACTCAAGATGATGGGCTGGAAGGAAGGAACTGGTCTTGGAGTCCATGGTGAAGGTCGAGTGGACCCCATGTACGACAACTTATTCTATCTGCTTCGTGTATAGCTGATTTCCTTTTTCAGTAAGACTGCCATATATACTGAAGGCGTTGGTCTGGGCGCCAGTAAGGGCAAAGAAGTGGGCAAATTTACTGACGCAAGTTCAGGGTATCTGTCTATGGCCCAGGAATCGGTGAGTGGTACACCTCCAATCTCAGACAACGTTGAGAACACGCGCGGAATGAACACTGAATGGGAGCTATTCAACAGGCTCGCGAACGTTACGGTTCTTAAATCAAAGCGCTACTCCATACCCATCTCCCTCAGACACTGTTTGTCTTGCATATCGAGACCGGAATGATATTTATTAATATTAAATGAAAACTTGTACGGACGCGCAAGTTACATAAAGGAGTGACTTAATTAATTTCCCTACGCCAAAGCGAGAACAACTGCAGCCATACTAAAGATCAAAGTAGTAGACCAAGTTTTTGAAACCATGGCAGCATTGCTTGCAGAGCTGGTACTACTAGCTGCAGCGGATCCAGAAGTCTCAGTCCCGGTGGAGATGGAAGCCAAGGTCGACGATTGTACAGCAGAAGTGGCGGAAACAGACGTGGTGCTAGTACCGACTTCGACAGTAAAGTAATTTGCCTGTAAGGAAACTCGAATGAAAAAAATTTTTGCTTATATGTGACACAGAACGAACTGCAACTATGGGGCCGAGTTGAGAATCCTGCAATTTTCCGTCAGAAATGGTCTCGCGAGTTAATCTCAGCTATACCTTGACGTATCCGTTGAGATCAAACTTGGAGACACCCAGGTTGGGTTGAGAAAATTCTGAAGGAGGGCTGAAGGAGGACGGTTGCTGGTATAGGATCACGACGTAACTAAACAAACCTGTAGTTTGAAAAGTGGTACACTGTAGGCGCGTTGTACTAATTCGTACCGATGGGGACCACTTCCGGAGGCAGGAGCTGGGCCGGCGTAAGAAGTGATAGCAGTGGCGGATGAGTTGGAAACCTCGCCGTCTGTTTCATATTATACATGAATATGGTAGCAGATGAAATTCCGTATTCAACGACGCACTCGAGACCACAACGCTGTTTTCCAGCCAGTGTCGAGTAATATTGGACTCGTCGGCACCTACGATATCAGCATCTACCATGGCTAAGGTAAAGTTGCCGGTGAGATCCACAGAGGAGTTGGCGGCGGTAATTTGAATCGTAGGAGTCGGTGCGACCTCTGATTGAGCTATATTAGAATAGGTTATCGCATGAGTGAGCGGCACTAACGATCTTGAGTAAGAGCTTGGCCTGGAGACAGGTCTCCGACACCTGTTGAGACGAGCTATAAATTTCTGAATGAATAGCGACAATGAGGCTTCATACCATCGAAATTAATGGTGAGTATGGAACTAGGGTCAAAAGTCGCGAGGAGCTCGGGGACTAATGCAGCTTGCGTGAAATGAGCTTCAATAGCCTCTATTTGGACCGCAGAGTCATTTGCCTGGGCAGATACGAAAGGAATGGAAAGGGCAAGAATGACAGGAAGGACAATCATTTTAGACGAAGATGGGGCAGAGATGAGGGAGAAGGAAAGAAGAAAAAATACTCCAAAGGCAGTGGAGGCAACGGCATGATGACTGAATCATAATGCCAAGTTTGACGCTCATAGGAACTCTTGGCAGATTCATGAACTCCAGTCACCAGCGGCTCATGAGCGCTCATGAGTGACTAGCGTCTAGGTTATGCTAACCTCTTGCGCTGACCCCAGTTCGTTGGCTTCTGTGTATTTATTACAGGTTGTTACAGGTTAAACAATTGTTCTAAATAAATGGTCAAGTTGGAGGTCCGTAATCACGAAACAATGCCTTTAAGAACGGCATACTCAGCATTGATAATGCTGCTTGTTGCAGCACCGATGCTGACATTATCCGAAAGCACCACAAATTTAATATCCAAGACCTGGCATTGTCGAACTCTACCCACACTAACCCCTGCGCCGTTGTGAGTGCCTTTGACATCCAATCTAGGCTGGGGTCTGTCAGGCTCTTCAAAGACTTCAATGGCTTTTCGAGGTGAAGATGGACATCCCAAGCTTTGAATCTCAGGAGTGAAGACAGACAGAGCTTCCCGCACTTGCTGAGGAGAAGGTGGTGGCCGTCGGTGGAATCTAAGTGACACGCACTCCATATGGCCGTCAACTACTGGAACCCGATTACAAGACGCGCTAACCCTCAACGCAGGCCTACCCCCGGCCTGGTGCATGTCGAACGTTTTGAGCGGTGCACCATTTTTATCAGTTTCGTTTTCGGAATCGGTGATTCCACCGAGAATCTTGAGTGTTTCCCACTCGATTTTTTCCTCTTCACCTCCGATATACGGTACAACATTGCCGAGGATATCGAGAGAGGGGACACCCGGATACCCGGCACCGGAGATCGCCTGCATTGTGGTGACCAGGACACTTTCAATCGGACCGAATGCCTTTTCTAGTGCGGCGAGGGGAATGACATAGCCAGTAGTAGAGCAATTAGCGTTGGTTACGATGAATCCCTTGGAAAGGAGAGGTGAATGCAGCGATTGCTGCTGAGGAATGATAGAAAAATGAGAAGGATTAACGAGAGGAACGATCAGAGGAACATGGGGATCCCGACGATAGTTTTTTGCGTTAGAAAAGAGGGGGATATTCGCAGCTCGGAAGGCATATTCTAATGACTCATCAGGTTTTTGTAGACATGACGTTAAATGGAGGAAGGTCACCAATATCTCCAGCGACATCGGCATCGAGACCGCTGAACACAAGCTGGCAAGTCTTGAACTCTTCAGGTGTGCAGCCTTTTACGATCAGATCAGCAGCTCTTCCTTCGTCGCTCCGGAGGTCTGAAGAACTGATCTTTTCTGTTTCCGAGGTCCCGACACCTCCAAGACCCAAGCCCCCTAATGGAATGGTTTGTTTCCATTTGACAGCCTCTCTGTACTTTCTCCCTTTACTTCTTTCGCTTGCTCCCAATGCTTCAATGATGAACCAAGGATGTTCGGAAAGAAGAGTAACGAATCGTTGTCCAACGGTCCCCGTAGCACCGAGGACGCCAACCCTGACTTTCTTCGGAGGGGAGACAGTGTTGGGCGTTATTTTTGAAGACATTGTTCACTGCGATATTTCGCAGCTATTTGAATCAGAGGATGCAACCAATCGATGGCTTCACTTGAGGGAAGAGAGGAACAAACCTGAAAAAGAGCCAGAATGGGTCATCGATAGTCCGGAAAAACGGGCCGGTATTATTCAAGGAAAAATTCCCTGTGCGGGCATGTGCGCTCTGTGTGCTGCAGAAGTTTATGGCTGGTTTGTGTATAACGGATTCCACTACTATAGTACTAGGCTTCACTAGGACACTTTGCTTGGTGGTGGTTAATGCACTTGTAGAATAAGAATACGGCGCGCATGTTGCGCCATGAGTGGGTGCAGGGCCTCCATACATAGGAGGGATAATGAGCTTTGGAACCTTCCAAACAAAGCAGTACAGAACAGTGCCTGCACTAGGAGTGCACATCAAGAACTTGTCCAATTCCGGAGTGAATAGATAGACTTGCTCAATGAACTTATCCTTTATCTCCCCCAAGTACTTACTAGGCCTTTCGTATTGGATGGAGTTAGGCTTGTCAACAACACCCAATCCTGATAATCGTCTTCCTCGGCAGGATTTCGACTGGTTTCGATCAGGTTGAAGCATTCACAGTCAATATTGTATCTTGAAGTTCGTTTGCGCTCTGGACCGTGCTGGCTTGCACTGAACTATACCTCGGAGATCAACGTTCCAGTTCATCGTCATCCAAGTGACTTACTCGCAGAACATATGTTCCTAACATGTATCGCAAAGCCTGAATTCCTAGTGCGAGATCCTAACAATCTAAGGTAGTCAAACCATGATCAAAATTGGATGTGAGTTGAATGGTTATGGAAGTTTGGTGATATCTCGAAGCCAGACAGTTTAATTTAAGTCGAGATATATAAAACCGTTTGATGGTCTTCATACCAGGGGACTATGTATGCGGCTGCCTGCTGAATAGGCATGGAGGTACAACTCGTCTAATTGTAATGCAATGTTGAGGGAAAAAGTCCAAGGCAGGTACATATCGAAACATCACGTAACATAGCCACCATCTCGTTTCTCTTCTTCAACTTAAGTCCTCGTTGCTGTCTGGATTCTCGAATGCTCCATGGCGGAGAACATCTACAGCAAGGGCACCAGGGTCTGGTTTGAAGACAAGGACCAGGCCTGGATATCTGGCGAGGTGATTTCAGTTACCAAGAACGCCGACGACACCATCAAGCTTGTTTTCGTTGACGAACGCGGAAAAGTATACTGCTCTTTCTTGTATCTATCTGTCATTGTTTCCTCATTAATCACTCAGGAAACTACCGTTGACACCTCAGTACAAGAGATCAAAGATGGAAGTGAAAATCTGCCACCACTGCGGAATCCACCTTTACTTGAAACCGCGGATGATTTAGCTACTCTTTCTCATCTGAACGAGCCCTCTGGTGTGTAACGGCCTTTCAAGAAATACTCATGTGCTCCTTTGAACTACTTTTACAGTACTTCACACCATTCGCAATCGTTACGCACAACACAGTATCTACACATACAGCGGTATTGTGCTCATTGCTGTCAATCCTTTCCAACGCGTCACCCTCTATGGTCCGGAAATTATACAAGCTTATGCTGGTCGACGGCGAGGCGATCTGGAACCTCATCTGTTCGCCATTGCCGAAGACGCGTACACTGCCATGAGAAAGGAAGGCATGGGTCAGACTATCATTGTGTCAGGGGAGAGGTTCGTGCCCGATCTTTTCTCTTCGCTACCTGTTCTTCTAATCATTGTTATAGTGGTGCAGGCAAAACCGAATCCGTAAGGCTGCTATTCACCGACCTTGTCCGCTTTTTCTCATAAACCTCACAGGCGAAATTCATCATGCGGTATCTCGCTTCTGTAAACCCACCCGATGCGAATTCGAAAGCCAAGCTTAAATTGTCACTCGATGATTCGAGTGAAATAGAAAAACAAATTCTTGCTACCAATCCTATCCTTGAATCCTTCGGTAATGCGAAGACTACCCGGAATGACAACTCTTCGCGATTCGGAAAATACATTCAGGTCAGTGATTTGGACTTACGTGGAACTCAAAAAAACTTTGTTGCTCAGTTTTCAGCGTAGATCCTTTTTGATGGGAAGCAGGAGATAGTTGGGGCACGAATCCGGACATATCTACTCGAGCGTTCGAGAATTGTGTTTCAGCCTCTCACAGAGAGGAACTATCACATTTTCTATCAACTATGTGCTGGTGCGCCCCTCAAAGAACGCAAAGATCTTGGTCTGGACACAGACATCACCAAATTCCACTACCTCAAGCAAGGTGGCCCATCCTCGACACCAATTGCTGGCGTAGACGATGCTGAGGAATTTAGAGCCACTCAACAGGCTCTATCAGTCGTCGGTATCAGTGTCGAAAAACAATGGGCCGTGTTTCGATTGTTGGCCGCACTTCTTCACTTGGGAAACATCAAGATCACCCAACTTCGGAATGACTCCTCCATTGACGATAACGATCCTGCCTTGCTCCTCTCGACAAGGTTCTTAGGTGTCAATGTCGCAGAATTCAAAAAGTGGACCGTCAAGAAACAGATCATCACCCGTTCAGAGAAGATCGTCACATCACTCAATGGAGCTCAAGCCACTGTGGTTCGAGACAGCGTTGCCAAATTCGTTTATGCATGTATGTTCGAATGGCTGGTGGCAATAGTCAACGAGAGTCTGGCCGGTGAAAACGGAGATGCGGCGGAACGAGCTGAGATGTTTATCGGAGTATTGGATATCTATGGGTTCGAGCATTTCAAAAAGGTACCTCAATAGACGGTCCTTCTTTTTCTGCTGATTTCTGATTTTCTTTCTGCATCTTAGAACTCTTTCGAACAATTCAGTATCAACTATGCGAACGAGAAACTTCAGCAAGAGGTTGGCTTCCTCAATTCCTGAACGCGTCTCGCTCAATTACTTCTGTAGTTTAATTCTCATGTCTTCAAACTAGAACAAGAGGAGTACGTCAAGGAAGAAATCAACTGGACTTTCATCGACTTTTCCGACAACCAGCCTTGTATCGATGTTATTGAGGGAAAACTCGGTGTTCTTGCTCTTTTGGATGAAGAATCTCGTTTACCATCCGGGAGTGATCAGTCGTTCCTCCAAAAGCTCAATAATCAGCTTCTGAAACCTCAGAACAAGGTATTTAAAAAGCCTAGGTTTGGAAATACGGCTTTCACCATTGCCCATTATGCGCTGGATGTCACTTATGAAGTTGAAGGTTTTTTGGAGAAAAATAGGGATACCGTACCCGACGAACATATGACGCTATTGGCAACGACCAAGAATTCCTTTTTGAAGGAGGTCCTTGATGCCGCTCTCAATTCCACTAAAGCTCCGGACAGCCCCAATCCTGGGTCTCCAGCCGGCTCAGATTCTGGTAGCGGTTCACGCCGTTCTTCCGTTATCCCTGATCCTGGAAGACAGTCCTGGGTGGCTCCATCGTCTGGTGCTACACCTTCTGCCAGCAGCGGGCCAAAGCGTCCTGGTGGTTTCGTGGCTAGAAAGCCTACACAAGGTTCCATTTTCAAAGCCTCGTTAATCACGCTCATGGAGACACTCAGCGTGACGAATGTTCACTACATTCGATGTATCAAGCCCAATGAAGCGAAAAGACCATGGGAGTTCCAGCCTCAGCAGGTTTTGAGTCAACTTCGAGCCTGTGGTGTTTTGGAGACCATTCGAATCAGTTGCGCCGGATATCCTACCCGATGGACCTACGAAGAATTCGCTGAACGGTATGATCAATCTCTCATTTTGACCTTTAGCCGCAGATGCTGACCAGCCTGATAGATACTACATGCTTGTAAACTCGAGCGTCTGGCAACCCATGATCCAGAGCTTGGATTTGAAAAAGCTTTGTTCAATCATTTTAGAGAATTCTCTCAATGATCCCGACAAATATCAGAATGGTTTAACCAAAATATTTTTCCGAGCTGGAATGCTTGCTGCACTGGAGTCTTTACGGTCTAACAGACTCAACTACATGGTCACTGTCGTGCAGAAGAACATGCGCCGGCATATGGCTGTGAAGAAGTATCAGCGGTTGCGCGCATCCACCATCAAAATCCAGACTTGGTGGAGAGGCATTCTGGCTAAGCGTCTCGTCAAGCATGTCCGTCGCCAAGGGGCTGCTCTACGCTTACAACGTGCCATTCGACAATATTTGCAAAGGCAAAAGTTCTTGAACATTCGACGTTCTGTCATTCTCATTCAATCCCGTAAGCTGATGTGGTCATATGCACCGTGGTTGTTTGTTGACAAAGGTTCTTCAGGTATTCGTGGTCAGCAAACACGATTTTTATTCAAGGAACAAAGAAGTACTTCAGCTGCTACCTTGCTGCAAAGCTTGCTACGTGGAACGTGAGTGCAGTTTCTTGAATTTTGCGAAACCATACTCTGAATATGAGTCTTATAGTCTGACACGTCGATCCTTCCGTTCCGATGTTAAGCATATTGTTTATCTTCAGTCCTGTGTTCGGCGTCGCCTTGCGCGGAAGCAGCTCAAAGTTCTCCGTCAAGAAGCTCGATCAGTATCCAAATTTAAGGAGATATCATACAAGCTGGAAAACAAGGTTGTGGAGCTCACACAGACTCTCCAGACCCGTACACAAGAGAGGAAGGATCTACAGGCACAGGTCACTGAACTCGAGCAACGGATCCAACATTGGACTAGTCGTCATGAAGAAGTAGACAACAGGGCACGGCAATTTCAGGCATCTCTGCAGGCTGCAGAAGCAGAAGTTGCTCGGCGGGACGAACTCTTGCTAGCCAAGGCAGATACGGAGAAGAGACTAGAGGAAGCTCTAGCGAAGGTTTTCGAGAAGGAGGAAACCATACAAAAATTGACTGACGACTTGCTTGCTAAGTCGACTCAACTCGAGCACCAACAACGCACAATCGATGCAAACCCTGTTCGCACCCAGGAAGATAGCTCAGTGATCATGACGCTCAAGAATGAAGTCAGCAACCTCAGGGAACAATTGAACAGATCAAATGCATTGAACGCTCTCACCAGAGGCTCACGCGCTGATCCTCCATTATCTCCCACGTTTGCTCCTGCTCTTCGTGGCGCCGAAACAAACGGTGCTGTTCCGGCCGCAAACGGCCACGCCCCTCAAGGCCATCAGAGAAGACACAGTTCTGCTGGCGTCTATTCTCTCGCACCCTTGGATAACCGTTCATCAACCGACGAGATCATGATAGATGTGAAGAGGTCACAAGCCATGAACCCTCGTGCGGTATCGGTCGTCTATAACGGTGAAGATAACTTTTTCAAATTCCACAAAAATGGCCTATCAGGCATCCGCGATGATGATCCTGCTGAAGAAAAAATTCGTCTCATGCAGGACGTCAAGCGTTTAGATGAGGATATCCTAGATGGACTGATCAGAGGGCTCAAGATTCCAGCGCCAAGTCTCACCAACCCTTCAGCAGTGAAGGAAATCTTGTTCCCTGCGAATCTTATCAGTCTTGTAACCAACGAAATGTGGAAATACGGCCTGATCCCAGAGAGCGAGAGATTCCTTGCCAACGTTATGCAGACCATTCAGTCGCATGTTATGGTAAATCTGACAGACATCTTAAGAGAAGTAGCTAACAAAATCCACTAGTCCTTCTCTGGTGAAGATGCCATCGTCCCAGGCATCTTTTGGCTATCGAACGTCCACGAAATGCTTTCTTTCATCTGTGTGGCAGAGAGCGACATGCTTCAGGGAATTGGCCCAGGCGAAGAAAACTTGGTTCGACCGTTTGATTGGAACGACTACGAACGACTTGTCTCGGTGGTGAAACATGATCTGGATAGTCTGGAATATAACATCTACCACACGTGGATGCTGGAAACTAAGAAAAAACTTTCAAAAATGGTTATTCCTGCCCTGATTGAGAGTCAATCGCTCCCCGGCTTCACTACTAGTGACGGAGGCGGGCGTCTATTTAACCGTCTTCTTAACACTAACACCCAGCCGGCCTACAGTATGGATGACATCTTGAACTTGCTGAACAAGGTGTGGAAGAGCTTGAAGAGTTACTACATGGAAGAATCGGTAGTACAGCAAGTCGTCACCGAGCTTCTGAAGCTCATTGGCGTCACGAGTTTCAATGATTTGCTTATGAGACGAAACTTTTCCTCCTGGAAACGAGGTATGTTTCTCGATGAATGGTCGACTTATCTGTACTGAATTTGCGTATCTTTTAGCTATGCAAATTCAGTATAACATCACCCGCATTGAAGAATGGTGTAAATCACACGACATGCCTGAAGGTACTCTTCAATTGGAACACCTAATGCAGGCCACCAAGCTGTTACAACTGAAGAAAGTGCGTAGTGCGAGCGTGATGCATGGAAATCTGAAGCTGATTTTGTTTTACCAGGCTACTGCTGCTGATATTGAGATTATTTACGATGTCTGCTGGATGTTGAGTCCCATGCAGATTCAACGAATGTGTACGAATTATTATGTCGCCGATTATGAGGTAGCTTCTTTGTTGTTCTCTAAGATAGATGACTTTCACTGAGTACTGCCCCTAGAACCCCATATCTCCCGAAATTCTGCGAGTAGTCGCGTCTCGAGTACAGGCTAATGATCGCAACGACCACCTCCTGCTCTCCCCAGAAACAGAAGATGTAGGACCTTACGAACTCCCCCTTCCTCGAGATGTCTCGGGTTTAGAGACCTATGTCCCGGCCTATTTAAACGTATCACATTTGAGGCGTCTTGCCGCGTTGGTGTCATAGAGTACCTATTACTTCTTTCCCCTGTTCATACCCTCATTTCTCCGTTTCTGGATTGCTCTGACACTTACAGTACTTATACCGTTCTTTTCCTGTATTGGAATTCAATCCTACCTTAAGTATTCAATCAATGTACCAAATTGTTCGGTCCCTTCAGGATGAGGGGCTTAAACCGTTTACGATCTTATCTTATCTTATCTCCATCATCGATTTGCTACGATAAAAATTTGTTTGAGTTCGAGTCATTACCTGCTCGAGTCGTTTCCTTCTTCACTGCTATCCACCATGCCCGTCTTTACTCACCCCGCGATTCAAGGTTAGTCCACGCGATCGCGGTAGATGTGCATCTAAAACTCAAGCATAGATGGCTGGTTCCGTGAAATTTCCTCGCAATGGCCGGGTCAGGCCATGACCCTCAAGGTTAATAAAATTCTGCATGTCGAAAAGTCCCTCTATCAGGACGTCCTGGTCTTTGAGTCCGAGACATATGGGAACGTGCTGGTGCTTGATGGTGTGATACAATGCACCGAAAGGGACGAGTTCAGCTATCAAGAAATGATCACACACATTCCGATGGCTTCACATCCAAATCCCGAAAAAGTTCTTGTCATCGGCGGAGGCGATGGAGGGGTCGTACGCGAAGCGCTTAAATATGACAGTGTCAAGGAAGTCGTTCTCTGCGATATTGACGAGGCCGTACCTCGTGTGTCCAAGTTGTACCTCCCCCACATGGCTGAACTCTTGGCCGATCCAAGAGTGACTGTCCATATTGGTGATGGATTCGCTTTTCTCCAATCTCATGAAGGCACTTACGATGTCATCGTCACTGACTCTTCTGATCCCGTCGGTCCTGCCGCTTCCCTGTTCCAAAAGCCCTATTACCAGCTCTTGCATGATGCCTTGAGATCAGGAGGGCACATCGCTGCCCAAGGTGAATGCCTGTGGCTACATCTACCCCTGATCAAGGAAGTCCGGGCCAATGCTCAAGAAATTGGCTTCGCTCATGTTGAGTATGCCTTTACAACTATCCCTACCTATCCTTCCGGTCAAATTGGTTTCCTACTGGCTGGTAAGACTGGCGGACAGGGCCTAAGGGAGCCTATCAAAGGACCCAACTCCCCAACGCGATATTGGAATCCAGACGTACACCGGGCTTCTTTCGTCGTACCGGAGTTCGCAAGAGCTCTGCTCGAAGAGGGTAAAGACGTAAGCCCCAAGTTTGGTACCAATGTATCTCTTCAGTCAGGACAGCAAAAGAAAAAGATTCTTCTCTTGGGAAGCGGTTACGTTGCAAGACCTTGCGCTGAGTACATCGTTCGGAGCCCCTCCAACGAATTGACCATTGGTGTGTTCAAGTCTACAAACCACCGAATAGGACTGACCTGACCGTGCACTAAGCTTGTAGAACGCTGGCTACAGCGAAGGGCCTTGCGGAATCCCTACCTCGAACGAATGCCATATCGCTCGATGTCAACAAGACTGATGAACTCGAATCTCAGGTTGCAGCTCATGACCTCGTCATCTCCCTTATCCCTTACACTTATCATGCCGAGGTGATCAAAGCTGCCATCAAGGGTAAAACAGATGTGGTCACTACCTCATATGTTTCACCAGCTATGCGTGAACTGGATGAAGCGGCCAAGGCTGCTGGTATCACAGTCCTCAACGAAATTGGTCTTGATCCTGGTATTGATCACCTTTACGCTGTAAAAACTATTGACGAGGTTCACGCTAAAGGTGGAAAGGTCAGTCTTCATCCATTTTTTCACTGCATTCTTTAATTATTTCAAGATCAAACAATTCTTGTCGTATTGTGGCGGTCTTCCTGCCCCCGCAAATGCGTCGAACCCCCTCGGCTACAAGTTCTCTTGGTCGTCTCGGGGTGTTTTGCTTGCCCTTCTCAACAACGCGGCTTTCCTCTCTAACGGCAAGCAAGTCACGGTTTCTGGATCTGAACTCATGGGTGAAGCCAAACCTTACTACATCTCCCCTGCTTATGCGTTTGTCGCTTATCCGAACCGAGACTCCACTCCCTTCCGGGATTTCTATAAAATTAACGGCGAAGGAGAGGGCGAGACTTGCATTCGGGGAACCTTGAGATACCAGGGTTTCCCGGAATTCATCAAGGCACTCGTGCAGGTTGGATGGCTTAACGGAGAGGGGCAGGAGTGGTTGAATAAAGGGCTGACTTGGGTGCAAGTTCTAGGAAAAATGCTAGCCGTCGAAGGCGGCGACGAAGCCACATTGATATCCAAGATTAAATCACTTTGCGCCTTCCCCAATGAATCCGAAGAGTCCCGAATCATTTCTGGATTCCGTTGGATTGGAATGTTTACTTCTGACCCGATTTCACCCCGCGCAGCATCCGGCGCGGCACATCCCAACCTTCTGGATACTTTATGCGCACGCCTCGAACAGCTCATGGCTTACGCCCCGGGTGAACGCGACTTTGTCATGCTTCAACACAAGTTTGTGGTCGAGTGGGCTGACAAATCCGTGCAGACCCTTACCTCGACGCTGGAGGCATACGGTGCACCGCTTGGGTATGGTCACTCTGCTATGGCTCTGACTGTGGGTTTGCCCTGTGGAATTGCCACTCAGCTGATATTAGACGGTGTTCTCAATATGAAGGGTGTGCATGCGCCATACACCAGAGAAATTTGTGATCCAATCAGAGAAAGGCTGGAAGCGGAGGGAGTTGGTCTGGTCGAGAGCGTGCTTTAGATAAGGTGAGGTATCTAGTAGTAACAGTATTCTGTAAACGGATTGTATGAAATATGGCGTTCATCGTCCTTGTTTTTTTATGAGCCTCCTTCGTCGTCATGCACTATGGAGGTGTGCAGATTGAGGAAAGAGGGATCTATGGGGCACTGCCTGCTCCCTGGGCCAGTCGATCCTTCCCTGTGTACTTTCAAAATGGTGAGGTGGTAGACCCTCAATTCAAGATAGCAGCCGGTAGCAGTCTAGGATCTGTTTCCCTGTTGAATCCAGAAACCTCAAAGTCACACCAGGCTTTCTTGAAATGGTCAACCTGTGGCACTTCTGCACTGTGTGTCAACCAAGCGTACAAGCTAATGCGGCACCGTCTGGGGTTGTATAGGGTTGTATTCGCCTCATTGATGTACGACCGGTCTACGTGTACCGGAGACCAAGATGAAATCATTGATTTACTAATAGTAGTAAGTACTACCTTCCAAGATTCTTGATTCATGCACATGTTCCATCAATACAATTCCCATCAAGCTACTCGACGACGGCCTGGGCTGGCCTCTTCTTCTATCTAGCCCTATAAAAATTATCAGCGCACACAATGTGGAATACGGAGAATGATATTGATGTTCAGCCCCCTGCTTGGTGCGACGTTCATTTCAGGTGCCTTCAATCTTAGCTATATTGCGGAAAACCACAGTAAATACCGACTCTTCCATTTTTCGCATGTCCGATTCATCATTCCTTTGTTACGTTCCGCAAGTCATTCGTCCCCTTAGATTCAATCTTGTTATTCTGCCGCGCGGAAGGTCGGGATGGGATGGGTGCTCCTGGCGATGCCACTGTTCTCGTAGTAGGGGGAGAATACAGAGTATTTGCAGTACATAGTGGATGGTTGTAGAGTTGATCGTAATAATAATTTCACACGGTTTACACAAATAACGCTTGATCTTTGACCTTTATGTTTTGAAACTCTTACCTATCTCAAGTAACAATCGGCCAGCTGAGCTGCTTAAAGACGCGTCGGGATTTGCATGGATAGTTTCTTTGGTCGAAAGAAGGCCAAAACGCGGCATTCGAGTGTTTCTGGCGTCACAGAACTCAACGAAAGCGCTTCTGTTCCGTATGACAAGTTGCCGTCTCCTCGTTCTCCTTTGCCCGTGGGCACCATATCCCAAGGAGTGATCAACGGCGGCGTCATATCTGCACCGATGACAAACCCGACATTGACCTCAGATGGCGTCGAGCTCAACAAATACATGATACAGCGGAGTAGAGCTGAGCGGGATAAGGCTTACGACCTCTATCCAAATCACCGGCCAGCATCACCCAATACTACCGTCTCTTGGTCTGATTCATCGACTGCATACAGCGATTCGTTTCAGTCTAAACCTCCTCGGGATCCTCAGACAGCCCGTGCTCGCCGCAGTGAGGCCTCTTCAACCTCATCCGTACATTCTCGCAGCCCAAATATGTCTGATTTCGGTCAAATTCCTAGCCAACATCCTTCCTCCTCCTCCACTATTAGGCCGACGTCGACAATGACAACCCGCTCAGAGGGCCATCGGCTATCGAAATATGCCCCTTCCCTCGTTGCCTCCGATGTAGGATCACATCTTTCACATCTTTACCATCCTCACCGAAGTCATAATCCAGACGAATTCGAACTTCCTCGGCCGACAGACGATGAAATCGAGGCCTTGTTTGAACAGGTCAAGCTTACTCGTGGTGTGGATGACTTGAATCTCCCTGTAGAGCAGAAGTGGAATCTGGTGAAGAGCGATTTGCACATACGGTGGAAGGAGGAGAAGACTAGAGATGAACAGGCAAAGAGGCAAATTGAGACCGGACAATCTTCTGCTATAATCGTCGACACACCTGAGTGGTATGTGAGGAAGTTCTTGGACAAGACCATTACTCCGAAGCAGGCTAGTAGTCTGCAAGTGTCATTGAGAAGTAAGGAAGTCAGGCGAGTATATTGGTTTACTGTTTGTCGCATTTTTAACTCAGGAATTCTGTAGCTGGTTCCATCACTTTATTGAAATACAGGGAACGTCTGTGCTGGCGCAGACGTTGAATCATATCAGTCGGAAAGGCTCATCACGGTGCGCCAATATCTTTAACGACTCTTACCCTTTTAATCGCATCGCAGTCGTGAACATGATATCCAACTAGAATACGAGGTCGCCAAATGTTTGAAGCATATTTTCAACAACCACGTTAGTTTTGCGCTGTGTCTGGACTTCATATTAACTCAATTAACACATTTAGTCTGCTACCGACAAAGCTCTCGCTCATCCTCAAATTGTCACACAAGTTGCATCATCTTTGAACAGTCCTCATATCCCTACACGCAAACTTCTCTTGGATCTTCTCTCCTTCCTCACATACTGGAATGAGGGAAAAATTCAACCTGTGGTTGTCTCCGCGCTTGAAGTTCTTAGCTCTTCGAATAATGAGAACGGAGGGGTCTACGATTTTTGGTTCAAATCATTCGAGCAGACTCTATCTGGGCGCGGGAAAATGGGCAGTTTGGTCGGGGCCAGTGAGGACGTTAAAAAAGCAGGAGGCATAGACACAAATTTGAATGATTATGCGGTCGGTATCGCAATCGTACGTTCTTGTAACACTAACTCATGTCTTCTTCATTCGTCTAGCTTTCGAATCTCATTCTTATCGTTGGTATCCTCGATTTCATCGAAGATCTGGACCTACGGCTACATCATCGCTCTCGAATGGAGTCCGCTGGTTTGCATCATATCATCGCGCTGTGTCAAGAGTTCAATGTACCCAACATTGACAAGAAGCTTCGCCAACTTCAGGGATCTTTTGACGAAGATGAGCGTAATCTACGAAGCCAGTTAGACCAGGAAATTCTTAAAGATCTCAATAATCCCGGAGACGTGTATAAGGCGATATTTGCCAAAATCGAGAGCTCGAAAGCCCGAGACTACTTCCTCTCCATGATGCAACATTTGTTGCTCATCAGAGAGGAAGGTGAACCTATGGTGCATTATTACCAACTCATTGACTCGATGGTCACGGATATAGTAATGGACAAAAAATTAGCTGGGGCGGAGCAGCGTTTTGGGCATTCTGTAGAACGTATCATTGCTCAGTTTAACGAGACAGGCCGTTTGCAAGAGGTAGAAGATGAGCTGCAGAAATCACGATCTGAAGCTCTACGGCTTAAACTAGAAAATGACGCATTGCTTGACGAGATATCGAAGGGCCAGGAGGGGATGGTCGGGCGATTGAAAGAAGAGATGTTGCGACTGGAGCAGAAGCTGGCCACATCGCGAGAGACTACTGCGAGGTTACAGAATCAGGTGGAATCTGAAAGGGCAGAGTACGAAGACCAGATAAACCAGCTTGAAACTCAAATTATTGAGTTGTTTCGGATGCTCAAAGAAGTCGGAAGAGGTGTGACTACCGTCCTCGACACTGGAGGCATGGATCGGAAAACACTGGTTCAGACTTTGGAAAAGCAGTTTCAACGAACCCAAACTATCAATAAACTGGAAGGGAAGGATGTCTTTGGACGCAGGAGAAAGAAGGAAGGAGGATTTGAGGAGTCTGATGATGATGACAGGGAGGATACTCCTGGAAAATCTTCGCTACGACGGTCTAGAGTGCTCACTAGCAAGAAATCTCTCTCCAAAAAGGGAGACAAGGCGGAAGATTCAAATCGCGCCTCGCAGTTCATGGACGCCGAAGATGCTCATGCAGAGGAGCAGATTCAGCAACAATTAAATGCCGGTGCATCTTTCGTCAGTGTGAACGTCTCCTTCGAATGGTTCAATTTCTGATCCTGCACCATAGAACTCTCCATCATCCATCTCACGTAGCATCCGAGGATCTCCACGCCCAGGTGGTTCGAAAACAAGTGACAAACTGGCAGGCCGATACGATCACTTAGAAGACTTCGTAAGTGGAGGGGACTCTTCCCTTCAATATGTGCGAGGCGAAGATTCAACCGACGACGACTCATCGAAACGACTAACACACCCTACTAACGACAATGTACCAACCTCCGTGAGCTCTGACGGCTCTCATGATACTGGAATCACTCCCGGCCAGGGATCATTAGCTGATCAACTTAGTAAGCACATACTTCTCCGAAACAACACTCGATCTTCCGCAGATAAAGCACCAACATTAGCGGTAAATACTGTATCCCCTCAATTAGCCTCCCCGTTACCACGCTCTGCCCAGACTGCTCCTCCCCCACCACCACCTCCACCACCTCCACCACCTCCCCCTCCGCCGCCACCTCCGCCGCCCCCGCCACTGGCCGCTGGGGGGTTTCCTGCGCCACCCCCACCCCCACCTCCGCCGCCTATCGGTTTCAAAGGCTTCCCTGGAAGTGCACCATCGTCCAGTTCATCTTCTTTGGCCAGTTCTCCAGCACCTCCGCCACCTCCGATGCCTGGTTCGGCTCGATCAAATACAAGCTTTGGGTCTAATCCCAATTCTGCACGAGCCTCCATGCTACTAGGCGCGAACCCACTCTCCGCTCGCAAAGATTTACCTATCACTCCCAATATCAAGATGAAACAGTTACAATGGGATAAACTTCCACAGCAGCAGGTGGCAAAGACTGTGTGGAATGAAGATCAACCCTCGAGAGAAAATGAAATGATCAAAATTCTGAAAGATGACGGTGTTTGGATGGAGATGGAAGAAGACTTCAAGGCCAAACAATTGGTGATTAATTTAATGGGTAAGTTACACTGTTCGAATTTGTATCTCAATTATTGACGTTCATTGAGTTTAGCCCGACAAAAACGCGCAGAGCTTAAAAGCGTTTTGGACGTTGAGACAAAGAAACGTGTCGGTGAGCTCGACGTTTCACTTCTGCCGGGGTATTTGTCTGATAAACTCCCGCCTGCAGAAATTCTTATACAAGGCGTCAAGAAGCTTGAGCCTGAGGAGATCGCACGCAAAATTCAGCAATTCGATCAGGATCTGTGTACGCAGGTGTTCCTTAGTGAACTGAAACGCGTTCTGCCTTCACCAGAACAAGTATGCAAAACAATGGTCAATCTTACTGTTACTAATCAATGTTCAAGGTGGGCAAGCTCAATGTGTATCGCAATGCAGATCCAAAAGAGCTAGCTGAGCTGCATCCTGCCGACCGACTTATGGTGAAATTGATCCAAATTGATCGCTTGGGTCCTCGTATAGAGGGTATGCTCTACAAATGTGCATTCGACGAGAGATGGTCTCTCTTGGATGATGTGAGATATAATGTCTAAATACTATCGATCTACGCGTTGATTCATGTTTATACAGGGTGCACAAAAGCTCACTGAGGCTGGCAATGCGCTACTGAACGCCAAATCTTTCAAAGAGTTGTTGAGCGTAAGTCATCGTTAAACTTAATATGTCGAGTGTTGACATTGAGACACCATCAGCTCATCTTGCTGGTCGGTAATTACATGAATGGCTCTGGTATCAAAGGAGGCGCTTTCGGGTTCCGTGTCAGCAGTGTAAACAAGGTAATCATGTTCGCGTCTCGTACAGTCTTCACCTTCACATTGTCTCCTAAAGCTCGTCGACACGAAATCTGTCAACAACACCACGTTATTACATTTTCTTGAGAGGACGGTTGTCAAGCATTTTCCTGCCATGGAAGAATTTTTGGAAGAACTTGAGAAGCCTGCCGAGGCTTATCGAGGTAATACACTCAATTCGCCCATGTATACATTGTCTGTTAACCTGTTGCAGTAAACTTACAGGAAGTGCGGAAAGGGCACATTGATCTGCGGGACGGGCTGAAGCAGATTCGCAAAGAGCTTGGAGACCATTTCGCAGATATGAACCGGAACGACCAGTTTGGCATAAGGATGTGGTCCTTTGTTAAAAAAGCGAATGCTCAAGTAGAAGATCTGGGCGACGACGTTAATTCTGCCAGCGCTGTGTTCACCGAGGTTGTTAAATATTACGGCGAAGAAGACAGGAATATGACCTCTTCGGAGTTCTATGCCATTTTCAAGACCTTTGTAACTTCTTATAGGGTACGTAAACCTCTGGCTATCTAGCTAACACTCTGCTTAATCATTGCATTACAGAAATGCAAAGCAGATAATCAGAGTTTCGCGGAGGCACGGCTTGCAGTTGAGAAACGTAAACAAGTCGCGCAAGAAATGAGGGAGAATCGTGAAAAGGCGGCTGCAGCGAACAATGAATCAGATGACGTTCTTGATAGTCTACTCGAGAAGTTGCGGAATGGTGAAGGTGGTCGGAAATCGCGGAGAACGAGAGGGACAGCAGAAGCTCAGCCCGCGATCCCATTGACTCTTCAATTGGACAGTAGCGCGGTGAACGACACTGCTGACATCGCTCGCGATATGTTGGCCCAGCTTCAGTCAAACGGTTTTGCACCTATGCCTTCCCCCACAGCAACGTCAAATCCTTCTACCAGGCGCAGAACTCGACGAAGAATGGAGGCGCCTACCAGCGATAGCCTTCTAGATCTTCGAACTCCCACTTCTCCACTTGCAGTCGAGGTCGAGTTGGACTTGGGCAGTGAAACGGACTCATGATCTCTGTCTCTCTCTTGGATTTATTTGTCTATATCTGTATCACATTGCTTTCATAATCATCCATTCTCTTTATCTTTCAACTAGACAGTAATATTTGTTGAGTGTATTATTGGTAATTCAAATGCTACTACATTGACACCTCAGAGGACATGAGTGGATATACGAAGAAAATTTGTTCGATGTGACCATACACACCGCATAGCACCGTAGCTGTATTATCCTCGACCGGTGAAGCGATTCTGGGATGCTGAATGATTTGAAGTCGAATAATGTTGTGATAGCTCTGATTAGTTCCCAATTCGATGAAACCATTTCTAGTTCAAAACAGCTGTCAGCGAGATTGTAGCATAGTTGTCAAAAAATGCTCATCAGGATTTCACATTGGCCAGAAAAGCTTCCTGCCATGGATTTGGTCTGAGGAGCGTTTTTCAAAAACTATGGTACAAATTCGCTGATAGCTTTAGATCTGTAGTTGTCATGCCACAACAGAAAGCTTATAACCAAAGCGGGAGTAAGTACGTTCAAGATTTTCCCCAAATCTTTGCAAATGGCGGAGTACATATGACCCGAGTCTACCCGAGTAGAATACAACAGCAACTATTATTTGCTGTAGTCAACTAATTATATGAGGCGCACACGAGTGGACTGCCAGAAGATTCATAGAATAGGATACGGTACACGTACATACAAAAGTGAAGTTCTTACAGAGGAAGCTACGTTTACCGAGGTCCTTCATCTTTGAGGTTGGACATGTCAACCTTACCTTCGTCTATCCATTTCTGCTTTACTATCTTCGTCCTCTCTGCGAAATACAGTCTGTAGACCAAACGAATGGTCCCTTCACTGACCCCAGCTACATCTCCTATGTCCTTTAAAGTTTTAGGAGTGTTCAGCAAGCAGCAAGTGAAATAAATGGCGCCTCCAGCAATGGAAACTGGGCTCCGTCCGTCAGCAATGCCATGTTCACGTGCAGCGACGATGATATCGGCACAGTAGGACTGAACTTTCGGTGGAAGGTCAAGATGGTTACAGTAACGCACAACGAGGCTCTCTGGACCTGTCGAGGGCGCCAGAGAAGCATGAGTCGCAGAGGCGCCGGGTGTAAGATTGAATGCCTGTTCCAAAGCTTTGTAGCATTGTCCGAGAGTCTTTTTCGTTACGTGAGTCAGGTTGCATATTTCCCGGAATGTCCGCGGTACATGGGCTTGTCGACAGGCAATGAATATACATGCAGCAATGACTGCGTCGGGCTGTTTTCCTCGAAGAAGTTTTTCCTCATCAGAACGTTTGTAGAGCTGTTTGGCGATATCCGCTATGGTTTTGGGAAGGGAGAATTGATCACACCAGGAAGAGATGTCACGAAAGGCGGTAAGGAGATTGCGTTCGGCACGAGAGGACTGAGAACGAGAAGCGGCACGTTGAAGCTCACGGGCTAAACCAGAACCACCGTCTTGGAAAGAGATTACCGTGTCGAGTTGTTCTATGCCATCCATCAACGGGTCTGAAGCAGCGCCGACACGAGAAGGATCGTCTCCTTCATCGTTTGCGAATGTCTGCACCAAATGGTTGTCAAAATCAACCAAAGAGAGAAGTGGCCAAGGGACTTACTCTCCATTCACTTCGCGTATCGACAACCCTGTCCCCAAGCACCAGCCCACAGGTACCACAAACCAAGTCTCCTGAACTAAATTCCTCAACGATATTGGGATTTGGGTCCCTACATTCTGGGCAGATGAGACGAACGGCCAAGTCTGGTGCAAAAGTTTGCTGAGTGGCTTTTGCAGGGGATTGAGCAAGGGGAAAGGGTTGAGAATACGCCATCTGTGATTATGATTTGCGGAGAAAAAGAGTACAACTTTAGCACGGGGAAATGAAAGGCACTATTCGAACATGAAGGTATGGTAAAGTAGGTGCTGTCTGGCAGCAACAGTTTTAGAAAACATACCAAAGAGTGACTACAGATACTTAGATGGCGGATTACTGGGAAATCGTGCTCCAAAGAACCGTCGTGGTGGTGGTTTCCAGTCAAGGAAGCTGCGTAATAATTTCAAATCGAAGCCGCAACAATGGATCAGATTAGTAATAAAATGCTGTGCACCAATTCTCCTCTCCTTACAAGTCGAGCTCATGTCAAAATCGACAGTGACCGGAGCACCTAGGACAAAAAAGTCTTTGCAACCCAGCCGAAAGGGGAAAAAGGCCTGGCGTAAAAATGTCGATCTAAAAGATTTAGAAGAAGGATTGGAAGAACGGAGAGGAGAGGAAAGATTATTTGGGGGTGCTCTCAGTGAAAAGCCCGACTTGGATCTTTTCCAGATTGACAAAGAGGGCGATGAAAACTGTAAGCTCTTAATCTTGCTTTAATTTTATACTCAGTGAGAATCACAGTGCGCTCGATACTTCCCAAACCCAAACCGTCCCAATTGACCTCGCTGAAAATTCTTTCCGAACGAAGCGCAGTTCCTGCTGTCTTTTCCAGGACAACTGGTGATGCGAATCGCAAACATCATCTTTCTCGAGAAGAAAAAGATCGATTACTGAAAGTAGGAAAACGTCAACGGAAAGGTCCCTTCGGCGCCATTGTCGATGACCGCGATGGCTGGTCCTCGGGTGCCGCAGCCTCTGGAGGTCAGTTAGGTTTGTAGTGAAATAGCAGGGCTTGACTCATCTCCCACAGGTGTTTCGGAGGCAGTGAAGTCGGCTGGTCATTATGATCCATGGGCCACTTCGCCTCCATTACTCCCCGAATCCATTCCTCTTCCTATTGCAAACCTTCCTCCGTCGCATGCGCCATTACAAACATCCGAGATATCCACCAACCCTCGAAGCCTTATTTCCCTACCTGCTGTACCTTTACCGCATGCTGGGACATCTTACAATCCACCCGTTCAAGCGCATACGGAGCTCTTACACCGTGCTCATGATCAAGAGGAAGTTCGTTTGCGTGAAGACATACGGTGGAAAGAGATTGGCCAGGCTATAAAAGACGGAGTGACCACACAGCCAGATCTAGTCTCTGTTGTAGAAGAGATGGTTTCCCACAAACTTGAAGAGGACGTTGATAAAGAGGAAAAAGAGGAGGAAACCTTACCGCCGAGGAAGATTCCCCAGCGTAAAACAAAAGCGGAACGACGAAAAGCGACGAAGTTACTTGTGCAAAAGCGTATACTCGCCGAACGAGCGGCTAAACGACGCCAGCTATCATACTTGGCCGAGCTGAGTGCGAAACACTCGAGGCGGACGGGAAATTCACCAGCTTCTAAAGAACTTGTCCAACAGCGGAAGAAGGCGTCCCAGGAAAAGTTGAAAGCTGGAATTGTGGGTCAAAAGATTGGGAAACATCGCGTTCCAGAAACTCTTGTTGATGTACAGCTCGGAGATGAGCTGAGTGAGAGCTTGCGGGGGATAAAGGTATGTGATCTGTGCGTCCGTATTTCTGAATGATACTCATTGGAACATATAGGTTGAGGGTAATCTCTTCAAAGATCGATTCCTCAATCTACAACAGAGGGCGTTGATAGAGCCAAGACTCAGAGTTCTGTATGTATATTTTGGAACCTTTCTGCCAATACAAATGATTGACATATGAACACGATCTTCTTGTAGGCCGAAGAGACGTCGTGTTCGTATGGTGGAATACGAAAAACATGCCTGGAAGAAGTTTGACCGGGAGCAAGAGTCGTAAATGAGGAGGTCACTGGCGTTATACCTTCTTACTCCATGAGTGCTACATTCGCGTGATTGTAGATATGGTGCCTTGTCAAAAATACTCACAGAGCTGGCTGAGGGCTCTACTTGCTCAAAACAAGTAGACCGCAGATCCGGCCAACGACGACGGCGGTCGGAGTCCCATTGTGCCCTAAATACAGTAGTAATGAAAGCTCTCTACATATATATGCTCTCGCAATCCCCGCCCCGCACTGTTTCACCACCATGGCTTCTATCACCCAGATTTTCTCTGCTCTTTCTGCCGAATGTGTACCAATATGTGGTGCAAGCTTGGTAGGCGCCAAAAGGCGCCAAACTGGCGATGGCCAACACACCGCCCGGCTGACTTATATGTAGTACTCTGATAAGCATCCTCTATAAACGACTTTTCTCGGAATTGGCGACAATAAACGCCTAGAAGGTTTTCGCCCTGCACAGACTCTTGGGACGAATTAGGGCAAGTCTTATATGAATCAACCCACGAAGGCAAGAGAGAGGCTGTTTTGACTTCGACCAGTACTTCCAATTCGAGGTTTAGCGATAACAACATGACTCGTTCGTCTTTCGTTATCTCCATGCCCGGCAACGACTAATCGCTCTACTCATCAACAGATAACCTGAATTCAATTGTCGCTTTTCCATCTTCTAATCACCAGGACAGAACTTCCGTCTATTCTGTACAATCTTCGATCTCGACAAATTCTAACGATTCACTACCGCAGCCGCCGACTCTCCCTTATCTGCCTTTTAGACGAATATCTCTCCCTTCACTGCCTCCGAGCCAGAGCATTCAACATTCTCCTCTGCGCCGTCAAACCACCCAGCCCCTGCAGCCTCAGAGATCAAGTATCGCTAGTTTCGATTCTTTCCCCGCCATAGAGGAGAGAGAACGTCGGGAAAGTAACTCTACGGCAAGAAATCATCTGGTTCCGAAGAGTAGGAATTCTACAGGTTTCCCTAATTCGAATGTCACTCCCAGGAAAGGTCAGAGAAAGACTGCTGTTTCTATGCAGACGGACTCAAGGCCTCCTTCGATTTCACCAATGCGTCGAAAATCTCGGGGTCTTTCAGTCTTACCACTTGACGATCCTCTGCTGGTGAAGAGAAGAAAGGTGATGATAGAGTTCTACGAAACTGAAAAGGCCTACGTCGAAGGATTGGATTTAATTTACGAGGTGAATAAGGGTCTGATTTATCTACTAGAATAAGACTTTTGAACGTGTATCATTCAATTTACAGCACTTTCTCCTTCCCATCCTCAACTCCCTTGACAGACCTACGCCTATCCTCGAGAGACCGCTACTTACTGCTGTATTTAGCAATTTCGTCGATATCTGGAATCTTCATCACTCCTTCTATAGCGAACTTACAAGATTATTCTATGCGTCGGAACCGAAACGTTCTGATCTACCCTCGTCGAGTCTCAGTACAACTCAACTTCAAGAGCCAACTGATGATCAGACGTTCTCAGTATTCCCTTCTTCTCCGCCCCCTCTTTCTCCTGTCCTCCTCACTCACTTTCCCTACCTTTCGCTCTACACACCGTTCATTACTGCGTTCCCACAAATATTATCCGCTCTCAATACTCTGCTAACACCTACTCACTACTATCGACAGCGAGCTCAAGCGCAAACCCGTGCCGCTGCTCGTGCGCAATCTTCGACACCATCATCCATTACCTCCCCTTCAAAAGGCATTGAGCTCAAATACGAGAAACGTTTTGCAGATTTTGTAGCAACACAAGAAAAGCATCCACGCTGTGGAAAGTTGCAACTGAGGGATTGGCTATTGACTATCGTGCAGAGATGTCCAAGATATTTACTGTTGCTGCGTGATCTGCTGAGTTGCACACCGGGAGAGGCCCCATTGCCAGAGGAGGGAAAGGAAGGCGTACAGGAGAAGATGGCAGAAGACAAGAGAAGGTGGTATCGCGAAGCGTCGAAGGAAGAAGAAAGGGAGAGAGAACGATTGATCCAAGTATTTGGGCTGGTGTCGAAAAGTAAGCAACTACAGCTGGTTTTCGAAGCTCCTGTCAATATCTTTTACAGTAACAAATTCGCTCAACACTTCCATATGGTCACACTCTCAAACTCTTGCCCTACTCGCCCTTCAACGCTCTACGCCCAACCTTCCCTTAGATGAATTCCAGTTCATCTCCCCCGGACGAATTTTGCTTAAACGGGGAACACTCTTGCAGGTTGAAAATCCTGACGCTAGAGTAAGACGAGGGGAGAGCAAAGATGGCGACATGCGTCCTCGCGAAAGAGAATTCCTTCTCTTCTCAGATTGTCTTGTCTGGCTCGCAAACGAGGAGGCAGAAAAGAAAGAGAAGGAGTGGAATTTTGAACTTGATTTGGGTTCCATTTGGAGCTCATTTATGGGTAGTGGCACATCTTCGTCTGAGAAAAGTGTAGGCGTACAGAGACCAAGATCAGCTGCCTTGGTAAAATCTACACCGTCGATTGTCGAGGAAGAATTTGATATTGATACTATTGATAAACCTGACGACTATAACAGCTTGGACCACAAAACCCACGTAATCCCTGCATCTGCCATTCCTCGAAATCTCAAACGACCTCCTATGGTAAGGACAAGGAGCAAGAGTGAGGCAGAACTTCCCGCTCTACAAGGAAAAGCTGCAGTTCCGTCGACGTCACACGATAGCCCACCCTCTTCTGCTCAAACCCAATCTGCCTTAGCTGTTGACAAAAACGCTCGTCGAATAACTCATCAATCCAACTTCTCCCGTACCAACAAGAATCCCGTGCTACACATACATGGGAGGGGACGGAAGGACAGTTCTACCTCTCCTGGATACGGTGGTATGGATCAAGACCAGTGGTTATATAAGGGCAGAATTGAATTGGTTAACCTGGAGATTGTGGTCGATACTAGTTTTACTGTTGAGGACGAGCTTGAGGAGCTAGGCTCTGATACACTCAACGAGATCAAATGGAGGTGGGAAGTTTTGAGTCCTGAAGGAAGTTTTGTCTTATATGCTGGTGAGCACTACTTGCATACATTCATCACCCGTCCACGCACGATTTTGATTACTTCTCAAGCTTCAGTTCAAGAGCGCACGGAATGGACTACCCTTATCCGAAAAGCCAAGTCTCAACAGCTTGTTGCATTAAATGCTCAACATCCCAATTCGACTCTGACTTCGAGCGAAGCGACGCAACACATCCGTCGCGCTCTGCAGGCATTGCCATTTGCTCCGAATGACGTTCGAATGCAAGGATCTAAAGTCGAAAAGAGGCTGAGTAAAGGCAGCGTAGATAGTGGAGATGGAGCGAGCGTCGATGGCATGAAAGAAGGAATCAAGAAGGGCAAAGAACGGCTGAATTCTTCGAAGAAACATAGAAAATCTAGGTCGAAAGACCAAAAGGTTTCCAATCCTGATTGGCACAAGGAACGTAGGTTAAAAGTCGAGCATTGGGTTCCGGCGATCTGGATTCCCGATGAAAAGGCAGAGGGATGCATGCGCTGTGGAAGGATATTCGGATGGAGGAGAAGGAGACACCATTGCCGACTTTGTGGGCGATGTGTCTGCTCTTCCTGCTCAGAAAAGGCAAGGCATCAAATTACGCCTCAACTATCTTAAATTAACGCTGTCTCTGTTTCATAGACCTTCTATATCACAGATCCTAACATAAATGATGACGATGCATTTAGCAAGTCCGCTCGAGCGTGTAATGCTTGTTATGAATCTGTCTTCCCATTGATTGACCACCATTCTGATCCGGAAAACAAGGCAGACGATTCCACCGTCCGTTCAAGATCTCATCCTCCGCTAGCTCATTCCTCCGTCTCTGATTCAACATCCAGTTTCCTACCTCCCAGTACCAGCGCCATGACATATGTTTCCAATACAGACACCATAACTTCACTCTCTCATCTGCCTTCGTGGATGACTATGTCCGTACCTTCCCTTGCATTATCCTCGAGCTCCAATAATATTGGAGGCGGTGCAAGGATTAAGAGCAAAGGCAAGGAACTTTCAGGACCAGAGGCTCTGATGGCTATCGACAGCAAACGATATGGCTATGATCTCGAAGCACGGAGGCAGTCTGACAACTTAGGGGAAAATCGGTCGCGTAGAGATAGTGGTGTCGTGTTCGATTTGGATAGCTCGACAGATGATATCGCGTTGGATGATGTAGTACAACCACTCCGAAGGGGCTCACGTATCAAGTTACGCTCGCAATCTTCCTCTGGGTCTCGACCCAGAAGCTTTATAGAGGTCTTTCAATCGACTGGCGGGGGTGATACGCCTCAACCTCAAACTCTAATGCAATCCACTTCCCCTTTAGAAGAGATGGCTGAGTTCAATGAGGATACCATTGCAAGATTGGCATATGTGGACGGAGAGGACTCGTCTGTTCTGTCAAGCTCGTCTGTCAACAGCTCAAGGCGGCATACAACTATCAATCTCTCCACTTCAAGTTCCTCGGTCTCGTTGTCTATTTCGCCACCGATTTCTTCTGGGGAACTCAATGTCCAAGGAAGAAGTCTCCTTTATAATGCATCATTAGCAGAACGTAGAGAAGATACTGTACGCCGGAATAAGCGGTTCTCTATGCCTGCAGTCGCCCTTCAGACAACGAGCGTCGTTGCACGAACGCAGAGCATGTCACCGGAAACATCAGGGATGGTTTCACGCGAAAAGAGCGTTGCTTTCGTGGACAGTGGTTCTCCTCTAGGCAGAGACCAAGATGGGAAACGAGTCACTGGAAACAAAATTGGTGATCTTCTTCCTGGAATGTCTGGCACACGCTCGAAGAGGTTTTCCTTGGTTCTAGGAGGGCGTCTTGGACACTCGACTGGTATTCACACTGGTGGTCGCAATGACCATGCATCTCCAAGCAGTCGACGCAAAGGCGGGGGTGACGCCAAAAAAACACAGGAAGGGTCAGATCTAGGGAAGGGAGTGGCGGCGAGTAGACTAAATGAACTTTTAGGAAGATCCAAACATAGCGAATGAACACTTTGAAGTTTGAAGGATATTGTTATTTCATTGTATTGTTACTATACTCTGTTTGAAACCGCCGATTTGGGCGTTTACCTGGCGCTCATCGGCCTTGCTGACTAATTTCGTCGTGAAATCTCGGACTCGCACGTCTTGCTTGTTTTCCATCCATATTTACGATGCTCGGTCGCGTTCTGAAAAGCGCTGCGCGCAGCCAAGTGAGCTACCTGATATTCTTCTGTTCTTGCAATATCTAATATATTTTTCTACAAGAGGGGCTTGCGGTCGTTCGCTACCACGACAAATTTAGGCCCCTTCACTGAAATTTCTACGCTTTCGAATGGCCTAACTGTCGCGACAGAATCTCAACCTCATGCTCAAACTGCTACAGTCGGCGTCTGGATAGATGCTGGGTCCCGAGCAGAAACTGACAAGACCAACGGCACCGCTCATTTCCTCGAGCATATGGCTTTCAAGGGCACTGGTCGTCGGTCGCAGCACGCTTTGGAACTTGAAGTGGAAAATATTGGCGCACATCTGAATGCTTACACCTCTAGAGAGCAGACCGTCTACTATGCCAAAAGCTTCAGCAAAGACGTTCCTGTTGCCGTCGACATCATCAGTGATATTTTACAAAACTCCAAGCTAGAGTCTGGGGCAATTGAGCGAGAACGAGATGTAATCCTGCGGGAGCAGCAGGAAGTCGACAAACAACTAGAGGAGGTTGTATTCGACCACCTTCACGCGGTTGCTTTCCAGGGTCAGCCGTTGGGTCGCACTATCCTAGGGCCAAAGAATAACATTCTCTCCATACAACGCGACGACCTTGCTTCCTACATTCAAACCAATTATACTGCTGACCGTATGGTGCTCGTTGGGACTGGTGGTGTTGACCATCAGTCTCTGGTCAAGCTCGCTGAGAAGCACTTTTCGTCTCTTCCTGTTTCTGCCAATCCCCTTGCTCTCGGACGTCTATCATCAGAGCGCAAACCAACCTTCGTAGGCTCAGAGGCTCGTATCCGTGACGACGAATTACCCACTGCTCACGTTGCCATTGCCGTGGAAGGTGTTGGTTGGTCCTCGCCCGACTACTTCCCAATGATGGTTATGCAATCCATTTTTGGCAACTGGGACCGTTCTCTAGGAGCATCATCTTTGCTTTCCTCTCGTCTGTCTCACATCATTTCCTCCAATAGTCTTGCCAACTCATTCATGTCCTTCTCAACCTCCTACTCGGACACCGGACTTTGGGGTATTTATCTTGTTTCCGAAAACCTGATGAACCTGGACGACACGCTGCACTTTACGCTCAAAGAATGGACGAGGATGAGCATTGCCCCTACCGAGGGTGAAGTTGAGCGTGCCAAGAGCCAACTCAAGGCAGGTCTTTTGCTAAGCCTCGATGGAACCACGGCTGTTGCCGAAGATATTGGACGACAAATTGTTACCAGTGGCAAACGGATGACACCTGCTCAAATTGAGAATGCAGTAGATGCTGTCTCTGTTGATGATATTAAGCGTGTCGCACAGAAATACCTTTGGGACAAGGACGTAAGTGGTTTTCCACATTTCAGTGTTTGCGATGTTCTGAGTGATTACTTTCATTCAGTTTGCTCTTGCTGCTTTTGGAAACATCGACGGATTGAAAGATTATGGACGTATTCGTAATGATATGTCCTCGATGTTGTACTAGATTTTAACCTTGTCGCATTGTTGCTTTACTTGAACAGTAAATACTAAAAGTAATGCGTTCGTTCTGTTGCACGAAATTGCTATGACGGATGTCCGATGTCGAGTGTGAGAATTTTTTACATTGTGCACTCTGAGCTTCCACCATCATATTTCTCTGACTTCTAGTTCTCTTCCGCTGTATACGGGGCACGGTGATACTGCGATGTTTGACGAAAACCCAAGTGAGTAACGTACTGCTCTTCTAGTACTCTCGTCTTAAAATTTGACAAGATTCTGTAATGCAACATGACAATCGTTCCGTGCCATATCTGCCCTCTGAGAGAGCTCCCGATACTGTACCTCCTCTTCCAACTTACGAAGCCGCTGTCGAATCCTTTTCAAATCTCGCTATTAATGATGCTCGTAGAGATCCAATCCCTCGCTCGACATCGTCCATGTCAATGCGCTCCCTACAGTCCATCCAGCCTCCTCAACATCAGCGAATGATGGACCCGTCCCGACATGCTAACGGCCTTCCTCCTGCTCCAAACTATGCTCGGACGCATGCCAACCATGAGCCAATATCACCTCGTAGGGATAATTACCCTGAAAGTGACCGAATGACTGTTTCATCTCACGATGACCAGTCTATCGCGTCTCCGGACAGTTTTTCATCGAGCCAATCGACTCAATCTTGGGCTGGATATGCGCAGCCTCCTCAACATGGCTGGCCTTCCAATGGCTATGATCCATACATGTCGGCCGCTTCCAGTGTACTTGGTATGGCTCCTCCGCCAGGTCAACAATATCCTCCTTCTCAAGGACCGTATAATCCCAACCTTCAATACCACCAATATGCCAATAGTCAAGTATCTCTTGGCTCTAATCATTCTGGCTCGTATGCTGCCGGCTATGCAGCTTCCGTCGCGTCTTTTCCTCCTCCCAACGGCCGTGCCACGCTTCCGCCTGTATCAGATACCGCTTCTGAAATTGAGCCACGCCCCTCACTCGCCAGAGGAGAATCGCTGCTACCTGCTACCAACAAATCTAAGGCTGTCGATCTCTCTACTCCACCGTATACTAAACAGTACATCGATTCCTATCGGCAGCGTATCAAAGGAGATCCCGATCCTGAGGCACATTTTCTATACGCCAAATATCTTATTGACGCTGCCAGGAAGATCAGAACGAGCTCCAAGGATCAGCGTTCTGCAAAAAAATACTCTGAGCTGTTAATCGGAGAAGCTTTGAAAGTTGTCCGACGGTTAGCTACTCAAGGAGATGCATATGCTGAAGCCCAGTTCTTTTTAGCAAACTGCTTTGGAACAGGTGCATTGGGCCTACAGGTTGATCACGAACGAGCATATCATCTCTATCTGCAGGCTGCAAAGCAGAATCATGCTGCCGCTTCGTATCGAGTCGCTGTGTGTAACGAAATTGGTGCCGGTACACGGAAAGAACCTCCTCGAGCAGCTGCCTTCTACCGCAAGGCGGCTTCGCTTGGTGACACCGCCGCTATGTACAAGCTTGGAATGATTCTCTTGCAAGGGCTTCTCGGAGAGGCTAAGAATCCGCGAGAAGCGGTCGGCTGGTTACGACGGGCGGCAGAGCAGGCTGACGAAGAGAATCCACATGCACTTCACGAACTTGGTCTTCTCTATGAGATGCCGAATTCTGGGTTGGTTCCACATGATCCCATACAGGCGAAGAACCTTTTCACTCAGGCTGCACATCTGGGCTATACACAATCACAGTACAAATTAGGGCAATGCTACGAGTATGGGGCTCTTTCATGTCCCGTTGACCCGCGTCGTTCAATAGCATGGTACACCAAGGCCGCAGAGAAAGGAGATCCCGAAGCTGAGCTGGCTTTGAGCGGATGGTATCTGACTGGGAGTGAAGGTGTATTGAAGCAGAGTGATAATGAAGCGTATCTTTGGGCTCGCCGTGCTGCAAACAAAGGGTTGAGTAAGGCTGAGTATGCCGTTGGTTATTATGCAGAAGTGGGGATAGGTATCAATCAAGACATCGAATTCGCAAAACGTTGGTATATGCGAGCTGCAGGTATGTGGTGTAATGCTGTATCCAGACCTATTCTATTGCTGATTCTTGTGGATGACATCTGTAGCTCAAGGTAATAAACGAGCGATGAACAGGTTGACAGAGATGAAACGTATGGGCAACAAGCGAATGAATATCGTTCGCCCAACTCGTCAACAAGCAAAGGATGAGTGTGTAATCTGCTAGTACATATCTTTTAATGACAACCATGTCTCCAATACCATGACTTTCCATGTAAAAGGCGAAAGATAGCGAAAGATAGAGAATCCATAATAAGAGCTAATCCTTCCAAGTCCATACTTCTACTATTCGCTCAATGCGTTCGCGTTCGACGACATTCTCGGCTTTCCGCCGTACCTTGGTGATCACATTCTTCCTACTGCTGACTTCGACTGCTGGTTCGGTTTCCGATCCTTGATTATTGTCCCACTCTATCCATTTGTTTATCTCTTCGCTCTTTCCAAGATGAAGTGTTTTGGAATCAAATTCTGCCTTCGTTTCCAAGACAGTGTCCCATCCTTTTGGTCGGAAATTCCTGAACTTCGGAGGGCTGTCTGACCGCATCCTTTTGCGTTTATGCATATGTCCAACGCCATTTGGTGCGTACTCATCATCGCTGACGTTACCGCTTGCATGTCGCAGTCTCCACGCCAACTCTCGCGCCAGTGCAGGTCCATCCTTCACCCTATCATGAGGTATCTGCTCCTTTGCCTCTTTCTTGGCCTGCACTGATCCTCTTTCAAGCGCGCGAGTTTCCGACAGCAAAAAATCTACCAACGCTGCTAAAGAATCAAGAATCCTGAATGATGGTACGTTTCCACTCTTGAGGTCTTTCATATATTTGTCGCCCACATACCAAACAAGTCTATTTCAAGTAGTCAGTAGAACTGATAACTATCCATCTATCTCACTCACTTGGTGAACATTGGAAAACGAAACTTTTTTGGGACCTGTGTTCGAATTTCAATATCCCGCACTTTAAGCTCTACGCTCAAAACTTCTGGTTCATAAGCTTTGCCAAAATACATTTTCAGGACTTACGAGTCGGAATATCGTAGGAATGCAGAAAGTTACCGCCGAAGACCAATGTGTCTTGAGGCGTATACTGAAAACATAAGAATTGAGCATATTGTATGACATGACACTCACCACGGCATGGATCCACCCTGTTGGAATGATCATCGTGTTTCCTGCAGTCAGTGTAACTTTCACGACCTCATCGACTAGATCTCCTAGCCATGTATTATACTGAATTTCAGTCCCTGACCACCGTTCGTACGCGGCTAAGTTGGCAGATGTCGGTTTGATGAAATAAAATATCTATGCCAAACAGATCAGCTCTACACTAAATTTTGAGCATGATTAAAATAATACTTTGGAGCCGTGCATGATGTGGTAGTAAACAGAGGAGCCAGCAAAGTCAATATGCCAATCCTATTGTCAGGCAAAATCAAAACATGAGTTGAGCTAGATATTACAAGACTCACTGTCCATGCACCTTGCACTCCCATCAAGCAATACAACTGGACCTTTGGATACGTATGCCCCTTGCCTTTCCGGGTAGAAGGCCAAAAGTTTTCCACCCAATCGAGCTCTCTAACCAACCGCGGAGGGAGAATTCTGTCAGCAAGTAGCGTGCCTGAAATCTCCAGTGATATGACATTGAAAATCTTGTCCCGCTGGTGAGGCTCAAGGTTGTAGTATTCAACCCACTGCCCGACAGTCCAGCCTGGAGCGTTCGCTTGGGAAGCGACATCTGTTGTCCGATTGTGGTTATCAGCCATTCGAGCGGAGAAAGGAATAAACATACCGATAACTTCAATTGGATTCTTCTCTCCGACCAATAACCCAACATCGTCTACGGTGAAATTCTCATCTGGCATGTTCATGCCTAATCCCTCCGGACTTTCAATGACGATTGGCTCTTTCATAGCGCTCTCATTTTCCTCGACCCACTCCAACCCCACCTGACTGCCTTCCATTCTTCGAAACGAATCATCTTTTATTTCCTTGCCCTCCATCATATTCAGAAATCTTTTGGGATCAGAATTGACACCTGCTTCTATGTTGGCATAGTTTTTGGTTGTTCGTTTTCTGTCCGACTTTCGAGCAGGAGCTCGGAAAGTAATCGCTCGCTTTCCCGTGGTATCCGTTGTCAAGCAGGTCTTGCAGAACCTTTTTCTTGTGATTGAATTCAAATGTTATTGTAAACGGTGGTCCTCACTGACCATTTGTCGATTGTGTCGAGGTCAACCCCTTCACCCGTGCACCTCCAATGATACCAGACCTTGCAAGCACCACACATTGCCCATTGTTCATTCACCTCGTCATCTAATTGGGCAATAGTTTCCGGAGTACAAGCCGGACAACGGTCGTCTGCTAGTTTGGTTTCAGGAGATTCGTTATTCGTTGCTTCAATTTGATCCTTGGTAGCATCATTCTCAGGGCTCCCTTCAGTTGGATTATGGCCGTTCGAGCGCGTAGAACGACGTCCAGAAGCCATTGATAATGGGATCGAGGAAGTTGACCCGTGAGAATAAGGTAAACTCTAGATTCGTTCTCTAATCTCATGTACAGTAAATACATAGTGGCCGACGAAGATGTTTTTAATTCAAAGTCCTTCAGTATTTAATATTTGTTTAATAGTCAGATCTTCTCGCTGAGCTCTGCGACACCTGGGAGTATCTGAGTGGTTGTGAGATCCAATGAACACAGTACTCAAAGAATGTATGGGTCTTACCTTGCCCTCCAAAAGCTCGAGACTAGCACCACCACCAGTACTAACGTGGCTAAGCTTGTCTTCACTCTTGTGCTGAGCAACCAAAGTAGCAGTGTCACCGCCACCGACAATCACAACTGCGCCTTTTGACGCAGCCTCGATATTGGCGTCGAGAAGAGATTTAGAACCAGCAGAAAAAGCGGGGAATTCAAAGACACCAGGAGGACTGGAAAAGAGATCTTAATCTTGTGAATATCAATGATACGATCCGACATACCCATTCCACAGAATAGTTTCAGCTTCAAGCACAGTTTGTCGGAATAATTCCTGACTCTTGGGTCCGGCATCGAGACCCATCCATCCGTCAGGAATGCCCTCGGTTTCACTTGCGGTCCCCGTCTATAAGGTAATGTTGGAAAAATATACTACTGACCACAACGAACTTACCGTAGCATCCTTGTCAAACTTATCGGCTGTGATATAGTCAACTGGGAACACAAGCTTAACGTTGTTCTTCTTGGCCTTCTCTACCAGACCTTTGACCTTTTCGGATCCTGGGGCGTCGAATAAAGAGTTGCCAATCTAGAATAAAATGAGACAGTGAGGGGAAATCTAATGGAAGCTACTCTCACAGAGATGTTCTCCAGTGTCTTTTTGAAAGTAAAGGCCATTCCTCCACAGATGATTAAAGAGTTCACCTATCAAGAGGATAAGGACACGCTCTTGGGAAGCACAGACTAGGTAAGTACCTTATCAAGCATGTTCTCAATCAACAGGATCTTGTCCGAAACCTTGGCACCACCAAGTATAGCAAGGAACGGGCGCTCAGGTTTCTCGAGTGCTTTAGCGAAGAATTCAAGTTCCTTCTTGACCAAGAAACCAGCAGCTCTCTGTGGGAGCTTAACGCCGACCATACTTGAATGCGCACGGTGGGCAGTGCCAAACGCGTCGTTGACATATACGTCACCAAGCTTCGTAAGTCCATCGCGAAATTCAGTGACCTTGGCAGCATCAGCTTTGGTCTTCGTTCCGTCCTTATTCTTCACAGATCCCTCCTCCTCGATGTGGAATCGTAAGTTTTCGAGGAGAATGACTGATCCTAAGGAAGCTGAAGAGACGGCATTCTCAACCTCGGGACCAACACAGTCCTTCAAGAAGGTGACTGGTTTGCTAATAAGAGATTCGAGTTCGGCGGCAACAGGTTTAAGGGAGTATTTTTCGTTCACTTTGCCGTCAGGACGTCCAAGATGGGACATCAAAATGACCGCAGAAGCTCCTAGATGTCGTGTCAGAGCAAACGCAAGGATCCAGAAATATGGTTGTGACCATTCTCAAGGGCATATTTAATGGTGGGCAATGCAGCTACAATACGCTGTAGGTAATGTAAGTACTCAGCATATTATACAAAACAAGATTTCGCAGATCGATAAGGACTTACAGCGGGGTTGGTGATCTTTCCATCCTGCAGAGGAACGTTGAAGTCAACACGAATAAGTACGCGTTTCCCTTTGAGATCGAGGTCAGTAATGGAAAGCTTGTTGGAAAGGGACATGATAAAGAGCCTAGAGGAGTTGTTCAAATTTGTAGGGAAAAATCCGGCTCGGATTTATAGTCAGTCGTGGGAAACTTTCTGAGTCTAGCCTCCTTGTTCTTTCCTTTCTCTGGATTCGATGGAGAACTCCCTCCATCTCGACTTGAACAGCCTTACTCTAGACTCTTCCAAGAATGCAGAATCCACAGTGCCAGCCACTTCCGTAGAAGATGTCTCTTCTACACAGTCTGAGTCTCCAGACTCTTCGGAGAAGCCATCAGATAAATCTCCAGAGGTTGCCGTTCCCGAATCCAGGGAACGGAAAAAACCCTATGTGAATCCTGAACGCGTCAATACTGGAGGCTCTCAACGAGTGAGCTCCCATATCTATTTATTTTGAACTGCAAACACAAACAACTACAGGACAAATTAAGTGAGGAAGAATTAACTGAGCGTATGGAACGTATCCGACAACAAAATGAAAAGATCAAACAACGTAGAGTGGTAGGCTTCCATTATATCACCTATAACGAAATTTATTCACCTACCTACATTCAGGATGTTCAAGCGGACGAAGACGCTTTCCGAAAGACCCAGCAGAATGAAAGGGCTAAGATGGCTCGAATTCGCAAGGTTCAGGAATCCGTCAATAATACTCGAGAGCAGAACGCAAAACGGAAAATGGACAAAATACAGAGTCGAGAATGGGACTCAGGCAAGCATTCACCGGGAGACTGGAAGGCACGAAATCAACCTACGCAGACCAGCCCCCCCAATGAATCACAAGAAGCTGACGGTACTTCTGTGTCATCGAGTCAGTGGGCGAGAGGAGGAAGTGCTGGTAGAGGCTCAATCAGAGGTCGAGGGAGAGGAAGAGGTTCAAGAAGGGGAGGAAGACCAGTGACTCCTGCAGAAGTGTCTGACCTTCCTGACTCTGGCGAAGCTCCTGGCGCTGGTTGGGAACCTTGGGGAGATATCGCAGAATCCAAACCATTAGTTGATGAATCAGAAGATGTTGTAGCATTATGAAACATAAAAAAGATTTTCATTGAGAATAGTTGTGTAACCTATAGTTTATATTCGCATACGGGGTTTCAACGGAAACAGATGACAACGCATATCTCGCGTTTACTTCCATGACATTGATGTCGAAACTTTCTAAACCACCTACGCTGAAACCGTTCAAGCTCGCACTTATACAGCTGGGCAATATCAGCTCCAACAAGAATGACAATATCAAACATGCGCGCGAAATGATCATGAAGGCTGCCTCCGCGAAGCCTGATCTGATTGTCCTTCCAGCGAGTATATATCTGCTCGCCAACGTATGTGCTCTCACAAAAACATTCAGGAGTGCTTCAATTCTCCGTACGGGCACGTCCATTTCCCAGTATACGCTGAGAAGATAGGGTTCACCCCTGGGGAACCATATGATATTGGCAAGAGTGAAAGCGAGTCTGTCAAAATGTTATCATCCGCCGCAAAGGAATGTAATATTTGGTTAATCGGAGGTAGGTTAGCGTTGAGCTTGGGAACGGGCATTCATTATCTAGATTTCCAGGCTCAATTCCTGAACGAGATGCCAGCTCTGATAATGTGTTTAACACCTGCACGGTGTATAATCCACAAGGTTAATGGTTCCGTTGTTTTTCCAAACGATTTGAAAGATGTTGACGACAAGCGGGGAATTTCAGGAGAGCTTATTGCATACCACCGGAAAGTCCACTTGTTTGATATCGATATCCCTGGAAAGATCAAATTCAAAGTAAGTCGTAGTAGTTAAGGGGGCGAGGATGCATTAAGAACTGTTCTACTATCCAGGAGAGCGAAACCTTGACTGGGGGCACTACTCTCAACTTTTTTGACACTGGTGAGCTCATGCTTTCTTATTATCAACATCCCTAAAAATCGAAGCCCTTCAGAATTTGCCAGGATCGGTTTGGGGATCTGTTATGATATCAGGTTCCCCGAGCTGGCGATGATCTCAGCTCGCCAAGGTCAGACACTTTCTTCTTCCCTTTCGACGCTGATTGTCCACTAGGCTGTCAGGTCCTCGTTTATCCAGGCGCATTCAATATGACTACCGGACCTCTCCACTGGGAGTTGTTACAGCGTGGACGGTAGATCAAGTTCACCTTGTCTAACTTCTACATACTGAGAAGTATTTTCAGCGCCGTTGACAATCAAATCTTTTTTTCTATGTGCAGTCCTGCTAGAGACACAACCGCAGGATACCACGCAGTTTGTTGATTTCTTGGAACTGAAAATATGCAACCTGACGTTCTTGGTAGTGGGGCCACTCCATGGTTGTTGACCCAATGTATGTTTTGTCTCAATGTTCGAACAATTTCAGCTTATATACCTACAGGGGAAAGGTACTTTGTGAAGCCGAAGAAGGAGAGCAGATTATGTTCACAGAAATCGGTACGTGGCTATTCCAAATATCCCAAGATATAGATGGTATGACTTGACGCACTTGTTGAAGACCCGGTGGTTTTCAATGAAGCTCGAGGTGGAATCCCCGTCACAAAGCAGCGCCGATTTGATGTCTATCCCGATGTTTCTGTAGGAAAGTAGAGAAAATAATAAGGAAATGAAGAGGTTGCCTGTTTTGTATGGTGATGGAATACCATGGATGGTTGTGGAATGATCGCGATTAACGGTTATGTAACAAAAAAAGCTGGGGCGCTGCCATTAACTTTGTTACTTACACCTTTTACTACTTACCTTCACTCTCATATCTTTTGCCAGTCATGGTTCGAGAAACGTATGCTCATTGCCTTTGTATCTGCGTTAGTTCTGACTTTTCTATCACATTCCCAGTAAATTTTATGATCTTCTTGATGTATCGCCCAACGCCTCAGAATCCGATTTGAAAAAAGCCTACCGCAAAAAGTAAGACGTTTCTCGTTGCTGCCTTGTCATTGTCTTGACATTCTATTCCCTCAGGGCTTTGCGGTTACATCCAGATAAAGGTGGAGATCCTGAGTTGTTCAAGGAAGTGACACACGCGTACGCATGGCCAACATGACTATTTTCCTTTCTGTTGAACGACGTGCAGATATGAAATTTTATCCGATTCCGAGAAGAGAAGCGTTTATGATGCGAGAGGAGAAGCTGGGTTATCAGAAGCTGGTGGCATGGGTGGTATGGACCCTCAAGTACGTTTTCAGCGTTTTAAAAAAACAAACCACTGTAGCTGATGTGTATTTTCACAGGATTTATTCAGTTCACTCTTTGGTGGGGGCGGGCTCTTCGGCGGAGGAGGAGGAAGCTCACGGGGAGGGCCTCGTAAAACCAAAGATCTTGTTCATCGGGTACACGTCACCCTCGAAGATCTGTACAAGGGGAAAACCACGAAATTGGCTCTCACACGGAACGTTATCTGTTCAAAGTGCAAGGGCAAAGGTGGAAAGGAGGGCGCCACCAAGACTTGCAATGGCTGTAATGGTCGTGGTGTCAGAGTCACCTTGCGACAGATGGGACCCATGATTCAACAGATCCAGTCCGGTTGCGATGAATGTGGAGGCTCTGGCGAAACGATATCAGCAAAAGATCGGTGCACACAGTGTAAAGGAAAGAAAGTCCTCCCAGAGAAGAAATTCCTCGAGGTTCACATTGATAAGGGTATGAAAGGCGGACAGACAATTCAATTTCGAGGTGAAAGCGATCAGTCTCCAGGAGCTGAGACGGGAGACGTTGTCATCGTCATCGAGGAAAAGCCACACGAAAGATTCAAGCGTCAAGATAACGACCTTCTCATTGACGTTGAGATCGATCTCCTCACTGCACTTGCTGGGGGTGAATTTACCATTAAACATCTCGATGATCGTGCGCTACTGGTTAAAATTGAACCCGGTGAAGTGATAAAACATGGTAGGTCTTTTATTTGGCTCCTGCGTTGGCTAGTGCTTTACTTCTGTCATTCGCAGGCGAGCTGAAGGTCATTCATGGCCAGGGTATGCCATCTCATCGACACCACGAACCAGGAAATATGTATGTGAAGTTGAACGTCGTGTTTCCCGACTCCATAGCTGTGGAAGCCATACCACATCTCGAGAAAGCACTTCCACCCCGGACACCACCTCAGACTTTCCCCCACAACATTGTCGTCGAGGAGGTTTCCCTTCAGCAGAGCGATTTACGCTCCACCCCCCGGGAATATCAGGACGATGCAATGGATGAGGATTCCGAGCCTCGCGTCCAATGCGCAAATCAATAGATTTTTCCATGTGCGTTCCATTTGGTCGTAGTTATTTTAGATTCTGTTGTATCGTACTGCTTTTACTTCATACATATATCTACCACGTTGTCTGAGACAGTATGAGCCCGGAGCAGGGTGGTTATTGCTTTTAACAACCTACCTCGGGGTCCTGTTTAAATTGTTCGTAGAGGTCACGATTGAAGAAACTGACTTCCGTTTCGTTTTCTGAAGTAAGGTGATTGGAAAATAACGTTCAAGTTGGAACTCTTAGGATAGACGAACCAAATCCAGCATCGGCAAGTGTGCTGTCGTCAGCCAGAATCCACTCATCATGGTCAAGATTTATGATAAGGTTTGTAGTCTGAACAAGGGTAAGATAAATATTTCCTAGAGAATATACACTTACCTTGGCCCCGTGAGCTTGTGTGTAAAGCTTCAAAGTATCTATGAAGTCATGTAGTCAACTTCATTTGAGTTCTTTCCGAGTATAGACCCACCCAGTTGAACATTCCGATACGGCTTCCATCCAGGCTGCGTTTGAATGACTAGAGGTATTATTTCTCTGATCGCGTCACAAGCAGCGCGATCTACCTTGACGAGAAATATCTTTGAGTTGACCGACAGTTGTGGTTTCGAGATTGATATCTTGGAGGACCAAACTACGTTCCGTACGATATCGAAATGATTTGATAACTCGGACGGTAAGAGTCGCAGAAGTTTTTGGTCGAGCAAGGTTTGTAGGAATGTCCGAGAAATCAGTGTAGGTCGCCATCGATGGCGCAAAAGAGAAAGCGGCAGCACAGTATTTGCGGAGTTTTTCCGTTCGGCCCGGACTGTGTACTTAAAGTAGAACGGTGATGACCTTGTCATTAACATGTATCCATCCATGTCTCGTTCATTCACCGTAGCGGATGTTGATGACCTTGTTACAAAGCTGCAGACTGAGGAGAAAATCTCCCTCTTGGGAGCTCCGAACTGGTGGAATACTACTCCAATTCCCCGTCTAGATATTCCATCCATCCGTTGTAGTGACGGGCCAAATGTAGGTTACGTCGCTCTAATCAAACAATTTCCGCTCTAAAATGTGTCGAAGGGCGTTCGGGGATCTTCTCATTTTGCATCTACTCCCGCTCAATGTCTTCCGGTGCGCAGAGAATCCACTATCAATATATTGAGGTTGATTTTACTTTTAGTGTGCTACTTCTTTGGCATCGACCTTTGATGTCGACTTAATTCGAAGAGTAGGAGAATTCCTTGCTGCAGAGGCAAAGATCAAATCCTCAGTCATCTTGCTTGCTCCGACATGTAATATTCAACGCTCACCTCTTGGAGGGAGAGCTTTTGAAAGTTTCTCTGAAGATCCTTACTTATCAGGTATTTTTGTAAGGGCTGCAGTCTATTGTCCACTAAGACAAGAGCCAATAAACATAGGAATTATGGCTTCTGCCTATGTCAATGGTCTTCAATCGCAAGGAGTCTCTGCAGGTGAAGCCTGCCGACACTTGAGGTTTGATTTTGACTAATATATTCATTCCTTAGCCATTAAACATTTTGTTGGGAACGATCAAGAGCACGAGAGGACTGCCGTTGAATCTGTAATGTCTGACAGGGCTTTGCGAGAAGTATACTTGTACCCGTAGGCTCTTCTGCACACATCTTGTCACTCTGTCCATTGAAATCTTCCATAGTTTCATGCTGGCCCAGAAGCTCGCCAAACCTTGGGCTTTCATGACTTCGTGAGTCTGCCACTTTATTCGGGATCTAGATTGGCAATTGTTAAATGCTGATTCAGATATGGACGTATTCATGGTGTTCACTGCTCCGAAAATCCCGAATTACTGCAAGATATACTTAGAAATGAATGGAAATTCAAAGGCATCGTCATGAGCGATTGGTGTGTACTCGTTGACAATGATCTCTCAAATCAATGATGCATTTGTGTTTTGTAGGTATGGTACGTATGGAGTAGACCAGCCAATCAATGCTGGTTTAGACCTGGAAATGCCTGGACCTACCCGTTGGAGAACACCTACTCTCGTTAATCATGTGTTGACCGCTCAGAAATTATCACCCTCAACGCTAGATGACCGTGTCAGAAACATGCTATCATATATACAACAACAAGTCCGTCTCAATCCTGAAGTTGTCTACGGTGATGGTAAAGAGCGGACCCGCGACACTCCAGAAATCCGACAATTTTGCAGAACTTTAGCGGCTGAGGGAATTGTCCTGTTGCAGAATCGGAATAAAGTCCTTCCTTTACTCCCAAATCGTGTACGTAAGCTTGCGATTGTGGGCCCTAATGCTAAAGGAAGTGTCATATCCGGTGGAGGATCCGCTGCGCTCAAGGCTAGCTATATAATCACACCGTATCAAGGCATACAGCAAGGCGCTTTTGATGACTTACAAATATCTTATACCATTGGATGTTATGGTCAGTCTTCGAAGCATTATGTCAAAGTGTATTAACCATGTAGCATCCATCTGTTCGTTTTTTTGATAGCCCATAAATATCTTCCGACGCTCGAAAATCATCTGGAGACCCCGAACGGAGACCCTGGCTGGCTTGCGACGTTTTACAGTCATGCAGAAGACGGCGAACTCACTCCACCAGTCGCAGAATTTGTCTTGAACGATACTCGAGTAAAACTCAACGACTTCATTCCTGCAGGCCTCAGCGAAAATTGGACACTCAAAATGAGTGGAAGGCTATCTGTTGATAACACAGCACCATTTGAACTCGGTTTAACAGTCGCAGGTAGGAGCGACAGTGCTTCCTCATTTCTCCGTCGTTGAACAGTGAATGATAGGAAGAGCGAAGCTTTGGATTGACGGAGAGCTGACCATCGACAATTGGACCAAGCAAACTCCGGGTGACTTCTTCTATGGGTTCGCATATATATAATTACGCGTGTTTAATTTTTTATCTAACTATAGACATACAGACAAGGCACAATCGAGGAAAAAGCAACTGTGAAGCTAGAAGCAAGGAAATCAGTAGATGTACTCGTCGAATATACCAACTCGTATCCGCCTCCCGATCAAAATGATGAAGGAAAGACTGTACCCAATGCGCAACCTGCGTTAATGCGCGGGCTGGTGAGCTATTTGACAAGTGTACTGAATAATGACTTGCACTAACCTACCTCGCAGCGGTTAGGTGGCTGCGAGAAGATCGACGCTGAACTTGCGATAGCGGACGCCGTAAAATTAGCCGAGAGCTCAGATGCAGTAGTTTTCATTGGTGGCCTGACTCCGGAATGGGAGAGTGAAGGTTTCGATCGGCTTTCATTGGACTTGCCTGGGATGCAGGCAGAGCTTATTGCGAAACTTGCTGCGGTCAATCCGAACACTATAGTTTGTATCCAGGCGGTCAGTAGTATTATTCTTGCGAGGTTCGAGGCCAACAGAAATTTCAGGGATCTGCCATCGCAATGCCGTGGAAGGACGAGGTAGCAGGGATTTTGCAAACTTGGTATTTGGGGAACGAGGTTGGAAACGCAATTGCAGATGTACTCTTTGGGAAAGTCAATCCCTCCGGTCGCTTACCGCTTACATTTCCGAAAAGAATAGAAGACATCGCAGCGTATCCCAACCTCCGTAGTGAACACGGTAAGATTTACTACCGCGAAGATCTAATGGTTGGGTACAAGCATCATCTCAAGCAAAAAATTGAGCCGTTATTCAGCTTTGGGTGAGTAGCTTATGCTTGAGTGGATTTATATCCAATGTTCACTGTTCTCCGAAACCCCTCAATGTAGGCATGGCCTATCGTACACCAGTTTCGAGCTTCTTGACTGTATTGTAAAACAAACTGGGACAGATATCGAAACATCTGTCCGGCTACAAAATACAGGAGCAATCGCCGGATCAGAGGTTTTGCAATTATACGTGGCTTATCCCGACAAGGGAATAACTCATCCTCCGCTGCAATTGAAGGCGTTCGCGAAAGTTCATGATGTAGCGGCAGGGCAAGTTTCCACTGTCAAACTAAAGTTGGACAAGTGGGCATTCTCATACTGGGATGAGAAGAAGAATCAATGGAAGGTGGACGCTGGCCATTATGCACTGTATCTTGGTTTCAGCTGTGAACACATAATTTGTGAGAAGATTATCAAGCTCGGAAACACGCATAGTTGGACTCAATTGTAGGTATGAATATAAGTATGTAAATCGCAACTGTAAAAACTCATAGTTAGGGTCGCTGTATTTTTATGTTGTAAAAGGTTGTAAACCAGTGCAAACCCGATCAACTTGAAGTGTCTTGGTGTCGTCACTGTCTTGGGCGGCGGAACAGAACTGTTTTTTTGAATTGTTTCTTGTCTCTTCAAAAGAGATATTTGCGCGTTTGTTAATCCCATGCTGTCAATAGCAGGACGATTGACTCGATTTATCCATTTTCCCCACCGCCATCTGATAAGCCTTGTCGTGACTCAGTTCCATACTTTTTCGCCAGTACTTTCATCTTCTCAGCGTCTCTCTCGTTATACGGTTATGGACTCAGTAACAAAATCATTGACGTCTTTGTCGCTCAATCCCACTTCAGTAAACCATTCTTCCACCAACTCTCCAGCCGCCTGGCGCGATGCGCTGACCGCGAATCCAGAGGTTCCAACCTCTTTCGAGCTCATAAAAACCCTCGTATATAAACCGAAAACGTCAAAAACTGCTACGCCAGTCCCGGTTGTCGTTATAGCCCGTGAATATGCGTCTGTTAACTCCGGAGCGATCGGGAAAAAGCTCAACCTGAAGGATTTACGATTGGCATCGGAGGATCTTTTGAAAGAGATCTTTTCACTAGACAAAGATTCACGTATGTCGAATTTACTGTGTTTTCATGAGATGCTGATCCTCAATCTTCCTCAGTTTCTCCTCTAGCTCTTAACGAAACCAACTTTTCCAAAGTTGTTACTGTGGTGGACGCTTCAATCTCCACTACCTCCGCTCCTCTCGCCCTTCATGCACTTACTTCCAGCGCTACAGTGTTCCTGTCCAGCTCAGATCTGCTCAAATATCTGCGTCATCTAGAGACCGAGGACACTAAGCTTCGAGAGCTTGACCTTCAAAATCTTGAAACCGCCGCGCCTGCCGCAACTCCTTCCAAAGCTCCTTCAAAAGAGAAGGAAGATGCTAAGATTGAAGGGGCGGTTAAGATTGCGATCGGAGTCAAGAAGGAGGTTGACTTTTCTACCTGGTACACGAATGTGAGCTGTTACGACTTGTTTATCGCTTAATGCTCAAAAATCTGCGTAGGTTCTGTTGAAGGCCGATATGTTGGATTATTATAATGTATCTGGTTGCTATATCCTTAAGCCCTGGTCGTACAGCATTTGGGAAGAGATCCAAAGTAAGTTTGTGGTTGTTCTGTGATTTGTTTCGATCTGACATTCTTGTTTCGCTCAGGATGGTTTGACGGAGAGATCAAAGAGCTGGGCGTTCAAAACTCTTATTTCCCCATGTTCGTTTCCGCCAAAGTTCTTGAACGAGAGAAGGATCATATTGAAGGTTTCTCTCCAGAAGTTGCATGGGTTACAAAGGCGTAGGTTCCTGATCACAGATATCACTTGTGATGCTTCATCTTACTGCTGCTTAGTGGAAACTCCGATTTGGAGGAACCTATTGCTATTCGTCCGACGTCTGAAACTGCCATGTATCCGTACTACGCCAAGTGGATCAAAAGCCATAGAGATCTTCCTCTGAAACTTAACCAGTGGAACAGTGTTGTGCGATGGGAGTTCAAAAACCCTCAACCGTTCCTTCGTACTCGTGAATTCTTGTGGCAAGAAGGCCACACCGCCCACCTCACAAGTGACGAAGCTGACATCGAAGTACGACAGATTCTTGACCTTTACCGACGAATTTATGAAGAACTTTTGGCGGTCCCCGTTATTCCTGGTATCAAGTCCGAGAAGGAAAAGTTTGCTGGAGGTCTTTATACCACTACTGTCGAAGGTTTTATTCCTACTACTGGCCGAGGTATCCAAGGAGCTACTTCCCACTGTCTAGGACAGAATTTCTCTCGACCGGAGATGTTCAACATTGTCGTCGAGGATCCGACAGATCCAACCAACCAGCGTAAGACTTATGTCTGGCAAAATTCGTGGGGTATTTCAACACGAGCTATTGGTGTCATGGTCATGGTTCATGGTGACAACCAAGGATTGGTGCTTCCTCCACGGGTAGCTAGCATCCAAGTTGTCGTTGTTCCATGTGGTATTACTGTGAACACTAGTAGCGAGACTAGGTCAAGGATCGAGAGTGCTTGCGAGGAGCTGGCAAAGACGCTAAAGAAGGGTGGAATCAAAGTCAAGGCTGATTTGAGAGACGATAAGACTCCAGGATACAAATTCAATGACTGGGAGCAAAAGGTGATATGCACATTTGATGTTCGATTCGGTTATTGATATTGCATTTTCTAATTCCAGGGAGTTCCTCTTCGCCTTGAGATTGGCCCCAACGATCTGACGAAGCAACAAACGCTCGCTGTCCGTAGAGATAACGGCGTCAAGAGTCCCATTGCAATTGAGAACATTACATCGGCGGTCTCAAACCTCTTAGACACTATCCAGAGCGATATGTTCAAACGGGCCCAAGAATCTTTCCATTCTCGTCTCAAGGAAGTTACGAAATGGGAAGACGTCGTACCTGGACTCGACTCCAAGAACGTCGTGGTCATACCTTGGTGCGAACGCGAAGCATGTGAAGACGACATTAAGGAGCGAAGTGCTAAGGCGTAAGTTGATTTCATGTCGTTTGTAGAACAAACATTAACATTTGAATTCCCTCTTACAGTTCTGAACCCACCGACGAGCGTGCACCATCCGCAGGAGCCAAATCTCTTGCTATTCCCTTCGACCAGTCTCGCTGGACCGCAATTGAGCCAGGCAAGACCAAATGTCCAGCCTGTGGACAAGATGCGAAACGTTGGACTATGTTTGGACGATCATACTAAACTTGCAGAGCTTATCAGTATGATCGGGTACCGTATTAAATCTTCATTATGTATCTACAGTGATGCTGCATAAATTTCAGTCCCATGTCAATGCCAGTCTTATCCTTTACGCGTCTTTTTTGTCTTCCACATTTGTACCTAATCTGGACAGGCATCCAAACATAGCAATACCAACACTACCATCATTATCTATACTCGATACAGGAACACCAGGACGGCCTTCAGATGGCACAGATGCCAATGCAGTTGCGCGAACGTAGCTGGATACCACTCCAGTGATGATGTGCATCGGCGTCAAGACTTTGATTGACTGAATCTTTATTTTTTCCTTCTCTCGACCTTTCCTCCCATTGGTTCCGGGCACAGTTTTATACTTTCTGCTTGAAGGACCTGAAGCTAGTAGGGACACATCTCGATGGTGCGTTTCAAATAACAAGCCAACACCAAGTTCTTTGTCTCGTTTTTCGACTTCCGCGGCCTCCTTAATCAGCACGCGAATAAACTGTTTCGCAGCTAGTGCCAGAAGAGCGTATGGAGAAAGATTAGCCTCTACTTCAGCAGCATTTCCACCAAGTCGATCCAAAGGAAACAACATTGGGGAAGAAGGCAGGCAAAATGAACGCAGAGAAAGAGGATGGACGAGTGCGCGGACACCGAGTGTCATTCGTGGATCTACAGCAGCCACAAGGGTAGAGTGGTCCCTGACGAGAAGATGCGTGCGTGAAGACCAGGGAGGAAGTTGACGGGGATTCAATGATGATACAATGGATGGTGTTTGTTCAATCCCTTTTTGGGTATGGACCCGGAGAATTCTTTGCACATCAACAACAGGCATCTTCAACAGTTGTAGCATCTTGTCCACTATTCGGCATTGAAAGGGCTCCGGTCTTAGGGGTGGCGCTGGAACACTGGGTCCACCTCCGCCGACCACCTTCCCATTTAGCAGGCGGATTTTGATCCTGGGAAGCCGAGGCTGGTTGTCCTCTGCCTCTTTCGCTTGAGTAGCGGCAACTACAGCTAGCTCAGCCTCTGTTTTCATATATTCTAGCCCTTGCGTGCCATGGGCCCATAACCCGAGTCCACAAACGCGGCACCATTTACCCTCGGAGTAGTCTCCAATAACCAGGTTGCCATCCTGCCTGGAATCAAGTTCATTGACCTGCGTCCTTGTTGGTTCCTCACGAACGAAATGTCCATTATCCTCCAGCCAGGCATATACGTCGCCTGTTGTCAAAGGTATGAGATGCGAACAAGGATCGCGTTCTCGCAAGACTTCGATATGGTGTGTGTAAGCACCCTGGAGTGCTTTCGCTCGTGCCCACTGTATATCGCATGAACGAATGAACCAAGGGCCAAAATGTAGAACACTCACCTCAATAGCTTTCCGTCTCCCTATGATGAGTGCTTTGAGCTGGTTAGAGTCTGCAGGCAATTTGTAAGGGATATCTGAGGCCATTTTGCGGTCATTGTGTGGAATGTCTGCTATAAACTCAGCACCTTATCATCGATCATATTCATGGATTGCAATTCACCGCTGAGAGTCATGGGAAACCGATTTAACAGCAATAACAGCAAGTCGTGATATGAGCCTAGATGGAAAGATTTGACTAGAATGATAGTCAGGAAGATCTGAAAGCTTACCTGGAATAGTTGGTTCAACTGTATTTAAGGGAGCGGGGTCGCCTAACTTATGCTTAATATTCGTGCTTGATTTTATATTTGACATATTTTCCCAGTGAGATCTGGCCTTGACGGGAGGATAACCAGTTTTAGCTGGTTTCAACACCGTATCTTTGTCAAGTTCAATGTCAATAACTTGCTCGTCTCCTTTTGTAGGAAGCTTGTTTGTGCCAATCATGTCTAACTAGATACGAGATAAGATTGCAAGGCTACTCTGAGTGTGAGGGTACGCACGCCAACCCAATGTTCTAGAATAACTTTCTGTCCATTTTGACCGGGCCCGCTTGTACTGGGATTGAACATGAGCTCAATTTGAACCTGGAATGGTTCAGACGTGGTTCCAACGACTAGAAAAGGTGGTTCTGTGGCTATTAGCGGGGCCAGGGATATTGATGGCTCAAGATCGGGGGAGGACATCGGCGTGACAAGCATCGATGTAAGGACGGTGGTGAGATCGAGACTCTGCGCAGGGAAATCTAGATCAATACATACGATGAATATTAGGCACAAGAAAAGAAACCTACATAAGAGGCTGACTCTGCGCAAATCATCCATTGATGTGTATGGTCTTTTTTTTCTTCGATACGCTGGTCTGTGAATATGGTGAGCGTGGCGAAGCAAACCATAGAAATGAGAAGAGACCTTCTGGAATGAAGAGACTGGTGTCTGTGAGTGTTACTCGACACGATATATGGAATCTGCTGGTAGCTGTGATTGTAGAGTCTGTGAAAGAAGTGCTATTTGCGGCTAGTTGAGAACGTTTATCATTGGTCATGATCACTCCTTCCTCGACTAGAGGACGATTTCGATGGTTATATCTTTTCTTCCAAGATTTTTTCAAAACAAGTGGACTATCATTGCCATCGAATGTGATGATATCAATGTGCTTGCCATCATCCCACACCTTGATACCCTTGCGTTTTGCCTCTTTGCCTAAGAATTGGGCCAGCGCTGGGGAATCGCTGTGTAAACCCAACGTTTTCGTCAAATGAATGCTGCGCCCGACTGCCTCATTTACCTCCAATTCGGAGGAAGCGCTGGTCGGGTTTTCATCTCGTGTCCCTTCAACTGCCATTTGAAACAGACCCTTCACGCCTGGGAGAAGCATGCCGCGACTCACATCCACTCCTCCTTCAAGATCAAGATCGGCATCAAGTTCCTCTTGGGGGACGGCACATGCCTTGATACACTGTTCGTGAGAGCCCCAGTCTGTCGAGTGCAATATCCGCCCGTGATTGTAAAGGCCTTGCAGGGTGTTAAAGGTCGATTGGTGACAAATGGAGCAGCGAAGTAGAACCACACGATGAGAATCTTGGGAGCGCAGAAACAGAAATTTAGACTTTTGCGAACGGGTGATTGGCTTTTCTTTGGGAGGAAGACGACCCTTTGGTGCTACATTTGTTGGAGGAACCACGATAACATCCCGCGCGAACAAAATGTCAGAAGATGATTCCAAAATAGAGAGTGTATTCAAAGCCACATCTCTGAACGGGACTTCTGAGACACATTCGGTCTCTGCGAGGATCGTAAGAAGTAGTTCGGTACGAAATAGTCATAGACGTACCATTCTGCAAGGAGTCTAGAAGCAATGAAGCCCAAGCAATCCTAGATTCCAAAGTCTGTGCCAGTCGCTTTCTCAAGCCAAGCTCGACGTCTATTTCAGCAAGTATGATCTGTTTCCTTTGTTCATCTGTTCTATCCAGTTTGATACGTTTGTTTGGAAACATTGGGATGGAAGACCATGAAAGTTATAAGGAACAAGGAAGCTAAGCGCTTGTTCTCCGGAAAATTCGGTCCGACAGATGTTGGCGGAAAGTTCAAACAAACTTCCATGGCAGTGGAACTGACGGACACAACACCACCTTCTTCTGCCATTCCGAGACCGGATCCCAGAAATCTCACCAGTTTACCTCAAATTCTGTCTTCTCTGTCTGATTTTGAGTCGCAGGAAGCTGAACTTTCCACTTCATTAACGGACCTATTGGCCGCCAGTGAACCCATAACTCAATCTCTCTCTCGCTTACAATCCCTTGCACCTCAGTTTGATGATCTGTTGAAAAATGCTTCCATTCTGTCACACAATGTATCATCTACGGCGAAGACGGCCGAGCGGATAGGTGGTCGAGTACAATCCTTGGACGAAGAAATGCGACGAATTAGAGAGGCCGGCGACCGTGTGGGCCAAGTCATCGACTTAAAGGTGTGCTATGCTATCCATACCACCGTCAATATAAGAAGATAATGTATGTTTACTGTGCTTTAGTCATCGTTGACTGCTCTTCAATCATCAATTGAGGCCAGTGACTGGGAATCTGCAACCCGACATTGTGCGCGAGCGATGTCTCTACCCTCAGAAGTAATTTCTGGATCTTTCGCTGAGTTCGCGGTCGTGAGCACACTTGTATCGGAGTCATCGCCTAATTTTAATCAAAGTAGTTTAGCCTACTTCAGAAAGTCATTTACCCCCTGCCCAAACTCTTCAAGAAGCTCGAGAACACCTTTTACATGTGTTCCGTGTCAATTTCGAGCAGGCGTCGCGTTCGCGGGACTCCACAGCTACAAGTAGATTCTTCAAGCTTTTTCCTGCCATCGGATGGGAGAAAGAGGGTCTTCAGGCCTATGCGACTTTCGTTGTTGACTCGGTTCGGGTTAAAGCACCAACTTCCGCCAAAAGTAAGATATGCCCCTTGATCTTCATAGTTCCTTTTTTAATAATTCATCTTTAGCTTCTTCTCCTTTGTATTTCATTGCTGCGCTTACTTCCCTCTTTGAGAGCATAGCTATGATCGTTGACCAGCATCAACCTGTAGTCGAAAAATACTATGGAGCTGGCAAGATGAAGGCTGTTGCAGAGCGTCTCTTGGACGAATGCGATAGAGTAGTCAAAGATGTCATGAGTAGATGGCAGGAAGAACGCTCCATTACTCGCAAAGTTAATTTCTCAAATATTGTAGCGGCCATTGTACTTATTAACCTCATCCCTTGTTTAGATTTCTGATATCACAAATAATCCCCCAATGTCTTCAATAGCTGCTGCTGCGCGCAGACCGCAGGCCGCTTCAAATCAAGATGACGAACTCATTGATCCTAGGGAAATCGATCAAGTAATTATCGAAATGAGTGGAATGGTGGGTCGATGGAACCTGTTCAAAAAATTCCTTCTGGACAGCTTTGAAGCCCCCGACCCTACCTCAGCTTCTCTTCCGCTTGACTCAACGGCATCTCAAATGGTCTTCGACGAAGTTTTGGTTAAGTATTATATACCCCTGGAGGTGTGGTATGTTAGAGCTATCATTGACAAGGTGATCTTGAATGAACCGAGGACTTCACCTGATTACTGAATGTTGGTTTATTGTAGGCGCACCGTCTGTCCCAGCCCGACATGACCCAATCAGCTACTACGACTACAACGCCAGACGACGTGTTTTACATTCTTAAAGTAGTGCTCCTCCGTCTTTCGTCTACTGGCTCTTTGAATGCTGTCGAACGGATGGCCGAACAATTACGCGACATATTGGAGAAAGACTATGCCGTTGTTCTCAAGAAGAAGATGGACGAAGTTTACCGTTCAGCGGGTACATCAGGGCAACTTGTTCGCGGAGAGAAAGCTGACCGCGAGAATAGGCTCGCTTTCGCTGTCAGTGATATCTATATTTACTCTCAACTGAAACTCAACCCTTACTTAGGTTATCCTCAATGATCTTGATGTTTCGTCGTCGCACCTTGAACGTTTGATTCGAGATCTTTTAGGCAACGGTGCTATCAATCAGTATTTCTTGCTATCCCAGCAGCAGCTGGTCAAGGATGTTTTTGCGTCTCTCTCGAGTTTAGTGACCAAGTTTCGCTCGACTTCTCGGGTCGGTCGAGGTTTCTCTTCTCTGTACAACGATTAACGATTAACTCTGGTGTAGGTCGGCATTGAGCAATTGTTTAACCAGCTTATACGACCTAAACTAAGAACTTTCATTACCGAAGTCTACAGAGATGTATCATATGTCTTGGACGATGATTCCTACTCCAATGCCGAGTGTCAAGACCTTGTTCGAAAGCGATTTATAAAGTCGTGGGACACCCTCATGGATGATTACAAGGTTTGCTCTTGACTACTAGTACTGTAGATGATTTTTAATATTCCCTTTCGCATACCAAGGATTCATTTACTGAAGCTAATTTTCGGATACTTTTTGGTTTGGTGTTGGATACCTTACTACGTCCTTGGGAAAGATTCATGATGGGATTCAAATTTACTGAGCTCGGTGCTATACGCTTCGACCGGGACTTGCGATCCGTCAACACGTATCTGTCATCTCAAACGGCTTTTGGAGACGGAAGGGAAAAATTCGTTCGTTTACAACAAATGTCTACTCTGCTTAACCTTGACAGTGTGAGTACCTAATCACATTTCTACTCGAAGCACATCGAGCATTAGCTGACACTTTCAATAGGAGGAAGATGTTGATGAGTTCTACAATGGTTCAGGGATAACGTGGAAGGTTAGCTTGCAGGAGGCACGAGCTATAGCTGCACTTAAAATTTGATAAACTCTGAATGTATATGTATACGAACATAGAACATTGGAAAAATACGCATTACATCTCCTGTGTCCTCGAAAGAAAAGAAGAAAATCTTAGTCTAACCACGTCGCAAAGCATCTAACCGTGCTTGTAACGCATCTTCATCCGATGCTCCTCCCCCGCCTGAGTTGTCTCCTGTTCCATCATCTACGCCACCGTGAAATGCACCGGCAGTTTCTCCCAAGGCCACAGGTTGCCGGGTAACATGAGCAGATACAGAGGCCAGGCCAGTAGGTGCGTCGGTAAGCTGTAAAGCAGTATGAGCGAGAAGATAAGAATCAATGGTAGAGAATACCTGTTGTGACAAAGAGACCCCAATTTCATCTAGCACCTCTTTCAAAATCTTATCACCCTCCTCTTCTTCGTCTTCCTCGTCGTCCATCACATCGTCAACAGCATCGGACATCATTTCCTCTTTCATATCCATCATTGAACTCTCTTTCTCAAACTCAGTCATGATTCGTTGTATCGCAGGCAAGTTCAAGCCGCGATTCATCGCACCCATTGCCTGAGGTAACCAATCAAGTAAACCATAATTTTGGACATTGGAGAGAACACACTCGAGTGGCACCTCGCATTGCATCTGCCATTTGTTGATTACTTCTGAGCGTTTGGATCCGGAGTCCGACAGCTTGAAGTTGTGTCCGCATCTGGTAGAATTTCTGTACATAACGTCTGGTCCTCACGAGATCCTTGGCCATGACTTTACACGCGTTCTAATGAATACAATGACGAGCTGTTGACCGGAAAGAATATGTATTATACCATTTGACCGGCCTTTGCGCTCTTTTTGATATCCATGATAAGTTTCTTTTCGCTCTGTTCGAGTTTCGCCCGTTCACGATCAAGTTCGCGTTGAGCTTTGGCAAGCGAGCGTTGATGCTGACGCAGCCGCTCAGCAGGAGTCACAGAGCGTCCGAAGAGGGTTTCCTGAGGAATATCATGAGAGCGGAAGGAAAATAAACAGAGATCTTACAATGATGTTCATGGTTAAAACTACGAGTTACAGAAACATACAAGCGCCTGCGGGCCGCAGCATCTGAAGTACCACCATCATGTCAGAACATTCAGAACTGCTCAATGTTGGCAATTGCTGCTCTATATGCTCTCAGATTGATTTTCTTCCGATAGAATGTCCTTCCTGCCAGAACAAGTTTTGCAAAGATCATATTCTGGTTGGAGCACACTCATGCCGCTCCGCTAATCGCATCGACTCGATAGGATCGTTCGGGAAGCTCCAAAGATGTGCTTTGGATGGATGTAAAAATCTTAGTCTAAATGCATCCAGCTCTTTATCCAACCTACCTACGTGCACGGCATGTCAAGGCTCATTCTGTGCCGAGTATATCCTCTTAAATTTATAAGTTTTCTCGCTAAATCTCTTTCACAGACATCGCGAGCCTGCTTCACACAATTGTTCTCAAAAAGAAGGGGTGTTAGAACCCACGAGAAATGAGAGTGCGCGAGCCCTTCTGGCGAAGAACTTTGCTTCTAGTAAAAGCCACAAATCTGCACTGAAACATCGAATTTCTGCAAGACCTACAGATCCTGCAAAGTTGGCTCAATTTCGGCAGTTGGAGTTGATGAAGCTACGACAACGCGCTTCTCCCTTAGATCCGAAGCATCAGAGTTCAGCGATGCCTGTAGATAAGCGTCGGTTTTTCAAAGCAACTATAGATGGTGAAACAAATGATCTATGGATAGAGAAGGTGTGCGCACCGAGTATTCTTTCGACCTTCTTCTCATACTCTTTATCCAGGCACTCATGACTGGTAAAGCATTTGATCTACTTGCTCTTCGTTTCGGAATTTCAATAACTGCAACGGATGTTGGTATCATTGATATTGAACGTCACGCACTCTTTGAAGTCTAAAACATTCATTGACAGTCACAGAAGTACCAATTGCTCAAGGTATCCGATGACGCGGGACATCTGGTACCTCTCCTGTACGACAAGCCCTTCGAGGATCAGGTAGAGGATGGTGGAGAGGTGGTATTATCAATTGAACAAGCCTCATTTATTTAGATTGCTTTGTATGTAGCTGGTGGTTTAGGAAAAATGAGCTATGCAGTCGATGCACATATGTTCATCCTTTATTAAAGAGGTCCTGGGTATATCACATATTACATATTATGACGATCTTTTTATCGCGCATTCTGAAGTCAAAGCACTCATGATTGAAGTCAGTGCCTTGGTTTAGAACTGGAAAGGTATCCAATTAGTTGAAGAAAGGCCAGGGAAAAAAAAGTTGCTTACTCTGACTTGATACCCTCCATTGGCCTTTGTCAAGTATCTTACCCACTTGATGCTGTGATAATTGCTCTTCTCAAATACTTTGAGGAAACGCACGATGAGACCAGATGCAGTAAACATTAGGACCTGGAAGAGGAGGATCGACAAGAAATGAGTATGACTCCAATGAATCTCCTAGTCAAAAATACCTGGAAATCTACATCAATTGGTGGTCGCGCCCACACCTGTCTCGTTGTTGTACTTGTCAGTTGAGCCATGGCGCTCAACGAACATTCTTGACCGCCTTGCAAACGGGCAATTCTGAAGTACGAGCAACGTTTTCGACGAAAGGAATCGAAAGAATTATAACTCAGGCCGACATTTCGAAAAAAATTCGGACCCAAACACTCACTTCCAAACTATGACATTTTCAGCCGGGACATACTTTGCCTTTCCCGTACCCAATATACCCACATCCACATCAGTAGTGTTCAACGGCGTTGGTATCCGTACAACGACGTTTGTAGCAGAAAGTTTTGGGCTGAAAGTTGTTTTGAGAGTTATGTCGTATGATACCTAGCGGGTCAAGCAACGTCAGGACGAACAGAATTTGAGGACCATTGCAAGCGAGCGGTACCTTTGTCGTCCCAATCTCGGTCACGGTCGGTATCACCTTTAACGGAAGCTTGATATTCGACGTAGCACGATATCTGTGGGAACACAGGAAACAAGAGGGATGTTGGTTCGTCTGTTCCGGATGGATTGCTAGTGCGAACTAAACTTACCGCATTAATTCGAACTCGCCATCGGGTGGTATGAAGCTGATACTCCGGTCTGCGTCAAAGTCGTTTAAGCGGACGCACTGGTGAAATTGACAGTCGTCTAGTTCTACAGCGTCACCTCCACCTAGATAGGAGGGGAAAGTTGTTAGTGCCTCGACTTCGTTCAAGTGCAGTCTTTGCTCACCTCGATCCGCCAAACCGGAGCTTGGACCACCTGGACCAAAAACTTGTCAATAATGACAAGGACTGTGGAGGATGATTACATACTTGTACCAACAGCCCCCCGATCTATGACCAACTTGTCATTCAGGCCAAACTTGCATTCAGGAGTTCCAGAAAGGTAAGCGCGCATTTGTATGTGTCCATCGACGTCTGCACGAAGGGTTGTTCCTTTGGCGCTTCCCATCCAGTTCACTACTTCTACGACGTCCACGAATGCTTCGTTCTTCTTGTATTTCACGTCGTCTCCACTCCGACGCCAAGAAGTTGCACCCGTTGCTTGAGCAGTTATCCGAGAAGAAACTTCAGGCGCCTGAGTAGCACTAACAACACTCTCCGTTGTAATATAAGTCTTGAGTGTGTCAATCTCGGAGTTTTGAGGGTATCCAAAGTCGTTGATTTCTGGTAGGGTTGTCAACGCGGGTTACAAATGAAATGATTTGGCGACTGCCGCACCATCAACCAACTCGTAAACCACAACGAAGTTGTTCTTGATTGATTCCTCGTCCATCTTGCCAAAATAAGACTTGCAAATGTTTATGAAGCGATAGCAGAATTCGAATACGAGGGCCGCATTGGCATTTGTCTTTGTCACGGCCACAACGTACAAGTTGTTCACCCTCACATGGAAGAAGCTGGTTGAACCTAGTGTAATTAAGGGCGAGCGTACATCGGGATTTGACACAACTTGTATTCGGAATACATCTGCGATAGATCGTCTACAAAATTCGAAGACTGATAGTAAAACAGGCAACAGGAGACCCACTTGAAATCTGTTCTATACAATCGGGATATTAATACCTCACCCTTTTGGTTGAAGATGAAGAATGCCTGGAGATAGCTTAGGAACAGCAACAAACTTATAATCACCGCAGTAGAAAGAGCTCACTGAGATCATATCCGTTCCACACCGGGGAGTACAAGTAGAAGTTATAGTAGATGACAAAGCCGGTATGACCGGTTTCCATCTCACAGCTTTGACCCCCGACATAAACTATTGATACTCAACCACCACCATGGGGCTCTTCCAACGCAAAGGGTCAGAGAATCACGAATCTTCAGAAGACAAGAAGGAAAAGGGTGGATGGAGGAGGCCTGCAAGTAAGTTCAATCATTGAAATTTCTGTGAACATAAATAAGCTTACTACCCTTCCTAGACACTGCGTTCAAGCAACAGCGACTGAAAGCCTGGCAACCAATTCTTATGCCCAAGACCGTACTTCCTACCTTCTTTATCCTTGCAATAATCTTTGGCCTAATAGGTGGACTTCTAATCTGGGGCTCTTCTCTCGTTTCCGAAATGACATTTGATTATACCGACTGCGACACGTTAACTCCTTCGTCATCTAATTCTTCGCTTCAATACTTTAACATTCCATCCTCCAAATATTCCTATCATCTTTCTTCGTCGGCTTCGAAGAACGCCCAAATCACTTCGCCTGTGTATGCCTTCCTCAACAACAGCGCCAACAGCGGCGATTTCGATGTGTTCAATCAGCAGCAGTGTGTCATCCAGTTTGACGTACCTGCAGATCTGTCGTCCAGCGTTTTCATGTACTACAAGCTCACCAACTTCTTCCAAAACCACCGGAGATATGTCAAAAGCTTGGACTCTGATCAGTTACGTGGAAAAGGCGGGTCTGCGTCTGATTTGAATAACGGTGATTGTAAGCCGTTGGGATCTATGAACGGCAAGCCCATCTATCCATGCGGGTTGATCGCCAACTCTCTCTTCAATGGTACGTATTTGAGGCTTTGATGTATCTTGCGTAAACTGAGTCTTTCTTTTTGCATACAAGACACATATACAAACCCAATCCTCCTAAACCCATCGAACTTTGACGAGGCCACAAATGTTACCTACAGTTTCTCATCTGAGAATATCGCTTGGCCAGGAGAGTCGAAGAAATACGTTTCTACTCCCGTTGGGAACGGATACGACTCTGTCGATGATGTTGTACCGCCGCCGAATTGGGCGAAACGTTTTCCGAATGGATATACAATTGACAACATTCCCAATCTTGCTGCCGACGAGCACTTCCAAAACTGGATGCGGACTGCTGGCCTTCCGACGTTTTCGAAACTATATGGTAGGAATGATCAGGATACGATGGAGAAGGGTAGATATTTGATCACCGTTGGACTGAGTGAGTATTTCACTTTGCTTGGAATCATCTCCATTATAGAGTTCTGTTAGATTTTCCGGTCAGACCATACAAGGGTACGAAATCGATTGTGATATCCACTGTCTCGTGGATTGGCGGTAAAAATCCATTTCTTGGATGGGCGTACGTAGCTGCTGCGGCTCTTTTCATGCTGGTGGCAGTTGCTGGGACTGCAAGACATCTGATCAAACCAAGGTCTGTCCAATCAATTTTTATTCCTAGAAGAGATACTTATGGTATGGTTCGGTTAGACGTTTGGGAGACATGTCTTTACTTTCATGGAATCGATAGAATTTTAGCTAGAGACACTTGCTTACTCGCTCACCTCTCCGATGTTGAGCACAACGTATGATGTAAATCTATGTACTAGGAGACAGATGGAAAAGTGTTGATAATTCGATATTTATGCCGTAGAGAACTTTTTCTTTGAGGATTGATAGTGAAACAAAATCATATTGAGTGATATTATGATCCACGGAAGCCTCCTCGACCGCCTCCACCGCCACGGAAACCCCCCCTTCCCCGAGAAAAGTTTCCCCCTCCGCCTCTTGAAAAACCTCGGCCACCACGGTCTCCACCAAATCCACGACCGCCACCACCCCGCCCACCACGTGCACCACCGCGGGGTGCACCTCGTCCTCTCCCTCCTGGGGCCCCTCGAGCACCTCCGCGGCCCCGCTCTAAAAAGAAGATATTATGAGATAAGAATACGGATGTAGGGGAAGAGTAATCGTACTTGTAACACCTGGAAAAGTAACTTGAAGGTAAATTCGAAGAAAAATGATGAATAAACGCACCTCCGGCAACTTTTGGCTTGGGCAAGAAACGTTCTATTGGCAAAAGCTTGTCGCCTCCAATGTAAACCTTGTCGCCCTTTTGAAAACTGCTGGCTATAACACCCTCACTCATTTTTATTGAAAAGTAAACCTCATTTATGGGCCCTAGTATTTCGTCGACTTTGCCGATGACAGATTTATTTTGAAGATAGATGGGAGCATTGAAATAAGGAACTTTATCGGCCATAGTTGAAGAACAAAGCATTTCACTTTCAACAGCATGAACGAAAGTGCCCATTTCTAAAAGAGTACGAGAATTAATGAAGATTGTGAAACTGCAACTGATATTAGAACACACCTAGAACTGTATCTGGAGGACCAAAATCTCGTTGCTGAAATCCTCCTCTACCACCACCTCGACCTGTCAATTAATGAGCGAAAGCGATAATAAAAGTTGATTGATTTTACCTCGACTAAAACCTCTGGATCCACCTCGGCTCATGGTTGTTGATTAGGATAAAAAATTCTTAGGCGCTTAGATGGTATAATGAGCTTGCTTCTCAACGAATGTGTTCCAGTTCACACCGGTTTTACCTTCTACGATTCCAGTATCGATGACCCAGATACTGCTTTACTTGGATCTAATCTCTGGGACCGCTTACTCACCGATGACCACGAGCTTTATATATCCATTTCTTCTCTTTCTTCACCGGCCATCATCTGTTTAGCTCGTCGTCACGATTCGGTCAGTCTTCACTCTTCCAAATGAATTCACAACCTCAATCTGTATACAGGCTCAAGATGGACTCGTTATTCCGCGCAAATGGCTCACACATCATAAACATATATTTGGTTCTGTACAATATGTTCATGTCACTCGGACTGTACCGGTACCTCTCACTGAAGTCTATGTGTCCGCCTTGTCTCCAGCCGCCTACGACGCTGCTATAACTCATGACGCTCTTTTGGAAAGCCATCTTTGTAGCAAGAAACAAATTCTACGGCAAGGATCTGTCTATAGCATCAGGCCCGACGCGTTGGTTGAATCACCTTCTGATCATCGACTTGAATTTCGGCTTGACATGCTTGAGCCTGTCTCACAAGGTTATGCTGAAGCGGGTCGTACCACCCTCTTTGTGACCTCCTTGACTGATACCAGCGAAGATGAAGATGAAGACGGCGAAACGGATTCTAGTACTTTGGGCTTGAGCAGTGACGACGAAAGCGTGGAAATCAGCCATGATTTTTTGGCCAACTCCGTGGTGTATCCCGCTTATAATCCGATCTCTCCCTCTATCTCGAATCCATCAGTCGACTTACACGCTGAGGGCGAACTTCACTTCAAAGTCCATGCATTATCCAACCCTGTTTCCATTTTGCATGATGACTACACAGTGTATCTTCGTACCGCTGACTTGGGTCGACTTGGCGTACTCAGTGGCGACTGGGTAAGGGTTATTGTTATCATTGTTCCGGGGCTCATCGATGCGCGCTAGGTTGTTGCACGTTGCCCTCACTCCCGACTGGTCAAAGCTGTTGCAGACGACGTCCTGGCATCAAGGTCGTAGGTTCTTCGGCAAACTCGTCTTTCATTTCTGACCTCTCCTTAGATACCAGACACATGGATCCCCAGTGCTTTTACACAACCTGCTACAAGGAACTTTATCCTCAATTTCTCTACATCCCAGCCCTTTCGGTTCCCGGGAGCCTTCCATACCAATTGCCCACTCTGTCACCGTCGCTAGGGTTGCGTCTCCGTTATCCATAAACAAGACTTATCAGAACTCTTTCCTTGAAGCCTTGAAAACTCATTTCACTCTCGGAAAGCGTTTGATCAAACAAGGCGATATCGTCGCCGTTGGTATCGATACAGATTCCATCGCGAGGCAAGGAGATGACTCTGAATTCGATTTAGTGAATGCAAAGTATGCGAGTTCTCATACGAAAAAGTACAGATGATATTAATGGACCAAAATAGGTTCCCCGCAACACCCACTAGACCCAACGAGGTAGTATTTTTCATGATTACCAATGTCGAATATAAGGTGCCCCCCAATGACAGCTCAAACCCTACAGTAGACACTTACTTTGGGTCAACTGTGGGTGAATTGGGATGTTGGTTTGATCCCGATTCGACGCGAATGGTGCAAGCTGGAGTAGATCACTCTTTTGTTCCAGACGTCGGTGGATATTTTGGCTCAGGTAACATTGGCCTTTCGAAAATCAGTCCATTCTTCAAATATCATTCTTTTCAGTTCGAATACCACCGTTCATTGAAGGATCGGGGAAGGCAACTCGGAAATTACATTCCATATCGTCCGTCGTTCTGGAACGCCGAGCAGTAGACTATAACCTCCAACTCTCGGTTCTGCTCAAAGGCGCGCGAGGCATCGGAAAATATACCGCTGCCTCCCAGGTTGCTCGAAATCTAGGAATGCACATACTTGAAGTGAGAGTGTGGTCTCGTTTCTGTCGTTTTCGAGTTTTTCCAATGTTCTGTGATCCCCATGTATAGGTCAACTGCTATGATATCATAGGTGAGAATGACACCAAGACCGAGGGGCAGCTGAGGGCAAGGTTCGAGAACGCGGTGGCCTGTTCGCCGTGCGTGTTGGTTCTCAGACACCTCGAGGCATTTGCTCAAAGTACTCAGGCGCCTGAAAATGGTAAAGGTGAGGAGAAGCTTGGAGTCTGTTTATGACTGAATATTGCTAGACATCACTGCAGAACCTGTCATTGTAAATGTTGTTCGGGATTGCATACAAAGTACGCATCATGCATGGAAGTCGAACGGGTATCCTGTAATTATCTGTGGAACGACGAGTATGGTGGAAAGGGTTCCGAGCGGATTGTTGGCATGTTTAAAGCATGAAGTGTCGTTTGAGGTGCGCCGATCCGAGGAAGAATTGCATCAACTTTCCAAACTCGGTTTTCAGGCTCCCGATGAGTTTGAGAGATACGCAATTCTCGACATCCTTCTTCAAAATACAAGGATAGCTCCGGATGTATCATTGTCCCACCTGGCTCAACAGACAGCTGCTTTTCTACCTGGCGACTTGTGTGACCTCGTCAGCCGTGCGGAAGCTGCTGCAGTGAATAGAGCTGGCCTCTCCTTGTGCGTGAACAGGTGGTTTCGTTGTCATGTAACTTACGCAAGAGTGTTCAGTGGCTCCGACCAATCTAGTGTGTTTGTCGCAGGTCTGTCATTAACGAATGCCGATTTTACTCAAGCACTTGACCAGGCCCGAGCTTCGTACTCCGAAAGCATTGGTGCACCCAAAATCCCAAGTGTTTCGTGGGACGACGTTGGTGGTCTTGCACAGGTGAAAGCAGACATATTGGATACCATACAACTCCCCCTAGACCATCCCGAACTTTTCGCTGATGGTTTAAAGAAACGCTCCGGAATCCTTCTGTATGGTCCTCCTGGAACAGGGAAAACTCTCGTCGCGAAAGCTGTTGCTACATCGTTTTCTCTCAACTTTTTTTCTATAAAAGGTCCCGAACTTCTCAATATGTACATTGGCGAATCTGAGGCCAACGTACGGAGGGTGTTCCAGCGAGCGAGAGATGCAAAGCCGTGTGTTATTTTCTTCGACGAACTAGATTCTATTGCACCAAAGAGGGGAAATCAAGGTGATTCTGGCGGAGTCATGGATCGAATTGTCAGTCAGCTTCTGGCCGAACTGGATGGTGCAGGCACTACGGCAGATGTATTTGTGATTGGGGCCACGAACAGACCAGACTTATTAGACGCAGCGCTCCTGAGGCCGGGCAGGTATGTTTACATTGCCCATATAATATTACTATCACGAATGAAATTTGATTAGATTTGATCGCATGTTATATCTGGGAGTCAGCGAGACACACGATGCGCAGCTCAACATTCTTGAAGCGTTGACTCGCAAGTTTCGGTTGCATCCTAGTCTCAACCTGAGAGAAGTGGTGGAACAATGTCCATTTAACTATACAGGTGCAGATTTCTACGCGCTTTGTTCGGATGCATTGTTGAATGCAATGATGCGCAAGGCTGAGGAGTTGGAGAACAAACTTAGTGAGTGCTCTGTACAAGAAGATGGATCTCTGCTTGACAGTGTATCTAGCTTCTTTCAATTATAATCCCAATCTTCACCCAAATCATCCACATCCCCTTACCCCTCAATACTATCTGGCTGAAATAGCATCTGAAGAAGATGTGCATGTGGAAGTCACTCAGAATGATTTTGTTCTTGCAATGAGGGAGCTTGTTCCAAGTGTAAGTCAGGCAGAAATGAATCATTATAAGCATATTCAGGACAGATTTTCAAAAAGTAATTAGTCGGTAACCTGATAAGGTGGGATGTATTATGTATCATTTATAATACCACCTGTAAAGTCCCAATAATAGTATGTACAGAACTGAATGTCTGTTTGAAATGGTATAGCCTACCAGCTATTCTTGGGGATAACTGGGCAGGGGTAATTTGTAGTGAGCAGAGGACAGCCATATATAATGTGTTATGACTTTAAACATACTTTTCTCTGAGTATAAACCAGGAGACTCCGGTGAGGCCCTGGCACAGAAGGCCTACTCTTGTCTTACCTGGACTGGGCCTGTCAAGTCCATGTTGGTGCCCTGCTCTGCCGCTCAGTAGCTGATGAAGTACTAAATAAGTATTTGATAGGTAGGGTTTTATATCCGAAATTTGCAGGATACTGATGTAGTACAGAAGAGAAACTTATGGAATACATATTGGGAACTTATGTGACATGGTAACAAATAAGGCTCTCAAAATAAAATGAAATAGTCAAAAACTTATAGAATAATCATATGACATGAGAAGAGTGATGAAAGCATCACATGTTGGAGAATGTCCAAAGAGGTGTGAAGCATGCTTAAGTATGTCAAAGCTTAGTCTGGATGTGTGAAGCATGTCGGAAGGGTGCAAAGATCCAGACTGAGCTTCAACACACTTGAGCATACTTCACACCCTTTCGCCATGCTTCACACATCCAGACTGAGCTCCGACACACTTGAGCATACTTCACACCCTTTTGACATGCTTCAACCCATTCAGACTGAGCTTCAACACACTTGAGCATGCTTTGCACCCTTCCAACACACTTCACACATCCAGACTGAGCTTTTGACACACTTGAGCATGCTTCACACATCCAGACTGAGCTTTTGACACACTTGAGAATGCTTCGCACCCTTCCAACATGCTTCACTCATCCAGACTGAGTGTTAAGATCATGTACACCATGTAACCGTGCCAGAGGCCACAAGGTGTCTAAGAGCGGAGGGTCGAATGGGACAGTAGTGAAGTTATTAACAACACCGCCGTTACGCCGCTAGTCCCCGGAGATCGAGAGTAGAGAAGAGAGGAGCCAGGAGCAGCCAAGTCGGAGTGGCAGTATCGCCGGTGGCAAGGAGTGAACCAAAGAACTCATAAGTCCTAAGGTTAGAGTAGAGAGTACTTCAAGGCAATGAGCCTGAAGACTAAGAGGAGAACTGAGTTGGAAAGGGAATCTAAGTTGATAGGAGACCTATGCTAGTTTTCACTCAGGGGAGGTGTGTTTAGCCAAAACTTTGTTGAGCATACTGTAGTGATAGAACACTTTCTACATACATTACACAGCGCTTCATCACTCCTAGTTATCACTGTAGTGACTTACTTAGTGTATAAAGTACTTAGAGACATCATTACTTAGTTTTACAACTCATAACTTAGCTATTTCTTTAGTGTTACTGTAGTTAGTTAGTTTTCATAGGTGCGCACAATTGTGGACACCTATTATCACGCCTCATGCGTTTCTAGTACATACAAGACCAAACAAACCTGTATTCCTACTATAGTTGAAAGATACAAATCAATCCTCACTCTATATTGACTTCTGTCATATCTACAGTGTTTATTGGAGTACTGAGCAACTATAAGGCTTGTAGTCCAACCTACTAGTCTTGTATTAAGGCATAGACAATCTGTGCACTGAGCTGGGTGGCATACTGCTTGGGTTAGCTGAAGGGCGCTCCAGTGTGTTTCAACTTCAACAAGTGTAATCTCCTTCAACAGATAGAACACTTTCTACATACATTACACAGCGCCTCATCACTCCTAGTTATCACTGTAGTGACTTACTTAGTGTATAAAGTACTTACAGACATCATTACTTAGTTTTACAACTCATAACTTAGCTATTTCTTTAGTGTTACTGTAGTTAGTTAGTTTTCATAGGTGCGCACAATTGTGGACACCTATTATCACGCCTCATGCGTTTCTAGTACATACAAGACCAAACAAACCTGTATTCCTACTATAGTTGAAAGATACAAATCAATACTCATACTATATTGACTCTGGTCATTGTTACTGTGTTTATTGGAGTACTGAGCAACTACAAGACTCTGTAGCACAACCTACTGAGCTTGTATTAAGGCATTGACATTCTCTGCACTGAGCTGGGTGTTGAGCATACTGTAGTGATAGAACACTTTCTACATACATTACACAGCGCTTCATCACTCCTAGTTATCACTGTAGTGACTTACTTAGTGTATAAAGTACTTACAGACATCATTACTTAGTTTTACAACTCATAACTTAGCTATTTCTTTAGTGTTACTGTAGTTAGTTAGTTTTCATAGGTGCGCACAATTGTGGACACCTATTATCACGCCTCATGCGTTTCTAGTACATACAAGACCAAACAAACCTGTATTCCTACTACAGTTGAAAGATACAAATCAATACTCATACTATATTGACTCTGGTCATTGTTACTGTGTTTATTGGAGTACTGAGCAACTACAAGACTCTGTAGCACAACCTACTGAGCTTGTATTAAGGCATTGACATTCTCTGCACTGAGCTGGGTGGCATACTGTTTGGGTTAGCTGAAGGGCGCTCCAGTGTGTTTCAACTTCAACAAGTGCAGTCTCCTTCAACACATCTACTTCAGGCAAACTCAGTGCTGATGAATATAAGGTCATCTGTACAATATCCCTCGTCGTCACTCTAATTCGGGTCTGGGGTTACGAAAATGACGAGGGAGTTGAGTCTCGTCATTACAAGATGTTAGAAAACTTCTTAGACCTTGTTCACTCGATGCGTGTCCTTTTTTTCCGTGAAACTTCACAGAAGTCGCGCACCTACTATAAATCTCATATCCTCAAATATCTGCGTGGCGTCCTCGAGCTATATCCTGATTTTACCCTAAAGCCTAATCATCATCATGCTGTTCACGTTGTTACCGATCTGGAAACCATGGGTCCGGGTCATGCTCGCAGTACACCAGTCTTCGAGTGCATTAACCACTCCTTACAACAACTTAATACTAACCGACGTCTGGGTAAGCTAATGGAGTCTTATCTTCGTATTCTTACAGTAATTTTGTGTTTTAGGAGAAGTTGAAGCTACAATGCTGACTTCTTATTGCTGGCAAACCAACCTCCAAGTCATCCTAGATCATAACACAGAGTTACAAGGAGAGATCAATGAGGCAATAACCGCTTTAACCGATATCGATCGTGAAGACCATCGTGGTATATTTGTTAAAGTCATGACTGAAAACAAAGTGACCAGACTGGGGATTGAACCCAGGACCTTCTGGTTATATTCCAGATGCTCTAACCAACTGAGCTATCCGACCTTGGTTCAACTAATGAGGACTTTACATATGGTAACAGTGGCCATCCAATCAACACTTCTTAAGGACTTACTATCTTCTTTTGCCTTGGTTGATGGAATTTTGCATAATACCATTTACACCTCATTAGGGTGTCAGGATTGAATCCTAACAATATTTGCAGGCACTGACTTAGTGGCTTGGGCAAGTACCGAATTCAAAGCAAGCCCCGCTTGCGTTGCAGAATCCACTCTGAATTGCATCATCTACCATCTATGCAACATATATGGTGTTTCTAGTTCACACTGGGATGGCAAGGTTTCTCGACAAGTACATACTGTGGGGGGAGTTGCGGCCGGGCGGGTGATTTACTCCCCCGCCATCTGTCAGAACTCTGTTGTTTTTCGCGACAATGGAAGGATTTGTGCTGGTACGATTGAGCAGGTCATCAGTCACTCTCATCCCCACCCTATCACTCAAAAAACGATTTCCATTACATACCTCAAAGTTATCGCCATGGTGCCAATCGACGCAGATGATGATCTCTATCGGAGACTGGACTGTGGATGGTTGTGCTATCAAAATCCTGCGGCGACAAAAGCCCTAACTATACCATTATCACACATTATCTCGCATTTTGTCCGTACGGACTTGTCATTCAAAATCAGAGGCAAACCGATTACACATGTATATCCTGTCCCAAAGGTAAAGCCATTGCTTTCTCCATTAATTCAATGATTTGTGATATTGTTCCCTTTAGTTTTTCCATGACAATGATTCAGGAATGCCAGCACCAGTTGATGCTCGAGAGTCGCAGTAAGGGTTGACCATCTATTCCAGTCTGAATAGCATTTCACACTACGCATTTTATGCCTTGCTGCTCCGAACAGGATCATGACATGCCAGTCTGGCCACAAGCATATTGTCATTAGATACGAGAATGTACACATCTAGTACTGCAAATCTTAGCTGACCATTGATATTGAGTTGATGTGTGAGGATATTATATGACATGAAGTCACTTAACGAGTTTGAGACCACTAACTTGCACACTGCTGCGTCGTGAGTGCTTGGGACCACCAATTCTGTAGAGTTCCTTCTTTTTGATAGCTTAATGTCATATTATTGAAAGACGTGGTCCACATAGCAGAAGTTTCGCAAACATTGTTCTACACCATATCAAAACATGTAAGGTACTCTAAAGTTAATGAATATACATAGTACTGCAACCCAGTCTCCAAATGTAGATATCACCAACCAAAACAGAAGGGTACAAATGAAGACCCCTACAAGAACTGTCATATCCAAAGCAGTTTGGAGGATAGGATTTGTCTGTCAAAATGTGAGCCCACGAGACATCAAAATAATTTCAGGCAGTCCTACTATCTTTGTAATGTTCTCTTGAGTCGGGAATCGATCACGGGAATATCGTTGAAGTTGAGCAAAGGTAAATAATGCAGCACTGGGAACCAGAAATCCGACACCAACAGCATGTGGTTGACTATGGAACATAACCGAAAGTTTCCAGAGTAGTTTGACGGAAAATAGCAAGTAGCTGATGATCCCCACATTGAACAGGACTTGGGGGAGTTGCAGATCAATGGACTAAACATTGAAGAGGTGAACACGGTCCCGCGCAAACAAAAATGAATACGTGGTCACTCACAGGAAAGTCTCTGAGAACAAGCGAACAATTGAAGAGTATTGCAGTAATTCGGCGACATGCATCCTTGATGGTGAGGCTTTCGCTCTGTACGGCTGTGAGACAAGCCGACCCTTATGATTCATGTTCAGACCTTAGGTTGAATGAAACTGTCTTTCACGATGGTGTCTTGCAAAGAATCTCTTCGGTGATTGGTTGAATAGCGGATCTATTTAAGGGTATGAGATCGAGCGGCGAGTGCGAGCACTAAATCGAAGGTTTACTGGAGCATTGTCTGCGTGAGGTCCGACTTGTTCTGCATCGTTTACTCCCATGATTTCCACTGTCAAGTATAACAGAAGTTCGGGGAAATCTGAATCAGATGTTCCTAGCAAAGAGAGCAGATATAACTCACAGAGGTACCCTACTCCTCTGAATCCTGAGGTGTGAAGAGAGGATTGGCTCCTACCGAGTTGAACTCTGTAGGGATGGCCGACACAAAGACAAGGACAGACGATCATGAGCGCTAGCGCTCGGGCCCAAAGAATTGATGACATTAGATAATCAAATCATCGCGGCCATTTCTGTCGAATTCTGTCTTGACCTAATACTTTGTTGATTCATCCCTTACCGTCGTCTTGTATTCGAGTCAAACTCGTTACAAGCTATCTTAATCTTCAAGGAACACGATCCGGAACACGATCTCAAGAAGCATTATTTCGAGTCGGCTCGAGAGTTCGACTATTGTCGACTCTTGCGCAGCATTCTCAAGCAGCCAGAACTTCCGCATTCAACCGCCTTGGCTCACACATGCGATACGCGCTACCCTAGCCGGTCAATCTAGCTATCCGTCAGTCTTTCTCAGTCATACCTTTGTTGTCAACCACCGCCAACCTAAACGTCCTTTTTTTCAGCCTTCTGAACTTGAGCTCTTACGATTGAAGAACTTCCTTGACAAAACTGGCGTTGGGACGAGGTCCCTAAGCTAATTAGATGTGCACCATTACTCCTCATACAAATGTATACTATTTAGGACAAACTGTCAATCGATACACTCTGCCCAGCTTTCCATTTTATCGAATGAAGGCCTGGGACTGGCATCCTATACAGTGGTTGTTTGATTCGTTCTAACTTAGGCAAATATTACCTTGCTTTGGAGTATACCAATTCGAGGCAAGCTTTGCTTGCAAAATCATCTCAGAATGAGTGAACTCAAAGGTACTATGGTTTCAAGAGGCCCGGTAATCCCATCGACAGCGACATAATACCCATGACAGCATGGTTAGCATTCCTCAGGTTTTTGTCCACATCCGGACTGATCACAAACGTCTAACACACTATCCCAAGCTACACACATACCCATTGGTCTCCATCTACCCCCCGATCCCGGACCACAACAGCTCATATGCTGACAATCCACCACGACCACCTTCTCCATCCTCTCAATTCACGCGCAACTGGAAACTCACAGGCAGTTCATTGATACACAAGACGCTAACTGCGCTTTATCCCTCTTAACGCTTGTTCAGTTTATTTCCATCCCTGCTCAGGAAACGAGTGATTGGGTTGAGCTCAAGAGTCTATGGTCCCAGGAGGCCCGACAGTCATTATCTAATCCCATCGACAACGACATAATACCCATCACAGCATGATTAGCATTCCTCAGGCTCTTGTCCACATCCAAATCACCCACAAACGTGTTGAAGGAGATTGCACTTGTTGAAGTTGAAACACACTGGAGCGCCCTTCAGCTAACCCAAACAGTATGCCACCCAGCTCAGTGCAGAGAATGTCAATGCCTTAATACAAGCTCAGTAGGTTGTGCTACAGAGTCTTGTAGTTGCTCAGTACTCCAATAAACACAGTAACAATGACCAGAGTCAATATAGTATGAGTATTGATTTGTATCTTTCAACTGTAGTAGGAATACAGGTTTGTTTGGTCTTGTATGTACTAGAAACGCATGAGGCGTGATAATAGGTGTCCACAATTGTGCGCACCTATGAAAACTAACTAACTACAGTAACACTAAAGAAATAGCTAAGTTATGAGTTGTAAAACTAAGTAATGATGTCTGTAAGTACTTTATACACTAAGTAAGTCACTACAGTGATAACTAGGAGTGATGAAGCGCTGTGTAATGTATGTAGAAAGTGTTCTATCACTACAGTATGCTCAACACGTGCCCTCGCATGTTCTTCGAAAATCTGGGTTGTGGACAAAGTATTCAGCGCGGCTCGTGTCAAGGAAGACAACTTAGTTTACTGACGCGGTTAGGACCCTTCGAATCGCTTCCTTCTCCTGGCCAGTCGGATAACGCGGCATGGACTCCAAAAACCTTTCCGAGCCGTACACCGAGAAAAAGAAAATCACGACGTCCCCTTTAAAAATTTCTGTACAGTCGTACGCGTCAAACGCAGTGTTGATATTTGGGCTACTCTGATCGTAAGTGCCGACAACGTAGTATTTTCGTTGGTTGACGACGACTTGAGCCCTGTACAGAGCGTTTGCATCCGTATCTGATCTGAATCCAATACGAACATCGATGAAGCGCTTGTTGCTGTATCGCTTCAACACCGAAAGGAAGTTTTTCTGTTCAGCTAACGCATTACCGAGGCCGAAGTAAAGTCCAAGCGTCATTCCATGAGTCTGTGGGATTTGTGTTAGCCAGGCATGTTGTAGCAACAAAATGCCAAAATTACCATGTCCTCTAGCTCTGGCATGATATTTCCATTTAATGTTGGACAGACAGTGGTGTGATCTGGGGACTGTCTTCGACCAGAAGGTCCTGCGATAGCGGGAACTGGGGAGAGACTCGTACCATTCAAGGCGGATCATAATACGGGCATAATGCGGTTGGATTGTTGTTATCAACAAATTTAGAAAGGCGATGGAGTATCGACGAGGGAAAAGGTGATTATTCTGTCTCTGATTTTATGAGAGGGAACACGCTGTTAACACGAGTCCTGCAAGTGAATCCCCCGTTACAGGTTTGAACAAATACAGGGAGATTTCCAGGGCATCGAACTTTTGGTCACGAAACGTGAAATCCTGGCGTACATTGTCAATATCGAGCTCGTTGACTCTCTTTCCAAAGAATCCCACAACACTACAAAACACTACGTGGGTCTCTAAATTCACAGAATCAAATTCCAAGCATGGAGGACTTGCAGTAATATTAGGAGTACAAAACAGTTGTAGTTAAATTCGACATCAGTGCCGTTCTTTTAGTACAGATTGTGGTTTAAAAATTCGAATAAGCTGAAAAATAGAATCGGTAATTTCTGACAATCCGGAGTTAATTAGCGAAGGATGAAAGGGATCAAAAAGCATGTTATGGAAAAATCGAAATCCTGAACCATGTGTGCAGAACCCATGGCCAGGCAGAACCACACCCCCTTGCTTTCATCCCGACACTTAACCTTGGTCAACTTTTATCCCCACACATCTAGCTCTATATCTCTGATTCACATTTAAGCCGCCTTGATTGAGGTACTCAGTAAGGCAAAGTGTCTCTCACCAACAATACTTTTGAATTCCACAAAGCTTCCCGCTGATCCAGAGAAGCAATATTCAGCCGCGAGGTATAGCCAAACTTAATATCAGGAACATATCACATCACATCTTGAGATCCGATCGATATTGCTAGATCTAGATTATTATTGATTATTTCATCATTCATCGTCCTTACCTATATGAGCCTATATGTAGGACTCCGGCAGGGAAAAGTGATACTATACAAGATTCGAGGGACTTATCAAATTTTGTGATGCTTATTAGCTCGCAGGGATCCAAAGACTTCAACGTTGAGAGTTTTCGGTTTTAGATATTGAGGACATCAATATGGGGATGCTCCTTGGATTTGCCGGGGTTGCTCTTACCATGAACGATTGATTACGCGGTAAGAATGTTCGACCTCATGTACTTGACATGTATAGGAGGCCTAGGGTCATGATTACAATCGAAACCCTTCAAGAAAACGTGAATCCGTAGCAGTACCAGGCCTTGTTCGAAGCCTGTGCCACTGCATGCTTCAACAATCGATCAATCCAACGATATCAGCTGAAAAAAAACGGCTTCACGCAGGATGCTTGTCCAACAAGTGACAGTTCGAACAGTGCGGTGTCGAAGGGTGTTGAGGGTCCCATTTCTGAGACTCACTTACAGCCGACAATCCATCGGATCCGGACCTGGTATTCCACAATTAGATAGGTACCCATGATATTTTGTATAGACTACCTACCAACAGTGGCAATCGAGAAAGACCGGTACGATTATGGCTTTTCCGACAGGCTTGCACTCCTAAGATGTATGTACATGGAGAATCAGCTTTGGAATCAGCAGGTTCAAAACAATCGATTGGCTACGTCTGGACACAAGAGCTGAAGAAGGCTAAGTAGCGAGAATTTTACAGTTTGCTTGATACAAATGTCCACAAAAAGCTAAGCGCCACATCAAGACTGGATGAAGTAAATAATCTCCAAAGCGAACCCGATGAGAAGCAAACTCTGCCTTCTTGGACTGCGAGCCACAGATGTCGCTGGTCCATCCTCATGATTGAACGATTGAAGATCAGCAGGGTCAATCGAGTGTATTATGCTGTTCGTTATGGTGTTTTGAGATAATCAAGACGAGAAAAGAAACCGAGGGTCCCCTACGAGTTGCAGGACCTTCGTCGCGAACTGCTGGACTGATCGAGCCTGGGTGAGTAAAAGCATGGATGAGAGACAAGTTAACCTACTAATCAGGAGCGGGAGTTTTGCGAGTTTTGGATCACCCTTTCGAGAAGTCTGATTTCGTTTGTCTTTTCGACCAATAAAGCAATGAGTTCAGAGTTGAGAGACCTCAGGTCAGCAAGACGTAGGGAGGTTTGTACATCCTAGAAAGCAGTTTATTGAGTACAAGTAACCATGTTTTCAGAGGATACTCACCTCGATATCGAGCTATTCAAGGCTCCCTGATAAAGCAGCTATCTCAGTTCGAAGTTGTTCGGCTTCGTCTGAAGCGGCAGACACTCTCCGTTCATACTGATTGATTTCGGCGTCCTCGCATGTTATGTAGCGCACTTGCGATGGGGGCGACATTGTATAACCACTAAAGAGAATCCTCGCGCACTTTTATACAAACTCCGTTTCATTGTGGGCCATTCATCATAAGGCTCATGGTCGGATGCCCATTCGTTGTCTTCGACGAGTGCCTTTGATGCTATGACAGCCGAGATGGACGGTATAAGATATAGGTTTCCCTTTCATGATCAGGTGAAAGACAACAGGAGAGGAGATCCTCAGAGTTGAACTCATGAGGAATGTCTAAGCTGACGCGAAACTTGGGAGTTGGACGAACGACAAAGGATAGCTTACGTAATTACCAGATGTGACTCGATCACTTGACTTTCGTTACCGTAATCAGCTAGAATCATACTAGTACTAGTACGACGTCGACAACCTTGCGCGATCTGTGAACACTTGGTCCTGGTTTCTGTTGAAGGAGACTGCACTTGTTGAAGTTGAAACACACTGGAGCGCCCTTCAGCTAACCCAAGCAGTATGCCACCCAGCTCAGTGCACAGATTGTCAATGCCTTAATACAAGACTAGTAGGTTGGACTACAAGCCTTATAGTTGCTCAGTACTCCAATAAACACTGTAGATATGACAGAAGTCAATATAGAGTGAGGATTGATTTGTATCTTTCAACTGTAGTAGGAATACAGGTTTGTTTGGTCTTGTATGTACTAGAAACGCATGAGGCGTGATAATAGGTGTCCACAATTGTGCGCACCTATGAAAACTAACTAACTACAGCAACACTAAAGAAATAGCTAAGTTATGAGTTGTAAAACTAAGTAATGATGTCTGTAAGTACTTTGTATACTAAGTAAGTCACTACAGTGATAACTAGGAGTGATGAGGCGCTGTGTAATGTATGTAGAAAGTGTTCTATCACTACAGTATGCTCAACAGTTTCAAACTGGACGCATGCGCAAGGACACGAACTTTCGATCATCACACCTTGGTCTATCTTATGTCCCTCATCGCTATGGATGCTGACATTTAGATGCTCGTGGCGTCGTAAGCAGGTTCTTCGAAAAGAGGGTGAGGAACCTCTTAGACTAAACTCTTTCGTGCGCTGACGTATCATATTACAGGCAAGCTGGAAGGAAGGAAGTGTGACAAGCTCAAATTTTTCGGTGACTTACATATCGACAATTATTTCAATCATTGGTTGGATGGAGTATACGTACGGAAACCTTGTAAGAGCAACATCTAGAACATTATTACTTTGTTGGATCGACGACACGCTAGTATAATCTCCTGGATTACTCGAGTATCTGTGCATGCACTAATAGTCATATTAACAACGATATTGTCTATTTTAGTTTCTGGCAACGGAAGGTATCCTTGTCGAATTGATACCAACAGATAGCTTATTACGCCGCACGCACCCTACACTGTGCCACCAGGGTATTTCCTTCCCTGCAGCATTCTATGACAATATTTGAGATAGACTTTGAAATATTGACAGACGATACGTACTTGGCGAGGTTGGGAGGAAAGACTAATTTCATAGGTTTTTGAGGACGAAGAATCTCATTGACAAAGCCGTACCCTCCTTTGGACCACCCGGGTTCCATCTCTTCAAGCCATGCGGCATCATAGAAGTTGGAGGGTAAGCCCACAACATATCTGCTGTTCGAACTCCGGTCGTTATTATCAACACGAAGACGCGGAGGAGAACCTCGCGTGAAACTGAATTTATTTCCATTGGCGGAGCATCGTCCTTCGAGGTGAACAAAATCTATTGGCCGGACGAAGTTCTTGACCAAGGCCGCTCGCCATCTTTGGCCCTTTACAATGTACTGTACTCGAGGTTTGCTCATGCCGGGGTCTTCTTCGTCCAATGACATTCCCGCGACGCCTAACTCGTCGAACATCTTGAGGTAGGGCTGAAGTGATTCAAAGGTAAGTATAACCTCTCTTCGCTGATGGAACAACTTGTTCAGAGTCCATATCAGTTTTCGTATCAAGATACGAGCTTGTGACAACTCACTGTGCTTTTTCTCTGCCATCTGCCCATGGGTAAGGGCAAGTCGTCACTATCTTCCGCCATTTTCTTGTCTTCCAACCAATATTTATGGAGCGATTTCAAGCGCACAAGGAATGCTTCACGGAGACCATCATGATCTTCTACACTGGGTTTAGTGACCAGTTTCTGCTTCTCAAGTATCTCCACAAAGACATATGAGGCGCCCTTGTTCCATGCTGATTTAGGACCGCCCGCAATCCAATATCGGAAGTCTTCCGTCGTACATGGACGTGAAAGCGGATTCTTCTTAAATGCTTTAGCATATTCGTCTGCTTCGTGTTGAGTTACCGTGTTTTTTAATTGGTCTTGACCTTTCATTATTTGATCAAGCCACACGCGGATCAACTCCTACATGAAGAAGTGAATATAGATTGTCACAAGAAATGGTTACACGAACCTTGCTTTTGAGCTCTTCAACGGGTCGGCGCTTGATTTCACCAGAGCGCGGAACTCGCTTCTTCTTGGCATAGCTGAAGGCATAACCTACATCGGCCTCATCGTCACCTTCATTATCTTGTTCTTCCGCCCGATCAGTAGGTTTTCTTCCGGTTGGAGCAGCATCACCCTGGGGTTTAGCTCCTCGTTCGTCGCCCATATTTCCGCGTTGTTGTGCGGGCTTGCCCGTGAAATGCTTCTCCAGTGTCTCTCCAATGCGTGCCAACATTCTCGAATTCTGGTTTGTGTGTTCGGCCAACTTATCGATCTTATCGTCTTGTTTCTGCAAGATTGCAGCGGTTTTCTTGTCTTGTTTCTGTAACATTTCTGTAGTCGATCCTTGCAATTGTGTGCAAACGCTCTTTAATAGTGTTGCTTGTGCCTCGAACAAAGTTTTCAACTACAAGGTTTTCAGATTCGACGCAATAATAGCGAGCATAGAATACCTACCGCATCTACACTGGAACTAGGGCCCTGACCACGTTGAGAATTTGATTGCGCATCATCGTTGGGGGCCTGGGGTTCCTGTTGGACTTTTCTTCTTTTGCCACTTCGAGGAAGTTGTATGGTCGGCGACAATGGTTCCTGATTATCATGCGTAGTAAGCGCTCCGTCTCCAACGGATTCCTCGAGACATACCCGCATTGGTGGTTGATCTCTTGAGGATGAAGAAAATCTCGGAGTATCATTGGGATCAGGAGCTCTGGGGGTTTCGTTGAGATCGTCCATACGATGATCTTCTTTGGGAGGGGGGGTCTGGGGTAATTCCTGCAGTAAACTCTGTGGCGTGTGTCCCGGAGTGAGACTTTCTTGTTGGAATTGACCTGGCATCCGCGACGTGTGCGAGTGCTGTGGCATCGAATGCTGGAGGTTCCCCGATGAATCCTGATAAGGATGAGTTGCCGGCTGGGCTTGTGTCTGAATCCCTTCATCAGGAGTACCGTAGTCCATTTCAGAGTCCGCATCGCTGAAATCTTGTCCAGGAGACATCATCGCTGGAGAGGAACAAGAACTTCTTTGTGTTTGAAACGGTCTCATAACCGAAACGACTAACTTATCACTTCATCATCCAATCATTCAACTCGAACCATGATTTCTAGATCCATATACGATACCTTGGCTTAGGCTATACTAAACGCTCGATTCAAGCTCAGAGAAGAAGTCATAATTGGATGATCGTGAGGGGTTTCATGAGCTCTGCTACATAGCATGATCCGTAGAACAAAGCTACTTTGGTCACGTCGTAAGTCTTTCTCAAAGGGGGCTGCAAATTGAAGCCCAAGGCAAATCACTGCGTTACAACGTTTATTTCAAGTATATAAAGGAGTTCGTGATGGTTGGGCAGATCCAATTTAGGAAAAGCAGTGATCATGACGTAAACATCAATTGAAATGACCAGCTCACCTGATCATGACAGTGCTCTGATAACGGCGCATGAGCGTGCAAAATTGAATTCCTTCCATGGCAATTCCACAGAGTCGAACTCGCTGGACGCCAATGCTTCAGCTTGTAGCTATAGGACCAGTGGTGGTATCTGCTCTATGCTCTTCACGGGACGTACGCGTAAATCTTTATAGATAAAACTTTTGGCAATATCGATATGATGACTATACCAGGATACGGACGCCCTTTGTCTTGCAACTTCGCATCAATACACAAAGGCATTGACCAATGGATATATATAACCTGGCGACAAATCAGTGAACTACATGTTGAGCATACTGTAGTGATAGAACACTTTCTACATACATTACACAGCGCTTCATCACTCCTAGTTATCACTGTAGTGACTTACTTAGTGTATAAAGTACTTACAGACATCATTACTTAGTTTTACAACTCATAACTTAGCTATTTCTTTAGTGTTACTGTAGTTAGTTAGTTTTCATAGGTGCGCACAATTGTGGACACCTATTATCACGCCTCATGCGTTTCTAGTACATACAAGACCAAACAAACCTGTATTCCTACTATAGTTGAAAGATACAAATCAATACTCATACTATATTGACTTTGGTCATTGTTACTGTGTTTATTGGAGTACTGAGCAACTACAAGACTCTGTAGCACAACCTACTGAGCTTGTATTAAGGCATTGACATTCTCTGCACTGAGCTGGGTGGCATACTGTTTGGGTTAGCTGAAGGGCGCTCCAGTGTGTTTCAACTTCAACAAGTGCAGTCTCCTTCAACACTACACGCCACTCCCACCCATCAGAAACTTACCTCTGTCGATCTGGTTCATGAGCTCCGTGAGTGCAGACCGATTAATGCGACAGTACATAACCACTTTTTTTGATATCATTCCATCCCAGAAAGTTTGCATTCTATCGTCGGATACTCCACGCTTGCAGTTGCTCGAGCAAGTGGTTGAGAGCAAGCATGAAGAAGTCCTTCAACTGCGTAGCGAAGCCGACAATCTGCGTCGAAAACATTCTAGCAGGAAGCAAAACACCAGGGTATGACTCTTCACTTCTCATAGTTCAAACATCGCTCTGATCTTCTGTTTCCAGGCGGCACAATCTGACCTGGCTCATTTGAAAGCTGAACACTTGCATCATCTTTCCGGTGTGGACGACGCGTCGATATCTATCATCAAGCTACAGACGCAGCTTCTAGTGTCTCTTGGTTGTGGCTTAGCGGATCCAGGATGTATAGAAGCTATCACAGCGGAGAAGGTATGCACACAATATACCCACCAGGATTTAAATCGACCTTTCTTTACTTTCTAGACGGAGGAATTCTGGTCCTACATGGAAAAAGTCAAATCTTCCCCTACGACTACTGCTGATGTCTCGCGCACGCACACAGAAGATTTGAAGGTGCCTTTTTTGTTCGTTCTGCATATCATTGGCTGATCAAAGGCTCTCTAGTCAATTGCAACGTCATCCTGTCCACTTGAGCCAGATGATATTTCTGCATCGGAATTGACAGCACTACTCGTGAGACAGTGTATAGACCTCTATGAAAAGGCAGGAAAGCTACCAAGGTCTACAGGCCTTCCCCGTCAATGTAGGCAGCTATGCGATATGGCGCGCACTTTACAGTAGTCAACACAGATAATAAAGAGCCTTATTCGATGGCTGCGATCGCAACAATTTGTCCCATTTGTCCAATCATATCCCATTTAATCCTATTCAATCGTGCACGAAAAAATCTTCATGTATAACTAACATGCGGAGGCATGTTTGTTTTTGACACCTCATGTATTCGTTTCAGTGCGTATATATAACGCTTAAGTAGCCCTGGATGTACCGGTACCTCATAATCGGAACTGGTGCATCTATCGATGATCTATAAATCTATGCATATGAACACGTTGTCTGATTCTGGTTGGTATTTCAAGAGGTCACTGGGAACGTGATTACTGCCTTGTTCGGAAATCCCAAATTCACCCAAACATGTCTTCGCCTCCCATCGATTCCATGTCTTCTGCAGCTGGAACTCCAGACGCCGCTGTCATGCTCCGCAACATCCTTTCATTCATCAACTTTGACCTGTCTTTTGCCTCTGGTGCTACGACCGGGTCCATTGTGGAAGATGTTGTCTCGGACGACTTGGCCTTGATAGGAATGCTGATCGGTTTCCTTGTCTGTTCGATTTTGGGCTTCTTGATGCTCATCGATGTTGCATTGAAAATGGTAAGCAATTTTATCTCATGAAGATGAAGAATTAAATCTGTTTTCTGGATAAAGGTCTATCTCGCGTATCTATACATCTGCGAGTTCACGCCGTGGGCAAAAGCTGAGGAGCTCCAGAGGAGGGAGCGAGCTGTCACACTGAAGGAAGCATTGGTCGAAAAGAAGGCACGTCGGGTCAAAATGGATGTTGAGATCGAAGCTTCTGCGCGGCTTGTGTAGATTCATCGGGAGGCCATGTTATCTGCCGAGAAAAAGTTAGAAGAGTTAAACTTTGGTAAGCAGTTAATTGAAGAGAGGGAAGAACATCTGGCTTTGGAGGAGCAGGAGCTCATTCGTAGCGCTACGATGAACAACGAGCAGGATTTGTACTAAGTAGACACTCAGTACTTGGTGCACATGAACAGCACTCAGAGAATCGTTGAACAATGTACTGCCAACATTGGTTACAAAAGGCGATCACGATGAAAAGAGCTCGGGTCTGATATAAGAGCTACGCGTTCAAATGATTCCGCTGTGACATCAAAAGTAGAATAGCTGGACAGAATTCTCAGATCGCATTCAAGTAAGCTTAATGAATATACGTTGTACATTCGATTTCATAGCATTGATGCCCAAAAAATACAAACAGGTATTCTCAGATAATCTAAGTCTACCAGTGTCAACGTCCGTTGTTCAGTTTGTCTGTATGCTGATTGAGAGATCAACACGTACCAAAAGATCCTCCAAACTAATCAATAATTCTTTGAGCTTTGTCAATGATGGCGATTGTGGTGTAGCAGAAGGAACGACAGGAGGTGGAGGAGGAGGAGGTGGAGGAACGAACGACCTTCCGAGGTATTGTAGAAAGTTTGCCGATTCTTTTTCTCTCCATTGTGCAGATAATAACCACGACATCGCAAATATCACACCCATCAGTATGAGAATCATATGCCCCACAGTCGTAGTAAATTTGATCTGTAAACGATTGTCTTCAGAAAGATGCATGCTCGAGGAATGATACAACATACAAATCTCGATAGAACACCCCAAAGCTTCGATGTTTTTTGTTGTTTACTAGGTCCATCAGCTTCATCTTGAGTCCATATAACAATCTTTGTACGTTGTCCGCAATTTCCTTCACCCGAAGCGATGACTCTACGACGACCCGCCAGCTCGACATAGGCCTTGTGATTGTGAGACAGCAGTTAAGGTCAAATGAGGTATGGAAACACTCACTAGAGCGGTCACCCATATTTCGTCTGAATAAGGGGATATCAGAGAAGACATTTGAAACATCTTGTGAAAATGTACCTCCCCCATGCTTCAAAGCTTGTATCCTTTTACCACGTTTCGCTTCGAACATTGCAACGTAACCTTTGGTCGTCCCCATTATCGTCGCTTGTCCTTTATTGATAAACAAAACCGGAAGTGGAATGTTCTGTGGGGGTGGTTGAACGTCAACAGATGTACCCATTTTCTTGACGTTTTCAGGTGTACTCCTGAACCAACTAAGGCCGTTGAATATGTTTGTCGTCACTACGGCTGTTGAGTCCGGAGATTTCGCCATAGCCGCTCTGACATATCCATGAGCGGGAACACCAGCGCGATACAATGCATATCACATACATTTTTTCCTCTGGCCCCCAACTCCTACGATTCTCCCAGGCATCAAATTTAAACTTCCTGTTCATCAAATCTTCGGTCATCAGAGAATACAGCATGGTCTTGTTCTTCTCACCAGAATCCGTCGTGAAGATATGCTAAGAGACAATCATCATCTCCCAAAAAATAAGCACCCGTTGCCAGGATTGGCGGGCGGCTGTAATTCTCGGTTTCTCCGAATGGACCGGGGCGAGGCAGATGATCCTGATAATGCCACTTTCTAGAACCTGCGATATGACACCAATGAACGTTATGACAATGTGGATTTCCGACAAGGTACATCCATACTATTTTTAAAAAGAAGTACGTCGGCACCAGAGCAAACAAGAAGGTGGTTCCCGTGGTTATCGAATTCCAGACATTCGATAGGTGTATTGGTCTTGTAGAGGACTTCACTCTTTCGTCGGTAGATCCACTTCTGTTCCTTCTATCAGACCAGGCCCACTAAAGTATGTACAACTCACCTTGGTTGGATGAAAGGTTATTATTTCGCCGTCCATGTTACCCACGAATAGAACACTGTCTCTCCATGCAACAGCAGTAAAAGCACACGAGCCTTCGTGCTCCCAGGATGTCGAAAACCCACGGTCCATGTCGTATACACGTACCCGCCTATCATCTCCTGCACTCGCCAAGAAACAACCATCCACTGAGAATGCCAATGCATTCACAGTATCGGTAGGGGCATCTATGGCGCCTAGCCGAGCATAGGGCGTGTTCGAAGGTTCGGAGAGAACCATATGTACCCAGAAAATGTGTTTTGAGAATGGATGTACACGAGCCTTGAGCTCAAAGGGGACTACAGAAATGTAGGAGAATCGACGGCTCCTTGGAGGAACAGCCCACGGAGTTGTACTCGGTGGGACTGAATGAAGATAGAGAGGTACGTAATATATCGGAGCTGTAAGCGCTGAACCGTCTTTTCTTCTTGAAGCGCCCTTTCTTCCTCTTAACCAACCTCACCAAAACTTGGTCTCGGTTTCAAACCAGACCTAAGGTCGTCTCATTGCTCTATGGCTCAAGGTCCGGGCAGTGACTATGCACTGACCGCTAAATCCGAATCGATTGCACGGAAAGCTCAAAGAAACTCTCATAATGCAACCCCTTTGTCCTAGTTCGATCTCATGTCCCTTTGATGAAATTGCGAGAAAGAACCACTATATAACCGACAGCTCTTGCTCATACAGTCCCCCGTATGCCCATACTTTCGACATGGATACTTGCCGCCAGTCAATGGACATAGCGACCGCTACCTTAAACTCGTTGGTAGAAAACTTCGAGACCCTCCAAGAAGCCATGCGTTCATCGATCGAAAGCATAAAACGGGGATATGCTAATATTCTTTGCTCGGGAAGGGTCGATGATTCTGTAAGTTCCCAAAATCTTGCATCTGTGTCTATCTGATGTTTCTGTATTAGGTAGAATTTTTCTCCCCTCGTTACTCTGAAGTTCTTTCTCTTCAACGTTTGACTCAGATTCTCAAATGCAAGGTAGAACGTTCATCAATGATAATAAATTGGTCTAAACCTCTATTTTTACCAAGATTTTCCTTGCCACGCTTGAAAAACCTCTAGTTGATCTCGCCATCGTCCTTCCATCCATGGACTCAACCTGTCGGCTACTCTTCAGCGCACTGTATGATCTTTATACCAACTTGTCGCCAGTGGCCCAACGAACCAAACTGGAGATATACATGGCACTTATTCGTGGTCCGAATATGACCTCGTCCATGGAGGTGTGTGGTATCTGATTCGTGCTTATAACTTACTGACTCGTATATCAAGATGGAGGCTTACTCCCTTATGTTCGCGCCCCTGCTTACCCAGATTGCAAAAATAACAGAGATTCTGCGAACGTTGAAGAAGGAAGTAAGTTCAAACTGAATTGTTATAGAAGCCCTACTCAACCTCTTGCTAGATCGAGTATACGAACATCATTCTTCGTTTCGCTCCGAAACCATACAGTGGCACCTAGATACAACAGCTGGTGTTCTTGTTCCCAGCTCATCTCATTCACGAAGCCTTGAGTAACGGAACAAAGGCACTTCTTCCCCAGTACAAATCTACTAGTCCTTATCGTCTTTCATTTGTCCTATGTGTACGATCTATTAATTACTATGCCTGGTGTCTTTTTTCCGTTGCAAAGGGTCATCCGTCAGCCAAAAAAAACCAACAGCACCGTTGTCGTCGAATACGAAGTTACTCGAGAGTTGGTCCGTGTGTACATTTGACGTACGGCAGGCAACTCCTGCATTGGAGGGCGGTAGGTCGAATTTCGCATCGCTTGTTTTTGGTTTTGCGCTGTTGACATACCTATTGATGAAACAAGTTGCCAAAGAACGACACGAATCGTCAATGGTATTCAATATTGAGATCTCGTCTTTCCTTCGGAGTGATTTATGTTCCTATAAACGGCGTTGTACGTCTGAGTTTTAGGTCGTGGACCTCGCAAGCTCGAAACCCGTCTCTTTACGACTGTACAAAGTTCTTGGTACCATCTTCGACGATGAAGCTACTCCTGAAGCGTTGCAAACACTTTCAGAACTCTATGTCAATAGCAGCTCATCTGGCTCCACCGTAGATGCCGGCTCAAGTCACGGAGACTCCCAAGACCAATGCACATTTTGATGGCGCGTTCCTCGAAGATGAAGAAGACGAAAACGACGATGAAGAAAAGCGCGCTCAATCATCAGTCGGACCCTTGAAATTTGTGGAAAACACGCCAGGGGAAGCAGCTGCAAGGGCAAGGAAAAATCTGAAGCGGGATATGGAGCTCAGGCTGGTTGAGGGCAGTCGACATTTTCTGAAAGTCTTGAGTGAAGTTGATGAGGTGTGTACTCACTTCCCGATCGCAGTCTCGTTATTCATCTACCCAATGTCCTATTCAGAGACTGGTTGCCCTTCAAAAACACGTCTTGGCAATGCATATGAGCTGTGACGAAACCGAGAAGCAACTCTAACTTTCAAACGAGGCGAGCAAATCTCACGCGCAGGTAATCTATGTGCAGAGAGGTGCGTGTTTTTTGTCTCCTGCGAAGTCCTCTATGTCCTGAGCGCAAGAAAGACAAGAAGTTGAAGACCGAAAATCAATTGTCTCCTTATTCCTTACACGATCCACACTCACGGAGGAGGAAACGGAGACATTGACATCTGGAGATGTACCAGTGGGCAAGCGATTTTTCCAACCTATGGACAAGACAGAACAGATTTGACAAGATTGGTCGTGTTATAATGGCCGGTGAGGACCATCCGACGAGAGCTGGGGTAAGTTCGACAAACAATCTCAATTGAGATAACTGATCATGATATCTAGTATCCACGGCTAGGAAAGACATCATGGCATCTACCGCCTCTCAACTTGAACAAGGCTACGAGAAAATATTTCGCTGGTATTCCTACGAGTTTCGTCAGGTTGGACGCGATTCTCAGCTTGAAGTGAACACGATCATGCGGGAGGACGTCCGTCGCCTACGAAAGAGGCCCGAGCTCCTAAAGTATGTTCTTGTCACGGACTTCTGTTCTTTGTCTGACAGTCTTCGTCCAGTGAATCACTGGCTGCGCTTTCACTCACCCGTCAAACAACACTGACATCTTCCTTCCTCACTGCCCTTACGCGTGGCGGACCTTCTGGTCTCCCTCGACCTATTGAGCTCCATGCTCACGATCCTCTGAGGTATATCGGCGACATGCTTGCATGGGTTCATCAAGCTATTGCCGCTGAACGGGAGCTCCCCGAGGCCTTGTTTAGTATCAAGGAAGACGGCCGTTTGATTGGTAGCGCGAGAGAGTTCGCTGAGGAAGGCAAGATGAACAAGGAAGAAGAAAAGGGAGCTCATGGACACGGCGGTGGGGAAAGTCTGTGTCCCTTTGAAGGTAAATAATGTGTGATTTCTTTTCCATCAGTAGGGGACTTACGCTTTTCATTTTTTGTCTAGATTCGCGTACAACAAACTATCAGGTCGCAAGAAAGTTCGATTATGTCGTACAAGATCGCGAACCTGTTGCAGTTCTACAAGACAACCATGACGAAGACGATTGGTGACGATGCGGTTCTATCCGTAACGTTGAAGGACTGCGTACAAACAATTATATATCTGCACAGCTGTTCCTCTAAATGTTGCTCAGAATTACCGACCTGGCATACCAGACTCCCTTTGGCTCTATCGAAGCTCAATGTCCTTCACTCGCTCAAGCAATCTTAGTACGTTCCGAAGATACTTTCATCTGTCTCAGAGTATCTTTAACGCAAAGTAGGATCTCGATGATACATCCCTTACAATACCTCCCATACTCGACCACGTTCAAATACTTCGTGAGATCATGGCAGTGTATCATTCGTATCTCGGAGACGACGAGCTGGACGACGGTCACAACGAAGATAATTTGATTGGTGATCATAACAAATTGTACACAGCCGGGAACACGGGCTTCCTCAAAATTGGCGAAATCATGGTACAGCCAGCGTTAGATATGTGTCTTGATGCAGGGAAAAAGAAGAAGAGGCAAAGGCCTGAATGGGACAAGGATGTTTTCGTGTTGAATTGCTTGAGCTATCTTTTGGTATATGCGGGTTTGGCAAATTGTTCGTGTTAATTTACTGACTCAAATGGTTTCGTATTCTTTTTTGCAGAGTGTTCTGGGGCCGTTCGCATTCACCAAGCCTCAACGAAAGGTGATTCAGGAAGCAATTGAATCGAAAGTTGAAGAGTTGACTGAAGAACATGTGAATCTATTTATACTTCACTAATATCGTCTTTTGTTGAGCTTGGTCTTTCCAGTACCACGATATCATAACAGATGCAGGATTAAACCAAATCGCCTCCCTATGCCGGAATCATGATGGCTCGGTAAACTGTTCTGATTACGCACTATTTATCTTGACTTACATTTTTCCGCTCTGGCCTCCTTCTCCCGTTGGCTATCTACCTCTACTGAAGTCGTCTCCTCATCCTCCCCCCATTCTCGCCTGACCCTTCAGCGTCTGCATACGCAGATACACCATGCTGCATCTACTGTTCTTTCTGAAATACCTCCTGAGAAGGACGCTACATGCCAGCTTCTGAATGCTGATGAATACAACCAACATTGGAAGTCTTTGTTATCTTGGGAGTTGGACCAGTTGGCTACCGATAAACAGGAAATCATGAGTGTTGGATTGGGACCAAGGTGAATTTTCCGTACTCGTTCCAGGGATACGGGAAACCTATCCGGCTAGACATCGGAGACGTCATTCATCTAAGGGAAGTCCTGGTTGACTGGAACACAGGCAGTGGGCTCGCTTTCGAAGGAAGGGTGATTAGACTCAAGAAGCAAGAAGGCTCCATTCGTATGTTCTGTGTATTACTATAAAATCCTGCTCAATTCGTTCCAGATTTTTCCTGTCCTACGCTCAAGACGCACATCGAGACGTTTGTTATACAAGAACCCTCGTTTCAGGCTGATGAAGAAGTACCTCCTGTCCTCAACCTGTCTTTTATAACAAACGCACGTCCCTCAGTTGTAATGGACGTCGTCGTCTCGACCTTGGCTAGTGCGTTGGATCCCAATGGAAAGCGCGATGTAGCTCATCGGTGGTTATTTCCAGAGATGGACGACTGCATCTCAATCTTCCCGTCCCTTCCACACCACCTAATATAACAGGAGAGGTTTAGGTCGACTCGACAATGGCTTGCATGCGGAGCAACAGGTCAATTTTTGCCATTCAAGTCGATCATCAGTGCTTATCCTCCTTCTGTTTCGCTCTAGTTCGCCACTTCTTGTTCATCAAAATATCAATCGCATGTCCCGTTTCTTATCAGCGGTCCTCCGGGTACAGGAAAAACACGGTAGCGGTACTTCCAAATATCAGAAGTTGAACACATTGACTAGCCCTATATTACAGAACCGTCGTGGAAACCGTCCACCAAATCTTACATACTCAGCCAGAAGCACATATCTTACTTTGTGCTCCTTCCAATTCCGCTACTGATACTGTGGCACTACGACTTGGATCATCTCTCAAACTAGGAGATATGCTCCAACTAAATGACCAGAACAGAACCTTTGCGGAGGTTCCAGATTTAATTCGTCAATTTTGCTGCAAGTTCACCAAGTCCATTTCTTACTGACAAAAAGCTCAGATGTTGACAACGATAGCTTTGCCATTCCTACTTGGAAGATGCTCATGAGCTACAAGGTAGTGGTGACGTCGTGTCTGGACGCAAATATTCTCGTCGACGCTGCCTGTACTAATATCGTTCTTTGTGCGCTAGAAGAACACGTAGTGTCATCGCTGCACCCTCACAGGAAGATCAAGTATCGGATTGTTCCTCATTGGACGCATCTGCTGATTGACGAGGTGGAAATCAATTCTGTTTGATTTCATTATCACTGCTTAAACCCTTTGTCAGGCCGGGCAAGGTTCAGGGCCGGAACTTCTAGTTCCGATCTCAGTCGTTCTACCCAGGCATGAGCTTTCCGCTCCCAATCGTACAACTTCGTTCGATTACCACTGGCTTTCCATTGTCCCACAGTTAATTCTGTGCGGGGATATCAATCAGCGTACGTTCTGGCTTTCCATAGCACTAGACTAATAATCTGACTCAATTTGCTCACATAGTGGGACCCATCATCACATCTCAACAAGCGCGCACCTATGAACTCGATATCTCCTTACTCAAGCGTCTCTTCAATAGACCTCTGTACGTGGAACACACCGAGACACGTCATCCTCGACGTCCACCCCTCACTGGTTTGCCGCTGCACCAAAATTCAGTGCAATCAATGTTCAAGCCATTCATGATCCTCGTTAAGGTGGGTTTGTTCATAATGACCTGTCCGTTTCGCTTTCTTATGTCATATCTAAGAACTACCGTTCTCACCCAGCAATCCTCATGCCACCTTCGGCTATGTTCTACAATGACTCGTTAGAGGCTTGCGCGAGCAATGGTATGATCTCCCGGGCGGGACTATAGTCCAACGATAAATACCCTCTAATGTTCCTTGGCTGTGACACTAAGGATGAAAGCGTCGACGAGGTCCGTATCTACGCATTCTTCATCTAATCAGCCTAACTTTGTCTCAGCGTGCTACCTGGTTCAACATTGGCGAAATAGATGGAATCGTAGGAGTGATCAGCTCATTGATGTCGGAGGCCGCCAAAAGCATTTCACCGCTCCAAGCTGACGAAATCGGGGTCATGGCACCTTGGCGAGAACAAGTTTGGAAAATCCGAGAAAGATTAAGGCAGGCGGGGCTATCTCGAGTGGATGTGGAACTGTGGAGGACTATCAAGGCAGAGAGAAACGAGTTGTGATCATCTCTTGTGTGAGGTCTAGTGCCAGGTTTCTGACAGAAGACGGACAGAAGGAGATTGGTCTGGTATTTGAAAAGGAAAGGTTTGCTCGTTTTCTTCAGGTCTTGTACCGATGCTGAATGGCGAACGTAGAATGAATGTAGCTATTATCCGTGCTAAAGAACTCCTCGTCATAATCGGCAATGGCAATGTACTCAAATATGATCCATATTGGAAAGGTTTCCTACAGTTTGCTCTAAGGAACGCATTGTGAGTATCATTAGATATCTTATCTTCTAGTCTTGTACTGACCCTCGAAAATAGATATGTGGATCCTGAATCAGCGCTCGATGATGATGGTGCTTGGATATCACGCCTAGAGTCAGTTATTCACCGTCTACTTTTTATCCCAATCACTCTAATGCATTCAAATCCAGGTCCAAGACTGCTGAAGCCGAAGAAGAAGTTGGTTTGGCGACTATTGATCCTACAGGGATGAGGGCTACGATGATGCTAGCGGGAGGTGTAGTAAGGGAGATTCTCAAAGATAGTTTTTGAGTTGGGTAGATAGAAGGTCTATTTGTCAACGGGATTATCGGTACTTCCGTAATGTAATTTGGAGGGACGATCACCCGGCCTTTTCAGAATATTTCACGAAGATTTGAAGGAGGGTAGAAAGAGATCGCCCTTGTCATTGAGTACGATATCCCTCGAGATCAGCTTAAAGTCTGTAAGGAAGTTTGGGAATATGATCTGGCGGAGGCTCTCAAGACAAATAAAAGTTGGGATGGTTACTTTGCAACAGAATGTGTTTGCAATAAGTACAAGAGCATTGCATGCGAATGATCATGAGCGCCTAAAATTATAAAACCAAACTGATCACGATGTCTCTCAAACCGTCACTTTCGTCCTCCACCGTCCGCGTCTTGTATCCGAGTGCAACTCGTGCATAGACTGATGAGTTACACTCTTCGCCAAAGAGAAGACTTGGCCCCATGAAAATACAGTCAGCTCATGAATACCCTGGAACCCGACATATACCGTCTCGAGAACGCGACGTATTCACAAAATCCTCAACAATGTCCCTCATCCATTCACCAGAAACTGGTAAATCCAACCTGACCACTCTCGTCGATATCCTAGGGCATGTCAATCTCATCGACGAAGATTTCTTCGGCCATTCTATCATTGTTTGTGGGACGTCGTCGAAGGGGTGAGTTTCTGTATACGATTACACTGGTCACATACAAAATTAACTGTTTCAATCTGGAACTCAGAATAAGACCCACTGATGTCGTCTTACTGGACAGTACGAGCAGAATTGAGCGCACTCACTGCTTTGGCCCAAACTCACCTCGATTTTGGACGTGCCAAACCTTCGGATCGATTTGTAGCAAGGACTGGACGTGCCCTCGTAGAATTAATACGATGTTCTCTTCAAGGTATAGCAAACTGGGTCCCGGACGACCCCCTCTTTCACCTCCTTCTCCCTCTCCTGCTGCTGCTGCACCTCCCTCGTCAAATCCCTCTTCTTCAACACGACATACGCCCCACCCTTTAGGTCCGCAGGGACAGCCTCCACCACCCCAGGTACCGTCCCCTCCCTCTCCCCTTTAACCTCCCTCCTCATCTCCCTCGTCAACTCGAGATCCCTGGAAATAAACCCGTGTCCGGCAACGGGCCCGTAGTACGACGTCCCCGCGAGCGAACCAATAATACATGCCCCCACGAGCACGGAGAGATAGAACCGATACTGGGAATACCACAGTGGCGTCCACCCCATCCCGCACACCGTGGCGTCCGCCCACCACAACCCGGTGAACCCCACCCATTGCACGAGTAACGCGGTCATCGGCTGCACCCCCAGTGTGGGCCACGCGAAAAAGAGGGGTGCGGCGCCGAGGAGGAGACGACGGATGGATTGGGTCGGTGATATGGAAGACGTTCACCAATACGTTGTATTTCCTGTCCACAAAAGAGGACCCGGGCTATCGCTCTATCATACGAACAGATGGGGGATACTGAATTCGAGCACCAGTTCACCATTGCGCGTTCAAATATTGGTTGACTCAAGGTTTCCTTCGGCGATTACGAGGGTGCCTTAGAATCGCTTGACTCTACTTGATGACTTCTTTCTTAGGAGGAGGACGAGATGACTATGCTGTTGAGAGTTCAGGCGCAATCTGGGTCTGGAATTCTACAATTGAGGGGGCAACTGTTGGTTTCTTCTAATTCCATATTGATCTGTTTTTATTCTCACTGCACATACTGGTGTTATGTTATAAATTATACCCTCAAGTTTCCTCATCTTTGTTTCCATCCCTGCTCATGAAATGTGTGCTTGGGTTGAGCTCAACTATGTATAAGAGGCCCGAGAGTCATTATCTAATGCCATCGACAGCGACATAATACCCATCACAGCATGGTTAGCATTGCTGAGGCTCTTGTCCACATCCAAATCACCCACAAACATATAGCACACAATCCAAGCTACAAGCGCACCCTATATACTTCACGACAGTTTACCTTACAAACACTAATCCGGATCGCCACTACACCCGCTCCCCAGGCGCTTCATCCCTACCTTCTAAATCCCCTCGTACCGCGCGCTCCCCCCGATCCGAGTCACGATATTGGATTCGTGTACAATGGCAAGACGCTCCAGCCGCTTACTTCGCGCTCTATACACGTCCAGACGCTCCCGCCTCCCGTCGCCAGCGGATGGGCCCGGTTACTTGTACGCTTTCGTCGATTCCGATGTCTACTGGAAAGTAGGCATGACAGGCAACTACGACCGGCGGAAGGCAGAGTGGGACAGACAGTGGCCGTGTCCCAGCAGAGTCTGGCTCCCCCCTATGCAGGTTGTATGGCGAAGGAAAGCTGGTGCGTTTCTTGACTGATTTTTCCAAATAAATACATATTTATTCGCTTTCAGAATCGTTGGCGCACATTTTATTGGAACATAGATGCCTCAGCCGACCTCGCAATTACTGTGCTAACTGTCCGTGTGGTTCACGTCTTCATCCAAACACTAATTCATGTTGTGTTGCAAAGGTTTCAAGGCACACATTGAAATATTTATCATCCCTGGTCATTGGTGGTATATCTGGGGAACTATCATTCTACCAGTCCTTGCAAGAGCAGCAGCAGCATAATGGTATGTAACTTTCAGCTTTCTTTGAAGTGGGATGTGACTGACAAGCTGATAGATTCAGAGAACTCAATCTTTTACCTATGAATTTCTTGTACACAGTGTATATACATATAATGGTGCTATCTAGGGCAGAGGTGATACTGATTATGAATAAATGAGCACATAGATAAGTCCCTACCTAACGTTTGGAAGATTCTACTGACAAAATAACTAGATGATCGTCGACGTCCCGACATTCGCGACCCTGCTATGTCTCGATATACCGATATCGACGACGTCTCCATGTCCCGACGTCCCGATGTCGACGACGTCTTGATGTCCCTACGTCTCGATATCGACGACGTCCCGACATCGCGTACCCTTATTCTCAGTGAGATTATTCTGAAGAATCTCATGCTCTTCATGCGGCGAATAGTCCGCGAAAATTTCCAACAATCCCGGTAAGATTTTGCTGCAATTAGTCAAAATAATCTCAATGTATTCGCACACTAATTTATGGTAGATTAGATTAAAAAATCCCTGCATATTCAGCACGCGAAAACGTTGTAAACTGACGTCGGGCTTTATTGAACTATTCCTGGGTGGTTTAGTGGTAGAATTTTCTGTATAATCTCATGTTATTCTCTACATAATGTCCGTTCGATTACAATGTGATTAAATAATATATTCTGTTCCTGCTTAGAGGGAGAATTTTGTACCTAATCTTACCTTATTCGCGCCCTATTCGCGGCAAGATAAGGCCTTCATCCCCGCAGTGCCAGGTAGGTCCTGGGTGAGGTGCTACAGGATATCCAGAAGAAGATGGAGGATTTGATGAGTGAAAGAAGCTTCAGGAAGTCCTAGATCTCAACTGATTAGGCTGGATGAGGCACATGAAGGAGGCTGAAAGAAAGGAAGGCATAAAATGGCCTGATTGGGTTCTGGATCATAGCAGATCAGGCTGGATAAGAGGCTGGAGAACACCAGGAGGAAGATATTGATATTGATGAAGGAGATAGGCCTCAGGAAGTTCTACATCACAGCTGATCAAGCTGGATAAGAGCCAGGAAGGTTTCTGAGATGAGTGAGGAGATGAAGTGGCCTGAGCAGGGCCTGGATCATCACAGATCAGGCTGGATAAGAGGTTGGAGGACACTAGGAGGAGGATAAAGGTGCTGATGAGGAAGATAAGCCTCAGGAGGTCCTAGATCACAGCTGATCAAGCTGGATAAGAGAGAGGAAGGAGTCTGGGATGGAAAAACAGGTTGAGTGGCCTGAGTAGGCCTTGGACCATGACAGATCAGGCTGGATAAGAGGTTGGAGGACACCAGGAGGAGGATAAAGGTGTTGATGAGGGAGTTAAGCCTCAGGAAGTCCTAGATCACAGCTGATCAGGCTGGATAAGGCATAGATGACATGGAGGAGCCTGGAAAAGAGATTTCCAAGGTTTCTGAGGGTATCAGGGAAGTGAGAGAGCTGGGATCTGAAGATCAGAGTGAAGGAGGTCCAGGGAAAGGTTGAGATGAAGATGTGCTATGGAATAGCAAGGAGAATGACCAAAAAATGACCAGATCAACCTAGATCTGCCCAAACATCAGTTGAAAACCATGTAAAACACCCATAAAAGATATCATAGACACACTGAGAACCCAGACCTCTAATCTATACACAAAAGACAAGGAAAAATAATGTTGAAGCTGTCAGAGCTATGGCAGGTCCTTGAATCTGAGGCTAGGCCTGTACAGATGAAAGGAGGACCTGGAGGGTGATGTTGAAGCTATCAGAGCTGTGGAAGAAAGCCAGTGTTCTCACCCAAATCACCAAAGTGGCAGGAGATGGTGGTGGTAAAAGAGAAAGGAAGAGCTGATGGGATCACATGATTCTGACCTTTTTCACACAGGCCTCTGCTCAGAAACTCTGGCACCTGACTGAAACAGAACACATGATCAACACATCACCTGATCCAACTGGCCCCATGTGAGGTGCTACCTGTACACATCTGAGGACAGAAGTGAGGTGTGACCTGTACACATGTTGAGAAGTGAGGTGGAAACACCTGTACACAACTGAAGAGGTGAGGAACACAGCCTGTACACTTCTGTAAAAAATCAGGTGGAACCTGTACACATCTGAGGGTGAGACCCTGTACAGAAGTGAGGTAAAACCTGGAGAGAGATAAATCTGTACACAGCTGAAAAGTGAGGTTGTGGAGAAACCTGTACACATTTTCAGAAATGAGGAATATCTGTAGAGTTTTGGTGAGAGGAAGCAACTGAATATTCATGTACCTGTCAGAAGTGAGGAGGAGGCCTCCTGTACACCTCCAAGGTACTGAATGGAAGATTCAGTTGCTGGTGGGGATCTGTTGGTTTGCAGAGGCCTCCAGAAACGCTCCCTACCCTTGGAATCCGCCTTCATGTCGAACAACTGGCAAAAATTTCCCCTGCCTGAGTGATCCACATCTTAGGAATTACCCACTGATGATCCTTCAGTTGAGCCACTTCATGAATATAGTGCCGTTTATTATCAACCAGAATGGATGGGGTGAGAAAATCGAGTGGAAGTTCCATCCATCGACCCTTTGGTACTTGCCACATTTCAGAAATGGGACTGCCATTAACATCCTCAGGATAAACATGAATCAGTGGTGCAACTTCAGGGTTTGCAAAATCCTGTCAATGGATTGTTGAAGGAGACTGCACTTGTTGAAGTTGAAACACACTGGAGCGCCCTTCAGCTAACCCAAACAGTATGCCACCCAGCTCAGTGCAGATAATGTCAATGCCTTAATACAAGCTCAGTAGGTTGTGCTACAGAGTCTTGTAGTTGCTTAGTACTCCAATAAACACAGTAACAATGACCAGAGTCAATATAGTATGAGTATTGATTTGTATCTTTCAACTGTAGTAGGAATACAGGTTTGTTTGGTCTTGTATGTACTAGAAACGCATGAGGCGTGCTAATGGGTGTCCACAATTGTGCGCACCTATGAAAACTAACTAACTACTGCAAGACTAAAGAAACTTGTACTGTAAAAGTTGAAAAACTCGGAAATGAGTCTTGTAAGTTACTTACTTTGTACACTAAAACTAATGATTATAGTGATAACTATAGCTAAGAGGACATTGTGTAATGTATGTAGTGTTAGGATTCAATCCTGACACCCTAATGAGGTGTAAATGGTATTATGCAAAATTCCATCAACCAAGGCAAAAGAAGATAGTAAGTCCTTAAGAAGTGTTGATTGGATGGCCACTGTTACCATATGTAAAGTCCTCATTAGTTGAACCAAGGTCGGATAGCTCAGTTGGTTAGAGCATCTGGAATATAACCAGAAGGTCCTGGGTTCAATCCCCAGTCTGGTCACTTTGTTTTCAGTCATGACTTTAACATGTAGATGTATGTAGAAAGTGTTCTATCACTACAGTATGCTCAACATGGATGATACTAGGTTCAGTAAATATCCTAGGTAAGCTGGAAGTAAGCTTACCCATGTTGAGCATACTGTAGTGATAGAACACTTTCTACATACATTACACAGTGCTTCATCACTCCTAGTTATCACTGTAGTGACTTACTTAGTGTATAAAGTACTTACAGACTTCATTTCTTAGTTTTACAACTCATAACTTAGCTATTTCTTTAGTGTTACTGTAGTTAGTTAGTTTTCATAGGTGCGCACAATTGTGGACACCCATTATCACGCCTCATGCGTTTCTAGTACATACAAGACCAAACAAACCTGTATTCCTACTATAGTTGAAAGATACAAATCAATCCTCACTCTATATTGACTTCTGTCATATCTACAGTGTTTATTGGAGTACTGAGCAACTATAAGGCTTGTAGTCCAACCTACTAGTCTTGTATTAAGGCATTGACAATCTGTGTACTGAGCTGGGTGGCATACTGCTTGGGTTAGCTGAAGGGCGCTCCAGTGTGTTTCAACTTCAACAAGTGCAATCTCCTTCAACAACCCGGGCCATTATGTCTCGGATATCTGTAGTATAAAATAGATTTCCAAAATCCGACTTCGAAGGTCGAACCCGAACACTACAGTCTTCTTGGATTTTCTTCTGTGCCTGTCGGAGTGCTTTGAATGAGGGAGCATGCATAATCCACAGGAAGATCTTCAATTGGCTTGATGAAAGTCGCAAACAAGGAAGGTTATCAAGGATATCAAGATAACACATCTTGAAAAGACATTATGGATAATAAAATCAGAAAAATATTGCATAATGGGCTCACAGTTTTGTTTTCATATGGGGTCCAGTCTGAAGTTCTTGTCACACCCACAAAGAAATCAGCCACTTCTTCTTCTTCAGCTTCCTCGTCATATTCTAAAAAAAGTTAAGCATCTTGGGTTCAAAATGAGAGTTTATATACCTATAGATTGAAACTCATTTATCACAGATGGAACTGTTGCATCATTGGAACTATCCAGATACACCTCCTCCAGTGTAGACATGCGCAATGCTGCCAACTCCTTGGCAAGAAGTTCATCTTGAACTTCCTCTGTTACTACGCTGGGGGCAGAAAAATAATGTTCAATGTCCTCTGATGACATGCACATATCATCTGGACCAAGACCATTGATATCGACTGATGCTGATGGAGAAGAATGGTGTGGAGGCTTAATTATTGAGTTTTTCAATGCAACTGAACTGGATGAGAATAATTGTGTAAGGTTTCTACTTTGCTCTATATCAACTAAGCGGCGCCGCTTCAGTTCTTCTATTGCTTGAGAGTGGATTCTTGACTTTTGATGAGCTCCAGTAAAATTGGTGCGGGTTGTCCATGTAATATCGTTGTGAGGATAAGCTTCCCGGCAAGTTTTACAGCTGACCTTTCCTGTTATGCTGTTGACAAAAGCCTCTGTATGCTGAATGAGAAATATATTAACTTGAACAATAGTAGATAAATTACCGGAGCTTATGTCGCGTGGAGGCATGAAAAGAAAGTTAGAAATAGTTAAACACGCACTGGGATGCTGACCATGATTCTTACATAATTCAACTTCGAAAAAATCAATTTTGAACTGTCCGTCTCTCACTCTTTTGACACACAAATGGACGTTGATTCCATTGGAGAAGATTTAGACCCATATGTCATTGCCGCGAGGCAGTGCATTGAGGAACAACAAGCCTCACTCGCCTTGGCAAATACAAATGCTCCCAGACTTGAAGACAACTCAGGCTCAATGACACCGACATTCTCATCCGATTTATTCAATGCAGGTACTGTGCGCCGCCGGACAGATAGTGACCCTCTCCCCCCCCAGGATTCGAGTTCGCTTCCCAGGCCCCAATTATATTCACCACAGACCGCGGAAAGGAGCTCTTGAATATGAGGAACTTGTCGCCAGAGTCAGTAACTCAGGCCGAGGAATTCTTGAGGGTAAGTTGGTCATTACTCACAAACTTCTTGCGGTGATAGGCTTACATGTGTATGGAGTGTCTGGATACAGTAGAGAATATGTTTCAGCTGTATTTGAATGTTCTCCAGAATCAGGACATGTTGCGCATCATGTTTAAGGACAGCGCGCTGAAATACAAACCAACAGAAGATGTCAAGGTATGTACGTGCCTATATTTGGTCATGCTTCTAACTTTCATTGTAGAAGACGGCCATAGATTATGCAAACCTGTTCCTGTGCTCTCCGACAGTTTTTGCCTATAAGCATGACTCGTTACCTCAAAAAATTGTTGTAAGTCCACTTGTTTGCAATGGGCAGAAGATCCCTTCTCAATTTTATCAGGATACTATGCGTGAAATGAAGATTTCGGACTTACCACCAGCACACGAAACTGGGCACTGTAAAGTTATTTCAGCTGAATGCGGAGGAGCATTGATTCATGGCCGGCATGCTATCAAGGAAAAGGTTCGTGGTCATTGTATACTCACATCATCACAAATAACACATGGTCAGATTAGTGCGAGTATTGGTCCAAAGACTGACATTGCAATTTTGGTGCGACAGATCATACAGGGAACAAAATCTCGTCTGACACTTGCATTATACATACGGATTGCATTTCTGGTCAGCTGTAAGACCTGGGTCAAAATAGGTCTTAGGGTAGGTTTTGGTATGTGGAGGTTTATGTTGTAGCGTGCTAGGAGCAGGCTGGAGCTCGAAGGGAGCTACGAGAACCGCGACCGAGGACGGGAATGACCTAGTAGTGGTTGGAACGACGAGATGGTGACCCTTGAGGGGTTCCTAGGAGGTCCAGGGAGGTCCCTAATGCGTAGGGAGGTTCAGGACGAGTGCGGGACCGTAAGATATTGCGTAGTAGGAGTTGTACTCGCTAGAACGTCAATATAGAGTCGAGTAGGTAGTTTATGCAACGGGGTCTCGAGGGTGTAAGCTCCCGAGAAGGGATCTGCCAGGGAGGGTAGGTCCCTGGGGACTAGGTTTGAGGATGGTCGTCCTCGAGTGTGGGAGGTGGTAACGGAGAAGCAATACGTAGTTCGACGTGAGGGGTAGCTTCGACGTTACCTAGATCGAGGTCCCGAAGCTTACGAAGTAGCTAGGGAGCTCTGGGAGGTTTGGGGAAGGGTAGCTCACCAAGCGGGTAGGCGTTGGGGAGCTTTAGTAATGTTCGAGGGAGCTTGGAGACTCACTCGGAAGGCTTAGACTTGAAGTGAAAGCGTATATTCGATCGTATAGACGATCAGAGAGACAATAGACAGAAGTAGAGAGAAACAGAGGTAGAGAAACAGAGAGTAGAGAGAATTCCGTATAGGTAGCAGGTACAAAGGGACAGGGACTGGACCTATGTAAAGGGTGTGTGTTCAAAATATACCAAGCTAGGGACGCTTATGTTACGGAGGATACTTATATAGGTGGGCTGAATAGTAACGGGACATTGTAATAAACGAGCATCTAATGGGGTTGACGTGAAGTGCGGAACCCATGAGGCTAAATTGATAGGGGATTGTCCGGCGGCGTACGCGAGTCGCGGAGCTGCCGCTTCAGATGGAGGTTAGCGTTGGTGGGAAGGTTAGTTAGGGTTCCGTGGTTCATGGAGGTTTGTGGGAGGTTATTTGGGAGGTGTAAGGGAGCTGATACGCTGTTCTGGGATGTCTAGGAGAGTGACTAGGGGAGCTTTTGGGGCAGGGCATGACATCAGCCTCGATCTTCATTTCTGTCCATTGTAGGGCCTATCTAATGAGCAAAAACTCCAGCGACGCGTGTTCATTAACACCGAGGATGCAAAATTGAAGCAAGAGAGAGAAGCAGCTGAGAAGGCCTCTCAGTCAACAGGGGTTGTAAGCAAACCAAGGGAGATGACAAAGAAAAGAAGAACGAAGAATTATTTTTGGGGGATAGTGGACAAGAAGTTGGAATCTTACCGGACCCAGGTTCCAGACACGGCCATAAGATTCGAGTACATTGTGATCATATCATCTGCCCACCAGGCCACTTCTGATTTTCTCGTTGCACAGGGTATACAAAGGGATTTATGATGATGATGTTAAGCTTTTCCCGCGGGATAGTTCATTGGGGGCAGATCTTGTTGTACACGAAAAGGATGTTGAGCCATGGATTCTCAGTATTCAAGCTCGTAGTCAGTATTTACCCTCATAATAAATAGCATTTTCGATCCTCTCTTGACCTCATTTGTTAATTGCATTGATATTGATTCTATGAATTTAGAACAGTCTCGAGAGATTCTGAGAATTTCCGAGAACTATCACAGGTAATGTCTCCCTCAGGTGGACATTGATGTTCTAGAGACATCATTCACTTGACGAGGCAACACAAAGATGTCAGTATCATAGGTATCCCTGAATTGGACAGTTGGGCCAGTGTCAAATATTCTTAATGACGAATGTTCAAATGATATTGAGGTACATTATGGCAACATTTGCGCCTGATTATCCCAACAATCACTTCCTGATATCAGACCAACATCCTACCAGCAGCGTGGTGTAGAACTATGTGCTGGCACAACCACACAGCGTGATTTGCCCTTAAGAAACGACTGATCCTAAGTTCGAAGGATATCCAACAACTGGATATACTTCTCGCAGTCACAAGGAGCAGAACACAACGTTCCTGTACTCACAAGTGCCGGGCCCAAATGGCTGCTAGCGAAGAGGTTTCAGTCTGGCGGGAGTGTGTCTTTCCTTTTTACGGATTAGCACTGCAACGTCGTCCCAAAATCACTTGTATTCCAGATACATCGGATCGCTATTTATACATACAGAATATAGAGTCGCACAGTACAATTAATTTAATACAATAAACGTTCGGAACCGCCAGGAAACTTCTACACTCGGTCAGATACCATTTAATTTGAATTTACATGTCCTTATTTGGCCCATATTGGTTCCAAGATTCTAGTATACCTCCAAACATAGGTAGGTACTTCGATATTCATTTAATTTAATTGTTTTTGGAGAATGACTCGAATGGTGTTCAACTGTCATTGCTGTTCAACACTTACTTCGATCGTTTGTCACCTCGTCCGGAGGCAAATCAGCTCTCCTCGATTCTAATCCTATCAATCTGATTCATCTGGATTAAACTAATTGCTTCTCTCTTTCAACAGACACCCGTTGTGCCTATACTCTATCAAGGGAGTTACGCATAGTATTCATTTAATTGTATTCTTCAATATTTTCTACGTCAGGACTCTTTGACATTCATTTGATATGTCTTCGGAGCCTCGCAGTACTTCGATCGTTCTTCTAGTCATTTTCCTCAAACATGCAACTTGATTGGTCTATTAGACTAAATCGCAGTCTTTTAGATTAATGCATGATCTCGTTCTAGAAAGAGTATCTGATAATTCCTGAGTTCTAGAAAGTCATTTCGAGTCAATCCTCGGCTCATGGTCACTTGAGTAAGTTCTTCCAAACTCCTGCCAGTGTAAGGTCCAATAAGAATACCCTTGGTATGTCATACGTGAATGGTCATCCTTCGGATGTAGTCCGAGTCTGGTATAATCCTGCTTGACAAACAGGTAGACTGCTATCCAAAGGTAGTATCGGGAATGGGTAAACTAACCAACTTGTGGTAGTATGGGTATATGGTCCCTTCAACTTATTAGACTGATTCAGTGTTGACTTTGACTGTCAATCTGGGTCTCAATTACAGTCCTCTCGATACAAATCTATACATGAAAATGTCACAATTCACAGCATAGACGTCTAGCCAAAATTTAGGCGTGTCATCCCCCCCAAACTAAAGAATTTGACCATCCTCGGTCACTCATAGTTTTGTATCAGGAAAGGATACCCAATCTGTTATTAGATTGATTCGACAAGACTATATCTCCTTTTAATGTAAATCACTGGGTTTGGATCTCTACTTCTCCGTGCTCTCCAATCAATTTGGATGCCCTCAAACAGGTTTCTAGCGCTCATCTTATCAATTTATTCACATGCCTGCTATGAATCGTAACAGTTTAGCGCTCCATTTGAATTGAATACATTTTCGGTATTCGTATCACATTTCGAAATTTTAATTCACAATCTTTTCATCATCTAGTCACAGAACGAGCTTCCATTTCACGGAGAACTGCTCTGACGTACACACTGAATCAGTGTGTACATTTATTTGGTTCGTGGCACGGGGTTCAACAATTTTTCTCGTTGAAGTCCGTTTTCCCTCTTTATTCCTTTCTTTCATCTTGTTCGTCAAAATGGCTTCAACCTCGAGTCAAACTCGAGCTTCGGCCTCTTCCACGCGTCTACCATGCTCTCTAATGAAGGCCCAAGTGATGCTTGTGGGTCTCTCATTTAAATCTACTCTGCCTCTTTTCTTTGAAAGCGCTGTGTTTCGACGACTTCAACAAGGCGATTATTCCCCTCCAGTAATTGATTCCACAAACTCTCCCGATTACAATGGTCCTAGTTCTCTTCCTGCTTTCTCGTATCCTCGTTCTTTGGTCCCTTTTTGCTTTCCTCCCGAGAGTTTGCTTCCATTGTCTGTGGCCTCCGGCCTGGACTTGTTTTGTTCTTCCCAAATGGCAATTCGAACTTTGCAGGTGTTAACAGATGATTCGCCATCTACAGAGCCGCCGGAAGTTTATGAGGTATTCGAGGAGGCCGCTCCATTCTTAGTGCGTAAACGGATTTCCTCTCTTATTTCATTTCAACTAAAATGCCTTCAATCTAGATTTATATTCATGATTTCTGGATTGGTCGGGCCAATTGCCCTTTATTTGCGGAGCACATCCTTGCGACTGCTACATTTTTATCCCAAGGTCTTCCCGTGTTCCTTCGCGATAATTTAGAACAACAATGGGGCATTCCCCCTGATCATCGATCTCAGGCTTTGGTAAGTGTGCCATTCAGCCTTTAATATTTTTTTCTCCTAATTCGGTTTTATAGGATTCCTCGAAATTCGAACAATTTCCGGCAATTCCTATTCCTTTCTGTTTACGTTTCCGCGAGGGAAGTGCCATGATGCGTCTGGTGCCTCCCAAGGAACTAGATCCCTTCGCCTCACTACGCGGTAAGGGTTCATCGGCGGATACATCAAAAATTAGTACCCCTCCTCCACCTTTGGAGCTCAAACCTTCGACATCTGTTTCCAAGGTACCTGTAGCTCCCCCTCGATTAATTAGAAGGAATCGGGAGTTAGAGAGCCTCAAGGCTGATGCTTCCACGTTTTGTGAGTATTAATTTAGTTCATTGATTTCTTATTTTATTCATTTAATCTTTGTTTTTGATTCAGTTTCATCGCCACGTTCCACTCGTTCAAGAGACTCGGATAACGAGCTCTTGAGTGGGTTCCCTTCTGTAGGTTCAGCTCCCGTAGCCTCTTCGTCTACAAAGGTTTCCGTAGGTAAAAAGGAACCTAAATCTTCAACTACTGTCAAGGTAGTTGAAAGTTCCAAAGCGTCCAACCCTCCCACTACTGCTTTAGTCTATAAGAGAGTTCGACTTCCCCCTCATTCGAGGAAAATCGCTCCGGCCACTTCTAAAGGAAAAGCGCGGCAAGTCGT